AGTTTGGTGGTCTTCAATTTATTTTATCTAACTTAGATAGATGTTATAACCACTGATAGGGCTATTAAGTACCTTAGGCGATAGAACTGGCCTACTGGTTCTATAGGGATGTTCATCTGCCCCTACATCTTATAGGGGTGGCTGCTAGGACGGTTGAGTACATCTACCTAACTTACCCTATATATACCTAGTAGCTTTAACGCTTTATATAATTAGTATGTCTGTATAACTAGTTGACACTAAGATCTTCTATCCTTAATATCCTAAGTATAGTTAGACAGGGCCTTTATAGGCGTACTTAATTATTCCTTAAGATGCTAGTAAATTACGAAAATTAGAAAGAGGTTTTAATATTAAATTATAAATAGAGTAAAAAATAAAAGATCTAGAAGACCTATCAAAAACTAATCTTTACACTTAGTGATATCTATCCTATAATCATAGTCCTATACTTTAATATTAAATATTATAGATATATTATCAGAGTCTGTTTGTCCACTCTCAGGCTTATAAACTAAGATAAGTGACTCAGTGCCTTTAGGGCCTGTTAGTAACTAGGCAAGCAAAACTTTACTATCCTATAAAACTCCTCCCCTATTCTTACTCAGTCCTAATAATTAACCTCAAGCTAGGGCATCTCAGAAAGAGCATCCAGTATATTATATATGACACCGCCATCACACTAGAAGAGGTAATGACTGTAGGCTAGACAAATATATGGTTTCTTTTCATATTATTAGCTAAGCCTATACTATTTCTAGAGCTATATCATACTATTAAGGTTCTTAGGGGAATAGACTAGTACTACTCTATAGTATACTTTAATAGCCTTATATTATTAGTATTTATATACATCAAGCCTGCTTATATTATAGATCTCAATCTTTAGGCTCTAATAAGAAGGTCCTTTAACTTTAAGCTCAACCTAATTATAGATAGTTGCTAGGATGCTAATAAGTCCTCTATTCTATAGCCTGTAGTTAGCTTAGTTTAGATCTAAGGGCTGACTCTCTTTACTTACTCTTAGTATCTCTATGACTACAGCCTTTCTGATCCCTAACTCTCTAAGGAAGGCTAACTTAATGCTTATTATGATGTTTAACCTAAGAGGCACTTACTTAGGCAGGAACCAGTAGCAGTAATAGAGAAGGCAGTAAAGTCTAAGTTAAAATATAATATGCTATTAAGCTTATTAGTTTAAGTTTATAAAGATACAGGCTCTATTTATAATATAAAAGTAGCAGACCCTATTGCCACTGAAATGTGTAGTATTATAAGTGGTCCTAATATAGGCTGAATATTTTCTTAAATACTTTTTCAATAGATAAGGGTCATCTAGCATTAAGCAGGCCTAGCTATAACTTCTATAGGTACTAGCCTTTCTATAGGTCAGTATATAATCCTTATATCATATAGACACTATAATTCTTATCAACTTCCTTTACAACTTAGTATCTATAACATACTAATATATACATAGCTCTTATCTTTAAACCCTTATAGTCCTTAGCTAGCATCATAAGATTAAAGGATCATAAGCTATATGCCTATAGACTATATGTCAAGTCTTAAAGGCGATGTTGACTGAAGCTTAGTGAAGGAGTGAAGTATAAATAAGAACTCAAGACTATTAAGAGTACTAAAAGCTATATAGAATAAAGAAAGAGAAATAGCCGCCTGGATAGACTTATCTCTACTATAGCCACCTAGCTTTACAGGGAAGATCTAAAGAGTTATTACTTACCAGCCTTAGTGCATCTATATTAATGCATTATATAAGGGCAATAGAATATTATATAACAACACCTAAAGGAATAGAGTATTCTAGATCTCTATAAACAAGCTGTATATAAAATACTAGTAGATGGTTATTATCCTTCACTAGATAATACTAAGCAACTAATCACTAGGAATTGCTATATATATATAACACACCTATGCAAGATTAATAAGGTTCTGGCCAGTAAGCTTCTAATAAGTATATACACCCTTATCTCTCTATTATTTAAACTAAATTAATCTGTTTCTAGGATTTCCTAGGGCTATAATGTCTATAGAAGAAGTAAGATCTCACCACATCACACTAGGCATGCTTTCTAGAGATAGATCATCCTAAGGCATTCTTCCAGACCTTACTACACCTCTACTAAGTATAGTTACTAGAGACAGTATTCCTCCTCATACCACATTACTACTTATTTATAGCGGTGATATTACAAGCTCTCTATTAAACAAGCCTCTATAACATAAGGCTCTTAATTATCACTACACTGCTCTACTACTTATTCATCATAACCTAGATCTATTACTATAAATATATAGTCTCTCCTAGGAGAGATTAAAGGAGTTCCTTTAATCTATAGATAAGTTATACCAGTGCATTATCATAAGTCATAAGAGAGTGCAAGAAATATCTATAGAGAGGACTACACCGTCAATATATTGCCTAACCACACTTACACTATCACAACCTTAGGATAATTACATTAAGATCATCCTTAAATACACTATATAGCAGTAAATAGTTAGTGATATCATCTTTAAGATGGTTATATATTCTAGTAAGCATCTTCTAGTATCTAGCTAGGGTTCTATTTTACTAGTCTTAGATATCTTATTAGAGGTTCTCCAGAATATAGTTCAGAATAATAAGTACTAGAAAACTTATAAGAAATAATAGTATATTACATTTAGTCTAGATATATATAATAAGGATATCTTAATAGGATTATAGTTAGTAATAATATCAATAATACTGATTAGATACTTAAGCTAGTTAATCTTCACCTTATAATTTAATATCTATATAAGACAAGCCTCAGAAATCTTAACTATACCATCTAGATCTTTCTTTAGCCAGCCCTTAAAGTAGTCTAGTATATAGTCCTTTATAACATATAATATCATCTCATATTTATTTCTACTCTATTTAAAAGTACAGCCCTCTTCTATAGTAATAGATATTATTCCCTTAATCTCCTTCTAATCTTAATAGTACTTCTAGTTACTTTCATCCTAATCATATATTAGTTAATATCAATCTAAACATACTAAAGATTTTCCTTACTATAATAGTAAAGTCAGAATTTAGCATCAGCCAGTCTATAGTAATTTAATCTCTACTTCTTTATCTTTTGACTTCAAACAAACTTCATTTCATCAGAAGAGGAAGACCAAATGATTATTTCTCACACTCATTATGTTTAGGCATCAGAGAGGAAGTCAGGTTGCGGCGGCAGTGAAGCAGGGTTTTCCGTAGGTCCAATTCAATCTCACCACTGGAGCCGGAGCCGCAAACATGCCCCACCTGCCTGCCTGTCTGCCCGAAACTGTGCGCCCGAAGTGGAGCCTTCCCACGCCATGACATGAAGGCAGAGATCTGCCGCAGCTCCAGCTCTTTCACCAGGAGCATCTTTCGCGTCATCACCTTGTGACCGGACCGGCACGCAACAACAGCGAGGAGCGGTAGGTGAGATATTGCGACCCAAACTCAGGTCATCATCCATCGTGACGTCTTGAAACGAACCCCACTCATCTGGTTGCTTCATTCTTCCAGGTTTACGTCAACGTTCACGCGCCGGGGCTTAAGACGCGATCCATCGCGATGTTGCTCAAGATATCGCGTTCTGCGTTGACTGGGCGCATTGCAGGTGGATGAGTGATGCGTTGCGCGGGCAATCTGTGTGGTGGTAGATTGGCGACCATCACTGACCTCAAAAAAAACCCGATCAAGTGATCGTGGTGGACTGGCCCTTCTCAGGCACGGACTGGCACTCGAATTTCATTCTTGCGCACCATTCGCACATCAACGGTATCCCAAGTGGCTTATCGAAATCAACCATGAGCATCACGCTCCGGGACGGGCTGTGTGCAGCCATGACATATCGGGCCCACGCCAGAAGGGGAGCCCTATTCAGCCAACACGTTTTGTGGGAGGTTCTTCTTCCTTCCTCTTGAACGCGAGACGGACTGCCTGGCGCCTACTAGGATACTGCTCTCTCCTGCCCGGCGTCGTGACAGGCATTCTTTGCGGTTGTGCGCTCAGGCATGGGCTGGAAGGCCCGAGGCCTGTGGTGCATTTTCTTACCAGCTGCAATGAGAGGCTTTTGCGGTTCTCAAAAGCGGCTGGGTTACCGAGATCGAGAGCAAAGGTGCGGAAAAGGCTGGCAAAGTCAAGACCACCGACATTAGTGGGGTTTCCAAGACAAGCACACTTGCCTCCGCAGACCCCCTGGCCCAAAGGGCGTCATTGGGCTCTGTCTGGGAATGCCCTCATGTGTCGACAATCGACCGGTGGCTACCAGATGGGGTATGGGGAACAGGAGAGCAGATACGAAAGTCAAGCCCGCTTTGGCGGGGTTTTCTGGAGGATCATCTTGTGTGTTGCAAGGGTCGATCCAAGGCCCTCATTCTTTGGAACTACGGCGGCTGCCAACAGATTTCGGGGATGCATTGCTACAAACACCACATGTGGCCTTCGATGATGAAATGCAGGTATTTTGACTTACGAATTGGCCCTGCCAGTCGGCGTTGATGAGTTGGCGGCCAGGCCACCTACATGGCATGGTGGACTGTGGGAAGTCACCAACCGCCTATCACGACCTAATTTGACAGGTTGTGCATACAAAGGCCACGGGCCTTTCCAAGGACAAACATGGGGCATGCATCTGCTTTGACAAACACTGGCATGTCGTCTTTGTGTGGATGGAAGGCTGGGGTTGCCTGGAAGGAAGTAAGGCGCGTCTAGGTACTATAGGAGATAGGACCTCTGATTATATAAATCTGCTTGTCTCCCGCCTATCGGGTTTGTCGAATTGCCTGCCGCCGATCCTGGGCTTTTGGAGTGTGCGGCTCTCTGGTGCTTCCATTGTTCTTTAGTGCCCATTGAATTTCGGCGCACCTTGACTTTACCTCCGTCATCACCCTCACCTCACGACCCACCTCCAACCTAGCCTTCTTCAACCCATTCACCAGAGACGCGGCCAGACGAATCGCCCAGTATGGCTGACGACGATTCTTCCGACTTGTCCTCTCTCTCCTCTCTGTCCCCTGTTCCCTCAGAGGACGAGATGGAGGTGCAATTGAAGCCCGAGAAAGGCATTCTCAAGTTCTTCCACAGGGCGCCCAAGGGGGCGACTGCGCCGGCCAGAGAACAGTCACCGCCAGCACCCAAGAGACCTCCCTCCCCGCCCCATGAGTACGTTCTGGCTGACAACCCGGACATTGCTGTACGTATTCCACCCTTTGGCGCGTCGGAAAGGCCATGTAACGCGAAATGTCGCGTGCCAGACCCGTGCAAATGTATTGACCGGCCTTCCTAGTTCATTGTCATGTTTCGCAACCGCTTCAACGACGCTTTCCCCAAGAACCTGGCCAATTTTGGACCGCAAGAACTCGAGCGAGACATTGCAGACTCTGTCCCGGGAGAGCGCGTTGAGCACTTCCTTTGCGCGCTGCTGAAGCTCCTGCTCAACCGCCAGCAGGACGTCAAGTACGCTCCACCGGTCCTTCCCTTCGCCGCACGCTACGAGCTCAAAAAACTGACTCTATCCCTCGCAGGCCTGGCCACTACAATCGCGCTCTGGAGGAGGCTGTGCAGACCAACAAATCGCAATGGGTTACGTCCTGGCAAGAGTCCCCGCTCGCGGGCGGCAAGACCTTTGCCTCTATGACCCCAGTGGAGAGGGTACGTGGAGGAATTCTGGAGACTCTGAAGCTCGCGCGCATGCTAATCCTTGATCACAGCTCACGCTCCTTCGAGCTCTCGTACTCTGGACCCTATCTTCCTGCCGCGCAGTACGCGAGATCATCGATCACGGATATAAGGGCAAACGACAAGAGGACGATTCAAACATTCCGTTGTCGGTTCAGCCCTGGGGTTCGGACAGCGACAAGCGCCGATACTTTTTAATTGAAGGCCAAGATGACACCAACTTCCGAATCTACCGCGAGAGCAACCCTGCGGGATTCACAAGGACATGGTGGAGCGTGGCTGGCTCTATCGACGAACTCAGGGCGCTTACCGAAAAGCTCACCACCGTTGATGGCAGCCCCAAGGCGAAGAAGTTGGCAGCCAAGTTGAACGACGAGATCCCGAGGTTTGAAGCTTCCGAGGAGGTATGCCATCGTCTTGCATCACCCATCCTATGTCTATTCTGCTGACACATATGTAGAAACGGAGGCGCCGAGAATACCGCTTGATGCGCAAGGAGCAGTTCCGGCGTCCCGAGCCTGGCTTTTCGCTGTACGAGGGGAGGACTCGCGGCAAGCGCATGAAGTATACCTACTCTGATGATGAGGATTTCCTGACAGACTCTACCGGATACCGGCGGTCTGCTCGCAACACGCGCAACCACACCCCGGCAGAGCCCTCTGGACCCGTCACAACTGCCAGCGGTAGACAGATCAGGGCTCCAAACCGCCTCACGGCTGAAGATTTGAGCACTGGCGGCCCCAGTGCATCGGCCAGCATCCAAGGTGATGCATACGATGAGGATGTAGATATGGAAGACAGCTCCATGGGCCCTACAGGTCGCCCTCGCCGCAGCGCAGCTGTGAACCACGGTATGAATGGCTGGTCCGTAGCCAAACCGAAAGAGGAGGAGTATGACTCCGAAGCGGAAGATGAAGACAGCGAGCCTGACTTCGGTGACGATGAAGACGAGCACGTCCCCGACGACAGTGACGACGAGGAGGAGGAAGAGTTCGCCGAAGATCGCGATGCCCTTGATGACGAGGATCGCGACCTGGCTGACAGCCCCAAGAGCTTTCTTGTCAAGCTTCCTGTCAAGGCGCGGTATGATGAGGACTCGGGCAGATGGCTCAAGATGCCCACCAAGAGACTGGTACAGAAGTCCCAGTTGGTTGATCAAGACGCTACTGAAGGGTCCGCGAGTGATTCGGGAAGACCTGCAGACACACCGACTCTTGCCTCGGAGCCTGAGCACACGGCCGAGTCGATTTCAGTGGCCGTTAAGCCGGTTGCGCAAACCACCGAGCTTGAGCAGCCAAGTATCACCGCCACGGCGACTGCTCAGGGACCTCAGACCGATGAATCCAAGCCTTCAGCTCCCGGAACGGCGGCTACAGACATGGTCCAACCCGCTCCACAGCCAGACACCCATTCTACATTGGCACAGACACCAGAGCCTGATGGGTCCAAGGTGCCGACAGAGGTGAAACCCGTCACCCCGGCAGACCAGGCAATGACGGAAGCGAAGTCTGCTGCCACTCCCCTGACACCTTCCAGCGGTGCGCCGACCAACCTGGCGTTCAGAAGCCCTGAGAAGCCGCCTCATGTCTCGCAGCCGATCGACGTCGGCGGCAGCAACACCGACTTTTAATGATATTTGCTTATCTCTCGGCGGACACTCCACATGTACAGTTTTTATTTCCCAGATATCATCAATGTCGGGAATATGACTTGGTTTTGCAGAAAAACGGAACATGGTTTTGTTTCTTGGCGTTGGTACGAAAGAAAGACTAGGCAACTCTGGGCTGTGATACTTCTTTATGGTAGAGCCTGGTTCTAGCTGTTGCTTTTTTATCTTGTCACGAGCTAGGGACTGTTATGTAGATCATGGCGAGCATCGAATAGCTATTCTGGACGGATGTATGGCCTGGCCGCGATGTCGGGTACATCTATTATCGCTTCAGTATCGAGGTTGTTTGAACCTGCATGAATGCAACGAATTGGTGTGACCAGTGTCTCCTGGTGCTAATTGCTGTGCTTGTGCGTCTATGTACATGTGTTTGATTCTGCAAAACAAATGCTTCCATTCAGAAGGCTCTCCTCTTTTCCGGGGGTATCGCCCACTTGTTCACGCCGTACCACCATCTCCTCATCTTCGCGCCCACGCTGTTGCCGTGTATCCTGGCGTTCTTGTTCCAGTGCTGCCACCCGCACACCGCCAGGTTGTAGAGCACGCCCTGCATCAGAGGCATCATCATCTGTGTATGTGGCGAGCAAAGTCAGCAAAACGATGAGACGGAAAATCCCCCAGTCAGAGAGACCAATCAATGTAACGGACCTGATCCCGGATCGTGATGAGCGCGACCTTCCACCACGTGTCGGCGTTGGCGATGCTGTGCAGGTAGCTCTGCTCGAAGCGCAGGTCCGGCAGCGGGGGCAGCTGGGCGGAGCGCCTCCGGGGCCGGATGACGCTGTAGGGCACTTCGTCGTCTTCGTCGCCCTCGGCTTCGGCCTCGGTGTCGTCCAGCTCCGAGACGACGTCGTCGAGCTCGTCGAGCTCGTCGAGGCGCACGGGCTCGCGCTTGTCGGCGGCGGTGGGCGGGTTGATGTCGTGCGTCGGGGAGGGGTGGCGGCGGATGTGCGCCGTCTGGACCGTCTCGGCGATCTGGAGGGGGATGTCGGAGGAGGCGGCCATGGCTGGCTGCTGTGCCCGGAGGGAAGACGGGCGCGCGGTGATGATGGGATGTGTGCCCCTTTTGTTTTGAGGCGGGGTAGGATGGGGCCAGCCGGATTGACTGGGTTGGCAAGTCAAGAGTGTGGAAGGGACGCCTGCTTGAGTTACGAGCGTGCTCTCAGAATCGCGACCTGAATACCTAGGTAGCCTGGGATTCTTGTTCCCCGGCCGAAGCTCGGTCCTCACCTCAGGTAGGGGATGACGGAGGTGACCCGCCCGCGCGTGTGGTCCGTGTCCTCTCTCACCTTAGGTACCTCAACTCGATACCTATGGTGTGTGGGACAACTCATTTGTACCTGACAGATGGGTTGAAATAAACAGACAGGCATACAATCTTCTTACAACGAGGGATCTATACCTGACATTGTAACACAGTCATGATTCGCTTAAGCTAACTAGCCATTCACACTTTTCAACAGGGCATTCAGTGCTATGCAGGCAGCAAATAGGGCGGAGGAGAAACCTGATCCTCGAGTCAAGCTGCAGGTTCTATGACTTTGGTACGTGTGAACATATCGTTGTGTGGCCAACAGAGGCCCCGTGTATGCCCGAGGATGTGCGGATAGCCAGTGGATCATTGCCATTGTTTCTCGGCCTGCTTCTTTCGTCCATGGCCACAGGACACAGGACAGACAAATACGGATGTGGAGGATGAATGGACTTGTACAAGTACCCGCACTGAGAGGGGGTACCTGAAAGATGGAGTGTTTCTGGGGCGCACCAGGCACCCAACGTGCCATGGCTCAGGTACCTTCACACCTGTGCGGTTTCTAGCTGGCACAAAAAAACTTGTCAAGCCCTGGTCGCTCCCTAATAAGGTACCTTAAGTTCTTACGTCCCAATGTGGCCCAATTTTCACGCAGCCTGCAACGAAGATTGGATCGTCTTCCCTTGTTTTGAACGAAAAAAAACCCCCTCCGTCACTGCAAGGCACCCCACCAAAACCCAGTTCCCATTTCCCATCTCCCGTAATATAAGTGTTCTCTTTTCTCCCTCATCTTCGTCTCTGCCCTGCTGGTATTCGCAACAAGGATCCCGCACAGGCTCTCTCCCTTCTCTTGAGGAATCCAAGCAATAAAGTTCTCCTTTGCTTAGGAAAGGGTCGCGCGTTTGACAAGAAAAAAAAAAAAAATTAACCCAACATGAGCGACGCACAGGCTAACGAGGCCGAGAAGAACGTGGGTACCCCGCCACCGCTTCCTCTACTCCTGGAAGCCCCATCGCCTTTCACCCCAAGTATGACGAAAACGCAGGCTAACAAAGGGGATTCACTCGTGTCTAGATCGAGATATGGAAGGTCAAGAAGCTCATTAAGCGCCTCGAGGCCGCTCGTGGTAACGGCACGTCCATGATCTCGCTGATCATCCGTATGTCCTCTACTCTCCCCTCTCGGCCGTCGGTCTGTTCGATCCCTGCTAACTTGCCTCTCAGCGCCCAAGGATCAGGTCTCCCGTGCGGCAAAGATGTTGGCCGAAGAATACGTACGTCTTTCGCGTTCCCCTTGTCCCTCGCGCCTCCTTGCGCTCGGCATCCCAAAGTTGTCGCCGACTAACATCAATGCGCGCAGGGTACCGCCTCCAACATCAAGTCGCGTGTCAACCGACAGTCTGTCCTGTCTGCCATTACCTCCACCCAGCAGAGACTCAAGCTGTACAACAAGGTCCCTCCCAATGGCCTCGTCGTCTACTGCGGTGAAATCTTGACCTCGGAAGGCAAGGAGCGAAAGGTCAACATCGATTTCGAGCCCTTCAAGCCCATCAACACCTCGTTGTACCTCTGTGACAACAAGTTCCACACCGAGGCCCTGGCTGAACTTCTCGAGTCCGACCAAAAGTTCGGTTTCATCGTCATGGATGGTAACGGAGCACTGTTTGGCACTCTGAGTGGAAACACCCGAGACATTGTGCACAAGTTCTCGGTCGATTTGCCCAAGAAGCACGGTCGTGGTGGTCAGTCCGCTCTGCGTTTCGCCCGTCTGCGTGAGGAGAAGCGTCACAACTATGTCCGCAAGGTTGCCGAGCTGGCTGTCCAGAACTTTATCACTGCCGACAAGGTCAACGTGGCCGGTATCATTCTCGCCGGTTCTGCCGATTTCAAGAACGACCTCAACGCCTCCGACATGTTCGACAACCGTCTGGCTTCCAAGGTTATCAAGGTTGTCGATGTCTCGTATGGTGGCGAGAACGGCTTCAACCAGGCCATTGAGCTTTCTTCCGAGACTCTTGGAAATGTCAAGTTTATCCAAGAGAAGAAGCTCATCGGCAAGTATTTCGAGGAGATCAGCCAGGACACCGGTCGGGTCTGCTACGGTATCGAGGATACCCTCAAGGCCCTCGAGCTTGGTGCTGTCGAGACTCTGATTGTCTACGAGAACTTGGAGATTACCCGCTGGACTGTTAAGGATAGCAACGGAGCCGAGATTCTCCTCCACACCACCAAGCAACAGGAGTCTGGTCCCCGCGACAAGTTCATGGACAAGGAGACGGGCCAGGAGATGGAGGTTGTCTCCCAGGAATCCTTCCTCGAGTGGATTGCCGAGCATTACAAGGATTTCGGCACCACCCTCGAGTTCGTTTCGGACAAGTCCACCGAGGGCAACCAGTTCGTGAAGGGCTTTGGCGGTATCGGAGGCATTCTCCGGTACAAGGTCAACTTTGAACAGTTGGCTGAAGTTGACGACGATGACGAATACTACGACGATTGACAGCTTGATTCCCTCGTCGGTGACGAGGGACTTCAAGCTCAAGTAAACTCGCCCCATCAGCCATCCGTCGCCTACCAGCCTGTTTCATCGCCGCCGCCGCCACCGGAGCCGCTCTCCAAGAAATCCCCGGTCCAGCGACGGCTGCAGAAAGGCTTCGAAGCGGTGCCGGGCCAAAACTTCCAGCAAGTGGCACGCCCCAGCCCGCTTCGCTCTATGATGACGGCTACTTGAGACTTGAACACGACGGATTCTGAAGTACGTGCCAGCCTCCTTGCGCTCGGTCATGAACGTTCTAGACTCGGATTGGCTCACAATTGAGTAGATCAGGATCCGAACCAAAGTCCTCCCGAGCTGAAGAGCCGGAAGGCGGATCACGCTTCCACTATAGAGCATGATCAAGAATGCATAGATTAGAAGAAAAAGGATTGACCATTGAACTCCCTGTGTGCGATGTGAGGAACAAGCTGACGACGCGCACACAACCGTGATCCTCGGTCGTCGATGATGATGAAAGCGTCTGGTGGTGGATGGAATGATGGATGGATGGATGGATGGATGGATGGGAACTGCGATCAGTATCTTGACAACATGTTGTCCCGTCGCTCGTTAAGACAGGCTTCTTGTTATCCGTAGGCCAGGTCACTCGCTCAGGGGGCCTCATTCAATTGAATTAGGATTGGACGACTTTGGTAATCTCGTCCAAGGAAAGATATGGCTTGCTTTGCTGTGTAATTGCCGCACGACCTCGCCTGGCGACCACTGATGGGAACACCCGTTCTGTTTCAAGACTTGTTCAATGCGATACTTGCAGTGACATTGTGGAACGCGGGAAGATTGAAATGCCTGAAGCCGACTCACTCACGGAAGCGGCTCCGTGATCGCTCTCCCGAGGGGCGGGTCCAAATAGCTCCCGGGCCTAACCTCCATGAAAATCTGTCATGCAACCAATCCCGATCCTGCGAATCTTTCAACGGCTTTCCTATCATATCTCGGCCGGCCGTTACCCCTTCTTCAACGGGGCCAGAGTAAGAAGGAACGGCCTGGATTCGACACCAAGTAGTCATTCCTCTGGATTCACTCATTTTCCAGACCCTGGTTGAGAGACATCCGGCCGGAAGTGGGGGTTTTCCTGGCACCATGGCGGCGCCTCAGACTCAAGACGGGAGCGCTTCGGCGCAGCAAGTTGTGGCCTTCCTAGGTCCCCTGGCGTCATACTCTCACCAGGTATGTCTCATTTGCGATAGCATGCACTATCCTCAGCTTCGCAGAGCTGACAATCACGGCTGGCGGTTGGGGAGGACTAGGCGACCAAGGCCCTCTTTCCAGGTGACGAGTGGAAACTCCAGACGGTGGTCCAGATCAAAGGTATGGTTTATGTTCTTTTCGTCTGTTATACAGGCGGGGGAGTGTTGTGTATATCCCCATGATTCGAAGGGCACGATCGAAGGTTTTTTTCTTTTTTTACATGACATCGTTACTGATACGAAATCCATATATATAAAAGACATCTTTGACGTCGTCCAAGCGGGCGAGGCGGCCTTTGGCGTCGTCCCCTTTGAGAACTCGACGCATGGGCCCGTGACCTTCACGTTGGACTGCCTGGCCGACCGCCAGGGGGCCTACACCGACCTCTGCGTCTGCGGCGAGGTCTACCTCGACGTGCACCACTTCCTCCTCGGCCGGCGCGCGCCTACTACTACTACTGCTACTACTACTACCACTTCAGAGCCGTCAGGAGGCTCAGCGCCGTCGGGACCCTCACAGCAGCAGCAGGCCGGCGCCACCGCCGCGCGGGGCCAGCCCCTGGCGGACCTGTCGCACGTCGAGCGCGTCTACTCGCACCCGCAGGCGTTCGGCCAGACGGCGGCCTTTTTGGGCCGGTACCTCCGGGGCGTGGACGCGATCGACGTGAGCTCGACGAGCCGGGCGGCCGAGGAGGCGGCGCGGGACGGCAGCGGGCGCAGCGCGGCGATCGCGAGCGAGATGGCGGCCGCGGCGAGCGGGCTCGATGTGCTGGCGCGCTGCATCGAGGACAGGGAGGACAACACGACGCGCTTCCTGGTCGTCCGGCGGGGGGAGGCTGCCGGCGAGGAGGTTGGAGAAGAGGAGGGGGAGGCAGGCGGAGGAGGAGGACGCGGGAAGAAGCGGTACAAGACGCTCGTGTCGTTCACGGTGCCGCACAAGAGCCCCGGCGCGCTGGCCGACGTGCTGGACGCGTTCCGCCGCTTCGAGCTGGACCTGACGAGCATCAACAGCCTGCCGAGCCTGATCCGCCCCTTCCAGTACCTCTTCTTTGTCGAGTTCGAGGGCAGCAGGCTGCACGACCCGGACGGCCGGGTCGAGAGCGCGCTGGAGCACGTCGGCAAGGTCTCGCAGGGGTGGAGGTGGTTGGGCAGCTGGGAGAACCAGAGAGACGGTGATAAGTAGAGGGAATGAATGTGTTTGGTTCATGTGGCTACATTGGCAGGGCAAAAAAAAAAAGGCAACAGCCCTTTCGCGAGAGCAAAGGATGTCTTTCGCGGACTGTGTCACGGCTTAAGTTGACGGCATCGATTCACACATATGTGTTCTCGAGTGGTTGATGCTTGAAACAATTCAGGTTTTGATATATGGCCTCTACCAAGCTCTCGAGACTGTGGTGTTCCCATAATGATCTGTGATCCCAGTTAGAGGCAGTATCAAACAGATTATCATCCGAAGGATTGAACTGAGTAAGGATGACTGCGACTGGTTTGGTATGTCAAACCAATGAAGCTGGTCGAGATCTATGGAAAGGCCAATTCCACCGACCCTTTTAGGAATGAACAAGAATGGCCATTCAACGGCTGACAAGGATTGATGACCCAGAGGTCTCAGTGTTCAATATTCAGTGCGTAAAATTGTATTCTCGTTCGTCTGTCTCCGGGAGAAACATCTCAGTCCCACAGTGCTTCATAAATGGATTCTGCGCGGCCCAGCTTCCCTCGGCTTTCCTATCGAGATTTTATATGCCCAGTCCCCAAATTGATTGATAGAAAGTGCCTGAATTCTATGAAAAATAAGTAGAATAGCCATTAAAGGGATATGGTAGCATATCCTCAATCGTGTCGTATGACAATCGTGGTTGGAAGCTGTTCAAGATTGTGAGGCTCACAGGGGCGGCGATCCACTAATGATAGAGCGTGCGGTTCTTTTCTCTACTGGAGCAACCAGTTCGTCACTTACACCACCAAACTATCCACCCATTGCATTGATCTTCTCAACATCTAGCAGGTAGACATAGACCACCAGCTCACGCCATGAAACTCGCCTCAACATTGAGACCAGTCTGGTCAAGACTGCACCACAGCACCGCACACCCAGCGCCACCAAAGATACAACATACTCGGCCTTCCTCAGCATCATCACAGTCATCATCCCAGCAAGGAGGACCCAGCACATCGCCGTCGACTCCTCCAGACGCAGACATAGACATCGCAGCCGTCCGGTCCGAGATGCTCTCCCGCCCCCGCAAGGCGATCCACGACGTCCTCTCCCCCATGCCCTCGCACCTCCTCAGCATCTCCCTGGCCGACTTCCTCCCGGGGCCCTGCCTCCCAGCCCACTTCCCCTACGCGGCCTTCGCCTCCCACCCCCCGTCCTCGTCCTCATCCTCATCCTCATCCGCATCCGCATCCGCATCACTCTCCAACCCGCGCCTCCCGCCGCTGGACGGCAGCCCGCTGCCCCAGGGCCACCACCTCGTCTACTTCCCGCTGCACCTCCCGCCCTCGGCCCTGTGCCCGGACGGCACCGACCCGGCGCACCTGCCGCCCCTCCCCGCGCACACGCGGCGCATGTGGGCCGGCGGCAGCGTCTCCTTTGCGCCCGACCGGTGGCGGGACGAGCTGCGCCTGGGTGGTGGTGCCGGCGGCATTATCCGGCGCGCGGTCTGCGTCGAGGGCATCGGCGACGTGAGCCTGCGGGGCGGCGGGGACAAGGACAAGGTGTTTGTCGACCTCTGGAGGCGGTACGGCGCCCTCCCCGCCGAGATCGGCGGCGGCGAGGGCGGCGGCGGCGTCGTGCCCGAGGAAGTGCTCGACCGCATCGTGGCCAGCCCGGCGATCGAGGAGCGGCGGACCTTGGTCTTTATGAGGGAGGACAAGAAGAAGGACGCTGCCGCCGGGGAGCCGTCTTCAGGCAGGGTAGTCAAGGGTGAGTTTTGCATGGACTGCACTAAATGCGGTTCCCTAGACAGACAGAGACAGAGACAAAACTAAACGACAGGGATATTACAGCACCATACACACCGACGTCGACGCTGGAGCTGCTCCCCAGCCAGACGCTGCTGTTCCACTTCTCCGCCCTGTCCTACAACGCCCACGGCATCCACCTGGACACGCAGTACGCCCGCGACGTCGAGGGCCACCGCGGACTGCTCGTCCAGGGGCCCCTGACGCTGGTCCTCATGTTCTCCGCCCTGCGGCGGGAGCTGGGCGGCAGGGAAGCCGTCCGGGAGATCGAGTACCGGAACCTTGCGCCCCTGTACTGCGGCGAGAAGATGCGGGTGTGCGTCCGGCCCAACGACAAGAAGGGTGCCGCCGCTGGGGACGGGGCTCAGAAGTGGGATGTCTGGATCGAAGGGCCCGATGGCGGCCTGGCTGTCAAGGGTGTTGCTACGTCTGAGCCGGGCGTCTGACTGATGGGGACGAAACTGGATGCAAGATCTGTTCAAACACGCGATATAGATACGATTTGTACGTACCATGATACCCAGGAGCACAAGAGCATTTAAAGCTGTGCTTAGCATAGCAAGGAGCAGGCATTTCACAAGGCTTTCATTCAGAGGATGATATGACGGGAAACTGCAACATTCCATGAAAGTCCAGATTCTATTGGGTATCTCTATGAAAACAGCAGCACACCAAAGGAAACACTATACTAGAATATCCGTATCCACCATGGGCCTGGCCAATCGACAAAAGAGAGAGAGAAGAAAAGAGCGATAAAGCTTGCTTGCTTTCTTCCATCTCTGTTCCCAAGCCCTTCCTTTTTTCGCCATATACATGAGAGTAGAATTATATATGAGAGAGATAATGACCGGTTCGAGGTATCCAACATGAGAAAAAAAAAATGAAAAGACTGTGATAATAATGATGATGATGATGATGATGATGATGACCGTAACGCAATAAAGCCCAGACGTTCGAAGAAACTAGACCGTCTGCTCCGCAGCAGCAGCAGACGACGACGGCGTAAGCTTGAACTGGCTCCAGAGCCGGTCCAGCGCCGACGTCGGCATGTCGATGATGGGCGGCTCCGCCCCTCCCTCCTGCACGACGGCATCCTCCGCCAGCAGCGACGACTTGGGGCTGTCGAGCTGGTGCTCGAGCTCGGGCGTCGGCGGCGACCGGGAAGCAGACCCGGACCCGGACCCGGACTCCGAGGGGGCATGGCTCGCCGGCCCCGGGGACGCCGTCTCCGACGACAGGCTGTGCAGCGCCTCGTCGGTGTGCTCGACGCGATAGAGAGCCTCGGCGATAGTGCCCAGCCCCACGACCGACGCCGACCGCACCGTCTTGCGCGGCGCGGCCGCCGAGGCCCGGGCCTCGGCCGCGTCCGTCGGCGTCGCGCTGGCGGGCGCCTCGAGCAGCAGCGCCGGCCAGCCGCGGCTCGGCCCCGTCTCGCGCGACTCGTCGTGGTTGAGGAAGCAGCCCGAACGCGCCTCGGCCGCGGCCCGGTTGCGCTCGAGGTGCCCGCGCAGCTCGAGCACGCCGCGCCGGATCTCGCTCTTGAACAGCGCCTTTTGCTCCTCGAGCCCGAAGGGTCGGAAGCTGCCGCTGCCGCTGCCGCTGCCGCCGCCGCCGCCGCTCGAGGCGGAACTGGAGCCGGAGCCGGGGCCGCCGTTGGAGGAGGAGACGTCCTTGATGCAGCGACGGAGCAGCTGCTGCTGCTCGTCGGCGCCAAATGGGAAGTCGACGATCGAGTCGTTCTGTCTGAGGCTCTCGACCAGGTAGCGCATGCTCGTGAGGTTGAAGTTATTGTCCTCGCAGTCGAGGGACAGCAGCGCCGAGTTCTGCGTGATGACCCACCCGAGGATGCCGATGTCGTCGTTGAGGTTCTGGTTCCGGAGGCGCAGGTGGGTGATGGTCTTGTTGGCCGCGAGGCCGCGCAGGCAGCGGCTGAAGCCCTTGCCGAGCTGGCCCTCGTCGAGCTTGCCGCTGAAGCCGGAGATGTCGAGGTAGCGGATCGACTCGTTCCTCTCGAACAGCTGCGCGAGCGCCTCGCAGGTCTCGGCGCTGCACGTTCCGTCTGGCTTCGGCGTGGGTGCAGTGCCGGCCAGACTCAGGAATCGGATATGCTTGTTCATCGCCAGGGCCTTGATGAGCTGGATGTAGCTCGCATCCTCCCTGAACTCGACCATGTCCATATGCAGCCCGAATTGCCCTTTCCAGCAAAGACCGATGCTGCGAGCCAGGTGATCGATGCCATCCTCTAGCGGATTCTCATTGAGGCATAGATGCACGTTGTAAAGGCCAGTCATGGCGCTAAAGAGTCTCCCCGCGTCGTATCCGGAGATCCTGCAATCGTTTAGTATCAAAGAGCCGAGGGCGGGTGTATCATGCGGCCCGCTCCATGCAGCTCCTTCTGCGGCGAGATGCAGTAGATATCTCTCCAAAGCCGAAATAGACTCCTCATTCATCTTGAAATGAGAAAGGTTCAGCTCTTCGAGGTAGATAAGGCGTACTAAGGCCTCGAATGAGACGAGCGGACCTTCGATAGTGCCCATAAGACTTCCCGAGACGTTCAAGCTCCTCAGATCGTATGCACATTCCATGAATTCGGAGATCAAGAACGCATTCACACGGCCCAGATTGCCAGAGATGTCTAGATCTTGCAGTGTGGCCCCGGTGTAAGGCAGGGTCTCGAGTAGATTTCGCAAGGACTGGTCCGACAGACCGCAATTGGAGACGTTCAAGACTTCGAGGTTGATCCCGGGCCGTGTAGCCACAAGCTCGGGGCCGTCGTCAATAATCGTAGGGGTCAGGGCATCCACGATCCGGATTACATCCTCGCGGCTGAGAGCGCACCCGCTGAGGATGAGCCGATTGCATCGGGTAAGGCCCGTCTCGAGGAGGTTCAGTATGGCAGTCAGGAATTGAACACCTTGTTCCGTGTGCCCGGCGATGTCCCTGTCCACGGGATAGCTCCGCAGGGAATTAGTAAAGTCGATTTGTCGGATAACCTTGGTGCCAAATGCGAGAGCGTGGAACTCCTGGTGCAGCACCGAACCGCGTTGCACCTCCCAGCGCTCGTCTTCGGTCAAGCTGAGGCCTGTCGGAGGTTTATTAGCATACATAATTTCACCGGACTGGGCCTTGTATAACTCACAATTGCGATCCATGTACGCAATGTTGCCTCTCCGAACCACCTCATGCCTGCCCCACAGTTCGCTCAGGTCGACGTCACGGAATGACAGTGCGGTGAAGTAATCGTTATATCGCAAGGCGCGGAGCACTGCCAGAAGTTGCAGGGCAGAGTAGTGACCGCCCGTTCGCGACGGAAGCAATCGAAATTCCGGGGCAATGGCAGCTTTCCAGTTGATCTCCCATTCCACCGGCCCGCATTTGTATGCCGCCATGTACGCGGCGAGAGTCCTCTGGAATCCACCGTAATCTTCGCCGGCAACGGGCTGCTGGGGATTCTTCATGTGGACGACCTGGAAAGTCTCTAGAGTCTGCCAGACAGGCGGCCAAGCAGGCCGGAGGTATCGGTCGGCCTTCATCAGGGTGAGAATGATTTGCTTGTAGTATCGGCTGGCTAGTTCTAGCACTATCACGGGCTTGAAGGGATCACTGTGTATAGATTAGCTTGCGAATCCATTTGATTAGGGAAATTGCGACGAGCTTACCGGAACCGCATCACGAAGCGCTCTTCATGTGGGAACCAATGACCCTGGAAGGTTTCGAGAGTTACGAGCCCATAGCGCTCATATTTGATCTCGGGCGCACCCTCTTGCAGCAGCGAACCCTTGGAAATCTCAATCAAGAAGCAGAGGTTGACACCAATGGCAAAATAGTAAGATGGCCCATCCGGGCCCTTCTTGGACCTGTCGTCAGATTTGATGCTGCTGCCGTCCTTCGAGGGCGTTGTCCGGTAGGCGACTGGAAATACCTCGGGGTGGCAGTTGGGGTGCTCCGGTTCTTCGGAGATGATGATCTTCTTGATGCGTTCCTCGACTTCCATAGATACACGCGAGACATCTGGTGGGTCTCGGCCCTTTGTTCTGATCTGTCGATGAATGCAATCCATCTGCTCTTGCCTCTCCTTGGGAAGACTGAAGAAAAATTGTGCGGTGCGAAAGGATATAGACGGGAAGGGAGACCTCCACCATAGCTCCATGCCAAACGATGGCCGTGGACTTTCTGCGTAGAAGACTGCGACGAGTTCGTGAATCGGGATGACTTGGAGAGGCTCAGGCATAGGTGGGTATGAGTTCCTAGGCGCCTCAGCTGCCTGCTGCGGAAAAGCAGCCAGGAAGTCGGTTTTGCTCTTGAGGACGACAATGAAGTCGGTCGTTATCACCAGATAGCCCGTCTTGTTCCTCAGAAACTGCGTGTCCGGTTCGAGCGCGGCGTGGCTCTCTACGGCCTGCGACCTCCAGTCGATGCTGGCCGTCGAGCTGCCGCTGACGGTGGTGGAAGCTCGGGAGATCCGCCCATGTTCTTCGGAGGTGACAGACCCGCGGCGGCTCGTCAGGTCGATCGTGGAAGCTCGCGAGTGCGACTTGGAGAGCAGCCTTCGTGGCTGCGGCGACGAGGGCGCATGGCCGGCCGACCTCGGGCTCTGGGTGTTGGAGCCCCGGCTCAGCGACCGGATGGCCCGCGGAACCATGGCCTGGAAGAAATCGCCCTTGCTGCTCTCGATGGAGCTGGCCGGCGAACTGGTGGCAGGGCTCGAGATGCGGGTGTCGAGCTTGGGAAGACTGGGGTCCGAGGCCGTAGCCGGCGCACTTGGGCGCTTCTTGAGTATTCTGTCCATGCTGTTTTATCCCATGACCGCCGCAGAGCTCAGAGTCAAGCTGTGGAATGCACGGTTGGCCGGGAAAGGTAGCCGGGGAGAAGGGAAGCCAAAATGGACAGCGTTCGCTTGCGCTGTCGGCAGGTCTGAGACACGGGTCTGGGTATCGACTCAGGGCCCTTTCACCAGCAGAGTTGCGGGGCAGCCGTCCGAGGCACGGCACACAAGCTGGCCGATCCAAACCCTATTCCCGACACACACGGCGGAAAAAGAGTTTCGTCCTGACTAAGGAAAATCTCATGAGAGTGGCTGGGTGGTGTGGTTGCCCGACAGAGAGTCTCTTGATAGCTGGCGATAACAGCTGTAATAGCAACGTGCCCGTTGTAAGTGCGACTCGTACCCGTCGACGGGTCCCGCAGCAGCTTCTGCCCTATGCTAAAATGAATGGGTCGACCTTGGGCGTGGAAATGGATGGAAAGGCAAGTGAATGCTTCCAACTCGTAAGAGAGAAAAGGAATCGTTTCGGGTTCCTGACCACGCAAGACAGACTGGGCCGACCGTGACGACGTGGGCGTGCGTGCAGCCCAGGATACCTCCCTGATACCTCGTATTGGATCAGGTACACCACCACATTGATTGGCTAGCGCGGAGCCAGTTGGAGGTGCTTGGAGGCAAAGGTTGGAGGAAAGGCACAGGCTTGATGAGACCTGCTGTCGCCTGTTCTCCTGTCTAACGAATGTGGGCGAGGAGTCTCGTGCTTTTTGGAGGAAGGGAGGAGAGCTAAGACGAGGAGGAGCAGGAGAAAGAAGAGGAGTAATTAGAGGGATCAAGAGGAGGTAGAAATCACAAGCATTGGCAAGCAAGACAGGGAATCCGTGGATGGATGGTTCGGGCTCGGACATGCAAGCCAGACACACACACACACACACACCTCCACGCAACGCCTCTAGCCCAAGACTGCCTGGATCCAAACTCTCTCTTTTGTCGGGCAAAGTTGGCCTGAAGATGGGTGAAGTGAGAATGGAAAATTCAATAAGATGGAGAGATTCCCGCTGCTGGACAACCCTCACTTGCTGGTCCTTGGGTTCTTGCGTCTTTTCCGGTCTTTGATGGCACTCGATGGCATCGAAGACAATGTTCCTGATCCCCGCCCTGCAGCTGCCTTAGTAGCGTCACGGTGGGGAGCTGGATGTTGCTCTAGCGGGCACTTGTGGGCTGGCAAAAGTTGGGCCTTGGCCGGGCCTTGGAAGGAGGAGCGATGATGTTATCATCCTGTTTTCTCAGCCCAGCATTGTCCAATGGCGTCGCCGTGCGGGGACAGGCTGGCTGACCGGGTGCTTTTGCTCCAATCCAATCGAATCCTCAAGACGCACAACGCACGCATACTTGGTGCACCTCGCAGGGAAGGCCATCCTGGTTCAGTACCTTGTTATCTGCAGATTTACGGTCGTGCAAGAAGCAGCACTGCACGCAGGCCTTACTTTCACTTTCGTACACGTAACTTGGCTCGCTGCATGCATGCACGCGCGGGAAATCATGATCGCATGTTCCTAAGCAGCCCGGGTCGCCGAAGAGACGACTCGTTCTTGGTCTTGATTGCCACTATTCGACTTTCGCCCAGGACCCAGTGCCCCAGCCCGTGTGAAGTAAGAAGGGAAAAAAAAAACTCAAACCATCAAGACTCTTGAGAAGTGAGGCCGGGAACAGGCCGGACGCCAGCGAGGGAACCATGATCGACTTGGCAGCTTGTCGCCCACTCTTGCGGGGTCGGCACTGAATCGAGATGCGATAACAGAAAAAGGCTGTCTGGTGTGTCTCCAATTTTCCGTCAGAGGCTTATCATGATTTCCCATGGAAAGAAGCGGGAACGCCGTCAGGCTATTGAAGTGCTGGCCGTTAGCCGTGAGGCCGTGTCCGTCCTTGCATCTTAGCTCAGAATGACGACGCGCTTGTCCGTTTTTTTGATTAATTGCCCATCCTGTCCTGACATGGGAATGCTTTGGACTGAGCTGCGGATTGCCATTGCATATGCAGTCATAGACTTGTCTATCGCAATTAAGAGCTGGCGGGATATCACAGACCTTGCACAGACTCAGCGACCACACGGCGACGTAATGTCGGCACCACCAGTTGGAACATTGTCCCACCACGGCCAGGGGCACATGCTGGGCATGCTGGGGTTGCCAGACAGAGTCTGGAGTGTGGAATGGAGATGCTCGATCCGACTCGATCTCGTGCCCCCCCACCCACTCTCAGTCGCTGTTGCGGATAGCAACAGAGATCGACAGACCAATTGTCTGGGGATAAGTGGTAGGAGCCTGCCTTGGGCGTGCTAATCAAGGCTGGCAAGGCAAGCAGCTGAACGACCTGGACGATCTGAACGACCCTCTTCACCAAGGCCACGATTCTGCAATACCACCTCAAGGGTCCCGTCCCCTTTGCCTCGCAAAGCCCAATGGCGCCGCTTTTCGGCGGGAGTGGGAGCGGGAGCGGAAGCGGAGTTCGCCCATCCCAAGCCCTGATTATGACTGGACTTGGACGACTCGACACGAAAAAGCTCCATGCAGTCCTTCTCTCACCGGTGCAAGATCCGGGGAGCCTGGACCGGAGAGGACCGCTGAACAGGAATCATGGGGCCAACGTGGACGGCTATCTTCCTCAACGTGGCTCCCGCGTCTGGTGCATGCAGAGCGGTCAAGCCGGATCCGCAATGCAGCTGTGCAAGGCCAGCGCTGTCACCTAGCTACCGCCGAAGCTTGCAGCAGCCGGTGTGGACAGCACAGCAAGGAGCTACAGTTAAGGTAGGGACCGGAGAGACCAGACCCAGCCGTCCAGCTTTGCTGGGTGTGTCGCTCCGGGACGCCGATAAAGGCTCGGGACCAAGCTCACCAATGGGTTCTTTCATTGGCAAGACGCATGGGACTGCAGTCCCGCTGGCCATGATCCGGGCAAGCTGAAGCCAAGCACGACGGGTTTTGCAGCGCTAGTAAAGATGCCTTAGCTTGGGCAACCGGAGCTGTGCGAGCGGTAGCTCTCGGGGAGGGGGCTCCACTAGAGCCTGTTTCAACTGCGTTGCCGCTCGTTCGTTTCGAAACGATGCCGCGTGACTAATCCTGCATCGTTACTTTACGGAGCACACCAAATCAGCACATCAAACAAATCATGAACAGTGTTCAATCATCTGGCATGATCACACGTGAAAAGGAAACAACTCTCCGACCCATCACTCCGGAATAACCTCATGGCACGTGGGGTCCCAACTGCCCTCATGCCCCAAGGTTGATCAGTGGGGAGATATCTGGACCTGGACATGCAGGTGGTAGCGTGAGCTTGCGTGAGGCTCTGTCGCTCCCAGTCCCCGTCGACTACTCCGTATGAGCGTGCAAAAAGCCAGTCGATGATGTCGATGCAATTTCCAAAATCCTCGGCGACTCTGTCGGACAGGCCTCGCGAGACAGGCCCGGCCCAATGGATCGACAGTCTAGATGACTTCACCACTCAGTCCGGGCCGTCCATCCTCATATTTGCCCCAACCGCCTTTTGGCTCGGCGATCACACCGTGATAGCCACAAGAACAACCCCAAGAGCCGCCGCCCGCCGCCCAATGCCTGGAAACGCCTCATGAATTCACACAAACTTGCCCGAAAACATCAGGCAGACTCCGTATCTATTTCCGAAAGGACGCGGGCGCCAATGCCCACGAGCTCCCTTCTGCATGGCGCATGGATGCCAGGGCAAGGCGCACCGGCTGGTGGTGCTGGGGTTTTGAAACGTGCCGAGTTTCAACACCCGGTTGCACGATGCGAGGGCCTCTTTGATCTCCATCAAGCGTAACCGAGCTGACGAAAGGGCATAACCACCAAACGAATCACATGGCTTCACAATAAGGCATTTTTGGTTGTTGATTGATTACCTGCCCAGCGCGTAAGCGGTGAGTGCTGCCAGCCTGCCACCGAGCCTTCGTCGACGCGCGACTTGGCATCAGAGGGTGGAGAGCCAACAGAGCAGAGTTTTCTTCCTGTCTTTTGATGATCTGTTGCAGATTCAGACACCATGACGTTGACTTATTCGGGAGTCCGCCGTATCCAGTGCCTCGGTACGACACTACAAGTACGAGGTAGGCTTGCTTTCTAAGTCTCTTCTCATGAAAGGCTAGCAGATAGCTATGCCGCGTAAATCCCAACGTAGGACGTTTCACGAAGGACTAGAATGCCCCATGTTGCCAATTTTGGGGAAATGCTAGTTTGGCAACTCTCAATCCTTCTCTCATCATGGACGATGCTGCGTTTCCTGGCGTCTTCTAGCGGTGTTCTTCGTCGAGCCGAGGATGCAAGGGATCCAGAGAAACGCCCGCCCGGAGCCACATAGGACTCTCCGTCGGCTCAGCTGGCTGTAGGAGAGGAAGGTCTTCTGCAGGTCAGTTCGCCACCTGACGATCAGTCGGTGTTGGCTGCTGAGGCGGGCGCCCTCTTTTGGGGTGGCGGACCGTTCTTGGCTGACTGCTGGTTCCATTTCTTTGTTTCGAAACCGCCTCTCGGCCCCCTCCCAATGGCGGTTTCGTCTGATCACCCATGTGAACCGCCTGTGGACGCGCAACGATGGACGATCCAAAATAGGGGATGGCCACCATGTTACGGCGTCCCATCACAACATCTAAATAGACATGGAGGCACGCACTGTAGGCGCCCGGAGGAGACGGGATTCACGAGGCAGCAGCAATTGTGGGCGCGCGACGCATAAGACGTTATTTCCGATTCCTCAAAGCACTACCCTACCAACATGGCCACATGGCAGGGTACCTAGTAAGGGCCCGAAGGGGGAATGGCGCATGAGATAAGCAGAGAGATCTCTGAACAGCGCGCGAAGAGAAACATGGCAGACAGGGCCGGTGCCAGTCAGAGAGGCTCGTGCACGACCCCTGGCAAGTTTCACCAGCAGCCAAGGTTGCCGCCGGGTCTTTGGAAAGACAGGGGTCTGGTTGGCCCTGGTGGCATGGGATGGATGGAGACGGATGGGCCCCAGAGTGCTGGTGAGACGGCGCCAGTCGACCTGATCGAGGTACACATGGATAGATGGAGAGAGAGATACCGGGACACGACCTGGGCAAATGGCGATGGATTAACAGCACGATGACCGGCGCACTGCAGAGTTGAGGGCTGTCGAGGTGAGGCGCCTGTTAAGAAATAAACCGAGCCACCCGTCGCCCGCCTGTCCCTCTCCCACGACGGACAATTCTTCCAAATTGAGCCTTGGTAGAGAGAGTAGTGAACTTGGGCTTCGTACATCTTGTCATCAGTTAGTTTGTCGTCGCCGTCGCTGTCGTCGTCCGCCATCGACCCAGAAGTCATGCCTTGTCCCCCGGTCTGCGTCCCTGCGTGATCCCATCCTGAGCCGTTTCTGTTGTTTTGCTCCTCGCCGTCAGACCCCCCGAGGCTCTATCTCTCAAACATTTTGTTTTTCCACACGCAGGCTCGTGTTGGGAAATGGGCTGGCCGGGTCGTGTTGCACCCAGAAAGAGAATTAACGCGTCGCACTACTGGAGATCCTCGCAGGTTAATACAAGTAGGAGCCCACTTGGCCTGCTTATTTCTCCAACGAAAGAGGACCCCTCTCTCCCCACAGCCCCTAATAGCACTGTCGCTACGTCGCAGCACAGCACACAACACGCAGTTCCACAGTGCACTGGAGAGCCTGGCGGTGCTTGGGAAATGCCTGGGCGCCTATCGCTGACTGCCGTCCCGGATTTGCAATCAACACCTCCTATTTGAAACCACGACAATTCTCCCCCCCAAAATATCCCCTCCCCCCTTCTTCTCTCTCACCCCCGAATCTGGTCAACCCTCACCTTCCGTGCAGCCTTCTCTGCAGCTGGCACCGCAGGGTCACATCTCGGATAGTAATGTAAAAAGGGGCGGCACCTCTTTGCGCTCGACAGTTGCTATTCTTGGCTCATCCTGCAATTTACCCGGGACAAAGAAGCTGCCTTGCAACCTCCCCCCGACCCGCCGTCCGTCTCAGGGCACGACACGCACGACCTGAAAGGGCTTCTGCCCTGGCAACAGGAGCTTTTCTCCGCCTGCTTGTCTATCCGGGAGAGAAGGACAGTCGACAAAACTTCGCCAAAGAAAACCAAAGATGGCCATGCTGGCCTCAAAAACGTTTCCGGCCTCGCTGGGTTCGCAGGCCTCGACAATGGTGCCAAACGTCGCCCAAGCCGCCTACGCGCCGGCGAGGAGGGTGCCGACCATGCCGACCACCAGCCAGTCCTTTGCCAGTCCGACCGAATCAGAGTTCTCCGACTTTGAGAACCCGGACTCAGTTAAGAACTGGGATGAGGATCGCGTGTGCGAGTACCTGAGGAGCGTCAAGTGCGGAGACTACGAGAAGATCTTCCGTAAGAACCACATCACCGGAGAGAATCTGCTGGAGATGGACAAGGAAGTCCTCAAGGAGATGGGCATCGATAAGGTCGGCGACCGGGTCCGGCTGTTTCTTGGCATCAAGAAGCTGAGGACCAAGACCTTTGCCAACCAGAAGAAGCGCAATAGGGTTTGTAGACGATGGAACCCTTCTGGAAACCCCCCTGTTCAGCTGCTGACATTTGCTCTACAGGACTCATTCGGCGGCCTGGAGATCCAATATGCACCCTCCTCGGGTTCTCCCAGACCCCTCAACTCAGGCAGCAGTCGCGCCATGCCCACCCCGACCTCTTCCAACAAGCGCTACTCGAGACAGATCGACCTCTCTGGCGTCTCCCTCGAGAACGCCGCGCAGCACACCTCTCGCCCCTCGTCCCCTCTGCCCAGCGCCGACTTCAGGCCAAGACAGCCCCGATATGGCCAGGGCGTCGGATACGGAAGCCAGCCCCCGACTGCTACGTCCAGCAGATACCCCGGATCTCCCCCCGAGGCCCCTGCGCCTGGACGCTTGGTACTGACCCATACGCGAAACAACTCCAGCATGGACGGTTCGCTGATGGCAGCTTTACCACAGAACCAGGAAGTCATCCGTGTCATCTCGACCGGCGGTGTGACAAAAGTCGTTAAGATCGCCGATTGCAACACCTGCGAAGAGGTCATGAGGGTCACGCTGCGCAAGTTCGCCCTCCGCGAGGACCACGAGAGGAACTACTGCTTCTGGGTTCTGTCTGGTGTCGACCCCGACCCCAAACAATGCCGACGCCTCGGCGATACCGAGCTGTGGCGTGTCATCAAGGACCAGAAGCGACCCGAGCGGAACCGTCTGATCCTCCGGCGTGTTCCAGCCGGCGAGCCCGGCATGTCGGAGCTGGAGAGGGCAGCCGCGATCGCCATGGAAGAGTCCCAACAGACTGTTGTTCGTGTCGAGAGCGCCGACAAGCGGAGTCAGCTCAAAGTCCAGAAGGTGCTGGGCGAGAGCTGGGATAACATGCAACAACCTCCTCTCTCTCCGGTCTCATACCAAGATCGTGAGCGCAACGTTTATAACGCGGCACGGGACCTTGAGCGGCCCGCCCCGACTGATGTAGATCGCCCAGTCGGTCGCCGCAAGGCCCGACTCCGCCAGTTCGGTGGACTCCGGCCCCCTAGCGAGTTGATCGCTTCTGATTTGACCACTTACTTCCCGGACCACCCCAGAGAGGACATCGACCGCACTGCCCGTCTGTCCATGCGCCGGTCGGCACGTCTCAGCAAGGTCAACAGCCGCCTCAGTGTCGCGAGTAACCTCAGCTTTGCCTCTAGCATCCAGGATGCACCCCCTATTCCCACCATCGCTGATAGCTGGCTCAACGCATCAAGTCAACTGGCTAAGGTCCAGGCCCTTCCGCGAGATGTCCGCGGCCGCGTGCCGCACGCCTACCGCGACTCGGTGGCGTCGTCAATGTTGGATACCCTCCAAGAAGAAGGCTCGCCTATCGAGCCGAACCGCAAGTCTTATGTCTCGTTTGCCGACAGCGGCTCTGACACCGCTGCTGTCAGCATCACCGACCCGGACGGAAATGTCCGCCAGAGCTACTTTGATGAGCAGAGCACCCTTGGCTCCGGATCTAGCTCCCTCAAGGAGGTCAGCCAAGCCCTCAACGAGGACGGCGAAGATGCCGATGAGGAGCTGCAGAGCTTCTTGGCTGGCGAGTCTTGGGACGACAGCCAGTGGATGAAGGGTGCTCTCATTGGTCAGGGTTCCTTCGGCTGTGTCTACCTGGCTCTGCACGCCGTGACTGGCGAGCTGCTTGCCGTCAAGCAGGTCGAGACCCCGTCGCCGGGCGCCAACAGCCAGAACGATGCCCGGAAGAAGAGCATGATCGAGGCCCTGAAGCGCGAGATCAGCCTGCTCCGCGACCTCCGCCACGCCAACATTGTGCAGTATCTGGGCTGCGGCTCTTCGGCCGAGTACCTCAACATCTTCCTCGAGTACGTGCCCGGCGGCTCGGTGCAGACCATGCTCAACTCGTACGGCGCGCTGCCCGAACCCCTGGTCCGCAGCTTCGTGCGCCAGATCCTGAACGGGCTGTCTTACCTGCACAACCGCGACATCATCCACCGCGACATCAAGGGCGCCAACATCCTCGTCGACAACAAGGGCACGATCAAGATCTCCGACTTTGGCATCTCCAAGAAGCTCGAGGCGACCAACATCCTCAACGGCGCCAACAACAACAAGCACCGGCCCTCGCTGCAGGGCTCCGTCTTCTGGATGGCCCCCGAGGTGGTCAAGCAGACGAGCTACACGCGCAAGGCCGACATCTGGTCCCTGGGCTGCCTCGTCGTCGAGATGATGACGGGCACGCACCCCTTCCCGGACTGCACGCAGCTGCAGGCCATTTTCAAGATCGGCGGCTCCAAGGCGGCGCCCACCATCCCCGAGCACGCCAGCGAGGCGGCCAAGTCGTTCCTGAGCCAGACCTTCGAGATTGACCACAACAAGCGCCCTAGTGCGGACGAGTTGATGCTCAGCCCCTTCTTGACGCCTATTACTTGAGGAGACAGGTACTGCCATGCCCCCGAAGTACAAAGGGGCTTCTGCAAACTATGGCTTTTTTCTTTGACGGGCTTTTGCAAGCAAAAGAAAAGTCTCGGTTTATTTTTTTCGGTGTTTATATTTCTCTCTTCACCCATATCCAACCGCTCTTCTTCATCATTGGCAGGCCGACAGATGGACAACGAGACTTATACGAGCGCAGGGGGGGGAAGAGAGAGAGCAGAAAGCAAAGCCTGGGAACTCAGATGTCTTTGCTGTTCGTCCGATGCATCAACTTGTTCACTTCTCCCATCCACCTTTTTTTTTTTTTACACTTCTTGAGCACAGCTTACATTGTTCTTCTTCTCTTTTTCTGTCACGAGTTTATGATGGGGCAAATCTTCCACTTGTTCCTCTTTTGCATCGAAAGCTGGAGTTGGGAAGAAAATGTTGGCTTCGGTTGGTTGGGGGGGACGGATTTCGAACACATTCGTTTTCCTTGTCTCAGAATTAATGATACAGGGGGCGCCCATTAAGCTGGGGGTGTTTCTAGATGACTCTTTTCTTTTCTCTCTCTCCAATTTTCCACTTGTCTAGACAAAGAAGGAAACTGGTCTTGATACAGGGTACATTTTCCGGTAGATCTCTACGAAGGGAAGGGGGTACGAACGAGTTCAGTGTATAGTGACGGAAATGCCAGAACATGAGATGTTGATATCACTGGGAGCGTGGCCATTATTCTTGATCATGTGTGTGTGTGTGTGTGTGTGGCTCAGGCTCTTTTTATGTGATATGTCCTTGTTGAAAGTTGGGACTGTTTCGACGGGTCTCACTACTTCAGATCAGAATGTCACTGGTATGGTAGGTATAGTAGTGGTATGATAGCAGCCCGGTTTGTATGTGAAAGTTTTCACAATCAATTTGTTCAAGTTTGGGATATATGCATGCAGCCATATCGGTCACTACGTCTCTCTCTATGCAAGAGCTTTCTCCAAGCCACATTAACCCATCCTCGCTCAAAACGGATGAATCGGCTCGGGCATGGAGCTCAGAAAAGTAAAAGAAAGAAAGTATACAGAACACATAAACGCCCGACCCAATGCGATAAAGTTGCCGGTTGTTCCGACAAGACATTCTCCCGAACATGAACCGTTTGCCGTTACTCCCGTCTTCTCGGAAGACGATCGTCAAGACCTGTCTCCTTGCATCAAAAAGCCCTCTCTCTCCAAAGCGGTATTATCCATATTCGACGCCCTGCTGCCAAAGTTTTTATTCCCACCATGCATGAATGTCCGTGATCGAAATGACATATATAACATAAACAAAGGAGAGTATAAGTGGGTTAAAGGAAGAAGAAAAATGAGAATCATATGCCGACACCGAGACCAGCCAGCAGACCCACCACGACCGCCAGCGCAGCCGCGGCGCCCACGCCGGGTGCCGACACGACACGCGGGCCGGCCGAGCTGCTCTTGCTGCCGATCCCGCCGAGCCCGCCGGGGCTCGAGAGGATCAGGCCGGCCGTGGCCTGCGCGGCGTTGGCGACGAGCACGGCGTCGGGCACGGCGCTGGGCCCCTTGCCGATCTCGCGCACGTTGGTCTTGGTCGTGTTGAAGTTGGTCTGCGCCATCGAGATCTGGTTGTTGTCGAGGTCGTAGACGACGTAGGCGGATCGCAGGAAGGTGTCGCCGAGCACGTTGGTGCCCTGACCCGCGGGCGCGATGCCAAAGAGGCACGCGGGCCGGCCGTCCTGGAAGGTCGGACGCCGGCCGGACGTCGTGACGAGGTTGAGGACGAGCTCGTTCATCTCGACGGCGATGCGCGGCGACGTAAAGGTGAAAGTCAGGTTGGCCGGGGACGAGGCCATGCTGCAGGGGACGTAGGCGGCACCCTGCTCAGAGTCCCACGTGGCGCCGACCTCGTCGTAGATGGACTGGACCAGGTTGTTGGGGAGGTACGTCAGGGACGAGCCCGAATCGAGGAGGACGGCCAGGGCCATGTCCTTGGCGAGGGTCTTGGAGCCGAGCTCGAGCCCCGTCAGGGTGACGAGGAACTCGGCGAAGACGCCGGCGGTCTTTTGGACAGGGAGGGTCTGGAGCTCGCCCATGTACTGCTCCGTGTCAACGCCACCAAAGAGGATGCTGCCCATGTTGGCGTCGAGATCGTTGAGCCACAGGCTGTAGGCATTGGAGGCGATCCTGCCGTCTGCCACCATCTGGGCCGGGAGGTTCTTGTACGCGGCCTTCTTGGCCCGCCCGACCTGCACCTCGTTGATCTCGTAGCCGATGCCCAGAATCCCTTGTGCCGAGGTGCTTACGTAGCCGATGCCAAACTGCAGACGGTCGAGCGAGACCGAACCAATCTTCACCGTGTCCGACACGTAGTCCCCCGACGCTCCTGATCCATCCACATACGAAATGTTGAAGTAGCTTCCGATGTACTCGTACGTCGACGACTTGTTGGCACTGTAGGTTCCGGCATACGCACAAGGATCTGTCCTGGACGTGCAGGCCTTGGAGGTCGGCGTGTTCACCCACAAGTCGCTGCTTCCAGTATCCAGGTGTAACCGCACGCTTTGTGGTGGTGTGCCGATCGTGGCGTTCACAAAATAGAGCGTCTCCTCGTTGTCCAGGGCTGCTGACTGCGTAGCTCTCCTCCGTAACCTGTCCCGTGCCAGAGGGTCTGTGCCCGTTCTCCTTTCCATCGACATGCTGACAACTTTGGGTTTCCGATCCGCAGCTCTGTGAAAGCGAAGGGCGTCTGCCGGGTCCAACATTAGTGAGGCCACGAGGCCTAATATTAACGTCGACTTCATTTCGACCGAGGATTCCTGTCCAGTCCTAGCTCGACACCGCGAATAATGCTCTCTCGTTGAAGGCCGGCTTCAGTGCCAGTCTGATGCAAATCTAGTTTGTGCGTAAAGGACAGGACGCCAGCTCCAGGAGTCTTAACCAGAGACGGCTGCTATTGCGAGGGAGTATAAAGAGCAGAAGGAGAAAAAGAAAAGAAAAATGCGCAGAAGAGGGATCTAGGAGAAGAGAAAGGTCGTGATAGATTGTCTAGAAGAGGAGTTGCAAAGCGCAACATAACGTGGGAAACATGGAAATGTGTATGTGCACTGGGGTCCAGGTTCCAGGGCTATTCCTGGAAAGCCAAGCAAGATCCGAGAGCGTTGCCAAGCGCCTTGGTAGCTTCAGGTGCCGGAGAGGTAGCAGGGCGTGGAGGTGAGACTGAGGGCCTGGCTTGTGTCGTGGAGAAGGCAGGGCTTAAGATGGACACATTCGAAACACCGAACCCTTGCAAGCGACCTATGCGGCTTAAGATACAACAAGAGAAAAAGTTTCGACTATGCACCGTCCGGAAATGGACGATTCGGGGCCAGCCCTGGAGAGCCCAAGGGCGGAGAAATACGGGCAGCCGCGTGCACTACACTCGGCCCCGTTGTTGGTGGTCATCCCACCTCTTTGTGTGTCCACGAGGCAAAGATATGGAGACGATGATGCGGTTCCTCGAGAGGGAGCCAGCCTACCGTATGCAATTACTTACGTGTGCGAAGTGGCTATTCTTGCGTGCATTCGCCCTCCGGACAGCGGAGCGGCAGTGCCGGAAGCCGTGCTGATGGCTGTGGATGGAGCCTGGTTGCGCGTATTCATACCAGGTTGACGCGCGGCCTTGGAGAAAAGAGGCTGTCATTATGGATTATCGCAAGCCTCGGGCACAAGCCATCCAACCTGCCGGAGCGTGGGACGGTGCCCTTGTGCAGGGCGACGCAGGGCGACGCCCCCTTGGGTCGAGGTGCGGCGCTAAAGTGACGAACCACGTAAGCAAGTGTCCCGAGGTGGCGGACAAGACACGGCGAGCAGAAGCAACGCCACTGCAGCAAGGAAGAAATAGGTATTGCCAGTCTGCGCGCCCTTGAGCTCTTCGAGGCGTTGGTTCTTTGAAACGTCGAGAGAAAGATGTCAGGGATGTGTGCCAAGCTATGCCAAGCATTTATACATGGGGTTGACAGCCGGCATCATCGAATCCTTGCCATTCCTGACACAGAAGAGGCTTGAGCATGAAACATTGCTGCGACGCTCGGACATGATGGCAATCATCTCCACTTCCAGTGAACAAGTCAGTACGTAGCTAGCTAGCTCGTAGCCCTGGCCGACCTGGGCTGGGCCGGGACTGAAGTACGTACTCGGTAGAAGTCGATTCTCGAGGACGGAGATCCGAAAAGTTTAATGGCATTCGGTCCATCCTTCACGCGAGCGTTGCTGCTATGAATAGCAACTGCCCCAGGTTTTGTGTCTTGAGGCTCCGAGCACTGGTACTGGCCTGAGCTAAAGTAGATTTGGCTGATGCTTCGAAGTTCGTGTCGTATCGCCTTCATGAACAACGGTGGTCCCTCGTCGACGATACAAAAACGAAAGACCAGCGAGTGTTGCTCAGGACAGCTCCTTCCGTCGCTTGGGCGCAAGCTCAAATCCTCCATCATTTCCAAATATTGCCATTTGAAGCATTTGACGGAAGGCTCGGCCTGCATATATCTGTCTCGTGTGCTTGGGCAAGTGCCATTGCTGATGCATTATCTAAACCCAAGGCAGTCACAATAAGATTCCTTGGACGTTCCAGCCAGGTCTTTATCATCTCACACCATCACGGTAATTTTAGTATTTCAGGTTCTTGCTCTGCTCGACTTTTCCATGTCTTCTACGGCATCCCGATGCCAAGCTCCTCTCACGGTCGGGACGCACTTCCATGCCTACTTGGATGTACACATCACAATATTTCAATGAACACAGCCTGCCAAGCCATCCTCTGCTACGATGACGAAAAAGACAAGGAATTCTGCTAGCTCTGAGATATTGAACAAGCCCATGGAGCTGCAAGCTAGGATGGTGCAGTCGCTGTGTAATTTGCATTTCCCTAAGGCGTCCAATCGATGTCTTCCTTAAAGTTCTGCCTGGGCGAGCGTGCGTGTCCGTCAACCCCAGCCAAGGCGGGTGGTGAGATGACCCGACGGGCCTCTTTGTTCTTCGAAGACTTGGTGCTTGTATAACTTAAGTAATAGACCTCCAGCCTCGGATTCTTGTGAGAGAACTGCTGCTGTTGCTAGTCTGACCTCTTTGGACAGCTTGTGTGTTTTTGCAGGTTTGAAACAAGACTCACCAGTTGAACTTACAAGCCGATTACAACCTGCTATCGTGCAAGTCATCTACCGATATGGAAGTTCCAAGTTCTGATCGATGGTGCGCAAGTCCCTCGTCCCAGGATACTTTCATGCCATGGTACAACTTACTAACGCTGATCACGCTCAACAGCCCGGTCTATGCAGTCGGTCCTCCCCCTTTCCTTCTCCTCCAAGCATGCGAGAAGTCCAATCAGTCCACTGACTCCCCCCGGGGGGGAACAACAGTCCTTCTTCGGTGCCATGGGCTGCGCCATCAGCATCATCTTCACCGTCTTCGGCGCCTCGTACGGCACCGCCAAGTCCTCGTCCGCCATCTTCGCCAGCGGCATCCTCCGCCCGGACCGCCTCATGAACAACACCCTGTGCGCCATCATGGCCCAGATCATCAGCATCTACGGGCTCGTCGCCTCCATCCAGATCTCCAACCAGCTCAACGAGGCCATGCCCCTGTTCGTCGCCTTCCTGCAGCTCGCGGCGGGCCTGAGCGTCGGCTTATGCGGGCTCGCCGCCGGGTTTGCCATTGGCATCGTGGGCGATGCGGGAGGTATGTGAAGACCAAGGCTCTAGGGGTGGGAGGGGATCGCTTGGCATACTTTGAGATGTGTGCTGACGAGACATTGATATTAGTCCGGGCAAGCACACAACAGCCAAGGCTCTACGTCGGCATGGTTTTGATTTTGATCTTTGCAGAAGTGTTGGGACTCTATGGCACCATTGTGGCCATCTTGACGTTGACCAGGACGGCCTCGGCAGCTCCCTGTTAGTGTCAAAAATGTCTCTAGACAGCCCCGGTATATCTGAATGGAGATGGCTTCAGGGATCAGATCGTACAACGCCCACAGGGCCTCGTGAGGAGCAAGCAGCACATTCAATTTCATAGTTTAGGCAGACTCTGATGCCTGGAACTAAGTGATTCGCATGCACCAAACACTGCTCTAGAAGCCATATACGTTTTCATCCTCTTTGTATCCCCAGTCTGTATCATAATCAAGTCAGCGCCCTGTCTTAATAGGGGGGGAGGCTAAAGACCGTCAAAGCGAAAGCCAGATCACAGTATGGAAAAGGGGGGGGGTGGGGGGTGGGAGAACCTAGCTATCGATGACACGCAAACCAACATATAAATAGAATAACTTCTACACGCAAGGGGAGAGAAAGAAAAGAAGCAGCTCCACGAGCTTCACGCACCTCTCAGAGCCGGCAAAGCAGCCTTCTGAATCATCGCCGGCGGGCCGCACAAGAACACCACGCTGTCCTCCGCGGGCGCAAACAGGCTCTCCCTGACCAGCTCGGCGTTGACGTGCCCCTTGGCGCCCTCCCAGCTGTCCGGCGCGTTGCTCAGCACGTGCGTGATCCCGATCTGCCCGGGCCTCATCCTCTCGAACGCCGCCAGCTCGTCCCGCAGCAGCATGTCCCCCTCGGTCTTGTTGGCGTCGAGGACCCGCAGCTGCGTGCCGTCGCCCGGCGTGAGCGCGATCCGCGCGACGAGCGAGTAGCCCGGCGTGACGCCCGAGCCGCCCAGCACGAGCGAGACCCGCCCGAAGCGGCGCTCCCTGCCCTCGATGGTGAACCTGCCGCCGCCCTCGTACGTGATCTCGCCCGTGGGGCCCCGGATCTCGACCTCCTCGCCCAGGGGGATGACGTCGAGGATGTTGGACATGGCGCCGCCCGGCTGGTTGTCGTCGGGGAAGTACGTCTTCACGACAAGGTCAAAGGTCCCGTCGCCGTCCCGGATCGAGCGCCCCTTTTCGTCCGTCTCATTCTTCGCAAACTGCTGATCCCCGCTCGCGGGCAACACAGGCCGCGTCGGCGTGTAGCTCCGAATGAGCATCCGGTCTTTCATGTGGAATCCGATCTGGACATGCTGGCAGGTGCCCAGGCCCAGCTCGACCTTGCCGTCGGGAACTCGGAACGTGTAGCGACGAGTGTCCTTTGAGACCTTGTTTCGGTCGACTAGCTTGACGGGCACCCACCTGTGCTTTTGTAAGGTCAGATTGCCATTTCCGGCACCGTTTTCCCGTTCTTTGGCGGCAGCCTCGGCGGTCTTCTTGATAAAGTTCATGGCTTTGTCTGTGACCGTTCCCAAGATGCATTCTAAGCAAGATTTAGCACATTCTTCGCTCATATACCGTTGGCGGACGGCCCTCTTGCCGCTCACCTTTCAGTTTCTGATAAGCAAAGCCGTCGTGGATGCTCTCGAACTCGTCGGTCGTCTCCTGGTGGACCTTCCCGGCATGCCCGACAATGGCGGCTTTGCCTCCAGGGTGCCAGGAAAGGACGCTGGTCGCGTCGTAGACCTTGCCGTCGACCACAATCCAGCAGTCGTCCTCGGTCGAATGCTTCTCGACTTCCTCTCTCGTGAACTGCTTCCCCGGAGTTCCTGCTTCCTGCCTCGCGTTCGCAATCCTGTTCTCCTCGCTGGGCTCCATCCACCCGCCGTCCGCATTGCCCGGTTCGGTGGGATGCCGGAATAATACCGAAGTCATATCCGAGTCCTCGTCTTGGTACACCTCGGTCTTGACCACGTACCAGCAGTTGTTCATCATTCCCATGATGTTCCACACGGGATCACGCGGCTGGGTGTTCTTGAAGACGTTGAAGCAGCGCACGCTGATGCTTCTGGCTTTGAAGAGTTCTGCCATCTCAACGTCCACATGCCAGTGCAGCCAGGTCCAGAATTTTCTGCCGTGTCGGATAGGATAGTCTGGGAATCTCCGTATGCAGTAGAGCCAGTTCTCGCCCCCATCGAGCGAGACTTCGACACGTTGGACTTCGTGACCACCGCCGTCGTACGCAAAGCCCTCGATGCGGTAGTTGGCACCCCTGCGAGCAGCGGTGAAGGGAATCTTCTCTCCCTGCGCAGGCTTGACAATGACCGAATTGAGGTTCTGCTCATTGCACGCAGTGTCTGGGTGACTGAACAAGAGCTTCGAAAACTCGCCTTCCTTCTCTGTAACAAAGCTGGGCAGAACACGGTTGTCCCATATGTGGTAATGTGAATCGTTCTCCTTGTCAGTGATCCAAATCCTCTTCAGCCACTTGACGCAGCGGCCGCCAACAAACCCTGGGATGATGAGGCGGACTGGGGATCCGTGGTCGGGTGGGAGGAACTCGTCATTCATCTTGTACGCCAACAGGACGTCGTTTGTAGGATCCATGGCATAGTCAAAGGGAATGCACGTTTCATACGTCCCTTCACTGGGCTCGTCGGCTCCAGCAAAGTTGACCCAGAACCGTTGCCCAGACGCCTTGCTGGGGATCTTCTCCGGAATGCCGACAGAGAGCAAGACCTCTCGCAGTAGAGGGCCTTTCCAGTATGCACAGCTGACACCACCAGCGCCCCAGTTGAAACCTTTGCTCTTGCGGATCATATTGAGCTCCTTTCGGCGATTGCCGTCGCATGCGAGAGCGACAGGGATGTTGATACTGTCATAGTCATCTTTGAGCCGGTTCATTGAAACTGCAGTAGTCTTGCCGTTGTACTCAACGTCTATATGGTGGAATTCCCAAAGCAATCTTGGAACGGCCCCGTGGTTCCGAACATAATGTAGCTCATTTGGGGTGATGAGGCCGGCATCATACAGGCGGGAAAGCTGTGCTTCGGCGTTCAACGGGTGTTTGCCAGTGAGTCGAATCAAGTCGGACGAACGTGGCAACCAGTTATCAGGAGTAAACTGGTCTTGCTCATCGATCGAGATGGTTGTTCTGTTCTTGGTCTGTGGTGACTTGTGCTTTCCGTCGTTAACTTTGAGCTTGGAGATGTAGTCTTTGTCGTGTTCTAGAGCCTTCAGAAAAGCTTTCTGCTGTGTAGTGTACTCCGGCCCCGGCTTCGTCTCTTCGTCTTTCTGAACCTCGTCAGTTGCATGGTCGACAGTCTGATGCTCCTGCTTTCCCTTTCCCTCCTCTCGCTTCTTCATGTTCGCTGGCCATTCTTGTTCGTTCTTGACCCAGTCTTCGGTTGCATTGAGAACATAACGCCAGCCAAGAGCTTCGTTCTCAGGATGACGGAGATGGAAATCCTCCTGCCGCTGGACAAGGTCCCGGAAGTTGAGGAGGTGCCCTTCTTCCTTTTCACGAGCTAGGAAGTCTCGATCACGCTTCCAGTTCTCGATGTCCCTTTCCAGCTCATCATCCCGATGAGTGAGACCTGGAGTCCTGTTGTCCCGGTTCCTGTAGCCAATGCGGTGATGATGATGGCCGGCCCAGTCTGGCTCTCGGGCAATCTCTTCGGCTGTGGAGCCCGGGTGGCCCTTGACCTTGACTTTCCAAGGAACGTGATGAGGCATAGTATGGTGAAAGCTAGGGGGATTTGGTGAACCAAACAATCATAACTCGATTCTCTATGTTACGAAGAGGGAGTTCAACGTCATGTGTATACTGAGCCCAGGTCCGTCAAACAAACAAATAACAAGGACTTAGCACACCGTTGCAAGCTTTCTGGAGAAGATGGGTAGTGTTCCCCGGAGTGCCTGCCATATTTGTATTCCGGTGTGAGGATGGTGCAGTCGAGGCCATCGTATGACGTTTCTGATGACTCTGAATCCACGCCATTTGGGCCTAATGTCAGGAAGAGGATCTCTTGGCTAACTTAAGAAGTGTCTCGTCCAAGGAATTACCCTTGGTCTTAGCTTTCTTTAAGCTCTAGGTAGTGCCGTTCTCCGCATCTCCGCGGATGTTTTGACAACAGGAGGATACCCTTGCACTCATAGGGCAGCACAGCGATATGCCCAAAAAAACATCAGGAACGTCTTGCGATGGCAATCCTATTGCCTTTTCAACAAGATCGATGCAAGAATTATATCTATAGCTTAATATGGCTCACAATGCTTAGTCTTCTGCCTGGCGGGCTGAAACGAACAGTTAATGAGGAGCAGAGGTATGTCAGCTGTTTCAAACACAAATGAGATACTTCGTAGGGGTATAATCCATTTCATTTCTAAGAGACAGGCCGGACTGGAGCCATGGGCGAGTCTCCGGACGATTCGGAAGGCATTTCAAGACCACGCCCGGCGATGGAACTTGCCAAGACCGGGAGATCACCCCTAAGCGAAGCGGATGCCGTCGTGCCTATGCGGAGATGGAACTTGATCGCCTGTTTCGGGTAAGGTGTGCCTTTTTTCAACCAGTCGTCAACCAGTGATGCGTAACCTTGGATAGCTGAGCTGAGATTATGTCTTGGACAACATTGGAACCCGTCTTGTTCCAAAGCACGAGTCTCCATGATAGCACGAGTCATTGTGAACTTGGCGATTGAAGACAGCAGGACCAATGCGAATTTACTCCGTATGCAGCCTCTGTTTCACGAGGCGCCGTGCTCACTTGGAAGTTGGAGGGCTTCCAAGGTTCAATGGAGGTGAGTGCTCGCAGCAGCTGCTAGACTTGGAAGGACCCCTCCAGCCCTTGGCTCCCTCCGTCAGCCGCCTCGGCCCCCCCGTTACGCGTCAAGTAATAGTGAGGCATTAGGCGCGCTCCCCCCCCAAGCTTATACAAAGAAAATCTCGCCAAGACATCTCCAACGGGATATCTCACTTGGGAATCTCAAGAATCTCAAAATCACGGAATCGCTATCACCCTCCAACGGCAAACGAAGCTCACACCGTGGGCTCCACGTCCTGGTTTGCAAGTCTCACCACACAGTAGTCGCAGCAATGTCAGACACCGAGTCAACAACGCCTTCGGAAGCTGGCTCCCAGTCCAAGCGGCACAGGATGAAGGCATTCTTGTAAGCCTGTCAGAGTCATAACCGAGGACCTAATTCTTTCACATCAACTGACGCCACTTCCATCTCAAAGAAAGGAGAACTGGGCCAAGGGCGTCGACAAGGCCCAGGATGAGATGCTCAAGGGCAAGATCAAGCTCCAGCAGTCCCTCGGCCTGGGCCACAAGCCCAACGCCATCCCCCCGGGCCCTCCCAGCATCACTGGGGACCAGCGCCCCGTCCATCTCGCCTGGCACCCCGTCGGCGGCTTCGCCGGCAAGTGGTTCGCCGAGGAGACGGGCCTGGGCAAAATGATCACGGAGAAGATCCATAAGTACCCGGACCCCAGCCAGCACTGGGGGGTTATCGTCGGAGACTTCTGCCATCAGTTGTGGATGGTACGTGCAGTTTGGGAGCCTCGGGATGACTGAATCAGAGGACTAATTGGTATCGCTGTGCTTACCAGGACGAGCATCTCGACGTGATCTACATCAACGAGCAGATCAAGCGAGAGGAATGGACCTTCTACGACGTCGGCCACACAACCTTCAACGACGAGGCACTGAGACAAACCGGTGAGTTCTATCTCCCTGCCGCCATGTAAAACCTCCTTTCTGCATGTCATCACCACCACCACCACCACCACCCTTAAACCGTCTGGCTGTCTGACTGACTGAAACCCAGGCGAAATGGTCATCTACAGCATGCGCGCCAAGAAGGCGGCGTACAACCTCATCAGCAACAACTGCCAGAACTTCGCCATGCTGATGCTCAACGCCATCCACGTGGGCGCGCACCGCGAGTTCGCCACCAGCTACGCCGTCTGGCAGAGGGCCACGGGCAAGGGCAGCATCCGGGACCTGTTCAAGCCCGACGACGCCACCTCCAACGACGAGGAGGAGCAGAAGCCGCCCGAGGCGGGCCACCAGGAGGCCATGCAGCACGCCCATCAAGTGATGGAGCAGAACACCACCCACCTAGACACCCACGGTCATCACGACCATTGTGGATGTTAGTGCCGACCCCGGGGGAGTGAGGGACTGGCTTGTGTTTATAGTGTTTACCGAGATACCCGACGGGATGGATGACTTATTTCTAATGACGGCTACGATCATAATGAAGGCAAGGGAGAGCATACGCATATATATCCAATACAGACGTCGTCATACAGGCGCAACAATTGCTTCCTCATGCCCTGGGAAAGGGAGACTCGAATATGATGCCTGCTCTATCTGGGTATCTCCTCTCCAACTCCTTCTCCGAGCCTCGATTTGGGTGCTATATAATACATCCATCTATCCCCTCCACTCACAGTGCCCAGGCATTCTTATCCTCGCCCTCCTTCACAAACGGCTCGTCAATCTTCTTGATGGCAAAGTCGCTGCAAAGAATACTAGTAGATTTTCACCAATGGTTAGCATGCCCTCTCGAGTTGGGGGGAAGGGGGAAACACTCACCACGCCGAAGCGACCAAAGCGTCCAGCTCCGCAATCATGGCGTCCTTCCTGGCGCCGCTCACCAGCCCTTTCGTGATCTGCACCTGCAGGTCCTTGATGCGCCTGCCGACGCCCAGGCTGGACTGCTCGAGCACCCTCTTGCCCAGGCAGTCCGAGTGGAACGCGTGCTGGCAGGGGAAGACGAAGAACTGCCTGCTCAGCAGCGGCAGCGCGCAGGCGTAGCACTTCTCGCCCGGCTCGACGACGGCGTACCGCTGGTCGAGCGCCGCGATGTCGACCTTGATGTTGGCCGCCGTCTGGCTCGACTCGTCCATCTCCCTGCGCAGCGCGTCGATGCTGCGGCCGTAGTCCTCGAGCGCCGCGCAGATCTCCTCCTTGAAGTCGTCGATGACGACAAAGTCCGGGAAGAAGGGGATCAGGTCCTCGATCTTGAGCAGGTCGCACCGCTTGAGGAAGTCGATGGCCGTCTTGATGCCGTTGGACTGCGAGATGACCTTGCGCGCCACCGCCAGCCAGAGCTTCTTGCGCAGCGCCGGGTTCGACATGGGCCTGTCCGCGACGACCGAGGCGAGCTCGATCTCGTTGTGCGAGAGCGCGAGGTCGACCGCCTGCACGTACTGCCCCATGTTTGTGTAGATGTGAACACACGATAGGGTGCGGTGGTTCTGAATACACAGTCGAAGAGCAAAGTCGGGGTCGAACCGCGGCTCGTCTCCTTGTGACTCGAGGTAGGATAGGAGCGCAGTCTCATCCTTCGAGGGATGGGAGGCGTAGATCGACACAAGTGTGTTGTGCACAGCCGCATCGCCAGAGTTGAGCTGGTTCACAACATACTGAAGATAGCGAACTGCTTGGTTCTGCTGTAGGGAGCCCTTGTAGATTCGGTTGTACTCCAAAAGCGCCGGGATGATATTCCTCGGCTTCAGGTTGGACTGTCGCATCAGAATCTCGACCAGCTCGGGTGCTGCATGCGTCATCAGGACGCTGCTGTATCTATAAAAGACCTCGGGGTCTGTCTGCCGCTTGAGAATCGCCAAGGCCTCGGTCCACCGCTCCCTCTGAACCCAGTAGGACAGGACGTAGTTGTAGTCGCTCACGGCGTTTGCAAAGAAGAGTAGCTCGTCCTCACGGCCATGACTGCTGATGACATCGTAGACAGTCTTCTTATCCAGGTCGGACTTGTATTTCGTTACGAAGCTCTGGTACTCTGCCCTGACCGAGTCGAGCTGCTCCTTGGTCTGAGCAGGATTCAGGGTTTCGGAAAGCTCAGCCTTGGTCATAATCGTGTCGTCCAATGAGTTGAGTTTGGCCATGAAGATCTCGATCAGCCAGCTCGCAACCATGATCCTCTGCATGACCGCTGATTTGCTGAAAGTCGCAAGCTTTGTCAGGAGATACTTCCTCAGCGCGTCCTGTTCGTTGTTATCGATGAAAGTCAAAGCAACCTCTTCAAAAGGCTTGCTGCTCTTGCCGTAGACACCAGCCGCCTCGATGAATAGCCTCTTGCTGATCAGATAGTCTCCGGAGCCAGTAGCAACCGCATCTTTCTGAGCCGGCGTGTGGGCGTACTGCAGGGCGGCATCGAATTGCTGCATCTTGAGCATGATCTTCCAAATGTCCCGGTCCTCGTCCTGGACCACGACTTCAAAGATCTCCTGGCCTGTGAAGAGCCAGAATGTATTCTTCTGCAAGTCAACAGACAGCCCAATGGCCTTCTGTCCAGGTTCCAGGATGACCTGGTCATACACGACTTCGTTCGTCAACCTGTTGGTAGCAACGATCCGATTGCCAATCAGGGTGATCAGGTGCCACTGGGTCAGCGCAATTGCTTCAATGGCCTCGTTCGGTTGTTTTGATCGCCTTGAGCGGTCGGCAGAGGCGAGTTGTGACTTTGAAGTAAGCTTAGACTCCGCGAAGACCTTGTTTCCTAGGTCCGGCCCAGCAGGCGTTACGAGCAGCTTTCCATGGAAGACGCCTTGTGATGATAACCACGCATATGCACGGTCCGGGGAGGCATCCTCATAGGAATGCCCGGATTCGGGGTCGGGTGAGACGACCAGTGTAGAGAGCGACGCTGCTGCTGACGATGATCTGCCGAGCTCATGCACAACGGGCTGCTCCCCGTCGAACAGCTTGGTGTATATGGAGCCGCTCCCGTCATGGTGTACCCTGCCTACCCTGCCCACCCAGTGGTACAGCCTTGTCGGCGTGCTCACGAGCACCCTCCGCTGGTCAGATCGCCCGGGTAGGTTGTCCGCCCAGAGGCCCGTGATCGGCCCGTCCGGGAGCTTCTGCAGCCCCTTGACGAACCGCTCCTCCTTTCGGTAGAACTCGGTCGAGGTCTCGATGTAGGCCTCGTAGATGTCGCCGTCGGAAGCGCCCAGCAGGATCTCGCGCGTCGAGGCCGTCGGCAGCGAGGGGTTCCAGGCAACGGCTTGGATGGACACGCCGCGCAAGCGCGCCAGCGGCCGCGGCTGCCGGGACTGCGAGTGCAGGTAGTAGTTCTCGCCGAGGGCGGTGCAGATGATGAGGTGTGAGGCCGTGGGGTCGAGGAACATGCGCTGGATGACGCCGACCTCTGAGGGCTTCTTGGGCAGATCGATGTCTAGGAAGGTGAGAGAGGACCGCCGGTCAGCTCAGGACACAGGCCTCGGTGGTGTGCAGCGAGGGAGGGTTAGTCGAGGGGAAAGGCTCCATACCGTCAATGTCCTCGGGGCGATTGAGATCAATGCGCAAGATGCGCCCGTTGGAGAGCGCGAGGATCAAGACATTGTTGGCGACCTGGGCGGCGACAAAGTCAGCCGCGACAGAGAACTGCAGCGAAACCCGCTGGACATCGAAGATGGGCAGGCCGGCGTCATCGAGGCCGGCGACGCTGTCGGCGGCAACGAAGCCGTTGGATGGATCGAGAGCCATCGGTCTTGATTATGCAGTGGGTGAAAACATGGCCTTGAACCTCGGTGGGCTGGAGACCTCGTGAGTATGCCAGCAAGGACCTGGTCGGGGACGCGGGCGTATATCGTGGATTGGGGGTTGTGGTGTAGGTAGTGGAGGAGCTCTCAGGGAGCTAATACCACGAGAGCACACCCGACAAGACGTCAGTCCTGCCACCCGCAACTCTAAGGCACAACCTCCACAGCCCCACCAGTCAAGCCAAGCCAGCCCCAACACATCAGGATGGATGTGCATAATATCACACCTTCACTAAGTATCGTGGACCTCACAGAACTTCGATGACAATGAGGAGAGTTCATTGAAGGTCACGCTGCGTAAGTAGGTCAGAAATTGAGGCATGAGAGTATTCGAAACCTTCTCTATTCAACCCAAGCCAGCCCAACCATTTACCACTAGATTGCCTAGAAATGTCTACATATAATGCACAAGAAAATGCAAAACAAAAACTCCCCGTCCTTTTGCTCCGAGAATGTTTGATACAAGAACTCCGTGAACAGAAGGTTGCCTTTCCCAAACCAGACCGATGCACCAAATCGCCCAAATGCGTCCCAATGCCCTATCGAGTACAGACCTTCGCTCCAACGAAGCTGTGACCCAGTCATATAGACAAGAAGAAAGGTGAAAGCCACGTGTGGCCGAGCGCGGTTATATATACACATACAGCGTGACTGATACTTCTCACGCCCGTCCTCTATCCCGCAGTGCCACGAGCATGATGCCGTACTGGCGACCCGCGGTGTGGGATTTCTTCCCTTCCGCGAAGCGGCGAAGACGGGCCGGAGTCGGAGTGCCAGGCAGAGAGCACTGGTCGAAATGGCTTTGCCAATACATTCTGCCGAGGTAAATAATGGTGAAAGATAGGTGCCTGTCCCTCCTCAGGCCAGTTCAGCCAATAGTGCTGTCGTCGCCGCTGTAGTCCATCGAGCCGTTCTCGGCAATGTTCCGCGTCGTGCAGTGGCCGGGCACGAGCGGCTTGCGCGCCACCACGACCTTGAGGTTGACCTTGAAGTCCTTGCCCTTCTCCGGATCGAGGGCCAGGTTCTTGAACTGCTCGACGACCCGGTCGAGGATCTGGACCGTGTTGTCCGGGTCCCAGCCCATGTACTTGGTCAGGGGCCGCAGCGTGCCCGCCTCCAGCGCGGCGAGGCAGGCGATGAGCCACAGCTTGCCCAGCGAGTTGTCGATGGGGCTCAGCGGGATCGAGTACTCCTTGACGTCAATGTCGACGAAGCCGGCGTCGGCAAAGAGCTTCGGCTCCATGTGAAAGACGCCACGCATACGGCCTTCTTTGAGGCCCGCCTGCCACAGATCTCGGGCGATCAGATGCAGCTCCGAGTCGGGAGGGAAGGCATCGTAAAAGTTGCGCGAGCCGCGATGGTCATAATAGTCGAGTACTTCTATGTACCCGCCCGGCTTCAGGCAGTGGAAGGCTTGCTGGTAGATGAAGCTCCAGTCGGCAAAGGCGCCAGACATGTTGCGCAAATGGACCATGTCGCACGAGTTTTCTGGGCGCATCCAGTCCATCTGGATCGGCGTGTCAGCCAATCTCATTCCTTGTGAAACACGAACATGCATGTGTACATACCTCGCAGTCATCAATCTCGAAAAAGACATTGTGTGGCACAGCCGTAGGCTGGATGGCAGATGTATCGACACCCACCACCTCACAGTCGGGGAACATCTCGGCCATACCGATGGCCCACTCCCCGGTGCCCGTACCAATGTCCAAGATGTATTTGGGGTCCTCCAGCGGCACGGTCGTAAGCTCGAGGTCAAAGACGTTGAGATAGACCTGGTGTACCACACGCATGCGATCCTGCTCCAGATCGTCATTGGGGAATGAGTACGACCCGCAGTAGCGCCGGCCGTTCTCCCAAACATAGTCGAGCTCGTCGTCGTATATTGACCGGGAGGAGGAGACTCTGTTGGTTGGCGCAAAAAAAAGATTGCATGGGTCAGCTGTTGGTTCCCCCCCCATTGGAAAGCAAACATTCGATGGACGGGAAATCTGGTACATAGCACAAAACAGGGGGGAGGGGTTTGCCTGGAAACGTACACGGTGTTGGCATCGAACCGGTTGCCAGATGCGTATCGACTCGACAAGCTCGGGTAGTTGCTCACGGCATACTTAGACTCCCTGCTGTCCTCTACCACGCTGCCCTGCTCGTCCTCGTCGACCTCGAGGCCGACCGCCTCGTCGTTCTCCTCGCCATCGGCCACGCTCGTCATGTCCGTGTCGTTATCCTCGTCGTATACCGGGCTGGGCGCAAAGCGCACCACCACGCCGCCGCCATTGGGAGCTGCAGCGCCGTTCTCGCCCGCGCCGCGCCTGTAAGCCGGCCCGTGGCTCTGCATCGCGGCGCCGCGGGCCGGGTCTTGCAGTCGCAGTTCATCCGGCGGCATGCTCTTGTTGGGGTTTCTGCCTAGGCTAGCTGCCCGCTCGTTCCGATGCCGACTCTGCTGGACCGCCGCCTCTTCCCCATCACAGACGTCTGTAGCCAGCTTTGCAGAAGTGAGACTCGCGCGGCGGTGTTTGGGGGTTCCGACAAGCTCCTGAAAGCACCAACGATTGGCGCCGGCGCAAACACAAAGCTCCAGCTACCCTCGTCCGGCTTAGTGGTGGCGGTGTCCTGAAAGTGGAATCGCGAACGCTTCGTCCGCCGCTCGGCCTTATCCAACACAGCTGTTGCTCGACACTGCCCTCTGCAATGGTGTGGGAGCTCGGTGACGGGGGGACGGGGGGTTTATCACACTTGCGCAGGAGGAATCATCGCCTGATAAAAGAGACCAGGGCAGGACCGCTAGGTGGGAAGAGCGTGCGTGGTAAGGTAGGTAGACAAGGGCGCGAACGGTGCTCAGGAACCCTGGCGACACCGACGCCGATGCGGAGGCGAGCCTGGGAGAGGCAGCGAATTAATACCAGGCCGTGGGCCTTCCCGGGACTAGTGCGGTCGCCAGCGTCGATGGAGGTGGTCCGACGGGTTGGCAATGACAAGGTTGACATGGTTTGGCTTACTCGAGCATTGTCAAGTCAGTTCCTTAGTGCAGGTGTTAGTGTTGGTCGCCTTTCCGCTTCGCAAGTAACTACTTGTAACTACTTGTAGGGGGGGGGGGGGGGCGAGGCGGGCGAACAATGGACAACTGACTGGGTGACGCCCAAGAATCCACACCTAGGATCCAAGTACAGAAGAGACTCGGTCGGGCTGGAGCCCGCCACAGCCAGGCCAGAAGTCAGAGCCCGGAGGCGGAGGGAGCTCAGGACGGTACATGTGGGCCTGCGCGCGCCGTGGTCACGAAAGTACCTCGTCCTCTTCGTCTTTCAACCAACTCAGGTACAAGTAGTTAACTCTCGTCGCGGTCTCGCCGCGCCAAGGGAACGGGCCTTGGGATTCATGGCCCAGAAAGCCGTGTCCCATGAAGAGACCTCGAGGCACACTCGGACCTGGCGGCGCCAAAAGCAACGTGCTACCTAGGTAGGCTACCTACCTAGTGTCTCCTGTCTGCTACGGAACCCGCCCGCCCAAACTTGTCCACCTTTCCCTCTGGATCTACTTGTATATGCGTATGCATGCATACTCCGTACACGCATGTACAATACAATAAGAAGCCCTGCTTCCTCAGAGTCCCCCCTTCTTCAGTGGGCTTGTGGGCACAGTGGATGCTGCATGGATGGGGGACTCTGGCTCTCTGCTCGACACATGGATTCCATGAGGTCCATGGAGCGGAAGCTCTGCGACTCTGGTCCTACTGGCTCGCATGCTGGCAAGCGGCTTCCCCGGTTCGGTCTAGGGACGTTTTGCAGGAGCGCTACAGGCGGGGCAGCGCTAAGGAGATCTCAGGTTGGGACGAAAGACCACCTGGGCAGCCCACACACTCTGCAAGCACGGACGCATCTTCCCAGCAGCTGGTGGAACCGACACCCCCCCTGAGAGAGCCAAGTTACGGAGTAGCCCAGGCGAGTCGGGACCCTTATCTGGCCCGCGGAGGGGGCCAAACGCTCCGACAAATTGGGTTTGGATGTCTCTGCATCTTTGCCCGGACGGACGGGTGCCTGCGTTGTGACATCTATCAGAGCTGCAGCTGGTTCTCCAAGATGATGCACTTCTTCCATCACAGTGCAGCTCACCAAAAACTACCTACTGCAAGAGAAGCAATAGCAGCCACAGGGGTGACAACGCACCGCACCGGCGCCGAGGCATGGGTTTCGCTTGCGCAGGCATGCAGCAGCGCATCTCGCCTTAGCACTGCAACCTTGCATAAGGGACCTGGCTCCCCGACCAGTTGGACGCATCAGGCAAACGATCCCGTCATGCGGGTAGACGTGCCCCGGGGCGGCGCCCTGGAGGATCTCTGTTAGCTTGCCCAGCTGTGCCATCGTGCATCGCTTATTAGTTATTAGTCCCAAAGAAGCACACACCACGCCCGTGTCTCCTTTTGCTCGTGGCGAGACAAGCCAAGTGCTTCCTCCGCTGCAGAATGAACGAGTCTCAGTGATGCCCGCCATTGGTCTCCCGACCCGTCGACTGATGCGGGCTACGAGGTACGTACGGAGTAGATGTGCTGTCTGACGATGTATGACGAAGGCATGTTCCCCAATTCCCCTCCCCACTTATGAGATTGCAACCCACAGGGCCTGGCATCGCCAGCGAAACAATGCATGGCGAAATCTCGCAGCGGTCCTCTTGGGCCCCTGGCCGAGGTTGGTTTTACGCCGCCAAAAGGCCCACGGATCACGATCGACGCCCTCGGTACCTGGCAAACAAAGGTCGTACGGATCTACAAGTACAATACAAAGAACGTAAAAGCGGTCCCCCGTCCGTCCCTGAATCATGAGCCCCTTGTTCTGCAACTGAAATTGACCCGCCAAGTCCCGGCCGGCCCCCCCAAAGATCAACGGGACGAGGGATCGTCGGGTGGGAGGGCTACCTACCTGCCCAGCTGCCAAAGCAATTTAAGGTTTGCCCTACTTGCCTGAGTACCCATAGCAGACCGCGGGTCCAACGGCCGTCACTCAGTCTTCCCGCGTGTCGTGACCGGAGAATCGCCGAATGTGGCGATGTTCCATTCCTGCTCCAAGCTTCCACTGTTCTATCAAGGAAGAACGAGGCTTGAACTACGCGAGGCATGGCTTGCCCACAACCGTGGGCCTGGGTAAAAAGGCGTTGAAGATGTTTGAACCGCGCGGATCTGGCCAAGGGAGATCGATCGGATGTGGAGGCCAGGTGGGGTTCGGTATCCAGCGACAGGACCTTCTCGAGTCTTTGAAAAGAAGAATCAATCTGAGGTTTCTCACGAGGGTCTAAGTGTGCTGGGTAGATAGATGTCAAAAGTCGTCTCTGTCAAGAAGCAGATTGTCCTGGCTAGACTCCATCGCGACAAACCCACAACTTCAGTCGTCGGCTACGTGACCCGAAGCTGCCGAATACACAAATATCCATTCCTCTTTCCTGCAGAATAGCATATCCCTCGGCCGGGCAGGCAGACTGGGCCGGGTCGGAGAGACGGCTCCACGAAAGCAACCGAGACACTACTGAACCTTTCCAGATTTTTATCACTGCATCCCCTTCGCGGTGTTGGCAATCAGCCCATTTCCCACTATGCTTTGAGACATGCAAGTGGAGAGAATGGGTATCGTTTGCCTTCCTCTAGTCTCATCTTCAAGAAAGAATCCCAGAAGCATGGCTACAACCGTGAGGGCCCGAGACCAAGCCGTTGCGAGCACCACCTCACCGGGTCCCCGACGGAAGATCCGCCTCGAAGAAAAGCCCTCCTCCCAGTATGAATCAAGCGGAGGTCAGAATAGTTGACAGAAGTCCATCACGAGATACCTCGATGTGAACAATGGACATCCTTGCCACGTCCTTGTTATGGAACTAGGAAGGGCTGTCCCACTACCTAAAACCGATGGGCTGGATGGATAGTCGAGTCCTTCTGTTAGCAGCCCGTCGAGTAATATGGCCATCACTTGGTGGAGGAGGTACACCATTTAACCCAGTTCGAGGATCTCGCGAGGCGCGTCCAGCCGTTTCCCTCGGCAGCTTCTCTCATATGTCTCGATCGCCGTCGAGCCAAGCATCGAGCTTCATCTCATGGCCAATGGCAATCTTCTCAAGGCACCAAGTTTCCGACGATGATTGGTTCTTGAACGGCGCCGACAGCGCGGGCCCACTTGTGAGATGATATCACATCCCGTCTCCGCGAGGTTCTCCATGCCCAGATAGATCCATCGCCATGTTGCTGACTAGGAGCAAACTCATGGCCAAGAAAGAATCCCAGCCCCCCGAAGAAAAACCTGATATGCATTTTCTCATATCGTAAAAGTGAACACCCCGTAACGCGTCGCTGGCAGAACCTGCCCGCGAGTCAAGGCAGTGGTGTTGCGGCTCTGCATGACTAAGTTGCCAACGTTGTCATAAATGACCATTTGACGACACTTTTCGGATCTTCACCTGATCGGGCATAATGCCGGAGCGGACAGGCATTGATCTTATATCGTTGATTACATGTGTCTATCCCGGTGCCTCGGAAAGCAGCTCGTATAGAGGAATCTCACGATGTACTGTCTTGTGATCAGTTGGCTATTTGGGTTCATGACTCGTGGGGCTGACGAGAGGAGAACTGTACGCAATTATGCCGCGGAGAGGATGAAGGAGCCTGCTGCTCACTTCAGGAGCATTTGATGATTTCAGGCTACTCCAAAAGAAACTCCTTGAGTCCATGTAGCGGATGCCTTTCATGGTTTCAAAGTCCAAGGTAGGCACCGTGTCGGCAACTGCATGCACCTGCCTCTTCTCAAGCTTCCGTATTGTAAGCGAGGTCTCTTCAACATTCCCTTACTTAGGGAGGAATGAATATCCGGTTTTCCAACCGGATTCCCGGGAATGTTAGAGTGAGATCGAGCCCGAACCCGCGGTTGCGTATCGCGGCTGGACCCGCAGCCTTCGAGAGTGCGGACAGGAAAACCAGCGTGACGACGAGTCAGATCCAGTGGGTAGAAGGTAGGAACAGTCATTCATCAAATTATAGGGCATTTCCGTCAAAAAATCTAGTTCTCGTCTAAATGGGTTCGTCCCGCGCAAAGAGTCAAGTCTTCGTGATGTGGACGGCCATGGCAATCCGCAGTCACCGCAACATGGACTGCCCTCGCCCAATGTACCCTCTCCATTGCCAACCTGGTCGTGCCTCATCACCTCTCATCTTTTTCCCGGACCAGGTAGCGAAAACAAAAACAACAACATCAAAAGACCCGTGTGCCATGACGCACATATTGACCAAACTCCTTTTTTAAGGCAAGATGAGCGCAATTATATGCAGAGAATCTCTACTGAATCGGCATCTAGGCGGCGATGGCCTGAGCAATACCGTTGACGATCTCGACCTTCCTCTTCTTGTTGCCCTCGACAGGCTGGGGAGTGTCGGTGACAGGCTCCTTGTCGGACATGACGTCCTTGCCAGCAACGATGGGGAAGGGGCTGAGGACCTTGCTGATGTCGCCCCACCACTTCTCACCAAACTTGCGGTACCACTCGACGGTGATCTTGAGGCCCTGCTCGAAGCTGGTCTTCTGGTCCCAACCAAGCTGGCGCAGCTTGGTGCCGTCGACGGCGTAACGGTGGTCGTTGAAGGGACGGTCGTGGGTGTACTTGACCCACTTGTTGAACTCCTCCTGGCTGTCATGAGGGATGCCAACCTCGGTCAGCAGCTTGCTGCACAGCTGGAGGTTGGAGATCTCGTCGTAGGATCCGACGTTGTAGACCTGGCCGATCTCACCCTTGTGCAGGATGGTGTCGAAGGCATCGGCGGCATCACCGGCGAAGAGGTAGCGGCGGGTAGGGCTGCCGTCGCCGTGCAGGACAACGGGTTGCTTGCGGTTCAGCAGGCATGAGAACTTGGGAATGATCTCTGCAACGCCATTAATATGAATCGCCCCTTTGAGGCCAGGTGGGCAATACTGTGCGGTGCGACTTACTCTCGGGGTATTGGTGGGGGCCATAGACGTTGTTGCTGCGAACGACAATGACAGGGAGCTTGAAGCTCTTCTGGTAAGAGTGGACCAACATCTCGGCGGCGGCCTTGCTGGCGGCGTAGGGGTTGGTCGGGGCGAGGATGGAGCTCTCGAGGAGGTCATCGTCGTCGTCCTTGACCTCACCGTAGACCTCGTCGGTGGAGATGTGGATGAAGCGCTTGATACCAACCTTCTTGGCACTCTCGAGAAGGACGTGGGTGCCGTAGACGTTGGTGTGGGTGAAGCCGTACGAGTTACCGAAGCTCAGGTCGACGTGGGACTGCGCGGCAAAGTGGAAGATGGTATCAATGTTGTACCGCTCGAGGCAGTCAAGAACCTCGCGGGGGTTGGTGATGTCTCCGTGGTAGAAGCTGAAGTTGCGCTTGTCGTTGAGAGCGCGGGTGTTGTTGAGGGACGCGCAGTAGTCAAGCTTGTCGAACGAGACAATGTTGTAGGCGTGGGGGTAGGTGATGGTCAGGTGTCGAACCAGCCAGCAGGCACTGCACTTGAATGTTAGAACACCGGCCCTGCAAAGTCGCACTTTCTATGCCTTGTGAACCTATGTGATATACGCACATGAAACCAGCACCGCCGGTGATCATGATGTTCTTAACATCGGGCAGAGGCTCGAACTTGGTGCTGCCGGTCAAGACAGGGGCATCTTGCCAGACACCGAAGTCCTCAAAGAAGTTGCGGGCACCTGTGTCAAAGCAGCATTGTCAGTCTCAATTGCGACGTAGGGATCGGGAGAGAGCCAATTACCCTGGTTGCCGTCGGCAGAAGTGCTACCCATGGTTGCAGATGTGAAGGCTGAGAGAAGAGAAAAGGCGGTATAGGAGGGATCGCAGGAGATCTGGACCGCAAAAGAGGTTGACAATGGTCAGTCAGCTGGTCTCTGGATCAAGTTGCCGAGCAGCTCAGGAACAACTGACCTATGGGTATTGAAAAATCTAGAGGTTTTGTCCTTTTCTTCCAGAGAGAAATGGTAATTGGAAAAGACGCGACGAGGGGACAAGTGTCAAAACTTTGGTGTGGAGGACGAAGACGGTGTCTCTCCCTTGGCTTGGGAAGTCTTGGGAGGAGGTGGTGGGTTGTCCTAGCTCGGAGGGAAAGAGGGGCACTAAGCTTATCGCACACCTGCGCAAATGCCCTCTGGATTTTCTGGCGAGATGGAGGTGGTACAGGCTACTACCAAGTTAGAGGTACCAGGCTGGGCGGATGTGGCATTCAGCTTGCCAGGATCAACAGGTTTGGCTCTCTTATTAATAATAAACAAGGCTCTTTTACAAGTACTTGTAGAAATCTGCAGCCAGACCAGACAAGCGGTCGGTGGATGTGAGGGTCTTTGAGGGTGTTGATCCATTATTCCCCCCTCCCTCACCCCGATGCAGAATGCCTACATTACGGACTAAACTTGATGATTCGAGTTGACCTGCAGAAGACAACGCGACTTGACACGGCAATCCACTGCAGTAACATGATGCCAACTGATGGATCTTGTCCCTTCCTCTGCTGTTGTCTGCCCGTCTCCGTACTGTTACTCGGTAATCACACCTGATGTGACCGACGAGTTCGGGTCCACCGAAAGCCAAAGGGCAGAGATCAACCAGGGGTATCCTACCAAAGAGGGGATGTGACAGCCATGTAGGTACTCCGTAAGGCCCAGGGAAAAAATTCAATTCAACACGAACCAGGGTCTAAAAGGCACGGTCCTCGTAGTGATGGTGCGCAGCAGACCGCCTGACGAGACCGTAGGCTGGCTGGTCCTGGCTGGCTGACTCTGATGACTGCAGCAGGGTGCCGCACCATTTCAATTAACACGAGCGTTAGTTTAGCGCGGCTTATTTATATCACTCCCGTAGACCAGGTACGAGCTCGAGTAGGGGTCTTGTGTGGTTGCATTACCAGCAAACACATGAAATCATGGAACCATCAAACCAAAAATCTCTGACGTCGGAAAGGAACTCCTTTGATGCCTATCGTAAAGGCTGCGAAAAACGGTACCTACCTAAGGTACCTTAGGTTAGGTAGTCTTGAAGAGCACTTTGCTACATCTCGAAAAAAAAAAAAAAAAAAACATCGTGGCGCCTTGGTCTAGATTCTACCTAGGAGAAAATAGAAATGCCGGAATGAGGACGCAACCCCTGAGATCCGCATACCTTTGCGGCCGCTTGCTCAAAGGAGGAAAATTTTTGCAGCCGCAAATGCGACCACCGCGCAAGGTAGCGTGTCGACGATGGCATCCCTTTTGGCACCAGCAGCGGTCGCCCCCATAAGGCCTTTCTAGGGAGCTGGCTAGGCTGCGCCTACAGACGCGATCTGCCTGCGAATCATCCACCCACGGCGCAGTCATTTCCTTTGGGTGCAACACTATTGATGGTCTAGTAAGCAGGTAATCTTTTCTTTTTCCCATTCTAGATGGGGGCCCGTTATCACCACCAAACAGATGCTGTCTTCTCTTCCGAGTTCTAGCCCCCAAAAAGCCAATTTCCAGCCTCAGGGGAAGGACACCATCAAGGCATGTCTGGGCGCAACTGATACGTGATAACGGTGGGGGTGACGAAGAGTTTCACGATTTCAGGTGATTGAGGCGTTGAGAAGGCAGGCCGACACGATCAAAGGTCAATACACGCTGACAGTCACGGCTGAAATTATCCATGGCCAATACTGGTACTTCTATCTGGAATGATCGTGAGCGGCCTTGTCGCATGTTAACACTGGGTGAAGAGAAGAAACCCGAGTGATACCCAACTACACAGCTCAAGTGCCCTGCCCTTTAAGTTTCAGACCTTCAGCTTACTTCGTAAGTAGGCCCAGATAGGTCTGTCAGAAGCTTCAATTGGCTACCTTATTGCCTGCTACCTGTCAAACTTGGCCCCCTTTTTCCATTCGAGATCACCGTTTTTGGACCTGAACTGTACTTGTACACCACTTTGTGCATCAGATCAGCCAAACACATCCTTGCCTTTCTCCATTACGGAGCATGATATGGGCTGGGATATTTCTCCGTAGGGTCCAATCACAGGGTATTAGGCTGACTGGAGATCGCCATTAAAGGGTGGGCTTGGCGGGCGCTGCCGAGCGTCCATACGAGGATCAATGGAGATTGTGCGAGTGATGGCCAATCTTTGTCGTTCCTGCTGGCGTCAGACCACCATTTTCTCTTTTGACATGCGAGATGCTACGGTGATGTCCCACCCCTCAGGGCTCATTACGGAGTACGAGGCTCTGTGATGCTATGATGGGCTCGACGAACAGCTACGGAGTAGTACGTGATGCCACAAGAGAATTCAATACGGACAGAGCATCATTCAAACATGCGCTGCAACGGTGAAACCCATATGAACTGGCTGCATTGCCAACGACACAACTGGCTTGGCGTGGCGTTGCCAGTTTTTCGTCTGTCTGTCCAAATGCGAGATAGAGTTCAGCTGGCTCATTACCACAAGTCACACAGCGTTGACTTGTCCGCCAGACAGCGCCACTTGTGTCCGAATCTGTCTTACAGCCAGCCTTTTACACACTCGAGCCTGAGACCCGAGAAAGGAGCGAGGATAGGGAGAAATGATAGAGGCCAGGGGGCACGGTCCGGCCAAGGAGGGATGCAACATGGCCTCCTTCGTGCAAGTCGACCCCAGGTCGTTTCTCTCTTGTTTGATGAATATCTAGAGAGCTTCACTGCCACATTGTGATACACCTCGCAATCTCAAACTGCTTGTCGCATGTCATAGGCAGTGTGGCGGTGGGGAGAGCATTGTGAGGCCTTGGCCGTGTAAGTGCCGTCGCATCCGGCCACGGCCAAGGCGGGGATTGGGGGACCACGACTGAAACCAGACCTCCCTGGGCGACACTCCATGACAGCGATCTGCCGGCCGAGTGGCCTTTGATATATCAACCAATGCAAGACTTCGACAGACCCATTCTAGCCATTCCAACTCATTGCGTGTCTGGAGATAACCGCTTGGCGTTCTGTGCGCCTGCACCAAGACGCGTCGGGTTCCGTGCCGTTGTTTAATTGGAATGTCGCTGGCTTTTTTGGCGTGGCGGCTTTTTCAGTGCGGTCCGCATGGAATGAATCCTGGAAGGGCAGACTAAAGAGGCAGGGCTCCACAAAGTACTTGCCTGTCGAGGTACCGTATTCGCTGTTGATGCTCTAGATCCAAAGACCGTATCGGCCTAACCGTTGTTCTTTTGGGGGGGATTCAGCTCAAGGGCTTGAAGGGCTACCTACTCCGTCTACCTTGCCTCAAAGTACTGCCACCAACCCTTCCTGATTTCCATCCGAACAATCCCCCTGTGTACTTGCGCCTACTGCATACAGCATCGACAATCTCGCTGCCTTGCATTCCCCGCTCTACCCTCCATTTTATTGAAGGGCTGACTGATACTTTCCCAGGAGGTCTAGCGCTTCCCTCGTACCACCAAAAAAGTTCGCTGACACGGGGGGTACTTGGGGCACTTAAACGAGCCGATCCTCTGGATATTATTACAACCCCAGCTGACGCACCCTTCTTTCCCTTCTATTCTCTGACGGCCATCCTTGTCGCTTATCCCTCCCGACCTTGTGTCCAACTCGCCTGGTTGAGGTATCGCGACAGCGGCTCTTGACGTTTTCTTCTTCTTTCGTACCGACTTCTCCCCTCGAGTATTCCCTACTCCCTCTACTACTGTTTTAATCCACTGTTCGCATCCCGACTCGCGACGCGTACAAACGACAATGGCTGCTGCAGACCACCGCACGGAAAGGGCGGCCTCGATTGCCTCCTCTTCCACCGAGGCTGGCGCCTACGACGAGAATGAGAGGCTCGCCAAGCTCGACCACACCGAGGATGGCATGAAGAGCAAGACCCCCGAGGAGATGGAGATGGGAGATGAGAGCGAGGACAAGACCCTCCTGCCCCAGGAGACCGAGAAGCCGCAGCCGCCCAAGAACTCGTTTCTGTCGGCGTTGATCTGGATGGTCATCAACACCTTGGCCACCATTGGCATTGTAAGGGATCCTGTAGTCATAGCATCTCTCCCGGAATGCCTCCGCTGACAAGCATTCACAGGTTTTCACCAACAAGGCCATCTTCTCGGATCCCTCGCTCAAGCTGGCCCAGCTGACGTTTGCCGCCTTCCATTTCACCATTACCTGGCTCACCCTGTTCGTCCTGTCGCGCCCGCAGTTCGCCTTCTTCGCTCCCCGGAGAGCCGGCATCCGCGACATCCTGCCGCTCTCCGTGGCCATGGCCCTGAACGTCATCCTGCCCAACCTGTCGCTGGCGTTCTCCTCGGTCACCTTCTACCAGGTTGCCCGCATCCTGCTGACGCCCTGTGTCGCTGCCATGAACTTTGTTCTCTACCGGTCGACTCTGCCCATGAACGCCATTCTCGCTCTCGTCCCCGCCTGTGCTGGTGTGGGCATTGTCTCGTACTACGACTCTCTTCCCACCGACGACGCCAACGTGAAGACCACCTCTGGCCTCGGGGTCATTTTCGCCTTCACCGGCATCTTCGCCTCGTCTCTGTACACCGTTTGGATTGCGAGCTACCACCGCAAGCTGCAAATGTCGAGCATGCAGCTCCTCTTCAACCAGGCGCCCGTTTCCGCCTTCATGCTTCTCTACGTCATTCCCTTTGTCGACACTTTCCCCGTGTGGACCGAGGTTGCCGTCAGCCGCTGGATCATGATTCTTATGGTAGGCTTGAGACGCGGAAACGCCCTTGTTTTGCGCAGACTGCTGACATGAAGAACTCTAGTCTGGTCTTTTCGCTTCCCTGATCAACATCTCGCAATTCTTCATCATCGCTCAGACTGGCCCTGTTTCCAGCACTGTCGTCGGTCATGTCAAGACCTGCACGATCGTTGCCCTGGGATGGATGACTTCTGGCCGTGCCATCGGTGACAAGTCTGTTCTCGGTGTCTTCATTGCCCTTGGCGGCATTATCGCGTAAGTTGATAACAACCCATTCAGTTCCCAGAACCGGGAGAATGTAGCTGACCAACCTCTAGTTACTCCATTGTGATGCTTAAGGAGAAGGCCAGGGGCCAGCCGAACAAATAATTGATATATCTGGGCCTTTTTTTCAGGGGGTTCAACGAAGGGGAAACGTTTGGCGTTCAATGTAGACTTGTTTGGTAAACATGTAGAAAACCACGGTCGGTTAAGGGGGGCATCATCTCATATTGCTTCTCAAGGTCTAGAGCAATAAATAAATAAAAAACAATTTGAAAACGCTAAAAAAGATACTTGAAAGGTTCTAAAGATTGAACCTGGTCCTCTTCTTCTCCATCTTGGCCTTCCACTCCCAAGGCAGCTTATCCTCCCCTTCGCTGCCCGCCCTACCAATGCCCTTGTCTACTCGCCTCAACTTGAGCGTCATCCTCGGCCCGAGCTCCTGCAGACCCGCCCGGACGTCCTCGAGACCCTTGATCTCCTTGCCCTCTGCGTTGGTCGCGCTCTTCTCGGTCGTGCGCTTCTCGCGGAAGACGTACCGGTGCCTCCTGACGAACAGGTAGTCGCGCTGGTTGTGGATGGTGACGACCTGGCGGCCCTGCACCTCGGGCTGCGGCGGGAAGAGGGTCTGGAACAGCTTGGCCGTCAGCAGGCCGAGCGGCGTGCGGAAGTTGTTGAGCAGCAGCTCCGGGTAGTGGTTGGTCGGGTTGCCGTGGCCGGGCAGCTTCTTGCCCTCGAGCCAGTTGGAGATGCTGAAGTGGAACGAGGGCCCCTCGGGCAGGTGGACGAGGGTCAGGCCCGTGGGCCGCTTCTGGTCCTCCTTGAGGACGAGCAGGGCCGTGTAGTCGCGGTTGGCGGCGAACCTGGCGATCTCGCGCAGCGAGTACTTGTGGCCGTAGCGGTGGGCGGAGCGCGGCACGTAGTGGCTGTTGGGGAAGAGGGTGCAGAAGAGGTGCGCCTCGCGGTGGAGGGTCGAGTTGAGCGAGGTGGTGACGAGGACCTTGGGCATGCGCGGCGGCTCGTCGGAGAAGAGCATGGGGAACTTGAGGGCGAGCGAGGACGGGGTCAGGTCGAGGTTGGTGCTGGTCGTCGAGGGCGCGAGGCTGGGCTTGCGCTGGGCGCGCTTGGCCCTGATCCGCTCCAGGCGCTCCTGCTGTGCCTCCTCGTCCTCCTCGTCGTCGGAGCCGAGCATGCTGTCTACCTCGTCGTCGTCTTCCTCGTCGTCCTGGTCACCCTCGCCGTCCTTCTCCGCCTCGGCCAGGGCCTTGGCCTCCTCCTCCTCCAGGCGCCGCCGCTTCAGCTGCGCGACGTCCACCACCGTGCCCAGGCTGTCGTCGTCGACGTCGTCCCATATCCTCTTCTTGTCGATGCTCGCGGGCTGGTTCCGCGCCAGCCGCTCCGCGCGGAGCTCCGGGTCCTGGTCCTCTTCCTTCTTCCTCCGGTAGCGCTCCTCGCGGCGGGTCTTGTCGGCGTGCTTCTTCTGCTTGACGAACAGGTTCTGCCGCTGGATCTTGTTGCCGACTTTGAAGCCGCCCCCCGAGGAGGTGCCGCGCGAGGACCCCATCTCTTTTGCGTGCTGAGTCTGGGCGTAGGGGGAGCTGTCGTCGAAGAGGGAATTGGCAGAGAACAGAATATGCGTTTTAGGTGAGTTTCGGCGTATGCGCATCGATACCGTCGGGGTTGATTGGCCTTGAGATTTTTTTTCTGCCGATAAGGTGGGCATGTCTGTCGCTGATAACGATAAGAAATTACGGCTTGTTGGTAGAGCTGAGCAGTGGGCGAGGGCAAATGTTAGGGGCACAGCTAGGCGGTCTCCCAGTGGAGAACCAGGTACACTTTGGACACTTGAATGTTCCAACTCCTGGGTCAGCATTCAACGTTCCATGGATGTTTGTCATGAAGCTCAAATTAAGAATTTTAATCTTTTTAATGATAAGTTCAGATGAATAGTGAGGAGTTGAGACGAAGTAGGGAGCGCAATTGCATGCAAGGGAATCTCCCATGTCGCCTACCTAAGAATGTAGGGCCAAATGTCAACCACACCCGATAGCCTGTCGCAGTCGTGCTTTTCTCCCAATCCCAGAACAGACTGAAGCTGCGGCTATTCTTTATTTCTTCACAGTTTGCGTTCATGACTTGACGCGGCCGGGATCTGTCGATGGGTTTTAGCCACAGGAGCAAGTGATGGTTAGATTAGTTGACGGACTGCTGATAGAAGTACTTTACTATCCATCAAGGCAGTAGGATAACCCTTCCGAGTTCCAGGGCAAGGATGTGACAAGTATTGATTGTTAAGATTGAGGTAGCTCCTGATGAACTTCCATCAAAGTGTCCCAGAATGTGTTCGTCAGGCTCTCGAGGATGTCCGTCGGTGCCATATTCTTGGATGCGTCGCTGTATTTCATGTCAACAAACCTACAGTTGAATGATCTACCGTCCCACATGCCCTGGAGGAACAGCTTCTGGGCATAGTCTGCGGTCATGGTGAACACGTTCTTCGTGTCTGCCTTGATGACGCATTCGAGGGTAGACATGATACAACTATTCAGACGCCCACTTGAGGAGTAACCCCGGACATCAGAACGTGGCACCGACCAGTAGCCCGCCCGATCTTTCTACGGCCTCCAGACCCTCCCCCGGCTTGAGCGGATCCGTGGGCAGGCCGCTCCGAGCGAGACGGGGCCGTACCGAGCGAGGTCCATTGTGCTAGGCTTGTCTCCAGGGTCTTCATCTAAATTAGATGACATGTGATGCAAGTGGTCCCAAGAATGTGGTTCTCACCACTTGGATGCCGATTGCTCCCATGCTACCGAGTAGTTCGTGCAGTTCTCGGGACACACTTGCCAATGGAAACCGTGCGGGGAGATCTGCTAGATCAACTTGGGGAAAATTAGACCCGCTCCAGGCTTTTCTAGAGTCTTGAAAACACTCCAGTTTGGTAGTAGTTCTGTGACCGAAAAAAATGCTGAATAAATACCTGACGCCTCGCCGTGCTTTGCTCAATCCCTGCCGAGTCATGCGTACCAGTTCACTAATACCTGAGCCGAGCGAGCCCTCCTAGGCCGCTCCAACTCCGGATCTCACCTTGACACACCCCGCTGTCTGCAAACTCAACGATGCCGAATCCCAGCTGAGAACGTGTGGGTTAATTTAGTCTCGTCGGTTCTAAGGAGAGAATGGAGAGTGCGTCGCCTCGGTCTTCGAGGACCGTGATCCACCGGACTCGGACGGGTTGCCGCACGTGCAGGCACAGAAAGGTATGCTCAGAACCTACCCATGGCCTGCTTGTGATGTTCAGGAGCTAACAACATACCATTATCAAAGGTCAAATGTGACGAGGAAAAACCAGTCTGCGGCCAATGTAATAAAGGCCAACGGACTTGCGAGTGGCCAGGTCCGGATGACAAGAGATCGCCCAGAGTTCCCCGTAGACCCAATGCCACAGCATGTGATGCCTGCAAAGAGAAAAAGGTATGTGGTTATGGGAGAAATGACTCTCTAGACCCCGAGGTCTACGTCCTGTTGATCTAATTATCTTGCGGAGCCGTACAGCTGAAGTGTGTGGGCGAAGTACGCGATGCCTGCACCAGGTGTACCAACCTGGGAATCCGATGCACTCGAATGCAGAAGAATGTTAGGTTCCAGGGCGATGGGTTCGCGGCGGCAGCCTCTCCGCCGACGACTCCGACGATAATATCTCATTCACCCTTGTCTGCTAGCAACTTTAGCCACACCACTGGCTCAGATCCTGATACACCAAGGGCATCACTCTTGAGACAGCAGGCTGTGCCCTTGGACCGCTCCCCTTCTCTAGGACAGATACCAACAGGAAAGGAGCTAGAAGAGCTGATACAGCTGTACTTCTCATCTGTGCATCGTATGTCTCGGATCACGCCTCAGCATCGGGACCCGATCACTAATTTGGCTTAGACTTTGGTTACTTTGCTTTCATCCACCAACTCCAGTTCACGCGCCTCCTATCCAAGGGCAAGGCACCCAGGGAGCTGACCCTGGTGATGATTGGAAGCGCTGTTAGGTAAGTAAGGACCCTGTCGGGAAGCATTGGAGCTGATATGCTAAGTCATACTCCCCATGCTTAGATTCGCTGCAGACCCAACGCCAGAGAATTTGGAGAGAGCGGATGCATGGGTAGATGCTGCGATGGAGAAGGTCCTTCCGCGGATTCACCAAGGCTTTGGGGTGATCCAGCTGATGGTATGCCTCCTTCTCCATCAAGAAGGCTGTCTGCTGAGGTTGGTGACTGACCTCATGTTAGACCCTCCTCCTTGCACAGCAGTATGATCTCAACCGTGGCCACTTTGCATCGGCATGGCTCCTGGGGGCCGAGTGTACGAGGTAGGTTTGATGCCATTCTCAAGGAAACCTGTTTGAATTACATAAGTTACTCACCTACGGGCCAGAATGATGCAGATGATGTCCCTGCAAACGTTTGACCGTACCTATGCACCAAATCTCGCATCCAGTTTGCGCCTATCGCCACTTCTTTCCGCCGAAGCTCTTCGGCGAGTGGCTTGGGCGACCTTTTATATCGACACCATTGTGGATGGCGGGCGATACGGATACCATACTGTCGATGAAAATGCCTACCGGCTGCAGCTCCCTTGCGACCAGGCCAAATTCTTGAACAACGAGATTGTTGAAACGGAACCGCTCTATTACGATTCTGCTCACGCCGTGAACAACAACGCCGACAACCTCGACATGTCGGCGTACCTCCTGCGGACTGCAGCGGTGCGTCGCCAAGGCCTCCATTTTGCGTTTCCGCGCCTCCCATGGAGAGCAGACAGTTGAGCAACTCGTGACTGAGCTTGAGGCTGTCGAGGCCGGCATCGAAAATGTCATTACCGCCCTGCCGAAGCGTTTCCACTGCAACGCTGCCAATCTGTTCCTCCATCGCGACCGTCTGATCACATTCTTGCTCCTGCATGTCTTGCGACACAATCTCTACATCGTGGCTGGCAAGGCTGCCCTGCAGGTGTATCAACGCGACCCCTCGCTTGCGGACCGTATACCTCAGGTGCGGCGGAGCAGGATCTCACACGCTCTACCTGTGGCAGGCCTCATATCAGAAGGCTTGAAAGCTGGCATCAATTTTGATCCTCAGATGGGAGTGCAAGCATATGTCGCGTTGGAGAGTGAGTAATCCCAGCCAATGCACTCCTAGTCAAGCACGTGTATAATCTGACCTTCTGTGCCTTAAAATAGTCCTTCTGTTCGAACCGCGACGCCTGGCCGAGATAGACCCGACGGTCGATCCCAAGGCGCCACACTTGATGGAGGCGATACCTCACCTCCTCAGCGTCATCCGCGACATAGCAGATCGTTCTGAACTCGTCAAACAGCTGGTAAGAAACATCCAATCTTCTCCCACGGGACCCGTCGTCAAGATTTTCTGACCACAATTTTCCCAGCACGCCGAGGCCGCGCACCGCCTCCTGCGCTGCGACTGCACCCACCTGCTCGACCAGCGCGACTTTGCCGCCTTTTACAGCGAGTACCAGCTCGTCGGCCAGGACCCGGCCGAGTACGACTTCCGCGACTTCCGCTGGGCCAAGATCGAGCGCCACCGCCGCGGCGCCCGGTCGGCGGCGCACATGGCGCGCGACGAGGCGCTGCTCGAGTACAGGGTCGGCGGCGAGACGGAGCCCTCGTCGGCCGTGTCGTCGCCCCGGCTCGACGCGATGGACATCGGCGGCCCTGGCGCCGCCGCCGCTACACTGCCTTCGTCGTCGTCTGTCCCGCCTGGCGGTCTGGGCGCGGCGCTGAGGGGTGGTGTGCCCGGCGAAGCGGCGGCGGCGGCGGCGACAGCAGTCGTGCCTGGGCAAGGGGCCGGCGTCGACGACGGGACGGCTGCGGCTGCGGGCTTGATGCACATGGCTCAGCCGTGGTGGGGTCTGGATGACCAGACCGGGAACGGGGATGGGGCTGCCCAGCCGGTGTTCCCGATGGACTGGTCCTGGCTGCTGGGCGAGTCGGGGCAGGCGGGTTACCAGACGGGCGATCCTACGACGTTTTGGAGCCAGTTGTAACATCATCTGTATCAGATCTACGGCCATGAATACAAACTTCCAAGTCATCAACATGTGGCGATAGCACTTCACTTTGATTGTAATTATGGAAGATTTCCAGCTGGCTGTTAGATTCGGTGAGCTTTGCTCGCTGCCCGAGTTATCAATTTGCCCATTACTATCAGCGTACAGTCCCCCCGTGCTGTCGGATTATCCCACTGCCCTATTAGAGCCCGGTGAAGGAACAAACAATTTTACCCAAGACCTGATCCTATAATTACACACTTTTCCCCATTGTTGCTTGTTTCGCTGTTAACCATTTCAAGCTTGGACATGGCGGACCTCGGGGTCCTCAGAAGCGTCGACAGCCTTACCGGATTCTGAGCCAGGGCCCATCTTCTCGCCCTCCAGCTGGCCGACGCGGCGCTCGGCGTCGGTCCAAGGGATCTTGCTCGGGCGGAAGGGGTTGAAGGAGACCTCGAAGATGGCATCGATCTCTTCCAGAGCGCGGCCCTAGTAGAACAGGTCAGTTAGGAATGTCTGCAGGCAGGATGTAGTGGGAAAGAGGAGCGGGGCTTACCTTGGTCTCGGGGAGGATAAGGAAGGTGACGACCAAGGCCAGGAGCGAAATGCTGCCAAAGATCCAGCCAACCTGGAAGTGGATGGCGTTGATCATATAAGGGATGGAGTAGTTGGTAGCGAAGGCCCACAGCACGTTCCAGGCCGCTCCCACCGACTGTGTCTTCTCACGGAGGGCTGCGTTGGGAATCTCAGTTCCGAGAAGGTAGGGGATAGAGGCACCTCCCATCTATCAAGGGTCAAGAATGTCAGCATGATGTACGGTACCGGCGCGAACGTGCAAGGGACGTTGATTGGCATCACTTACATTGTAGAAGAACGAGTATAGCATGAAAGCGGCGACGATGGTGTTGCTTTCGGTGGGGGACTTGACTGCCTTCTGGCCAAGGCCGGCGAGGACATACATCCAGAGGCCCTGAAGACTGTAGGAGATCAAGAGTGTGTTGCGTCGACTGCACACAACGACGAGTCAGTAAGCATGCAAATATACCTTTTGGAGGCAGAACATCGCGCGACTTACCCAAGCGTGTCAATGAGAATCATTCCCGGAACAACGGAAACGATGTTGAGGCAGTTGGTGATGATGGGATACGTGAAGGCCTGATCAGCGTAGCCGTTGGTCTTGTAGAAGGTGGTTTGGTAGGTCGAGACAAAAGCTTGACCAGTGACCTGCTGGAAAAAGTATTTTTTTGCGAAGTCCTACAAGTGACAGACCAACTATTCGTCTTGAAAAAAGCCAGATGTTTTCTGTTTAGGCTAGCGCGCCCGTCCTCCCGCTTGAGGATGCTTTCAACCAACAAAATTAGTCACCTGTCATAATTTCTTGGTCTTAATGCTACACCTCTCATTTTGGACTATATTAAATATTACTTCCAGATCCTCTACATTTGTAGATCATCTTGTATGAAGCATTGATCTCCAGCAACTCTGTGTCTCCACACATTGTAGTAGGGATGCCTTGAGCCAAAATTGTTGTGGTAATTCTGTTACAGGAATCATGCCGTCCAAGTCCACTGTGCAACCAGCCAACTCCAGAGATCAACCAGCCAGCTCCAGAGATCAACCAGCCAGCTCCAGAGATCACCTCCTTAGACTAGAGGGGGATTCTCGAGAATGAAAGGCCGCTGCTGCTCTATATTGACCAGCTTGTGGGAACCGTTAAGGTGGGATAGCATCTGGGCCCGAGTCTCAAGCACGTTTTTATTTGTGCAATCAGGATATGAGCACCTCTGAGGTTTATATGGCGGAACCTTGGGTTTCTTGGCCGGGAGATATGCCTGGAGCTGGTCTTCAGGAAAATCCGGGTGCTGCTTGCGGATATGTTCCTCAAGCCTTAACAATCTGTTGAAAGGCTTATCGGCGCGGTTACATGTGGGTACTGGACATGTCTTGTTGGCCCAGCCGGAGTGTTCGTTCTCCATATGTACCCGAAGCTGGTACTTGGATGTGAATGGAGTCTTGATAGTGCAGCCTTGAACTGTACATAAGGTTGGTGGAAAGTTATGGATGTCATTGATATGGTCCCTGAGCGAGCCAGATGACTTGAGCCTGGCCTGACAGATGTTGCAGATAAATTTGTAGTCTGCAGTCTTAGAGACATCACAGATCTTGAGGTGTCGTTCCATCTCGTGGTTATTTAAGGCTGTAAACTGACATCCGTCATTTGGACAAGAATGCCTCCATCTAGACGGAGGGTCCTTAGATCCGACTGAGTTTGCGTACTTTGGGAGCGAGATTGCATTGTGCTCGCGGGAAACATTCCAGCTGTAGCTGTTGACCGTAGAGAGAAAGGTTGCAAACTCATCTGGGCTGGCCTGGAGGATGGGTGGTTCCATCTCGATGATGGCTGGAGCTGACTCAAGGGCGCTGACAAGACCCTCGTCCATATCATTAGGTAGCTCAACCGAAGCCTCACGGCCTATTCCCAAGACATCACCACAGAACGCCAATGCCTCGTCATCCTGCTCGGCTGTTTCATCAAGAGTAGATACACCAGTCTCCCTTATGGCGAGCTCGTCATCATCATCCAGGTGTGCTTGCTAAACAGCTCCCGTGGTAGTGATGTGCGCTTGGGGCGGAAACTCGTCATTCTTCAAGGCTATGTTGTTCCTAGTAGAGTCTTGAAGGTCAAGTTGGCCCACCTGAGATGAGAAGTTCTGGAAGAATCCTGTAATATCTGAGTCTGCAGGAAAATCCTCGGCATCCTCGGGGGTCTTGTTTCTGTCGCCAGCCACAACCGTACAAACGCTACTGAGGTTGCTAGGGGTGGGCAGACGGGTCGAGGGGCTTCCATAACTGAGCCGATCCTCCTGAGAGGGTAAATTCAGGAAGTAGTTCTCGAGCTCCGGGTCTATTGGGAACCGGTCCAGAGCGTCGTCCTTATTGTCAGTTGCCCTAGTCGCTGTGGCTATGGACCGAGTTAAGCGTGGCCTCGTTGTGGCGCTTCTCTTCTTTTGGTGTCGTTCGGTTGGCTGCTGCAGCGATTCGAAAGTGGTGCGGCGCCATGACTCACTGGTTTCGGTTCGTTTCTGTCTGGAAGCCTTATCGCGGTCGAGTTTTTTTCCTGGATCGAGGCCCTCCTCAACGCAGACGCGGGTAATGAGCTCGGTGCTCGCCCTGGTCCGCTTGAGGCTGGTTGGGGCGACGTCGATGATCTTGTTGGCACGAATGGTGATGTCGTTCTCGAGTCTCATGGCCCATGTTGGCTCTGCTGAGTGGCCAGTGTAAGAAGCGGTGAGGTTCCTCTCAGCGGAATTCAGGCTATGGCCTAGGACGCTCCGTGCCGCCTCGTTCGCACCATGTCGGATCGACTTCTTGAGAAGTGTCGCCTCATATGCCGCGCCGCGCCGTAAGTCGTGAGGAATGACAGCCTTGAGAATTCCAGCAGCCTCCGCAGCGAGCCGAATGTGCTTGATCATCATGCCGGATCCGGCTGGCTCGTCGAGGTCGAGCTGGCCCGGCCGTATGGATGCGCAGATGACTGGACGATGCGGGTATTTCCATGGCAGCTTTTGGATCCGTCTGGAGCTGAGATCGCGTCTCAGATTGATCCACGAGGTTGCATCAACAGCGCCAGTGCGAAGTGCGTATATGAGGAGGAGTTTGATCGGACAGAGGACGTTGGTTGATGGATCAGAGAACTCGATAAACTCAGATCTGAGTTGCACATCTGGATTGTGTCTGTATGTTTGGTGCTCATCAATAAAAGTATTCAACACGAATGGATCGAGCATCAATGAGTGTGGATGATATTGGGGGGAAACTCACTTGTTCCCTTTGGTGTAGTTGAGGGATATGGTGGCGCAGAGTCGCTGAGGGTCCTTGGGCCATACTCGGATGGTAATATCCTGCCAACTGAGATATTGTTTCCCCTTGTAACGGTTTGTTCGAGCAATATCGCCAGATCGTGCTCCAATCGATGACAAGAGCAGCACTGCGAGTACCCGCTGGATTGTAAGGTCCCAATTGAGCGTGCCGTTCGTGATAGCGTCCCTGAGCACTGCCTTGATCATGAGAGCAGCAATGTCGCTCGTGACCCAAAGCTTCTCCTCACGTGTCGGTTGGCGTGTGAAGCTGCCGTCTTGGACCAAAGTCTCCATAGCCGAGCCTGAGATGGTAATGCAGGTTAGGTATTTGGAGGGACAGAAAGAGGACCCGTGATACTTACTGATGCGCTTGGTATCGTGTGGAGTCAGGCGGAAGTTCTCGAACGTAAAAATACCCCAATTGGTGAGATAGGTCAGACCAGCCTTAACGAAGCCAAACGAGACAGCTCCACCCTCGCCTCGACCCCGGATCTGGATGGGGATACTGTAAAGATAGCGAATGATCTGGTCAGCTGTGGGCACTGATTTACGGTCGCAGCCCAGAGAAGATTCGCGGAAAAGCTGAAAGCGGTTGGCCCAGAGGGCAGAAAGGTACTGAGTCCCAGGGGCCTTGGCTGTGTATTTGAGCTTCTTTGACCCTATTTTGGACTGACAGCGGGCCTCAAAAGCCGTGTTGAGCATCGTCTCGATGCTACGAGAGCCAGCTGAGGCGAAATGCTCTGGTTCATCATCGATCTCTAGGTCAGATGACTGGAAGTCATCATGATAGAGTGCATCCAGATCCATGTCGATGATGATAGAACTGGAGATGGTGAAAAGTAGAACTGGAGATACGAAAAGGAGAACTGGAAATGCGAAAAGGAGAATTGGAAATGCGAAAAGGAGAATTGGAAATGCGGAAAGGAGAATTGGACATGCGGAAAGGAGAATTGGACATGTATAAAGAAGAATTGGACTCAGGAAACTGGAATTGTAGATGTAGAGAAAATTATGATGGTTTTCTGTGTAGGGGACATTGGTTTATACTCTTTTAGCAGGAGCGGTGGATACTCCTGCTACAATATGTGCGCTCTTATGATAAGAGTCTTAGATGTTCCTGCTATATATGGGTGAAGGTGTAACAAGCTGACAGGCCTCCATATCAAGATCAGATGAGATATTCTGAGATCCTGAAATTTACTTAAAAACTCTCCCCTAGACCCTTTTCTTCTTCTCTCCTAATTCCCACATCACCTCAGAATCCTCACCAACACCAGCCAGAGCTGACCTGGACAATCAGGACCAAGATGACTTCACTTTTTGGTGGTGCGAATGATCAAGGCTCTCAATCCACACAGGATAAGAAGAGTGCTAAGAATCACTATCCTGAGCCAAGGGGCCTGAACCCTACTCAATCACGTCGCTGGCAGAAGCTCAACGATGAGAGTGAAGAAGACGTGGGCGCTTCTGACTCAATGCTTGAATGCCGACAGGCCGAACGGAAATCATCTAGAGAGCTTCTCACATTCGCCGGAGCTGACCAAGCGTCCATACGAAAAACAAAGCCCTTAGCCCTAGTCGAACTGACTCCAGCTCAACCCATGACCAAATCATCAGCCCGATCTGAGGCGGCATCCCCTGCTCAACGACCTCCATCACAAGATTCTCAGACATCTGTCCCTGCTCCAGCAGCGAGCCAGCCAGCTCCAGCTCAACCCATGATGACATCCTCAGCACAGTCTGAGGCAGCATCCTCTGCTCCAGAAGCGAGCCAGCCAGCTCCAGCTCAACCCATGATGACATCCTCAGCACAGTCTGAGGCAGCATCCTCTGCTCCAGAAGCGAGCCAGCCAGCTCCAGCTCAACCCATGATGACATCCTCAGCACAGTCTGAGGCAGCATCCCCCACTCCACAGATATCAGCTCCGTCTCCAGCTGTAGGTCTGTCGGCTCCAGCTATCCCAGGCACAGAATCCCCTTCTGGAACTCAGAGCAACACAGCGGCATCCTTATCGTCAGGCTCAGTGAGCAAGGAAATAGTCTTCACCAATGATATCTTGCGCGATATCATGGCAAAATTTGAGAACCGGCGAGGAGACTTGGATGTTGACCGACTGAACTACCAAATCCAGCGTAGCAAACTCATCGCTCCAATCTCCAACAACAACACCGTCCGGCTTGTCCGCAAAAGACTCAGGGACTTCAAGAACTGGATCTCTGAGGTCCAGGAAGCTCGCCATAGGACATGGAAGAAAGCCACTCAGCTTCCTCCACAGATCCCGTCACCTGAGATGGCTGAGGCAGGACGTCTGCTGGAGCTGTGGGTCTTCCCATTCGATGCCAAGCGGCGCGAGATCGAGTCCTTGATCAGGCAAGTTAGTCTGGGTTGGTACTACTGGGGACCACATGAGCATAGCAAGCTTCCGTTGCTCAAGGACTGGGACCCAACGGATGCTGCCCAGATATACATCCCCAAGGGTCTGGATAAGTCAGTCGATTCGACGCTGCCTGCCCCGGAATGGATGAAGGAACTGGTCGAAAGCCGCCGTGAGATCGATGGCCCGCCTCCAGAAGTTCCTTTAGCCGTTCCACCCCCAACCAAAACCCCAGCCATTGGCGCCGCAGCTTCATCAGCAGACCAAAAGAAGGGGAAGGGTAAAGAGGTTTCAAAGAACACCAAGCTTCGTACTGCAAATATGATTGATGGCAGTAACCAGACTCAACATGATGTTATTCCACCTCAACCTACACCTACCACCCAGAGTGTAGCAGACCCTAAGCAAATCCAGAAGCTTGATACAAGGCTTCAGCTGGTTGAGGCGGATCGAGCTCCATACCAGGAGAAACTGCACTCGTTTGCTGTGAGACTCAGACGAGTTAGGGAGGGCATCGTTTTCGAAAAAGAGAACCTTGAAAAGCTTGAGAAGAGGCTCCAGAACCTAGAGGACGAGAGACTTCCGGACCAGGAGGGACTACAGTCACTTACGATAAAACTCGAGGACGCTGAGGAAAGCATCCGCCAGTTCCAAGAGACACTATGCTTGCATGAGACGAGGCTTGAGGCGGCTAAGGCGAGCCTCCTTCAGGATCAAAAGACATTGGATTCCCATGAGACAACGCTCCATGAGGTCGAGGCTGGACTCCACAGCGTTCCAGGAGCGCTCAAACAGGCCGAGGCTAACACAGGCCTAAACCATGATATGGCTGGCCTCAAACAGGACATAACAGAGGTGGCGAGCAGGATGAAAGCTATTGAGCTTCTACAGGACTCTATGACTACCAAGAGGGAGGTGGAAAACATTATCACCCTCGAACTCGACAGCTACCCATCAGCATACGACACCAAGAAGCTCATCAACGAGGCCATTGAGAGGCATTTCCAGGACAACGCTATTGCTAAACAAGCTGTAGCCGGTCCCCTCTCTTTAGAGCCCAGCCCTGGTCCTAGGACAGCATATGCCACTAAGGACGACGTACACTCTATTGTCAAGGAGGCCATCTCTGGTGTGAAGGAGTTATACAACGTCCATATTGAGGGACTGAAGTCTGAGATCACCTGGTTGAAGACAGGAAAAACGCAGCAGATCTTCCCTACCGGGTTGGGTCAGAACCAGTTCGCTCAGACTAAGGTTGAATCTCTACCGATTGAGACGTTCTCCAATGTGAAGAACATCCCACGCATATCCACAGCCAGACAGCCACTGAACCCCGCCGAAGTCATCACACTGGTAGACTCAGACGAAGAGACGGCGGTGAAGATGGAACCGCAACCAGCCGTGTGTGATGTGATCCTACGAGCCGGTGACAAGCACCAGGCATCGGAGCCCGAGGACCAGGCTGCTAACAAGAAGCTTCGGTCAGAGTAGACGGAGGAGTGGTCTTCATCGACGCCGTACTGAGGTCTCCTGCCGGAAAGATCCTGCGCAAAGTCCTGAGGGACTCTGCAAAGAACGAGAGACCGTCCAAGCTCTAAGACAGAAGCTATTAACATTGCTTTGAAGAGAAGGATTAGACAAGATCAACATCGCTGAGATTCATAGCTTTTTCGATTAGGTTTTATTTTGTACCAGCATTGCATAGTCTAGCATTTTTATCGACGTTTTACAGACAGATTTTTTGCTCATCCTAAACTTACCTTGTGTGGTGAAGCCGCCCAAGAACACCTTCCTGCCATCGTTCACGCCTGGGTCGTTCGTCCGCTCCTTCACGACCGTCATGGACTTTGTCCCGACGTTCCTGGAGCTGGCAGGGATCTCGCTCCCCCCGCCCGCGGAGAAGAAGCAGGGTGTTGTTGCGAGGAAGATGATGAAGTTCAGGGGCCGAGAGGTGCACGCGCTCCGCGGCAAGTCCTGGGTGCCGTACTTTGCCCGGCACGAGAAGGTCGAGGACGCCGAGATGTGGGCGATCCACTCGTCCGAGGAGCCGATTGGCTGGGAGCTCTTTGCGCGCGGCGCCCTGCGCAAGGGCGACTGGAAGATTGTGCACTTTGCCAAGTCGGACGGCGGCGTGGGCGAGGGCGACGAAGGGTGGGAGCTCTTCAACGTGGTCGAGGACCCCGGCGAGACCAAGGACCTGGCCCGGGCCAACCCGGAGAAGCTGAGGGAGCTGATGGCGCACTGGGAGGAGTACGTCACCGAGTGCGGCATCGTGTGGGGGGAGTCGGCGATCGCGCCGGGACTGAGCCGGGAGGAGGCGCCGGAGCTGTGGGAGGACGAGATCGAGATGCAAAAGGTGTGGATGGGCGCCTGCGCCGGAGAGATGCCCGCCGCCGTGGCATGAGATGCCTTCTCCTCTCCACGGATGTGTCTCCTTCCCGGTGTCTGGCTGGGGTCCCGCGGCCGCGTCTCTATTGTGCCTATACAACATGAAGCTTGTGAGCAGACCCCCACGGGTATAGATAGCGAATATTGCCTTTTTTGCAAAAGCGAGCGCAAACTTTGCGGAGGCCGAGTGTGAACGACCAATTCACAGTCAAGTGATGGCCAGATTAGTTGACGGACTGCTAACAGAAGTACTTGACTATCCATCGAACCCGTCGGATTTAGGTAGTGGGATAGCCCTTCCGAGTTCTAGGACAAGGACATGACAAGGATATTGATTGTTAAGATTGAGGTAGCTCCTGATGAACTTCCGTCAACCATTCAGACGCCCACTTGACAGTGTGGTGGCTGTGAAGGATATCGGGATGCTGACCGTGGAGGCGAACACACACGGATCGCCATCTGTACACTACGTACAGTGTTACGTCATTGCGAGGCTGTCGTGAATGCCCTGAAGCAAGGCAAGCAAGTGAGATGCATTTGTGTCCTTTTTATCGGCAAAATTGGAAGCTCAGGTGGATGCGGTTTCAGAAGCGCACACAACACGCTGGTCGTGTCAGAGTGGCGTGTCTTTTCCTCACCTGCTGGTCCAGGCCTAGAGGATCGAGTAAACGGATTGCCCTGCGCATTGTCCTGTAAATCATTGAAGTTTCTGTGTGTTTCTTTCGTACAAGTACTATCTGTTTATCTTGATCTGGAGCTCGTGGCAGGCTTCCGCTTATGGTTTGCAAATTGGGCACACGACCACTAGGTCATATACAAAGTACCTGGGTAGTGGTAGAGTAGAGAGTATTGGGACCGGGTTCAGCCACAGCTCCAACAAGCCTCCAGACTGGGTTGTCTATAAGTCTATTCGCCAGCTTCTTACAGGTGTCCAAAAGAGAGAAGTAGTTGTTGCAGCGGCGACGGCTAACTCGAGAGCATTGTCCATGAGCGGGTTTGGGATTTTGGGACAGCTCTACTACCGGTATGCGAGCGGTACGAGATATTTCCAGATGTACTTACGTAGTGTGTTTGATCGCCAATCCTCGCTGGTACGTCGATCTGGTCCCGAGATATGAGTGCTGGAGAAGCTTAAGATGTCAAAGGAGCGATCCGCGCGTCAAGACACCGGCATGGCATCTATGGAGGATGATTCTTCACACGACAAGCCAGGCTAACAACAAGTCCTCTCACTGAGATCTCTCTGACTGTGAACGTACATGCTGAACGTATGGAGTCCATCCATGCAAGCAGTTTGAGATCTAACATGATTGGGCGCCGTTGGAATCGTGTCAGTCCGACCCAGTCGGGGCTGGATGGCTGAACGGCGGCAGCTTGCAAGGATTCCCACCCTGCCCCTCCTTGGAGGCGCCAGGGGGAAGGCCAAACCCGTTTCCCGTTGGCGAAATGTTTCAACAAACCCGTTCCCATGAGACCTCCATCATCCTCCGTGTCTGGGTGGCCGAGGGTCCAGGCTGGATGTTTGATACATGCCTGAGTCCGCCACTCGACGACTTGTACGTACTCCGTATCTCCCTCGTACCCTCCTCCACCTCGCAGTGCACGGGATGAAAGTCCTTCATGCATAAGATAAAAGGATATACATATATACCTACATTACTCAGGTGGAAAAAGGACCCAATGCACAGAACATCAGGATAGGACAGCACAGATCCATAGAACAGCGAAATTGGACTGAATGGGGACTTGATGCCCCTCTCCTGCCCCCTGGGCTGACCCTTTTTTCCAGCGCTTCTGGCCGTTTTGGTGCTGACTTGCAGGGGTGTGCAACCAGCAGCAAACCCACTCCAAGTTCGGCTACACACAACCATGGAGGCCACCGCCGGCCTCCAGCTCCACCGTACTGTTTTGCCCACCAGTGCACCACCAACTAACTGAACCCCCCTGTCGCTCGCCTGCCCGCCTGCCCGCCTGCCCGCATGCCCACACACAACCCGTCCATTACCGCCCCCTATGCGCTGCACCCTTTATTGATCGCGACCTCTGGCGCCTCTCAGAAAGAGTTCGTCTTTCCCTTCACACGCCCTCTTTTTTGCCAGACGCGAAATCTACTCGTGGCCGTTCGAAAGGTTGACCGTCCCCGCAGCTTCTAACACCTAACTAGGTGCTGTGTGGTTTTTGTCTTTGTCTCGCCCGCCAGTTTGTCTGGTCCTCCCACCAAAGGCACCCGCCCGGATTCGATACGTCGACCTCACCGCTGCCAACGGCTTCCACAGACTTACCACGCTGCCTTTGTCCCCCGCTCGGCTGGACCTCCGCTGCGATCCAGCTTGACGTCTGGCGCCGTCCTCACCTCCGATTCAGAGAGGCTTCATCACATGTCTTTGTTCTCAGATCACCAAATCGAGCATCGCAGAGCCGGCCAGTAGGTCGCCCCCGTCCCTGCTTGGTTCAACATTCCATCAGTCTCGGCGACTTCTTTGCACCACCAGTGCACCACCCGTACCGTCCAGCAACACTCAACCTCGCCACGTTCTACCACGACTTGCTCTTGGACAGCAAACTTGAGCCTGATCTGAGGACTTGTTGACCGCGTGTCTACGAGAGCCAGCCCGTTGTGACAGCGAGTCCGATCGGCCTGGAGTCAGCCATATCTTCTGGCCCTGTTCATTGATTTCTGAGATACCCCTTTCATTGTACGACGGATCCTACAGAGCGCAATTCTCCCCACCATTTACTCTGTTATTTCTAGCGAGCCCAGCAGCATTCGCCCTTGACCATCATCATGGCCTCCCAAAATAAGTACGTATGCTCCGCGTGTTTCCCACACTCACCTGCGACTGTTTGTGTGGCAGTTGCCTTGCGCAGCCTTCTCGACGCAGGTTCACCACCCCGCACTCTACTCTCAACCCATACTACAAAAGCCACGGCGCAACACCAGAGACTACCTTGGCCGTTGGCCCTGTTGTCTAATTATACAAATAGTCTGGGCCTGTTTGCTAACCACATTTCTTTCTCCAGTATGTACTCTGCCGGTCAGTTCATGAACCCTGGTCCGGCCCCCAGGCCTCCCACCGACCGACCCCGCCTCAACCTCACGCCCACCCCCAACCTGCCAGGAAACATGGCCAACATGAGCCTGAACTCTCCAATCACACGCGCCGTCCCGACACAATACAATGGCTCCACAATCTCTCTCCCGCTGGGTCGCCAGAACTCGAACATGGACGGCCAGGGCGGGGTCGCTGTGATCAAGGAGGGGTGGGCGCAGGTCAAGGAGGCCAAGAACTTCATCCAGCCCTGGAAACAAAAATACCTGATCCTGCGCAAGGAGTCGCTCGACTTCCACAAGCAGGAGGGCGGCAAGATCTCGTACACCCTGTACCTCAAGGATGTCATCAACGTCGGCCGCGTCGAGGCTGCGGGCACCATCTTCGAAGTCAAGAGGCAGTCTAGTGGGGCGTCTACGAGTCCTGGAGAGGACGACGGAACTGTTCGCACCCTGCAGATTCGTGTCAAAGGCGACGATGACTTGTATGAGTGGATCGACTTCATCTACGCACGCTGCCCTGGCATGGGAGGTGTCAGCAACCCGACCAACTTCTCACATGCCGTCCATGTTGGCTTCGACCCCCAGACTGGAGAGTTTGTCGGCCTCCCCCCAGAATGGTCCAAGCTACTCAATTCTTCTGCCATCACAAAAGAGGACTACGAGCGGAACCCGCAAGCCGTCTTTGAGGTTCTTGATTTCTATTCGGATCTCACCAAGCGCGCTGAGAACCCCGCTCAGTACCCTAGCCTGACGCCTACCCCTCCTGCGAGCAGCATGCAGAACAAGCAGCTTGGATACAACGGTGGAGGTGCCTCTGTCGCGCCCCCCCGTCCAATGCAGCCCATGCAGCGCAACCCGAGCAGCTACAGTGTGGCTGGTTCCCAGCAAGGCGGCTCCGGTGCGCCGCGACGGCCATCCCCCACAGAGGCACAGCAACAGCGCCAGCAAATGCAAGGAATGGCATCCAACTATGTCCAGAACGACCAAGCTCGGGAGGAGCAGCGTCAGAAACAGGCCGAAGCTGCCCAGAGACAGAGGATGATGGAGATTGAGGAGCAGAACCGACGCGAGATGGAGGCCTACAATGCATCTCTCCCCAAGTCAAAGACGCCCATGGCGCAGCAAGAGCTCGGCGGATATGGAAGCTCTTCTGTTCCCTCTGCAGACCGCTTCAACCCCAGCCGGGCAGCTCCTGCGGCACCCAGGGCCGCCAACCAGCAAGCTGCCAGCTTGAGGGCTCAGCGTCCTGCCCCTTCTCCTCCCACAGCCGGAGCTGGAGCGAGCCGCCCAGGTATGACCCAGCAGAGCAGCTCATCCTCTGTCCGCGACCCCGCGAGCCAGTCTCAACGCCCGCCAGTGCGAAACGACCAGGCTGGCGCCCCTAGCGCTGCCCGGTACCCCAATGGCGCACCGGCCTCTGCGCAGCCTCGCACCAACGGCCAGACACAGGCACAACAACAACAGTCATCACGCCTGCCTGCTCCTGTCAAGCCCCTCAATGTTGGCCCCAAGCCTAGCGCACAGAGCGATGCCGTCAAGGCCGCCGAGGCAGCGCTTAGCTCCAAGCCTCCCGCTGCTGAGCGAAAGCAGGATGTGCGCATGTCTACCATGTCCGAGTCGGAGGTCATGGCCAAACTCAAGGAAGCAGTGTCCAAGGATGACCCCAATCTGTCCTACTCCAAGCAGAAGAAGATTGGCCAAGGTGCCTCTGGCTCAGTCTATGTCGCCAAGGTCAAGGAGACGGCTGTATCGCCTGTTGCGCGTGAGCTGCTGCGCGCACAAGGAATGAAGGCACAGGTTGCGATCAAGCAGATGGATCTCGCCCACCAGCCTCGCAAGGAGCTGATTGTGAATGAGATCATGGTCATGAAGGACAGCAAGCACAGGAACATTGTCAACTTCCTGGACGCCTTCCTTCGCAACAACAATGCCGAGCTTTGGGTTGTCATGGAGTACATGGAGGGTGGTGCTTTGACCGATGTGATTGATAACAACCCTGTCATCACTGAAGAGCAGATCTCCACCATCTGCTTGGAGGTAAGTAACGCTCGCTTCATATATTCAGTCCCAAGTCCAAGGTTTGCTGACAACTTTTGTGCAGACTTGCGCTGGCCTTCAGCACCTGCACTCCCAAAACATCATTCACCGTGACATCAAGAGTGACAACGTCCTCCTGGATGCTCGTGGTAACGTCAAGATTAGTATGTCTGACCAAGCATGTCGCTTAATCTCTATTCGAACATGGTGCTGACCAGGCTATAGCCGACTTTGGCTTCTGCGCCAAACTTACCGAGACCAAGTCGAAGCGTGCTACTATGGTTGGCACGCCGTATTGGATGGCTCCGGAAGTTGTCAAGCAAAAGGAGTACGGCCCCAAGGTCGACATCTGGTCCCTGGGTATCATGGCCATTGAGATGATCGAGTCTGAGCCTCCATATCTCAACGAGGAGCCTCTCAAGGCGCTGTATCTGATCGCTACTAACGGTACTCCACGCCTCAAGAAGCCCGAGAAGTTGAGCAAGGAGCTCAAGGCTTTCTTGTCCGTCTGTCTCTGTGTCGATGTCAAGAGCCGAGCCTCGGCCCGTGAACTGCTCGACCACGACTTCCTCAAGCACGGTTGCCCTCTTCCCAGCTTGGCCGAGCTTCTTGCGTTCAAGAAGCACTCCAAATAAGCTAGTCTTGATGGCGCAGAGCAATTTTGGACTTGAGAGCAGAATGGAAGCTCACTCTACCTCAGGAAGAATCCTGAGCATACCAACAGCTCTTGCACAGCCATGGGCTACTTTTTTTCACCGCCGAAGAAATGCACCATGGTCACGCCCTCTTGCAGCTTTTCCGGCCCCTTCATCGCCACGTTAATGCATGCCCAACTGCACCTCTACCCGATTCATTTTCACAACTGTCAGCATGCGTTGTTGGTTTTCTTTTCTGGTCTCGCCTAATCGTTATGCATACTGCTCTGGTCTCTACGGATATATATGGATGAGAAATGAAATGATTGAAATGGGGCAGGATAAACAGAACGAGAGGCATCATCTTTCATACATCATCCCTGCCATCTTTCCGAGGAGAGGTGGCAGGCAACAGTGAGGAGGAACGAAACGAGGACCAGGGCAGGGAAAAGATACCATTTTCTTGTTTTTTTCCTCCTATGAGGCTCAGCCGAGGGTTCGCGATCATGACCCCACGAGCTGCCGAGCTTTTGATTGTTCAGATAGAAATTAGCTGATAGTAGCTGATGGGAATAGAGACGTGGACTGTCCTGTGCCAATGTGGCAACTTGTTGAGAAGCGTGACTTGTCTGAAATCGTCTCATGTATCGACGGCAAGGGCCCTTGTGCCTGACTCTGCAGCAACATCTGCTATATCATCCCTTGAACCTCCTGGATCTCTAAAGATAGGCAGTCTATTGTGGCGTTGCTAATCGCCTTGTGCAGACAGCCGCAGCAAGGCTGTGGGGGGCCGATCGTGGCAAGCTGACTTGTGCGGTCAAGTAAGTGTTCATCTGAAGTTCGGAAAGCGGCAGGATCGGGGACGAACGATGGACAGAAATAGACAGACCTGTTTGGCGAAACATCTCTGTTGCTGGTGATCCCTTGGGGGTCGTAGTCACAGTTTGAAACAGACAGAGCTCTGCGATGTATTTATTTATAGACGATGAGGTCAACGCGTCTTGGCAGTGTTTGATCGCATCTTTCGACCCTGGTTGTCGATTATAACTACCTATGGGGAGGTACCTTATGCACGGCAAAAACCCGAATATCTACAAGTACAGAAATTGTGCTTTTGGGGGGTTGCAGATAAGCGACCAAACACACTCAACCATTATGAACAAGCGGTCGGTTGTATGTGAAGTGAATCTGGCAAAGCTTCCCTGTTGTCTCCTCCCCCTCAGGCCTCGGGGTGAAGCCCTGCAATCTCACAAGCGGGCAAATCGGGGCAGGGCCAGCCGTGCCAGTCAGACCAGGGCAAGGAAGGCCGGGTGTGATTGAGCACGCTGTGCAGATCCAGCTAGTGAGGCAGGGGTGTGTGTGTGTGTGCTCGAAAGCAAGAGGAGACCAGAAAAGCGCACTTGTGCTTCCGATTCATGCGGGAGGACACGCAGCTAGGGCGATGTTTCAGAATCTGAGCAGATCCTCTAACAGAGTGGCCGCTCTCGGGCCTGATTGGGCGGGCCACCCCTCGCTCCCGCATGAAGTTGGTAGAATTCCTGAGGGGGCGACGTACAGGAGGTACGTCCTTTGGAGGCGTGTGGTCTTGCGGTTGAGAGCTGCGGCCATCGTGACTGGTCCACAAGTCTACTCTCTTTCTTTCGTGTCTTTGGCCCGGCCGCGGCCATCAACGAGTGATGGACTTCGTATGGTGTAGTTAGGGGGGCCTGCCTGGGTATGGGCCATTCATTCATGGTCTGTCCCTGTTCGTCCCAAGTGGTTTGTTTGTTTGTTTGTCTGTTTGATGGGATGGAATACTCTGGCAGGTACCTAGACTCCGTACATACCTTACGAAGTACCTACAGGTAGGTAGTTATGCTCAAACAGTCGTCGTCGTCGTCGTGGGGGAACCCGGAATGAGCCAGTTCACTCGTCACAGACACCGTGTACACACATTCCTGGTGCCCCTGATAAGTGAGATTGCAATACGGTTGTTTTACGTGTCCCTGGGCCCCTTTGCCCTTTGCCAAACACGGCGTCGGGCGCAACGTTGGAGATGATGGGTTCCCCAGATCTGCCCCTGTTCTCCATGTGCCCTTTTGGACTTTTGTCTGAAATCGTATCGCTCTGACAGGATGCATTGCGGACAAGCACCACCACCCCCACCCCCTTGATGGTCAGAATGTGAAGGAACCTGGGCCCTCTTTTCAGGCCAGCAGATATAGATAGTGGAGGTAGGTGTACTCAGGTGGTAAGCAGCCTCAACAGCGGAAGGGCAATTGGCAGCAGCAAGGGGCAACCTTGGGGCCCTTGGAAAGCAGAATGCTGGGCGGCTGGCCCGATTGGTTTGGGGGCGCGCGGCTCCGATCACCCAGATTGGCGGCCAGGCCTGGTTCTGACATGCGTGGATCTGTCTTGTTTGTCTGCATGAAAGCCTGGCTTTTCCAGATTATGTGCCCCCGTTGCATGTCGCTCTGCCGCAGGATCTCTTTTGCTCAGTGGGGTAGAGAGGGGGATCATCTTTTTTCGGGGGAGAAGAGCCCTTTTGCCAAACGGGACCTGGATATTGCACACCTATACGCACGCATGCAAGCACCAAGAAAATGCCGCTGTGTCGCTGTCTCGTGACATCCGGAGAAAAATGCAGCACTCACTTGACAGGTGGCTTTTGTACACTGGCAGATTTTCTTGAGATCGGAGCTGCAGTCAGTGAGGGAGAGGGTGTGGCCACGAATCATGGCCAGCTGAAGAAGGATACGGAAAACCCCTTTCATGGAACCGCGTGGCTCCCTTACAAACACCAGTCCCGGTTCTCTCTCCGCCGGTGAGAGGAAGTAAAGAAGAAAAAAAGAAAAGTGCTTCCAGAGTAGGTAGACTACCTGCTCCGTAGATTGATATGGATCTCGAGTCGAGGAGGACGACGACGACATTCCAATGGCCAGTTTCACCCATCCTGGCCGTGGCCCCTCTGTGGACACTGACCACCCGCTGGGAAAGGGGGGCCAAAGTGGCACTGGCACAGGTACACGCACAGGCACAACTGACACAAAAGGACAAGAAAAGGGCACTTTGAGGGCCTTTGACTGGTGGCTGTGGCGGGCATCGGACCCCTGCCCCGTGAAGCCCACGGCATCATTGATCCTTATAAGTGGCACCAAGCTCTCTGTCCATACAGCGCCATTCAGGTACCTTACCTGAGGGACAGCCCTGCAAAGCCCGGTCCAACCCAAGCTAGACCGGGCTAAGTCAGCAGCAACCCCTGTCAACCCAGGAAAACTTGCTGCGGCGGATGTACCTGAGCGAGCTTCGTGTTGAATAGCAGTCCAGTGTTGTTGTACTCGCCAACTTTACTGGACTTTCCAGCGCCCGCAACGGACAGCGGACAGTGGTCGGTCAGTGGACAGCGGGCGGCGGCCCTCTCTAACAGACTCCATAGAAGCAACCGTGAAGTACATGCATCCCTCTCTTCCCTTCCCCCAATCAACCAATCTCATCTCCATCCCATCCAATTTGGGACCTGCTCAAACTCTCACGCAACCCCCCGTTTTTTCCAACCTCTACTGCTTTACTCGACCTACCAACCTTCCACCTCCTCCTAGTCAGGCACCCAGACCAAAGCGCCTTGCTTTTCCTTTTTTTCCCTCTCTCCATTCCTCATCTTTCGCAGTTATATGCCCTCTACTCTTCTCCAGGCTCGATTCCATCTAATGCAGCCTGTATATTGAACTGTGACCTTTGTTCTTTTGCGTCGCTCTCTGTGTCTTGCAACCGAGTCCACGCCCCTCTTCCCCCTTGATCGAGCAAGACACATCTCTTTGCGGGTCACAGGAAGCTAGGGGAAGCAACACCACCAATCTAGACTATTCCCAGACATCGACCGTTCAACCAGCTGCTTGACGACCCTGCCAACCCCAAATAAACTCCTCACGGTGGCTTCGTCCAACCTTGCCAGCAGCAATCGTCTCTAGATCCTCGTCGATCAGCCCTGCGGCCGCGGCCAGTCCCCAACTCCTCTCCGACATTCCTTTGCTCGCCTGCGCAGCTGCTCCCATTGCCACGCACGAGCTGCTTGTCTCAACAACCCTCAAACAATTCCCTCGGCCAAGGAGACCTCAAGGGAGGACATTGATCTCACTGCGCCATCAGTTTGTGATCTGGACGATATCGGTCGGATCCACCTCCGGCCAGCCACTCCTTCAGCCAAGTCTTTGCTGGCCTTTGACCCCAGCTCGTGGGCGCAGCTTATTCAGGACCCGGGAGCACTTTTTCGAGCTCCAAGCTAAGCCCCGATTCTCCCCTACGAACGACCGAAGAGACTCGCCTCTACAAACGTCGACCCGGACGCCTGCCCCTGCGACACTGGCTCCAGCCAGCAGTTGATTGGACGATAATATACGATTTCGTCCCGAGCAGCAGCGCTTCTCGTGTCGGACCTGATGAGGCCGAATACCATAATCCATAATGTCATCTTCTAGATCTGATCACTTGACGATCGGCCACTTCGCCCAGGGCCAAGGGCGGACCCAATCCCCCACCTCCAACACATCTCCCGTCGACTCGGTCGGCAGTGCCATCCGGTCGCCTTTCGGCTTGCCTCCTGGCCTATCCTCAACGGCCAAGATGTCTGGTGCCACGCGATCCGGGGCTGGTTCTCCATCGCACGAGATGGGTGCTTCCAGCAGGCTGTTCTCGAAGCGGTACGTTTTGAGCTGATTATGTTTTCAACTTGTACTTCATGGTTGTTGCTAACGACACTGTCCCTTTTGCTTAGAGCCCGTGAAATCCAGGCTCAGGAGGGCATATCGGGAATGCCTCTACACCCATGGGGTGGTCCACCTACCAGCGGAAACTCGACGCCACTGCGCGAAAACATCCCCGAGTCTCCTACAGACGGCTTCCCCGACTTTGCCCAGCTCCCCACTCCAGACAGTCTCCCGCAGACGCGCCGCGCTCGCGCGGGTACCGTCCCCTCTCGATTTTCTCCTGGTGGCGCAGGCAATGGTCTCTTGAACATGCAGCAGATGGCTTCCAAATCCTCCAGGCCGACGCCCTCCCAGAGCCCCTTCAAGTCGCCTTCTCCGGGCCTCGAGCCCGCCGATAGTGCTGCCACACACACAACCCTGCTCTCGCGCCTCCGTGCCGGCTCGATGCCCCAACGCAGCCCCTTCGCCCACATACCAGGCACGAACTCGCCCTTCGGTCCGTCGCTGTTCAGTAGCTGGAACCCCACCGGCCGTGAGAGGGCTTCGACTCTAGCAAGCATCGCCAGCATTGGATCTAATGGCCCAAGCTCGCCTGCGCAGTCAGCCTTCTCCAGGGAGGGAACTGCCGAGACTGACGTCCATATGCGGACTCTGGACTACCTGGGCCTTGCTGAAACACCGCAACAGACCCGGGCGACCCTTGCAGTCCCGTACCACCCGGCCTTGGCAGAGACCAAATCTGCCAACCGGTTCCGGTCCTACTCGGTCAACAACAAGGACAAGTATGCCGATGAGGATGATGACGATCAGTTTGACGTCGATAGCATGACGCTGGAGAGCCAGTATGCCCACCTGCAAGACCAACTGGCCGCGACTAATGCCGCGATTCACAACCACAACCTTGCAGTTCAGGCTTTCGCCACTCAGGCGGCTGTCAACCGGCCGCGTGCGCGAACAGCCGGCGTGTTGGATCTCCCTGGCTCGCGACTCATACGTGGTTTCTACCCGACTCCGTCTCGCCTAGACAGCAGCATCACAGCCGCAGACATTCGGCTCCAGGATGAGAAGGAGTACGACGATCTCCCGCAAGCTGTCGCTGCCATGTCGCTCGGCAGATCCAACAGCCGCAACAATGGGCTGTTGAGTGCTGATGAGCAAGGACTGGAGGGTCCCACCAGTGCCCTGTGGCTCGGGAGCATCCCGACCTCTACGACCACGTCGACTCTAACCGAGATGTTCAAGTCGTACGGTCCCATTTCGTCGGCAAGGGTCCTGACGCACAAGAGCTGTGGTTTCGTCAACTTTGAAAGAGTTGATAGCGCTGTTGCCGCAAAGGCTGGCATGAACGGCAAGGAGATCTTCCCTGGCGCCGGTCCCATCCGGATCAACTTTGCCAAGCCTCCCTCGGCGTCCAACACCCCAGGTCACGACGGCGCATTCCCGTCCCCCAGCCCTGATCCTTTCATGAAGGGCCAGGACAGCTCTCAAGCGACCGGCGCCAGTGCTGCCAGCACCGCACCGGCCCCCCAGGCATCCAACGCCACTCCCCGGGTAGCCCCTTTGCATGAGATGACGGCAGACATACTGAGCATCGTCAAGCAATTCGGAGCCACGGATGAGGAATCATTCCGTATCTCTCGCAACCTCCAGCAGTCTATCGATTTTAAGAACTTTATAGACGAGATCCCGCCGATCAAGGAGCCCCTGCACACCCGCGTACACGATGCCCCTAAGCTCCGCGACATCCGCAAGAGGATTGATAATCAGAGCCTCTCCCAAGCTGAAATCGAGAACGTTGCTGTCGACATGTTGCCGGAGATTGCCGAGTTGGCTTCTGACTATCTCGGCAACACGGTGGTGCAGAAGCTATTCGAGCACTGCTCTGATGAGCTGCGGGATGCCATGCTGACCGAGATCGCACCTCATATGGCGGAGATCGGTGTGCACAAGAACGGTACTTGGGCGGCGCAGAAGATCATTGACGTGTGCAAGACTCCTGCCCAGATGATGCAGATCGTGGAGCATCTTCGTCCTTACACCATCCCCTTGTTCCTGGACCAGTACGGCAACTATGTTCTACAGGGCTGCCTCAAATTTGGGGCTCCGTACAACGACTTCATCTTCGAGACTATGCTTAGTAGAATGTGGGAGATAGCGCAGGGCCGTTACGGCGCCCGGGCTATGCGCGCTTGCGTGGAGAGTCACCATGCCACTAAGGATCAGCAGAGGCTTCTCGCGGCAGCCATCGCTCTACACAGCGTCCAGCTCGCCACCAATGCCAATGGCGCCCTCCTCCTGACTTGGTTCCTGGACACCTGCACGTTCCCCCAGCGCCGGACCGTGCTCTCGCCCCAGCTGGTGCCATATCTTGTCCACCTGTGTACGCACAAGGTTGCTTACCTGACTGTCCTGAAGGTTATTAACCAGAAGGCCGAACCGGAGGCTCGAGACACGATACTCAAGGCGCTGTTCTTCACTCAGAACGACCAGGTTCTGGAGGCGATTCTGAGCGACCACTCGTGCGGCGCAACCTTGATCTTCAAAGTTCTGACTACCCCGTTCTTCGACGAGAGCATCCGTGGTCAAGTCGTCGAGAATGTCAAGAACGTTTTGATCCGCATCAAGGCACAGCCGGGCCAGGGCTACAAGCGTCTCATGGACGAAGTCGGCCTGTCGACCAGGAGCGGTGGCGGTGGTAGTGGTTCTCGCGACCACAGCTCGACCAACGAGCGTCAGCGACCTGCGTCGAGGCAAAACAACATGAACTCACACCACCATCACCACAACCAGCAGTCTCAGCAGGCTCAACAGCAGCAGCAACAGCAGCAGCAGCAGCAGGCTGCCCAGGCACAGTTCAGCAACAACAGCCAGTACTACAATGCCATGGCCCAGAACGCTGCGCCTTCCAACTACGACATGGCCTACGGCATGCCTCGAAGCGACAGTGTGGAGCCTGGTCTGCAGCAATTCCCTCAGTATGGCGCCCCTCAGACCTCGATGTACGGCGCTGGCACCCCCACGATGGCCTCTGTCAACGTCCAGCAGCTCCAGTACCAGCAGAACATGATGTCTCGGGGCACGCCGCCGATGAACAACTTCTTCCCGCCAATGCAGGCCGGCTTTGCCGCTGGGTTCAGCAGCCCGAGCCCTTCGGTCGACCAGTACCGCAACCCGGGCCTCTCCAACGGTAGCCCGATCCCTGCTCCCGGCACGCAGATGCCGGCGATGCCCAATGGCGCCCCAGGATTCGCGGCCCCAGCTGCCGCCGCTTATGGCATGGGCATGGGAGGCTATGGGTATGGTGGCATGGCGGGTGGCGCGCAAAACATGGCGTACATGCAGGAGGGGGTCAACGCCAGACGTGGACGGGTAAGTCAAGATCCCGGGCAATGTGACGGCACGCAGAGTGGCTAATGCCTGCACAGAGATGATTTTGTTTGCACCTCCGTGCTGAGAGTGAGCTGAACCGGAATCGGATCGGCCCTCCATCTTCTTGTAGGACACCCTTCTCCTCGCAATCATAACTGCACATAGACTACGGGACCAGAGAGAGAGACGGACAGTCATGCTTCCTACTGCATGCAGCAATGCACACGACGGACAGACTAGTGGCCTTTGTTTGAGTTTTTTACGGGGGCAACGATGTGAGGCTCCTGGACGACTCTCCAAAATAATCAACCTCTGCGAGGTGATTATTCATTTATCACATTTTTCAATTCTTGTAGAGCTTGTCTTGTCTAGGAGAGGCAAGACTTTCTTGAAACCATTTTGTTCTTTGGGGCCTCCTCAGTCATCTACATCTTTCTCATGAGACGGAGGGTGTCACATACAAAAGATGGGGGGGTTGATGATTTAGGCGAAGGAAGGGGGGAAATGATGTACTTTTGTTTTCTCTCGGCAGGAAAGGTACGACGAAATCGTGGAGGACGGGAAAAAAAGACGAAAGGGGGGGGGGAAAAACCAGTGTGTTTCTTGAGACGTATATATGCATTACTATACCACACTCGCTTTTTTACCTTGCTCACCCTCTCTCTTCTCCTCTCCTCCACACCCTTCTCTCTACCTCTTTCTCTTACCCTTTGCCCATCATATGTGGCCTGTTATTTTTTTTCTTCTTTTGGTTCCGGAGCGAAATAGCGGAAAGTTTTCGAAACGGAAAGATTGCGGGCAGCGAAGTTCTATGTACCTAGGTGTGTGCCGGTTCGTTGTATCGCAGAGGACGGCAGAATGACAGACTTCTAGCGAGAGCTTTCCTTGTTGTTTGCTCTTTGGCTCTCTCTCTACCCAGTGTGCTAGAAGGAAGGAAGGGGGGGTTCCGCGTTTGTACGTGCGATCATCGTGTGTATATGCTTTGTCGTGAAGAAAAGGCGCAGACAGACAGGAGAGTGAGTGGTGGTTGTCGAGGCCACCCGTTCCCTATCCGAGTCTGTTCGTCGCGAAGACTCTTGTACTGGACTCTAGACTACATTACATATTTGCCCTTTTCTCCTTCTTCTTTCTTTCTTTCTTTCCCTTGTCATGATATGATAAAACGATTCTATCGAGATACAAGCATACATTCCAATCCCACTCTCTGGGCCCTGATCACCTGCGAGAGATTTGAATTACCGGGTCTTTTGTCTTGAATAATCGCGATTGATCCGTGAGTGCTGGGGAATCCTCGGAGACATGCCCTCGAAGAAGGTCCTTGCAGCAACATGCTTGCCTGCGCTACGCAGTCTTCACACGGCAGGCGTGTTGGCAAGGTTCTTGATTCTGAGACTCCCCTGCCTATATGGTCAAAAGGACAAGAAAGGGGAGTCTGGTAAAGAGCAGCACCAGCAGTAGCAGTAGCAGCAGACTGGGATAACAAGTCATATTAAAAAAGGAGCAACAAAACCGCAGTGCGCTCGAACATTCGTCACCACGAGCAGGCAGGCATGTCACTAGGAGCCGCAGCAGGAGCGGGCGCTCTGTGCTCAGAAATATCTTTGATTCGCTTTCCCCTCCCCTTTCGACCTGACTGACTACCTATGATGGTTGGTGTAGAATTACAAACTGGGGAAAAGGAAAAAAAGCTAGGAAGAACTGGATGTCTTCCTCCTTCTCTGCCTTGTCAGAGACATAGACAAGAGAGATAAGAGATGATGATAACCTCACGATGGAATAAAGAAGTGCCATCATGAAAAAAAAAAGAAATACCTGGGGAGCTTTTTGTAAAGAGGGAGAGAGCGAGTTGAGCACCATATTTGTTGCCCCTCCTGCGCTTCCCGTCTTGGAAACCCCCGATTCTCTATGACCCTTTTTCCCTTCTTCCCTCATTTCCGTAGATGAAAACGCCCGTAATGTTGTAATGAATCATGCTGAGGAGAGGAACCCCCCTTGCCTTTTTTTCTCATCCGGCGTTGCCAAGCTAAATCAATGCCTTGCTCAAGCCAGGAAGGAGGAGGAGTGGAGGGACCTAGTGTGATGATGATAGGCAAGGAAACGTGTTGTATGAATATGATGCATCAATAGAACAAGATCCGTAGAGGCGAGATAATGTTTCGCCTCGTGTGTCATGTCGTGTTGTCGTAGCAAAGGAAGAGGAAAAGAAAAAAATGGGAATCTAGTAGCGGTGTCGGATTATTACCGGGTAATCAAGGGTCTGCCAATCCTGGTACGATCTTGAGAGAGGATAGCACGCTGTGGGCTCAGTCCATGCGCATGTCCCAGTCTGCTCCAGCCTCGGACTTCTCGACCACGTCGGGCTTAGCAGGCTCGATAATCTTGCCGCCATCAGTGTTGGCATCAGCATCGGCCTGGGTGGCCATGGGAGAAGTAGAGGGCGTCAGCATGGCGTCCAGTTTCTCAGTATCTTTGGTGCTGGTCTTCTTGGCCTTGGGGGTCTCTCCGTCGCCCGGGATATCGCCAGGGTTGCTCGCCATGTCGATGTCGGCCATGTCCTGCTTCTCCTCGGTGGCAGTAGTAGCTGCTGGGGTGGCCATGGCGACGTCCTCAATGTCTGCATTGGCAGGAGAGTTGCCGTCCGTCTTGACGACAATGTCATCGGCACCAGCTTCTTGGTCCTTGATAGATGGGACTGGCTCATCCGGCTCAGGCGTGGTGACTGTGGGAGTCGACACATCCTTCTTGGCAGTACCGCCCTGCTGCTCCTGTTGTTCGACAGGGGCCTGAGCAGGCCGAGTGTTTGCCGCCTGGAGCCTCTGGTCAATTCTCGCCATCATGGCCTCCATCTGGGCGCGGGCAGCCTGGAGAGACTGGAGATCAGCGGTAGCGATCTCGTCGTCATTCGCGATGCTGAGAGCATTGCCGCGGGCCATGACGGCAAGAATGCTCGGGTTAGCCTCCGACAGCATTGCCTCAACCAGAAGATCGACCTGTCCGGTTGCGGCTCGGAGGTTGTCCGTAGCCAGAGCTTGGTCAATAAGCTGGGGGTTTCGGAGATAAGAGTCCTGCTGTGGCGCGGGCTGGCTCGGCACAGCGTCATGACGTGGCGGGACCGGCTCAACCGGTTTCGTCGACTTTCTGAACCGACGCTTCTCGCGGACTCTGTGAAAGTGGTCAGTAATCGTTCTGCAGCTTGCCCGAAAGGATCATTCAGGCTTACTTGGAGATAAAGTCGAGCTTGACGCCCGTGGCGGGCAGGCGGTACAAGCGGCCAAAGCTGCCGACATCCTTCCATCCGCTAGCGGCGTCCGTCTCCGAGTCATCGTCAACCTCGACGAAGCCATTGTTGACAGTGCCACGGCGGAAGGCTGGCTTGATCACGGAAGCACCCTTAATCTTCCGGAACTTGTGTGCCGGAGCCAGACTATCAGGCAGCTCGGCAAGAAGATCGTCGACATGCGCAGGGCACACCCAAGTCCTCAAGACAGGAGGGTTGGCAAGCGGAGGATCGAGGCAGTCAATGTGCCACCAAAGACCACACAGGCTGCAGGGTATGATAGGCCTGTTGTCAGTGGCCGAAGTACTGCAGTTGTGGCATAGAGTAGCCCTGCCCTCCGGAGTGCGGATCCTGAAGAAGTCTGGAGGATCGTCGTAGACTCCACGCTTCCTGTAGCGATGATGTTCGTTAGTCTCTACAATGTCCAGCGAGACAGCACAACCACTGGGGGGCTGAGCGATACACGTGGACACATGTCCGACAAGATAGCAAGGGGAAGGGCGACATTATAGAATTGCCGTTGGACCAACGAGATTCGTTGGAAGCATGTTCCTTGCAACTTTATTTTGGGGGGTAATGGTGGCGCGGGCGGCACACACCGCGACGCTGTGTGCGGCAGTCCTTTGAGGAAAATGGAACAAAGGGGGAAGGAAATAAGAAGCAATCAACTTACTTGGTCTTGGAGGCGGGCGGCGCAACAGTCTCGTACTCGCCGTCGGTGCCAGTCTTGACACCCTCGAAGTAGCCACGAACATCGGCCGGAAGTCGAAAGGCACTAGAGTTCTTCTTCTCGATGATGTTCAAGAGAGTACTGAAGCAGCCCGAGTGCTGCGTCAAGGCTGCGGGGTTTCGGGTAACGAGACAGACGTTGCAATACCACTCGTCGGGCAGGGCGCCCTCGAGCAGCGGAGGATCCACGCATTTGAAGTGGAACGCCCGCGTGCATCCGTCGCAGCAGACCAGCTCGCCGTTACCGCCGCAGGATGAGCAGTAATCGTCATTCTCATCCTGAGAGTCATAATCGTCAGTCATGGAGGATTGGCAGGCTTGTTTTGGGATGTGAAACAGAAACGGGCACGCAGGGGGGGGGGCTGAGGACTGGGTAAATGATGGCAGATCGCCCGGGCTAGTGGGAAAAAATCTGGGTGCTTGGCTGGCTGGCTGATCCCCTCTACCACGGATGCTGGGTGTATCATCATCGACAAAAAAAGCCACATGCCAACAAAGAGAATGACAGGAAGGAGATGAAAACCTTCCCGACGTGATGGAAACCGATGGAAAGAGATGAAATTTGTTTGCAGTGCCAGAAACTCACCTGGTTGTTTGAGGGTCCGTTGGGGACAGGACTGCCACGCTCTCCACTGGCCCGGGGAACACCTGCTGACGGGCCTGCCTTCTTCTTCATGGGCCTGCGAATATGAAAATATGTCAGCATCTTGTCCTTTTCTGAGTAGTCCCGTGGAACTAAACGTGTGGTCTCCCTTGCTATGATGACTCTGGCCCTCTCGCACCCCGAGAAAGAAAGCTGATCACATTATCCCAAGTAGCGTAGCCCGGCCACACGCCAAGCGCACTCATCCAAGGAAACGCGTAGAATCATCAAAGCATCCATCTCCACGACTCTCATGTATAATGCCACAGGTAGAGGGGGGGGGATTAGCACTTACGAGTTCTTGACTCGAGGCCCAGTTCGCGGCTTCTTGCTGGCGCGAGGGTTGCTGGGCGTTCCCGCTCGCGAGTTCATGCGCGAGCTCGACGGCTCTGGCGGTGGCGGGAAGATGAGGGAGGTGGGCGATGCCTCATCATCGACATCATCGTGAGCCCGCTTCCGCGAGGACCTGGTGCTTCGCGTCGTGGGCCCGCGCGACTGCTGCGACAGCTGCTGCTGCTGCTTGGGCGTAGCCACCTCGGCTTCATCCAGCTCCCTGGCGGCCTTGCGCTTGGCCGGCACAGAGCTGTCACGGCCGTGGCTCTGACGACCGCCACGCACAAAGCTCTCCGGGGCGTTCTTAAGGCTCTCTGAGCAGTTGCGCGACGAGTTCCGGTACTGGGATCTCAGGTCCGTCTCGTCGGGAGGTCCAAACCTGCTGGGGAACTTGAGGGCGGCGGGCGCAGGGGAAGGGGAGGCCTTCTCGCTCCGACGCGTCTTTCTCGACGAGGTTGCGGGCTGCAGGTTGGGGAAGGAAACGGGATCGTCCACAAGAGCAGGCATACCGGGAGCAGCCGAGTCTGGGATGGAGGAGGGAGAGTTCGGGTTTGGTGTGGGAGACACGTCCCCATTCTTTTTTGCTGCCACAGAGCGCACCCTGGACGCTATTGGCTGGGTCGCGGCTGGTGCGCGAGAGGGCGAGCCTCCGGGTGCGCTAGGCCGCCCAGCCACGGCACCACCACGGCCACGGTCCTCCTCGTCCTCCATCTCCTCGTCGCCAAACTCGTCGGGATGCGAGACCGACTGGGCCGAGGACAGTGACGAGTCGCTGCCGACCGACAGGGCTCGCTGGCCGCGATTGCGCAGCGGCGACTCGAGGTGGGCTCGGCTGCTGCCGTTGACGCCGTGGCTGCCGGCCTTCTTACCGCTGGCAGGCGTGCTGCGCGTCTTGCCCGTCTTGAGCTTCTTGCTCACATGCGCGTCAGGCTCGGAAGCGCTCATCTTGGGCAGCTCGAGCTTGACGAGATCTCCGTAGGGTGCGGGTCGGGGTTTGTGGGGGGTGAAGCGACTGTTGGTGGAAGGCGGCACAAAATAATAACAACCTTTGTTGCCCTTTTTGCCTTCCTTTTTCTTGTCGTGGAGTAGGCGTTGGAATTTCCTGAGGGTTTCTGAGGTGGCGGTCTGTTGGAAGACCTGCTCAAACATGGACACAAAGTGAGGATTTGATGAGTTTTCGTCATACAGGGTCCTGAGGGCCCACGCGGTAGGGTAGCGAAAATGCCGTAGCGCTTCGTCCACGGCAGCCTCGACCACTTTGTCGACGTTCTCTTGGTTTTCGCTCCGTGGCAGATTTTCGTCTGCCGCGGTGGTGGTGGTGTGGTGCAGCGAGTCCGGAGCCGACCGCGAAGGGCTGGGTTTCGCCAGGCTTCTGCGGGTGACCTTGATCCGCCCCGCCGAAGGTGAGGAGGGAGTGGCGGCAGACTGATGCACGGCACCCGACGACTTTGGTTTGTAATCCCCGTCGTCGTCGTCGTCCTCTGCCACCTTGGCAGAATAATTGCGTCGCTTGGAAGGCACCGTCAACGCCTCGGGCTCCTGCTCGGTGGGCGCGGCGACGACAGCAGCGGCAGGCGTATTGTTGGTGGTGTTGGGCCTCTTAAGGATGATCTTCTTGCTCACAGGCGTGCTGGTGTCCTGTCCCACGGAAGACTCCCTCACCGCGGCCGCAATCAGCTTCTTGGACATGGCTGCCTTGGGAAGAGTCCCGAGAGGGGCCATGTTTTCCACCACGCCGTGACGCTGCAGCCCTATCTCCTGAAAGCTCGCCTTGTTCTGGAGCGGCGGCTCGAGCCATTTCTGCATAAAAGTCTTCTTGGAACCCTCCGTACCGTTCGACGCCGGGGCAGCTTCTGCAGCCCCGTTGGGTTTCCTCTGCGGACTGGAGAGCCTGGAGCGCGTGGCCCTCGTGTTGGACGAGACGGTGCTCGGCATCGTGAATCGGTTCGTCCCCCCTTTGCCCGCAAATGCAGCGAAGACAACACGCTCTTTGTCGCGCCTGTGCAAACGGTTAGCAATGGCCCGCTGATCAGATAAACGCATAGGGAGGGTCTGTAGTACTTCTCTGCTTGTCTAGGGCATGGGTTTGGGAGAGGGAAATCGCGTTGCTTAGCACGGAACGCGTGGGTTTCGAGTGTGGGAGAAAAAGGGTAGGAGGAGCTATGGGCAGTGGAATCTCGGGTCGCGAACTAGAGCCAGTTCGAGGACCAGGGGGGGTCCGCCACCTTAACCTTCCGCGGGAGCTGCCACACTGCACACTCACTCCACGACAGCACAAAAAGCCCACCGCCCACGCCTGATCTGATTGAATTTGCATTTTGCTGCATGCACATGCTATATCTACTTGTAGTGAAGGAGAGGGAAAAAGCAAATTGTGCAGCCTCCAGGCTCTCTGCCCACTATAAGTATTATGTGGCTCTTTGTCGCCGCCAGGGAACCGGAGGGGCCCCAGCCTTGGGAGCAGGCAGTGACTGACTGGCAGGAGGCGTCTCCTGTCTCAGTGAATCGAAGCCCTGTCTATTCCATTCTGCTCTGTCACCACCCCTCATCCTCGCCCGCCCACCAACACACCACCCCCCTGAGGATGGAAGCGGCCTGTACTGCATGACGCACACTTCTCATGGCACAGCAGGCTTGACACTGTTCTTGAACATTCTCGGTGAGCCCCCAGCTACCTCCCTCCCATGCATACCCTCCCGTGGCCGTGGGTAGGTTGGTCGAATCTCGACGACTAGACCTTGGATGTGAGCTCAGTGGTCCTCATGTAAATAATCTTTCCACCTCAAGGAAGAGCTGGCATACCAAGTCGAGTCACGTCAAGTCAAATTATGGAGCAGAAAATTGTCTTTGCTTCTGTTTTTGCTTTCTTTTCTTTTCATTCTCGACTGTTGCTATATCAAAGCTTCAAAGGGATCAATATCAGGAGCAGAGCCAAATCGCAAGTTGCGTTCGGCTGTCCCATATGCCGGGTGCCCTTGTGTATTTGCTCAGATTGCAACGATCATCAGGCCAAAAAGGCCAAAGCACATGCGATTCCACAACAGGCAGTCGTCGATCGGTGCACCAGCCAGGGCCGATCACGGGAGGCAGACCGGACCCAAAGCCAGATAGTGCTCCAGCTCTCCAAAAGCAAGCTTTTCATTTCGCTCCCCTTTGCGCTGTCAGTAGCAGACGTTTACTCGTCGTCGCTGTCCTCCTCATCCTCACTCTCCTCCTTGGCGGCAGCCTTCTTGGCGGGCTTCTTCTTCTTCTTGTTCTTGCTCTTGCTCTTCCCGGTGTTCCTGGACAGAGGCTGCTCAAGGATCTTGAGGATCTCCTCGTCGGTGATCTTGTTGTCCGTCTTGTACTTGCTGACGTCCAGAGGAGGGGCACTGCCCAGCTTGGTGATGCCATTCTTGGTAATGGCTATAGAACGAGAGTCAGCGGCGGGAGATGCGGGATTCAGGGGACCGTAGTCGGTAGGGCTTACCAATGGTGGTCAGGAGTCGGGCGACGGGAGCGCCGTCCTTGTCGCCGACCAGCTCATACTGGCGGAAGACGTTGCCACGGACACACTCGACAACACCAGACTTGGCGTCACGCTCGTCTTCGAGCTGCCTCAAGCTGAAGGGGAAGGTGCCGAACTTCTTCTGCACCTCGGAAAGGATCTTCCTCGAGGTCGGGCGCTTGAGACCGTAGGTCTGGGTGGTGCGGCGGTGGAGGGTCGCGCGCTGGTCAAGCTGCTTGACCTTGCCTGATCCCAAGCTCAGACCCATCTCGACACCCCAGACCTCGCCAACCGCGGGGACACCCTCGCCCTTGCCGCCCTCGGCAGGGGCCAGGACGATCTTCTTGGGGCCCTCAATCTCGTTGCGGTCAAACAGCCAAGAGGTGGTGCTCTCGACAATGTTGCAGTCGTAGCTCTTGGCCACCTTCTCGAGCAGGCTGGTGATCTTGGACTGGGTAGGGGCCTTGGCGGCCGCAGCCTTGGCCTTCTCCTCATCGGTGCCCTGGGCAAGCAGTCCAGGAGGGATCATGAGTCGCAGAAGGAGCTCGTTGGCATAGTAGTTGGCCAGGATGAGGTCGGCAGGACGGCCGGTGACAACATCTTGCTCCTTGTCCTGGGCAGGCACGAGGATGGTGTCGCAGACAATGGAGCCGAAGCCATCGATCTGAGCACCCAGCTGGATCTTGACAGGCTCGCCGGCCTGCAGCTCCGTGGCGGCCTCGGACTCGTCCGAGTTCAGAGGGGTGTAAGGAGTGACATAGGAGCTAGGAGAGATGGTGGTCGGGTGAGAGAAGCCTGTTCAGTCGAGGAGCGTCGGTCAGTGGACTGATCTCGGCTCGGTAGTCAAGGGGGACAACACGGCACACGACAGCTGCACATACCCTTGGTGATCTTCTTTCCGCGGTAGACCTTGCTGACCTCCTCCTCAATCAACTTGTCGCCCTTGTCGCAAATGTCGACAATCTTGGCGCCGGCGACACAGAGCTTGGAGACCTCGGCGAGGACCTTCTCGGAGATCTGAGCGGCGGTCTTGTACTTGGTCAGGGTGTCGGGGTTGTTGAGGGTGTAATCTGGCTCCGGCCGTTAGCTGACCCGGTCTCTTGAGCTGCTCGCTAAACTTTGAAAGGGGCCGAAAGAATCAATGCTCTTTTGCGCAGCTTGCTTGCGACTTGCAAAGCAAACCCTGCAAGCATCTTGAGCCATGATGGTGGGGTTATTTTGTCCACGCCTGCAAAAGCAACCCCTCCGGCACGTGTACATTCGCACTGCATGAAGATGTAAAAATACACACAAAGACTTACCGATCTCCTTCTCCTCGGTCGCCATTTTGACGGTTTGATACAACGAAACGGATCAGATAAAAAGCTGCAGAATGTCGGGGAGTGGGCAGGGCAGAGAGAATGGGTGGAAAAGTAAAAAGATCGAGGGAAGGTCGAACGAGTCAAAAGAGCTGGGACGAGAGTGGAGGGGAAGCTGTGGCAGGTGGTGGCCGGCAGGCAAAGTATTGACGGAGATTTGTGTGTATTTTAGGCCCTTACACAGCTATTATTCGCTTTCTCTTCCAATGCTCTCATTCGATTCATTCACACTGGCGAGGCGGGGGAGGGGTGTAAATCTGTGTGTACTTTGTGTGGGCGAGCACCGGGGCCACATAAGGGAACAATTGTACATTGTTTCCTTGCTAGCTTGTGTGCTGTCTGGAGGTACCTCTTTCCGTGGCATTTTAGGTAAAAATAACGCCCGCTTTTGAACCCAAGAATTGCTCGTCATCGTCTGGGCTAGGGCGCCTTCAAGAAGGGCCTTGGCTGGGTCTTTCACAAGCCTTTGGACAGTGCTGCAAAGTCAATGGGTCCAGCCACCTGGGTACCTAGTTACCCAGGTAGGTTCTAGCGGACTCGGGGCAGGCCTCGTTGCCCTCGCAGGCTCTTGTACTACCTAAAGTACCTAACCTAGGTACCTACCCAAGTACCAGAATGACTAGTGTGATTAGGTAAGGAAGGACCTTCCTAGCCGAGTACTTGGATCTGCGACCAGAGGTGCGGAAGCTTCAGCGAAACAGGAGCGAAAGTAATGTATCTAATGGAAAGTGGCTCGCTGTACGACTATACGATGCTTACGACAAAGTGATTGGGCCAAAACTTAGGCCGGTCAACGCTGGAAATCTCCGACCAGAGTACTCCGCACACTGGAACTTTTATGCACTGTATATGCGGTACAATGCTCACCATTCACCTGCAGTCCGCTATGAGTCATCTGCAAACAATACCTCTCTCCACAGTGTTGATTCCCTCACCGCCCAGCCACCCCTGGCCTGGCGCTGGTCAAACAGAGAAACCAGCCCGTCGCTCTCGCTCCGCTCTTCTCTCATTCGTGCCCATCCAATCCAATATCCAATCAAGCACCTGCATCAGGGAGCGCCAGCGCCAGTCGTGCCAGCTGCGCGCGATTCGAATTGCGAGAGCCAGCGACAGACCGCGATAATCTTTTTGCAGCCCTTCAGGACGGGACGGCCATCCACCACTGCAAACAACCTCCCTCCCAATTCATCGATTGCGCGTCCCGTGTCCTCGTTTGCCATCCTGCGCGCGCACAGGATCGCGCTCTTTCTCCCGGTCGTCGCATCCCGGCGGCGACTCTGCTGTTCGCCATGGCCACCGCCCAAGCCTCCTCTACCCCAGCCTCTGCCACCGGCCCCGACGCCGCAGCATCCTCATCCGCACCACACTCTGCCGCCGGCGAAGCCGCCGCCTCGTCTGACGGCGCGGCCAACAGCGCAGCCTCGTCTGTCAAGGATGGCGGTGCTGCCGCCCCGGCCTCCAAGGCCGCCTCGCCCTCCCCTGCACAGATGGCCATGCCCATTCGCGACAAGGAGTCTTACAACAGACTCGAGATCGACCGCTTCATCACAAGGGACTGGCTCCACTCCGCCGCGTTGGACAACTCCCAGGACCTCATGAAGAAGATCTTCCACCACCAGCTAGCCAAGAGTAAGGAATACATGGCCGTGCGGAGGGACTACAAGCAATGGTTCCCGACTACCAGGCTCTACGGAGAGGGCTACCAGGGCTACGGTAACGGCTTCACCGAGACTGGAGGCCCTTCGAGGATCGTCTACCCCCAGATGAAGCCACGCCCCGGGAGGAGGGCCACCCAGCCTGTAAAATACAGCCGGAAGGACATGAAGCTACAAGCAGAGCAACACGAAGAGCTTGTACCTGTGCGGCTCGACGTCGATTGGGACAAGGTCAAGCTGCGCGACACCTTCACCTGGAACCTACACGAGCGCGTCGTCCCCATCGAGGTCTTTGCCGCTCATCTCATCGAAGACATGGGCCTTAAGGCCCCCCTCGCGCAGCCCGTCTACGATCAGGTCCTCCAGCAAATACAAGAACAGCTCAACGATTTCTACCCCATAGTCTTCTCCGAAGAGGATGCCCTCGACCCCGAGCTGCCGTATTCGGCCTACAAGAACGACGAGATGAGGATATTGGTCAAGCTCAACATCACCATCGGCCAGCATACGTTGGTAGATCAGTTCGAGTGGGAGATCAACAACCCCAACAACTCTCCCGAGGAGTTCGCGGCGAGCATGTCACGCGACCTAGCATTGTCCGGCGAGTTCACGACGGCGATAGCGCACTGCATCAGGGAACAAACGCATCTTTTCACCCGTAGTCTGTACAGCATCGGCCATCCCTTCGACGGCCGCCCCATCGAGGATCCCGATCTCGTCACCGCCTTCCTCCCTTCACCCCTACCTACCGTCTTCCGGCCCCAGCAGCAGGCTAAGGAGTACGCGCCATACCTATACGAGCTCAGCGATGCGGACCTGGAGAGGAACGAGGTCATATTCTCCCGAGAACAGAGGCGCCAGAAGCGGTCGGTCAATCGGCGCGGCGGCCCACAACTGCCCGATCTCAAGGAGCGGCAACGCACTATCAGGACGCTTGTCGTATCCTCGGTGCTGCCCGGCGCCGCCCTGGACGAGGACGAGAGCAGGCTATACAAGCGCGCCGCCGGCACCGCCGGCCCAGGCAGGAAACGCGCCGCGCGCGACGGCGACCTCTCGGAGTCGGAAGATAGCGACGACTCGACGCCCGACTCGCCAGCCATGTCGCAGCTCCAGGGTACCGCACGCACGAGGGGTATGCGCGGCGCCGCATCGGCCGCCCAGCAGCGCATGGCCAACCTCGGCCGCTCCGAGACGCCCGAGGCGGGCACCATACACCACCACGAGACGCGGACGAACCGACGGGTCACGCGCGACCTGCGCGACTCGACCGAGGAGCCAGACAAGCTTATTGTCGTGCTGCGGCTGCCCAAGGAGAAGCTTAAGAAGATCACGAGCCAGGTCAGGTCAAAGCACTCGACGCCCTCGGGCATGCCCACGCCCGTCGTCCAGCACCAGCGCGCCCCGAGTGCGGCGGCTACCGGCTCCATGGGCCCTCCCTCCACACCCTCCGCCCTGAACCAGGGTTTGCCTTCCAAGTCCTCAACCCCGTCCTCCGTCCCCGCGGCGAGCCAGCTTGGCCGCGTCCCTGCTCCTCCACCCGCGCCACCAGGCCAAAGTGCACCTCCACCGGTAAGCTCAGGCTGAACTTTAGCCTCCCCAATCCCTTTGTCTCCTACCTCTTCCCATGTCGCTAACCCTCGTTTCTTTCTTATAGCCCCCACCTCCGCAATGGCTCACCGACGCCCTGGCCGCCCTCTCGCAGGCCTGGCCCAACGACTCGTTCGAGCCGGTCATGCGCTACTGCGCCATCAACGCCAAGACGGACCAGCCTCTGCCCGCGCCGGCCCCGGGCGCCCCGATCCCCGAGGATATGACCTTTGTCTACCTGCCGCGCATCCGCTGCCTCGACTGCCCGGGCAAGCTGTACACGCCCGGCCCGGAGATGGGCGTCGGTAACTTCGAGGTCCATCTCAAGAACAGGCAGCACCGCGAGAAGGTCGACCAGCGCGTCGCCCGCTCCGGATCCACGCCCTCCTAGTAGGCCCACAAGGACGGATGCGGCGGGAGTCGGGAGGAGGGCGAGAATGGGGAGGAGCGCCACTGCAAGCTTGTCGTTGTGCTGCGGCTGCCGAAGGAGAAGCTCAGGGCGATTACGAGCCAGGTTAGGTCCAAGCACATCCACGGGGATGTATACGGCGGGGAGGAGGACGATACGGACGACGAGACCACTGAGGATGACGACGAGAGCGAGGACGACGGGTCAGATGGGGACTACGTGGAAGACGAGGGCTACGCGGGCGATGAGGACTCCATGCACATAGACGATGACGGCTTCATAGACGACGAGGGCTTTGCGGACGAGGAGGACGAGGAGAAAGTTGTGTTTGTGAAGGAGCTTGTGGCGGTGGAGGACGAGGACGTCGAACACGACTGAGCTGGATGGAGGCTACGAGCACGTCGTGGTGGTTGATGAGCAGCCCTGCCCATATGCTTGTCAGAATCCCGGAACTGGAGAGAGAGAGAAACAGGGAGAGAGGAGGAGGAGGAAGAAGAAGAAGGGAAGTGATAGAGGTGTGGAGGCCGTGTTTTGTTTTACCTTGGGTGGGTTTGTTTCTGCCCCCCTAAAATCATTCTTCGGGAGTTCATTCTTGAGGAGAGCTGCGTCTTTTGTTACGTTTTCTTTTCTTTTCTTTTTCTTGGAGACACACTTGGGTTGCGTCGGGAGGTCGGTCTATGGAGTCAGTCGGAGTCTTGTAAAAACAAAAGAACACCCCATATACAGAAGTATTAACTACATCATTCGGTCGCCCTCTTGGGGGCCGGCGACGATGCAAGAGAAAACTCGACAGGACCGACATGTCATGCGGTGACTTGTGTAAAGTGATTATAGCCATTTGCTGTCGCTGCAGCGTCACAGGATGATAACGCGGTTGATTCCTGTCAGTGGATGTCGTGGCCATTATCACCCATTGATATGATTATTGCTTTTAAGTACGCTCAGCCAGAATAGTTGCCAAGGTAGGCAAGAATGTCCCAGCAGGTAAGCCCCCTGAGAAGTGCAAGATAATTATCCATACAGTCGAAGGGTATATATCAAAACATGCACACAACCAGCCAAGACAGAGAAAAGCGCACCACAAGAATCACAATACACAACATCGAGGGTGGATAGGCAGGAAGCTAATGACTTTTTTTCTTTCAGTGCATCTGCTCCAGCCTCAAAAGAGATGTAGGAAAATCAGACAAGTCGACAATGTGGTGAGGCGGGAACAGACAGACCAAGTAGCATAGAGAGAGAGAGAGGAAAAGAATACACCGGAGGAAACCAAAATCATTCGTTTCAATCATCCATATCGTACGCATCCTTGGCCGCCCTCCGCGTCGACCTTCCGCTCCTAGCAGGAGGCGCCGCCGCCTTTGCCGGAGCCTTCCCCTTAGCCGGTGCAGCCGCCTTTGACTTGGCCGGGGCTGCCGCGGTCCTACTCCTCCGCCCATTTGCCTTCTTGGGTGGCGCTGCTTCTTCCTCCTCCTCATCCCCACCCTCATCCTCATCCTCCTCTGCATCTTCAACTTGCTCCTCCTCCTCCTCCTTGCTATCCTCGTCCATCGGCTCAGGGGCGTCCTCGGCCGCGGACTGAGAACCGGCATCCGACGCGTCGCCCTCCTGCTCCTCGCCCTCGTAGGCCCACTCCGCCACGCCCTCGAGCATCTCGTCGTTGTCGTCGTCCGAGTCGCGCTCCACGTACGACTGGTTCGCCCCTCCCCTGGCGCGTCCGCTGCGCCGGCGCTCCGACTCGGGCACGGTCGGCGAGGCCGCCGGGGCCTTCTTGACGCGGGCTGGCGTCTTGGCCTTGGTGGTGGTCAGCTTCCGCTGCTTCTCCGCCGCCCGGGCCGGCTTGGGTGCGATAGTCCTGGCCTTCTTGGCAGGGGGGTGTGACTCGCCACGCTCAGCCATGGACTTGCGTTTCTGTTGTGTCAGGGAAGGAAAAAAGAAAGAGGTTAGCCCGTCTGCCCCATATGAATCGTATAACTTGCCAGGGGAGGAAAGTTGCGCCATACCTGCTTGCGATCGGCAGCACGGAGAAGCTCGTCCAGCTTCTCATCCATACCCTCTGGGAGGTACTGCTTCTCGGCGATTTCTTGCGCAGCTTCGTGGGATGGGAGCGCGGAGAACAGGCCGACCGGCAGACCGACCTTGCCGGGGTATGCCTCGAAATGCCAATTCCGCTTCTCCTGCCACTTTCGGATCACGGCCTGCGCAAGGTCGCAGAGCACATATATGTTCTCGCTCTTAGCGGGATCGATCGAGTCGCGCGTCTGCTTCACCCGCTCGGCATACTTGTGGATGAGACCCAGGTTCTCCTCCGTTGCGACGTTGCTGACATAGAAGACCAGATAGCGAGCATGATCGACAAGATCGTTGAGGTCGGGACTGTAGTCGGGATGGTGCGCGAGCAATGAGATCAGGCGCGCCATAGTGCCCTCCATGACCGACTGTTTCAGGGCCTGGAAGTAGTTGGTCCGGGAACGAACCCACGTCTCGATGCGCTGCTTAAACTCGGCGACGGGCTCGAATGCAGTGAGGAAGATAATCGTGTAGAAACGAGGGCGGAGCTTGCCCTGGACCAGATATTTCTGTAGTTTCTCAACGAAGCCTCGGCGGACCTGCGGATGGGCGTCCTGTGTCACCCATGCGAGATTGTTGAAGTCCATCGGGGTCAGCAGCTCGTCAAAGTGCTTGTGCTTGCACAGCTTGAGGATGAGTTGCGCAGCCAAAAGACGCAGACGGGTCTTGTGATGCTTGGGCGTGTCCTTGGTCTTGCAGATCTCTCCGTTCTTGGTCACCAGGGCCTTCAGCATCTTCATCACTGGCTTGGCTTTGACCTTAGCATCCTCCAAGTCCTCAGTGCCTAGGAGACGGTTCACAACCGTCTTGAGTGCGAGAATCTTAGCCTGGCCTTCCTCGTCGAGGTCGGCATCGTCGACCCACTCCGGGCCCTTCTCTTTCGCCTCGCCACGGACTTCGAGGAGGATCTTCTGGACAGTCATATCCAGGATCTCGTCATCCGCCTCTTCGGCTACCTTTGATGCCAACAACTCAAGCTGGCTGACGGCAGCCAAGGCATTGAGGAAGTTCTTCGAACCGTACTTCCAGCCCTTTGTGGCTTTTTGGAGGAGATCGGTGGCATTGACCATACTCTTGTTGTCCTTCTTGGAAAGAAGGATGTTGACAGCATACTTGGCTGCCTTTGGTGGCTGCCCATAGAGAGCATAGCTGATCAGAGTCTGTGTAAAGTTCTTGTCGCTCGGGATCTCCTGGGGGTATTTGTGGGCGTAAGAAGCGCAGGCTTTCAACGTATCGACCACCGCGGGTTCGTTCGGCTTGGTTGCGGTCGGTGCACGGCTCACGAGGTCCTTGCAAACCTCGCCAATGTGTGTCTTGAAGATCTCCGGATTGCGCGAGGACATCTCGTTCAATATCTCATGGGCAGCGGCGGAGAGGCCACTCTGGTCCGACTTCGAGTATTCAAGGATGCTGGCGATGTGGCTCCGGTTGAAGATGATATAACCAGAGCGGTAAAGGAGTGGGATCAAGGTATCAAGTATGACGGCATTGGCGCCCTGAAGCCGCTTGATCAACTCCTTGATCGCCCTGTGCATGACCTTGAAGTCGGACTCCGGGCTGACGACATACTTGATGAGCTGGTAGTTGCGGCGGTCGTTCGCCTTGGCAAACTTGGTAAGGTCTGACTTGAATTTCGGTTGGTCAGGGAAATACTGTGCAAGGTAGTCCAGGGTCTTTTGCATGTTGCCCAGGATTTGCGCTTCGTTTCCTTCCGTTACTCCTCCATTGTAGGCCTCCATAACCTTGATCATCGTCTGGATGATCGAGGCGAAACTCTGCTGCCGCCCCTGAAAACCGAAAAAGGCACGCTTGGCTTCGGCGTCAAGATCCCTGACCATCAGCAAGATACGCTCCGCCCTCACTGCGTCTGCGTCGAAAGACGGCGCGGCGGCAGTCTGTGACTGGGAGGCGCCGTTCGCGCTCTTCCCAGCTTTCTTACTCGGTGGATAGGACAACGGGACCAGATACTCAAAGGTGACGCGATCAACGAGGACATTGAGTTCATGATCGCTGGTCATTAGACACTTGAAAATCCGCAGAGGGATTGGAGACAGTGCCGCGCTCACGGCATCGTTGCCGGCCAGCAACTCGCCCGAGGCGGCCGCCCAGAGTTTGCCCAGCAGAGCCATGGCTTCAACACGGACATTTGACCTTTTGTCTCGGCATCTGTCCGCAAGGCTATTGAGGACGGAGCCTTCCTTTTGCATGCCACCGTTGGGGGCGATCTTTGTAACGATGTCTCGCAGGCTGAATGTTTCGAGGGCCTTGATTGCGGCCAGTCTGACCTTCTCATCACTGTCCAGTAGCTTCTCTCCCAGGCCCTGAACCAGACTGATCTCCTCCTCACGATTGAGCCCGATCCCGCCGGCAGAGGTCGAGATGATGTAACCCACAGCCAGAGTCCAGGATGCTCGAATCACAGGCGACTTATCGTTCTTGCGGCTCACGAAATTGTGATAGGCTCCCGCGTGCGTCTGGGCGAAGGACTGAGGTGACCGTGGTGTCGTCAAGACGTTGGTAGACGGAGACAGGGAATCTTCATCAGCAAGCCTGGGCAAGGGGTAGATGGCGGGATCTACGTGAGGTAGTGGCGGCGGACCGGCCGCTCCAATGCCGGAGATCATGTCGCCAAGCGTCTCGGTGGCGAGCTGTCGCAGATGCACGTTGTCCGCTGACAACTCGGCGTCCAGCTGGGCGATGACATTTTGCAAGACGCCCGGTGCAGCTCGCCAAAGCTCACGGAGCAGCTTATGCGCCTTCCTGAGCTCCCTCAGGTCTGCATCTGAAGGACCCAGCATGTCCTCGTCGTCCGAGTCTGCACCACCCCGTGGCCCAGTAGATCGATTGGTAATGCCAGAGAAGTCCATGATGACATCACTGAAGTACTGTGCAACAAATCGTGACATCCTCTCGGGACAATTGTTGCAAATGGACTTGGCCATCTGATATGCCTCTGGCTCGTCTTTGAGAAGCAGTGTAGACTGATTCTCGTCGACGTCTGCCGGCCTGTCTCGACCGCCTGGAGCAGCGGCCCGAAGGAACTGAGCCATTATGACATCGACAACCTTGGGCGGCAGGTTGGTCCCTTCTTCAATCAGGGTCACGAGAAGCTCGCCCATGCGCCGTATAACGTCGGCAGGGATGCGATCTCCCGAGGGCGATTTGCTCCCGGAAACGGTGTCGAACAGCGACGAGAACAGATTGAGCAGAAGAGTGTCATTGTTATCGACATCGTTCAAGAGCACAATGCTCTGCACGTCAGACAGCGAGTCCAGGACGTACTTGTGCTGGGCGTTGTACGTGTGTGAGGGGTCGGACAGGGCCGGGAGGATGGAATTGATGAACAGACTGAAGACGTCCTGTCGCATTGCGCGAGTTAGCACACACCGTCCAAAGTCCAACGTTTCGCGGCTGACAACCAACCTTAAGCTGCGCGTGTGTGAAGGGAGCGTGTGGCGCGCATATCCTCAGAATGTCGACAAGGCAGCAGGCAGTGAATGCCTTGACGCCCTTATCCTTGTGGCCCAGCAGGTTGTGGGAGACGAGCTCCTTGGCCACTTTAGTGACCGAGTCCTTATCGGTGGTCTCCTGCTCCAGATCCACGAGCTCCTTGGAGAGGGCATCGAGTCGGCGGTGCAGTTCGCTGGCGGGAATGGCCTTTCCCGCGCGCCAGGACAGGGGCTCATCGAACTGCAGCTTGACGAGGCCAGCCTCCTGCTCCTGCGGCCCCTCATCTTCGACCGCGTGCGCACCGCGACGAGGCGCCATGTTGTTTGAGAGAATTCTCCTTGTTCCCTCTGATCCACAGGTCGATTGCTGTGCGAGACCTTGGTTCGGTGGCGGTCGGCTCGCGAAAGATTCACCCGTCGTCGCAAGTAGCGCGGCGCGCGTATCGGGATGCAATCTAATAAATCCGGACCAAGCGCTCGGGAGCGCACTACAAAAGTCGCGAGCTCGATTGACACAAAATTGGGACGAGAAGAGCTGTGGGCGACAGCGCCTGGCAGTGGCAGTTGAATTGTTCTGTGCGGGGGCCCAAAAATGAAAATGAAAAGAGGATGGCGGGCTGCAGCGCCGGGTGGTGGGTGAGGTGAGGTGGTGATGAGGAAACACAAGCACCAGGCGAATTTGGAGCTTTGGGCAAGGTCCACGGCAGGTAGGGTCGGTCAGAGGTATCGTGGCTCGCGGCAGACCAGCCCAGCGCAAAAGACATCCATATCCCCAATCTTGCTGCGACGCGACTAATTGGGTACCCGCTACATCTGCCCTCGTCTCAGCGCGACGCTCGTGTGGGGAGCCAGCCAGGGAGACATAGACACACACAAGTTGGAGGTACCTCGAGCTTAGGTAATACAGAGCCACTCTCGGGTGGTAGGGGGGTTCTACACAGGCTTGCCCAAGAGGTACATCCCGCCTCTCCAGCAATGTCTCCACCCGATGTACCTCACACCCAGCAACTCTCAACCTCGTACCTTAACATCCGGAGCCTTGCCAACAATCTTATATTCGTCCCCCTCTCGATGCAGACGAGACCTAATCTGTATAGAAAATACTGCTAGCAAGCATACACATATCTCTGAAAAGACTACACACCTTCTTGCTTTACATGGACAAGAGCTTTGCAATAGTTAACCAGGGAGATAGGACTGTACTATTTGGTGGTAAGGACGCGGTATGTACAAGAATATGCCCCATGATAAAATATGCCGTGATAAGGCAGTATAGACTTCACATTGGAGGATTGACATGAATTACTTGAGATTCACTCTCTCCAAATGCCAGCTTCTTTCCAAAGTGCGTTCGGATTGACACAATATCCAGATAATTGCCCAGGAATTGATACACTATTTCAAGCTGAGTCTATTCCTCTCAACTTCACGTCTTCACAATTACACAGTTAGTTACCTGCTGCTTATTATATGATACAAAAGTCCTAGTCCATACCAGCACCTCTAGATATAGGAGTGAAACACCTCCGGTCCTGACGCCTTTGATCTGTGACCACATTGAAGAACGGCAACGGGTACGCACAAAGTATTTCGCATCATCAAAGACCGGGACAACCCTTCTTTGTCACTTGTAGAGCACCATCATTCACGGGACCGCTGCTCCTCGGTGACAGCCAAGATTTCCTAAATAATCCCGCCTTAGCCCAGCAGCAGCCTTGACTCCGAAGAGCTCTATGGGACCTCGCTGCCCACATTATGGGCTTTCCACACCATTACACATGAGAGATACAGTGTAGTTGAACTCAACACTAATTGCTGGGACGTAACATCTCGATCAACATCGGCCTCAACATAGACTGTCGGACTGATGTTAAAAACTTGCTTCTGCATCTCTAGTGCTCTTGGATTTTGCATTCGGCCTGCCAGAAGTTTCCCAAATCTGAGAACTGAATATCTATGTCTAATCTCCCAACAAGAGCAACCTTGCCCCTCTCTCCTTGCCCCCTACTGTATCTTGGGCCAACACTTGATCGACAACACTGCCCGTACACAAGACTGATAGTTGGCAAGAACTGGGCATGTCCACCTAAGTTTATATGTCCTTGTGCTACATATGGCAATTGGACTTGGAGTTTTGCCTTGGTGAAATCAAAGCTTGATCGCTCTCGAGGACATAATTTTGAGTATCTGTCTCTTCCTTGCTCCTCTGGCCCTGGGTTTCCGGTAAATTGATAATGAAAGAGCCCTTGGCATCTTAGTACTTTGGCTCTTTCAAGTAGGCAACACATCTGTTGTTCTTGTCCTTGTTTGATGTTCCCTTGTGCAGCCCAGAGAGCAATCCTGAAGGCCAAGACACAACTCTGATAAGACTTCCACATCATATCCCAGACTGTCACTTGCGTCTCACTTTCATCTCACTTTCAGATTAACTTTCTGAACTGTTTACTTGCCAGCGTGGACCATCTGGGAGAACGCGTCTCGAAAAATAAAGCACAAGCGAGGCCTCAGGTTGTCCACGCTCTAATCAGCTGGTGATCTGCCTGCTCCAGCGTCGACTATTTCTTTCTCCCCGGCTGTCCATCTACCATCTCCAAACGTTTCCACCTCCAACCTCCAGCTTTCTCTTCGCACACCCCAACGAGATCCATCAATTCCCATCTCTCAACCCCTTCACTGTCATCAACGGCAATCTCGATCTCGCGATCAACCTCATCAGCTTCAAGCACCCAGTAAGTCCAAACAGAGCTCCATCTCCTTTTCCTCCTCCGCAGCCTTATCCCCTCCCCGCTCCCCGACCCATTCTCCTCCCCCAAATATCGCGATCCAGGCAGGTGTCACACCGAGCAAACGTCAACACCAGACGCGTGTTACGCGATAGGGCATCACAAGAGTGTTGATATCCGCCCGAACTTTGCCCGAGAGGCTGCCCTGAGCACCGATCTGTAATCTCCTTCGCACATCTGCGTACCACTCCTTGCCCCTCCACAATTTCCAGCACAAAATCCAACTCCCCTTTATTTTCCTGGCTGCCTTCCATCCACCACAGCACCTCGTCTTCCACCACCCACCCACACTCTCTTTCAATCCTTCAACAACATTGATCACACCCACACCCACACTCTTTTTCTTACCCATCCACCTCCTCCCTTGACATCTTCTCCCATCCACACTCTTTGAACAACCATCAATCATTCATCCACCCGACACCCCTTTCCATCCACTTTACTAACTCACCAAAGTCATTCATTCAACGACATTCACTAGTCGAGATGGCTTCCATCAACGAGAAGACCGCCTTCACTGTCGCTCATGAAGAGCAGGAGCAGCTCCCTGTTCCCGTCATGGCTGGTGGCACCGGCCATGCCGCCACCAGCAAGTCTGGCATGATCGTCTGGGGTCTCAAGGCCCTTCTCACTGTCTGCTGCCTCGGTCTGGGCATCACTCTCCTCTGCCAGCTGGCTGCTTGTAAGCACATCCCTCTCACCCTGACCTCACCTTGGCCTGACATGTTAACTGGTTTCCAGCTGAGGCGTCTTTCGCCGACCTGGCCAACAAGTTCTACTCCCTTGAGAAGATGGTTGACCCTAACGGCACTCTCACTCACACCAACCTTGCGCGCGATCTCGGTCTCGCTGCCGATGGCACCTCGTCTACTTCGTGCCTCTCTGAGATCACTCTGACTCCTGGCTTCACCACTCAGACTGCGCTCCCTGTTCAGGGAACTCAGGATGCTGTCTTGTAAGTTGTGATCCCAGTTGCGATCCCTTGCTGTGGCACTTCAGATCAAGAACCTTTGTTGACAACTCTTCTCTTCCTTCAGGACCTCCTATGAGACTATCTACACCCAGACCACTGTCACTCTGACCTCTGCCATTGGTGATGCTACTCCTGCTATCGACGGCTACACCAGCACCACTACAATCACCGAGCCGTCCTCCACCATGACTGTCACCATTGCCTCGGCCGAGTCTGGTGCCGACTGCTCTGCTGGTGTTCCCTCGACTGTCACCATCTATGTGACTGGAACTCCCGAGTTGGCCACCCCGTACGAGACCACCTCCACCGCAACTGGTCTCCCTGATAGCATCTCGCATGTTCTTACCACTGTCTACACCACCCTGACCTCCACCATGGGCGACGCCGAGACCGTCATCACCTCTCAGATCGTCCAGACTGAGACCGAGATCGTCACCATTGGCCTGTACTCTTCTTCCTCTTCATCCTCCTCGGACTTCTACGAGACCTGGTCCGTCGATGGCGCCAGCGCCAGCGCAGAGCTGTCTTCTTCCGCCCTGACCACCACGACCACGACCGCCCCCGTCGTCGCGCCGTTCCTCACCACCACCATCAACGGCTCGACCTACGCCAACATCACCAGCGGCGGCGGCAGCGGCTACCTGTCGCTCGTGACCGCGACCTACACCTCCACCGTCCTGGGCAGCCACAACGCGAGCTTCGTGCCCGCCACGGCCACCCTCGCCCCCTTTTCCGGCGGCGAGAAGCTCGCCTGCCCCCTCGGCAAGTTCATGACTGGCGGCCTTGGCGGCATCGTCGTCGTCGCCGTTCTCATGACCGCTTTCGCCTAAATTTTCTCTTCTCGTTTCTCGAGAGGAGGTGTGATTTTCTTATCCTCTCCGTTACTGTCTCTGCTCACTTTCACCAACTTTCACCTGGCAATCTTCTGCTTCTGGCTTTCTTCTTCTGGTCTTTTCAATAATTCTGGCAAGGGAAAAATAGGGCAGCAAGGGGCTTTGGGTTCTCGGGGGAATGGGCAAGGGACTTGGAGGGTGAAGGTTTTCGCACTGGCAAAAGCCACATTGTATGGGGATGAATGAGACAAAAAGGGAATTTGCGATGGTTTGTTTGTCTTTCACATGGGAAATTACAAAAAAGGGAACACTTCTTTCTATCCTGCTTTCGTAGTCTATCTCGTCTAGAGACGGCATCTCACGAAATAAAAGGATCATAGTCTGTATCTTTGTGTCTGACCACTCCTCCACTCTGTATGTTTTCTTCAATGATTTGGAGGCATGCCAACTGGGGACCCCAGTATTTATTCTCACATGAGAGAGAGACTCCGGATATGAAGAAAAGCAAAGTCGAATTATCAAGAAGGTAGGCTTTGAATCCGAGCCGGGCTCAAAAGAGGTATCTACTAATTCCATAGAAACGCCGTACCCATACGCCTTACCCATTTACACACCCGTCCTTTCCCTTGTCCTTCCCCCTCCGTTTGCCGAATACCCCAAGACCAGAAAGAATATAACCATGATAAATTCTTCCTCTCCCGAATCCAAACAGGCAGGCCATGGCATCAAAAGATATGCATTTTCCGCCCTTTTTCCTTTCCTCTTTTTTTTTTTTTTTTTTTTTTTTACCGCCTCTGCTGCTGCGCCTGCCTCGACTTCCAGCTGTCCTTGATGCTCTTGGCCGCGTCGAGGAGCTCCCGCTCGCCCACGCCGTCGCGGATGCTGTCCATGACGCTGCTCACAACACTAATGTGATTGGCCTCGAGCTTGTCGTCGCGGAAGCGGTGGATGCGCCACCGGCCCTGCTCGTCCATGGCGCACTCGACGACGCGGTTGACGAGCGGGTCCCCGCACGCCTTCATCGCCTCCCAGTCCTCCTCGGACAGGAACAGCTCGGCGAAGTAGCGGTAGGGCTCGCCGCCGCCGCCGTCGCCGTAGAAGGCCCACAGCTCCGCCTGCGGCACCGAGTCGTAGTCGACGTAGGGCGCCGTCACGCCCTCGGCCGCGTCGTCCTCGTCGGGCTGGACGAGGGGGAAGTGCAGGCGCAGGCGGAAGTCGACCGTGTTCTCCGTCACGGGCTTCCACTTGAGGATGTGCGGGTCCGTGCCGGGCCGGTACTCCGAGTCGCGGCAGGTGAAGATGAGGCCGTCGTTGCCGTGCTTGAGCGTCGGCAGCACCTGGCGGAACATCATCTCGATACCGTACGAGAACTGCATCTCCTTCATCTCGACCTTGAAGGCCATGTAGCGCGCCTCCTCGGGGAACTGCTCAAAGAGTGCCGAGTAGGGCTTGAAGACGTTCTCCTTGAAGTAGCCGAGGCGCTTGTCGAGCGTGCGCTCCATCAGCGGCTTGTTGTCGAGCACGATGCAGTCAAAGACGAGGAACTTGGGCTCCATGACGCCGCCCCCGAGGTCGTCCATGACGAGCTCGCCGTCGACGAGGGTGTGCGTGTGGAAGGCCTCGATGTCGTTGGGCAGAGGGAAGTGCAGGTTGCGGTGGTTGAGGTACCAGAAGTCGTTCTTGCGGTCGATGAGGTAGTGGCACTCGCGCCCAGACTCGTCGGCAGTCAGGTAGAGCAGGTACCGTATGCCGTCTGACTTCTCGCAGACGTAGTAACTACGAGAAGCAAAAGGCGCAGTTAGATCATGGAAGGGGCCCGTCAAAGAGTGTGGTTTGTTGCAATCGCAAACTTACTCTTTCTGTCGCAGCTCGTCTATGTGTCTCCTTGTGAAACTGACAGGTTGGGCACCGGGGAAATTCGTCTGCGAGCGCTTCATGAGCGCTGCGACCTCTTTGCGCAGGTTCCAGAGCAGCTGGCCCTCGGCCTTGACGCCCGGCGCATCAATGGCTTCGATCTTGCGGGCCGCCGAGTCCATCGCGTGTCATCTACTGGTGCCTGTCCTTCTAAGGGAGGGTTGATGAAGACTGGAAAGTCCTCAAAAGCGTAGGCACGATCGCGTGCGAGGAATTCGATCTATCCCTCGAGGGATTCGCTTATACGATCAAGCGGCGTTCATTACGTGGTTTGTCGTCGAATAAGTAGGACGACGATCAAATGCTGGTGTTCAATGTTCAAAGGCCATCCCCAAAATCCCTGTTGAAAGCTTATCTTATCGCTCATTTCGAGGTGGCCATCCAGAAAGCTTGAGTGGATATGGCTGTACATACCAGCCGTCTCCAATAATGGGCCAGAAACCCACAGACCAAGATTCAAGTCACCACTAGGGCCCGGATATCAATGTCATGCGGTCAAGCTGCCTCTGCCATTGAATTGGTGATGATTGTCAGCGTTCCGAAGACATTTAGGAGTGTTCGCGCCCATTGTGGGAACAAGGGCTCCAGGCCAGAAAGGATAAGATTGATCTGCTATGACTTCTAGAACTACCTAAACCGATGCGCCCAACGAAAAAAACATGCGCTCACTTACATGCGAATGACTACACTGGAATTAGTGAGAGGGAGCACTGCCGTCTCATCGATCATAGGATCCGTCGTCCGCTATGGCCACCTGAAGCGCTCTACATTGCTCACGACTCGTCTATTTTGTTGACCTCGGTCTTGGCCTCCTCCCAGGTTTCCTTGTTCTTCTTGGCCCATTCAATGTAGCTCTTGGCGTAGGCCAGCTGTTCTCAATGTTAGTATGGTACATCGCAAACGAACCGTGAGACAGATGATACAACATACCATGTAGCGTTTGACGTCGTCTTCCTTTTCCTTCTGGAATCTCTTAAGGTCCTTGAGAACACCGGCGCTCGCATCCTTGACATCCTGTGCAGACACGACCTGAGCTTGCTCAAGCTGCTCGATAGACTCTCTCGTCTTGGTAATGGTGTCCCGGCGCGTGCGCTCGGGGTCTACATCCACGACGCCTTGGACAGCATGGCGGATAGGACCAAAGATTCGGTTGGTGATGGAGTTCCCACTGGGAGCCTTCTTATGGCTCGGCACGCTCGTGCTCCTCTCGGGACTACCGATCTTGGCCGAAGGCGCCGACGAGAAGTCGCCATGCGTAGGAGGGAAGTCGGAATCGATGGATGCAGTGTCCTCCTGATTGCCTTCTCGTGGAGGTGACGAGGTTGGCGGTTCTCTCATGCTGGACGACCTCTTGGGTGGTTGTATCTGCTGGCTTCCGCTCAGGTACTGGTCGATACGGCGTGCTTCAGCCTCGCTTCGCTCGAGCTGATCGAGCAGCGCACGCTTCTTGTTCAACTCGTCGTTTGTCATCTCTTGCTGGACACGCTTCAAGATTCGATACCGAAGAACGGTTCTGACAACTCCAGCGAACTGGGCGTTCTCTCTCATTGGCTCAGCGAAGCTTGCTCCCAAAGAGCTTGACAACTCCTCGGTAGCAATGTACGACGAGTCGGCAGCCTGGCCGACCCTCTCAATGGCTGGTCCCAGGGATGGAGCTTGCTCGGAGAGCGCAAAGCCGTTGTATCGAGCACCGAGTTCGGAGAGATCAGATGCGAGCGCCGAAAGATGGCTCAGCGTACGTCGGTTGACTTTTTCCATGGGTCCTGTAAGCAGTTGTTCGAGGTCCTTGATCGATGCTTCGAAACCAGTAAAGTATGGATCAAGATCTTGCTCGCTAAGATTGCTCGAATCTGGAGGGAAACGAGGAACTGCCTGGCCGCCTGCGCCTTGCGAGTGGTCATCGTGATCAACTGTCCTGCCGGCATCCACCTTCAACTTTGCAGATGTAGAGGGGACCGGAAGGTAACTGTGAGCCACAGTGGGATTGGCCGGGTCCAGAGGCGGTGCCTTCAGGATCGATTTGGGGACTGATGCGACAGGGTGCGCATGCAGTACCTCGTTCTAAATCATGTCAGTAATCTTGCAAGAGAGCGCGGAATGAAGTCCTAATTACTTACCCAGCTGGCATTGGGGTCGAGGAATCTCCACCAAACGCCGTCCGTCCGAACCTGTTCCATTCTTCGGCACCGGTTCAGGAACACTGCGAGCATGCGTTTTCGCAAGTCAATAATTTGCTGGTCACTCTGCGCATTTCGAGGACTGGCGGCGTAGTCGGCCATAGTGTGCTTCTCTGGAATTGGGGGGATAATGAGAGTTGGATGAAGGCGAGTGAGGGCATCTCGGAGAGAGGCAAATTCAGAGTATCGCCTGCGCACCTCGAGGTCCTGTGATGTGACGGTTAGCTGGTACTGGGCGTTGGAGGACAGATGCGACGGCTTACCCCTGTACGAATGGTGTAGACAATGTACTTCCCACCGCTCTCCAGGCTCTTGCCAGCATCTGTGATCAGAATGGGTGTTTCCGGATTCTCGTAGAGAATCTGCTCGACCCGACTGTCATAGCCGCCGGGTTTTCGCCTAGGCACGAGTTCGCTATGGGTCTGCGTCTGTGACTCGCTCTCGTCTTCGCCGCTCTCTGAGGCTCGAGCATACGAGGGGCGCTCAGGCTCCGCTTCGTCTCCAGTGGAGGAAGGTGTCCGAGGAGCATCGAAGCCGGTCTCTAGAACCTCCCAGTCCGAGTCAGCGTCATCGGAAGAGTCGCATAAGAGTACCGACTCCATGGTTGACTGGTGATTACGTAGGAAGATGGAGAGGGCAGAAAGAAGGGGAAAATGAAACTCGAGTGAGGAGTAGGTTAGACTCACGGCCAGTAGGAGAAGTCGGGTTGGCTATCGAAGAGTTGAAAGAGTCCCTACGGTCAAAGCTAGCACCGTAGGGATTATTGTCCTCGTCATTCCACATCTTTGCCAACCTTGGAACCCCAGAGTGACAGGGTCCGCAACGGGTATTGAGGTCCTTTGAGGCTAGCAGTCACCAAGAGGCCAGTGGTTTGATTTGTTTGGATGACTGGTCCCCGTGAATCTGGGAGCCTGCAACGCAGCACCTGCTCGGGCGGCAGCTCGTGTGGGGGCGGGGTGGATAGCTCGGAAGTGGTATTTGCGCGCAGCGAGCCACGGTAGATGCAGCAGGTCGGCAGAGGCTTCACACGGGTACGTCGCCGCCGTATGCGGTCAATGGAGGAGTGTTCACGTCGAGAGGGCAGCGGCGCAAAGAGGCTGGGAAGAGGCCGACTGTCGTGATGTTGATGAGGCGGAAGCTTGTCAGTAGCGCCGCCAGCAGGGGAAGGCTTGGCTTGGCTGGCACTCCGGGCGAGCAACTGCACCCACATGCGAAGCTAACCCAAAAGCTGGCTTATTACGGAGCAGAGGCTATGACGACGCACAACACCACACCAGGGACCACCTTGGCGCACAGACCATCTATATACCTACCTGCAAGTACCTAGGAATTACAGAGACTCAACGCCAAACTTCATGAAATTCTGAACTGAACAGCGCGATAATTAATTCCATTCCTTAAACTCTCCAGAAATCCAGATCATCATCTCTTCTGACTACCCATTTTATGACTATTTCCCGAGTCTGGGCTATTTTCACATGGGATCGACTGTTGACTGGAGTTAGCTGTGCACTGGTATCTGAATGGAGGGCATAACCTTGCACACACTAAAAACAAATTGGTACTTAGCATGTAATTACTGTACTGATCTCAACAACCACCGGTTCATTAGTGTAGCGGTTATCACTCTGGATTCGTATGTTCTCCCATGTCCAATAATCTCCACAGACTTAAAACTAACCTTAAATCAGTGATTCCAGCAACCCCGGTTCGATTCCGGGATGGACCTCAAATTGTTTCTTTTTTGCTCCTTTTTTTCTTGCTTTTTTTTTTTTTTTTGGCGTACTCTTTTTTTACTTGGCCTTTTTACCTCGAAAGGTCTGGTACCAAACTATCATTAGTGAATTTATTTGAAGAGAATGATGAATCACAATTCAACAAGCCCGCTCATAACACATGCATTCCAATGCCGTTTGATTGAGGTGGCCTAATAAGCATGTACAGACTCTGTCTAAGTAAACGAACCCTAACTCTGATGTCATTCCTCGACCTTGCTCCCTATTGCTAGAGTCTCACAACGTATGCCCTCTTGGTACCTAAATCAGACAAGATACCAGAAGACTCGACCTTCATCGTGACATTCACCTTTAAACAGAAGGGTCAGGGTTTCCTGAAGGCTTTGGTTACTCCTCCCGCTTCTCCTGCTTCTTTCGGCCATTGGTCCGTCGAGTCGGTCGCGCGTCAGAATAGTCTGATCCGGCTTCTGCGACCATGCCAGAGGACAAGGAACGGTAAGTCTCTGCGTCCGAGTGCACCGATTGGTTGTCTGCCTGGTTGTGGTCCCGAGCTGGTGTAGGGTGCGGTCGTACCGCTTGGCCATCCGGGATCACCCCGTCGTGTCGATATGGGCCGTGGCGATTCTCGTAGACCATCCTGTACCACTGTCAGCATCATATGGAGCAGTCCCTGTGCGGCCTGGTCTCACCTGGTTTCGTCATCATCTTGGGCGACCTTGCGCCTCTCGTCACCCTGACGGCCATACACTCTCTCCTGCGAGCGTGGCAAGCCGTGTCGAGGGTTGCGAACCTCTTGCTGTTCTTCAGCAGCCTTACCCTGGGCTTGTAGCGCTTGGGGCACGAGTTGTGCGAGACGCTGGCCGATCGTTGCGCCTTCCTCTCGTGGCTGGTCCTCGCTCACGCTTGAAGCCGGGTAGGATGGGGTGGAGGGTCGAAGTGATCTGTGGATAGTTAGCTATGAAACACTTTTCTCTTCTCGGGGGTACTCACTCTGTCGATGGAAGGCGACGACCACCAGCAGGTCGGGGCTGTGATGTAGCCTGAGGCCTTTGGCCATCAGATGCCTTTGGCAAGACAGGAGTACCCATCTGTGCGTCTTGCCTCCTGGGAGGGACGATCTTGTCGGCGGAGATGTTATCTCGGCTATGTTCTTGTCTATTGGCTCTCCTCGGCGTGCATTGTTGTCTGGCAGGGTTGCGAGACTTGCGTTTGGTCTCATACACACTAGAACTTCTCTCCAAGGTCCTTCCTCTTGACAGAGATCGAGACCTGGAGCGGGAGTTTTCCCGTGAGGCTCGGGTTGATGGGGTGCTAAGCAGTGTCGAAGCTCGTCCAGGAGGTGGATGCGAGATCGGACGATGGTCCCGAGTGAACCTGGACCAGAACGAACGCTTCGGGGTATCCACTGGCGTCTGATGAGGTGCAGGCTGACTCTGCGGGATGACTGGGGGAACCGAAGGGCATACTGGTAGAGGCTGCAGGAGAATTGGATGGCCGTGCATGACATGAGTGCCATTGCCAAAAGGCGCTGTAGATGAGAAGAGAACTGGACCTGGGTGGCCGGTGTTCATCTGGCCTTGAGGCTGCTGTAGTCCAAGGGTGCCGACTCCAGGAGGAGGAGGAGGAGGAGGAGGAGGATGGGTAACAAAAGGGGGCTGGGCAACTGGTGGAGGACGCTGAACCTGAAACGGGTGTTGGAAGAGGCCAGGAGGCTCAGTTTGCGTCGCTGCTACTCGATGTTCAGAGCGCGTTGAAGGGTCGGGTTTGGAATTATCTTTCTTTCCACGCATGCGCTCCATGAACTTGCCCCAGAATCGGCTCTTTAAGTGTCGAGGCAGAGGAGTAGTAGGCTGGGGTGTAGGATTTCGGCGGCGACGAATCATCACCATCTCCCATTCCGGATCATCCTGTGCATGCTGTGGGCGTTTTCTCAGGACCACATACCAGTACACCAATGCTAGAATGACAATAGTCGTGACAATGCAGAATATGGCACCGGTCTGCTGTGCGTTGTTCAGACAATAGAAGCCCGAGCAAGGCGCCATGATGAGGACACGTCAGGTATTGTGATTGTTGTAGGTGTTGAAGTTGTATGGTGTAGGTGACGCTCCAGTCCGTGATAGTTGAGGCAAGAATGGCGGTGTTTTGTCGCCTGGAGAGAGGAGGAGGACTAGTGCGTTCAACCTGCGTTGGATATTCTGAAATGGATTTGAGTACAGAAAGTGATCACAGAAGTGAGAGAAACTTCGCCAGGCCGAGCCGCATTCAACATGTCAGTTTTTTGCAGACCAGGTCCACAAGGAAGAACACCTGACCACCCCATCACTTCATTTTTGTTTCTAATTGTTTGTGACCAATGATGAGCATTCATCCAGTTGTTGGCAGGCTCGAGAGTCATTATATCCTATGTCAAATCTGTGAAATTGATTTCAACAACCAGGCTGACTCTTCCACATGAAATATCCTCATAGACTCACAAGAGTGGGTATATACATAAACATGATAAAGTCAATGTCGGAGATTTGGGATGAAGACCTCTTTGTCCTGCCTGAACTGCATCTGGGCCGCACCCGAGCTTGCCTCACACTGAGGAACTTTGTGCTGGCATCAGACATAAGTCGACACCGGCTGATCATTAGCGAAATCAAGGAGTCATAATTGTATCATCCCCTTGTTACACACAAAGGCCCAGTAGTTGTGCTACTTAGACGGAGGTCTACAGCAGTTATACTTATTTGTCATGTCGTGTAAGGCCTCCCTACTAACGCTCATTGTATCTACAAACTTATCGCTATCGTAACGAGTATGCCCTGATTGCGTCGATATCCTGACTCCTCAATACTATCTCTCTCAGTCCCGCTAAACTAACAGGTTGATTATCATGGAGTATGAAGGAACTTGGTTGTTGATTCATTTAGAATATCAGAACTGTGTGTAATCATACAATCTCGTGCAATCCACACTGCCAAGTGCCTGTCAAAATGATCCCTTACCTCGGTCCCGGACCTTTTTGTTTTTCCTTTTTGAATTATTTCTCAAGAATGGATCACCTCACAGCTAATGAGTTAAATCCGGACATCCATGTGCGCAAGATATTTGTACAGAACCTGATTGTCACGGTGAGCGGTTCCCTATGATGGACAAATCGCTGTGCAAGCTGCGGTTTCATAGTTAAGGCCCCAGCCCAGCCAGCAAATGAGGGTCTATTCTCCTTTCTTCTGAATCTCCTGCCATCTTTCTTCCTGGAACTTAATAGTTACTGCATCAACAAGACTCCCATTCACAATCCTTCATAGATAAAGAGTCCCTGTCTTAAAGATGACCCTGAGCCGCATCGTTTGATGAGCTGGTCAATCATCTGCCAAAGCGAGGCCCGTCCACGGTGGACGTGCAGCAATGGCTCTGAGAAGTCATCTATTATCATGAATATTGGCAGGAAGTCAACTTTGACCTTTTGTCCTGGACGGCCAACACACTTCACCGGATCGCTTGGGATCTCAATGCTGGGGAGGAACTGCTCCATGCGATGAATATACCATCTCCCCTCGCTAAAGAGGTCAGCATAACGGTGCGCCGTGCTGTCGATTCTGTTCATGTCAGTTCACCTGGCGATGTTGCGCCTTCATTGGTTACACTTCTCAGAGGCTGAAATCAGATCGGGATTGGCAGACAAACCCCAGTTCGCGAGATTTCTCAAGGTATGTGGTGTTTACTCTGCCATTTGTAGGTGAAACGCAAATTAAAGACCGAATTTTCCCAAAGTTTGTGGGTTCACTATATCTTGGATTATTTTTTATTCTCACTGCTGTTTTCAAATACAGAACTTGGTGATGGACTTCTCATTATAGTGAGGAGTGTGAGGGAGGCAAGCCTCCTTGGTCAAGAAGGTGGGACTACCGTGATATCTGATTGGCCGGTTTCGATCACGAAGGTGAGGTCAAGAACTTCGTAATCAGGCCGGCTTGACCACACATCTGCTATGTCTCGAGTTTAATCTCCAATATATTGGGAATTTTCCCATCTCTCTCATTATGTAGTCAATCTTGATTTACTTGTGGAAGAACTCTGGATTGTTCCCAATATCTGAAAGATCGCAGACTCGAGTCACGTGATGAGGTGGATCACTGGCCCAGCCAAGAACAATAATCTTTCCCAAAACAGACTAGCCCATTCTAGAGCTATTGTGGTAGCGGGACGTATTGTCGACTTCTCGAGACGAGACAAAATAGTCCGATTGAGCCCTTGAATGAAGATTATCAGAGCAAACAGCACAGCTTTGCTCCCTCTGCGACACCTCTTCGACAACACCCCTTTCTTATCAACATCCAAGTTACGGTCGCTGAGGCACAGCTGGAACCTGAAGATGCCAGAGTAATCCAGACTTTGAACCGTCGTTTTCAGTTCGCGAACAAACGCGCGCCGCCCAGTAAACGAAGCCTTTGTCCTCGACTCGACTTCTCTTCGCCTGGGCTCGGCGCGACAACTCCGCCAACGACCTGTCGCCTGATCTATCCCTCATCTTTCCGTTCTCCGCCCAAGTGCCTCCACGATAGCTCGCAGTGTTCATCATGGCGACAGCCCTGCGCAATGGCCACGCTGATGGCGGCGCAAACGGCGCCGCCCATGGTGTGCCAACGAGCAAACGCTTCTCCGATGTCCCTACTTCCATCGATGTCCCTGTCCAGGACCAGGATGACGAGGCCGTCGAAATCGATCTCGAGAACCTTGACGATCCCACTGATCTCTGCGACCTTTTCGAGAACGAGCGCGCCGCTCGAACATACTGGATGTCAGTGTCGTTGGCCTACGCCAAGCAGGGCAAGATCGACTATGCTATCGAGATGCTTATTCGAGGCGGAAATGCCATGCAGAACAACAACCCCAAGGAGAAGCTGAGCATAGTCAGTTGCCTCTGCTGGATGTATCTCTGGAAGAGCCGAGAGGCGCCACGCGTGGCCTCGGAGGGCATGCTGGTCTCGGAAGCAAAGACAAAGGACTATTACCTGCAGCTCGCCACCTCCACACTCAACGAAGCGTCAAGGATAAACCCGGCATTCCCTCCCCTGTTCCTCGCGCGTGGAGTTCTTTTGCTGCTTCGAGCATCTCTCCAGACTCCTTCCAAGTCTGGCCAATCTGGATCGGTCGATCCTGAGAAGGCCGAGTTGCTCCGATCGGCGCTCAAGTCCTTCGAGGATGCGATCCGTGTATCGCAGGGAAAGAACATGCTGGCCGTCATGGGAAAGTCGAGGGCACTATTCTCCCTAGGCAAATTCCCTGAGGCCTTGACTGGCTACCAAGATGTGCTGCAGAAGGCTCCAGATCTGGTGGATCCCGACCCGAGACTTGGCATCGGCTGTTGTTTCTGGCAGCTGGGCTACAAAGACGACGCTCGGGCTGCCTGGGAGAGATCCCTAGAGATCAACCCTGACTCCAAGATTGCCAACATCCTGCTCGGCCTGTACTATCTCGACGCCAGCGGGCGTGTACCGACAAACAGCCCCGAGTTTATCCGGCTCTACAAGAAGGCCATGACCGAGTACACGCAGAAGTCCTTCAAGCTGGACAAGAACCTCCCTCTGACCGCCGCTACCTTTGCTGGTTACTTCTTGTCGAGGAAGTCCTTCGCCAATGTCGACTCTCTGGCTCACAAGGCCATCCAGTACACCGACGTCAATGCCATTGCCAGTGACGGCTGGTATCTCTTGGCGAGGAAGGAACACTACAATGGCGATGTGGACAAGGCGAGCGACTTCTACCGCCGATCAGACGACGCGCGCGGCGGTACGGATAGGGGCTACCTTCCGGCCAAATTTGGCGTCGCCCAGCTATCAGTCGTGAAAAATGATCTCGGCGAAGCCAAACTCAGACTCGAAAAGATCATCCAACAGTCTCGGAATCACGAGGCCATGATCTTGCTGGGAACACTGTACGCCGAGGAGGTCTTTGCCAACCAGTATGCTGCTGTCAAAGAAGACAAGAGCGCCGAGATCAAGAAGGCCATCATGCTTCTGGAGAGTGTTCGCAATTCTTGGAAAGATCCCAAAAAGAGCTTCTCTGTGGACCCATCCGTTCTTCTGAACCTGGCTCGCCTCTACGAGGTTGACCATCCCGACAAAGCCTTGCAGTGCCTGCAGCAGGTTGAGCAACTCGAATTGGACCAGATCCCGCAATCTGAGCGCCCTAAGGAGGCCGAGAACGAGGATGGGGATGCAGCAAAGCCGGCTCTACGGAGGCTCCTCCCTCCACAGCTGCTGAACAATATCGGCTGCTTCTACTCCCAGGCAGACAAACACGAGCTTGCTAGTGACATGTTCGAGGCCGCATTGGGAGCTTGTATGCGCATCCAGGAGAAGGACGAAGAGATGGACACTGATGCCCTCGTGACGACCATCAGCTTCAACCTGGGTCGCAGCTATGAATCCAGAGGCATGGCGGAGCAGGCCATCGAAGTTTACGAGGGACTTCTGAAGCGCCATGATGACTACATCGATGCCAAGACCCGGCTGGCTTACATCAAGCTGCGCAAGCAGCCCAATAAGGAGGGCCCTGACGCAGTCGCCAAGCTCTACCAGGAGAATCCCTCTGACCTGGAAGTTCGTGCTCTGTATGGATGGTACTTGAGCAAAGTGCACTCGAGAAAGCGCCCCTCCGATGTTGCAGCAGACCCGGAGCTTCGGCACTACAAGCACACCCTACAAAATTACGACAAACATGACCGATACGCCCTGGTCGGCATGGGTAACCTGTACCTGATGTCAGCTCGCGAAATGCGACGGGAGACGGACCAAGAGAAGCAGAAGCGAAGCGCTGTCTATAGCCGAGCGGTGGAATTCTTTGACAAGGCGCTTCAGCTTGACCCCAAGAACGCGTACGCTGCTCAGGGTCTCGCCATCGCCCTCGTCGAGGACAAGAAAGATCACCGCAGCGCGCTTCAGATTTTCCTGAGCGTCAAGGACACTGTCAAGGAACCCCATGTCTATGTCAACTTGGGTCATATCTATGCCGAGCTCAGGCAATACCAGAAGGCCATCGAGAACTATGAGATTGCTCTGTCGAAGGAGGGCAAGGCCAACGATGCCGGGATCCTCGCCTGCCTGGGCCGGACATGGCTCGCAAAGGGACGCACTGAGCGTGATCTTGATGCGCACAAGTCCGCCCTCGAATATGCCAGAAAGGTAAGTTCACACTGATTATCTCGAATGATACTCTCATTACATGTGCTGACTTTGATTAGGCACTCGAGGTCGCCCCTGAACAGGTGCATTTCAAGTTCAACGTTGCGTTTGTGCATATTCAAATTGTGTCTACAATCATTAACCTGAATGAGACCCAGCGGTCTGTAAAGCAGCTCAACGAGGCAGCGGAGGGCCTGGAGGACGCCATCAAGGCGCTCGATGAGATTTCCACGCACCCGCAAACCCCTTATCCCAAGCAGGAGATCGAGCAGCGGGCCAACATGGCACGCAACACCCTGCGCAAGCAGCTCGAGAGAGCCACAGCGAGCCAGGCGGAGTACGAGGAGAAGAACAAGGAGAAGCTGGCCGCGGCCATGGAGAAGCGGCAGGCCGAACTCCGACGGAGAGAGGAGGAGCGCCAGGCGGCCCTGCAGAAGGAGAAGGACAGGCAGGAGAAGATCCGCAAGGAGCGTGAGGAGATCGCCGCTCGCGACCGGAAGCTCGCCGAGGAGAGAGCCGAGGAGGAGCGTCTGCGCATAGAGGCCGAGATGACGACCGACAGCGAGACGGGCGAGAAGGTCAAGCGCAAGAAGAGGCCTGCCAAGTCGAGTGGCGAACCTCGTTCCAAGGGCGGCAGGTCGCGGAGGAAGAAGACCGACGAGTCGGACGAGGGCTCCGAAGAGGAGAGGCAGCCCAAGAAGAAGCGGCGCCTCACCAAGAAGGAGAACTCCAAGTACAAGTCGGCCGAGCTCGTCTACGACAGCGACGAGGACGACGAGGACCCTCTGGAGCGGGCGGAGCGAGACCTGGAGGGCCGCGAGGACACGCCGGCCTCGGACGCGGAGGAGGCGCCCAAGGACGACGCCTCTGAGGCGGGGATGGACGTTGACAACCGGGCCGAAGAGAGGGAAGGCGAGGACGAGGATGAGGAGGGCGGTGCCGTGTCGCGACGACAGCAGAACAAGCGGTCGCGGCGAGGCAGGATCCTCGATGAGAGCGAGGAGGAGGAGGAAGAAGAGGGGGGCGCGGACGAGGGATCACCGGCGGCGCCTGCGGACACGAGCATGGCTGATGCCAGCGACGACGATGACGAATAAGGAGGTGAGGAGGGACCAGGACAGAGTCGTATCGCACAAAAGGAGATTTTGCGTTTCCGGGTTCGGCAAAGGGTTGGCGAAGGAGTTTGTGAGTGCTAGACTGTATACTTTGTAAGAGTCCAAGGGGATTAGGTAGAATGGCGAATCTATCATGGCATCTAACGATTTGAAACGTATTCTTTGAGGTGATATCATCTGGTTCATATCACCATGGCGCTGTGGCAAGCATAAGTTGGCTCCTGTATGGCAGCGCGAGCCACATGCGCCCCCGCACCGCGATTCTCCACGGCCCCATTCCGCAAGACCGAGCCGGGAGCCGGCCCTTTTGCACCAACCTCACCTTGTCACTGTAATTAAAGAGAGTCCCATTACTCACACCTCCATAGTATTGAGCAGGCCCCCCGGCAGCGACTTTCGCTTATATCTCCCTTCAGGGTCCTCTGTGATAAAGCAGGCAGAATTATCGCACCCCGCATGGACGCCCTCGGCATCGCCCTGAGGCGCATGTGCCAGCGCCGTCCCAAGCCAGCAACCACCTTGCAGCATCTCTCCTACCGGCCCGCACCACCGCGCTTACGCGCCTGCTTCCCGTCCACACCACGCCGCCGCGCCAGCAACATGGCGCAGCAGCAGCAGCAGCCGCGCAGCTTCCCGGCCTACTTCTGCCGCGGCGGCACCTCCAACGGCCTCGTCATCCTGCGCCGGGACCTGCCGGCCGACGAGGCCGAGTGGGCCTCGATCCTGCCCGCGGCCATGGGCTCGCCCGACCCGGACTACGGCCGGCAGCTCGACGGGATGGGCTCGGGCGTGTCGTCGACGAGCAAGATCTGCATCATATCAGCGCCGTCACCGTCACCGTCACCGTCCGACACCCACGGCGGCGGCGAGAGTCCCGCAGGCGACGATGTAGACGTGAACTTTACCTTTGTGCAGGTCGGCATCCGAGGCGGCGAGCTCGACATGGCGGGGAACTGCGGCAACATGTCGTCCGTCGTGGGGCCCGTGGCCCTCGAGGCGGGCCTCCTGGACGCGAGCAGGCTGCGCGTCGTCGCCGGGGGCGGCGGCGGCGACGAGGGCGAGGGCGGGCAGAGGCAGGCCGTGGTCACCATCCGCAACACCAACACGGGGAAGCTCATGCGCGCGCGCTTCGCCGTGTCCGACGACGACGGCTCCGGCTCCTCTCCGCCGCGGTACCTCCCCCGCGCGGGCTCGTACGCCATGGCCGGCGTCCCCGGCACGGGCTCCCGCGTGTCCATGAGCTTCCTCGACCCCGCCGGCGCCAAGACGGGCCGGGCCCTGCCCACGCGCCGCGCCGCGGACGCGCTGCGCCTGTCCGACGGGTCGCGCGTCGAGGCCTCGCTCGTCGACGTCTCGAACCCGGGCGTCTTCGTCCGCGGGTCGGACCTGGGCCTCGCCGCGGCGCCGACGCCCGCACAAGTCGAGGCCGACGCCGCGCTGCGGGCCCGCCTCGCAGAGATCCGGCGCCTGGGCGCGGCCGAGATGGGGCTCGACCCGGCCGTGGAGAGCGTGCCCAAGGTCCTCATGCTGTTCCCGCCCGAGGAGGACGGCGGCGACGGCGCCGCCGCCGCCGCCGACATACGCTGCGTCGCCATGTCGATGGGCCAGGCGCACAAGGCGGTGCCGCTGACTCTGGCGCTGTGCCTGGGCGCGGCGACCAGCATCCCCGGCACGATACCGGCGCAGCTGGCGAGGAAGGGTCACCGTGGCGGCAGAGACAAGGGTGTGGTGACGATCGCGCACCCTGGCGGGACGGTGGACATTGGAACGACGCTGGACGACAACGGAGAGATCGTCTCTGCGGAGCTGCATCGGACGGCGAGGATATTGATGAAGGGCGACGTGTACTATTAGAGATTGAGTCTACCAGGGGCAGAATACCTGGTCTGTATCATCAAGTTGCGAGTAGGGCAAGTATAGGGTAGCTAGCAAGTACAGGTACAGGGTAGGTGATGGCCATGTATAGGGTAGGCCAACCTTTGAAGAGGTCCATGTACATGTACGATTATGGCCTCCCATCAAGTTCTTCAATAGACATCACAGTCACAAGTGCACAAGAGAACCAAAGTGATTTTCTATCAATTTCCATTTTCGCTACTCGAGAGACCTCATTCTAGGATGTCGACATCAAGCGGGAATTAAGTACTCTAACGAAATATGCTTCCATTTGGAAAGACAAAACCAAAAGCAAAACCCTAGCAAACGCCATTTGCTCAAAAGCCCGCTACTCCCCTTCGTTAAATCCCGTTCACCCAAGTCATATCAGCCATTCCTTTTGTTTATCGCAATCCTCCTCAAGACACCGTCCGTGCCGTTGCCCCATCGAACCTTTAGTCAAACAGGTCATCCTCATCCATATTGTCGCCCGCAACCTCCTCGACCGCGTCGTCCTCGTCGTCCACAATCATCGAGTCGGCGTCCGACTCGCTGTCAAAGTGGTTCGCCAGCACCGTGATCTTGTTGTCGACGAGCTCGACGCGCGCCGTCTCGCCGTCGCGGATGCTGTTGCGCAGGATCAGGATGGCCAGGCGGTTCAGCACCTCCTTCTCGATGAGGCGCGCCAGCGGCCGCGCGCCGTAGGCCGGCGAGTAGCCCGCGTTGCCGAGGAAGTCCTTGGCCTCGTCCGAGACGGATATGTGCACGTTGCGGTCGTTGTCCGCCAGCCGCTTCTGGATCTCGGCGATGCGTATGTCGACGATGCGCCGGATCTCCTTGCGCGTCAGCCGGTTGAAGATGACGATCGACGAGATACGGTTCAGGAACTCGGGCAGGAAGTAGTTGCGCAGGGCGTTCATGACCAACTCCTTGGTCGTGGGGTCGATCTTGCCGTCCTTACCGGCGGGGCGAGCCAGGAACTCGGCGCCCAAGTTGGAGGTCATGACGACAATGCAGTTCTTGGCGTCAACGATACGTCCTTGGCCATCGGTGATGCGACCGTCGTCCATGAGCTGGAGGAGGACAGTCAGGACCTCCTTGGCTGCCTTCTCGACCTCATCGAACAGCAAGATGGAGAAGGGACGGCGGCGGAGAGCCTCGGTGAGCTGACCGCCAGCATCGTGGCCGACGTAGCCTGGCGGAGCACCAATCATGCGGCTCAGAGAGTGCCTCTCCTGGTACTCGGACATATCGAAGCGGATCATGGCCTTGGGATCGTCGAAGAGGAACTCGGCAAGAGCCTTGGTGAGCAGAGTCTTGCCGGTACCGGAGGGACCGCAGAAGAGGAAGCTTGGCGGTTGGTTGGGGTTGCTCAAACCGGAACGCTGTAGGCGAATGGCGTTGGAGACAGAGCCAACAGCCTCCTTCTGGCCGACGACAATCTTGCCAAGGGCATGTTCCATCTTGAGCAGCTTCTCCTTCTCGGTAGTCTTGAGGCGAGTGACAGGGATGCCGGTCCAGCGGGAGACGATCTCGTTGATCTGCTCGGGGCCGACGACATCGGTGATCATGGAACCACCGGTGTCAGTTGCATTGGTGCTCAACGCGGCGTCGGCGGCAGCCTTCTCCTTCTCGAGCTTCTTGATGATTGCCTCTTGCTCGGGGATGGCGTAGTACTGAAGGTCAGCAGCACGAGCGTGGTCGCCCATACGGCTGGCGTCCTCGGCCTTCACCTTGAGCTGCTCCAACTTGAGCTTGGCCTCCTGGATATCCTTGCCGCGCTTCCTCTCGCTCTCGTACTTCTCGCGCAGCGGTCGCAACTCCTCCTCGACGTTGCTGGCGTCCTGCTGGGCGAGGAGGAGCCTAGCCTTGGAGGCGTCGTCCTTCTCTCGGGAAAGGGCGTGGATTTCAATCTTGAGCTGCCGGAGTTTCCGCTCCAGAGAATCGATAATTTCGGGCTGAGACTCGCGGGCAACGCGGACTGCGGCTGCGGCTTCATCTATTAGATCGACAGCCGAGTCAGGAAGTCGTCGTGAGGTGAGGTATCGTGCAGCAAGGTTGGCGGCAGCGACAATGGCGCTGTCGGCAATGTTGACACCGTGGTGGACTTCGTACTTCTCCTTGAGGCCACGAAGGATCGACACGGTCTCGGGGATGGAGGGCTCCTTGACGATGACTTGCTGGAAACGACGCTCAAAGGCGGCATCCTTCTCGATGTACTTGCGGTACTCAGCCAGGGTGGTGGCACCGATACAGTGCAGCTGGCCTCGGGCAAGCATGGGCTTGAGCAGGTTGGCAGCGTCCATGCCGCCCTCTCCGGACGAGCCGGCGCCCATGAGCAGGTGGATCTCATCGACAAAGAGCACAATCATCTCCTTAGATTCCTGGATCTCCTTGAGCACGCCCTTCATCCTCTCCTCGAACTCACCCCGGTACTTGCTGCCGGCCACCAGAGCTCCGACATCGAGGGACAGGAGCTTACAGGCGGTCAGGTTGTCGGGCACGTCGGCGTTGACGATCCGCTGAGCAAGACCCTCGACAACGGTGGTCTTGCCGACACCGGGCTCTCCGATAAGGACCGGGTTGTTCTTTGTTCGTCGGGACAGGATTCGGATAACACGCCTAATCTCCTCCTCACGGCCGATGACAGGATCGATCTTACCCTCCCGGGCCATGGCCGTCATGTCGATGGTGAACTTGGCGAGGTTCTCGTTCTCCTGCTCGGTATCGGCCGTCTTGGAATCGACCCTCTTGGTGCCGCGGATGGTGTTGACGGCATCCTGGATCAGCTTGGGCTTGGGGACGTTGGCCTCCTTTAGGCAGGCCTGAATGCTGGGCTCCTCGGCGAGGGCACTGATGAGGTGGTCAACGGCGATGTAGCTGTCCTTCTGGACCTTCTGCAGCTCCATGGCCTTGCGCAGGACGTTGTTGAACGAGGGGGCCATGGAGACCTGCTCCGGCGGGGGATCTTGGCTGGGCAGACGGACGAGCGTCTTCTTGAGCGCCCGGTCGAAGAGCTGAGGGTCGCCGTGAGCCCGCTCGACGACCTGGCGGAGGAGTGTGCTGGTGGTGCCGGCGGGGGCATTCTGCTGGTCTTTGGACTGGTCGGCGGGGGGGTCGAGGAGGGAGACGGCGAGATGGACGGGGAGGAGCTGGGAGTGGGCGTATTGCTCTGCCAGGGTCATGGCGTCCTCGAGCGCCTTCTTGCCCCGGTCTGTGAATTCCATTCGCGAATTCATCTTGGGCTAGGTTTGTTTGTTGCTTTTCTGGCGTGTGGTTGTATGATTAATGCTGAGCTACCGGATGTAGCAGCAGTGGTTTTGATGTAAGAAACGACGAAGAGACAAAACGATATCAACAGAATCAGATGCTTATTTGTACGTGTCGAAGCTCTTTGGGTGTGTGATCAGATGCTTCGGCTATTGGTGATAGTGTCGTAGACGTCGTGTGAACCCGGCTGTATGAATCAGCAGTGTGGTGGGTTATCAGATCATGTACCTGTGTAGCTGTTTCACTCTTCGAGGATGAAGTAGTCTGTGTTTTGTTTGTCCTGCAATTGGGAGCAGGAAGAGCAGAACAAGAGATGGTATTTGGTTTTATCCTCACGAGCAGAGTGGAGACTGTCCTTCCACAGAGGCTTCGAGAAGAAGTCAGAGGCGTGGGAGGAGATGGTGTGAGCAGGAAGAAGAGGCGACGGCAAAGTTGCTGCCCAGCTGGGTCTCCATATCATCAAGGCGGGAAGTGGGATGACGATGCTCGAACCCGCGAGGTACGTCAGGGCAGCTGCCAGTGGGCGCCAGCACCACCACGCAGCGCTGGGCAGCTTCTCGACCCCGCTGGAACTGACTAAGAACCTGCTGGAACGTACCAGAGCATGCTTCGAGAAGCGCTGTAGCCCCTGTAACTCGGGCGGTTGTGATTGGCTGCTGCCCACTAACACCTCTCAATTAATGGCGGGACCACCCCTCCCAAAGCTTCCAAGCTTTTGCCGGCTTCCTTCCAAGGTTCAGCCCGTTTCAGACCAGCCCTCTTATCGATAAGCGGCAAAAAGTGATCCAGCCAGCGGATCTTCTGATTCAGCGGATCCCGGCGAATCAGACCAGGGCTCCAGCCTGGGGCGGCCAATGGATTGCAGGGGAAATTTTGGCGATGCCTTCAGATGCTCGCGCGATCCGCCCTGCGCTTTGAACAGGCCGACACCCGCCCTTTTGAATCACCACCACGACCATGAATCCGGTGCCGGCATTCCCGGTCAGCCGGCTCTCGATGGGCCTGGCCCGCATCGCCATCCGCCCGGCGTCGACATACCGCGGCCGCTACAAGCAACCGCAACCAGAGAAGACGGGCTTCGAGCCCGGCCACGGCGAGCAAATATGGATATTCAACCACATCATGTCCAACCAGATCATCTACTCCCACACGCCCGTGCTATATGTACGTCTCTAGCAAACATGTCGCAAAGGCCGACAAGCCCCAATTGGCTGGTGCCGCGTCGCCCGTCCCTTGCGTGTGCTGACCATGTGATCATCTTCCAGTCTAACCGAGCACTGCGGCAACTGCCCTTCAACGGCAAAAAGACCAAGCACCCCAAGCTGCGCAAGGACTACTGGAAGCCCATGGCCCTGATCCAGTTCGCCGAGGGCGCCGGCGTCGTCGGCCAGTCCGTCTTCCAGAAGCTGCGCGAGTTCAGGAGGCTGCACGAGCTCTCCTGGGGCCACCAGGCCGACGACTTCCTGCACATGGACCGGCAGCGGAGAGGGGAGGCGCTCAACGACCAAAAGGCCAACGCCGTGGCCGACGTCGCCGCCGTGCTCGGCGGCGCCGGCAGGGGCAACAAGATTGCCGCGGTGGAGGATGGTCAGGACAGCGCCAAGAACCTGGTCGAGGCGACGGTGTACTGGGCCGATGCTCGGGACCGCGAGTTCGCGACGGCGTGGTCGAGCAACATTACGCACGAGCTGGGTATACCGGAGCTGGTCGCGGTGGAGGAGGAGGTTGACGTCGAAATACCCGAGGAGGCGGCACAAGGAAAGCCCGTCGAAGCAACGCCGGCCTGATGGTCTTCACGAAACATGAAGATAGAGAGATGTCTAGACGGCGCCTTGCAGACCGAAAGGTCACAAGCATCATAAACTGTAACTACTACTGCAGCATACCTTGAGGGGCAAGCAATGGCTTGATGCTCATAGTGTAAATTATTGTATAGAACCACCAAAACTATATGAACATGTGTCACTCATGTGTCAGCACGATTTAATGCAGTGTCGGATCATGCATTGCAAGGACGAAAGCACCCAGTCGTTATTGGTAACTGAGGAACCTATCTGATTGACAATGAGGGTATGTGTGCTTAATGAAATATGAAGTATGTCCCCCCGCAAAGAGCTCTGTTGCCTTCAGGTTCCAGGATTGGAATGTCGTTACTGTCTTTTCCCTTCAAATCTTCAGCTTGAACTGCTTCAGATACTCATAGTGCTCGATATTGTCGTTGACGGTCTGCCGGATGACCTTGGCAGCCTCAGCGCCAAACTTTTGCGTCCACTCTTCGTCCTCCTGCGCTTCAGTCTTGGTTTTCTGTTTTCCTTGGTCAGTACCCAACCCCCCTTCTTCGCAATCTTACAGATGCCGAGTGTTTGCTCACCTGTGCATGCGTCCTCGGCTTCAGCGAGGTGCTCCCCAGCGCGTCGTCGTGGAAGCCGTCCCACTTCTTGAAGGCCTCGCTCGACTGCGCCAGGCTCTCCTCGTCCCAGTCCAGCATCACGGGCTGGAAGTCGATGCCGACGTCCCTACAGAACGCCCGGACCACCTCCTCGGGCCGGTCGAGCAGGTCGTCGGCGTCGACCAGCGTGATGGGCACGCGCTCCTGCTGGTGCTCCGCATGCCCGTTCACGCCGTTGGCGGTGCCGTTGGTGCCGTTGGTCCCATTGACGCCGTTGGCAGTGCCGTTCGTGCCATTGACGCCGTTGGTCGTCGTGCCGTTGGTCGCAGCCTCGCCAACAGCCCGCCCGGGGCCGACCATGCCCTCGCCGCGCAAGAAGTCAAAGAGGCGCCGCAGCTCGGCGTACCCGGACTCCTCGGGCAGGAACTCGCTGAAGCCCGTCACGTCGACGAGCGGCGGGATGTGGCAGCGGTAGTACGAGGGCACCGACCGGCGCGGGTGGCGGATGAGGAAGGCAAAGTGGAACTTGCGCAGCATCTCGCGCGGCACGGCCGTCGGGTTGCCGGGCTCCTGCAGCAGCTTGCGGAGGCCGCCGCCGCCGCCGCCGCTCCCACTCTCCTTCACCTCCACCTCCACGGCCTCCTTGCTCTTGCCGCCGGGCAGGCGGTCGACCAGCGACGGGAAGAGGTAGGTCGGCCAGCCCTGCGGCGAGAAGAGGTAGTAGGCCATGTCCTTGGTAAAGACTCGTTTGCCCTGCTTTGTGTGAGTAGATCTATCCTTCTCCCACGGGGCTGGTCTCTCGGTCGAGCTGCCGGCAGCAGTAGCAGCAGCAGCAGGGGGATAAGAGGGGGGAAAGGAGAGTCATGTTCGTCCCTCTCGGTCAAAAGGCGTCTCGGCGCGGTTGCAGCGGCCGGTTTCGAATCGATGGTCAAATCGCTTCGCGATGGACACCGGGATCGGACGGGTGTGTGCGTTTGTGTCTTTGTGCATCTGGAGTGCAGATGCCGTAGGAAACAAGGTCCATGGAGGAGAAGAACATCAAGAACTCAAAAAAGGAGGTGGCAGTAGCAGCGATGCACTTGCATCGTGTGCCATAGAAGACGGACGTGAGTTTGACGTAGCAACAGGTCCAAGTAATTGGAAACCTGGGTGTGTAGTACAAGACATTGGACATATCAAGGCTGGTAAAGCGCTGGGAGGAAGGATGATCGAACCTCTTTCTGATTCAGAAGTTGATCCATGACATCTCCAAAGGTCAAGTCGGCGTAGCCGCTCTCGACCCTGCCAGCCTCATCCTCTTTGAACCTGGGACTCAAGTTCTCCGGGCCAAAGTAGAAGGGGTCGCCGAAGGGCTCATGGTGGCACTCGAGAATGTCGCGGCGGGTGATAAAGACCTGCAGGTGTCAAAGCTGGCTGTCAGTCTCCCGGAATTTGGTGGTGTGTATGGTATGTGTACGGGGTATGTCGCGCATATGCACGCCACTAATACACAAGTTTCCAGGCACAGGGTCCAGGTAAGGAGGGGAGTTATGGAGTGGCGTACCCGCTCAAAGGCCGTCGAACAGGCACGTGGATGCGTAGCCACAAAGATTGGTCGGTTTGTCATCTTGACAGCCGGCAGCAGTGCTTTCTTTTAAAGATGTTTTCTGCAGATCTCGTTTCCTGACACCCGGTAACAAGGCAGATCCAAATCGATTGGATCTGGGGGTAAGGCAAAGGCGAAATAGGTAGGGAAGATGGCGCAAGATCACGTATGAGAAGGATAAACGGGACGAATGCAGGAACGGGATGTTGATCCAGGCCACCTTGGGGAGAGATGGAGGCGGCTCCAGCTATCTATTTAAGCTCCCGCGGTCGTCCGCTCTGGCTTGTTGAGCTGTCCCATGAGATATTTGATGGACAAGTACCCCCCTCCTTCTCATTTTCGATCCTTGACACACCCCAATCCGGTCCTCTCCCACGGCTCGAGTCTCGACTCCCGAGAAACGCGCGTGTCGGTCTGACGGCCCCCCAGGAGGAACGAGGAACGGCATGGCGAGGCCGGGAGAGGGGCGCTGGAGGGGCGAGGCAATCCACAGTTGCAGAGAGAAATGCGCAGCTAGACGTCATCGCGGCCGAATATGCCTGCATGTAGCGTCAAACGAGGTGACTGCCTCACCCTATCAATGGCCTGCCGAGAAAGGAGTGGAGTGTGGCGCCGGACGGTGTCAAGTTTCTGGATGGAGCAGGGTGGGGGGTCTCGTCGGAGGTAGCTCTGAGTTGCGCGCACCATGAAGCAGACGTAAAGATGGATGGTCTCTGTTGGCCGTTGGCCGTTGGCTATCGGCAAAGTCCATGGCGAGGTGAGCTGCAGGAAAGAGTCCCTACGGCCTTGTCGAACCGCGATCGACTGTGTCGCGATTGGGGGTTCACGTCGAGGTGCAACCGAGACCCCACGACTACGACAGCTTGGGAAACACGAGACTGCACGCAGAGACGCAATGGTGATGCACTCGGCATGGCCTCTGGCGAATGGTTGCCCAGCCTCAGATGGCGTCTTCACACCCAGGTCAGGATTGTTGATTCTATTTGCAGCCGTTTATCAAATCCGGGTGGGATGCACAAGGGAAAAGCATCCGATTCTTGCAGATCCAGCCCTCTGACCGAACCCTTATGGGCTGGATAGGCAATGCAGAGCTTCCTCTCGTGCAGCAAGCAGCAAGAAGAAAAGCGAAGCATCGACCGATCTGAAAGGGGGCGACCCGGGCGTGTTGACAACTATGTGCCAACTAATGTACCGTAGCCTGGAAGCCAGGGGCCAATGACCTTGAGCTTAATCAATTCTGCGCTGGTGGGGGGTCGGGAATTGAAGAAGCTCTTTTTGAGAGGGTTGCCTCAACCCTGCCTGCTGTCGGAGGAATTGCCTCTCCAATCAGCATGGCATGTACAAGTACAAGTACAAGTACAAGTACTCGAGGCGGCAGTGCATGTGGTGTGGGAGAAGGCATATGCAAGCTGTGCAAGCTATTATGCAAGCAGCGCTGGAGCAACCACACTTCAGCGCTGGCACCGCCGACGACTCGGCATCTTACGGCGCCGATCTTCCCACCATCGGAGCCGTACGGAGCGCACTGAGGCGTGCCCTGCCCCTCCTAAACTGGGCTCCGCTTGGCGCTGGCCAGTGATCGCACCGCTGATTTCGGCTGTTGTACCTAGCTCTCGCCGCCCGGCCGGGCGCAAAGCCGGCCTGTCTGGCTACAAGTACGTTGATATCAATATCAATACTCTTGTAGGCCCAACACCCGGGAAACGTTGTTTCCTTAGACCAATTCTGCTCATCCCGGTCATTTTGGATGTGGTTCCCAGTCGGCATAAGCCTGGCAGCCTGGCCGTGTCACCCGGCAGCTGCCAGTCAGTCACCAATTGTCCTGGCTCGACTGTCTTTTGTGATCGGGACATTGACAATTTGCAAGAGTGCCGTCTGCAATGCTTCCATTCTCTCTCTTGTCTCCCTCCTGAGATTCCAGACGGTCCCATCGATAATAAGGGGGATCATCACAATGGCCTTCTGGAGCGTTATCTGCACCGATTCTGTGCCTAATGGCGCCATTTGGCGAGCCATGTGTCAAAGTCGTCCGTCCCTGTCAATGCGACCCCAGATGTTTGCTTGCCTGGGGTCGTACAATCGAATCCGGAAGATGCGCCCGGATCTGCTGTGCCGCTAACCCCAGGTCGTCTGCCAGGGTGTGTCTGGCAACAGCAAACTTACGAAGTAGCAGCAGCATTGCACTCATAGGCTGTTGCTCCTACGCCGACCCATTGGTTAAAGTACGCCGTACGGTTGACAGGGGCTCCTCGAGCCAGTGGCAGAGTGACACCTTCATTCCGCACCACCATTCTCACAACAACGGTGCGCCAAGCTCATCTATGCGAATGCGAGCTAGCATGGAGTCTCTGAGCGCAACAGCAGGGGTCCAGCACGTCCAGGTTGCCATATAAGTCGTCGCATTCGAGAAGGCTCACTGCTCGCAACATCAGCCCGTCGGTTTGCTTGGTGGAAATCCGCGACACCAGACTGAGGGCTTGCCGCGATGGACTCAAACGACACGACTACCCGCCTGACGGCAGCGGACGAGAAAGCGAGCGCCCAGAAGCTCAGACAGAACTACGCCCGCGAGGCATTCCCAGACTGGCCGAACGAGGCGGGTGTAAGTGTATCCACGACGGCACAGTCGTCCATGTCACTAAGGCGTGCATCAAGTTTGATGGCCTGACAGAGCATCGCGGGCCGATCGGCCTGCAAGTCAAAGGTACGATCCCGGCATGGGCGGCCGGCTCTCTGTTCCGCACCGGCCCCGGCGACTGCAAAGTCGAAAACACCAAGGTCGGCACATTCAACATCACGCACTGGTTCGACGGCATCGCCCACCTCCACCGCTTCGACATCCTGCCGCCTGGCGAAGGTGACAACGCCGCGTCGGGAGTCAGAGTCCAGTACTCCTCACGGCGGCCAACCGAGGCCTTCGTCAAGGACATCCAGGCCACGGGCATGATCCGCGCCCTCTCCTTCGGGCAGCGCGCCGACCCGTGCGTCGGCATGTTCTCCAAGTTCATGACCATGTTCAAGCGGCCAGAGTGCTACGAGAACATCGGCGTTACCGTCCACGCCAACCTCCCCGGGCTGCCCTCCGTCGCCGAGAAGAGGAAGCAGCAGCAGCAAAAGAGCGGCGCTGGCCCAACCGACCAAGGACACCGTGCTGTCCCCGCAACCAAGATCGACAAGCTCTTCCTCGCCACGGACACCTCTTGGTTCTGCGAGGTCGATCCGGAGACGATGCAGGAGCTCGCGTTCGTCAACTACGCCAAGCTGCACCCGGAGCTCAAGGGCCTGACGGGCCCGGCGCACATCCAGCACGACGAGGAGACGGGCGACTACTACAGCTTCAACATCGACTTTGGCCCGGCGGCGACGTTCCGCGTCTTCCAGGTCAGCGCCGCCACGGGCAGGACCACGATCCTGGGCAAGTTCGCGTCGAAAGGTGGGTACATCCACAGCTTCTTTCTGACGCAAAACTACGTCGTCGTGTGCGTCCCCGTGGCGCACTTCAAGCTGGCCGGCGCGCAGGTCCTGCTGGAGGGCTGCCAGCTCGAGGCGTGGAAGGAGTTCGACCCGTCCGAGCCCTGCAGGTGGTACGTCGTCGACCGGCGCCACGGCAGGGGCGTCGTGGGCAGGTTCGAGTCGCCGGCGGGCTTCTTCTTTCACTCCGTCAACGCCTTCGAGAACGACGAGGGAGACGTCCTGTGCGATCTCGTCTGGTACCGCGACAATGCCATCGTGTCCAGCATGTACTACGACGTCCTGCTCAACAGGGACAACGCCGGCAAGGTCTTCTGGGCGGACCGGCAAAAGAAGCTCAACTGCTTCCCGACGCTGGTGCGGTATCGCCTCGCCAAGAGCGGCATGGGCGCCGCCAAGGGCAGCAAGGTCCCGGCCGCGAGCTTGGACTTTGAGCTGCACGCCCCGCACGCCGGCGACATGCCCACCATCAACCCGCGCTACGCCTGCAAGAGGCACCGGTACGTCTACTGCCTGAACAACCGCGGCCGGAGCACGCTCTTCGACGGCCTCGCCAAGGTCGACATGGAGACCCGCGACGTGCTCATGTGGGCGGGCCCGCCGGGCCACTCGCCCGGAGAGGCCATCTTTCTCGGCCGCCCAGGCGCAGAGGGGGAAGACGACGGCGTCCTGTTGAGCGTCGTGCTGGACGGCGAGAACAAAAAGAGCTACCTGCTCTGTCTCGATGCCAGGACGATGACGGAGCTCGGCAGGGCCGAATGTGAGTTCGCGATCGCTATTGGCCTTCACGGGCAACATGTCAGGGTAGGCGGGGGTCAGAGTAGCTAACGCAAGCTGGTCAGGAGATGCCTCAATATATATCCTCTTCTTTTAGCTTAGGCTCCTCGGTCTCCTCCTCCTTGATCTCCCCAGTCGCCTCGATCTTCAGAGGACCACCCATCTATTCATTACTACCAACTAGTACAATTTCAGCATTCACTCCAAAACCAATACCTGTGAAGTTATGGCTACATGTCTACCGAGTGTTCCCATCCATGGCTATGTCGAGGTCGACATGCATACTCGTCTTGATTTTGACGCTCGTGTTTGAACCCAAGCCTCTGATCTGGTCAGCGGAAAAAGAGGTAGATAAGGCGCTCGAAATTTCAGGGTTTGCAGCAAGTCAAGGTAGTTTCAATCCTAACCTTTTCCAAGCTGCTACTTCACCGCAATTCACTTAACCCGCGCCATGGGTAGGTCGGGCGAGCCTGTAATGGAGGTTTTTTTCCTGCTCAAGCTTTCCGGACAGAGAGGGGGCCGGGTCTATGGCCTTGTTGATGATGAAGGCGTCCGTCGACAAGTAAGGCGTCCGAGTTGCGCGGTGAAAGGAGGCTTATGGGTTGCTACTTGGGTCCGGAGCCCGGGACGTAGCGCCGGCGGAGGCGGGGCCATGACCTGTTGGGTTGATTGATGTGTACTGGCATGCGCTGTGGGCAAGTCGGGCCAGCCTATGAGGTAGCATTTTTTTCTGTCCGAGCTTCCCGGGCAGAGAGGTCGCCGGGTCTATGGCCCTGTCGATGATGAAGGTGTGCGAGTAGTGCGGGCCAGTGAGTGATATGCGTTGTGACTTGGGGCTCTGGCGCTGGCTGAAGGGGTCATGGAATACGGCGGAGGTATGCAGTTTGCCCGGCTCCTTCTGCGGTAGGTTTGAGAATTGCTATGTCATTTTAGTGGTTCATGCATCTGATCCAGCAAAGGTAAAGTGCGGTGGTATGACCTCGTCAGGTCTTTCTGCCGTATAATGATCAGGCTTCCCGTCGGAATCTGACTTTGATTGTTCATCGCATGAAACGCCGTGAGCTGCAAGTTCTTGTTGTCGCCTTTTTTTCGTAGCGGGGTTTCGTCAATCCATTTGTTTTCTCTCTCATGCCCCCTCCCCTGAGGCGATAGTCATGTTTCTTGAGGTTGGCTCCTCCCTGAGAAATCATCATCCCCCCAGCCTGACTCTTGCCTCCCTCTTCCAGATGTCCATTCCCCCAACGCGAACACCACTCACCACATCCAACTCAATCCTTTCTACCAATGCATACAACCGCCGAACATTGAGGAAGTAAGAATCCAACAACAAAAGAACTCAAAGGGATGGACAGTTTTGGGGGAAGAGGCCCTGTCATTCGCTTCGCGTTCGCAATACTGCCAGCCAGCTTCCATAAGAGCGGAACTATCTGCTTTAGGCGGTCGGATAGTTCATTTCGCAGGTCGTATCGCTGTGAAGGAAGAGAAGCCAAATTGTAGTGAGGAGAGCACTAAGAAGATAGGCTCTCCAATAAGGAAATCACTTTTGAGTGTAGTGATACCACCGAGAGGAGAGCCATACGAAGATAGGCTCTCCGGAATGATCCGGTGTTGTGCGCCGCGGCAATCCTGTGAGGGGAGCCGTAAGAAGGTAGGCTCTCCGACAAGAATATCGCGATGCTCTGACAATAGGGCACCATCGTGGACTCCAGTGATCAATTTGGAACACTGGATGAGGTTCACCTCAGGGGAACAAGGTTGCGAGGGAGGAGATAAGGAGGACGAGGACTTCTGAAGATAATCCAGCGTTGATGATTTTCCCTCGCTAGAATGGGTGAACCCCCGGCCATTCAAACCAACACGATTCAAATGCAATGAAAGTAGAGGTGTGTGTGTTTATGCGACTCTGGCCCCTGGCCCCTGGCGGAGTCCATGGGCGGGCGGCCGTGACCACTGCTTTGATCCGGCTCGTGCTTGGTGGCTCCGGTCGAGCGGCGGGGCGCGATCTCTCCCCTGAGCCGCCCTGGCGTCTCGCGTCGGTGGTCTAGTAGTAAAGGAGAGCTGGACCGGAGGTTTGTACGGATTATGAATGGCTAGCCCGAGAAGGCTTGACTGTTTGGCCTCAGGTAGAGATCCTGCTGCTGTGCTTCAAGCAGCTTGCGGTTGAATGCTGTGGCGGAAAAACCCGTGCAAGGCGCGACCTGCAGGCCACCAGACATAAAAAGGCAGGATTCTCCCCCCTTCACCCTCTTCAATTCCTTTCTACCTAGGTAGACAGTCAGCAGCCCAACCATTTATTCTCTTCGCCTCGTCGTCGTTCTCATCCCATAGGGCCTCCCATCTCTCAGTCATTGTCGATGAAGTCTACATCTCCCTTCAGTCATGACACCATGGTCGGCACCAGCATCCGGGCCGGCCCCATCATGGCCAGCTTCGTTCCATGGTGGAGCAACTCCATGACGGCGGCCTCATCCCTGCTCGGTCTCCGTGCCGTCCGGCCTCATCCCTGCTCGGTCTCCGTGCCGTCCGGCCTTATCTCTGCTCGGTCTCCGTGCCGTCCGGCCCTATTATGGCCAGCTTCGTTCTATATTGGAGCAACTCCATGACGGCGGCCTCGTCCCTGCTCGGTCTCCCCGCCAGGCCGATTCCTTTCTGGAGAAGAAAAAGGTGAGCGCCTCTAGGCAGATCTCAGATTTACTTGGTTTAACATATGTACAACAGCTGTTACCAAAGTACAACGCCGCATGCGCCTGCCAGTCCCGGCGGGCCACACGCGCGCCCCATCCGCTCGCCAATCCAGGCGGGCCATACGACCTCCCTTCGTGGGACGTCCCGCGAAGCGCCCGCGACTAGAAGAACATCATGAGGTCGCTCACGATATCAAGACGTTACTGAATCGATGCTTACACAAACAGATCTTTCTATAAGTAAACACTATAACTAAAAGAATATCATAAGGTCGCTTACAATACCAAGGTATTACTGAATCGATGCTTATACAAACAGATCTTTCTATAAGTAAACACTCTAACTAGAAGAACATCATGAGGTCGCTAACGATACCAAGGCGTTACTGAATCGATGCCTACACAAACAGATCTTTCCACAAGTGAACACCGCGGTATCAAATCTACCCAAAGAACAGGTGAATACGACGCTCCTTACGAAGGACGTATATGCTATACCAGTCTGCTATCTTCCTCTCATCTTCTGTTTACTCCTAACAGGTCCTGAGTATCCTGCTGTAAGGCCCATTCTTCAGCGAGTTCAGACAGGGTAACTGTCGGTTGGGCCGTTTTGGCCCGGTACGTACGTATCGGCGGTGTTCTCGTGTAGTACGATAACTGGTTGATTCGATTCTTGTTGTTGTCTACTCCAATCTCTACAGTGTACGATTCCCCCTCTTCGGGATGACCCCCATAGTGCTCGCGCCAGGGGCCCACGGCTTCGGGCTGTCGATGATGCGTGCTACGCACGTTGCCTACCCCGATCCGCAGCCAACGACAGCCGAAGTGCTCACACCTAGTGCCGGAGTTCCAACAGTAACGGCTATATCTCGCGGGAGTTCCAGGCCTAGTTAGCAGCACAAGCTCAGGCTGAGGTCAACCGCCTCCGTCAGGAACCAAAATACTCGATTCGAGCACCCATCGTATACGGTACCCCAGCTGAAGAGCGAGGTTAGAAGCTTGGACTTTTTTGAGCTTAATACATTTTTATAAATTACCAGCTGCCTACCTCCTTCGCTCTTTCCTTCCTTTCCACCCCCTTTCTCCCTTGGCTCCCTTCCCTACCCACCTACCTCGCCGAGGGAGCGGACACACGCACGAATGCGTCACCCGCCGCTGGTGGGATGTGTTGGATATCGATGGAAGAGGGGCATCGTTCCTTTACAAACGCCAGCAGACCCTGCTGCAAGGCGTCGTACGGAGATGGACGATCAGTGGTGCCTACCAGACACCGCACCCATTCAGGGCGCAGATGCACTGCCATCCACCTTTGGCTCCGCCCGGCCCAGCAGGCTGCAGGCGAGAGGCTATCTCAAGATTCTCTGCTCCCGTGCTCTCTCGTCTGGGCCTCGGAGCCAGCAGGCGTGTTTGTATTGCCAGTCGAGTGCAGCTATATCTGTAGGTACCTTAGAGGTAGGTAGATATGGGGACGCCTGCGTATCGCAAGCCAATGTCGCTTGGACATCAACTGGTGTACAAGCAAGTTGGACGAAGGCAGGTGGCTGCCCTCTCCATGCCGCGCCTGTACTTCTTCCAGAAGTGCAGTTACTTGCTTCGGGGGGTCTCCTCCGTTCCAAAGGTCGCTCTACGGGCCACAAGAGAACAAAGGAAAGAGCAAACACGGCGCAAAGACGCCATCCGGGGTGGGCCTCGTTGTCGAAAGACGGAAAGAAAGGTTGCCTCCCCAACACTTTCCTTCCGTAAATAAACAGAATAGACTCTTTCAAGGTCTCTTAAAAGGCCAAATCGAACTTGGAGGCTTGCGGGCTTCGGCGTGCATGCTTCTTTCCCAATGGAAAACCACAAGATATCCAGACAAGCACAGGAGTATCCTATATGGACGCGGGAAGGTAAAACTTTATGACAAAATGAACCACTTGCCTTTGTACAATAAAAACATGACAGGAAGGAGCAAACCTAGATGAACTTCACACCTATGCTAAAATTGTATGACTACAATTTTCCTAAGAGTTGATAAAAAGAAAAAAGCCTCACCACTGTTTATTTTTGTAACATTTTAACAAGTGCTCGTATAACCCTCAAAAGTCTACCGCTAAAATCACAGCAATTACTAGAAAATTCCGGTATGGTGTAACGGCTAACATCGCTGGTTTTCAGAGCTTGTTAGTGTCTAATGAGGCTATTAAAAAGCTTAATAAGCACTTAACTTATCTTAAAACGTACTCAGCAGCTCGGGGTTCGATTCCCCGTACCGGAGAATTTTTTTTTTTTTTTTTTTTTTTTTGCCATCATTCTAGTTTTTTCTAGATTTAATTTACAATGGGAATTGCGAAAAGAGCAGAAATATTCAGTTTGGTCTATTTCAGCTTAACTTCTTTTTTCTCTCATATTGAGGCACTCACATACTTGTGCGACTGCAAATCAAGGTGAAGGGCAAGAACAAAGGGCGCTCCTGCCTCTTGGGGTGCCGGCAGGAACTGATGGTTGTGGGGCTTGTGGCCTCATATCCTGGTGCTTGGACCGTGATGAGAAAGAACGATAATGATACTTTTAGGCCAGGTAGGCACATGCTTGAGCTGTGTGTTAGCCTCTGGCGTTCTTTCCCTTTGCAAAGATACTTATCTCCACACCTTGCTATACTCGTAGGAGCCAGGGCTACACATCAAGTGCCCTCATGCCCTCGCGCCCTCCTGTCCTCTTACTCTCCGACCCCTGTGCCATTTTGCCTTTCCTGCCTTTCCTCTCTTATGCCCTTCTATCCTAATACATGCCCTCTTGCCCACTTACATGTAGCTAATCACGATCTCTAATGTACCCATACCCAGGCTAGGGGCGTCGAGAATTAGGTATGTTGCCTGTATTGGCAAAGCTGGCGCCAAGCATGACAAGAAGCTTAATGATATGCGACAGACGGAGTGAACTGACCTGGGTCTCCCGGGTGCTCCCAGGCCATCGCGAGAGTCCCGTTGGGGCTCAGCTCGTATTGCTCCCAAGACCACAGCTCGATCCATGTCTGGATCGGCGGTCGGTGGAGGAAGGACTAACTTGCAGTATTTCGTATCTATCGGCATCCTATTACGTACTTGGAATTGGCATGTCTTATGGAAATAATACTGAGAATAGGGATAGATAAGACAAGACAGAGCTTGCGTCGTGGCCTTGAGGCCATGTATCATCTATGCTTGAGAGCGCAGGGGGAGTCAGACACACCTTGAGGGAATTAGCCAGGCAATCAGGAACTTAAGTAGTGTCGCACCCAACTAGAGCCATTGATATGCTATGTGATACTACTATGGCACTGATTATCAATAAGAGGCGACTGGGTATCGTGTTCATTGTGTCTCTTCAACTGTGTCTAGTTTACAGTGTAGCTCAGCTTGGAACTACGGGGTAGACTGAGAAGCGGCTTACTTGAATAGAAGAGGCGACTGGTCTTAGCAATCAACTCCTGGTTTTGTTGCTGTTAATTACCACATGCGTCAGATAACAAAACTTGAGCTGGAAGCAGCTCAGCTGGCAACAAGTTGACGTATCATTTGAGACGGTCGGACTAGTACTTGAGGGGTTGCAAGATTTAGAGATGGGAGTCCTCTGATAAAAAATAAAGCCTACCATCAGTCTGCGATATCTTGCTTCTACTTGATATGGTGCCATCATCAAGATCAGTTGATCAGGGGCCGGCTTGGCAGCCGCTTTACTTGAGGATAGATATGGTGACTTCCTTTCACAATCAAGTATATTGGCGGTCTTGTATGCACTCGCTCATAGTCGTAGCTTCTGTGTAGGGCATGCCTTTCCTTCCTTCCCTTTTCTTCATACAAGAATCTTCTTATCAACAACAGTACATGTTCCAGGCATGACGATTATTCATCTCAAACAATGTAAATTACTACTGATTCCTATGGCACAGAGAACACGAACCGAGGAGATTGACCTCGAACTAACTAATTAAAACAAGAACTTTTATCGTAATTCTACCACTGATCATCAAGTCGTATCGACTCAAGGTTGAAACAGTAAAAAAGAAAAGGCAGAAATCAAACCAGATACCAGGGCACACAATTCGGCCATAGTTTTCCACACAACACAGACCCCCATGGGGAGTCGCAACTCAAGAAGAAACGTTCAAACCCGGGCGACGCAGCGGCTGCCGCGACTTGAGCACGCCCCTATCATCAGTATAGTCATACTGATAGATCACCTTGTCCAGGGCCTCGCCTTGAACGCCTGGCGCATCGGTCGTGCGGTGGGCGTAATCGAGACCATCCGCCTTGCAGGTGAATCCAAATTGACCAAGCAGCTTACCATACCACTCTCTCTGCGGATCCTGGGCACCCCGAAACAGCAGCTCGACGTAAACACGGTAGTACAGCCGGCTCTGTGCCGAAGTTGCAGGCATGTAGACCGGGTCATCCTTCGGTCCCTGGTACATGTAGTGGTGCTGGGGATCATACGTGTGCAGGCTGTACCGCAGCAAGCGATCGAGGACGGCGGAACCGACTCGCTTACGACGGTACTCGGAGTGAACGTAGACGTTGGCCTTGACAGAGTACCTGCCTGTTCCATACATGCTGCGAGACAGGCCAAGATCGTAGGTGGAGAGGAATCCGAACGCGACGATCTTGTCCAAAGCCTGTTGGCCGCTTGGGGGGGCTGGTGCCGCGTCCGAGCTGGCAACAGCAACAATGAAGGGTAGCTGGCCTTCCTTGCAGCCATTGAAGATCCTGTTGAAGTCTTCCACTTGCAAGACGTCAACATCCCAAGCCTGGGTCCCCGTGCTCACTTCATGGTTGTAGATCTCCAGAGCGCTGGCCATATCTTCAATATTGGCTGGGCGAACCAGACACGGGATCTTGGTTGTGTAAGGCTTGGGCCTCGGCCGGTAGGGTTCCTCACTCAGCGGGACCATGCCATAATCTTCAGGAACCGCGTTGAATCTCCGCAAGCCTTTCTTGTACCGCTTGTACTCAAGACGACCAAGCGATGTGGAGGTCCAGGTAAATCGATGCTGCATCTCCTGTGCGCTCAAGCTCTCTTCACCAACCATGGTGGGTGGTTGGTGGATTTGGTCAATGAACTTGCCCGTGGTTGTGTCAATGTCCCGGGTCCAGTGAGGGGAGTTTGGCTCAGGGTCAGCCAAGTCAACACAGATGTTTCTGGGTATAGTCTCTTGCCACGACAGGACGAATGGGTTAAGAAAGGACTCCGAGGCAAGGAGCTCTTCATGGTCATCATCATCATCGTTGCCCCATGTCGCCTTGATCCACTTTCCGCCAAAGTTCTCCAGAATGTGAGGAGGTGCGATGTGGCCTCGGATATCGACCTTGCCTACTCGTTGGGCCAGATTGTTATCATCATCGCTGCCGATTACGGCCGAAGGCATGCTCTTCTCCGACATGGAGTATTTCTCGTAGTTTCGCGCGCGCGGAGGTCCACCTGCAAAGCGTCCAGGTTTTGTGCTGGAGGCAGCTCCAGGCATAGGCAGCTCAGACGCGTTTGCTTTCTGAGAATTCCTCGCAAAGAGATTCCAAGGCGAGGTTGGGTTCGAGAACATGGGCTTAATCTCTTGCGAAGCAGAGGGATTGGGCGCGATCGGAGTGCGAGCCTGGGACTGGCCGGCCACGGCCATGGAGTGGTTGGTACCAGGGGCGGCAGCACCTCCAGAGGCTTCTCCGAGAACCATGAGCTTGAACTTATCCGTGCCATCGCGGATTAGATCTTGTTGTACGGTGGGACTCTGGCGGGCAGGGCTCGAGTTGTCCCAGCCCGTGCTGGCCCATGCTTGACCGTCCATTGAGAAGCGTACAGAGGGAGATACCCAATAATTCTAACTTTTAGAATGTCAGTTGGGTTTCTCGATGTACTGGGCAACTTAAAACCAAACTGAGATTGAAATCACGACTGAGCTCACCTCGACAGTTGTGATGAGGCGTGAAGTGGAGGGAATAGGTATGAAGGAAGTATGTGACGAGGTCCAGAGGCCTTCAAGGGACAGGGATGTCGGGTACCAGGAAGATGGAACTGATGATAAGGTACCTAGTTAGTATGAAGGAAGAAGAGGACAAGGAGGAGGGGAGAGAGAAGAGGCGTTGTAGTGGGTGTAGGTAGTACCTAGAGTGGGAGTGGTATGCGAGGAAGGTGTGATGGTAGGCCTCGACTTCCCCGTCAATTCAAGGCCACTAAACTGTCACCCTGATTTCACCTTGACTTCAGATCTGGCTCAGATGTCGGGATGGGGTAGACCTGAAATCGGGGGAGTTTGGCTAGCTCGAAAATAATTGGAAAGGGGAAGAGAAGCGAGCTTATGAGGTCCGAGTAATAGGGGACGACTGAGTGCCTGTGGTCTATTTTATACCAGTGACACTGCTTACTCCCGCAAACACACGCCCAGTCTGTTGAACAGCTTAGTCTTTGCCACTGAAGGACTTTTCAAGGAGAAGAAAAAGATACTTAATATTCTGGGACGTAAGATTGTCCAAAGTGTACGTGATTTATGCAGGCTTCCCTCCTCGGAGTCTGGATAATTGCAGAGGGTTAGGGTTATACATGTGATGCACCAAGATTTCGCTTTTGGGGCCATCTCACCGCAACGCAGTCTGCACAGAGGCAACAGGCACCGACATTCAAGCCCGCAAACACCCAATAGAAGTCCCCCATCCGAGCCGAATTCGTGATAAAAGGTCGAAGCCTGAACTTGTTCCTTGCATTTGAAACTATTTCGTGCAATTTAGGCCTTACTGCTACCTCCCAAGCATCCCTCAGCTATGCTCTCCATCCTCCGCAAGGCCCGATTGAAGGACAAGGAGCTCAGAATCCTCATGCTGTGTGTGCCCTCGCGCTTGGTCTAGAGCTGCCATCTGCTGACCCTGACCTGGAAGGGGACTTGACAATGCCGGGAAGACAACAATTGTGAAGAAGATCATGGGCGAGGACGTCAATTCCGTCAGTCCGACTCTGGGATTCATCATCAAGACCATCGATTACGAGGGGTGAGAACCTGGACTCCCGAGACCTATCACTCAACAGTCCCACACTGACTTGCTTCTCCCATGGCTAGATACAAGCTGAACATCTGTGAGTATACAACGGCCGTCTATGCTTTTGGAACAACAAAATCTGACCGTGGACAGGGGATGTTGGAGGACAAAAGACGCTCCGGTCATACTGGAGGAATTACTTTGAAAAGACGGACGCGCTGATCTGGGTGGTCGACGCCACAGACAGGCTAAGGATCCAAGACTGCCGTGACGAGCTCCAAGGGCTTTTGTTGGAGGAGGTTCGTGGCTTCTTCCCCAATCTACGGTGTCAGGCAGGGTCTCGGTCAGCTCCTGTGTGCTGACCATTCGTGAAGAGGCTCTCCGGAGCCAGTCTCCTTGTCTTTGCCAACAAGACTGACGTAGAAGGATGCATGGGTGGCGATGAGATTGTCGAAGTATGGTGCCTGCTTCCCTCTGACCTCTGCAAAGCGGTCTGCTAACCGCCGGCACTAGGCATTACGGCTCAAAGACATCCGGACGCATCGATGGCACATTCTCAGGTGTAGTGCGATCACGGGAGAAAACCTGAAAGAGGGCCTGGGCTGGGTCGTGGAGGATGCAAAGGCGAGGTTGTTCCTCTACTGAGAAAGGAGAAGATACATGCCAAAAGCTGCTGGAACGATGCAATGGACCACGAGATTCGGAACCAAGGGCGACAGACCTGTGCATGGATGCTTGCCTGCAGTCAGTGATGTCTGAAGAAGGCGCACAACATCACGTACAAAAAACGCGCGACCAACTTATGATGTGAGGACAAATAGTTTTAATTGGTATTACTTTCATATCAAAGCAACACATGACCGTCATCCGCAAGATATTAGGCTACGGGTTCGACGCGTTTTGTCCTTGATGCGCATCGAAGAGTCGTGACGGACGAGCTCGAGGGAGGGCCAGCCTCGATACATGCAACAATGGATGCTCTCGAGTCTTCATCTTTGTACGGCAAGGCCGCCACGAAGAGAAATCCGTAAAGCTGGAGATCACTATGTGCATGCACACGCAGTCGGCCGTCAGAAATAATTGCAGGCTGGGTAGGCAGCGAAATAAATCCATGGATGGATTCATGATTGATCTCCAGGGGCGCGCCATGGCGGCCGGGTTCAGGGGATCCGGCGTGGGTCAGGGTTGCAGATGGCCCGTACTTGACGCTGACAGCTGTTGAAACGGGCCTGTTCGGAATGGACTGCGGCAGATCCCGTTTTGGGGCACCGCTACACGAAAAGACCAGAATCGCCCGCCAAACACGCTAATTAAATGGGGAAAAACACGCTTATTGATGCCTGTCCAATCCAGTACTTGTACTTGCTTGACCTTTACGTGCTTGCTTGTGACCCTCGCTGTCGTGCGTATCCCGGTCTGTGGGAAACTCGTCCAAACCTACACCTGCATGAAGAAGGTCTGCAAGCCCTCGCCTTCTCGGTAGACTTCCGACCACCTCGACCTGTAATCTCTCAGACGACAACAGACCCTGCAGAGCGCGCATTGTGCGAACATTACCTTCTCCTAGCCCTGCCGGCCCCTCGACAGCTTTGGGGGATTCTCGAAGCATCGGAGGCTCTGGGGGGCTACTTCGAGTCCTGGACCGGGGGTCACCTTGCAAGGGAGGGAGAGAGTGAGGGAAACGAAACAAGCTGCTTGATCCTGCTTTAATTGCGCCGCGTCCTGTGTCGTGTGTCATGCCCACTGCTTCTCCCCACCACGACCACAGCCCGCAACCATGTCCGACGAAGTCAGTAGCTTTCTCCGGTCTGTCGAGCAGCTGAAGGATCGACGAGACGAGGAGGACGAGGCCCGGTCGAGAGAACTCGAGGAGAAGATACTACAGGAGAGGCGTGAACGCCAAGCTCGCCGTGCCGGTACGTTGCGCATTGCCAGTTGTGCTTGTGTCAGGGAGGCCGCGCTCCCAATTGCTTCTACGTCGCGTGTGTGCACACCGGGAAAGGCTGCTGTAGCTGTGCACACGACGAGCAACCAAGCCGGTTGAGTTCAGAAGTGCCAGCCTCGACGGACAGCGCCCTGTCTTGCTCTGCTCTGCATTGCAGATGGAGTGGCTTGGTGCTCTTGCGCTATCCTGTTGAGACAGTTTTCGGAACCGCGCCTGTGCATTGCGCAGATAAATAAAACGAGCACCGTGCTAACAAGGTTCAATCTGATGTTGACAGAGCGCGCAAGATCAATTTCTCCTCAGAAATCGTCACCTGCGAATACCCCGCCACCGTCCCAGCACCGTCACGCCGACTCGCAAACCTCCGAAGGACTTAGCTTGGCGTCCTCCCCTGTCCTCGAGAGTACTGGCAGCCCGCAGTCGCGTTCGGCAAACCAGAGCCGCTCCGACATGATGGGCTCGGCCGACTACTCGACCTCTCCGACCAAGGAGAACGAGTCTCCCTACGATCTCGACTCGAAACGCGCCAGCGTCACGTCCCCCTCCAGCGCCATGCCTACTCGTACCCCGACCCTCTCGTGGCAGCGACGTCCTACGTCACAATCCTCGGCTGGGCCCAAAAATCGACCACTATCCATGGTGGCCGCCGAAAATGCGGCCGCCCGGTCGTCTACGACCAGTTCTGCCGACCAGGCCGACTCGCCGGCCTCGAGAGACCAAATTGCCCAAGCTCTGGGCTCTAAGGATCCTGCCTGGTTCCGGCAGACGCCCGATCGCGGGCAAGGCTCCGACGCATACCGACGCAACCAGGTCGAGGATGAGGACCGTCTGGATATGTCTTCGGTGCGCGCCCAGCTACCGGGAATGTCGCGTGCTTCCTCAACCGAGCCGGACAAGGACGCGACACCCACGCGATCCGACTCTCCGGGTCTGCGAGGAAAGCTCGGGTCACCGTTGCCGTTAACGCCTGCCCAACGGCTCGATCCACCAACGACGGAAGCCATACCAACCGAGACAGAGGCCGCTTCGATCGACCGCCAAATCATGTCCCCTCCCTCAGGACGCACCTCGCCAAACAGGCCGATTTCGCCGACGAAAGGCATGGGTGGGTTTGTGCAGAGCGCCATGATGAAGCGCACGGACAGTGTCAAGCGATGGAGTGTGACATCCCCCACGGGCCTGCAACGCGCAGACTCTGTCGCTTCGGCACGGCCCAACAGCCCGCATCGTATGAGTGGGCAGTCCTCGTCGCGACCTTCAAGCATGTTGAAGGAGAGCTCTTCGAGGCCCACCTCCAGCCACGCAGATGCAGCACCTCTTTCGGTAGATACTACGAAGGACACGGCGGCCCCTGAGGAACCCTCTCACCCCGCTGAGGATGATGCCAAGTTGCCCGTCAGCCCCTCTAGGACCATGGATCCGCGCAGATGGAGTCCTACAAAGTCAAGCTGGCTCGAATCTGCTCTCAACAAACCCGAATCGCCCAAGCCCAAACCTACTCCGCCACCTAATTCCCAACCTTCATGGATGGCAGACCTTAACAAGGCCAAGGCTCAAAAGGCCACAGGGGAGTCTGACCTTGGGCGGACTGCGTCCGTTTCGCGAAACTTCGAGGTCAAGACTGGTGGGCTCATGCGATCTTCGCCCATGGGCGTCAATGTCAAGTCACCAGCGGCTCGCTCTTACCACTCGCCCTCCCCATCTATGGGCGGCGAGAGGACGGGCCTTGCTGCTCTGCGCGGGACTCTGTCAGCTAGTAGCTCTGCCGACGACGTGAACAGCAGCAGCGGGACGCCGGATAAGACATCCGCTACAAGCTCGCCCTCAACAAGCAAGCAGAAGCCTGACACCCCGCCCAAAAAGGACTTCCGTGGCACTCTCAAGAGCCGACCTACACCTGCGGGCGGTGACGGCCCCCAACAGGCTGAGTTCCAGAACGTGTTTGGCAACCTGCGGAGAACCAAGACCCAAAATTATGTGGCGCCCGACACGCTCAAGGACAACATCCTCCGAGGCAAAGCAGGGCTGGCAGTTACTGGCGGGCCAAAGCCCCGAGAGAGGAAGGACGAGTTCAAGGAGGCCATCCTGGCCAAAAAGGCAGATTTCAGCCAAGCGAAAACCGAAGGACGAGGCATCAAGACCAACGCTTCGGGCCCAAGCGAGAAGCCAATCCCTGAAGGGTTGGCCAAGAGGCTAGAGATGAGCAGGTCTGGGAGCATCTCACACGACAGGGAGCCGAGCACCTCGACTACAAGTGTCGAACCACCTGTACGCACGCCGGCTCGTTCAAACACAATGTCGCCTGTGTCAAAACGGGACTCTGCTGAAGTCTCACGTCCTACAGAGTCCCCGAGGGAGACCCGTTCTCCTGTGCCGACCTTGCAGAAAGAGACCAGCGCCCCAGCACGGTTGCAGAAGCCGGGCGGGAGTGCTCTGGCTGACAGGTTCAACCCAGCCCTGGCCGGTATGCTGGCCCGTGGGCCTCCACCTATGGTTTCCAACCCGGGAAAGACCTCGGACGACTCCAGCAGTGGGGCTGCGGCGCCCGTCGCATCACAGACCGAGCAGCCTTCCGGTCCAGGACCCCAGCTGACGCATATGACTAAGAACCGGGCTCGTGGTCCCAAGCGGAAAGCACCCACCTCCGTGGCCAAGGCTGCACCTGCCGAGGAAGCTGCACCAGCTTCTGCCGCTGCCGAGTCTGGTACAGCTGGTGATGAGAAGCCTACTTCTCCCATCAAGCCAACTCCACCCAACCCTTTATCTCCTAAGCCTACGCTCGAGAGGATAGCACTTGTTGATTCGGCAAAGACACCTGTCATCCTGCCCAAGCCGGCTACGAATGATGTGATCTCCCTGGTTGACTCGTCACGAAGGAAGCCCGTCGAGGATGACTCGAAGTCTACCGGCTCGAAGATTGACCTTGTCGGCTCACCGAAGCCCACGGGACGACCTCGCTCACCGACCAAGATCCACGAGCAAGTCGCTGCTCTTGCTGCCAAGACGCATGAGTCCAAGTCAGGACACTCTCGCGGCGAGAGTGCCGACCTCACTTCACCGGCTACCTCTCCCCGGAAGCTCGACATGAAACGTATGTCCAAGTTCTTGGATGAGTCTAAGCCTGTGGTTGAAGCGCCGAGGCCCCTTTCTCCCTCCAAGACTGGCGGCAACCGGCCCTTGCCGGAGCCTCGACCGCTTTCGCCGCAAAAGACTGGCGGTCGAGCACTACCCGAGTCTCCGCGGAAGGAGGTCCCAAGCGAAAAGGTCGACTCTGACCCTGTAGTGTCAGTGAGGAGCGGAGCAGCCATGTTCGGTGGTGCCTCGGTTGCAGCAAAACCAAGGCCATCTCCGATCTCGCCTCCACCGAAGAACATCAACCTCAGATCACCCCCGGCGAGCGCTTCATCACGGCCGCTACCAACAGTATCCTCTCCCGACCCCAAGTCGCCGCCACCAATGTCATCTCCCATGCGGTCACCGAGCAAACATGCGTCCGAGGTATCGGCCATGTTCAACGACTTCTTCGGCAACGCGCGCCCCCAGCGCAAGTACACGGTCGACGCGGCCGAGGTGCTCATGAGCAGGCCCAAGCCGGCGCCCAAGGTCAGGACGCAGCAGATGCAGCTCTTCCGCCTCTCGGGCGACGGCAAGAAGCAGCCCGTCCCGGCGAGTTACGAGCGCGTGCTCTTCGAGCGCGAGATGTACCTCTGCGCGCACAGCTTCGCCGACGAGGCCAGCGGCCGCAAGGCGGCCGAGGTCTACTTCTGGGTCGGCGACGAGGTCCCGCAGGCCGCGGCCGAGGACGCAGAGGTCTTCGCCGGCCGCGAGGCGCGCGCCCTGGGGGGAAAGCTCGTCAAGCTGCAGCAGGGCAGGGAGTCGGCCGAGTTCCTGCAGGCGCTTGGCGGCATCGTCATTGTGCGCCGCGGCTCAAGCAACAAGTACGACTCGCTAGCGCCCGAGATGCTCTGCGGCCGGCGCTACCTAGGCCAGATCGCCTTTGACGAGGTCGACTTCTCCCCCGCGAACCTGTGCTCCGGGTTCCCGTACCTGATCACGACCTCGGGCAAGTGCTACCTGTGGAAGGGGAAAGGGAGTGACGTCGACGAGCTCAGCTGCGCCCGGCTGATAGGCATGGACCTGGCGCTCATGGGCGAGCTGACCGAGGTCGAGGACGGGGCCGAGCCGGCGCACTTTTGGGACCTGTTTGGCGGCGACGGCGCGGCGCGGCGGCCCGGGTCGGCGGACCACTGGCGCCTCAAGCCCAACTACGAGAAGTACTGCGGTAGGCTATTCTGCTCGGACGCGAGCAGTCGGCAGCAGGTAAGAACATATCCCCCCCCCCATCCCCTATGTCCATCACTTTACCGAGCCGTCAGTGGCTAAAACCCTGCGATCACGAAACAAACAGATCATCGAGCTCCACCCCTTCAGCCAGGCCGATCTCCACCCGGCGGGCATCTACGTCCTCGACGCCTTCTTCGAGATGTACATCGTCGTCGGCCGCCGCGCCCAGTCCCAGTACGCCTCGTTCCACAACGCCCTCGACTTCGCGCAGGAGTACGCCATCCTGGCCGCGGGCGCCGAGGACCGGCCCTTCGTGCCCGTCTCGACCGTCGTGCTCGAGGGCGTGCCGCGCGACCTCAAGAGCGTGTTCCGCAAGTGGACCGACGCGCGCTGCCCGACGCGCCTGGCCGTGCCCGCTGCGGGAGGAGCGGCGGCGGACAGCCACCAGCCGGTGACGAGCCCCAAGCAGTTCAAGAGGGGGCGGAGCCTGCGCATCGTGCCGCTGAATCAGGCGCTGCAGGCGCTGACGAGTTGAAGTGCTGTTCTGTGCGTCTGGGTAGGGCTGAGGCTTGGGAGATGTAATGTGTGTGTCTATAAAGTGTTTGTCTTTGTTTTTTTGTCATGCTGCATATAAAGGAGGCGAAAGAAAAAAAGGGGGGCGGATCTGGATTTCCTTTCCCGGGAAGGGAGATCTCAAGGAGCAGAAATGGGGAGGGCAGGGGATAGGCGTCTTAGTTGTTACGTTGGTACATTCGAAAATGGAAATACATACATGTCAATCGTACGGGAGGTCGGTTGCATATAGCCTTGATTCATCGTGATCCCCTTGTCAGATCGCTGGGCAAATCAACCACCTGTCGGGAAACCATGTCTTCCGTCTCTCGATAACGAATTGCATCGCTGCTTTTCTGCATTGGTATCAAGACTCGCTCAACCTATGGATAGTATATCATGATGCTTGTAAAAGTCAAGTCTGCGCCCGCCCTGGACTCCCAAAAAATCACGCTCCGGGGAACAACATCCAGAAAAACACCATGACCGCCCACGCGAGAACACCAAAATAGTAGATGATGAGGCCGGGAATAGAAAACGCCCAGAGCACGGTGAAGGCCATAAAGCAGAAGTACCGCTATCCTTCAAGTATGACGCACCGTACGACTGGTGTTCCATTAGTCTCGGCCCGCGAAAAGGCGTAGGATCAAGCAGGCGTGCAACTGACACTCACGGAGTCTCTGGGACCAGTCGAGATTCATCTGCTCTTGTTGCGCAGCTTGTGGCGCAGCTCGTCGTCGCACATATTCTTGCGCAATTTGTTGCAGACCTTGTTGCAGAACCAGTTGAGTCAACTGAGGTGTCCCCTCTGCTCGTCCATCAATATAAGATCAGTAGCTTATCGTACAGCTAGAGTGTGTCAAGCAGTCATACCTTCGGGGATGGGGTCAAGCCGCGTAGCCTCGGGCCACCCAGTCCTGGGTCCAGGCACGTAAGGCGCCGGCAGAGCGGCGTGGGGCCGTAAAGGAAGTACGAAGGGTTGGGCGTCGTCAAGCTGCTCCTCGACGTTGAAGTCCTCATGGGCAAAGTCTGCGCCATTCAGACCTTCCTGGACCAAGTCTCCGCCATTGATGCCTTCCTGACGCAAGTCTCCGCCATTCGGGGTTTCCTAAACGAAGTCTCCACCGTTCAAATCTTCTTGAGCCAATTCTGGGCCATTCAAACCTTCTTGAACCAAATCCTCGTCATTGGGGCCGTCCTCGGGTACGTCTCCCCCGTTCGGGCCCTCCTGAGCCAAGTCTCCGTCGTCCAGGCCTTCATGAACCCCGTTTACCAACACCGTCTGGGCCTGCTGTCCAGCATCGCTGGGGTCATCATAGCTGTCACTGGTAGAATCGCTGTCAGAGCTAAACACGCTCTGAAAGGGCCACCGCATCTAACTGGACGCGGCCGGTCCCTCGGCCTGCTGGACAGCTGGCGCAGAAGACGAGGCGGCAGCGGCGGGCTCGGCGTCGGGGCCGGCACCGCTGCCCTCGCCGTTGGTGAGAGGGGCGGCGGCCTGTTCGGCGTGGTTCGTCAGGACGCGGTCGACGTCCGAATTGAGCTCGGGCATGGCGGCGCGTATCTGGTCAGCCAGGATGTCACGAAATGAGGCGAATGCGGCGTTCTTCCCGCGCATGAGCTGGTTGAGGCGGCGGACGAGCTCGACGAACTCGCGGGTGTAGATGTCCGGGTTGCGGCCGGCCTCGACGTACTGGATGAGCTCCTGGGGTATGGACGGCAGCTTCTGCGGCAGGCCCGGGCCGTCGGTCTCGGAGGCGAGGGCGGAGCGGTGGATGGCCTGCAGCGAGTTGGACAGGGAGCGGACCTCGGCCGTGAGGACGTCGCGAGTGGGACGGTCGCGCGCGGCTGGGGTTGCGTCGTAGGTGTTGACCTGGACGAGAAGCTGGTAAAGCGATTGTATGGTGTCTTTGATCTGGTCTTTAAGTATATATGTATTGTCAGCATATAAGTTCAAGACAAAACGAATGGATGTCGAAGTGCTGCTGGGGGGAGAAGAGGAGGAGGAAGCTGGAGGAAGCTGGGGGATGCTGGGGGATGCTGACCCTCAATATGGTTGATCCCATCGACAGACGTGCCTTCTATGGGTGCCATTGTTGCTGCTGAATCCGGAGGGCGAGTTGTGAGGCAAGAAGAGCTTGAAGGAAAGAGTTGTAAGTGAGCAAAAGTGGGAGTGATCAGTTCAATGTTGAGGATGTCGAGAACGGAGGGGTGGAAGGCAAGAGGGCGGTTGATGTTCTTTATGGCAGTGCCAAAGCTTCAGAGATGGTGTCGGTCGCGCCAGTAGTGGGGGAGCTCCATTGTTCCTCCAAAAGGTCCAAGGTTGCTCTAGCCTGCCTGCCTGCCTGCACTATCCACTCACAGCCCGACTGTGCTCTATGGGGTACGACTTACAAGACCCCAAAGAGGCAAGATCGAGAGGACCAGACGACCACGCCCTCGCCCTCGACCTCTGACCTGAGCAAAAAATACTACCTATATGCCACAATAGGGTTGCTCTTCTAATTATGCGTACATGTATTGATGCTAAAGGTACCGGTCTTTTCTCACGGGAAGCAAGACCCTGCAGGGGAGCGGGGAAGCGGGAAAGCGGTTTTTTCCAACAGCCTTCTCACACACCACCCTCATCTCATACTCCAGCCTATCATCGGTCCTTCATGGGTCAGTACTGAGAAGCAGAGTTGTCTTTAATCTTATTCTGCCTCATCTGTACGCCTGCTGGTCGGACTGTCCGCGGGAGAGCTGGGCGTCTCGTACCATACCGATCAAGAAATTCTGACGAGTGACTGGGTGAGGCCATCCTCCTTTGTCCCCTAAGTTCACTCGGCATGATTCTGTCATTTGATTCAGGTGGAATCTCCGTCTTTGGACCACCAAGCGGTTCCAGTTCTCTGGTCCCTCGATAAACCTTGGTTGCTCTCGCTGAAATGACACGCGGTAAGGGGTTGCCTTTCCCGGCCTCCCTTGGCTGTTGAAGCCTAGAATGAGTAGGCTGCCTCTTTGTTCTGGTCTCTTCCTCAGACGTGTGCTTCTGGGAAATCCCATCCTCCTCCCCCCCGGACAGCTGTGACCCTGGATACTCTGGCGGCGTAGCATATGCCGACGGTGTTACCGCAGAGCCTTCGTCCTCCACGAAAGTACGCACGCCTTGTCGTGACGAAGGGCGCACCAAAGGCTCCTCTCTGATCAAGGGACTTCTGCGGCCGAGTATGAAAGACTTATATGTATCGGCTTCAGTCGGGCTTAGGAACGCTGCGCTGGCCTGCACTTGGCCTCGTGAGTCTGGAGACGATCCCTGATGCCCTGCAAAGGAGGGATAGCTCATACTAGCATCCGGACGAGGGTGTCGAGGGAAATGCCTGTCTAGCACGGACGGCGATGCTGGCTGTCCTCCAATCGTCCGGAGGCCCCTATTGCTGGGCAGATACTGCATCCACCTGGGCACAGGCTTCGCCAAACCTGGCTTGAAAGCAGGTTGCCCAAGCGGATCATGTAGGGAGACATATATCGTAGACGCCAGGGGCACCGGGCACCCGGGCTGGTCCCGTGCTCGCACCGCCGGAACACCACTGCTTGCTCCGTCCGCCTGAAACCGCCGTAGACGCTCCTCGATCACCCGACCAGTCCTCTGCCTCCCGTTGCCAACCTCTTTGCTCCTCGCCTTACCCACTGGCATTCTCGTCTCAGTCTTCTTTTCGCTCTCATTCTTCTTTTCCCTCTCGTCCTTCTTCCCCCTCCCCTTCTCCTTCTCCAGCACCTCCCACCGCATCCGACTCAGTCCCCCATCAGCCGCATCAACCCTCTCCAACCCCTTCCTCACCACCCCGTCCCCATCCAGCCCTTGCTCCTCGACCCCAGCAGCACAGTACCCGCAAAGCGGCACCTCCCCAACTTCCCTCCTCTTACCGCCACCACCGGCCCCCTCATCCTCGTCACCCTGCACACCCGACCGGGGACGACGGCGGCGGTACACCTCCCCCACGCTCGCCCCGCGGACGACCCTCTTCGCCCCGCAGAACAGGCACCCGTAGCACGCGGCGTGCCAGAAGCACCACCCGAGGCTCACGCACTCGGACCCGCGGTACACGACCTCCCCGCACACCCAGCAGATGGCCAGGTCCAGCACGGCGTCGCGGCAGGGCCCGCAGGCCAGGCGCGCCGAGCGGCCGAGCGCGTGCGGCCTGTCGGCCGAGACGCGGTGGCAGAAGGTGCAGACAAACGGTACCCGGGGGGGCGCCGTGGTGCCCTCATCATCATCACCATCATCATCCTTGGCGCCCGCTGCTGCTGCTGCTGCTGCTGCTGTAGGCTCGGCAGGCGTCTGATCGGGCTTCCGCGGTGGGAGGAGAGCAGTGGGTGGCGGTGGCTTCGCGGGAGCAACGGCTCTGGCGCGGCGGGAGGTATAGGGTGTTGCTGTAGGTACGGAAGTTGCGGTGTCATTTGTGATGCTTCTCTCTGGTTTTGGCAGCTTGGAGGTGGACGGCTTGTGCATCGATCAGGGGATGGTTGGGTCGGGTTGAGTACTTTTGATGACAAGCGGAGGGCGGTTTAAAAGATACTTCTGCATAGATAGATAGAATCTCTGTTTGGAGGTATTCGGGAGTCTAGGGAACGTATAAATCATCAAAGCATAGAATACATGTAGGCGGACTCACAATGTCCAGACTCCTCGGTCAACTTACACGGCGGCAGGGAGGGATGTGCCTTCCTGCCCAAATAGAAGACATACCTTCCAATACCATAGCGAATATCTCGACACACCACAGCGGCAAGCACGTTCCTTCATGTCGCGCTTCGTCATCGACTCTGGATAGTCTCCTCAAGTAATCTCCATAATGTTGAACTCATTGAATTTCTTGATACTCAGACTAAAATACCGTCCGCAGTCCCTGAATGTCATCATGAACCCGAAAAAAAAAAACAATTAACGTACGCCCCAATTTTGTTTCCCCAGGATCCCGAATCCAGTACACCATTACCCTTGTGACCTGAAACCCAGATGCAATGATACAGAGACAGATGACTAACCACTGCATCGAATGATATACAGAGGTTGAAAAGGAAAGAGAAAAAAAAGATAAATCAACAGAGACAAGTCCGGGTAAACAAACGCCTCTTGAATGTTGACATAAAGAGGCATCATCATCAGTGAGATATCATGATCCATCATAAAGGAATCCACGCTCTCAAAATGACAGGCACCTTAACAAGTATAGGTACCGCTCTCCACCCTGCAGCAAACACTACAAGCAACCAGCAGAGCTCACTTCCTCATCTTCGGACGCGCGAGCATGTTCAGCCGGCTCAGGCTCAGCACCGCCTTCTTCTTGACCGGGCTCGGGGTCCGGGACTCGGCGAAGCCAGGAATCTGCGACGGCTTCTTGGCACTACCAAGAATCTTCCTCTGCGGGCTGCCCCTGTTCTGCGCCATGAGCCGCGGCGCCAGCAGAGCCTCGCCTTCCGGAACCGGGTCCGCCCGGCGCTTCTTGGCGGCCCGCTCGTCCGCCTCCGGTCCCTCTTCGTCGTCGTCATCCTCGGCAGCCCGGTGGCGCTTCTTGTTGGGCAGTCCGTGCGGCGCGGCCGGGATCGACGGGACGGGAGGCTTGTTCTCCTTGTTGGATCCGACGCTCGAGACAGACAGCGGGAAGCTTCCGGGCATGCCCATCGTCGGCATGATGGACGGGCGGACGTGACGGACACTCGACTGTCCAGGAGAAGCTCCGAAGCCCGACGGTGAGGTGTCACCAAAGTCGATGGTATGGTCGCTCCGGAAGGTGAATGTGCCGGGAACAGTGGGCTCTGGGGCCGATTTCTGCTTCGGAGGCACGGGAAGGGGCCGATGAGCGCTCAAGTCAGGGTAGACAACGTCCTTATCCTCCTCCTCCGCAGGCTCCTCGCTCTGGCGCAGGACTGCGTCCAGGGTAGGGTATTCAACCTTGGCAGTACCAAACGTGAACCTCGACTTGGGGATTGCAGCCTTGATGGGCGATGGAGAGTGCTGAATTGTTGATTTGACGGGAGACGGGGAATTTTGGAGAATAGCAGCTCGCTTAGTGTCGGGCGTGAAGTCGACGCGCTTGACGAGCTTGCGGCCTGGAGTAGTCAGAGGAACAGATGGAAGTGCCTTATTGACCCTCGGCGGCATGGGGGTCTTTGAGATGGGGCCGGCGGGCAGGGGAAGTGCACTCTTGGATTTCATAGGAGCAATCTTGCGGCCACGAAGGATCGACTTGACTCTATCAAGACGGCCTGGGCTCTTCAAGGTAGTGGACGCGGTATCAACTTCCTCCTCCGCCTTCTGAATGCTGTTTGTGGTCGCTGACCGCTTCAGGCTGCTGAAGCTGCTCATGGATGGTGTGATTGGGATGCCGGACTTGGTCGGGGTCTTGGTGCTCTGGGAGCGAGCCACCGAAGACTTGGTCGGGGTCATCAGAGACTCCAGCGTCTGCGAGCGTGGAATGCCACCGAATTCTTTTGAGCCAGTAGCAGTCGTTGGTCGAGGGAGGAAGCTGCCGTCGCGAGAAACAGGCCTGCTGCTGGAGACGTCGTTACCGATGTGCTGTTTCATACGCTTGACGGCAGAGATGGGCTCTTCGGGAGCTTTAGATACGGGCTTTCGAGATGTCGAGACGCATCCTCGGTTGAACAATGGGTTGGGCCGCTTAGCAGGGGTTGCGGCAGCCTGCTTGGCCTTGTTCCGAGGGGTGTCGGGCTCGTCGAGGTTGGCCCTGGACTGAGTGCGCTTAACACCCTTGGTAAGAGGGGTGAATCTGCCGGCCTGTGCTCGAAACGCCGAAGGGTGGTTCTCGATCGAGTCCATCTTCTTGAACTCGGCCATGTGCACGGCAGAGTACCGGCCAGCCTTGCCCTTGGGGTGGGCAATCTTCCGGCCCTTGACCTGTTCCTCTTCGAGTTTCTCCTGCTCCCGCTTGGCAATGAGATCGGCCTTGATCTTGAGGGCCTCCTCGCGCAGCTCCTCCATCATGCGCTGCGCGTTTCCACTGAGGCCCATGTCGGCATTGGCCCGAGAGAAACGGAAGGAGAAGGGCGATGAAGGGAGTTTGGTCTTTGACGGCGTGTCCTGCGCGGCGCCCGACGGCTGGTCGCGGCCTGCTGGGCCCGCAGCAGGGCGGATGTCGCTGAAGCCGAGACGCAGTGCGGAGGAGGGAGCCGAGGTCATGGACGGGTGGACTTTGCTGGGATGCATCTCGGACATTGGAGGCTTTGGCGGAGTCGATTTGGCTGGTGTGCGTGGAGGCGGTGAAGAGGGCGCTCCATTTTCCTTCGCAGAGGAGCCATCACGCTCCGCAGTCTCGGGCTGCTCATCGAGAGAGGCGAGGTTCGGCTGAGGCGTTGATGCCTTTGGCGTCTAGAGAGAAGGCCGTGTTAGTTTGGAGAGGGGAGGCAAGCCGGAAGCAAACGTACCTTTTGGACGCTCGCCAAACGGGCGGAACGACGTCGCGGAGGCGACATCGCGTCTGGTTTTGCTTTGGATTCGCGTAGCAGTTTCGTTCGGATGTGAGAGAGGTTACAAGGCCTGCCTGTAGTCAAATGGATAAGAGTGGCCGCAATGGCGATGGCAGGCAAGCAGTAAATTTAGCTGGAATGAGACTCGATGGCAATGATGTCAATGCCTGGGGAAGATACGCGCCAGGAGTCGGGTGTTTGTCCCAATGCTGGAAAGTAAATAAGCACATAAGGGCATGGTCGAGGGGGGGCCGCTTTGTTTACTTTTGGGTCGCGAGACCAATCAGGTGCTCGTGTGGCCCCGAGGCGGCCAGCCGGGCGATCGCGCAACGTTTTTAGTGGGCTGATGCTGTCAGTCTGGACCCGCCCCACTGAATTCGTCCACTGCAAAGGACCCCGAACCCTGAACCGACAGTTGGAGCATTGAATTGGATTGCATCACAGTGACAATGACTTTTTATCAGTTGATGATGTGCGCTGATTATCCAGTCAACCCAGTAACCACGGCTGACATGACGAAAGACCCCTTCTTCCAGATTGAATACCCTGACAGCAGATCCGTCTGGGGATGGCAGAGCCAATTGGCTCAACTAGGTAGGTATTTATCGCCATCAGGAAACCTGTCTGTAAGTCTCAAGAACCGTGATGATTGGCTACGTTGGGTAAGCATGCACGGGGACCGCCTCCGAGGAGATGCGGATTTCCAGCCCGCCACCAGCATGCGAATGATGGCATAGCTCAAGCCACTTGCATAAGCTGCTGTCGCCTTGGGTCATGGCCACCGAAAATTGGAAAAGCCGATCTCATGTCCTTCTGGCCGTTCACTCTGGAGGGCATCACCGATATTCGGAGAAGGGCAAAAGAGCATGTGCAATGACGCTGTGCGTGGGCAATGTATGCATATAAACTAGCTCTCCAATTTCAGTAGTTATCCTACCTGCAAATGGCAATGGAAGTGCGAAGACGATGCAACTGTGGTCGTGCTCCTCGAGAAAACTGCGTGCAGATAACATACCTACTGCAGCTTCGTGAGGCCACTTGGATTTTCGATCTGCTTTAAGGGCTCAGAGTCATATAGCATTTCGTCCATCCAAGATAAAAAGGGCAATGGACATCTCTCTTGTCCATCTGATACACAGAATCGTAGTACCTACCGTCACAGGAAAGGTCGTCATCAAGCTTGAACTAGGCTAGGTAGCAACAAAGTCCTCCCGTCTAGATGTCGTGGCGAGGATCGAAGCCGCCTCTCGTTCATGCGGGTATTCACAGGACGGGCAAGCACAAAAGTCCTGACCAGCTCGCGCTGAACCGACAAGCTTCTCGGAGACTCCGATGTTTATCAGTTCGACTGAAAGCCTGATGGACCGTGGGGGTCGAGAGCAGCGCGGCCAAAGCCTCACATCCACCCAGAGAAGTGTGTCTTATCGCTTCAGAAAACCCCCTGCTCTCTTCAAGTCTCGCCAGCTCGGGGCTGTCCGTCATGAGCAGGGTCGGGCGTCACTGTCCGGAGTGCAGATCTCGCTCGCGACGACGTTCGTCTGCTGAAGAATAGCGTGCCGTTGAGAGTGGTTCAAGCAGCGTGGCGAAGCTTTGTAATGCTTGGGGCCGAATGCCAGCATCGATCAGCGAAAGCTACATATCGCACTCGTTCTATCGGTTCTCCTCGAGCATGGAGGAAGAGCAGCGCGAAGGACCGCCGGCGGCGCGCCCACCTCGAGGTTCTCTGACAAAGACCCAGTGGGAACGTGGATGCTTTGCCTCTCTCTGAAACGCGCCTTGTACTGTGTCATGAACCCGGTCCTGGAGGCATATGAGGTCGATATCAGGACAGGGAGGAATGGACGGGATTGCCGGGCATCCACGAGGTTCGCCTCGACAAAAGACATCCATGGATACATCTTGAATTAACAAGTTAACTGCCGCCGGCCGTCGTGGAACTCATTTACGCGAGCGACAGCGACAGAAGCCATCATGCAATGCCAGCCATTTGGAGCTCAGCTCCACGGTTTGGCCACATCAAAAGAGGGGTCATCTGAGATGAGAAGGTGCTTTGCCAAGACTTTTGGGCTTGGGACAGGGGCGGCACTGGCGGGAGGAAGGACTTGAGGAAGGGGGCAGCTTTTTCAGGACTGCCCTGCACTGGACTCGTCAGGGCTGCACTTGGCGAACGAACGGGCGAACGAACGAACCCCCTGGTCCCTGGCTGGTGCTCTCAGGTGATCAAGCAATTTTGTCGTCCTCCTCTTTCTCCTCCTCAGGCCACCCAACCAAACAACCTCGGACATGGGACATGCATCTCTGGTCTCACTCACCTCACCCGATCTCGCTCTCGTTTCCAGTGGATGGCCGCCTGTTTTCCAGGCCTGCCGTGTAACCTACTTCCCCACACTGCATGCAATCAATTCTCTTTCCATGTCCATCTCGAGCCGGGAACGCCAACCTCAAACCAGGCCAATGCATCGAACTTCCAACCACTGCGAGGACGAACTCTTGCCGTGGATGTCGCTTATGTGCAGATGTGACGAGCGGATGGAGCAATATAATGGATCGAGGCAATTCCTCCGGACCTCCCTCTCGCCTTTCTTCCCCTCTCTGCTCTCTCGGACTGTCTGACTGTTTCTGCTGCTCGCTTGGGCGATGGGGCCGCCGACTTCGGGCCCACCTTGCGAGCGGAGTAAAGAATAGGCTGCCCAGTCTTTTTTGATCAAAAGGGCTTGGCTTGTTGAAGACACCAAAACTTAATGGGCCTGCCCGGTGACCTGTGGCAGGAGTCATAATGATTCTTGGGGATGAGAGTTGGAAAGATAACATCTTGGAAGCAGCGAGGTCCATGGCTTGACTACAAAGTATGTGCCAGGGTTTTTGAGCGCGGGCAATCGTATGAACAACCCCCACGCGTACCCTGGGCAGTTTCGAGCAAAGCCATGTCGACATTTGGGGGATTTCTCTCACGGGCAGGATGGGGTTCTGCCAGAAATTGGTACCATTTCGGTCGCAGGACCAACTGGTCACTAGGCCGGCCTCCCTCGGTATGCCGTATACGTACAGGCCCGGGACATGTACGATGATGGTGGTGGTGATCTCCTTTTACGTTCTCCAGGTTCGCGAAGCATTCTACCGGCCGACTAGCGCAGCCATGGCCCTGCAGCTAACAGGCAGGCCCATTGGCAGCAGGAGAGTGGGATCTCAAAAGGATTTCTTCAAAGATGCAAGCGATCATCGGCCAGGCAAAGGCTTTTTGTCCACGTCCCGTCCACCTCCAAGTACGTGCAGTACACAGGAGATCTGCTGCAGCAAAGTCCACCAACCGGCGAGCCCGCCAGCAAAGAATTTGCAGGTGAGTGTGTGGGCAAAGTTGGTGGCGCCTGGCAGTGACATGCCTCCGTGGTTCAGGCTTAGGCAGACAGAGGGAGCAACTCGTGTATGCGTCGCGTCCCACCACGACCAGCGAGTCGTGAACGTTTGTCTCGAGGTGTTCTCCTCAAGGGACGCTAGCAGTATTGTGCACTTTGGACAAGAGATCCATCGACCCACCAAGTGGAGAGGAGAAGGCCAAGAGCGTCGAGTAGAGAGCGAGAAGAGGAAAAAAGGTGGACGAGATCCGTCCATTGCTCCCGGGGAGGGGTTGGCTTGGTTTTGGCTGCATCCCCATCCACCCAGCCAGCCAGCTGACCTCCGCCGCCGCCGCCCTCGCGCCCTCTGTGCTCTGCTGTCTGTGTGTGTGTGTCTCCTCCGTGGAAGTCTCTAGGACTGACTTGGAGCTTGGCCAGGATGGACCCAGGATGGTGTGTCTGGCCGGCGCAGGAGGGGAGGAAAGAAAAAGAGAGAGAGAGAGAAAGCAGACACTGAGTGGGCTGGAGCTGATTTTCCCAAGTCCCCCAGAAGTCCCTCAAAGTCCACACCCCCGACCCTATTAGCATTACATAAAACCAACGCAGTCTTCTGCTTTTTTTTTACACACACACAACCTACCACCACCACCGTTTTGCCTTATCTCTGACATTCGAAAACCTCTTTGCAGAAAAGTCAGGAACCCGCTTCCACGAGTTCCTTCGGCTCTTATCTCTGGGGAACATCATCCATTGACCATTCACAACAGGCCCAGCCTGCCGGGACCCCCAGATTCTCCATGAATCCGCTGATTGGCGCCGCTCCAAGGCCTTGAAACCATTTTCGGCTCTCCTTCTACCGGAGGTTTTTTTTTCTGGGGACAGCAGGCCAGCAAAAGCTTGTACCCCTCACAAGAGCTACGATAATCACCGTGCAACCGCTGTCATTCCTTGCTAGGAGACTCGGATAGACCCGGCCGGCGCGTGCTTCTCTTCGCTCGCGCAAAACAACGGAGCAAGCCAGGCGTTTGGCGGCGCAACTCGGCGTTTTATCGTCACCGTTGTCGTCGTCGTCGCCGACTCGTCCACAGCCTCGCGTCACGCCGACCCGGGCCTCACACGCCTAGACCTGCCTGGAATTGGCGCCCCGCCCTTTCCGGCCTGAGAGGACTTGACAAGCTCTCTCGTCCCACTTTTTGTATCACCAAGCAACCTCATCGAAGGTGGCTCTTCGCTCTTTTTAGAACAAGTAAAGGCGCTTGCCGCCCACGGCAAACGTCTTGCTGACCCGCCCGGGGAAATGGCAGACAAGATGTCTATCGACAAAAAGGATCCCACCAAGGATGATTCTGAAGACTCGGTAGGCTCCAGCCCGGAGGGTGAGCCTGGCCCTGCGAGCAACTCCAACGCTGCTGGCAACGCAGCACAGGAGAATCAGCAACCCAAGCGCAAGGGTGGACGAAAGCCTGTGAGTCTTGACATCTCGTTCTTGTTGCATCTCTGCCTTCCTGGAGTCCCATGTGGAAGGGAGCCCCCCATACAAAGACAACCCAGTGCTCATGCCAAGAGCGATATCTCCTTGGGCGTCCGTTGAACATGTCTTCTAATCTTGCCCCTTTAGATCTATGCGACCTCTGAAGAGAGGAAGCAGCGCAATCGGCAAGCCCAGGCCGCCTTCCGCGAGAGAAGGACGGAGTACATCAAGCAGCTTGAGGAGACTATTCGTGTCCACGAGCAGAACCTCCATAACCTCCAAGCTGCCCATCGCCACGCTGCTGATGAATGTCTGATGCTTCGCTATAAGAACTCTCTTCTCGAGAGGATCTTACTTGAGAAAGGTAAGCAGTCAGCCATGGACCAGCACCCCCATATGTCCTCGAAGCAGCACCACAGTTCACACCTACGGTATGCTAACGATCTCACGCCATGCAGGCATCGATGTCCAAGCTGAGCTTCGTGCCAAGACTGGCAGTCCAAATCTTGGCCCGACTCACATGCCACAGAACCTCGTCCAGCCGCCTCCCATCCCCCGCGCGATCCTCAACCGCCACCATGCGCGCAGGTCGGCCTCGAGCATCGCGCCAAAAGTCGAGCCAGGGATGGGCGCGCTGCCTCCGCCCCTGCAGCATCCCGCCTCCGGCGTGGCCTCGCCAAAGAACCGCCCGACGCCCTCTTCCCATTCCGCGTCACCGACTGCCACCAACTCGGTCTTCGGCGCTTCCCCCGCCCAATCCGGCTCGGATCCCACATCGGCAGCTGCAATCCGGCCAGGGATGCCACCGACCACCGCGCCGATGAAGCCTCACCAGGCGGGCCACATGGCCAACATGGGCGGCATGCCGCAGCAGCCTGCTCCGCGACAGATGCAGCCGCATATGCAAGCAGCGCAGCAGGCCGCCAACATGCGCCCTTCTCCCAACGTTTCCAACGTGAACAGTGCCGCCTACTATCCGACTCCGGCATTCCAGAACCACATTGAGCAGCTCGGCAAGTTGACCCGTCTCCTTACGCTTTAATAGAACTCTGTAGTCCTAGGATTGATAATTGTGTACAGAACAGGAATACGACGCCGCCGCCGACTTGATGGAAGACCAGGTCGACCAAGCCGAGACCCCTTCAGGCCCCGGTCCCTATCCCGGAGGACCCTACTCGGCAGAGGCTCAGCAGATTGCCCTTTCCAGCCCGGCAACGACTGCACCCCCTGGCGACGGCTCCTCGGCGCCCACCCCTCACGGCAACTATCCCTCTATGACACAACTCCTCGACCCCGGCATCGACTGGGACCCTTTCGGGTTGAGTGCCAGCATGGCGTTCCCCACTCAGTTCTCCTTCGACACCAGCAACATGAGATAGTCCCCCTTCCACCCAACCTTAATCTACGACTATTACGCGTAATCTAGAGCGGCGGCTTTCAGTACTTGCTTTCCTCGGCCAGGCCAATTGATTTGGCCTCGGCATGTTCCTTTTGACTAAGCATACCATTTGACGAAGTCATCTTCGGAATTACACTCTCAAGCCAGGCTAGGCGAGAGCAGGCGTTCAGAAGGGGAACCGGCATTTATCTAAGCGGCTTATGAGAAACGACCTCCACTTCGAAAACATCGTTAGCATAAAGGGGACAAACAAAAGTTCAAACTTCGGCGGGGAAAAAAAACTTCTTTTGATACCCAACAAAAAAGCATTTGCATGGAAGGGGACGGGATGGCGAACTTGTGTGTTATGGTGGCGCACTTACGGAGGTGCACTCGGCTTTTTCGACCCTTCTCTTTTCGATTCTTCTTTCAGTATATACATCCTCTCGCCATCTGGACGGCCCCTCCGATGCACGACAACACACAAAACATACCAGAAACCACTCCAGGACGATGATACCCAGGAACAGCTCCTCCCTCAGCAGCGACCACCACCCTACGGCACCCGTTCGGCTTGTCCTGTCACATCATCCTGGTTTTGGCAAAGGTCATAGTCTGGACTACTGTCCGCGTTTGGTCACTTTTATAGGCGTTTTTGGATCATCAAAAGTTCATGGCTTTGTAGCAAAAACAGAAAAACAAATTCTCATCGGCCGCCGACACCAGCTCCGGACCGAACGCCGGGATTTATCTTGTGTCTCTTTGGTGACAGGGATGACATGTTCTTTTGGCAATCTCCACGTGTTTCTGACGGCGACCTCGATGGCGTTTCCGGCTTGACAGGACCTTTTTTTTTTTTGAACAAAACCCGGGATTACACGAAACAGTCGGCTACGTCTTATATGCGAACAAGTCGATCCAATATCTGGGATTCCATGGTCAAAGATGTCCTCCGTCATCTCCTTCGACATTGAGTCCCCCAGTACTCCCTCTCCGGACTCCCTATCATCACCGTGAGCGAACATGCCAACGAAGAGGCACCGTTCTTACTCTGCGTTTCCTTGACTACCCTCTCTCTTCGTCGATGGATCACAATTGTCTATTTCCGTGCCCGTTCGATTTTTTTTCCATATATATAAATAAGCCTTGTGTATCAAGCCCTGGCCTTCTCAACATGTCTCGTCTCTTCATTTCTCTCTCAAAGACAAGAAAGCCAGTAGTTTCACATCTTTGTTAGCTTGTTCCAACCGTCTTCTTGCTTTTCATAGTCTTCTGTTTCATCTGTCTACTGGCTACCTTTTCCAACTTGGCTTTTGCGAGACGCCCCCCGTTGTTGCTGCGGCAATCACAATGTACTCGGTCATGTATGATTTCTCAAACCTCTTGGCTCTGAGATGTATTTCTTTATATGATGTGTTGGGAAAGAGGGCCACCCAGGTAAGTGCGTTTTAAGGGGGCACACAGAACTCGTGGACTTGTTGACGGCGGTGTCAACAGGACCCGAGAGCCTACTAGGTATATGTGCAAACGGTTCGTTGAGCCAGTAGCTGTAGTGTAAAAACAAATAAATAAAAAAGGAATGACAATTAGCTCGGCCTATCTAGTACTCGAGTTGGAGGAGCTCTTGCGGGTGTCGCTCCAGATCTGACTTGATATCACGAATCATGAATACCTTCATCAAGAACATGCTTACAGCGTGACAAAGTCATTTCAGGGGCAGTTTGCTTTGAGTCTGCTGGGAACCAAAAGGTTACGGCAGATACTGACAACCACAACCTCTACCAACTCCGTAAGTACATGTTGCTAGATGACGCTTTCGGAAGCTTGATGTGTAGCGTGCGCAATGTCCCCTTGCCGGCAGGGCAGAGTCTGGAGGAGCTCCGGTTCCAATGGCCGCACTGTGAAATAGCGCCGAGTCAAAAGTCGAGCCAGGTCTCGCTTGGCGCAATAGCGGAGACTCAGACAGGCCCCAGCCCTTCCACTTTTCAAATGCAAGTCAATCTCTCGGTATCCGGGGGGTTTCGCATTCTTAGGGGCAGAACCTTTTTTCAGGCCGCGGCTTGATCCCGTTCACACGAGGTCAATGGGGAGAAGGGCTCACCGCTATAGGAGCTGCAGTACGGGTATAGATATGTAGATGGCGTTGAAGAATTGGTTCATTCGAGATCGATGGTACAATCCCCATCTCTCCTCCACGAGTTCCGAGCCCTAAAGTCGAGACACCAAAAAGCTTAGGATACCACACACACGCGCGCGCACACAAAATATTAAAAGCTGGGTGAGAGAACCATAAATCCAAATTGTCGTGTGTGGAGAGGGCCAGGCGGGCCAATCAGAGACCAGGACTTGACAGGGACACGGTGCGAGAAGGGAGGCAATCACGCAATTGCGAACAGTGTGTCGGGAAAATGTGAGCAGTTTGGGGAAGGCACATCAGATCAGCGCGAGTGACCACCTGGACACAGTGGACAACAGCAGCTCTACTGCGTCTCACAGGGCCTTCTCCTCAGGGCCCATGACCCCCTTGGATCCACCCCATGACAGGTAACCCGACGACATTTCGCAGGGTAAATTGGCGAGCCAAGTACCTTTTTAGCAGAGCCAAAGTACCCCGTCAGGTACCCAGGCCAGGCATTTCAGGCAGGCAAGGACAGCAGGAAGCACGCACCAAAAAGGCCAGCTCCACCAGACACCACACAATTTCTGCATCGCCGAGCAACGAAGTACCAATTGGGGACATTGTTCCTACTAGGGCCTTTCCTTTGACCTCGACCTTGCCTCGACCTTGTTCTCTCTTCTCACCCTTTCCCTCTGGAACCACATCCGCCCCAAGCCTACCCCGACTCTATTGTCGCATCGAAACAGAACGCCTTTATTGAAAGGCGTATCAGCCCAGGCGACAAGATGTCTGTCGCCTCCAAGGTGAGTTCTTTTGCGTCTGGTGGTCCTGTCCGGAACTTTTATTTTTTATTTTTTTCGTCCTGCATCCCGGGAACAGCTGGCGCAATTGCCCGCAACCAGCTCTCTCGCGAAGCTCTGAAATTTGCTACCGTGGGAGCGTCACGACAGCGCTTGATCTGATCTCCCGGGATGCTGTCTGTTCGAGTGGATGGATGCTCCTGGAGATACAAAGCATGATCAGACGCAATTCCCATTCACATCCAGCACCGCGCGCTAGCATTGAACTCGATAGCTGACCATGATGATTTGTTTCGCAGAACCTCTATGACCTGCTCGGTACGAAACCCTACCCAATCCTGCAACCCAATCGAGGCTGTCGAGTTTGATGGGAATTGGGAGGACTGACCTCGGTTCTGTGTATTTCATAGGCAACGATGACGAGTCGGATCAGCCCCGTCCCCCGGTGAAGACGGTCGACAAGACCACTACCCGGACTGTTAAGCGCAACGCGGACGGCGAGGCTCCTGCGACCAAGGCTCCCGCCGGTCAGGGCCGCCGTGGTGGCTTCGGCGGCAACGAGGCTGGTATGCTTTTACTCGTCCCTGGGCTCTGCCTATGACGTATCAACCCGATGCGGCTGATGCGTCTCGCGTGCCATTTTCAACTAACGCCTCCTGACCCCATCGTCTAGCTTTCCGCGACCGCAACGCCGGCAGCGACCGCAACCGTGGTAAGACCACTGACGATGCTCCTCGCGGTGGCCAGGCCCGCGGTGGCCGCGACGCTCGCGTCCGTGGTGGTATGTTCCCGTCCCCTATATATGGAGCATGCTTGGCCCTGAGCCTTGCCATGTGATGTATCTCATTATCCCTCATACAAATACTGACTCCGAGGCATGTAGGCCGTGGTGGCCGCTTCCCCCGTGAGCGTGATGACCGCCACAGCAAGAGCGTTCCCACCGGGTAAGTCTACCGCGTACTCACCATGCGTTCATGACCTGTGCTGACTCGTCACAGTGGTTCCGATAAGCAGGCCGCTCAGGGCTGGGGTGCTACCGAGGGCGATGCCGAGCTGAAGGACGAGCAGGCCGGCGAGGAGATCGCCCAGTCTGAGCGCAAGGACGCCGCCACTGAGGAGGCCGGCGACGAGACCCCTGCCGAGCCCGAGGAGAAGCACATCTCCTACGCCGACTACCTCGCCCAGCAGGCCGAGAAGAAGCTGGCTCTTGAGGGCGATCTCAAGGTCCGCCAGGCCAACGAGGGTGCCAAGAACAACAAGCAGTGGGCTACCGCCAAGGAGCTCGTCAAGGATGAGGACGATGACTTCATCTCTGCCTCTGCTGGCAAGACCAAGCGCGAGCGCGAGCGCAAGACCAAGCAGGTCGTCGACATTGACCAGCGCTACGTCGAGCCTGAGCGCCCCACCCGTGGTGGCCGTGGCGGCCGCGGTGGCAGCCGTGGTGACTCTGGCCGTGGCGGTCCCCGTGGTGGCGACTCGTCCCGTGGCGGTCCCCGTGGCGGACGTGGCGCCCCTCGTGGCGGCGACTTCCCCCGTGGTGGCGGCCGTGGCGGTCGTGAGGCCTCTAACCTCAACACCAACGACGAGAAGGCCTTCCCCAGCCTTGGCGGCAAATAAGCTCGCCCACCTTTTCCCGGCGTAGGATTGACTTGACCCTGGGTCGACATCGAGCATGGCTCGGCCCCTATTTGCTACGGGTCCTCTCTCCACACAAGAAGTAGGAACACGGAATCTCTCTGGTGGTTCTTGACACACTACTACATTGAACACAAAAAACGGCGGTGAAAAAAAATCCACATTTTGCACCATGGATTGTTGCAAGGCTTGTTTCCAAAGTTCTGAACGGTTACTGGTTGTTTGTTTCTCGGGGGGACAAGGAGGAAAGTGTTCTCGGGACCCGATGGCCTTGACTGGATGGGGCGCAACATGAGCAAGAAAAACTCTTTTTTTAACAACACTTTGACAAATACTTGGTATTTTCTGTTAATGTCAACGAAAAGAAACCTAAGTCTCTTGTGCCTCCTTGAATACGTGCTTTGATGTGTGCTGTTGTCTCATGATAGCTGAGACCTTGAGGTAGGTTGACTTCGGTTGCATCATTCCATTAGGGATTGTTATGTGAAGTATGATCTTGAGGTAAGGCTCTCGCGAGACTCGGTTGAGCTGATGCTTGTTCTTCAGAACAGACGAAGCTGTATTGCCAGTTGGTTTACCTCTCCTTTGGAGTCCTTCTGCCATTCGTCTGTAGAAGCAACCATGGCAGTGAGAAGACCTTGGGCTTGTATTATTACCGGTGTATATCAATTACACAGACGACGAAGGAGCTCGACTTCACAGTAAGACAAGAATTGTGTTGTTGGGCTCCCGAAGTTGCGAGTCTCAAAGAAAGACAGCACAACTGCTTTGTTTCAATGAACTTGTTCAACATTGTTCTTCGCCCTGCCCTTGAGACAAGGCACTTGATGTCTGCTGAGACAAAGAAATTGTGCACACCAAGAAATGGTACTTAAGGAGTAATTTCGGATCGTGTCCCTGATTATTGCTATTTTGTCTCGTTAAGTTTCCTTTCTCTCTCTCTATCTTCTGTCTGTCTAGCTATTGCCACGGAGTTCGCTGATCTGCCTACCTACCTACCCCTGAGCGACCCCCCTTTCCGAGTCACGAATTTTCAACCTCGGAACAGAACAGCTATCTCGTCCCAAAAAAAACTATATCGCTTTCGGACGGTACAAAACACCATGACTACCCCCCCACAGGGGCCCACCCCCATCTTGGACATCATTCTCACTCTGGGCCGGATCCCGTGCACGTCCCTGGTGCGCACCAAGGCCCTGGACGCGCTGGTGCGCCAGAGAGCCGACCTGGCGCGCCAGGAACACGACCGGTGGCGCTGTGAATTTCCGGACGAAGACGACGGCGACGGCGACGAAGGCACGCCGAACATGCTGCCGGGCCACTACGACGACGGCGGCTACGATCACGACGAGCAGCAGCAGCAGCAGCAGTCGGCAGCCGCCGCCGCCGCCTATGCGGCCTCGTCGGACGCACCCCTCGGCGAGATGTCGTTGGTAGACTTCATCCGGGACCTGTGCGTGGCCAACGACCTGACGGGGCCGGGCGCGCCGCTCGAGGACGTGGACTGGGAGGACCTGGCGCGCTTCGTGGACGCGTGCCGGGACTGGCGCGTGCCGGAGCCGGACGCTGCTGTTGCGGAGGGCGCTGCTGTGGGTGCTGCCGCTGTGAGCGACGAGGAGGAGGAGAAGGAGGAGGAGAAGGAGGAGGAGAAGGAGAAGGAGAAGGTGAAGGAGGACGAGGATAAGGAGAAGGAGGAGAAGGAGGACAAGGCCACAGACAGCCAGGCCGGCGACAACGGCGAGGAGAAGGGCGCCCACGGCGGCGGAGAAGAGAGGCCAGCTACACCATCCTCGTGCTTCTCCCTGAGCCATAGGCCTAGATTGAGACTGGAGCAGGCCGGCGGGCACGCGGACGGGGCGCACCAGCCTCTGACGTCGTTCGCCGGGATGGGCGTCTTGCCGCCGCCGGACCATCTGGCCTCGCGGCCGGACCAGACTGCTGACATCCCGCTCATACAGACCGACACTAGCTCTGCTTCTGCATGTGAGTGCTCTCGTCCCGGCGGCTACTACTTCCGACGACGTTCCTGAGCTGGTTGTCACGCTGCCGACGCCGATTACGGGCCAAGGATGCCGTAGACATTCCATACCAGCGGGCATAGCCTCGTCGGTTGTCGCCGGGCTTGGACAGCGAGCCGTCGATGCTGGCTGAGCTGTGCGAGTTTGCCGGACACTGATGGGGAAAGGGGGATAGAAGTAAGAGCACAAGGGCGGGGGGGGGGGGGATATACACTCGTTTTGCGTTTCTGAGTAGGGTATGTCAAATACACAGGAAACAGACCAGTGGTATGAAAACCAAGCCAGGGGGCTGAATAGACGAACGAGCAAACGCTTCCAAGGTACTTTCATAAACTCGTAACAAAGTGATTCCGCGCGCCGACATACAAATGACCTCCCAAACCAACGTTTTATAGATAAAACCCAACCCACCATCGCCATCTCTCCACGTTAATAGGTTGCCCGAGTCCCCCTATTCATCTATCGATTCTTTTTTGGCCCAGACCCAGATACTGGGTGAAAAACAAAAAAAAAGGAATCTGTGGCTTTGTAAGCAGGTCGAATCACTTCCTCATCTCCCGCCGAAACACCCGCGAAGCATCCACGCCCAGCGCAGCCACGAGCAGCACGCCGTTGAACACGGCCATCATGTAGAACGGCGCGCCCGTGGACACGGCGTCGAACAGGTACCCGCCCAGCTTGGTCAGCAGCAGGATGGCCGCGCCGCCGCACCACGAGTACACGCCGGCGATGGAGCCCTTGAGCCGCACGCGGGACGCCGTGGCCACCGCCCCGGGCTCATCGTCATCGTCGTCATCGTCCTCGACAAGGTGGTCATCGCCGTCGGCGTCGTCGAGCAGCCGCTCCGCCTCCTCGCCGTGGTGGTGGTCCCGCCGGCTCCGGCGGACCTTGGGCAGGTCGGCGGCCAGGACGCCCTTGCCCAGGGAGCCGAGGCTGCAGACGATGGCGCCGATCTGGCTGACGCCGATGAGCACGGCGAGCAGGAACACGGCGGGCGAGCCGCCGCGGCCGTCGACGTCCCTGAACTCCGGGCTCGGCAGCCTCGGGAACGCGACGTAGCCGACGATGCCGAGCGCCGTCGAGACGACGAGCGGCACGTTGACGGCGGCCCGGCGGCGCGAGAAGTAGCCGAAGAGCGGGGCGCAGAGCAGGGCCGCGAGCTGGGCGACGCCCGTGAGGACGGAGGCGAGGACGTAGGCGGTGCGGCACTCCTTCTTGAGCTCCGGGGAGGGGTCGTTGGGGCTGCCCTGGCAGTAGCCGTTGCGGATGAAGAAGGCGTTGACGAAGAGCGGGACGAAGAGGGAGATGGCGACGGTGGAGGCGCGGGCGACGAAGCCGCCCAGGTAGCCGAGGCCGATCTGCGAGTCGGAGAAGCCGAGAAGGACCGAGTCGCGCAGGAGGTGCCAGTAGGGGACGACCTTCTGTCGCAAGGGGAGGGGGAGAAAGTTAGTCATGCCTGATTTCGATAGTGTATAGAAGGGAAGCATGCAAGTCGGGACATAGCGTACCTTCTGGGCGTCTTCGCGGATAGAGGAAGCGCCGATGCTGGCGCGGCGGTCCGTCGCCGGAGCCGAGGACTCGGGGGCGCGGATGCCCAGCAGCAGCCTCCAGCCCTTGCCCTCTTCGCCCCTGAGGTTCCTCAGCCCGAAGAAGACGAAGACGGCGACGAGCAGGGAGACGACGCCGACGACGTAGAAGGCGTACGAGACGGCCTGGCCCAGCGTGACGCCGTCGATGTGGCTGAAGGACGCCGGCAGGGGCAGGAACAGGATGAGGGCCACCAGGGCGCCGCAGCCCGTGAAGAGCCCGACCAGACCGGCGAGCGCGGACGGCTTGCCCGAGCCGGCGTCGGCCTCTGCCGCGTCGCCGTTGGAGGTGCCGATCGTGGAGTGGCTTCTGGCGTAGCGCTCGGGGGTGATGGTGAGCTGTGACTCCATGGACAGGGCCAAGCTGTATCTCGGGTTGCGGCTCTTGTTCAAGGGGTGGTTGCTTGGAGCCTCTGGCGGCGGGGGCGAGTCGTCTGTCAGGGACGGCAGGATGGCCGTGACCATAGTCGCCCTGGAAGAAGCATGGGATTTTAGTACAACTGCTCGACCAATCTTGAGCCTGGTTCAACACGTACGTAGCAGTGGCGCCAATGGCAAAGAGTATCCTCGCCAGCAGGAGCTGCGGGTAGACATTGGTCGCCTGGACAAAGACGAACAGCGACAGCGCAATGATGGAGTAGCCGATGACGGCTACATGGCGGACTCCCAGCCGGTCGGAGACGAGGCCCCAGACGGGACAGGCCACGAGGGCGACGAGCTCGTCCACGAAGCCGAGGGTGCCGACGATGTCTCCGACGCCATGCTTCTCGCCGATGAGGTCGGTGATGACGAAGGAGACGCTGCTGTTGAGGAAGACGAGGAAGGAGATGGAGAAGAGGGAGATGCCGAGCAGGTATGTCAGGGCCTGCAGGGTGGTGGTGGAGGAGGAGAAGGGGAAGTGTCGTAGGATGCCCATTGTTGTGCCTGCGGTTGTGTGTATGTATGTGCGTGTGTGTGTGTAAGTGCGGGAACGCGCCCTGCGCGTACAGCCAGCAAGTGTATGACGATCACTCGAGCAGAGGGTACTGTTTGGCTTGGCTATTGTGCGGAAAGCCGGGTTCACATCGTGATACAGCTCTGGGCGGTTGTGGTCCGATCAATGGTTTGCCATGTAAACCACAGAGAAGCTACGGCTTCGTCTTTGCTTGGCGACAACAAAATGTCATGCTGCACGCGTGCTTCCGTCCCGGGTTCGGAGGAGGCGCATTGATGCGATGGAGCTCTCGTTTTAGTGCATCATGTAAGCAAAACAGCACCACCCGTGGACTTCTCCAGCGCTCCAGCTCAGAGCTAGAGTGCCCCGCAGACCTGATAATGCAGGGCCGGCAGCATTGATCTCCCGACACGATGGGCAATCAGGGCGCTGTAGAATTGATATCCATAGAATTCCTACCTTAGGTAGGTAGTAACCAGACTGTGCTATGCCTGCTTCTACGTTGCTTGTCCAAAGTGCACTTCAATTAGCTGCAACTCATAGCCTTGAGCCATATGATCTATCTACCTTATGTTGTTGGCAGTTCAAGGTACCAAATCCAGCCCGAGGGGTGCTCTGCTTTTAGACCCTCGATACCCGAGATCGGCCCCAGAAATCTTTCCTTGACTAACCGCCCTGCACCTTCGAGTCGCGAGTCTCGAGTCCGGCCAACCAGAGATAACTTCACCGCTCGCCGCAACAGCTTCCCTGCCCCGGGCCACCGTTGACCGACCGCGAACCTGCAGGAGGTGTCGTACAGTAGAGTTTGCCGACCAGGAGGAGCTCCCCGTTATATTCCCTCGGCTCCCCTCCCTGCTGTACGAAGAGGCTCTGCAACGGCCATACCTCCTCTCCGCCTGCTCCCATATCGCCAGTCCTTTTCCTCTCCGACGGGCTCTCAGCGGCAACCATGTCTGCTTCCATACCGGGAGACCGCGAGCTCCCCGACTCGCAGTATGACCTGAGCACCTACTGGGGCCGGGTGAGGCATACGGCAGGCATCACAGACCCGAGGTGAGACCTGCCCATTGCGAGCTTCTGTGTGGCATGTGCGACAGGGGAACTCCAACCCCCGCTATGTGGGAATTGATACTCTGGGGAGAGAGAGAGAGTTGGAAACCTCAATTGGAGGGCGCAGTTCAAGAACAGCATGCTGACCATCATGTGACGCTTACAGGACGTTGCTGGTCGGCAAGACGGGCCTCGAGCAGGCAAAGGAGGCCATCAAGGCTTACAAGCAGGGCAAGGTCAAGGAGATGACCCCGGAGCTGTGGAGGGCAAAGAAGGTCGTCGATGCGACGCTGCACCCGGGTACGGCCTGAGCTCTTGAACACGCGAACATGCTCCTGCTGTCTTTCCGCAGAATGACTGACCTCGGGGCCTGCAGATACCGGCAAGCCCGTCCTGCTGCCCTTCCGGATGTCCTGCTTCGTCCTGTCCAACCTGGTCGTCACGGCAGGAATGCTGACGCCAGGCCTCGGCGTAGGTCTCCCCTTTCTCTTCATCATATTATGAGACGCGCTTCATAGACATGGGCTAACAATGCACTCCCTCCCTCCTCCCTAGACCACCGGCACCATCCTCTGGCAGGTCGCCAACCAGTCCCTCAACGTCGCCATCAACAACGCCAACGCCAACAAGTCCTCCCCGCTGTCCTGGGGCAAGGTCGCCCAGTCCTACTTCCTCGCCGTCGGCGCCTCGTGCTCCGTCGCCGTCGGCCTCAACAGCCTCGTCCCGCGCCTCCGCCGCCTCTCGCCCTCGACCCGCCTCGTCCTCGGCCGCCTCGTGCCCTTCGCCGCCGTCGCCTCGGCCGGCGCGCTCAACGTCTTCCTCATGCGCGGCGAGGAGATGCGCACGGGCATCGACGTCTACCCCGTGCTCTCCGAGGCCGACAAGCGCCGGCTCGCCGCCGAGGGCCGCGCCGAGTCGGACGTCGCGAGCCTCGGCAGGAGCCGCAAGGCCGCCACCCTGGCCGTCGGCGAGACGGCGCTGTCGCGCGTGCTCAACAGCTCGCCCATCATGGTCATCCCGCCGCTCGTGCTCGTGCGCCTGCAGCGCGCCGAGTGGCTGCGCCGCAACCCGCGCCTCACGCTGCCGCTCAACCTCGGCCTCATCCTGGCCACGAGCTACGCCGTGCTGCCGCTGGCGCTGGCGGCGTTCCCGCAGCGGCAGCGCATCGCCGCCGACAGCCTCGAGGAGGAGTTCCACGGCAAGGGAGGCGACGGCGGCATGGTGGTGTTCAACAGGGGTATATAGAGACTAGAGATCGAGGCGAGGAGGGACGAGAGAGAGAGAGAGGAGAGGAAGAGAGAAAGAAGAAGAGAAAGGAAAATATCTTGCACGGGGTCTGAGTTGCATACATTCCCATTTTCTAGATGTTCGTCCTGGGTGGCGCTTGGGGTTGCACACATATACACATACACGCATACGCCACTTGGACGGGAGGAGTCTGAGTTCCTTGTGAATTTCGTTATACCAGAATTAGGGGCGCTGTGATGCAATAGACGCAAACTGGATCAGCCTGGGCAGCAGGACAGGATGACACTTCTGCTGAAGACTCTCGCGGGCGTGTTAGCTTGGGATTGTGAACGCATGCATGTAGCTGTGCACACGGATGATGCCCTGTGACCCCCGTAAGATGATGAGACCGAGTTGTTGTACGTGAGAGAAAACATCTGCTACCTAGCCGTGAGGAATCGGCGCACAATCACGCCTCAGCTAAGCTGGTTCGTGAACACAAGAAAAAAACATGCTGTGCTGGTAGGAGTCAGCACGCTGCAGGCCCGTCCACCTTGTTTGTGAGCCGGGCTTTTGTTTCATTGCACATGCAACGGGAAGAAGGGCAGATCATCTCCTGCACTGCTTTTTTGTTGTGTACCTACAGGAGATCACGAAAGCCAGGCCCAGACGGGCCCGGACGATCGTGACCACGGATGTCCACGGCCTAATAGCAAGCAAGGCATGCGTGCGTGCGTGCGTGCGTACGAAGTACATCGTCCTGTGAACGAAAATGCACTATTGCCTCGGGCACAGTTTGCACGAAAGGCGAGAGGACAGAGAGCGAGAAGAGAGAGGCTGTGAAGGGCAACTGACCGCCGCCAAGCTCATCATCCCTTTCTCGATATGTCTCTGGTCAGTTGCTCCTGAAACAATGGGAACCGACAGACAGAAGCCCGCTGAAACCACCAGCTGTGCGTTCTCGTCCTATTCTCCGGTGGAGATTGGAGACCTTGGACGCGAAGAACAGCCCCCGGTTTCTGACGTAGTCGTGATCCATCACGGAGTCCACACCTGTGGGGATGATGTGGAAGGCTGTACGGACTACTATTTTCAGCTCTTCAAGCTGATAAGAAGCAGCAAGGTGAGAAGAACCTAGCACTACGGGATCTCTTCCTATTCCAGGGATGACTGTCAAGGGTTCAGTCAATCTTGTTTTGCACGATTAGGGGCCCTCGTGTTTCTTATTGTCATCCCGGATGGGCGTTGTGAAGGAGCAGCGGTGGCTGAGGGTGTCGGGTGTTTGGCACTCGCCCTTGACGCGGACCATACATAATACGGAGTAATCTCGAGAAAGCGTGCGGAGGTGGGCAGATTGTCGTGCCCTTGCTGTGCCCTCTCTGGCCGCCTCGACTGGACGCGTTTCGTCCGAATCAGGAGGAAAAGCAGGGTCGCTTCTGATCAGCGGGGAATTTTTGGATTAGGCCCCAAGTAGATCGCCCGTGTCGGAAACACTGGCCGCCGCGCGCTGCTTTGGTCCTCGGGAAAGTGGTGTTCTGAAACCTCGACCATGGCAGCTAATTGAAATCCGGGGGTTCCTGGCATTCCACACACACACACATCATCAACCCGTGGATCATGGATCATCAGGCGGCCCTGGGAGTTTTATACATGTTGCCAATTTACCAGGTCTGGTTCTGGCGCAGGCAGGTAGATGGGAACGCAATCAATCCTAGATGCATGTCAAGAGAGAGTGGTTGATTATTGCCGAGATGGCGGGCAGGTCGTTTCTTGGGTCGGGCAGTCCTGGTTCCGGTTGTCCTTTTGGAGAGGGAAAAGGACCGGACCATGCCCTGTCTCGCTCAGGCGAGTAACGTGCGACAGAGAGAGAGCCTGAGAGCGCTGGGGTCCTGGGCTAGTTCCGCCTTGCCAGTTCAGAGAGTGCGAAGCCGCAGACAAGACAGACAGGGCCATTGTAATGTACTTGTAATGTGGTGGTCGAAGAACAAAGCTGAGTCAAACTGTTGGCAGTGCCTCGGCCTAGGGCTGTGTCCATGTTTCTTCGAAGCCACCGGACTGCCACGACCGAGGACTGAGATCAATGTGTGTTTTACCCAACAGGCCTAGAGCGTCGTCATCCAGGGCCTTACCAGGCTGTTTGAGTATTGTCAACAAATGTCGGGCATCCGAGTGCCGTTGGAATGTGCGCAAGAATGCCGCTCCGGCAACCATGGGAGGACCAGGTACCGATTACCAAGGCCGAACTGACTTTCCCCTCTGATGCCCCTCCCCTCCTACGGAGTCTTTCCATGAGCACTTAAGTCAATCTTCTGTGTGTGTGCCCTTCTGTGCGTGTCTTGGTGTGGTGTACGGAGAGGGGGAGATTCCTCGCCAACCACAGGGCCGCTGGAACCCAAAATGTGGGCAGAGTCTAGCCCAGCGCAACTCCAAGAGCCACGGCGGCGCGCCCGGCGTGCGGCGGCCCATGGCCCATGCAGTGAGATCGTTGAATGGAGATGCATCGACCATTAGCGACGGCACGTTTGGCGTTGGTTCGGTGATGTAGCCGCTAAAGTGACAGGGTTTGGCTGATAAATCGCACATCGCCCTTTTCCCTTTCGCGCTTGGTGCTGGTGAGTTATGACGAGAGACACCCCCCGGTACGTGCAGAAAGACAATGACATTCGTAGACTCTGGGTCGCTGTGCTGGTGGTGTGTGGTGTCACCCAGTAGAATAGCCCGAGGGAGCGAACCCGATCGAGGTGGACTGGGCCTGGCAGCAGGGAGGAGGCAATACAATGTGACAACAGGAGGCAATGCCTGCCAAGTCAGGACGCAAGGTCCCTGATGATTGCCAGATGTAACTATCAGGGAGAAGAAGAAAAAGAAAAGAAAAGGCGCTCTTTCATTCAAGGGGCCATTGTTCCCTGCTGGACCTCGTCGCCAAACATTGGGCGTCATGAATTCGTTGCGGTGCTTGACGGAGTTTCACTCTGGACGGTGAGGTACTGCTGGTACCGCAGCCCGCAGTAACTACCACCACCTGCTGCACCTTCCGCTAGAATTGATTCTCCCTCCCCCACCGTGGCAACAGTTGGCAAGAGAGTGAGAGAGAAAAGCCGTCCCATCTCGCCTCATTCCACGCAATCTCCTGATTGAAGTTTGAACAGAATACTGACAGGCTTCGGCCGCTACAAGTCTCGAAAATTGATAATTTTGTGTGTGCTTTCGGAAGTAGTTTTGGAGGGTGAGTGAGGTGAAGGTAAAAAGTGGACGACCAGGCAGGCCTGGTTCGATGGACACTGGTTCCCCACCATTTTCGCCACACGGATTCGGGCTGCTTTTTTGGGGTGTGGAAAATGGAGGCGACAGACCCAACGTCAATGGCTGCCGGTGTTTAGCGACAACCCTCAAAAATTACAGGGCACTTCCCGCCTGGAATTGTACATGTGCCGGGGGATCTCGAGCGCCGTAGCTTCCAAGGTTGTCAACTGTGCCAATGAAATTCAGGGTCCGGTGTTTGTTTTAGTGGCTTCCCACCACCACCGCCACGCCCTTGGTGTCCCTCACACTCTCAACATTCGATCGTGACCGTGACCTTGACACTCTCAAGGGAATCACCGCCAACGCCTTCGTCTTTTTTTCCCACTCTACGGTCGACAATTCACAAAAGCTTCAGTCGTTCAACCCACACCCCAAAAGAGCATCAGGTTTAACTAGTCGCTTCGCATCATCGCCGTGGTGCACCGCTAGCAGAGGCGACCAGCAAAGCCAGCCAGCAGCGAGATCCATCCTCCTTGCCCACCCCATAATAAGTGGCACCTCTTACTCCGCCCGCCAGTCAGCCAGCCAGCGCCAGTCCGAGGAAGTGCACCCGCTACAGAGGGAGACGAGAGAGAGCGAGACGACGGGAACGCACGCACACACGCATTCACGCACGCACTGGACTGGGAGAGTGAGGGTCGAAGTCAATCACCCGGGGAGCCACCACCATCAATCACACTCCCAACCTCTAAACCGTCAGTCCCTCGTCTCTTCCGTTCAAGACTCCTCTTCCGTGATTCACGCTTCTCATGTAGCCCTCACATCAGTCTTCTCTTGAGTTTCTCTTCACAATCCAACACGATTCACACGAGGCAATTCCCACGAGGAACCGCCAAAACCACGCCAGCCGTTTGTCCGTCCGCCGCCTTGTTGTGGTGCTAGGGGCCGCCTACATCGGTCCCAACTGCTGCTGGCTGCACCACCCGCTGGACCCAGCAGTGCAGTCCTCCCCAGGTTATCTCTCGCTCTTCCTACTGCCTCTCTCGCAACGCCCTCGCCTGGCACGTCACCGCCGCCGCCGCCGAAGACGACGACGACGACGACCTTGACAAGACGAGGACAATAATGTCTACTCCTACGACGGCAACTGCCACACTACCGCCTCATCACCATCCGGGTTATCCATTCAACACCCATCACCAGACTACTTATCCCGCAAATTCGTCGGCCTTCCGAACCACCAATCTCCCCGCGTCCGCCAGGCTCGCCCCAGCATACCCGTATCCCATCACCTCATCGCCCTCTTCCAACAACTACGCCGGTGCTAATGGGCTAAACTCCCCTGCCACTGCTGCTCGTTCATTGCACAACAAGGAAGCCTCAAATTATACCACCACAGCCATGCCTGTGACCGCACAGGCACCCCCAGCCGAGCCCCAGCCGGTGCGCAAGAGAAGGCGCTCCAGGGAGCCCGACTGGCACAACTTTTACAAGAACGGTCTCCCAAAGGAGATCATCGTCATTGACGATACCCCGGAGCCTGAGCCTGCTCGGACCGCCTCTGCTCCCAAGCCTCTGACCAACGGTCACGCTGCCAATGGTACTGGCCACCACGCCATACCCGTCGATGACAGTACCACCGCCCACCACGTCTCCAAGAAGCGGAGGAGAGACGACGAGGCTACCCATTACGATCCAGTCCACAACCGGATCGTCAGCTCACATACGTACGATACTGCCAGTGGGTCAACCGTCTCGAGCGACAGGACGAGTTCCGCCGCTCACACCACGGCTCCCACCTCGCTGTCGTCAAATGGCCAGTACGACTACGAAGTCCCGTCGGGCCAGAAACGGAAGCGGACGCGGCAGCAAATAGCCAACGAGGCCAAGAAACAGGAGCTCAGCATCCTTGGCCAGGCCTTTGCCGCTTACCAGCCTCCTCCGCATCCGCCCAAGAAGGCCGGCGACGTTCCGGTTCGAGTCATCCATGATGTGAGATCCCTCTCTCTTCGTTCCCTTCATGCCCCATCTCGAGGATCCGACAGACGCTGACCTAAATCCCACAATCTAGAGCACTCACAGCAAAGGATCAAAAGTCGATGATGAAGACGGCCACTACATCGTCATTCCCGACGCAGATCTCACTGACAAATGTATGTACCCGGCGACTTGCTCCTGTTTCTACCGGACCGCGATTCTGACCTTGGATTCACAGATCAAATGATCAAACTCCTGGGGCAAGGCACCTTTGGCAAAGTTGTGCAGGCCAAAGATCGACGACGAAACGAGCTCGTTGCCATCAAGATCATCCGCTCGGTCCAAAAATACCGTGATGCCTCTAAGATAGAACTCCGAGTTCTTGCAACGCTCAAGGCCAACGATGCCGAGAACCGCAACCGGTGTATACACCTGCGGGATTGCTTCGATTTCCGCGGCCACATCTGCATTGTCATGGACCTCCTCGGCCAAAGCGTTTTTGACTTCTTGAAGGGCAATAACTTTGTACCTTTTCCGAACAGTCAGATTCAAAACTTCGCCAGGCAGCTTTTCACTAGCGTTGCTTGTAGGTCTTTCCGTTTGCTTCACTTTCCTTGGAGAAGTACTGACAATCTCTAGTCCTGCATGATTTGAACCTCATCCATACGGATCTCAAGCCAGAGAACATCCTGTTGGCTTCCTCCGAATACCAGACATTTACCTACAACCGCAAAATCCCTTCTTCGTCAGCAACAGTCGCTCGACAAGCCACTCAGCGCCGAGTTTTGTTGGATACAGAGATACGACTCATCGACTTTGGGTCCGCCACCTTCCAGGACGAGTATCACTCTTCTGTGGTGTCTACACGCCACTACCGTGCACCAGAGATCATCCTTGGTCTTGGCTGGTCATATCCGTGCGATATCTGGAGCATAGGGTGCATCCTTGTCGAATTCTTCACCGGCGATGCCCTCTTCCAGACGCACGATAATCTCGAGCACCTGGCGATGATGGAAGCCGTATGCGATGCCAGGATAGACCCCCACCTGGTCCATTCTGTGAACAAGATGACGAGAAACGGCGGTAACCCGGCTGCCAAGTGAGTCATTCTTTCCTAGCAGTTATGCTGGGAGCACGCAAGATGCTGACCTAGTCTCAAGATATTTCAAGCGGACGAAGCTTGACTACCCGACCGCAGAAACGACGAGAGCTTCGAGGAGATTTGTCAAGGCGATGAAGAAATTGCATGTAAGTATTCAGCTCACCGTTCGGACAGCAATAGTAGTGATTGTATTGACTGACGTTGTTCCAGGAAATCATCCCGAGCAACAACAACTTTCTTCGACAATTTCTCGATCTTCTGAAGAAGATATTCGTCTACGACCCGGCCCATCGCATCACGGCCAAGCAGGCGCTGCAACATCCGTGGTTCAAGGAAAACGCACACCCGGATGACGGTACCGAGGCAGCAAAGATTCGGCAGGAGAAGCGATCGAAGCAAGCTAAGGAGCGCATAGCTGCGCGGATACCCCCTTACAAAGCAGATATGCCATGAGCTATGAAGGCCCGAGGTTTTGCTGTGTATGATGATATTTTTTTTTTGGCACGATTTGGCACGATTCGAAAAGAGGCATGTCACCCAGACAAGCAGTATAGCTCTAGTATCACCTTTTCATGACGGGGGCCGGGTCTCTCTTCTTTCCCCCAACAACGTACCCACGGATGACAGTGCCTGGACAAAGGAGTTTCATAAGGGAATGGAGGACAGTGTCGCTTGGCTCGAGAGGTTAACCGCCACCACGGATCAGCGCTAGGGGCGGTTCAATCACGATTGCATATTACATAGAAGAATATCCTTCAGGACGCCTTTTCCCACGATAACCACGACGAAATCTACTGCGGTCTCTACTCGATACACAATGCTGTCGTCCTGTATTCTAACCTCGTCCCACCCATATGCGATTATACCGATGCCTCCGAGATGACTGCTCGTGACAGTGCTTGACAAGATATCCAAGGTCGTGGGAGCGTTTAGGTTCTGCGCCGGCTGACCTTCACAGGCGGTTGTCGTGGGACGGATCCAACACCAGATGCTGGTTCTCTTACTGCAGTGGTGTGCATGGCACGAGCAGACTTCTTTGTGTCCACTGCTTGTAACTGATCAATCAGTGTGGTTTAGGACAACAGTGGCAGCGAACAAAGGGAAGTACATGAAGGATGGCTTTGTCGTTTGCAACAATGGCCTTGTCAGACACGTTGTGCTCCAACAGCGGAGAAGCTTTGAAGGACTAGAAAAAGGCCATTGGCATAGGCAATGTCACCCAGCTCCTTTTCCTCTTTTCCCCTTTTCCCTTTCTCCAAAATTTAGATGTTGTCATCTGATATCTAAACACAGTTCAAGACTGACGGACTGACTAATTGCTTCTTGTGAGAAACATCTCGAAGCGTACAGAGGTTCCTTGCATCAAGCTACCATCTCAACGATAAAAGAAGACCAGGAGTACGAAAGATAAGGAAAGAAGAACATGGGCAACGCTCCGCCAGCGTCAATAAAGCCCGGCATGGCCGACTCCCTGGCCCTCCTTCCCGAGGCGGGCGTCAGGGAGCTCGCCGCTCTGCTGTGCCTCCCGCAGGAGCATATCGAGCCTTGCCTTAAGGGCCGGAAACGCCAGGCAAGCAACAAGACCGTCCCGCTACCGTTGTCTCCGCAGACACAGACGGTATTTTCTTCTGGAGGACCCCCGAGCACCTACCCCCCTTCGTCTCCCGCCACCACTAACACACACACACATGATCACCACGCCGTGCGCCGCATCAGGCCTTCGGCAGAGTGGCTCGCGTCTCAGAGACGCGCTCTTCACCCCCCGGACATAGACGTCTCGAGCTCCTTCCACCCCGAGTCTGACGGTGAGGACTCGGACGACGAGGAGACCGAGTACGACGGCGAAGCCGTCTCCTCCACCGCGGCTCCTCCCTCTTCCTCCGCCAGCGGCGACAGCACGGCGCACGTGCGCCGCCCGGGCGGGCTCAGGGGCCTGCGCATGAGCTTCCTCGAGGGCGCGCGCCGCGCGCTCCTCGGCTACCAGCCCGTGAAGCTGTGCGGCGCGCACGGCAGGCTGAACCCGCGGCTCGTGCGCGACGTCTTCGTCGCGCTGAGCCTCGAGGCCACGCTCCGGGCGGACGGGGTGCGGGCGCACTACGACGACCGGGCCGGGTTCGGGTACCGCAGCGGCAGCAAGGCGCGCGTCGTGGCTGCGCCGCCGTATCGCCGCCCTCCTCCTTCTGGTGGTGAAAGTGATGAAGGCGAGGACGAAGATGAAGATGAAGAAGACGTAGAAGATACGGGCGAGTGGGCGGGCGTGGCCTCGCGCGCCGTGCGGGACTGGGGGGACCGGCTCATGGGCCTCGCGAGCCTGTGGTGCGAGCCCCGGGCCTTTGACAAGGCGGCCGGCCGGGTCTTCCCTGCGGCGTGGCGCTGCGGCCGCCTCGAGTCCGGGTGCATGGCGTGCATGATTGCTGTGGTGGGCGGGCGGCGCGACGCGCTGGTCGATCTGCGGGCGGGCATGCTGGCCCGGCGGCGGGAGGGCGGCGGCGGCGGGCGGGGCGGCGGGCGGCTGCTGCTTCTGCCGCTCGTGGAGGCGTGGATCGACGGCTATGACGCCGCGTGTACGGCGGCGGCGGCGACGGTGGTGGTGGGGACCGGCGGCGAGGAGGAGGAGGTGGAGGAGGAGGAGGTCGATGCGGCTGTAGCTGCGAGGTCGGAGAGCGCGTGGCTTGCTGGGGAGATCCGCATCGTGCGGGACTACCAGAAGGCTGTCAAGGCGAGGAACGGCCCGCCCGTGGTGAAGACTATACCCGTCCGGACGAGGGAGGGGTTTCGCGTGCCCATGGCGCGGAGAGGGCGGAGGAGGCGCGGGGATGAGAGGCGGGTCGGTTTTGCTGGTGGTGATGGTGGTGATGGTGTTGATACAGCTGGTGAGGACCGGCGGTCGTTTGTGCGGAGGAGGCCTGAGGAGGAAGGAGGTCGCCGTGAGTATCTCCGGCCCGTGGAGCACCAGTATGGTAGTCCCCGCCGCCACCACCCACAGAGGGTGAGACAGTGGTCAACTACCACCGCCACCACGCTCGCCGAGTACAAGGTGCGGAGCTGGAACACCTCGCAAGGCCAAGACGAGGGAAGCGACGACGAGGAGCAAGATGTAGGGACGCCAGTCCAAGCAGAGGAAATCGCTCGGCGCGCCACCATCTTCGCCGAGCTGGAAGAGCAAGCCGAGCGCCAGGAGTACGAGCACGAGGGACGACACGTCCGGCGCTCGGCCACCCGCCCTGGCACGACGGCCACCACCATGCCGCTCCCGCACAGGACGACGCAAGTGTCCTCTCCCACGCCGTCGCGCAGCACACGCCGCAGCAGCTCCAAGACCGACCACGGCACGTGGACGTCGGCCGTCTCGCCGACGGTCTTCCAGTACGAGGTCCCGCCGAGCGTCCTCCTGCCGTACCAGGTCCCGGCGACGCCGCCCCCGCCGTCGTCGTCGTCTCCGGCCCAGAAGGAGCCGCCCGCCTCCACGCCGGCCATGGCCAGCAGCGTCTACTCCAACGACTGGCCCGCCATGCCGCACGCCCCGCCCGCGCCGAGCACTGTCCTCTCTCCGATCCTGGCCTCGCCCAGGACGCCGCGGACTGGAGCGGCGGCCTCTGGTTCACGCCCTCTCACCACGCCCCCGCGTGCGCCGCGCATGGCCCGTCGTTTTCACGACGTCGAGGCGATGGAGCGGGTGGACGTCATGCCTAGCCCGACGCCCCTTCGGAAGCGCCATCTGGCACAGAGGGACATACCCGTGGCCGAGGGTGAGTGGGACAGGTCGACGGTGCTGCCGGAAGATTCCATCAGCTGCGTACTCGGTCGGCGGCATGCAGGAGGAGGAGGAGGAAGAGGGGGAGGTGCGGGGGGAGGCAAACGACACAAGAAGGGTAAGCATCCTTCTGGGAAGCACTCCTCTGGCAAGCATTCTTCTGGTAAAAAGTGAGGAGTGCGCCTCAATGAAGGAGACAAGCGAGCAACTATCTCGTGACTGAGGAGAAAGCATGGCAAAACAGATCCTTCTCCTTTGTTTATTAGAGACTTACAGTGTTGAATTCCGAATGCGATTGTAGCCGGTTCAGGGGGGGATATCAAGACAAACATAATCTGAGTAGACGCGACAAGATCAACTGCATCAATGGTGATACATGTTCCCAGTTTGATAGTATGCTAATATGTTACAGTGGTATCTTCCCAAGTCTAGCCTCCCATTTTATTTGTATTTGTACATGCATCCCTCAGTCGTCCTTCTTCTTCTCTTCCTCGTTCAACAGACCCTGCAGCGCAGGCAGGAAAGCAGCCGCCTGCCTAAACTCGCCCAGCTTCACCCTCATGAGGTCAAACGCGATGAGCACCGCCATGTCGTCCCCGCCGCCGTCCCTCTCGGGCGGCTCGGCGTCAAAGATGGGGATCTTGGGGTAGCGCTGCGAGAAGTGCGTGAGCAGGACCCGGCGCGCGCCCATGCGGCGCGCGACGTCGAGCGCCTCGCCCATGGTGCTGTGCTTCTTGGCCTTGGCCTCACCCTCGAGCCCGTCGTCAAAGGTGCTCTCGTGGATCAGCAGCGTGGCGCCCCGCCCGATGCGCACGAAGTCGTCCGACGGCCGGCAGTCGCCCGAGTAGGCCACCTTGAGGCCCGACGGCCAGGTGAGCGCGACGGCGTAGGCGCCGAAGCAGTGGTCCACGTGCGCGGCGTCGATGCGCGCCAGGCCGCCCGTGTCCGAGACGTCCTGGTGGCCGGCGGCCGTGCTGAAGACCAGGGGGTGGGCGGTCTTGGAGCTCGCCTCCTTCTTCACCTCCAGTAGCCGCAGGCGGTCGAAGCCGTAGTCTTCGACGTCGGCGTACTCGCGCAGCCAGCTGAGCATCTGCCAATGCGAAGCAACGGACAGCCGGGCGTCCTTGTGTGCCTCCGACGCGGCAGTCGCGTCGCGCCACCCGCGGATGACACTCGCTGTGCCCAGGTGGTGATCCGCATGGAGATGGCTGATCCAGACGAGCTTGAGGTCTCGCAGGACTTCTTGCGCACCTTCAGGCCCGTAAAGACGTTTCAGGGACCCGAGCGTATTCTCGCCAGCGTCGAAAATATAAGACCCGTGCCCCGGTACGCGGACGAGTGTCGAGGATACATTGCGATATTTGGAAGGCACCGCTGATCCCGTTCCTAGAGGTATGACCTCGGCATCCCGGCTAGGAATGTCCTTTTCGGCCTGTTCGATGCGAGACAGGAAGTCCTTGTCCGCGATCTTGGCACGGGCAGCGTCGGCGAGCTTGATGATCTCGTCGTCAAGCGTGTTGAGTGCTTCAGTAGTGTCCAGGAAGGGCACGATGTTGTCGTCCTTGAACACCGCCTGCGGAGCCAAGCTGACAGTAGCACCAGGCCGAGCGATCTCTATTGGCAGCGTCCGCGACTCTTCTTGGTAAGGAGAGACATTGCTGTATCGAGGTATGGGAAATCTATCGGGATCTAGCCTGTGAAGCTTGATCTGGATGACGGCTGGCGACTCCAGAGCAAGGTGGTTGGGGCAGGTGTCGGAAGAGAAGACGGTGTGTCTCACAGAGGTATGCTTGGCCATGAAGTCTTGTAATCTCGGATCGTCGAGGACACCAGGACCAAGCAGCCAATTTATGGTCAAGATATTCTTGAAGATTTCCTGGGTTGTCCACTCCGGTCTTGCCAAGAGCGAGCTGATATAAGTCGGGTCGGGTATGTCGACCATGGCAAAGCCATTGCCTTCGACTGTGGCTGCGACAACCATGTCTGGAGTGACAAGGGTGCCGTCCGCGCCCTGGACAGATCCACCGCTTGTCAACACCTTGTAGTCTTGTTTGGCGACGCCGTACTTCTGAGCAGCTTGAGGATTGAACTTCCCTCGCCTGGGATGGTTCTTGACGATGTAGCACATGGACTGCCGCACAGGGGTTGTCCTTGGCAGGTTCGCAACAGTCGCACCTGGCCATGGCTTGCGGACAAGCACGGGGATATCTTTGACATGAGCGCCGCTGCCCGGAAGCGGGCCGTCGTATTGTTTCAGATGACCCTGCGCATCCTTGACAAAGAGTGTCGCTGGGAGCTGGGCTTGGTGGAGTGTTGTCTCGAACAGAGCGTCAAACTGCCAGTCCGAGTCAAACATGTGGTTCACCACGGAATCCACCAGTTCCTTGCCCGCCAGTGTTCGCTCGCCGTCGCCGTCGCTCGCCTCGGTAGTGGTGTCACGGTCCCTCTTGCGCGTGGACCGCTGTTCGCCTTCGGCATAGAGAGGCACGTACCAGACCTTGATGTTCTCGTCCTGCCAGTCCGGGGCGTGGTTCTCGGGATTTATCGCTCGGGGGTCTGCGCGAGCCTCGCGTGGTCGAATCGGGATGCCCTTTCGAAAGACGAAGCGTCGGGCGGTCGCAATCATGTGGGCAAGGTTTTCGGCGCCATGGACGCCGACACTGGGGGGCTTGGAGGGAGTGCTGTTCTTGGTCTGGGATTTGCCTGGCTTGGAAGTCGGTTGAAGTTGGCCTTTCAGCGTGCTGGATATGCCTTCGGCAATGGAAAGAACCATGCCTAGCAGGCCGCCGACGTTGTGCCAGGTGACAGGGCCGGTGACGAAGATTTCTTCCGTCTTGGTCAGGGACACCTTGCGCTGCACCATGAGACGCTGGGTGCCCTCCGAGATGTTGCCGAACAGGTAGCGGCGGTTGTCATGATGGAGATAGAGGCACGCGCCGGGCGTGTCGGCCGTCGGCGTGGCCAGGATGGTGGACCAGCTGACCATGGACTTGCCCAAGGCGGTGGCCTTGTCCTTGGCGGCCTGCGCAGCTCGCGATTTGTCGACGAGGAAGTACCTGATGTCGCTGCTGGCCGCAACGTACGACTTGGCGTTGATGTGGGTGGTGTGGCGCCCAAAGAGGCCCGGAGGAATGGTGGTGGCTTGGACGTCAAAGGTCGACTCGAGGCGGCGTTGGGATCGAGCAGCAGCTTGAGCTTGAGCTTGAGCTTGGACGTGAGGAGGGGCTTTTGCTCGAGGCGGCGTCGGCATGATAGCCCTGGCTGCGACCCTGGTGGGAAGTCTCATGGAATGACTGGGCTCATTTGGCTTGATCTGTGCTGTGGCTCGCTCACTAGGAACAGCAATGGGTTCCACGTCTCCTGTTGTGAGCTATGTATCGTGAAAGAAGCGATTGCATCTCCAAACCAGCCTGTGCCGCCCAGGATGGATTGCGATAAAGGTACGAGTGGAGGCACATGTAGCTCATCTTGATATGACTTTTTTCCTTCTCTAGCGTGTCTTATCAACATGTGCAGAGAGGTGACTTTGTGCGATAAGCTGTTACCAGCCGGTTCGGTGGGCCACTCCCACCCCCTGTTGCACCTTCCCCATCGTCTGCTGGAACTGACTGTCGTAGTTTCCAGGTATATTCTTGTGAATCCTGCGTACGAAGCAAGTGCGACTTGGAAACTCCCGTGCATGCACTTGGAAGGTTCCCGGTTCTCCCCATGCCCGTATTTTTCAAGTTGACTCATGTTCCTCACTGTGCTCGACACAATGTGCCTCCCAAGAACCAGCCCCAGGCCTGAATGATCCGACTTTGCCTTTTGTGTCTCCTATTTTCGCCTCGACACACAGCAGGGAAAAGAGCATCTCGTGTGTCAGTGTCGAATATACTCTGTCAACCCTCAAACCAGTGGACTTTGTCAGAGCATGGCGTACATGAACTTGGAGAGAGGCTTCGAGAGCACCGAGGCTTATCGCGCATACACAGATCTTTACGCAGCCTTTGGTCAGAGCCTGTAGGCCCGGCTCCCCACCGTCGAAATCACCAATAGTGGCGAGGTCAGGATACTACCAGGTGAAATATACTGTCGTTGGCCGAACTGCGCACTGCCTTTTAGATACAGAACCGAATATATCTACAGCGAAAGGGAGCTAAGAGAACACTATCCAAGATACCACAACCGCAAAACTGAAAGTCTCTCACGAAGACATTGGAAGCTTTCGGATATCGTTGAGGTGACGGCTTAGTATGCTGAGGTTGTGGATGGCAAACGACCAAAAGTGCCAACTTGTCGGTTACAGTATTCAGCACTCTTAGCTGCAGAATCAGAGGAACCCAGTGGTAGCGCCTCTACGAGCGTCGACTCTATTGGGTTTGCTACTCATGCCCCGGAAGCAACTACGGCATATGAGACACCCGCCTTTACGTTTGCTACTTATACCCCAGCATCAGCTACAGAACCAGAAACACGCAGCAACGTCGCCTCCCGGAGTACCGACTCGGTTGGGTTTGCTATTCACACCCCGGCATCAGGAGCAACATCACCAGACACGCCGGCCGAGAAATTGACCGGACTTGCCGCTCACGCAGCAATTTGGTGGCCGGACCAGTATGCTACCAACTCGCGCAGACTCGCTCATGTGGCAGTATCACCTAGAGAATTAGAGCAATCCAGCGACAACGCCTCTACAAGCGTCAATGCGGTCGGGCTTGCTACTGAAGTTCCAATATCGGGATCAATAACCCCGGACACGCCAATCAAGGAATTGACCGGACTTGCCGCTCATGCAGCAACTTGGTGGCCGGACAACGATCCTACCAACTCGGGCAGGCTTGCTCATGTGCCAGCTGCAACACCAGCATCACAAGCAGAACTTGTCAATAGCTCAACCGGACTTGTTGCTCATGCGTCAGCTTCGCCAGCAATGTCGGCACTAGTATCTCACGACGACCCCTTTCTAAGTGACATCTATCCCCCCTGGTACCCTCCAAGTGACGGATTGATGTTGGGCGGGATTCCTCCTGAAGAGGATGGCCAGGCAGGTGCGGGGCAAGCCGTTACTCATGGGGAAGATGGCAATTTCGGTTTCAATATCGATTTCGGTCTCGATTTCAGTCTCGGTCTCAATTTCGAAATGGATCCTTCAAACAGGCCATACCAGGGCGGCCCGTGAGAGATTGATACAGAGATGAATGTGCGGCCTCGACGGCGTGCAATTTGAAAGCGAAAAAGGATGGTTCACAACGGACATGTACCAGCCACTGACTTACATATTCCAGTCTGAGCTTTGTAGACCACTGACTAATTCCAAGCGGCGTGGGATTATGGCCTGATTATTATTGTAGAATTACTATCGATCATGGTAGAGCGTGGTTGGTTCGATGGTACTATCTCAGCGATTGACTCCTCAAAGGCAATACTACGTACCGCTGCTGCTTGCAGCTTCTGTTTGAATGAACTGCTGTGTGTTTGTAATCATTTCCCAGTGTCACTGAGTTGAACATGGTACAGCGAACGCTGTCTGAGCCGTTAATACAGCTTTATGTTGGCCAATGCCCAAACTCGCGTCCCGAAGACTTGCCTAGGTAGGTAGGTGGTAATGTCAACAGGCTCGAACTCTGAATTTCGATTCTTAGTGGCCGAATCGTCTCGATATCGGTGCCAATGCTTCTTCATGTTCTCTCCCCAAGGCGGACCGAGCCGGGCCGGGTAATGGTTGACGACATTCATTATTACCCGGCCCTCGCGGCGGAGGGGTATTACCTGTAACCGATATATACACGAGATATTTCCACGAGTGACAATGTTTGTCGACACCGGGTTCCACTCTAGGACGTTTCTTCTCGGAGCTTTGTTCGCGGTTCCGTAGATTTGCATATAACTACAGGGCTCGACCTTGCTATCCGGGTCTGTGTAATATCACAAGCCCACACACGACCATCACAAGCCCGCCACCTAGAGCCTATCATACGGACGTCTCAGCCATGCACACCTCGCCTCTCGCAAGCGCAGCACGCCTGCTGCTGCCGCCGCTGCTGCTGCTCGCCGGCCTCTCCTCCGCCGGCCCCTCGCCCGCCGCCGCCGTGCGCACCATGATCCCCAAGACCAGCTTCGACAGCCAGCAGGACTTTGACGCGGACTGGAACTACAACTACCCCTGGGGCACCGACCACAACGGCGCCGCGCGCATGGACAAGGCGCAGGTCCGGATGCCCGGCGGCGGCGCGCTGACCATCACGGCCCGGCCCGTCTCGGGCCAGCCGCCCGCGCACCACGGCGGCAAGGACATACCGATCCACTACCTCTCGGGGGCCGTCCACGCCAAGGAGCACTTCAACGTGTCGAGGGGGGGCGGGTACGACTTCTCGGGCGAGTTCCGGGCCACGACGGCGAGGGGCACGTGGCCCGCCTTCTGGCTGACGGCGGTCGACGGCTGGCCGCCCGAGATCGACATGGCCGAGTGGAAGGGCTCGGGCAAGATCTCGTTCAACACGTTCAACACGTCGTCGCAGGTGGCGGCGCGGGACGTGAACTACCCGAGCCCGGGGAGCTTCCACAAGATCCGGTGCGAGGTGCGGGACGAGAACGGGCGGGACGTGTCGGTAAGGTTCTTTATGGACGGCAGCCTCGTCACGACGCAGTATGGCAGGGGGTTCTTCGGGAAGCCGATGTATCTGTGAGTATTCTTTTTGGACTTGGCGATGGAGGACGAGTGCATATGATGCTGACTTGGACGTAGCATCATCAATCTTCAGATGGAGGGATCGTCTGGGTCGCCTGGGCCTACTTCAAGTAAGACCTCCTTTCACCCGTAACAACTCAATATGTAATGTGTATGCTGACCATGATGTAGACACGGAGTATTCAGTCCGCAATCTCGAAGTGCTCTCATATAATCCATGAGAGTGGTTGTGCATGGCTTGATGCTGGGCCACGAGACCGGTGTTTGATTGCTTCAAATATGACAGAGCCTGGCCGTTCGTACTTTAGATTGTCTAATTTAAGGATACATAGTTATGCCATTTTGACCGAAATGTTCCCCAGGGAAATTGTTGGCGTCCAAGTTGCACAGACTAAGCAACGGCTACTCTTTTCCGTCGGTGCGGAGACTCGTGAAACTCACGGAAATGATGTAATCACTGGAAGCAACGACAGAGCAAATCTTTTTGATTCTCGTAACAGAAGCCGAGGGCGAGAAAGTCTCACAAAAGAAATACGATAACTGTATTACTGTCAGCCCGCAACACAGACCACACACCATGTCTTCCGACCAGAAGAGCGACCTCGTAGCCGCCGGTGCCGAGACCGCGGCCCCGCCCTCAGCCGGCCGCATCGTCGCCAGCATCGCCTTCGTCAAGCGCAACCCGGCCATGACGCCCGAGCAGTTCTACCACCACTGGGAGCACGTGCACGGCGAGCTGGTCAGGCCCTGGGCTCGCAAGCACGGCTTCATCTCCTACCGGCAGGTTTGTGTTCCTTCCCCCCAACAACAGCAACGGCAACAATACCAAATAAGACCATAATAATAAACAATAATGAATGAACCAACGGGAGAATCCGTTAGCCGAAATCACCGCTGACATTTGCACAAAAAAATAGATGCACGCGACACCGGCGCTCAACGCCGACGCCCTGCCCATCGGGCCCGAGGCGGACCAGAAGGCCGGCCTGCCGATCAACCTGGCCAAAGAATACGACGGTGCCGCCGTCATCGAGGTGCCTAGCTTCGAGGCGTTTGCCGCTGCATTCAAAGACCCTTACTATATCAACACGATCGAGCCGGACGAGAGGACGTTTATCGACAAGAAGGTCGGGGTGATGCGGGTGAGGGCCGAGATCAAGCAGATCATTTAGATTGATATTAAACCGAGTCTTTCGAGAGAAGGATCAAACTAAAAAGTGTATTTCATTAGCTCTGTATAATTGCGTTTTCGTGATGTAATGACTGTGTGGTTCGAGTTATAAAGAGACAAGTCGTTTGTAAGAAATTGTGGAAAAGACATGGAGATATTGTTCGATGGATATCAAGATCGTAGGAATATCCGATCAACACTCCTCCTTGACAAGACTTCCCTGCTTGAATCTCATGAGCTTGGCCCCAGTTCAAGTATTGTGGCAAGATGAGAGTAATAATGCTTCGTTCCTAGTACCGAGTTTCTCTGTCCCGGTAGACCCCAGGCACCGCATCCCATCTCAACACACCACGATGAATAGATCCTGGGCAGCACAAACACAAAAGTTGTACAAGTATCCCTCAGGACCTGAATTCCGGCATACATATCTAGATCATAATCATACAGTGCTCGCCCGAGCTACCTCTGAACCCCTATTCGACAACGCCCTATCCCAGTTTCTCGAACGCAAGTTCACGTCGCGCCATATGAACACCGATGTAGCTCATCCCCCAGCTAACGCCAGATACCCTGCCCCGTACCTACACCGCATGACATACCCAACGAAATAACAAAACAGAAAAAAAGCAAGGAAATTGCGGCGATGTGCCCCCTAAAAATACAAGCTCATGCCCTGATGCGGGATGACAAACTCGCAGCCGAGCTGCGCGACCTCCTCGTGCTCCAGCAGCTCCTGCAATATCGTCTCGCCCACCGTCTCGCCGTCCTGCGCCTTGTCCTTGATATGGATGACCACCACCTTGAGGCCCTGGAGCGGCGGGCCCGCCGGCGCCGCGGGAGGCGGCGGGAACGAATCCGACCGCTCGGGTGCCGCCCCGGGAGGCAGGGCCGAGTGCTGGTGGTGGTGGGGCAGGTCCCTGAGCGAGAGCTCGGCCGTCGGCGTCGTCAGGTGCGGCGAGTCTGTGCCCGCGCGGGACGCCCGGCGCGTAGACCTGGGCGACACGGGGTCCTCGAGGCCGAAGCTGCCGATCCTCTGCACCGCGCTGGGCTTCCGCCGGCCGCCCCCGCCGCCGTGGGACGCCGCCATGCCGAGGTCGTCGCCGACGGACCGCTTGCGCTTCCTCGCGTCCCTCGCCTCACGGGCCTCGTGCGCGGCGGCCGCCCGCGCGGCCCTGACCTCGTCAGCGAGGACGCTGAGCTCCTCCATGAGGAAGCGGGGCGTCATGTGCCCAAAGAGCCGGTCGTTGGTCTGCGAGTTGTCGTAGCTGCTCTCGATGAAGACGGCCTTGAGGTGGCCGGCCACGATCTTGGGCGCGGCGTCCTGCCAGACCTGGATGTTCCGAGGCCAGTGGGACATGGAGTCCGGCTCAACGTCGCCGAAAATGAGCACCTCTCGGCCGGTCGTGACGTCTCGGATGAAGTAGGCGCTGCTATTGTAGATGACTACATTCTCGTTTGGCGCAGAGGTGGTGGATGTGTTGGTTCTGGAGGGGAAGCTCGTGCCAGAGGGTGCAGAACTGCCAGGTAACGGAGCGCTTGATTCCCGTTGGGGGGGTTGAGCCAGGGATGCCAGGCCCGGAGCAATGGCTGTGTTCTGTGCCATGGTGGCACGGGGGCTGATGAGGCTCGAGTTCGGGGGTACACTGCCGGCGTCGACACTGCTGTACGCTGAGGATGAATTGCTACTGCGCTGCGTCCGTTTGCTGATGCAATGGCCGTGGCTCACGCCCCACATCTTGACCGAGATGCCATCGCTGATCTCGAGATAGCCCTTGCTGTCGCCTTCCCCAAAGGCAGGAGAGCCTCCCTCGTTGAGCTCATGGTAGACGACCAGCCCCGCGCCGCCGTTGAAGGACGTGAGGTTTGGCCAAATGACATCGTTGAATATGTGGTACTTGAAAGCGTCCGCAGTGGAAGTCGAGCACGCCAGCCGCTTCTGTTTTGACCCGAGGAAGCCGGCCGTGTTGACGACAAAGCCGCAGATGTGGTCGAGATGAGGATGCGTGATCATGAAAGTGTCGACGTGGAAGCTCACAATGTGCGCAGCGTTTGCCGTGGGCGACGCATGGGGCAGTTCCAGGCCGGCAAAGGGCCCCTCGGTGAGGGTGTAGGGGAGAGGCAGAGCATCAGACTTGCCGAGGCCTTCTGGCTGGGTCTTCTCAAGGATGCTGGCGATGGAGCCCATAAGGACGCCGGAATCGACCGAGACAATCGAGCCCTTGGCCCAGCCGGTGGCCAGGGAGCGCACCAGGAATGACGTGATATTTGTCTCTAGAGGGCCGCCACCCGAGCCCTGTGCGTCGCATCATCAGGTCAGTAGCAGGTCTCAGGATTTACGATCGAATGAGTGGGAAGGAGGAAAGAGAAAATATGTGGACAGCATCTATGAGAACCTGCCATGAAAGGCAGCTCACGGAATGCCCGAACGCAGCATCTCAGCACACTGTGTGTGGCGCGTGTGCTCCTGCAAGAGACGGGTACATGCAGCAAATGGGCAGCAAAACGAAGAGCACTTGTGTGAATAAATAACAAGATTTGTTATGAGAGGAGGGCACTGATGCTGACAATTGGCCGAGCTGGCTGCTTGTACCTAAGTACAGGAGACAAGCACGTGCCGGGGGCATCTTTGATTGAAGACGTGCGACATGGCAATGCAATAAATACGATATTCGACAAGGGAAGAGACATAAAGCTAACTGACCAAAACGATGACCTGCATAGCAGGTGCAGGCTGACCGCCCTCCTCATCCGTGGTCCCCATGGCCGTGTTTAGTCGTGGGGGGGATGGGATGGAGGGACAATGGGGCGGGAGAACAATGAATGGGACAATGGCCGAGTCGGTCGCTGGATCGCAATCGAGGTCGCTTATCTTGGCTCGGAGCCTGGGGGGTCTTGCAAGGCGATGCGATGCAGCAGCGGTGCGACTGGTCCTGTACGCAAAACGCCGGGCGGAAACGAGAGGTGGCCTTGCGCGCGCGCGAGTCGTGACTCCGGACGTGATGCGAAATGCCGGACGATCAATGCAGCAGCAGAAGGCAGGATGCCGTCGACACGGATGTCTTGGAAAGGCCTGGTTTGGATCTGATATGCCAATAGTGGATGCTCACTCGACTGCTGTCGGGATGGCCGTATGCGACATTGGAGGCTCGCACTCGTTCGCCCACACGTGACTAGAGCATCGTGCTTTTCGTGGCAGCAGAGGTCGACGGGAGCCAAGGCGACGAGACGGCTGCGCTTGGACTTGGGACCGGTCCAATTGATATGGACGAATACGGTGAGTGAGGCGGATGTGTTTCTTGATGTCTGGAATGTGTCTGATCTCTTGGACGGCGGGCTATTTTAGTGGTCTAGTGGGGCTGTGCTGCCTTCTGGAAAACAGCCCGTTTCGAGGACGGGAAGAGTGAGGAAGAGAGGATGCACACAGAGAGAGGCCATGATGGTTGATGGCTGAATGGAGAGCGGTTTTAAAGCATTCGCTGAGGGCGCATGTCTTTGTTCTCCCTCTTTCGATCGACTCTCAAGCAAGCAACAGAGGTATCGTGGAGACAATGGGCTGGGTCTGTTATGTACAAGTACCAGGCAAGTCAACTCCAGGTCGTACCTTCCCAAGGCTCCTAGCGCTTTCAGGTACCTACATCAATTGATTGTATGCCGGGATTCTGGAGAACTCCGGACGCTTGCGGAGTGGTCGCCGAGTCCCCAGCGGGCGCTGGTTGGTCCCCTCCACACTGGAATGCACCATAATGAGATAACCTTGTGGGGCACCCTTCACTACCTACCTCACTACCTAAACTGACCGCCTTAGCGCAACCATGTCCGACCAGTGGAGGTGCAATCAGGTGCAGGCGGTTTGCGGTGGGTGGTGGTACAGGTGCTCCAGCTCCTCTTCTCCATTTCAGCTATTGCGGGCCGTGTCTGACAGCAGCTTTCCTGCAGTCCAAGGTTGAACTGTACAGTACAGTACAGCAAGCAGATCCATCAAATGCGACCTTGATAGCACCTGCAGCAGCCTGCAGAGCTCTGGATACACCCTCCGAAACGAGGTTAGCGGGCCGCCTGTGTGGCCCCGTCGGCAGCTGCCTGTTCTCGCGAGTCGAACCCACACGCCCCCAAACCATCGGCCTCCCCGTTGTTTTCCCTCCTCATTTATACCTAGGTAGCTAACGTCAATACAGACAGTGCATCTTGTTTCATATACTTGTACTAACAAGGTACTCGGACCTCACCGTGACCTTCCTCTTATTGCCAAGAGAAAATACCAAACAAAAAGCAAGCAAGCAGAGGTCAGCCTGTCAGCCTGTCAGCCATGGCGGGACCACCTCTCCAGCTTGTTGGAGTGCCTTGAGAATCAGAAACGTAGACACTGTGGCCCATTAAACCATTGAAACATTTCGCTGCTATGTCTCTTTACTAAACCGAGGCGGTTTGCTGCATATGTGAGCAGCCTGGCGTCTACAAACCGGGTTATGATTGGTCACCATCGCTTAGGCAGAACCAACAACACCTTTTTGCATGCACGAGCGTAACGACACCTGACATCTCTTCCCCTTGGAACGCGCTGCTTCATCTCGGGAAAGCCTTTGTCAGGATATACAAAAGTACACACAGTTTATCGTATTACTTTTCCCACTCACCGTTGCTCTCCTTTATGTACAGTAGCGAATGCAATGCGTGGTCCCCTCGGACAACTCCGCCGCCGACGCCCGCCACCAGCTCCCACAGCGCAACGCCAGCTACCCCCTTTTACTTATGAACCATTGCCAGACCCGCAAAACAACATCCGGCTGATCGAGATCCACCCAGGTGCTGACGACGGGATCGTGTCATGCACCCTCACCTCGTGGTCTATCCCGGAGGCGGGCAATAGCGGCGGCTGGCCCCCAGGTTCCGAGACTGATAGCACTTCGCCCACCCCCATCCAAGCGACCGATCAACCCCCTAGTGGTGAGAACCGCGGCGGCAATGCCAGCCCGCCGACTTCCAATGGCTCTGCCGCGCAGAAGAAACGTCGCGGCACTGATGCAAGCCGCAAGGAAAGCAGTCTGCCCCCTGCGCCTCCTTACTATGCCGTATCCTATACCTGGGGAAGAAGCCCCAAGGACACGACTCTGATTCACATCAATGGCCAGGAGATGAAAGTCCGCAAGAACTGCGATTATGTCTTGCGCCAAGCCCGCTGGTGCGGAGGAAGTCGCTTCTTCTGGGTTGATGCCATTTGCATCAACCAAGCAGACATGGACGAGAAGAGCCACCAGGTGGCCATGATGGGAAGCATCTTCACCAAGGCTCAATCTGTCATGGCCTGCGTGGGCCCCCACCATGATGACAGCGAGATGGTCTTACAGATCCTCGCCAAACACCAGTCGTTGTTCTACATGGCGAGCCTCAACGAGTTTCCACCCGAACTCTACTCACTATTGCGGAGATGGAGGCTCACGACCAGTGGCACAACAATCGTCAGACTCTTCCGGGCTGTGCTCAGCCTATTGCGTCGACAATACTTCACACGCCTCTGGATTTTCCAAGAGCTTTATCTAGCTCGTTCTGGGCTCATTCTCTGCTGCGGAGAGGCACACCAGCCCTTCGCACTCGCGTTTGGACTCCGCAGGATCCTGGACCGAGAGCTCTGCGTTCAGGCCAATGATGACTGGAAGGGCTGGGCGGATAATTCCTATCCCATATCTGGCTTGACATTCCAACACTGGGCGATGTGTCTCTACCAAGAAATCAGGAAGAAAGACACAACACATATGTATGCATCGTCCAGGAAATGGGATACCCCGAGGCTATTGTCCTCCTATAAGCGGGTATTGGGAAGAGAACCGCACAGAACCTTGCAAGCGTGCTTGAAAGCATATTCGACCGAGCCGGTCTTCAAAATGCTGCAAGAGCTAGCGCTTGAGGACAAGATGATGAAAGCAGACTCACTTGGCGACCTATTGAGACTGACGAGCCACCTGAACTGTGAGGATCGCAGAGACAAGGTGTATGGTCTCCTCTCTGTGGTGGACTGGCAAGGACCGTCTCTGATATCACCGGACTACAAAATCACCCCATTCCAGCTGGCCTTGCGCATCCTGGGTTCTGGCAACCTGGATCGACTTTTCGGCTTAACGAGACATGCTGGACTTTCACTCATCAACCAATCAATGGCTACGCTCTTGGTAGGCTCCTTGGGATTGTGCTCAGAAGACTGCCGAGAGATGAAGACTGCTCTAGGCCGCCGGAGATACGATCAAATACGAGAACCAGAGCAAGGAGAGCAGGGAGATTCACATCACCCCCTCAACCCGATAGAGGGCAACATGGCAGGGTTGCAAATCCCATCTACTCTGCCAATCGACCCATCTTCAGCAACCATTGGGGCATTCACCGATGAAGCGGGTTCGACTATTGCCCTGACCTATATCCCCAACAAGCCCGAAGACGTCCGCATCGACTGGGCTATAAGAGTGTGCCTCCCTGCTGGAGCACAAGCAGGAGATTGGATCCTCGTATACGGTGAGGAGAGTGTCGCTTGGGCGCATCATCTACGACCTGGCCTTCTAGTGAGAAAGCAGCAGGGCAGCGAATGCTATTCAATAATTGGGCACGCGCTTTTAAAAACCTCGGCTGGCATGCCCTGGTTCACCGCTTCGTTTCATGTAGAGTTCAGCCCAGAAGACTATCTTGTATATGGCGCCCAGACGTACCTCATCGATACAGACGACGCACTGCCCGAGAATCTGGCCCGGGTCAATTGGACCAGGTTCGGCGACCTTTTGAACAGTTCCTTTTGCGGGGCTGCACAATCTTCCACTGCTAGATTTGATGGAATGCTTCATAATAGATAGATGCTACTTGAGTCGGTTAAAGATGAGAGAATCTCAACGTGTGGTGTCCGAAATCTCGAGAGCACCAGGTCAGAAAACCGATTCCAGGAGTGTTGGGTGAGCATACGACCCAACTGTAGTATAATAGCACTACCGTACTATTAGTGACCTTGCGGGGAGCCAAGATGGACCTCGATCATGATCAGTTTCAAGCCTACCCACCCAAATATATATTAATACCATGATGTACTGTGGCGATGAGCCGATAACGGTTACTCACGCTGATGAACCCGGGTTAGATGAACAACATCTACAGTCCAAGGTTCGTTTATGGAGAGAAGTTCTCAACCACAAGCCTCATCCATAGTCACTCCTCTGCAGTCCTAGTCTCTTGAGATAACCTCCCATGGTGCTGGGAACATGAATCAGTAATTCCAACTTGCTACTGACTATTAATTATGGAGTCTTATTGGAACCTAGAGGCGGAGCTTTTGAATTCCAAAGCTTGCTCCATACCACTCTATCGCTTGCTGAACCTGGCAGTAAGACTGTTTGCCCCAATCTGCTGCGTATTCCCGAGGCCAAGCTTGACAAACTCCTCAAAGGCAACGCGGTACGAAGCAATATTCTCGGAGAAGAGAGGCCTGCGATCCCTCCACCCGAGCTCGTCGCGTATCTTGTCGCTGCCCACCCACTGGGAAAAGTCGACGAGAAACACGAGCGGGTCGAAGCCGGACCAGTCCGTCGGCTCGAACACGACCCCGTGCCGCAGGCCGTACGCCCGCACCAGCGCGCCGCCGACCTCCTCGGCCGTCTCGTACCGCCGGCCGGACACGTTGTAGCACTGGCCCGCGACCTTGGCGCGGTCTGCCTCGGCGACGGCGACGTAGGCGTCCCCGCAGTCGTCGACGTGCGTGCCGTGCATGATCGACTTGGCGCGGCCGGGCAGCCGTAGCGGCTCGTCCCTCTCCTTGGCCAGGCGGGCCAGGTCGAGCGCGAGGCCGTAGTAGCTGCCGCTGCGGCCGTACACCGTCGTCGGCCGCATGAGCACCGCGTCGTACGAGCCCCCGTGCTCGAAGACCTTGAGGGCATTGACGGTGCGCGGCTTGAGCAGGTCGGGCGCGTTCAGCGGTGACTCCTCGGTGTGCGGCGTGAGGCCCGGCGAGCCGTCCAGCCCGGTGGTGCCGTAGTCCTTGCACCCGGAGCTGAAGATGACGAGCGGCCGGACGCCCTGGGCGTTGCTCGAGTCTGCCAGGGCTTGGATCAGCGCCATGACCTCTTTGAAGTGGCTCTCGTAGTCGGGCCACTGCTCTGTGACGGAGACGATGACGTCGAAAGCCGGCTGCTGCTGAAGGAGAGAAGGCAGGAACGACCTATCCCCCGGGGATCCGAGGACGGGGATGATTTCCTCGAGCGCGAGTTCCGACATAGCCTCGGGCCTCCGCACGAGGCCGTACACGACCCAGCCGGCGCGGATAAAGGACCCGCACACGGCGTTGCCGATGAAGCCATTCGCACCCGTCACAAAGACGGTGCGGACGCCACGCGATGTTGACATGATGCTGGTTGTGTAGACGACGTAGACTGCGACGAGCTACAACACACACAGTGTGTCTAATTAGTTCATGACTACGCCTCGACAAGACATCCATGAGAAGGCAGTCTTGACTAACAGATTCTTATGATGAATGTCTCGGTGAATCGCGAGACCTGCTTATGCAATCAGCAAGCGAAGGTTGTCCCGTCCATGTGCAAGATGACTAATTGTGAAGGGAACTTTGCAGCAAAGGTGGACCTTTGGGCGGAAATGCCTTATCTTCAGCCAAACAGGCGCAGTGAACAAATGATGCAACATGACTTATGCGGTTCCCGAAGATAGTAACAGAAGTGTTACTGGTAAAGGTGAATGGCTTAACTATCAGTTCGTGTCACTTGTAAAACGAGCGCCGTAGATACCCTCATTCAAGCGACCGCCGTGTGCCAGGATGAAAGCGTCTGGCACTCTACAATGCAACTCCCAATAATCTACGATGATCGCTGAGGAAATGCGTAGACTCTGTGCAGCCTTGAGAGGACAGAGTGAAGAGTGGTAGGTTGCAAGACGCCCATCTCCTTGCAGCGATCAATGATTGATTTGCACCAGACGATTCCCAAGCACACATGTCCGGCCGAGAGTCTGAGCGCTGGTTAGTCTGATGGTGGGATGCCCGCGGAAGCCGTGTGACGCGTGCGTGCTTTGTGCATCACCGGGCGGCGCTCTGCAGATAGACTAGATAAATACGAACATGCATATTGCCTGTCAAGATCTACGTAGTTTGTCGCGAGAATCAATCCATCGAGACAAAATATCATCTTTCCTCGCCACCCGTCAGCCAATATGAGTATGGTTGGCAAGGTCTTTATCGTGACTGGCGGCGCGTCCGGCATTGGCCGGGCCACCGTGAAGAAGCTTCTCGAGAAGTCGGCCAAAGTCCATGTCCTCGATGTCGCCGATGCTTCACCTGATCAGTGGGTGCTTGGAGGCCAAGCCCCTTATTACAAAGTCGACGTCAGTTCCCGCGACAGCGTCAAGGCCGCTTTCGACAAGATTGCCGCGCAAGATGAGCGCGTGAGCGGACTGGTCCACTGCGCCGGCATCTTGCGCACCTCGGACTCTTCAACCGGGGAAGACGAGAGCGTTCGTCGCCTTTGGGAAGTGAACACGATGGGCACGTGGTATACGAACACGCAGTTTCACCAGCTGGTCAAGGCAGCCCGAGAACGCAATGCCGGCGCACAGGATAGGACTGGCGTCAGCATCGTCAACCTAGGCTCCATGGCATCCGTCAGGGGTCTGGTTGCTATGTCGGGCTATTGCGCCAGCAAGCACGCGGTGCTCGGCCTGACCCGGACCTTTGCTCAGGAATGGGGTCCTGAGGGGTTTAGGGTGAACGCAGTAGCACCGGGAGCAGTAAACACGCCCATGATACAAGGCATGACGGGCGGGGATAACATCAATGGAGCCTATGTTGGTGCTGTCAAGTCGTTGTCGGAGCCGGAGGAGATAGCAGATACAATCATCTTTCTGCTGAGCGAGGGTGCATCATCAATCACGGGCCAAGCTATCGAGGTCAACGGGGGTTGGCCCTGACTGCGGATCTTCATTCACATAGTGTTACTCTCTATCTCTTACAGGACTGGGAAATTGTTAATTAAGTGAGGGAAATAAGAATTTTCATACAGTATTTTGTCTACTGAGAATCTTCCTTGCTTGTTTCTGATACATGAGCTTCGTGATATGCCTCAGTCTAAAACAAATCGAGACCAGTCCTCCAGTGCTCTCTCGGTCTCTTGCCTCCAGGCCTGCATACCCTTTACCCAGAATAAAGGTTCTTTGACTTTCCCAGGGATGTTGGAGCCGTTCCACCAGGAAGGAGTGTCTTTGAGCAATAGCATGTTGTAAGTATCCAAATTATCTTTGCGGTATCGCTCGGCGGCGTCTGTTTTGACCTCGAAGGATCGAACGCCTTCCTTCTCGAATTTCCGAAGGAACTCTACCACCCAGTCCACCTGGAGTTCGAGAAAAGGCGGTCCATTAGCCAGCCCCGATGGAGCCTGAGGTCCATATAACATGAACGCATTGGGGAGACCGGGAGCCAGCATGCCCAGGTAGGTGTTGATGCCATTCGCCCAGCGGCGCTGGAGTGGAAAGCCATCCCGGCCCGCAATGTTCATATCGTACAAGCTTCCGGTTACTGAATCATATCCGGTCGCTACGATGACGATATCGAGGTCAAGAGTTTGAGCACCTCTGGGGCCAGCGACGACGACCCCTTCTTCGACGAACTTCTCAATCGTGTTCTCTTTGAGACTGATAAGCTCAACGTTGGGCCGATCAATCATCTCGTAGTAATCGATAAAGAGATTCGGCCGCTTTGTCCCGATCCACTGGAACTGTTTTAAGGGAGCCATGATCTCCCGCTTGACGGGATCAGTAATCATGGCCCTAACCTTCCCGGCCCAAAATTGATACAACTCAGCGTTGGCTGCCGGGTCGTAGCTCATTTCAGAAAAGCCAGATGTCGTTAGTGCGTAGCTCCCTCTTCTCCAGAGTTCCTCGTATAGCTCTTGACGCTCCTCGGGAGTTGCCTCGTAGAATGATTTGGGACTGGGATTGTGTGCGTAGCCAGAAGAATGGTAAAATTTGGCATAGTTAAACAGTGCCGCGTAAGTATTCTTTTGCTCCTCGGCTTCTCTCATCGTTAACGAGCGTTGTTCCATAGGCAAAGCCGTGGGCGGGCTCCGGACGAAAACCTTGACGTCGCAGTCCTTCTTGGCGATCTCTTGTAGGATCTGTAGGCCGGATGCGCCCTGGCCAACAAGGCCAACCTTTTTACCCTTGATATCTAGTTCCTCAGGCCAGGCGGCTGGGTGGATGACCTTGCCCTTGAAATTGTCGAGACCGGCAAACGGCGGGATGTAGGCTTTGTTGGTGGTTCCCGTGGCAAAGATGACGAATCGGCAGTCGGCCGTGAGACCCCCTTGAGAGCGTAGAATCCATCTCCGAGTGTCGGGATCGTACCGAGCTGCGGAGACCCTGCAGTTGAATATCGCGTCTTTCCTCAAGTCGAGAGCATCAGATAGATGTTCGAAGTACTGGCGAAGTTCGACATGTCCTGGGAAGCGTTCGCCAAAGACGAAGGAACGCCATGCTTGTGGCAGACTCAGCTGGTATAGAGGAACTTCCGAATCAACGCGGGCTCCGGGATATCTGTTGAAATGCCAGACACCTCCAAAGTCACTTCCAGCTTCAAGCAACTTCACAGTGTAGCCGCTCTTTCTCAGTTGAGAGAGGGCGTAGCAGCCTCCAAAACCCCCGCCCACAACTACAATGTCAGCAGTGACATTCATAAGATTGGAGCCGTCTCCCTCCTTGACAGTCATGATGTGGATAGCAAATCAGGACAATTAAAACAAGAGAATCAAGTACACGCAACAAATCGAATAATTAACATCTTATTCTATTAGGCTATGGCCTGCCTTTATAACCATGTTCGTCGCGGACCAGATTAATAAACCAAATTGCTAATCAATCAACGTACCTTCACTTTGCGGCACGGGTCCTCCTGCAGTATCTACATTCCAACCTATGCTTTTCTTTTTTGCCTGTCTAGCAACGCAGGCATCCGGGTTTCCTGATCCGTCCGGGCACGGATGGCGCGGAACGCGCGGGCGCACGCGGAGTCTCCACCCGGAGAACGCTCCACGCAACGCATGGAGGCACGAGATGTTTGCAGAGCAATGTCCGCTTGCTCGGGACTATGTTGCCCAATGGATGAAGTAAACCAGCCATCAAAAAGGCTGCGGGTCTACTGAAGCAGAATATGCAGATGTCGAATGCCCTTTCGCTTGAAGCATGATAGAAGTTGTCAACATTTCATCAACACCAGACTTCAATATCTGATACCATGTCGAGTCTCACTGTTGATCAAGAATTCATTGAAGCCCTTGCACCCATCCTTCAGGGTAGACAAAATGTGCCCAAGCCCAAGGTACATGATGTAGAGGGCAGGAGGGCTCTTTTTGCCTCTTTCAAAGCACCACCTCCTACGATCCCGTCGGATGTGACGTTCAAGATCCTCGAAATTCCGCGAACCGATGGCACGCACATCAGTGTGTATCATTTGCGACAGACCCAGCTTGACACGTCGGGTCCACGCTCATCCGCGGTTGTTCACATGCACGGAGGAGGCTTTATTGCACTTAGCCCTGACATCAACGTCGAACGCCTCTCGCGGACCGTACAGGACACGGGCGTCCAGGCCTTCTCCGTTGACTACAGGCTCGCCCCCGAGCATCCGTATCCTGCCGCCCTGGATGACTGCTGGGCCACGCTCGAATGGCTTCGCTCTAATGCCCAGAGCCTATACGTGGATCCGGCCCGGATCGCCGTCATGGGAGAAAGTGCTGGAGGGGGGCTTGCAGCGGCCTTGACGATCCGGGCTCGGGATACAGGGCTGAAGCCGCCTATCGCCCGCCAGATTCTTTGCTCGCCCATGCTTGATGACAGAACAACCGGAGAAGCTCCCGGCGATTTCAAGCTCTGGGATGCTGCCGACAACGTGACTGGCTGGACAGCATTCCTGGGGAAGCCGCCCGGTGGTGACGGAGTCTCGGTGCTAGCAGCCCCAGGACGTTTGACAGATGCCTCCGGACTCCCAAAACTCTATCTCGACACGAGCCAGTTCGACCTCTTCATCAAGGAAAACCTTTCCTATGTTCAGAAGTTCGTCGAAGCCGGTGTAGAAGTCGAGGCACACGTGTATCCGGGACTGCCTCACGGCTTTGACGGGATGCTCCCAAATCACGGTGTCACATTACAATTGGAGTTAAACAGGAAAAGAATACTGAAAGGCCTCTAGACTTTGCTCGAGTGTTAGAAGATGAATGTAGATGGAATATGAACACTTGCCAAACACCCTTCTGGAAGCGCGGGACATTATATCTACGACTACAGCTAGAGATGTCCATCCGCATACATAATCACATCTCTGTCCCAGTAGTTATCCCTAGAGTGTGGAGAATTAGTCAATGTTGGTTCTCATTTCACATGGGTGGTGATGTACTCCGTGTTGTCTCCTCTTTTACCCCACAAACAACCTTCGGCATTGCGTCCCATCCGCGGGGTCCGGATCACCAGTAGTCCACATTTCTAGGCCACCTGCATATCCCGACTTTCTTAATCCACTTGCTTCAAAGGATCCCACGACCGCGTCTCTCAGCGTACGGAATTCCTTATGGCGCCTATGAGTGTTGTACCCAAAGCCGCAAGTACTCGATCACTGCGCTTGTCTGGTTTTTGCTGACTTGAAAGGGCAGTGCCGCAACTGTCGCCTTCGTAAGGTGTGTTGAGCTTCGACGGGGTATTCAATTGAACACCGCTGATGTCATCTCCAGGTCCGATGTAACAGAGCCTCCCCGTGCTCTAATTGCGTGACTTCTGGACTAGCTTGCCAGACGATATCTGGAACGACCGCCCGCTCAAGAACCGAATCACGCCCACCGTAAGTGAACCAGTTCTGTGGTGATGCTGGCAGAGACTCACAGGAATCCAGATCAGATTCTGCAGATGAGATCAGGGACCTTAGACAAACGGTGGACCGCCTTGAGCAAACGGTTAAGGATCTAACGCAGGTCAGCCGAACAGATTGCTGCAGCGCCATACAAGAACAGCAATACACATACAGCCCTACGGCCATTGACCTAGCTTCACTTGAGGGCGATTCCTCCTTCAGAAGGCAGGCTCTGCTTGCTGTTGAGATTACCCAGGTTGCAACTCTTGCCGGCGCCCAGTCGCCCTGTATCGTTGATGCCTTATCCAACTTACATCAACGGCTTGAAAGTTGTTCTCCACGTGAGGAGGAATCACCCCCTGGTTTGAACCATCAGCAGGGCGTCGCAGCATTGCGTACCAGATTGCCACCTGCAGATTTTGTGATTAACCTGCTACGGGCTGTCAAAGGTATGCTGGCCCACCCTTATTTATGCAATTGACATACTCTCTGACCGAATCCTTCTCTTTTCTCTTGATAGGCTCAACATGGCTACTGACCCTTTATTTCCCGGTGGTGAGCCTAGATCAGGTGGACGATCTATGTCGCAAAGTATATTTCCCAATCGAGCCCGTCTCTCTTGGCCAAGTATCGCTTCTCAGCGCCATGTTGTACGTCTTGTTGTTTGAGATACGGGAACATCCACATATGGCGACAGGATTGGCACCGGAGGACATTTCTACTTCTTTACAATCCTGCGAGACGAACTTTCAAGTGGGTCTGGAATCTTCGGAAGTTCATACGAGTCCTACCTACGAGCACTGCCTCTTGCTCAGCATGGCTGTAAGTGGATTCCTTGCTCTGTCTTGCTAGCTCAAACGGTACCCAGCAGAATTGTGAACTCACAATCTCTCCAAGGCTCTGAAGGCGCAAAGGAACGGTGATGTGGCCCTTCAGTGGAATTGGGCTACTGCTGCTGCGAGGCACTGTCTGGCACTCGGGTACAATCGCGAGCACGTCATTGCGGCAATGGATCCGATCGACTCTTCTCGGGCTCGCCGGCTTTTCTGGCATGTTTACCATTCGGACCGGAGCCTAGTCTTATGTCTCGGACGTGCCTCGATTATACAAGACTTTGATGTGAGCGTCGAGCCATACGCCAAGTCTCCAGACCCGGGGCGGCGTGCATGGGACTCTGCACTCTTCATGTTCATCGACTTCGCCAGGATACAATCGCAAATCTACCGGGATCTCTACTCGCCAGCAGCCATCCAATCTGACAGTTCACCTCGCCATTCCCTGGTGGACATATTGGCCCAGAAGCTGACGGAATGGCGACGCTCGTGGTGCGAGCTCGACAGGGCCGAGATCGACCGGAGAGATCTCTTTGACCTGACTTTCGGTCTTGTCGACGTATCCTACTACTCAACTCTCACACTACTATACCGGGCAGTTGACTTGACCAAGTCTGCCGCGGCGATTGTTGAGCCGTGTTTTGAGAACGCGCGGAAGAGTCTCGAGGCCCACGTCGCAATGCACGAACGATATCGGCAAATGGACTCACAGGCTCTAGCCTACTTCTCTGTTTGGTATGCAACTCCCGCCAGGTTCTGTTTCTGGTGCTGGCTGGCTGGCTACACCCATATACTAACATATCTTTAGGGTGCACATCTACTCCTCGTTTACGCCTTTTGCTGTGACCTTCCTCCATTGCGTCCTTCATTCAGACATGGCCGATCTGCACTTACTCAAGTCATCCCTGGACATCTTGAGGGACACGAGCAGCTTGGCTACGACTTGCCAGCGAGTATACGATCACTGCAAACATCTTTACAGTGCGGCGGAGGCCTGTATATCAACGTGCATATCCAATGATGGAAATGCATACTTGGAAGATCCTGTCACGCTCGGTCCTACCAATCTGATGGAGGAGAACTGGTTCTTTCTGGGATCGAATTTGCAAGATCCGTCCTTGTCATTCTATTCGAAGGATTAGCCGAAAGAAGTCCTTACATACGGTCTATTCGGTGATCTTTGCAGTGGGGCTACTGAGGATGGTGTAGGTAAGCTGACCTATCCACCGAGATTTCCGGCCGGCGCGGTCGACGAAACTGGCAGTCGATCCAATCCTTGTAGCTTACGCGTTTGACTTGAGTCTTTGGGACAGTCCATTAAATCAGGAGACATTCTCTAGGTGCCATGAGATGGTATGTCTAAGGTGAGGGAAGAGCTAGGTTTCTATGTAAACTATTGTGTTGGGGTAGAAACTCGTGAAGAAATTAACTCACGATATCCTTATTGGACATCCTTATTAGACATCCTTATATATTGACGTGATGTCTCGCACACCCTTATGACACATTCTTATCGCACAAGATCGGGCATCAGCTGGTCAAATGTGCAGACGGGTCCCGAGGACCACCGGCGACGGAGTCGGGGATGGCAAGATCGAAAACCCCATGCATTGAGGCTCCCATTCTTCAAGCGTCAGATTCTTTCCCACGCGCTGACCAAGCACAAACGGGGGCCCGGAGCCACAAGTCCACACGTCAAAGGACAGGCTCGACAAGCGCCAACGCAGAGTCATCTTCACAGTGGCTACCAGACCAAAGATGTCAGCCCTATGCGACGCGGCGCCAATCGTGGTGGATCCCACTCGTGCGCGACTCGGACCCGTTGGTCGAATGTTACGCCGAATCCATTCTTCTAGTCAGAAAAGACAACAGCCAGACTGACATTTTTACCGCATTAGGATGTTGAAACTCCGCCCAGCACGACCCTGAACGGTGCCCTGGCGTCCGCTGCAAGCCCCGCTGCCGTACGAGATTTCACCGTCCCCGGGCGCGGTCTCCACAAGTCCACCGACCAGGGCCGGCGAGATCCTTTGTAGCCATCATCCTTACTTCGTACAGGAGTTAAGCATGGCGGAATTAAGCGATCGTGCAGATTGTGTGACATAACGAAGGACTGCAGTCCGTGGGGCTGCGTACCTATGACCCATTATGTCCGCTTCGTGTCTCGACTTACACAGACTACTGCCAACGGGTTCAAAAACAGCCCGATAATGTGTCACCCAGCCCGTATATATACGTATCTTCTCCCATGGGTGTTTGTTCTCTGACTATGCACGACCGCTCCGACCCATCTCCCTTCCCGGCAACTTCAAAGTCAACCTTAGTCTACCATGGCTGCGACTGACAGCAAACCAACCCTAAACGTCGACGAGCCCCCGTCGTCGAAGGCTTCAACACTGCACCAACCTGAGAATGTGCCCGACGAGAAGAAGGATGACCGGGACAACGACAACAGCAGTATAGAAGCTGATAGGACCGCCCAGCCCGAGCTGTCTGAGGACCAGTATCCCCATGGCTTCAGGCTGTGGATTCTGGCCGGTGCCACGCTCGTCTCTGTCTTTCTGATCGCCCTTGACCAGGTGAGTGGCCTGCTCTGTTGTCTCCGTTCCTCCCCAAGCACCATCTCTAAGACTCGAGGCACGTAGACCATCGTCGGCACCGCGATCCCCAGAATCACCGACGAGTTCCACGGCCTCAGCGACGTGTCCTGGTACGCGGCTGCCTACCTCATGACCTTTGGCGCCGCCCAGACATCCTTCGGCAAGATCTACAAGTACTTCAACCTGAAGTGGACCTTCCTCGCCTCGACGGTCATCTTCGAGGTCGGGAGCCTGATCTGCGGCGTCGCGCCCAACTCCAAGACGCTCGTGGTCGGCCGTGCCATCGCCGGGCTCGGAGGGGCCGGCCTCTCGGTCGGCGGCGCCAGCCTCATCTCCTTCACCGTCCCGCCCGCCCGCCGCCCGCTGATGATGGGCATCATCGGAATGACCTACTGCATCGCCGGCGTCTGCGGCCCGCTCCTCGGCGGCGTCTTCACCGACCGCGTCTCCTGGCGCTGGTGCTTCTACATCAACCTGCCCATCGGCGGCGCCGCGGCCGTCGTCATCCTCCTGTTCTTCTACCTGCCCGCCGCCGCCACGCCGCCCGACATCCCGCTGTCGCAGAAGCTCCTGCACGTCGACCCCGTCGGCTTCGCCATCGTCATGGGCGAGATCACCTGCTTCATCCTCGCGCTGCAGTACGCCGGCGTCTCGCACAGCTGGTCCAGCGGCACCGTCATCGGCCTGCTCGTCGGCTTCGGCCTGCTGACCGTCGCCCTCGTCGCCTGGGAGCTCTGGCTCGGCGAGCTCTCCATGATGCTGCCGCGTCTCTATAAGCAGCGCTCGCTGTGGGCCTCGGCGCCCTTCCAGTTCTTCTTCCTCGGCAGCTACGTCGTGCTGCTGTACTACCTGCCGCTCTACTTCCAGTCCATCCAGGGGTCCAGCCCTATCCGCTCCGGCGTGCAGAACCTGCCGCTCATGCTCGCGGCCGCCGTCTTCGCGCTCGCGGGCGGCGCCGTCGTCGCGTCGACCGGGCGGGCCCAGCAGGTCATGTTCTTCGGGTCCATGCTCACGACCGTCGCCATCGGCCTGCTGTACACGTTCGACATCGGCACCCCCATGGCCAAGTGGGTCGGCTACCAGTTCTTCGTCGGCACCACCATGTCCTTTGCCATTATGCACGGGCTCAGCGTCGTCCAGGCCTACGTGGGCAAGGAGGACCTTGCTGCCGTCACGGCCAACCTGATGAGTAAGTACCGATGCTGTCTAAACCCCAGGGCCCAATCATTCGATCGAAGCCCATCTCCAGAAGCACTAGATGGAATGCTGACCATATTAAACAAACCAGTCTTCCAAACTCTCGGCGGCGCTTTCAGTACCGCGGCAGCCCAGTCCGCTTTCGCCAACAGGTTGATCGCCACCCTGCCCATCACGGCACCGGGCGTCGACCCGGCCCTGGTCATCGCCACCGGCGCTTCGGAGCTGCACAACGTCTTTGGGCCCGATGTCCTGCCCGGCGTCCTGCAGGCGTACATGATCGGTCTCAAGGCCGCTTTCGCGGTGGCCATTGGCTTCTGCGGCGCTGCCTTCGTCTGCTCTATTTTTATCCCCATGCGGAAGCTGCCCACCCACGCACCTGGCGAAGCACCCATGGCTATGGGTTAAGTTGGAAGCAGCACTGAAGGCTCCTTGTGTCTCTCCTCTCACCTCTCATATGCATGGCAATATTTGTTTTGTTAGAACGCCCAATAGATGGGTATACAAGGTATCTTAATACGGCGTCCAAGGCCACTGATGTCTCTTCTTGGGCAATTACTTTTTCACTCCTTTAGAAGAAATTTTACGATAGATTCTCCTAGCAAGGAACATACATATTCACAGGATTTCGGGCGTGGCGTTTTCGGAATGACCCTGGACGAGATTTGGATACACCTTTGCCTCGGAAGGCAAGAATAGCCCAAGATAGAATCAGGCAGTAGGAACTAGACCATTTCTTTCTCATAAGCCAATTCCTACCGTGACTAGGTGCACAATCAGCGAGGAAGATTTGCCAAGAGTTTCGGAACCCTTTGGACGCCATAGTGTTTCTGCATCCCACGCTGTGGCGGGCGCCTCAGGTCTCTCGATCCCTACCTTGCTTGTCATCTGAGAATTCGGTATGGCGTGTGCGGCCTTGGCAACTCGATTACTCTAGTCCGAGTTCGATGCATTCTTTGTCGCAATCTAAACTGCCGGGCTGTCACGGCGCGGCGCGGCGAAACTCGTTTGGAGGTCCGAAAAGTTAGCGAGCTTTACGCGAGCTGACGCGGAGGAATTGCCGAGGCGCCATACGAAAAGGCCGACAAGCACCGGGGATAACACTTCATTACTTGGAGGGAGAAAAGAAAAGTCTCCGATGTCTATGTGTACTGTTCGGGGGAGGACGACATTATCATGCCCCCCTTGACTTCCCGTCACTCATCACTGCCCTTCATACCCTGCTCAGTCCTTGCTAACGCTCAACTCTGGCGTTCTGACGATAGCCACCTCGCCACCCTTTGGACACAAGAACGACTTTTCTCGCGTCCAGAGAGCAGACACCATTAGCGAGTCGTAGCTGACCCAGTCCCCAGGAAGCGGGAACAGCTCGCGGATCGACGAAGATGACAGGATCGAGCCGGCTGACGTTCGCCGCCCTGGGGAAGAGGAAGATTGAAGACTCGGGTCTGGCGATAGGGGCGCGTCTAGAGCCACGTCTGCATCGGTCGTGATGACAACCGGTGCTTGGTGATGGCTGATCTGGCTGAAGTCAATCTGCCAGAAACAGATTGAGAAGGATTTGGAAAGGAATACGAGTCGATTTCCCTTGACAAACCCCAAGGCTGCCCCGATCTGCGAGGCTACCTCGGATGATACGGGAATCGTCTCAATATCAGGGTCCCTGTTAATCCTGAACGGATCTGTCTTCGATGATGGCAGTAGTGACACATCAACACAGTAGAAAGACCTCTCCTGCGATGACGTCTGCCTACCATGCGGAGAGACTTGTACCAGGATGTACTTTCCGTTGGTGGAGGGAAGAATGCGGTCGACTTTGCTCTCGGCTATGGAGAACTCATTGTCGAGGGTGTCCGTGTCATGGAGAAGACTGTAGCGGTGCAACGGTTGCAGGTTCCAATCATAGATGTATGCCATCGTTGTGGACAGGCCAATGATTCTCGACTTGTCGTGGGGATGCGAGATCCATCTCATATCCGTGGCGTCCAGCTCGACAGACGACTCAACTAGCAAGCTGTCAAGGGAGATGGTGTGTATGGACGAGGACCCCTGTACCAGTATATGTGTACTGTCCTGGTGGAAGACAAGGTCCAGTATCGCACCTTTGACAGTATCGCCCAGGTGAATCTCGGTCTGGGTCTCGACTGCCACTGACTCGGGTTTCTTGCTATCAAAGGCAATCGAGGCGATAACGAGCGTCTTGATGGTGTCGGTGAAACATACTTCCTTTCCATGACGGCTCATGGCCATTGTCTCAATTCCAAAGAGGTTCTTTGCAACTTGGATGTCGACGAGCTTGCCCCGTTGTGTGTGTTGGAGGGAGACGCCTCCGCTCGCAGTCCCAGTGCAGTAGATCTGTGACCCGGAAGCTGGCGTGGCAATCACAGTAAGGGCGTCCAAGGTGGGCGTCCAGGTCACAGAGACAGCCGAGTCGTGGCCCACACTCGTCTCGCTGACACTGTCAAACGAGCCTGCTCTGCCCCGAATCTGCTCCGCCCACCGCACCAAAGCCGTCGGCTCCCAGGCACTGGCGTAGAATCCTCTCGTGTCGTACAGCCTTCGGGTGTCAGGGCTGAAGGTGATACCGCCGATCATGTCCTCGGACGCGAGGTGGTACAGCAGGTGGAAGCCCAGCGTCGTGTAGATCTTGACCGTGCCACGCGGGTCACCGGTCACAAACAGCTGGCCGTCCCGGCTCATGGCGATCTTCGATGCTCCTATGGAAATCTCTTTAGGCTCCCACCGCGGCCGCTTGCTCGTCGAGTCCTTGAAGCCCGGGCGCCATTTGAAGACGGTGCCGCCCGAGTAGACACCGAGCAAGAGCTTGTAGTTCGGGTGCCACACCAAGTCTTCTACCTCTCCGCGCTTCTTTCTCGACTGGCCTCGGCGCCAGCAGTGCCCACTGTGTTTAGGTCGACCATCAGGCTTCAGCTTCCACGCCGAGAGGGGATACCCTCTGTAGGATATGGCGAGCCGGGTCCCGTCCGGGTTCAGCGCCATGTGGCTTGGGGCGTTGAGGAAATGCCCAGGCAACTCCTTCTCGTCTATATACGCGTATTCACTCCATGCCGGAGAAGGTTCGCGGAGGTCAAGTGCTCGGACTATTCTGTCGTCAAAGGCCACGAGGAGTGTCTTGTCCTCGTTCGTGAAGATCATTGCGTGGGGTCTCGGTCTGAATTCGAGATTGTTTGCCGAGACGATGCACACGCCTGTCGAAACCTCCCAGATCTTGGTCATCTCGGAGCCGTAGGACGCAAGTAGGCTCCCTGTGCTGGTAAGCGCCATGTGGGAGATGCGCTCGAGGTTGTCAAAGGGGCTGTATGTCGTCTGCTCAAAGGTCGATGAATCGTACATAAAGACCTTTCCGGTCGGAGCCAGGACCGCAATTTGCGATCCTGCCGCAGAGACAGCGGTAGATGCCACGCGGGTCCCAAACGTCATCCTTGCCAGGGAATCATCCCACTTCTCCATTGACGAGAGGCCGCCAGATACGGAAAGGTTCTTTGCCTCCTTCTGTCCGAATTGCTGGTAGATGGGCGAGCCACGTGGACAGAATGGCGGGATGGACTTGTAAATGAGACGGGGGTTGCGGAGTAGGACTGCGCCGAACTTCCCAGCAATCTTGATGAGATCGATGGCCCAGTTATCGAGCAGCTCGTATAATTGCATAATCTGTTGCTGGTTGTTGTCTTGCTGCCAAAACGTGTTCACCTTCAGTTTTGCGGCATAGTCCGATAATCTCTTGGAAGCATGAGGAAGTTCTCGCAGCCGCGCACTGGATGCCAAGTAATGGATCCAGATCAACACCCATTCCTTGTTGGACTTGGTCTCTGTCAGGAACTTCCTTAGCGTTTCGAGGACAGTCGAATCGCCTGGAGGAGTCATGGAGAGGTGGTAGGACCAGAAGCTCGCAGAGTAGTCCAGGAACTCGACCGCTTGGTTCTTTCGAATCTTGGTCTTGAGATCGTTGGGCTGCATCAAGGTCGCCATGCAGCTGTGAAACATCTGTGAATGAGCAGCACGCTTGTCTATCTTGAACGGATGATCACTCATGCTGAATAGGTACTCTCTCGCGGTCTGATGGATCATGGCCAGTCTCGGGCCAAGCGATTCATCCTTTTTGTCATTACCTTCCTCGATTATGATGAAACCAGAGCAGACTCCGACGAGAGATGCTCGAAAGTGGTCCTCGTGAGTCAATTCTTGCCCTATGATCTGCGCCATCTCGCGCACCGTCAGTGCTCGGTTTGCGCAGTTGACACACTGGAGGACCTTGGTCGCCATGGCTCTGTCTTGTTGCGAGCTCTGGGCGATTGTCCGGGCCATGCGGTCATAGAGCGCATCCATGCCTTTCTGGAAGCCGTATATGGCTTGTTTCATTTCGTCGTAGCTTCGGTTTTGCAACGAGTTCAGCTCGGCCACAACCAGTTTCACAAACTAATCTCTCTAGTCAGTAAGAAGCTTTAAGCGATATGGGGCGATACGAGATCACTGACGAGAAAGTTGTTCTCGGCTCGCTTCATCAGCGTGTTAATGAGTTTCTCCTTTAGCTCAGGGCTCCCCGTGAAGAGGACCTCGGCCCGAATGAAGTGACGGATGTCTTCCAATCGGCCACCAAGGCTGATGGCAGCGGGAGACAATGGCTCAAACGCAGCAATGAGCTCCGGGGTATTTCGGCTGGTAATCAAGACGCGGATCATGGGGGAAGAGGACAGGAGCTCTTGAATGAGCTCCAAGAAGCCTCTAGGATTTTCTGCCTCGTCTAGGCCATCTATCACCCAAAATGAAGGCGTAGCCTGTTCTGTTCGGAAGAGAATAGATCTGAATAGCCGCTCCCACACGGACTTGGCATCCATAGCTTCAAAATCGAGATTCTCTGCTTTCAGAGTAATGAGTCTCTGCAAAAAGTCTGGTGAGCTCTGTGCAAGTTGATACACTATTGATCGAAGCAGTAGGCTCAGCGTCCTCTTCCTTGGATGCCCATGCCGTATGAAGAAGTATTGTACCACAGCATTTCGGTCTTCCAGTTCCTTGATCACATAGGACGAAAGTACCGATTTGCCTGTTGCGGCACCTCCACTGTTCCACAGAAGTCGCGATGATGGCTGCTCTGAGCGGGACCAGTCTTGGTAGTCCTGTTCGTCGAGAATCCAATCGCAGGTGCCAGCTTTCCATTGGCCGCGATAGAATAATAAGTCGTCGCTTGGGAGCTCCTTGAGTGCTAACAGTGCCTTCAGACTATCGACACTTCCGTGATCCGGTAGGGTATCCAGGTTTGTCGTGTCAACTGGTTGCTCGGCACTGGCTCGGCGCTGGGGTGCATTCGCCGAGGTCCGCTGCACAACCTTCCTCATCAAGTCCCTCAGTGCACTTCGGACGATGAGGTAGTTGGGATCTTGGCGACTGTTGTACTTGCAGACGTTGTGATGGTCGGCATCGAGTGCCCTCGAAATCTCGTCGGGGTAACCCAGGACGGATGTTTCCTTTCCGAGCAGCATCTTCGCGCGCCATCAGCACCATATAGTCGAGCGCGAAGTGTGATAATTGCAACTCACGACTTTGGCATTCTTGAGCCCTATTGATGTCGGTTGCGTCTCGTAGAAGGAGACCAGCTTGAACCGTTTCGCAATATGCCGGAAGCTCTCGGCCTGACTTTCCAGCGTGAATGACGTCGGTAAAAGATCATTGACATATTGCTTGCCTTTCGATACTATCACGCTCTGCAGGATCCGGTTCAAGAGCTGCGCTACCTGGGCGCCACGGTGAGGCGTCGCTAGGAAGACGAGAGCTTCGACGGCGTTGATGATGTTTTCGTATTCTGGGCGGCGAGAGCCTTGTATGCAGACCTAAATCAAGTCAGAAGATCAACAGAAAGTCACACAAGCGTAGAGGCCTACTTCTTTCACAATGAGGCCTCCCATGCTATGCGCGACGAAAATCAGAGGCACCTTGAACCGGTCAGTGGGTGATCAGGTGCCAAGGAGCATAACTTGACTCACAGAACCAATATTGAGGTTATTATTGTCATCATCCTCCGCGTACTTCAGGTCGTGAAGTAAGTTCTCGGCGAAATCGAGTACCGAAGTCTTGCCATCACCTGCCTTGTGAAACGCCGAGTTATACCCGTACGTCAGGGTTCGCGCCAAGCAGAGATCCGACTCGAGCGCCAGAAAGGTGAGCGGCCAGAACAGCTCCGGGTTCTTGTTCTTCGACCAAGTCCACCGACTCGTCCCACCAAGTCCGTGGACAAAGACGATGTCGGCCTTGTGTCCATTGTTCGGGGTGTAGACGACGCGTAGCCCGAGCGGCCCTGAGTCTGGCCCGCGAACGCTGTTTGGGGCGGAGGAATACGCCGAATCTATGGTGCCAGCGGAGAGAGATCGAGTAATCCCCCCTGGAGGAAACTCGGACGCCTCGCCTGTGGCAGACAACCGCCTCGAGGGACTTACCGCTCTGATGGAGGCGGATTCAAGCTGCTCTGAGAGTGGCTCACGGCGATCTTCACTGCCCCTCTTCCGAAAGCCGGACAACTTCCGGAACTGTTTCTACACCTGTCAGAGTCGCACGGCCACCACAAATTCGTTCGTCAGGACCATACCATGATGACAGATTGTGTAACAACTAATGCAACGCAAAACGACGCTGTGCAATGCACTTCAAAGCCCCTTCGCCATGCACAGAAGACGGAAAGAAAGAGAGATAGCACATGAGCACAAAAAAAAGAAAAGTCCCAGCAGGAAGGTACATTTCTAATGAATATATGCACGAGCATGCAGAAATGTGCAGAACTGCGGCTGGGCTGACTTGTCGATCGGGGGCCAAAAGTACCCAACACTCCTATTGGGCCGAGGACAGGCGCCGAGTCTGCCCAGAGGCATTAGGGTGTCATATCTGCAGCGATATCCGGGGTCTTGATAGGTGTACGGAGCAAGCGAGAAACGCTACGGCACGGTGCATCCAGTGTCGCATCAGCCTTTCAAACTGCCTGCAGCACACATCACGCTTGTAAATGTTGCGGACATCAGGCTCCGCCATCCTTGCCCAAGCGGTCTCGGACCCCTTCTCACGATAGACAGGGAGCGCCTTATAATCAAGTGGTGATGCCTGGGTCGAGATGAGATGCGAACTATCGGCAACAACCCAACAGCGTGCTATTAGAACTTACTGCAGAGGCTTGTCATGGCTACAACGGTCGACGGATGGGTAGAAGGTGTCGATGGTGATTTCCGCCTCCACAATGCGGTTCTTGAGGGTAAACTGCATTCCTATCTCCCCATACTATCGAGTGGTCAGTATTCTAATCAAGATATCGGTAGCTATGCCCGGTGGAACCAGAGTGACACATGCGCGCCGATTCGGCGACTCAGCATGGACCAAGACCGCCAAAATCGAGACTATTACGCCAGAGGGGACACCAAAAACCTACTTTCTCAAGGTCAGATCTATATGCCATCATTCTAGCTCCTCCGGAATGGTTAGAGATGTGTGCTGATCAACTGGCATATAGGTAGCAGCAGGACCCAGCGCACGAGCTATGTGTGAAGGCGAGTTCGTTTCCGCAAAACTCATACGAGAAGCTGTGCCGAACATGGTCCCGGAGCCCTATGGTTGGGGTTCGTACTTTGACGACTCAGCAAATGCATCATCCACCGAGCCAGAGGCGGATTCTTTCCAGAGCGACGAATCAGAGAGCGATTCTGAAAGCGAGCCCGGTAGTGACTGGACGTCGATAGCTTCTTCTGACGACGCCAGCGAAGCAGACAACCCAGGCGGCACTGGCGGCGCGGACGAAGACCAAGATGAGCGAGATACCAAGACTTATTTCTACCTGGGCGAGTTCAAGCATATGGACTTTGACGAGCTCCCGGACCCAGACAAGTTGCTCGGCATGTTGGCCAAGATGCACACGAAGGGCACGTCCCCGAATGGCATGTTCGGATTTCCCGTCGCAACCGCCTGTGGACGGATGCAAAGGACCGTGACATGGGAGAAGAGCTGGGCCAAGTCCTTTGCCTACCAGCTCAAGAACGTCATGCAGTATGACATGGAGAAGCATGGACCCTGGCCTGAGTTTGAGGAGGTGTGTGACGAGATCATCGAGGTCGTGGTCCCGCGACTACTCAATCCGTTGCAGGAAGATGGGCGCGAGCTCCGGCCCGCCTTAGTTCACGGCGACTTCTGGGAGAAGAACATTGCCCTGGACCACGACACAAAGGAGATTGTGGTCTTTGACCCGGGATGTGTCTATGCACACAACGAGATGGAATTCGGAACCTGTGAGTCTATCTATAATACCTGGGATGGATGGGAATGCTAACTTGAGAACAGGGAGGAGCCAATGGGCTACTCATTTTGTCACAAAACCTGAGTACAAAGCTGCTTATGACAAGCTGATTCAACCTTCCGAGCCGAAGGAACAGTACAACGACCGACTGCGTCTCTACATTGTCCGATCCCACCTCAATGGTTCGGCGGGAGATTTCGGGACCGAGCTGAGGCAGCTGTAAGTTCCTGCTCTCGACCTCTTAGCAATGATTCGCAGACAACTGACCATGGCTCATAGTGCGTACAATGACATGCTCTTCCTCTGTGAGAAGTACGGGAAGCTGCCAGGACAGGACAGATACGATCCTCAGAAAGACCTCCAGGTTACTGGAGCATACAAGGCCTTCGATCCGACGATCGAAAGATGATTGTTGCGGCCAAAGTGGAGTAGCAATCAATAGTTATGGATCAAATACAAAAGGCCTTCTGAACGCAATAGTCACGCTTTCAAGACACTCTAATGGTCCTAGATTTCAAGTCTTTCCACTATCTACTCTATGCGGTCTACTGAAAGCTTTACGAATTGTAGGACTAGCCTTTCTGATTCACACCTCAGCAACAGATTGAGTTCTCTTTCTGATACTGAGCTTGTACCCGAAAGGCGGCGGCGAGACATAACTCAGCCACGGGTTCCGAGGCCGAGGATCCTCGTTGGGCTTGATGTCGTACTGCAGAAGCATCTGAGCAAAGAGCAGTTTCATCAAGTGGTTTGCAAAGAAGCGGCCAGCGCTGGTCGAAGCATTAGTGAACTGTGAAAACAAGTTCATCGGGTAAGGGAAGAATGGCTTACCAGGAGTACTTCCCATGGCTAAACGCCAAGTAATTCTCATTGGTCTTGGCAAAGTTGAGACCGTCAAGTTTCTCCGGCTCCTTGTCTTTTGTAAAGCGCAAGGGGTCAAACTCAAACTGCTCTCCAGGGTAGACGTCATCGTCGTGATGGATTCCATAGCTTCCCACGCCGATCTTTGCGCCACATGGGATGTGTTCGCCTGAAGGAAGCGTCACACCGTCCTTGGCGACTACCACCTTAACGACACCGTGCGAGAACCCCCAAAGTCGCAGACTTTCGGTCAAGACACTGTCAATCTTTGGCAACTTGGCGACTTCAGCCCTGGTCCAACGCGCCGAGGGGGGCTCGGTCCTCGAAGCAACAGCTGCCTCCTCTCGAAGCTGTTGTTGGAGGGCGAGGCTATCCGGTGCGTGTGCCAAGTCAATCAAAACGTTCTCGAGGGTGATGGCTTGGACCTGGATGGCAGCCCAGTTCAGGATGGCCAGGAGCCTTGTCGTCTGGCTGGTGGTTTGGCAAGGGTCTTCATTGCGGCGGTAAGCTTCCTCGATCAGTTCCGTCAAGAGGTCCCTTTTTGCATCATCGCTTGCTGGTTTCTCTGACCCGAGCCTGCCCACGCGCTCTTTAATGATTGGGCTGACTCGGCGAGCCTGGCGTGTGAACTGGACCCAGTCGTAGCGCGCCAGAACAGGGCCGACGAGGGGTCGGAGGATATTTGGTGTGAGCTGAATGAGTAGCGCTTCAACAAGGATGAACTTGGCGAAGCGTGTCGTACTGCCGATATAAGTAGCGTCTCGGCACAGAGGCAGTCCGACGTAGACACGGCTCACTACTCGACTCATAATCTGGAGCATAGCGTCCAGTAAGTCGATCTCCTTCCAATCATTGTCATCACTGCCCCATAGCAGCGCAAGTGCATCGTTGATCTCCTCTATTATGTCGTCGGTCTTGTTGTTAAGCTCTTTCGTAATCTGTTTGATGACATTGACAACGAAGGTCCACTCGGCATCACTTGCCGCGACACAGTTGAGGAACGTGTGGTCTGCAGCCAAGAATACGTTGTTGCTCTCACGTTGACTTAGCACACTGGCCGGCTGTTTGGTAAGCCATGAGAACTGTGACTTAGGCAGAATAACTTGGTGCCCGGTGAACAAGTCTGGAAGGATGTATGGCCGGTTCACTTTGGTGTGCTTGGCATCAGTCAGCTTTGAACGGTCGAAATTGAAGGTACTGAGCTTACTTCAACATGGCCTGCCCAGAGAAGGGAGTCAAGATGGAGTACACTCTTGAACGAAGCGCGCCCACGAGACAGAAAAGAGCCATCCGAGCCTGCAAAGGATAGTGTCTTCGGGAGGCCTTGGTAGGAGAATACGCGGTACCATACATAGTAGAGCGTACCAAAGAGGATCGCAACGGAGATGACGACGAACATGTTGAGATACACCAGGTACTGTCTAATTTGGTTCGGCTCTGTTAATCCAGTGTCAAAAGGCTTCGTAGAGCTTTCAAATGCACAGTGGATGCTCACCCTATTTATGCTCACTGGAAAATGATTCCAGAACACGGACATGAGACAGCTCAGCAGTATGAGAGGATGAATGCTAGACTCGGTGTCTCACACATTACCACTAGGGTGCTGTTCTAGAATAGCCCGATTGGCCAGCATTAGGACCGAGCCATGCCTCAGAAGGTGGCATTCTTCATCTGATACCCAGGCATGTCAGCATGACTGGCGTTTACGAAGGCGAGAGCACGGCACATTCAAACGAGCTTATCAACACTAGTTCATGACCAAATATAGACTCTGGGGCTGGAGTTCGAGCCCCTTCCCCAAAGCCTCAGGGTCGGAACGATGAGCCAGAGAGTTCAGGGTTTCATGAGCTTTGAAGGATTACCTATCACAACTCGTCTACTCACCAGGGACCATCCTATCATATCTCAATCACGGACAATCAAATTTTTGGGGGCTTTGATGTTGTCTCTTGGAAGGATTTACGTCCTTAATGCAAGGAAAACTATACTACTTGCTTCCCCTTTGTGTACGTGGCGTGCTAGGCTGAGAGGCACATAAGAGCTTTGCTAAAATAGTACCCGAGATCCGGGCGAATGATCCCGTATCTTAACGCAATCAAGCATTGAACTTAGCCGCCTTTCATGCAAGTAAGACGGTACGGGAGGACTTGGTGAGCATACATGGCCAGCCAATCTCTTGTCAGACCCTGTTAAGCTTCTCTAGTGCCCCAAGGGGCTGCTGCCATTTTCTTAGATAATATGTGCAAGACAACGTGTCAGTCTATCATGGACGTATGGACAGCTCACTCGAAAACCACCCAATAAAGTCACCTCGCTGGACATTCAGAGTCCTTCGGAGCACAAGATTGATTGAGCTCACATGTGAAACCTTGATCACGTAATACGTAATCCGCAATGCAGCAACGGGATGGTATCTCGGTTATCACAGAGCGGAGAGCTTTTGGCATATGGCAAAGGAAATGGGGTTTTTTATTGCTTGACATTGGTGCATGCACCTTCTCCTGTTCTGATGAGCCCTTCGACCGGGTATATCGTTGCCGCCTGCGAATCTTCCCGGCATTAGGCGGGCCTGTCAGCCGAGACTGCGGACTACCTTGATACCCAATGCGGCATACCCAGGTATATGTAACAGTAAGCTGACTTAGGTAGGTACCTTCAACCTTGCCTAGGTCGGCGAGCTGATATGCAAGACACGTTGGTGTAACTACAAGCCGAACAAAAGGACCTCTGAGAGGCACAAACGCTTCGCGGAATGCTCAATACGGTTGCTGTGGCACGCCACAATCGCCGCGTCGCAGCGCGTTTTTGAATCAAGCATCTGTCGTACGTTGATGAAAAACTGCGCGACAATTCCAAAATATTGCAGTCTCGACAAACACGCCAGTTACATGAGCCGGTCGATGCAGGAATTCTACACAATGGCCCATTCAGACACGATGCCGAATGATGAAGCCCTCAGTTCAGAAGCACTTGTAGAGTCGCAGGACTTCGAATGCTCATCTGTGCCCACCGCTGCGAAAGACAGGCTCGTCTATGATGTCTTTTATGACCAAGTCAAACTTCGGCCCCTTGCACCGGCCGTACACGCTTGGGATGGAGACCTAACCTACAGCCAGCTAGATGAGCTCTCCTCACGGCTTGCCGCACACATCTCGTCATTCGGAGTGAGACCCGACGACATCGTGCCGATCCTCTGTGACAAGGCCGCTGTCACCATCGTCTGCATGCTTGCCGTGTTGAAAGCCAATGGGGCTTTTGTAGCGCTTGATGTATCGCATCCAGATGAGCGACTACAGGAGATCATCCAAGGCACGAAGGCTACTCTATTGTTGACCTCGCCGAACCAACACGATCGCCTGTCTCACGCCACTGGACTCAGAAGGGTCGATGTCTCAATGCGCAGCGTGGCCGACTTGAGCAGCAGTGCCAGTCCACTGAATCACGAGGCCATCGTGTCGCCTAACAATCTGATGTATGCCGTCTTCACATCGGGGAGCACTGGTCGACCCAAAGGCGTCATGATTGAGCACCAAGCGTTCGTGACGAGTGCTCTTGCCCACGGCTCCGACCAAAACCTCAGCCCAGAGTCGCGTGTCCTGCAGTTCGCCTCATACGCATTCGACCCATCTCTCATGGACATATTTACGACCTTGATCTTTGGCGGATGTGTGTGCGTTCCAACGGAAGAGGAGCGACTCGGCGACATTGCCGATTTTGTCAACCGGGCTGAGGTCAATACACTCATGGTTACTCCATCATACGCCAAGTTGCTCGATCCAGCTAGCATGCCCGGGTTGAAGCAACTTGGCGTTGGGGGAGAGAGCGTGCCGTCTGACTTGATGAAGAAGTGGCTTCCTCATGTCGATGTGTACATCTCGTACGGGCCGGCAGAGGCTTCCATCCAAGCAGCTGGGCTGCGAGTCGAGAGAGGGAGTATCGCGCCTCCCAGTGGAACTATTGGCTACCCAACTGGCTGTGTCATCGATGTCGTAGAGGAATCTCAGTACGACCAGACAGCAGAAGAGGGAGAATTCGGCGAGTTACTCATCGAAGGTCCCACCCTCGCTCGCGGCTATCTCGACGACAGAGCAAAGACAGAGGCATCGTTCTTTACGCGCACCATCGGAGGAGTAGATCGGCGGACATATAAAACGGGTGATCTGGTCCGGCGCCACATCAACGGCACAATCCAATTTGTTGGCCGGAAAGACACACAAGTCAAGGTTCACGGGATGCGGGTCGAACTCTCGGAAATCGAAACACGACTCTCAAATGTGCCTTGCCTGTCCTCGGACTTGAAGGTCGCAGTCGAGAAAGTCGAACACTCCGCGTTGGCGAGTCAATCAGCCCTTGTCGCATTCATCAGTGGTTCGACAAAGGCAGGCATGCAGACCACACCAGAAGTTGACTGGGACCAGACTGAGGAGCTGCAATCCAGGGTGCCAGGAATTCAAAAGGAGCTTGAGAAATTCCTACCAGTACCTCTTGTTCCCTCCATATATGTCCCACTTTCCTTTCTTCCCTTCACCTCGTCGCATAAAACCGATCGCACGTCGCTACGGCGACTCGTTTCACAGATTCTTCCAGATGAGCTGCAAAGGCTACAAGGAGCAAGAGACCTGAATCACAGCACAAGACCTTGCACACAGGATGAGTCTGCGTTGCGCGAGCTTTGGGCACTTGCCCTAGAACGTCCAGCGGAAAACATTGGCCCTGATAGCCACTTCATCCATCTTGGAGGAGACTCGGTGACGAGCATCAAGCTGGTTACAATCGCAAGAAGCCGCGGCGTGCATCTAACATCGACTTTGATTCTTTCAAGCCCAATTCTGAGCGATATGGCCGAAAATGCGTTTAGTACGGGACTGCAGAGTGGATTACATCCCATCCAGCCGTTCTCTCTGCTCCCCCAGTCACAGGAAGAGCTATGCACCATAGCGGCTGGTATTTGCAGGGTCCCAGCCGAAGAAGTCGAAGATGTTGTGCCCATGGCTATCAACCAGATGCGATGGTACGCTCAGACGTTGACGAGGCCAGAAGCATGGTTGGATCAACACTACTTCCGCCTCCCTGCAGACACAGACCTTGTCCAGTTCCAGACGGCCCTTAATGCGACTACAAAGACAGCAGAGCTGTTACGATCTCGAGTTATCATTGACTCGAACAAGCGAATGCTGTTCGCTGTAATAAAGCCCCAACCAGTCGAGCTTGAGATCGTCTCTGGTAGCTTGGAGACTTATCTGGCGCAGGACATACAGAACCCCATGGGGCTTGGTATGCCCCTGAGTCGCTATGTGATCACCAAAGACGCCAAAACGGGCGAGCAGGCATTTGTCTGGACAATCCATCACGCCATCTACGATGGGTACTCCATTTCGATGCTCCTTCAGATGATCGACCAACTCTACCGAGGCTCTGCGCCGACGCCTTTGACCCCGTTTAAACACTATATGAAGGAGCAAAGTCAAGAATATCTCATGAGTGGAGATACATTCTGGAAAGATTATTTGGCCTCGGCGTCGTGGGTCGAGTTTCCGACAATCCCACCTCCGGAGAATAAGCAACCTCCATCTAGTGAGAGGTTTACCAGAACAATGGGCATCACTGCACCTCCCGGAATCACCGTTGCAAACATGATTCGTGTGGCGTATGCCATAGCCCTCTCGAAGCACTGTGCTGACCCCACAGACGTCCTGTTTCTCGAGAGCACAGGCGGCCGAAACTCGTCCTTGCCAGGCATTGGCCGTGTCGCAGGCCCAACCCTCGTGACCGTCCCTACGCGAATATTACTACCACCTGCTCGCACAGATGTCGAAGTGTTGGCCGTCACGCAAACCTCTCTTGCCAAGCGGATGATGTTCGAAGACTTTCCGATCCAGCGTCTTTTACCTCTTTGCCCACCTCTAGAACTTCGATCCATCTTAACCATCGATGACGAGGCGTTTCTGTCCACGGGGATCAAGGACGGTCTTTTCAGAGACGGAAATACAGCACTGAGGGTGGATGAGAGCAGGGACGTGCCATTGATGTTTAGGTGTACATTGCGTGGCACAGAACTAGATGTTCATGTCAGATTCGATGGCAATATAGTCAGAAGCGACGAGATCGAGGAGTTTGTGGGAACATTTGAAGATTCCTTGGGAAGCCTGAGATGTGTGAGATAGGAACGCAGTCGTACTGATGCCAAGGTGTTTGCTTATAGCAGAATCTGAGCTGATGCGGCTGATGCGGATGACAAAGGAGATGGGATACCGCAAGGGATATACGTGCGATACTACTTACAAGGATGAAAGTCTCGAGGATAGGGATCTGGCTACAAAGGACTGGATCTGGCGCTTGGAAACTATTTGGTCTTTTGTACATGATATGTTTGGAATATACCAACTCTTGGGTCTGTATTGATGGCGGCGCCTATGAACTGGGTCTCTTGCGACACCTCCCCTGGCTTGCGTGTGCCTTCTCCATGTAGTCAATGACGAAACTGAATTCATTAAGGTTCTGCCTAGGCGGAGAAAAGAACGTGGAAGGTGCTCGCAATGATCAGTGTACCTTCTCCTTCTCTCGGACAGGCATAGGGCGACCTCCCCAGTTCCCATTCATCATCAAACATCCTCACCATCTCGACCTCTGTCTCCGCTCGCTACCTGCATAGGTAGAATTGCCAACTTCTCGAGGGACTTGTCAGAATATTACTCTCTTTTCTCTTCATCTAATCTTCTACACCTAAGTCACTATTACCACTATTCTATCAGCGACACTATTTTCCAGTATGGATACCACAAAAGCCAACACCCCGCGGCGCCGCTCTAGTCGGAGTCGTCCGAAGGTTTACTTTGCCAACGCAGAAAGGCCCTCGAGACTGAAAACCGAGATGGTTCCAGAAGGGGCTTGGGCCAACCCTTCGGGCCAGCGCCCGCCCATAATCACCGATGCTGCTCCCGCGACTTGCATGTACTGCGACAAGGCCTGCGATCCCGAAACGGAGCTCAGATGCTCGTGCGGTGCAGGACCATACTGCCGAGAAGTTTGTCAGAAGGATAACGCGCATAGCCACAACATCTTTTGCAGCGCAGAGGCCAGTTCCGCAGCTTCCGGTTTTGCCCCGACAAGTGATGCTCGTTTAGCCTTGTTCTTCTCAGACGGCAACCTGGACCTTGCCGACGAAAAGCCGCCCGATTTCGACCCGGGATCGCCCCCTGTAAGGAGGAAGATCAACATCACACACTGGCTGCGTTTCCGAGACGGCATTCCGGTCCTGCCCCACAGGTTCATGGCAGGCAGCGGCCTACGCTCGACCGAAGTCAACAGCGGAGACACCGCAAAGACACGCCACTACCTTCGTATCCTGCATTACGGCTGGATTCGCAGATTCCGCCATAAGAACCTCAAGTTGAACCGCGAGCTCCTCCTCCTCTGGACTGAAGGCATGGGCTGGCCATAGTACGGGCCGGTGCTCGTGTTCGCCTACAGCGTAGACGAGGCTGGCTTCGAGCAACCGGAGAACGTCGACGCCCGGGACTTCCGAGTCGTCCACGACTATTTCCTCAATTTCCCCCATCTACTAGCTCGCAGAGACGATGAGCGACAGAGCGATCTCCAAGAGCTCAAGCGGGCAACACTGATCGTGTCACCTCGAATGATAACGAATTTGCGCATTTTCGATGCGCATTATTGGAGCCTCTGTCTTTTGGAAAGACTGAGGTTGCTCCGCTAGGAGAAAGTAATCTTAGTGAGCCAGGATATGTTGGACAAGTACAGCGAACTTGTAAAGCAATTTGCGGACGATCAAAAGCGGGAGAAGGCTGCCACCGCCTTGGGAATCAAACATGAGCCCGCTGACTGGGGATTGGAGGACTACCAGGCCATTGAAGACCTGATGACACATTGCATTCGATATATTTCCAGCCTCCGGGAGCTTATGCTGCGCCTCGGTCTTCTTTCCATCAACCGGACCGAACCTCTGTTCACGAAGGTATGGATTCCATCCACACCGTCAACTCTCCAACTCGAATGGCCTTGTGTATTCCCCCGATACCTTGGCTTGCCGTGGACGGCCAGGCCAGATCTGGCGTCGCAAAACTACACCATTCGCAATGACAGGACCCTGCACAACCATCATGGCAAATGGCTTGCAGCTCATTGGCTCGATGACCCACGAATGCCCGGCCGCCAAATGCTCGACCTAGAGTGCTACAATATGGGGCACTGCGCGGTATACTCCGAGGACGAGCACCTGTCCCTGCATCCGATTTGGATGTTCTTCGTCCGAGTTTTCGTCAACGAGACCATCTTAGGCATGGCACAAGACAAAAAGCCTCACCGGAAATACGTGCATTATCCGGTTGGCGACAAGAACATCGACGAGCAGACTGAAGTAATCTTCAACGAGCTCATTTTGAGGACGCCGGCCAAGAACAAAACGAATGGAGTCATCGGCTTCGAGATCAATGCCGCAGACCTCCAAGTGGCCTTGACGCTGCAGGCGTTCTTGCTCTCATGTGAGGTCACTTACTTTGAGCGCTACCGCAAGCAGTTTACCTGGTCCCCCGAGGAGCAAGCCGCGCTGAATTCCACGTTGCTCTCGCTCATGGCCTATGCCGACACAAAACGGGCATCGGAAGTGAGAGCAAAAGTCCTGGCCCGACCGAACTGGCACCAGAGAATCTACAGGCACATGCCAGCGGGAGGGGAGGTGGACTTGCTTGATGTTTGAGGCTCTGGCACTCTCTTTCTTTTTCGCACCTTGGCCGTATCGCTCTGAACATCTGATCAATCATGTGGACATGAGCAGCGTATAGGTGAGTAGATGATTACTATTGATAGCGCTATATCTTTCCATAGGACTATCAATTCATGCCAGCGTTCTCATCTCTGTCCGTTTCGCGGCAAAGGCCTCATGGACCAGACCCACCTACGTAGCCCAGCCTGTGCCTCCCTAATTATTGTTTGATATCATCCGAGTAGAATTTTGGGTTGAACCATTATTCTAGTATTCAGGGTATCTATGGTGCAGATACCAGTCTTTCAGCCACGTTCTCTAAGGCTACCATGAGAAAACCGAGCTCGAGGGGATCATCGCGAGATCGTGGGTTGCAGCTCGAGCACGTATAGCTGATGTCTGCTCTCAAGCTTTTGATAATGGAGTGTATTGTCCACCGCTCACTTTCCCAGTCCGGAGCTTTTCGGGGGTTGAACGATTTGATCGCGGCTCTCAGACATGCCCAGCCTCAAGGTTCCAAGGCTGCAAAGCGGGGCAGAGTGTCTTTTTGACCAAGTGCTCATGTTATGCATACCCAGACAACCATCAGTCTCCCCTAGGTTGCCTTGATGAATCCTGGCAAGCACTGATCGACGACATAGGACAGCGAACGCTGCAGAACACCATACTTGTATAGTCGTACACACAGTTGTCAGACACGAGTTAGCACGGCAAATATGGGGGACAATAAGTGAGAAGAGGAAAAGCACAATGTGTATTCTACTCTAGCCAAGAGATCACCAATCTATGTTCATTCCACAGATGCTACCCATAAGAGTAAGCAGATATGAAAAGAAACAAGATGAATTATCAAGCACAGACTTCTGGCTTGTGAGATCTAAAGAAAGATGACAGAGATTAAAAAGATCTTGTCTGTGACAAGACGGAAACTAGGGTAGGTTGCTGTAGAGGCTCAGAAAGGAAGAGAGTTATAACGACCACGCTTTCTAGCAGTGCGCTTATAGTTATACTTCTCGACCTCCCACCTTGCGAGAATGTGGTTGTCGCCACCCTCGTCAAAGTCGGCCCACTCACGCTTGCGTCGGGGACGCAGAAGCCTCTGGTCCATGCCCGGACCATGAGGGCCCGGCGAATTCAACGGAGCAGCGCCCAAGTCCGTCCGGGCCGTCTCGCGCTTGGGCGGATAGGCTGCATTCTCGTCGATAGCAGGCAGACGAGGCGAAGCCAGCGATCCGTTCGCGGCCAAGATTTTGCTCCGGCGACGGGTGATGGGTCCTTCAAATTCAGGTACTGGTTCAGGCGCGGTTTCAGGCGCGGGTTCAGGCGCGGGGGGCGCGCCTGGGCCAGGCTGTTGTGGGATCTGATGCCCCGGCGTCTGATAGTCCGGAGGGAGGTGATGCTGCGGAGGGACTTGGTGCTGTTGTGGGTATGGCTGGTACTGTGGATGGATCTGCTGCTCGTAAGCCATCTGAAACAGTTCAGAGGTGTGATACTGAGCAGGCTGATAGTCCAGCTGGGCATCCCTAGGTGAGATGATCGGAGGGCGCAGATCAAAGTCCGTGGACGGGGCTTCTGGCTGCTGCTGGTAGTCGACCTGGCCAAAGATAGGATCCGCGCGGGGCCGCTTGTGCGACCTGAGAACCCGTACTCCCTCGTCCAGATCCTCGTCGTCGGAAATCTCAATGGCATCACCACTCTGTGCCTTCCTCTTCTTCCTCAGCCTGGCCTTCTCAGCGTCACGGGCGTCCCTCTTTCGGTTCACCTCGGAGCGCTTCAGCTGGGCATAGTGTTCGAGATCGCCGCCCCACACGCCAATGTCGGTAATGATGCCGCCCTCGTCCTCCCTGGTCCTCTTGCGGTCGTCGCGGGCGGCTTCCCGGGCCGCTGTCTGGAGCCTCATGTGCTCCGCCGTCAACCTCTTGACCAGAAGGTCGCGGTCCTTGTCGAAGGGGATCGCGCCGAACTCGCCATCGGGATTGCGGATCGTCGCCTGATCCTCCTGCCACTTGCGGAACTCGTAGACCAGGCCGTCGTCGTCGCGGTTCAGGGCCATGGGGTTGATGTCCTCGCAGTGGAGCACGCGCGTGTCGGGCATCATGTTCATGACCCCGGTACACATCAACTTGTAGATGTTCACGATCTTCTCGAGGCAGAAGAGGTGCATGTAGCCGGCGCAGTGGAAAGGGTCGTGGATGACGCCCGAATCTGCGGGCCTCTCGTCGAAAGCGACGCGGATCATGCCCTTGAGGACCGAGCGGTTGTTCACGGGGCACTCGTGGGAGCGGCACTTGGAGGACTCTGCGTTCAGCGGATAGCGCCAGTTGCTCTGTGAGGGCGGGTGCTGGATCCAAATCCGCAGCGGGATGTTCTTCTGCTTGCAGCCCTGCATGTAATGGCCCAGCGAGTCCTTGTTGAACCTGATGTCGCCCTCGAGCTCGCCGAACTCTGTGTAGCGGAACATGGGCCTCTGTCGGTGGTCAGGCGGGCCCCAGGCCTCGCGCCTGGGGGTTGGGTGATAGAAGTCTTGTGGGTTCGGCCGGTTCTTTGTTCGCTTGTTGGATAGTTTGTCGTCGAACTTGTCCACCTTTGGCCGCAGCCTGTGCGGATCAGAGACAGAAACATGATTGTTCATCTGCTGTGTCAGTGGCTGGTTAGCACCAGAGACGGAGGGCCGGAGATGACTGAAGCCCTCAAACGGGTCATTGCTCGCCTGCTGTGAGCTTACAACTTGATTTGGCATCGCATCAAAGGCAGAACCTGGCAAGCTTGATGCAATGCCTAGTCCGACATCCCCGGTTGTTGCGTCTGTGCCGTTCATATGGGCGCTCAGCATCAGAACCGGGTCCTGGGCGGGCAAAGGAGGGAGAGTGAGCTGATAAGGAGCCGCCGGTTCCACCGGCTTCGATTTCATATACTCACCACCACTCACAGTCGACGTCTCTGGTGCAGGTGGCAGGGGAAGCGGAAGGCCCTTTCCCTTGTCTGCGGTAGATGCTGGCTTTGGCGGAGTGGAGTTGGTCGTCAAGCCGATAGGGCTGTCACCAAACAAGCTGCCATTGGCATCTCCATCCCCATCCGCAGGGTTCAAGAGGTCAAAATAGAACTGGTCGTCATACGCGACTTCCAAATGTGTGTCAGGCATCTCGGCGCTGAACTGGTGTGAGAAGGTGTTGTCGATGTGTCGGAGAACTTCTGATGGGCGGAAGGCGGACCAGTTTCGAGAATACCTTGGCTTTTGCTTATGTATTCGCTGGGAGTTTTGCAACTCTTCATCCTGAGCCACGGCCAGCCAGGGCGGTGGCTATGTTCTTATACGGCCAGGCTATCAAGAACAAGGGGGCTCAGCCTTTGTTCCTTCAAAGTGGCATCAACAGGCACAGCGAGGACAAAGACAACGACACCCAACCTGTCAAGAAACAATGACAATTCACTGAAAGAAATTGGCCTCAAGTCCCAAAATAGTTCAATAACAATAAAGTTGTCTAGATACAAGTCAAAGCTGAGGTAGTCTGCCAAGGATTGGTCGAACAAAGGACACCAAGGAGTGATAATTTTGCATCTGGACATTCGTCAGTGGCTGGCTTCAACACGGGTATGGGAGATAGAAGGCAAGACGAGTATGGTCTATCAGTAGAAAGATTGCATTTTCTCAACAGGGGTTGTTCAGAACAGGTCTGTGAATATGCGAAATTCTCATCATGTAGATTCGGAGGGGGGGGACTGTAAGGGGAGGAGGAAACATACATTACGTACTCACCACGTATCGCCGGGTATCATGCTTCCAGAGACATGCTGTCTATTCAATAGATCAGCCCTGTCTGTGTAAGGAGACCTGTGAGTTAGTTTTGGGAGCATATTGTTATCGTTGTTGGAGGAGGTATGGAAGTTATGACAGTTTGGCCAAGTTGATTTTTCTTCAAGACCAAATGGTCAGGTGAATGTGGAGATTGAACAAAGGCCCGTGCAGCCTCAACTCAGCACGGTCCCAAGGAACTGGAAAGACATTATTCCGTCACATCTACCCCGTACGCTCATCTTTTGATTGAACGCTTGAGCAGACGGCTCTAAAGGACCTTGCTTGCTCAAAAGCACGCGCCAGCGGCATCGTCGCTACCTCTGTGTTGAGAGAGCTCTCCCGCGTACGAAAATCAATTCCATATTTTATCTCGAATAAAGTTTCATGCCCAACTTGACATCTGGCATTACCGCCGTTGAAGCAGACGTTGAGGACCAAGACAAATACGGATACGGGTGCCCACCTGCGAGCGGAGTCTTTAGCGTGTCCCATACGGTAAAACTGTGTGACTGTCCAGTAACCCCGCCCTGTAATCCCCTCTCGCCCCTCTCGCCTGCCGAGATACCCCCCACCAGCTCGGGGTCGACTGCTGTCCGACACCGCTTTTAGTTAGGTGCCCAGCAGATCCTAGCGCTACGCCAGTTGCAGCCAGCGCTGGAGGTGGCAGCCCCCGATTCGTCTGGGTTCGTCTGTGCCTGAAAACTGCCACCTGCGGTGCTAACCGGGGCCGCCACTTTAGCCAATTGCAGAGCCGACAGGGACCTCCAGCTCCTTACGTCACGAGACAAGGCGAAACAGGAACTGCCCGCTGCCCACTTTTCCCTGTGCGCGCTCAACTTCGCACCAGGGCTGTTTCTTTGACTCGACATTCGTATCCGACTCTCCTCTTTCGCTAAGCGCTTACAGACAGGCAGACGGGCAAACAACTCGGATCGAAGAAACCCCTTCCCCACGAAGGAGTGAGCCCGGGCTAGACGAACAAGCCTGGCGGTCCGAGAACCAGTCTCTGTCGTCCTCGCATCTGTCCACATCTTCCGTCCAAACCGCACGCCCAATGCACTGAGTCGCCGTCGTGCGCGAACCGCCCGCCAGCATTCCGCCATGGCCGATTTGAGTCCCGAGTTGCGGGACAAGCTCGAGGAGCTTGATCGAGAGCTCGAGGTGCGCATATTCCTCTCGACCCAATCCCGTACTCCGTTCACCTTGGGCTCGAGCTCGGGCGATCTGCAACGGATGCGCCTGTTTTTGCCCATAGTACCCTCTGACACGATTTGATCCTTCCGGTGCGGCTTACTAACAATCAATTGGGTGCAACTAGGAGGGCGATATTACACAAAAAGGGTACGACAGATCGAGACAATGGGACTTGTAGCCTCGCGGCCCCGCTAACAATTCCTGCGCAGATACCAGAAGCGTCGCACACAGCTCCTCTCACAGTTTGGATCTCCCGCCGGCTACCAAGGCCCATTGGGAATACACTCCCCAGACAGCGCCACTTACTCATCGAGTGATGGCCACCGCGCCGGAGCCCTGGCTGCTCTACAAGCGAGCAACTCGGATCACGGGAGCGGAAGCAACTACTCGCCCACGGGTGTGCAATCGCCCACAGATCGCCGACCACAATCTCCATACGGCTCAGGCGACTATGGCAGCTCGCAGCCGCCGAATCCGGCAGCCCTTCTCGCACCCGGCGGCCCGTTGGCTGACCACCGACCTTCGTTACGGGCACATGAGTCTCTCTTCCTCGGCCCCGGAGCCGGCCAGGGCAACATGACAGACCCGTCACGCTCAGGGACCATGGTATCAACCGACTACGCCTTCAACCCAGAACATCACGGCGATTACATGGAGCAGCAGCCCCAAGCCCAGTACGACAGCAGGACGGGTACGATGCTCGACTCGACCGGGTACTTCTCCGACTTTGCCGGGCAACAGGCCTACGACCAGATGCCCCGTGGCGAGTACGGCGCTCCCCAACAGCGATACTCGGCAACCGACGCCTTTTCTCCCACGGCCGCGATGGCGCCGCCCATGCTCACCGCAAGCGACCTACCCCCACCGGATGCGCTCGAATACCAGATGCCGCTAGAACCTCGCGAGGTTCCCTTCGCAATCTCCGACCCCCACGACAACAACGTTCAGATGTCAAAGTTCGACAACATAGCAGCTGTCTTGAGGCATCGTGGAAGAACAACATCAAAGATGCCTGCGTACTGGGTCTTGGACAGCAGGGGCAAAGAGACAGCTTCCATCACATGGGAGAAGCTGGCGGCGAGAGCAGAAAAGGTCGCTCAGGTCATAAGAGACAAGAGCTCGTTGTACCGCGGAGATCGCGTAGCTCTAGTCTACCGCGATTCGGAAGTCATCGAGTTCGCCATCGCTTTGCTAGGTTGCTTCATCGCCGGAGTGGTCGCCGTGCCTATCAACGAGCTGCAGGACTACCAGAAACTGAACGTGATCCTCACGTCCACTCAGGCGCACCTGGCCCTGACGACAGACAACAATCTCAAGACCTTCCAACGTGACATTACCATGCAAAAGCTCACCTGGCCTAAGGGTGTCGAGTGGTGGAAGACGAACGAATTTGGCAGCTACCATCCTAAGAAAAAGGACGATGTCCCCCCGCTCTCGGTTCCCGACCTGGCTTACATCGAGTTTTCCCGAGCGCCAACGGGCGATCTTCGAGGCGTCGTCCTAAGCCACAGGACCATTATGCACCAGATGGCATGCCTCAGTGCTATCATATCCACAGTGCCGGGAAATAGGCCCGACACGTTTAATTCTTCGTTGCGGGATAAGAACGGGCGGCTCATTGGAGGCGGCGCAAGCAGCGAGATTCTGCTGTCGTATCTGGACCCCCGTCAGGGCATTGGCATGATTCTTGGCGTTCTCCTGACGGTCTATGGCGGCCACACCATGGTCTTTGTCGAGAACAAGGCCGTTGAAGTCCCGGGTCTGTATGCGCATCTGATCACAAAGTACAAGGCGACATTGATGGTGGCCGACTACCCCGGACTCAAGCGTGCTGCGTACAACTACCAACAAGACCCGATGACGACCCGAAATTTCAAGAAAGGCATGGAACCAAACTTCCAGACGGTTAAGCTTTGTCTCATCGATACCTTGACTGTCGATGGCGAGTTTCACGAACTGCTTGCTGACCGATGGCTGAGGCCTCTGCGGAATCCCCGCGCGAGAGAGGTTGTTGCGCCAATGTTGTGTCTTCCCGAGCATGGTGGCATGGTAATTAGTGTCAGAGATTGGCTGGGCGGCGAGGAGCGGATGGGCTGTCTGCTCAAGCTTGACCCGGGCGAAGACACGGAATCAGAGGGCGAACGTGAAAAGGAGAAGGAGAAATCATCCAACGGTTTCGGCAGCCTCCTGGGAGGCGGTACAACCAACAAGACAGAGCAGCGCGCTAAGAACGAGCTGAGTGAGGTTCTTCTTGACAGGGAAGCGTTGAAGACCAATGAAGTCGTTGTTGTGGCCATCGGCGACGAGGCCAGAAAGAGGGCCACGACTGAGCCCGGCACTGTCCGACTTGGCGCCTTCGGGTATCCCATCCCCGATGCGACTCTAGCGGTGGTGGATCCGGAGACTGGGTTGCTGTCTTCTCCTCATTCTATCGGCGAGATCTGGGTAGATACACCTTCATTATCAGGCGGTTTCTGGGCCCTACCGAAGCACACCGAGCAGATCTTCCACGCTAGGCCGTACAAATTCGAGCCCGGCGATCCAACGCCCACAGTCGTGGAACCCGAATTTCTGCGGACCGGTCTCCTGGGTACAGTGATTGAGGGAAAGATCTTTGTTCTTGGTCTTTACGAGGACCGGATCAGACAAAAGGTCGAGTGGGTGGAGCATGGTCATGAGATCGCCGAGTACCGCTATTTCTTTGTCCAGCACATTGTTGTGAGCATCATGCGGAATGTTCCGAAACTGCTCGACTGCTCCGCCTTTGATGTCTTTGTCAACGAAGAACATCTGCCTATCGTGGTTCTCGAATCACAGGCCGCTTCGACGGCGCCAGTCACGGCCGGCGGGCCTCCTCGACAGCTGGACACTGCTCTCCTAGATTCCTTGGCAGAGCGCTGTATGGAGGTCCTCATGCAAGAACACCATCTGCGGGTCTATTGCATCATGATTACCGCGCCAAACTCCTTACCCAGGGTCCTGAAGAACGGTCGCAGGGAGATTGGAAACATGCTGTGTCGAAGAGAGTTTGATCTTGGGAACCTAGCGTGCGTTCACGTCAAGTTTGGCGTTGAGCATGCCGTCTTGAACTTGCCCATTGGCGTGGATCCTATTGGTGGCATCTGGTCGCCCATTGCCTCCAATTCGAGGGCTGAGATCCTTCCTCCGGCTGACAAGCAGTACTCCGGTATCGACCGGAGAGAAGTCGTCATTGACGACCGCACCTCGACGCCCCTCAACAACTTTTCCAGCATAACCGATCTGATTCAGTGGAGAGTTGCTCGTCAACCTGAGGAGCTTGCCTACTGCACGATTGATGTCCGTGGGAAGGAAGGCAAGGGTGTAACTTGGAAGAAGTTCGATACCAAAGTATCTGCCGTGGCTATCTATCTCAAGAACAAGGTGCGCATTAGGGCTGGCGACCATGTCATTCTGATGTACACGCATTCTGAGGACTTTGTCTTCGCCATACACGCCTGCATCAACCTAGGAGCAATTGTCATTCCTATTGCGCCTATGGATCAGAACCGACTATCGGAGGATGTTCCCGCCTTCCTGCACCTTGTTGCCGACTACCGCGTTAAGGCCGTGCTAGTCAATCAGGAAGTCGACCATCTCCTTAAGATGAAGCAAGTCTCCCAGCATATTAAACAGTCGGCGACTTTCCTCAAGGTGGCTGTGCCAAGCACCTACAACACCACGAGGCCTCCCAAGCAGAACTCTGGTCTCCGTGATCTTGGTATCATGATGGACCCTGCTTGGGTGCAGCCTGGATACCCTGTCCTCATCTGGACATACTGGACTCCTGACCAGCGAAGGCTGGCTGTCCAACTGGGCCACGACACGATCCTGGGCATGTGCAAGGTCCAGAAGGAAACATGCCAAATGACGAGTTCCCGACCTGTGCTTGGATGTGTTCGTTCCACTACCGGTCTAGGCTTCATTCACACCTGTCTGATGGGAATCTACATCGGAACGCCGACCTACCTCCTTTCACCCGTAGACTACGCGCAGAACCCGGTTTCTCTCTTCCACATCCTGTCGCGGTACAAGATCAAGGACACGTACGCCACCTCGCAGATGCTCGACTTTGCCATGGCGTCAATGCAGGGCAAGGGCTTCAAGCTCCACGAGCTCAAGAACATGATGATCTCGGCAGAGGGCCGCCCGAGAGTGGACGTCTTCCAGAAGGTTCGTCTCCACTTTGCAGCCACGGGCCTCGATCGCACCGCCATCAACACAGTGTACTCTCATGTACTCAACCCCATGGTCGCATCACGCTCCTACATGTGCATTGAGCCTATCGAGCTCTGGCTTGATACCAAGGCCCTCCGGCGAGGTCTGGTCATCCCAGTCGACCCGGACACCGACTCTTCGGCGCTTCTGGTACAGGATTCTGGTATGGTGCCTGTGTCGACACAGATCGCCATCGTGAACCCGGAGAGTCGTCTCCTCTGCAGCGACGGAGAGTATGGCGAGATCTGGGTGGACTCGGAGGCCTGTGTCAAGTCATTCTACGGCTCGAAGGATGCCTTTGACGCGGAGCGATTCGACGGGCGCACGCTGGATGGCGATCCCGGGATCCAGTATGTGAGGACAGGCGATCTTGGTTTCTTGCACAGCGTCAGCAGGCCGATCGGCCCTGGAGGTGCACAGGTCGACATGCAGGTCCTCTTCGTCCTCGGTAGCATCGGTGAGACATTTGAGATCAACGGCTTGAGCCACTTCCCTATGGACATTGAGACCTCGGTCGAGAGGTGTCATCGAAACATTGTGCCAGGCGGATGGTAAGTGGTGCTTCTACAATGCATTTCATTGTCTGTATCTTACTGACACTTTTATCAGTGCCGTCTTCCAAGCTGGCGGGCTCGTAGTCGTCCTCGTAGAGGTGGGCCGCAAGGCGTACCTGGGCTCCATCGTCCCCGTCATCGTCAACGCCATCCTCAACGAGCACCAGATCATCGTCGACATCGTGGCCTTTGTCAGCAGGGGCGACTTCCCGCGGTCGCGGCTGGGCGAGAAGCAGCGCGGCAAGATCCTCGCCGGCTGGGTCTCGCGCAAGATGCGCACCATCGCGCAGTTCTCCATCCGGGACATGGACGCCGAGACGGCGGCGAGCATGGAGCAGGCCGGCGCCGGCGGGGACTCTGCAAGCGGCGGCGGAGCGGACAACAGGGCGAGCATCGGCAGCGCGAGGAGCGCGAGCGGCGGCCTGACGGCGCAGCCCGGCACATCGAGCAGCCTGCGCAACATGGAGCCGGCGCCGCAGATCCTCGAGCAGCGGGAGCTGGAGCAGCAGCTCGAGAACATGGCGGCGCTGCCGCCGCGGGCCGGCGCCGTCGAGATGTCGGCGGACGATATGTACAGCGGCGGCGGCGGCGGCGACCACCATCATCAGATGTACCCGCAGGACAACGAGGTCACGCCGACCAAGACGCGCTCCGGGTATGGGTACGACGGCATGAGGGGCTACGCGGGCTATGACGACGGCGACGAGGAGGATGCGCCGCCGACGGTGGGGCCCAAGCCCGGAAGCCGGTCGGGTCTGGGATCGGCCGGCGGGCTCCATCAGCAGCAGCAGCAGCCGCCGCCGACGATTCACCTGCCTAGCGTGGACGGCCGGGAGTCACTTGACGAGTGGCAGAGGATGGGAGGTGGTGGCGGTGCTGGTGCTGGTGCTGGTGGCGCGGGGGCAAAGTTGGTGGGTGGTGGCGATGACGAGGAGGACTGGACGAGGGATGCTATTATGCATATGAACTTGGCGGGCGATTTGGAGAGGAAGGAGGTTGGTGGGCGATGATTTCGGTTGGATGATGAAAGCATAGCGCTCGCGCCAGAGAGTAATTTTGGGAGAGGAATTATGTAGGCAACGGAGGGAAGGGAGCTGCAATATCATAGTTGGGGGCATGTGTTTGGATTCCCACATTCAGAGAGACGGATAGGAGAGGAGGGGGCTGTTGACTACGTAGATGGAGAGGAGCAAGGCATGAGGAAGCAGCTTATTTTTGTAATTAGCGAGCGTGATGGGAGGGTCTTGATCTCCTTTACTTTCTCTCTATTTTTTGTGTGTCTGGTCTCTATGTAGGAGAATGATGGATAATACCACACACATGTCTGATTTTTGTTGCCGGAATTCATACAGATGTGAGGGAGCTTGTTCCTTGCTAAGAGGCTTGGCTATAGACCGGACCTAGCATAGAAGATGCCCTCTATCGAATCTCGATGTCATCACCCTGAGCCCAGAGGCGGTCACTCGCTCGGCCGCGGGCTCATGGAGAATCATGGGGGCAGTAGGGACACCAGGCCATATGCCAGGGCTCCGGGATCTCGCAAATGCGGCACTTCCGCTTACTTCCGTCCGAGGAGGGCATCTTTGTCGATCGTGGTTTTGGAAAAAAAATACACAAATCCGATACTTAGACACAGACTTTGCAGCTTGAGGATGGTCGCTGATTTGAATAGAGTACCTAAAGTTTGCCTCTTGGGTGCTTGGGATTTCTTTTTATACTCGCTGGCCTCGAGAGGCTTGAGCACAATTTCATTGAGAGGTACGCTTGTTGAGTTGCTTGGTTCTTTGTTTTCAATGCCAACGGAGTCCTTTGTCTTGACAACACCCCAAGTGGCTTTGGCGACAAAAGACATTGAACTTGCTTGCGGGCATTGTCGGGAGATGACGTCGTCATCCAATATGCTCCAGATCACTCACTCCCGTTGGTCGTGTTCTTGTCGTGAGTATAGCAGAAAGGATCAAAGGCAGAAACATGGGAAAGACGCCCAACAGCCTCGACCATCAAAGCCTGCTCAAGACTCTAAAGCCGACAACACATAGTGATAATCGTCATACAATGCTCAAATATGTTTATTCAGCCCTTTGTGCATCCCATGTAATTATAGTCTCCTCTACCCGCTCACAGGCGTATTGTACTCATCCAAGTTATCGCCCTCGTATACACCCAAGCGCCCGTAACTGCTACTACCCCTATTACCCCTACTACCCCGACCCACGACCCCGAGAATCTCGCCCCTGCGCCTGCAGTCCCCTCATAGCCTCCCTGACGATCCCCACCGCCTCGAGCACCACGTCGTCCCCGCGGCGCCACGTGTACAGCGCGACCCCCTGCTGGTCCAGCGCCTCGTGCGCCCGCGCCAGCCTCCGCCGCCAGATCTCGACCTTCTTGTTCACCGTCGTCGCCGCCGCCTGCTGCTGCTGCTGGGCCGCGCTGGGCGTCGCCGCCGCGGAAGCGGAAGGGGGCAGCGGCTCCAGCGAGTCCAGGCTGGCCCCCGTGCCGCGCCTGGCCGGCAGCGGAGGCACCGCCGCCGAGGAGGAAGCAGGCACCACGCGCGGGCTCAGGTTCAGGCTGCCCGTCGGCGTGCCGCGGCGGCGAGGCGGCGGCGGAGGGGCCCTTGCCGACGTGGACGACGCCGGGGAGGAGGAGCGGCTCGTCTCGTCGCGGAGTCTGGGCTGCGGCGTGGGCTCGCGGCTGGACGGCGCCGAGGGGTAGCCCTGCTCGGACGCGTTGTTGACGTGGATCAGGGGGTGCGGGCCCTTGGACATCTGTCCTGGTATGACCCCCGTGATGGCGCGTCTGGCTCCGGGCGGAGGCGGAGGGGTGCGCCCACCGCTATTGGGCTGTGCAGCAGGGACGTCTGAGGGTGCGCCTCGGAGCGCCATCGGCTTCTTAGGGCGTGGCGGCGGTGCTTTCCGAGACAGGAGGTCGAGTGCGCTGGGTTCCCGCCCGGCCTTCGCCTCTTGCTTGAGCTCGTGGAGCTCTTTTGCGCCGTTCTGGTCCATTGCCGGCGGTTCATCGGAAAAGTCGATGAGGTCGCCCATGACGGGTCCCTCTGGTGGAGGAGGTTCGGACCGTACGCGCGGCGGCAGCGCTGGCCGTTGCTCGGTGTCATCGTTCCTCCCGTTACCGTTACTGGCCACCGGTGCGGCAGCCGTGGCCTTGCGCCTCAGAATGCTCGGGTCTATCCCGGCATCGAAATAGCCCGCTTGCTCAGGCGTCGTGACATCACGGATGAAGACCGCCAGGACCCTGCCCGGGTGGGACTGGGCAAGTTCGGTATACACCTCCAAGTCAGCTTCTCCGCTGTCGCCCACGAGAAGGAATTTTCTCTCCGGAAAGTCCTTCAAGATCTTATCAAGCGTCCCCCTCTTCCGCTCGGCCACCGGCTCAAAGATCCCCTGCAACATGCCGCTGTACGCCCTCAGATGCAGCGATCCAGGCGGCAGCTGGGCGCCCTTGAAGAACGTGGCCAGGACCGGGAACAGCTGCCACGGGCTGTTGGAGCAGTAGTGGAACTGGACGCCCATCTCGTGGAGCGAGTTGTACCACTCGCTGATGCCGTCGACGCTCATGTCCCCCAAGTCTCTGATAAAGGTGTTGCGGAAGATCTCGCGCGCGCCGAGAGAGATGTTGGACCGCTTGACCGTGTCGTCAATGTCGCTGATCAAGCTGATGCCCTGGCTCTCGATGATGCTGACCGGCTCTGTGGCCGACAGGCCCTCGTTTGCGAGTACTCGTACATGCGTCGGCACAAAGTCGAGGGCTGCGCGCATCTCAAAGTGCCCGGCATCGTTTGTCATGACCGTCCGCGACTGTGACGTCTCGTCGTTGTAAAAGAACAGAGTGATAGGTAGTTGAATCAACGGCGTGGTCAAGAAAGGGCCCAGACGTGCCATGAGGTTGGCATTGGCCACCGCGAGCTCCGCCTTGGTCAGGTCAGCGGCGCTATTCCACGACGTCCGCGCCGATAGCGTCGGCGATGGCGGCGCAGAGCCGAAGCTTTCGTGCCCACTGCCTTTCCTCGGCGGAGCCAGGCTCGCCGCATCATCGTCATCATCTCTGGGCTCCTCGCTGTAGCCCCCGCGCGTGCCAATCTCCTTCTCGCCCTGGCCCTTCTTCTCGATAGCTTCCGCCTCATTCGCAATGCGCTGTTGCTCTCTCAACTCTTCGCGCTCCTCATGAGGCGTCATGTGGTGCTCCTCGTCAGTCTGCATCGTCGGCGGCGGGATACCGCTTAGCCTCCTCGCGAGGCCGATCAGCATGCGGTTCTTCCTCGTCATCGGGCCCTTATGCGGCGAGTAGATCCAGCCCCGCACGTCGACGTCGACGATGGCCTTCTTGTCCTCCATCTTCTGCCACTCCTGGCGCCAGTACTGCTCCTCGTTCATGTCGGCGTCGACGGCCGACCGCACGAGCGGCTCCCCGTTGTCATCAAACTGGCGCACGTGGCGCTTGGCGTACGAAGGGAACAGCACCATCTGCTCGTCCCCGTGCGTGACGATGGCCACGTCCGGGAACGAGCCGGGGATGGTCATCTTCTCGTCCGAGGTGTCCAGCCCCCGGAAGCGCGTGTTGCTGTACTGCTCCCGGATCTCGCTCGCCGCGGCCACGCCGGCCCGGTAGACGTTGCCGGCCATGGCGGCGATCTTGCGGCGCCGCGTCCCCGGCTCACGCCCGCCGACGTCGGGCCCGTACGCCCCCGGCGGCGCCCCGTTTCCCTGGGAGCCGTATGCGCCCCATTGCGAAGACGACGACGGCTGCATTTCTCTGCTGCTGCCCTGCGCTTCCAACTTCACATCCTTGCCCTGCCTGTTGTGGGCGTGACGGCGCAGCGAGGAGGCCCGCGAAGGCGGCGGAGGCGGCGGCGGCGCAGGTCCGAGGAGCAGCCGGCCGGTCTTTCTCGAGACGATGTCGATGATCCTGGACCTGTCCCGGCGCTTCTGCTGGCGCGAAAGGACCAGACGGTATATGCGCGACTGCAGCCCGTGCTTGAGGCGCGGGACAGTGTCGAGGTGGAAGTTGAGCAGCCTCTCGCGGTAGCGGTCTCGGACAGCCGGCGGGAAGAGGTACCGCAGCAAGGTGTGGCGAAAGTGCGAGCGGCCGGGTCGTTTGAGAGGCGCCAGCTTGTGTTTGTCTCCAATAGTTGCAAGTAGGTCGAGGGACTGGACGGACTCGAGCTCGATGGTGTGTTATGTCAAGGCAATTGTCGAGGGAGGACAGGGTTTCTGCCTACTTGCATCCTCTGGTTGCAGTACGTGTGGATAGGCGGGGAGAGGGGGGGGCGCCTGAGAGGGACGCAATTGCAGGTGCTATAGGAAAGAAAATGACCTGGGATATCATGTACGGTCTCGACGCATGTGTAGATGGACAGCAACAATATCAAATGAGCACGAGCGCCAAGGAGGGCGGAGGAAAACGTGCAAAGACTGGGCTTCTTTGGACGGAGGCTGTCATCTGGAAATGGCTCGTGGTCAATCGTCATCAGCCCTGCTATGGATGCTGACCTGGCCGAGGTGGTTGCCCGCCTCCAGCTATTGCGGGTTCTGCTACAGCGGGGCTGCAGGGTTACGTCACGCCTAGTAGTTGCTCAAACTCAGCGAATCACCGGCCCGTTCTAGGCCCAGCAAAGCCCTCGAGGTGCCTAAATCGAGGGGCCTAGACCACCAAAGATTGTGCTTCAACTCTTTGCCGCACCGAATCGAGTTTCATCCACTCGAGGCACAAACATACGAATTGAGGCTACCTTGGGTTTCTGTACAGACCATATGATATCCTCTAACTTGACTTAAATGTAGCAGCTCTCAGAAAAAAAAGGTATCTTTGGTATATCGAAAAGCTATGGATGCATGCCACTCCTGGGTACATTCTACCTCCTCTTGCCCTTGGGACCGCCTCCCTTCTTCCCGCCCTTGCCCCCAGCCTTGCCGGCGGCGCCCATGCCCTTGCGGTGCTTGTGCTGCAGCGCCGGGCCCTGGCCCGCGCGGTCGCCCTCGGTCTTCTTGAGCACGATGCCGCCCCCGCCGCCGACCCTCTCGGCGCGCGAGTCGAGCTTCTTGCGGTCCTTGTTGCTGAGCTTGCCGTCGTTCTTCATCTTGAGCGTGTCCCTCATCTTCTGCAGCTTGTCGTCCTTCCCGCCGTTGAGCTGCGCCCTGCCGGCCTCCTTGGCCTTCTTCTTGTCCTTCTCCGACTCGAACCACGTGCGCTTGGGCCGCGACTTGATCTCGTCCTCGTGCTTGATCAGGTTCTCGCCCTTCTTGACCTGCATCTCCATCTGCGCCATCTGCTTCTCCTGCTTCTCCTCGACCAGGATCTCCTCGATCTCGTCGTCCATCTCGTCCACTTTCGCCTGCCACTTGTCCGCCTCGGCGGCCTCGACGACACGGCTTGCGATCTTGGCGCCCTGTGCCTTGCCGGCCTTGACGGCGGCCTTGACGACTTTGCGGTCGGGCTCGGCGGCTAACGTCACGGCCACACCACTGCGGCCGGCACGGGCGGTACGACCTACTCTGTGAACGTAGATCTCCAGTGACTGGGGAGCTTCGTAGTTGATGACCGTGTCGACGCCCTTGATATCGAGACCACGAGAGGCCAGATCGGTAGCCAGGAGGAAGTTGACCTTGCCATCACGGAAAGCTTCCACGCTAGCTATACGCTGCGCCTGATTCATGCTACCGTGCAGCTCCGCACAGTTCATGCCCAGGAGGCCGAATACAATACGAACGCGATGAGCAATCTTCTTTTGCCGGAAGAAGATAATGACGCGCTCCGTGTACAGCTTCTGGCAAAGATGGACGAGGTAACCCATGCGCTTATCCTCGCGGCCGGGCCGCAACCGAATGAACTCCTGCACAAGGGTTCCGACAGTCTTCTTCTGCGAGTCGACCATCACCCGAGCAGGCTTGTTCAGTCCGGCACGAATAAGCTTGTCGACCGACGATGTCATAGTAGCAGAGAAGAGCATAGTCTGGCGAGACTTGGGGATAGTGTTCAGAATCTCGTTGAGCTCGTCCGCGAACCCGTCTTCCAACATCCTATCAGCCTCATCCAGCACGAGGATCTCAACAGTCTCCACTGCAAAGGAAGCAGAGTTCCTCATGTGGTCGATGAAACGACCGGGCGTAGCAATGATGACATCCGGGCGCAGGCGCAGCTCGGCCTCCTGCATCTTGAGACTCAGACCACCCACAGCCAGACAGAACTTGATGTCCGTATAGCTGGCCAGCTTCGTAGCAACGGAGTGGCACTGAATCGCCAACTCACGCGTCGGGGTAAGGATCACGACGCGGCTAGTAGGGACCTTCTTGGGGCGATAGAGCAGACGCTCGAGGATGGGGATGAGGAATGCGGCCGTCTTTCCGGAACCAGTAACCGCACCGCCCACGACATCCTTGCCCATGAGAGCTATGGGCACGGTCTTTGCCTGAATCGGGGTAGGATTGGAGAAGCCGACGGCGGCGACACCACGGAGGATGGGTCGAGAAAGGTTCATGCTCTGGAAAGATGTGGTGGCGCCCTTCTTGCCGGGCTTGACCGTCTCCTCGGGAGCGAAAAACTCCTTTTGCCTGGCGAGCTCCTCTTCATCTTCTTCATCTTCGTCACTGGAATTGGCCTCCGCGGCATCCTCGGGGTGCTCATTGGCTGTTGCGACAGACTCGTGATCCGAGGCGTCCTCTTCATCCTCGCCATCTTCCATGTGCTCATCCTCCTCTTCCTCATCCTCGTCCTGGGCACCCATACCGAAAGCATCGGCTGCAAGAACCTCGTCGTCGTCATCGTCGAGATCGACATCCTCGTCATCCTCGTCATCTTCTTCTTGCTCGTCGTCCTCCGCGGCGTCGTCTTGAACAGTCGCATCACCATCTTCGGTGTCTGCCCCCTTCCGCCGCCTGCTGATGATGCCGTCGAGAACGTCTGTCCTCTCCGTCAGTCCCTTCTTGGCGCCGTCGAACCCCCAGTCGCCGTCAAAGTCGACGAGCGTGTCGGCAGCGTCGCCCAGGAACTCGAAGTCGGACGCCATGGCGCCATCGTCTTCCTCGTTCTGGCCCCATACACCGCTGTCGTCGGGTGCCCGGGCCTTCTTGTTCTTCTTTTTCGGCGGAGCAGTCTCGGTGGCAGCTTCGACGACGTCGCCCTCGTCGTCCGATATCGTATAGACGAAATCGTCGACAGCTTTCCTCTTTTGAGGAGCCATTCTGAGATTAGGATACCACTGAAACCGCTAGGTGTCAGAACAATTGGAGTATTTCAAGCGTTGCTGGTCGGGGAGATCCTGCAAAAGCTTGCGGGTTTGAGTTGACCTGGAAGTTCTGCGCTTAAGTGACTTGGTGGGGCATTCCAGAAATTTTGGCTGTCGTCCAGGAACTTTTTTTTTTCTGCCCGAAGCGGTGAGAGCTAGAGCGGGACCATTCCGACTTGCCCAAGTAAGTACATGCGCCCCATGAAAGCTGGACGCCCCTCTTATTCTAAGTAATGTAGTTAGCAACCGAGAAGGCATCCAAGCTTGTAGCAGGAACAGCCGCAAGGCCGGATACAGCCAAGTATGCCCGCTCATGATTACAACAGCAATCGTCATGGAAAGGGGAATTGTCTTTCTTTCACAAAAGAGAGGTACTCAGAGAGTTGAGTACCTAATAGCAGGAGAGTGTGTATGGAGGCTCCTCGTTGCAAGCACTTCTAACCCGGATCATGATATGTCCTTCCTTCCCTCTCATTTTGTTAGGTATCAATCAATGCCTTTAAACAAGACAATGGCCGAAGAATGGAAAAATGACGATTTGTTTTCTCTTTACTAAAGGCCCCATCCATCGTAGGTATGCAAATGAGCTGAGAGCAATCTAGGGTGAAAAGTGGTGTCCATGCAAGTATTTACATTCCAGTCCATCAACCTTTGGCCCCATCATCTCACACATCCGCTCTCTTCCATTCCCCATATCAACATCCCCTAGGTAGTAAACACACGGCGTAGGTAGTTAATCTTGGTATAAAGCAACACCTCCATCCCCTCTACCTCATCTAGGTATCTCCCCTCGCATATCCCCAGCCCAAAGAGTGGCCTTCCCACCTCTCTCTCCTAGGCGATATAAGTCGCCGCCCAGCCGTCATGAAATACATACCCGACGACCGTCGACACCAGCTGCGCTCGCCAGGGCGGCCACGAACAACTTACTGACCCCAGCCCAGCACCTCGAGAGTATTCTTCGTCTCGAGCGCGCTCAGGCCCGCCACGCCCAGCGCCCTGGTCTGCGTGCCCCGGCGCAGCCTCTGCAGGCCCACGGCCACCTTCCACCCTTCCTCCTCGCCAATGACAAAGAGATACCGCTTGCCCTCCTGGTCGCGGATCGTGGCGCGCAGCATGTGGAGGCCCTTGGTCTTCCACTCGCCCGTCTGTTGTTTTTGTTTGGAATTAGTACTCGAGGCAGTCTTGGACGAAACCGTCGAACCAGCAGCAAAAGCAGCGTTAAAGCAAGAGTCGCCCAAGAGGCCCAGCCGGCAGTTGTCCCGACACTCGCGCAGCATGTCGGCGAGGTGCGCGTCCGCCTCGTCGCCGACGAGCGTCTTGGGCTCGCCCCTCGACGCGGCGGCGCTGCGGCGCTGGTGCATCTTGTGCAGGAAGGAAGCATTGTTTGTGTTGGCCCCGGAGGGCTTGAGGGGGGGTTCGGCGGCGGCGGCAGAATTCGCAATAGCAGCAACATGCGCGGGGCACCATACCTCTACGAGCTTGAGCGTCCAGGCCTTGACGTCCCACTCGCGCTGGGCGACGCCGCGGACGTCGTCGTCGATGAACAGGCCTTCGGTCGTGATGCGCAGGATCAGCCCGTCCGTGACGGAGCCGAACCCGGAGATGAGCTGTGACGAGGGCGTCTTGGCAAACTGGTTGAGGAAGCCATAGACGGCCTTGATCACAATCTTGTCGGGGTCTTTGGTCGAGTAGGGGGCACGGAAGGACGGCGGCGGTGTCGTCCGTGCCGTCGATTGGGAGGGAGCCCACGAGGACTCGGACAGGTCCGAGTTGGACTTCTTGTGCGTCGGTCGCTTTGGTCGGTCGTACGGTCGGTACGAGTATGCGTCGTCTTCGGTGCCTGCGTACGACCTCGCGGTCGGGGCAGGCGGCCGTTGGGCTGATGATGTGGATGAATTGGCTGTGGTGGTGGGTTTGGCGGCAGATGCCGGCGAAGCAGGTTGGGGCGGAGTCGCAACAGGAGGCTTACCGTTGGGCCAAGGGCTCATCTTCTCCCCCACGGCCGAGAAGGCATAGGTGCTGCCAACGCGCGTTGGCTTCTCCTCTTGCTCCTTCTTCAGCCGCTCCCGTTCTTTCGCTTCCCGCTCGAGCTTCTCTCTCAGCTCACGGGCTCTCTGTTCTCGTTGCACTCGTTCCCTCTGTTCCTTCTCACGCAGCTCCTTGTTTTCCTTTTCCTTGCGTTCCTGCTCCTCTCGTTCTTTCCGTTGCCGTTCTTCCCGGTCCCTGGTCTCCTTGGCTTCCCGCTCTCGTCTCTCCTTCTCTCTCTGCTCGCGCTCTCGGGCTTCCTTCTCGCGAAGTTCCTTCAGACGCTGCGCATTGGCCTCTCTGCGCTTTCGTTCCTCTTCCTGTGCTCTGCGCTCCTCCTCTTTCCTTCTCGTTTCTTCCCTGGCCCGAGCCCAGGCCCCCTTAGGACTCTCGGTCCCGGTCGTGCCAGTTGGTGGTGGTGCTCGCTGTTGCCACGAAGACTTGGGTTTCTCATTTTGCGGCGGCGGATCCGGCTGCGGAGGAGGGGGAGGACTCGTGGGAGGAGGGCCGCCATGGTTCGGTGGCGGCGGCGGCGGTGCGCTGCCTGACGCAGAGCCATGTGACGCTCCGCCGAAGCCAGCGCCGGAATGACTACCGCTACCGCCCGTCGGGCCAGAGCCCCCAGTCCCAGGGCCTCCTCCGCCGTCATTTTGTTGCCTCCCGAGCGACCATGCCCCCAATCCCACTGCGATGGTGAGCATCATCATGCCCATATTCCCCATACCCTGGAAGTTGGCCCACCAGACCTGGAAAGCCGGCGCCATGCTTTGGCCCAACGCTATCAAGGCCATAGCCGAGGCGAACCCGGCAATGAAGCTGTTGATGTTGGGCCGTAGCGAAGGTAGGTAGAGGAAACCTGAGCCCGCTGAATGCTCCGGTATCACGAAGATGTCGTATTTCCCCGGTGGCAGTCCACCTCCGGCGGTTGTCTTGGGCGCCTCGCCATGGGGTGGCGGCGGCGGCGGCGGCGGACCGCTCATCTCGGCTCAGTGACTGTCACCAGGCCTCAAGGAACAGCCAGGTATGTGTGGGGAAACGATTTCGTCTTGATGTGTGTCAATCCGCAGTGTGGGATTGTCAGGTGGTCGTCGGAATAGTCGCGCAGAAGTGAAACGAATGCTATGTTCAAGAACGGAAGTCTATGTGGTATCACAGGGGGCCATTGAAGAAAGTCGTCAGGTCGTTAGAGGAAGCCTGCGGGAGGAGAAGCGAGACAGGTCAGCAAGAATCGCAAGCCTAGGGATTCGTGCTTGTGGAAGAACCCAGACTCATACCTCGCACAAAGGCAGCAGAGGTGAGGGCAAGCTGAGGACAAGGTGAGACACTTACAAATACAGGACGCAAACGAACGCCAGGCTCTGATGCAAGTGCAGGGAGAACGAGAGACAATTGGGAGGCTGCAGGGGCAAGCTTCGCAGATGGGAGAAAAGATGTTGTCGCTGCCGGCAAAGAAACAGAAACGAGAAAACAACAGGTATTAAACGAAGTTTGCAGTACGAAAGCAAGCAACAAATGTTGGAGAAAGGAACGACTATACGGTTCGACCTAATTCACACGCGAAATGCAATGACAGAAGGCCGAGGATGGTGTCACATTCTCCTTTTTCTGGGGGTGAGAGGGAAAGGTGGAGAGAGGGCAGAGACGTTGGGAGGAAAGCTCGGAGACTTGTATCAAACAGATCTTCCGTGGGTGACGAAGTGTGCGTTGCTGCAGTGTGATGGTCTGGCGTGTGTGTGTGGTGTATGACCAGGGGAGACGGCCAGCCCAGCCCAGCCAGCCAGCAAGGGTGCGAGGGTGCGAGGAGTCGAGTGGGTGACACACACTGACTGGGAGCTGGGAGGGAGGGAGTGGCAGTGATGCTCAAATTGTGGTGGTCGTGGTGGTGGACTGGAGTGGACTCGATTGGCCTCTGCCTGCTCGTCTGTTTACATTTGGGCCAAAACGGCGCTATGTTGATTCTGTCTCCCCAGTCACCTGCAGCTCCTTTAGCTCCGGCTCCCTTTTTTTTTCTGCGCTTGCCCTCTCAGAGACAGCCGGCGGGCTCGGCGTCCCACGCTGGAAACACTGAGCACTCTAGAGCGCCCAATCACACCCGCAGGCTCCAGCTGCTTCCCCCCCACAACGGGCCGCTAGGCTCTAGAACGAGTGGCACGTTTTTCGGTTCCCGCAACATCGAGTAGTCGGTCAAATCTGGGCTAGTCTTGCCAATGACGGTTACCGCTTTTGTCTCTCTCTCATCTCTGTCTGACCAGCCGGCTTCTTCAACAGCCAGGTGCGTTATCGCTACACTTTGCAGGATGAAGCAGATCCGTGGCAAAGTTTGGTCTGGCACAAGCACTATTCGTCATACCTTCGAAGCAGCAGGATGTCCTAGGTCGATCCATGACGATCACAAACGCAACCGAGTACTGCGGCCCCCGTAGGAACGGTTCCTCGGCGGGCACCACAGGGTCGAGGGACCCCCAGTCTACTTGTAGCTGCTCGCATTGGCTTGAGTCTGCAGAATCCCTGGAGGGAACAAAAGAGAAAAAGCAACGAAGACTGGCTACACAAGTCGCATGCACGACAGTCACCTCACGAGAGAGGGGCCAGAGGTCACCTGCGCACCCGCTGCTTCCGCTCTGTGCGCTACTTTTGTCCTTCCGCTCACCGTTCTTTCGAACACGCAGCTTGATACTCCACAGTCGCGTCTCTGCTCATGCACGATGCTCGCGCTGCGTCTGCACCCCTCTTCCGGGACGAACGAACGAACGCGTTCAAAATAAAGGGAGAGAACAACAACGACAACGGCTCGGCTCGTCAGCAAACCGATCTCCCTCCTCACAAAGGAACCGGCGTCGAGGATCGTGAGTCGAGGGTGTACGGGAGGGGCACAATACAATTGAGCCAATGCTGTAAGATTAACCAATCTCATTATGCTCCTACAGGCTACCATTGTCCAGGCCCACCCGCACACACTGGTCCGTCCTAGGGCGAATCGCAGCGTGACAGAGCAGCTTCCGGAGCCCGACTCGACAGGCCAGCAAGTCCAGGATGGCTGTGTGATGTGCCCTCGGGCGCTATCCGGTGTGACCACTCCCCCTGTCAGAATGTGTCGAGGCTTGCTTGACGTGAAGATTTGGAAAGTGTGGCGAAGAACAAAGCCGCCCGCCCTGGTGTCTCACCCACACCTGTGGTCAAGAACCAAATCGGCATCTTTTCCCGACCGTTTTGCGACCCTCCAGAAGACATGGAACCATTCCATCCACCAGCCCAGCCCAGATGTTTCACTACTCCGTAGGTACTCGATCTTCCCGGTCTGTACCTAGTCCAGGCAGTTTTTTAGGTTAGGCAGCCAAGTTTTGCACAGAAGTGCCCCCAGCCAAGGATGGGTGGGTGTGGGGCGCACCTTCTTCGAACTTCTGGACCTGGTTGCTGAGCAACGACGGGTAGTCCCTTCCCACACCACTTTTTAACACCCCCAAAATCCAACGTGTCGGGGTGACGTAGCCGCTTCCTAGCGCGGGGCAACCTGCAGGTGCGACTGAGGTTGCAGCTGCCATTTGTCTCCACTGGAACCCAAACTCATCCCCTGCTGACAGGTGCCACTGTCCGATTTGATACGGCGAGATCAAACTGCGACGCAGATATCGATGCCCGTGATCCATTGAACTTCGACTCAAACATTGAACACGACTGACCAACCTGGATATGTATTGTATGCCGGGATATGGCTGCCAGTGCAGTGTAGTTTGAGATGGAATCAACTTGGTCAACCCGTCCGTCGCCCAGTCGACAGACCCTTCACACATATCGGCAAGGGAGTATTAAGAGCAAATTTCACCAGCCAGAATTGTGGCCCTTTATGTGTGTCATTACGAGGTAGACCCATGGGTCTTTTACGAATGGAAACTTCCAGACGTGGAAACCCTTCTTAGAAAACTACAGGGGCAGTTATACATGCAAGCAATCCGAATTCGAGATGATATCTGCGAACCGACCTGCCAGGACGTTGTGGAGATCTCCACCAAAGACTTGCATTCGATGGGAGACCCAGGTTGATGCAAGCACCCAGCAGATGCAAGCACGGAGCACAAGTACAATCACGAATGCTTGCAGAAAGGAGCCTTGGGTTCGTTCGCAGCATGAACGAACGCTTGCCGGGGCCCGACACACTCCATACATATGTGCACATTGTTCATTGGGGAGCACAACTTACCTACCTGCATGCACGATATCCGAGATCACGCGTGTGTCCAGAGGTCTCCAAGCAGGCCGCCGAAGTCCAAGCATATGTTCTCTGAATCATGGGACACCCCCCCCTATTCTCGCTATCACGCCCCCTTGGAATAGATAGATGTCTGGAGGGAGACTCTGTCTCACCATTACATCGAAGCAAGAGAGAAACATCCTGGAGAACAAAAGTCCTGAGACCAATTGCAAATTCATAGATCCGCTACGTAGTCAAACGCCATGCCAATACAATCTTGCTGCCCCAGCCCATAGTACAGACGACAGGAAAAGACCGCTAGAATAAAAAAACGGCCAAGATAATGGTAATGACCCTCGTTGTTCTCGCCTGACCTCACACAACTCTCACCCGAGAAGCTGCAAGAGGGAGGGAGCACACCAACCCCCGTACCCAAGGATCACCACTCAACCAAGCTTCCTCGCCCGGTCCTTGCCGACCTTGACCTTGCGGCCCACGCGGTCCACGTCGTCATTCATCCGGTCCAGCATCTCGGTCTGCGCGTCGACCTCCTCCTTGATCGCGAGGCCCATCTCCTTCTGCCGCCGCACGATGCGCGCCAGCGCCTCGACGTCCTGGTCCTGGTCCGCCATCAGCTGCTTCTGCAGCTGCAGCACCCCGTCGTTGTCCAGCTCCCGCGTCCGCTCCGTCTCGGGCAGCGGCGCCCCGAGCACGCGACCACCCGCCCGCGGTCCGCCCGACGAGGAGCCGGCCTGACCGCCGCCGCTCAGCAGCGCCGACCTATCCCCCGCGCTCGGCGTGCCCTCCCGGCCCGATCCGCCTCCACCTCCCCGGCCAGCGTCGCCGCCGCTCGCCAGGCTCGCGCTCAGCTTCTCCAGGCCTTCCCTCTCCACGCTCGCCGCGGCGAGCAGGTCCCTCCTCCGCCTGACCTCCCCGTCCCCGACCCTCTTCGTCTCCTGCAGCACCCGCAGGCCCTCCGCCAGCGCGCCCAGCAAGCTCCCGGCCTTGACGAGCTCCCTCTTGGCCGCCGCCCCGGCCTCCGCCGCCGCCGCGTGCCGGTCCGCCTCGGCGTCCCGCCTAGCCAGCTGCAGCCTCGCGTCGTGCAGCGCCCGCCGCGCCTCCTTGTGCAGGTCGATCCAGGTCCCCGGGTCCGCGGCGGCGGCGGCGTTGGCCCCCGGGAGCCCGATCTGCGGCAGCCGGGACTCGATGCCGCTCGCGCTGGCGGCCGAGTTGCTGCCCGCCGCGGAGGCGGGCAGGTTGAGGAAGGCGCGCCAGGCGGGCGTGTCGCGCCACCGGCGGTCGGGCGTCTCGGCCACGGCGCGCAGGTACCGCTCCAGGTCGCGGCGGCGCTGCTCCGTCAGCTCCGGCGACGAGATGGTCGACTTGAACCACGACTTCTTGGGCAGCGGCTGCGGCGGCGGGCTGCCGACCAGCGACGTCAGCTGCGCGTTGAGGGCGTCAAAGTCCGAGTAGCGCTTCTGTACGACGAAGGAGCGCAGCGGCAGCCGCAGGGTGATGTTGTAGAGCGTGTAGGCCTTGGACTCGGAGGTCGCCGGGCAGAGCGAGGTCGTCGGGATGGATATTTCGACTGGCGGCGGCATTGTTCGTAGGTCAACCCGCCGCGGTTGGGATGAGTGTGTATTTGTGTGTGTTCTTGATAATTCGATATGTAGAGTCCTGATCGGACGGCAGAAGCGTGTCCTTATGAATCAGACTTTTGCAGTAGAGAGTCAGGCGACCGTTCCGGTTTCTACCAAGGTTCCTCGTCGATACGCAGGCAGCAAGGTGCAACGAAGACAGCGAGGCAATGAGCAGTGCCAAGAAGAAAGCTCGGGTATCAAGCACTAGAGTGAGTAGAAAACAGCAAAAAGAAGACGAGGACGCTGGGTCTTGGGTTTCTAGCAGAGTGAATTGAGCAGCCTGTTGGGAATGAAGATTGGGGATTGCGCAGCTCGGGAAGGATTGTGTCATAGGTTGTGGGTTAGCGCCCATTTGACCTGTGAAGCTCCCGGTCACAGGGTCTTGTGGCGCTGGTTCCACAAGAGAGGCCACCATGGTCGGCGCTAATGCCTCCCAGCATCAAGCAGCTGGAGCCTTACATGGAAGCGAACGTTGGGATCTAGAGCAGTCGATCCGAGAGCTTAGGAAGGAATTGCCTATTGGAACCTATTGGAATGCAGATTGCCTAGCAGACCTAGCATGGTTCGAGACATTCAGGGTACTAGTAGAAGGAAATGACGTCCATTTTTTTCTCTATCATAACGACATGGTACGAATTACCATCCCAGCGCGATAGGTTCCCAGGCCGAAACGCCAGCCGAGGCCATTATGACCACACTGGTCCTCACAGGTCTGAAAAATGCATTTGATGCATGGCCCTCACATACGCGAGCCAACCGCCACATCTGTTATCGCATGTGTTCATCATCATGCTTCGTCGAGCAGCTCGTGCTCCGACAAAGGTGTAACAACTCTCCCTCCTTTCCTCCGCATTACCATCTCCCCTCCTGTGCCTTCGCTCCGGATGTGGCCGTCTAGAAGGTTTCCTGGTCATCGAGGGCCTCTCCCTCGGCAGGGATCTCAAAGCCCTCCTCCGTCGAGTAGAGGATCGCCTGGATCTGCTTGACGAGGCCGTCCTCCTGCTTCTCCAGCTCGGGGTCTTCCTCGACAGCCTGCTGGACCAGAAGCTCGATGTCCCGGAGCTTGCTAAAGTAGAAATCCCGCTCGCGCTCCAGTCCGACGACGGTCTCCTTCAGGGTGTTGTTCTCCTGCTGCAGCGCAGCGCTGGCAGCACCGCCACCAGCCCTAGCGGCGACGCGAGGCCCGGTAGTCGGGGTCGTGCCTCTCCTCGCAGCGCCGGATCCAGCTCCAGCGCGAGGGGCAGGGCCACCACCGGTCACGGGTGCGCCCTTCCGCCGGCCAACAGCGTCGTAGTCGCCGCCCGGGTAGTATTGGTCCCAGAACCGCTTGGCCCACTGCAAGAACTCGAGGTTATCCTGCATCTTGCACTTGACGAGGGCTTCGACTGGGATCGGCTTTTCAACCTGGTGCTTGTGGAAGGTGTCTGTGGCCGCGGGAAAGAAAATACGAGTCTCGTTAGCACGTCATCCCGGGATATCAAGGGAGGAGGGGAGGAGAGGAGTAGGGGGCGACTGACTCTGTAGCACCTTGAAATTCTGTATGTAGGCATACTCGGTGTTGACATTGAACTTGACTCGCGACATGGGGACGTCGAGGAAGATGCTGTCGAAGACCTGGCAGAGGGCAGCGCTGTGCGTCGGGCGAGAACAGCATCGTCAGCCTCAAATTTCGGAGCGTCCCGAAGTGGGGGAGGGGCAACAAAAACAGTAAACATACCCCGTACCGCATTGCTCGACCTTGGTCATGTTCAGCTGCAGCAGGCTGTTGAGCCATGCGACGAGTTCCTGCCTGAATTGCGTGCCATGTCAGTCGGTTCTGTCTCGCAGCTCACCTCCATCTCAAAGGTTGGTGGTGATAATGATGGGCAGCTCGCCAGCAGGGACAGGGGCCAGGGGGTGGCGGCAGCAGCAGGAGCCAGGCATTACTAACCGTGATTCTCCCATTTTTGCGGATATGATTTGGTGATGCAGTAGAAGATGCAAATGCAAGGCCGGACAGAGAAGGAAAGAAGAGCAGTCGAGGGTATCTCGCGACGTCGCCGAGTCTGTGCTTGTGTTGAGGGCGAAAAGGTGACGACGGAGAGTCGGGTTTAATTTGTTTGTGACTTGGTCGCGACGCGAGCGGCGGGGACCAGACTAGAGGGAGCTGATGATCGCAAGGCAGTAAAATAAAATAAAAATGCCTGGGTCGGCCAATCAACCAGCGTGGGGTTTGGTGGCTCCAGTGGGCTCCTTTTTTCGCGCCTGGCCAAGGGAACAAGAACTTGGCCCTTCCAAAGCTGTCCACGTGATTCGGTGCATCCAACGGGTTCACTTTTTGGGTTGGGCACCGTTCCGATGCAGTCGCCTACCGTTCATGCAGCATCCCTTGAAGAACTGGAGGCCAGAATTAACTGTGTGCAGAGATGGGATAGGCTTTATTACTTGCAGTCCATGGCATCTTAGAAAAAGACAACTGAGATGAGACAAAAATGGAAGTGAGGTAAAGCTCAGAAAGCAACCACATATGCAGGCAAACACTCGATCCTCAATGAAGTTATTGCTTCAGTCAATTAATTCCCTGGTACTCTTTAGCAACCCCGGACAATGGCCTACTAAGAGTCTTTCATGTCCTCTTTCTACTACTAACCGGGATTGATCACAGCTTCATCTTCCTGCCGTGGGTTGTTTCTTGGATCAACACTACCAGCCTACCACCAGTAGACCTCTTGACTTCTCTACGTCAACCAGAGGGAGCAGAACAACCTGCCAGATGCAATTGGCTGTTCTGCCTCTCAATCGGCCATCGCCACGAGCGGTGCCCTTTGCGCCGAGTTTGAGTTTGCTGGTTCTCCGTCTCAGCTACCATCCGGATCGGGATAGCCATGTCTTTCAGCTCTCTCGCACAGCCCGCAGTTTAGCGGCGCTCCGCCACCGTCTTGGCAACAACAGGGCATCACTACTGACGTCGACAGATCCCATGCCACGTCGTCGAGCATAACTGCCCAAACCAAGCTGGTTCCCATAAAATAGGCTCACGTCCCCGGGCCGGGGTGCGCATCATCCACTCTGGGGGGAGTATCACAAGCCATGGTTCGATATAGATGACCCTGTACGAGAAACATGGGCTGCCATAACGTACGCCTCCTCTCTCATTCCCACTCGGAATCCCACCCATAACTCACAGAAAGCACTCGTAGTCCCGAGAATCCCGCTCCGAACCCCAACCCCAGCCCCGGGCCGCCGCCACCGCACGCCCGTCCACGGCCCCGCCTCCGTACGAAAAGGAGGCCGACGCGCACCACCAGGCCACGCTGGCCGAGCTCCGCCAGCAGGGCATCGAGCGCGGCCTGCGCGCCTTCGCCGAGGCCCAGCAGCGCGCCGCCGCCCAGGACGCCAAGGACCAGGCCAAGGCCGACAGGCGGGCTCGGAATCGCGCCGCCCTGCGCGCCGCCCAGCAGGAAGAGGCCACCCGGCGCATGTGGGCCGAGTACTCGAGCCGGGTCGCCTTTGGGGCCAACGTCGCTGCGTTCGGTGCGAACTTGGGGCACTACGGAGGAGTAAACGACGGAGGCGGAGGCGGCGGCGGCGATGGAGGTGGAGGTGGCGGTGGTGACGGCGGCGGCGGTGGGACCTGAAGTGTTTTCATCATGGGCCTGGATCGTCGAGATCTTGGTGCAATACGACTATGGGGACCACAGGTGCAGCGACATATGCCCTGGCCTCAACACCAACCGATTGAGAGCAAGATTGCCAATGAAACGCCGAGTCGCGTGTGTAGTGTGCTACATCTTGTGCGACGTTATAACTGACATCTGGTTACAGTGCAGGCCGTGGAGTGTTACGCTTTCCGGACTATGGCTCGTTGGCAGTGCCTATACACTCCAGAGAGGCAAGCCAGCTTTTGTTTCGAGTAGAAATGCGTCTACAAGATGCTGACGGAGACTATACTACAGAGAGTATCGCGATCGGGGATTACATGTGCATGCAGGATAAACGGCGGTTCAACCAACAATAGGTAGCTGTTACAATCAAAGTCAGCAACTTGCAAACATGGTCTTAAATATCTTGAGCGCATCAAATGAGCCTCGTTAGGCGGATTTAGCCTACGAACTGCAAGTGGGTGGTGAATACCCGTCCTACATGCATGTCGGATCGCTTACACGTGATGGCACTTCCAGCTTTTGCTTATTGGCCGACGACAAGCCACCTCCTGGTCGTTGATTGTGCCCAACGAGGCAGATTCGTGTCCACCCTCTCGCTCATCCCACCATCCCTTGCGTCCTTGATCTCGAGAAGTTTTCCTGACACGAAACTTGTAATCGGGCAACAGACCCCAATCCCCAATGGATCCGCTATCTATCGCCAGCGCGGCGGTCTCTTTCGCCGGGTTCGCCGGGCAGGCGCTGAAGGGTACGCAGGCCCTGTGCTCATTTATCTCCGACATCAGGGATGCTCCTAGCAAGATCCAACGGCTAGGTGATGAGCTCAACACGCTTCGGAAGTCCATCGAGGACATCCGAACGGGGCACACCACTTCGACTTCGATTCATCCAGCGCTCAACGACGCAGCGCAACTCTGCGACGATGTGATCGGGCCTTTGCATGCTCGGATTGAACGGTACTCGGGAAGTCTTGCTTCTGGACGCATCAAACGGCGATGGGCACAGGTCGAGTCGGCATTCCGTGGATCCAAGATCGACAAAATGACTGCGGATGTCCAGAGGGCTCGGATGGCTCTGGTGGACGCCAGGCTAATGCAGACACGTCTCGACCTGGCAGAGATGCTGCGGGTACAGCGGAGTCATTATGCTCTCACGAGCTCAGTGCAGGCATCTGTTAATTCACATATCCGCCCGCAACTCGATCGGGTATCGCAATCGGTCGCTAAAACCCATTGGGATAGTCAACTTTACTATCAGAGGATCGAAGAGGTTAGCGATGCTACGTTGGCCACATCACGAGACCTTCGAGCCCACGTTGGGCACGTCGCAACAGACTTGCAGCACGAGATTGCGTCGGTGAAGGGGCAGATCGCCGACGTTCACCAGGATATGAGGGACCTGCAAACAGCTCAAGTGGCGAACCACACAATCTTGGACAACTACTACCATGAGGCGAAAGCAACCCACGAGCGGATGGAGTTTATGACCAACAAATTTGCACAGCTTTCAGTTGATATGGAGGAGGTCAAGTCATGTGTTACCCAACTTCTGCAACCAGAACGAACACCATCAAACATGGTGGAAGCCATGTTTGAAAAGGCAGTCAGCAGGAGCGTTGCGAACGCTCTAGCTGGTCTCGCTAGGCAAACCCCATCTGCTTCTGATCTAATGACGGCCGCGGAACATGCACCCGAGGCTTCCAGCTGCACTCGACAGAAGCTACTCTACGCCTATAACAAGAACTACTGGTTCGGATATTTGTCTGTCATGGCAATCCGGACAGCAACCCTCGATGGGCAGTCTGGAGCCATTTCGTTCTCGATACACACAAGTGTCGTCTTCACACCCCATTCCTGGATTGCTCGATGGACATCACGCCTTGAAGCGGTCAGACTCATGGTTGCAAACCGAGGGAACCTGTTTTCTCTCACAACGTCGAAGATCCTCGCAAAGGAGATGTCCGCCACGATATCGAAAGCTGTTCTTTGTGGGACTTTCGACGAGTTTCGAGAGTTGATCCAGAGACACAACGTGCGCCCGAATGATCTCATCCCCGTCGAGAGTGATACACGTAGTGTCCTTGAGATGTGTGTGGAATGGATCTTGATCGTCGCGACTTTTGGGGATGATATCGACCTCATTGAGAAACACTACCCTCTGGCTGGGCATCCACGCTACGATGACTCGGAGAGAAGGCATGGCTTCTATTTTGCAGAAGCTTTAGTTTCTCCCAACAATGAAACGAGTGAAATGACATCTGTCCTCGTCGACAAAATCGTACGAATGTGCGGTTGGCTTCTGCAATCCGAATTCTGCCCACGAATAGCTTGGTAAGTGAGATAGATCCCTTATACATGATACCCCTTTGTAAGGCCCTCTATTCCTGTGCCAAACATGATATTGTTTTCTACAAGACCTTCGTGATGGCTGACTTGAGCAGGCAACCGTATCTAATGGGCACACTAGGCAGTGAGATTGAGATTGTAATGGGAACTGGAGGAAGCACTAGACGTGAGCAAAATCCCATGAACACATTCTACGCTCAGATCTCGGCCGTGTCTAGCCATAGCATGAGTGAAAATATGAAGTTCTCAGGTCCAGAGGTACTCGCCGCTATGGTTGGCCTTGTGGAATTGGTGCTAGCTCAGACAGACCAGGAATGGCAGTTTCTGGACATTCTGTTGCTCCTCCACGCCATGTGGAACTCCTCAGCATACTGCAGTCTACATCCAGCATTCAGCTCCGCCGCCGCAGGGGATTTCCTAGATTTTGATTCCCAAGATACTATGGATACTATTGGCCGTCTCGTCGCTGGTGCGGCTGCGGCGCGGGTGTGGGCTGCTGGCGACGCAAGCGTCACGCTCTTGGCAGCCGAAGTTATCTTTGCGACCATTCGGAACGTCATGGCCCTCAGCAGCCCTCTTTCACGAGATGTTAAGATCGGCGATACATGGTATGCTCATGACTTAATCATGCCAATGTCACAAATCTTCTGGATGGGCGCGCCGCGCAAGCGATATCACAACATCATGAGCTCTATCATCGCCAAACTTCTTCAGCTGGACGCGAATATCCTGTGCATGTCAACCAACAACACGACGCTGACCGAATCTGCCATTCAATGGCAAGTTCTTGACCTCTGGATCGAAGCATTGCTTCTGGCGGGGCAGCGACCAGACTTGCTTCTGTCCCGCTCCGAAAAATCCCTACTTGACACCGACTACAATCCCTTGCGATACATGAGCACAAGTGATGGTGCTTCCCTTGCCTTTACAGCCGACGGCCAGAGTGGGAGAGTCTGTCTGGCACTCGACGAGATTCAAAATGCTCTCTCTAAATTTGTGTTCCTGCGTCGTCATCCAGCGATGGGAAAAAAGATCCCTAAACTGGACAATTTCAAAAAAGATATCATAGCTGAAGCGACGCGAGGCTGGCACGTTATTTCACCCTTGAATGAGTGTCGCAGGGGGGTACACTGCCAGGTGAAAACCTCCCCAGCTAAATTTATATGCCATCCCCACGGTGACTATGCCGAGGCTGTGCTGGAGGGAAGCTTTGAGGAGGATGAACTACCGCCGGAGAGGTACGAGGTCAGGCCAATCGGGGACGGCGGTATGGAGCTGATCATTGAGATAGATGATATTGATGCCCCATGGGAGCGCCTCTGCCAGGAAATCAAAGATAAGGGTCAGTTCTGGGACGGAAAGGGAAATGTAGTACTCGACATACGAGACTTAGAAAAGTATGAGAGGAGCAACAGTGCCGGAGTCGATGCCAAAGAGTCAGCACATGAGGCGAGCCAGGAAGAAGGTCAGGAAGTGGATCGACTTCAGAACGCGGCGACGGCTGCTGGCTGGGTATAGGAAAACATGTTCTTTCTTTTTCCTTTTTCCCCTTTTTTGCTTTCCATTGGGACTCTTCTGAGCAATCCGTGATGAATATCTTCTCATCTTCCTTCAACTATTCTCGACATTAGTCTCGATCATCACTGCTCTCATTCAACGGGTTCAGAGGCCCCAACAATCATCAAGAGCCACGACGTATTCTCATTGACCATTATGAACTAAGCATTATATATATCTACAAACGAAGGGTATTTTTCCATAAGAGAAACCATACAGAAAAATTTACTGTTCCCACAGCCCACCCCCATCCCCGACACTCCTCCTCTATTCCGCCCTTTCTACGACAGATCCGCACACAGCGGCAGCTTCCTGCTGCTGGACCCGATCCACACCTTCTTGGGGTACTCGCTCACGACCCAGTCCTGCTTGACCACGTCCCAGTTGCTCAGGTCGCGCCGCGTCAGCGTGGCGCGGAACTCGGCGCTCTGGCCGGGCTCGATGCGCAGGCGCGCAAAGTCGCGCAGCACGACGGGCGGGTCCGCCGGCCCGCCGAGCGACAGGTACAGCTGCGGCACCTCGTCGCCCGCCAGCTTGCCCGTGTTGGTCACCGTCGCGGTCACGATGTACATGGCGTCCCAGAGCTCGGCGTTGCCTCCCGGGGACGACTTGCCGGCCGCGGGCAGCAGGGGCTGGGGCGAGGCGTCGAGCGCGCCGGGGGGCAGGAACTCGGCGGCCGTGCGGCCGTACTCCGGGTCGGCCGAGGCGTCGGCGAGGGAGGTCGACGTGTTGACGTAGGGGTAGATGTACTGCCAGATGTGCTCGAACTTGTCCTTGGGGAAGAGGTAGTCCTTGAGGTCTTTGGAGTAGTTGCCGGCGCCGAACGTCGGGGCCTGCGCCGTCTGGCCCGTGGTCGGCGTGTAAGGGCCGGCCTGGGTCTTGGCCACCTTGATGTTGCTGTACTCAAAGGTCGTGTACGACAGGCCGTAGCCGAACTCGAAGATGGGCGTCTGGTTGGTGCGGTCGAAGTGGCGGTAGTCGATGAACACCCCTTCGCTGAAGTCCTGCTGCGGCGCGCCGTTGCCGTTGTTGGGCTGGTACATGATGTCGACGCCGTAGCTCTCGCGGCTGGCGCCCCAGGTGAAGGGCGTGCGGCCGGCGGGGTTGACGCGGCCGTAGAGCACGTCGGCGATGGAGCGGCCCGTCTCCTGGCCGGGGACGCCGGCCCAGAGGATGGCGGTGACGTTGTCGCTGTCGTACCAGTCGGTGACGATGACGGGGCCGACGGAGTGGATGACGACGATGGTGTTGGGGCACCAGCTGCTGACGTTCTTGATGAGGGCGTCGCCGTCGTGCCACAGCGTCAGGTTCTTGCGGTCGCCGGCGTTGCCGTCGACGTCGATGAAGCCCTCGCCCGAGTCGGCGTTGACAAAGACGATGGCCGTGGCGTTGGCCTGGCTGACGAGCGCCTTGGTCTCCTTGGTCATGTAGTTGGACAGGATGCTCTCGTAGCGGGAGCCGTCGTCGATGGCGCGGGCCTGCAGGGCGGCGTCCGGCGTGATGAGGTAGGGGAAGTTGGCGGTGCCGGAGCCCCAGCCCATGGCGAGCGTGCCGTTGTCGCAGCCGCGGTTGTCGCAGCCGTTGGGGCCGGCGAGGTTGGGGCCGGCGTCCTCGCCGATGACGGCGACGAACTTGGGCTTGTTGAGCGGCAGGGCGCCCTTGTTCTTCAGGAGGACGGTGGCCTTGGCGCCGATCTCGCGGATGAGGTTGCCGTGCTCCTCGCGGACATCAACGTGGTAGTTGACCTGCTGGTAGCCCTTGTTGACGGCGGCGTGGCGGGGACCAAAGGTGTCGGCGGTCCACGAGTCGAAGTTGACCTCAGGCTCGTTGATGGTCTGGCCGACCTTGAAGACAGCGGCCATGATGCGCATGACCATGTCGTCGAGGCGGTACTCGGGCATGGTCCCGTTGAGGATGGCGACAGTCAGGTTAGTACCCCAGAAGCTGAGGCCCGTGTTGAACTCGGTGTCGCCCGGCATGGTCATGTCGAGACCGGCGACGGCGCTGGCGACGCCCGAGTGCTGAGCCTGCCAGTCGCTCATGATGAAGCCCTGGAAACCGAGCTCGTTCTTGAGCAGGTCGTTCTGGAGCTTGCTGTTCTGGCACGAGTACGAGTTGTTGACCTGGGTGTAGGCGCACATGAAGGAGCCGACACCGGCGCGGACCGCATCAGCAAACGGCCACAGGTACAGCTCGTGCATGGTCTTGTCGTCGATGTTGGACGACAGAGTGGCGGAGATGTTGAAGCCGCGTTGCTTGGACTCTCCAACCTGGCGGAAGTGCTCTGTGCTGTACATTAGCGACACACAATTCTGGAGATGGGACTCGCTTCAATGCTGCCTGTGTTTCTCTGACTGACCTTGCTCGTTACCGATAAAGTGCTTGGCACAAGCAACAACACCGGCATCCTGGATGCCGCGAACGGTCTCGGCCATGCCCACGCCGGTCAGGACCGGGTCCGGCGAGAAACCCTCCCAGTTGCGTCCTCCCTCCGGGATGCGGCCGATGGGGCCGGCGACCGGGCCGAGCGCGACGTTCACGCCCTTGCCCTTGTGCTCCTTGCCGATGGCCAGCCCGCGCTGGTACATGAGGCCACGGTCGAACGTGGCAGCGGCGGTCTGACCCGTGGGGAAGACGGAGACGTAGTCGGCGAAGCGCACGCCCATGGGCGCATCCTGCATGCAGAGACCACGGAAGCCGAGGCGCGGGACGGAGCCGACGTTGCCCACGCACTGCTCACCTTCCCATCTGAATTGGCCGTCTTAGTACACGAGACGCGATGTCGCTAGGGAAGTGGGAAGCAGATACTAACCCAACTCCGGTGGTCAGGTTGACCTTCTCCATGAGCGTGAGCTGCGAGACAAAGTCTTTCGCCTTGGCATAGGCCTCAGCCCAGCCGTGGGCATTGGGATCCATCCATGGCGAGGGGTAGAACGGAGGTGAGAATGCCAAGTTTTCCCTCTGCTGAATCTGATATTGCGTCGTGTCAGTGTCACTGCTAAAGATACTGGAGCCCAGCAATGGGAAGCCGAGCGAGCTGAACTTCATGATCAAAGGAGCTCGTATTGCAGACAATGGGTAGTTAGGTGCAACAACTTGAAACAGGCCAGCTGCTAATGTAATCCGGAGTGAAGATGTTCAATCCAAGGGTACGAAGCGAATGTCCAATTCTAATTCCCTCGAATTTATCATTTGGATGAAAAGATTCGACGACGCAGCAGGAAAAGGCAAAGGTCTGTAGAGAGGAGGCTCTCCGATGATCGGGAAAACATCGGGAGATGTTACAGCCTTACAACATGGAACTGACCGCCCTGAAGTCATCGCCACCAGGAAGTGCTTCCGGGGCTCCGGTGGCCCACATCCAGCACTAGAGCGGGGGGTCTCAGGCGCTTTGAGCGGCGCAAACTTGCGACGAGAAACCCACCACGGCCAGTCGGGTGTACGACAGAACACACGGACACGGGAAACAGGGTAATGATTGGAGATGCTTGAGTGCTCAGGTGATATGAGATGAAAAGCCATTCGGATGCTCACCTGCCCTCGTCCCTGGAGGATATCCACTGCGCCCGCAACGGCGGTGCCACAGCTGGCTGCCAGCACAGCACAGGCGATCGCTGGCTGTTTCATGGTGACGGCGCAGCGGCGACGGCGGCGGTGTGATTCCGGTAGTCAATGTTGTGCGTCGCGCCGCGGAAGAAGCCTATTGGTGTGCAGCTCGGGCTTGGATGGAGCGGCGGTAAGAATGATGCTGGCCTGCGTCGTCTGGTAGGTGGTTCCCCAGAGCAAGCGGGCGAGGCGGTTGAAACACTCGAGCACGAAGATCTCGTGGTGTTTGCTCCTGCAGCGCTGCAAGCACACGCTTTTTCCAAGGTCGGCGTCCGAACGAGGCTTGGGAGCACGTCGAGGAAGGGAATGCGCAGGTATTAAAAAGCAGGACAGGTACACGGAAGCAGCCGCCCCTTGCCGGTCAGCACAAGCGCGCGCAGGATTCAAATTAGAGAACGATCCACGGTCAGAGGCTCGGATTGAGTTTGGCTTGGGCCTGGATGGGGACTGGAATGGATCAAGGGTTCATATAAGTTCGGATCGCAGACTGGCAAGGGACGGGACCAGAGAGAAGGGGAAAGGAAGGGAGGAGAGCGTCTACTTGTATGCATGTACTTTTGTTGATATACATACCCACATGCGCAAAGCAGCGAAGCCGCATGCAATCATGCATCATCATCAACCCACCGTGCGGGTTCACGTTGCGCATGTCCGTATACGGTACGGTACGGTATGGGTAAGTAGTCAAGGTAGTGATGGATATGGGTATGGATGTGGGCGTCGTGGTGGTGCTTGGAGCTTCCAAAGTCCCCCCCCCCCAGTCCACCCGAAGTGCTCCAATTTCACCTCGTGTCTCGCGCCCTCCCGTCCGCCCTGTCCTACCACACTGCATGGAGGTGGTTCACTGCGGGCGGCGCTCGCTGCTACGGGACAGCCTGGGGCGGGATCATGAGCCAAGAGTTAGGCATTTAGAGTAGCTTTTGCCCTACCTGGTGCTCCGCACCTTATTTCTTACGGTGCCGGGAGACACGGTAATGGAGTGTGGGGAACTTGGCATGCAAGCTTGCATTGCTCGCGCGTCGAGGTGAGTGTGACAACGAGAAAAGGCGGGCGGTGACGCGTTAACTGGCACCGTCTCCCATCACTCCATCGCCGCCGCTGGCATTGCTCGCAAACATTAGGTAGCTGGCCGTTGAATTTCCTCCAATCTTCTCATTCTGCCTCCTTGGTCTCCGAGACAGACTTCCCTGGCAAGGGCGGCGTTGGTAAGGGAAGACAAGATTGAGCTGGTCTCCTGACATTGACAATAGCAGAGTGCGAGGTTCGGGTGCTCTGCTCTACGGGGTACTCTGATCTGCTCGTGTCGATCTCTTGGGACCCGACAACGCACCGGATCAGAGGTGCGCAAGCCCGAGGAGCAGGGAAAAGGGCCGATCAGGTACAGTGATAGCGCAGCTTTGACCCTGCTCTTGGGAACGACGATCACAACCTTGACCTACCGGCCTTCCATCCTTCAGGTCCTTGGGGACAGTGGGGACCTGTTGAATTGGAGAAGCGGTGGAGAAATGTGAGCGACTTGGTGGAGATGCTGCTCCCTGCCTTGGTCTCTTTTCCCCGTAGCCTTTCACGCTTTGTCCCAACTCCGTTCCGCTCTGTGGGGGAAACGCGAGATCTGGACCATGGTTCTGCTGTTGTTCTGTTTCTGCCGGCCGGCAGTCAGTCAAATCCTTGACCCTAGAATGAGTGCCCAGGTCGCGTCCGAGGTCGGCAGCTCAGAGGGACATATTGCGGTCTTTAGGAGTCGAGATTCGAGCTCTTGCCTGATCTGTTGGCGGACCTGTACAGGTCAAGCCATACATGCCTTGGCTACAGTTTCAAAAGAAAAGATGAACACCATTTCAAGCACACCATTTCAAGCCAAGCAGCTCAAAGGCCCGACCGGTGAGCTCTGCTGAGCAAATGCGTCAATCTGCATGAATGCCTTTTTTTTTTTAAGATTGTATCGTTCCTTCCCCGCCCGTGCTCGATGCTGTCATTTTTAATTGCCCTGCCTTGGACCTGCCCTTTTGGGCTTTCCATCCTGGGAAACCACGCAACTCGTGATTGGCTTTTCCGGTCTTGTCACCTCGTGCGCCTCTCCATTTTCATTCTCGCAAGGCAGCATCCCCGGATTCTGCCTCCAACAGCTCCAACCTCAATGATTCTCTCTGCTGCATCTCACCCTCCATCTCCATCCATCCATCCATCCCATCAACAACAACATCCCACCCGAATCTTGGGTTCCCAACCCCGGATTTGCCCCATGTCCCATCCTGCAGTCAGCTCCTTCTGCAGATCCAATGCACTCTGAACGTTCAGATTCACCAACAAGCGCCCGACACTCGTCTCCTGCACCTTTCCCCTCATCTATTCGTCTAATGTACCTACTCTTCCACGGCCAAGGCCGACGGCTAGATTGTGCCGAGACCAATGCATCTGGACCGAACCACCTTGTGGCTTGACATGTCCCGTTCACCCAACCTTGGCCACCGCCTTGGAAGAACCCGTGCCGCCAACCCTCCCTGCCACGATTCACGGTTGACGCCCCGGCTCTCGGCCAAATATGCAGCCCCAAGCTCCGTTGGCCATGTGCTCCTCGCCCTCGGAGAGCTCCGTCCCCACGATCCGACCGCCCTGCCACTGACTGGCCTTACCCATGCGTGTCACTGCGTCATTGCTGCGAGCTAGGCGACCTGGAACCCTGGCGTAACGTTGTGTCCGGTGTTACTCGACGCGGGCGCGGGGCTGCCCACGATCAAATGTCGTGCTTGTCCCACGAGCCAGATCCGCCTATCCGCCTAGCGACAAGCGAGAGTCATCACCACAGAATTCACGAGATCTGATGTTGTACCAGTGATTCAATTCCCCATTTTACATTCTCTGCTCTCCCTCCCATTGAGGATCATCTGTTGTCAGTTGCAGACGAGAACCTCCTAACAGTAGACCGCAAGGCTATAGTACATTATGGAACCCCCGTCCCAAAGATGCTAAATCACCGCACAAAACATGGACTGATGGGATGTATCAATCATGGCAAGTGAATCTTAACCTCTGTGACACCCGCCTACAATGCCACCATGAAGTCCAAAGAAAGAACATGATAGAAAAGAGACATCCATGTATGTCTACGTTCATCTTCCAAAAGCATTTGCAATATACCACAACCTTAGCCCTTGTTTAGGGCCTTTGACTCAGACCAGCCTTCGCGGATTGCTATAAACGATTCATTGTAGTGGGCAACCAATATTTCGGGCTTGCAGATCATGGTGGTCGATTTGAGTAGATCCGCGCCGCGCCCTTCCTCGTACATGGCCTGCTCCCTCGGCTTCTGCCAGTCGGAGACCGAATTCAGCAGCTGGAAAGAGTCCCACTGCTTCCGCCTCTCGAAGCCCTTGTAAAAGGGTACAACTGGAGTGAAAAACATGGCGGCATCCTCCCCGAGAAAGCGCTCGTGGAGCCGGTACACAGCCCATAGCGCCTTGCGCGGGTTGGTGACATCCATGAAGACCTCGTAGCCCGTCGTCTCGGTCTTGGTACAACCCGACCGCTCTATGGTGTAGGTCTGGAACACCTGACCGATGTAGACCGCGTACTTGGGGAGCTTGGCGGCTGGGTCCTCGCACCCCTGGAGGAGCTCGGCGGCTTGGTCCTTGCGCCTCTGGTAGAGCTCCACGACGCCGAGGCGGATGGCTTTTTTCCTATGCTCGTCCGGCTGCCGCTTCTCTTTTCGATATTCTTGGAGGCTTTCGCGGGGGGCGGGCCGGGCGTCGGCGCCCGCTAGGCCGCCGATCCGCAGAACTAGGCTGCCTCTGCCGCTGGCTCTGCCGCCGAGGACCATGCCCGGGATGATGTCGCCCTCGTACAGGAGAAACTCGCGTAGGCGCGCCAGGTGCTTCTGTAGCTTCTTTAGATCATTCTCCCTTGTGCAATCCATCTCGATCAGGAAGGCGACGAGCTCGTCGCCAACCAGTGACGCCGGGCTCGGAGCTGCTGCGGGCCCTTGGCCGGGTACGGCGCCATTACCCGCGGCATCTATTGGGCCGTCGCTATCTGGAGTTACGCGAGCTTGGGCGGCATTGCCGTTCTGGATCGCAGGGCTGGCCGGACGGGTCTGGCTCCGGCTCAAGCGCTGCGGAGTAAGTACTGGGAGGGCATCGGATCGACTCCGGACCTGGGGCGGCGGGCTAGAACTTGACCGCTTCCGCTTCCGCTTCCGGGGATTCGGCTCGTCGGGCGAGTCTTCGACGAACATGGGCTCCTCTGCTGCTGCTGCTGCTTGCTGGATACGATCGAGAGCGCTGGCCTCCTCCTCGAGGTCCTGGTTGTTTGCCGCCTGGCCGTCAAGCACGCCGAGAGCAGCGTCGATGGTGCGCTGGAACTGTGCGAGGATAACTAGCACCTTCTGCATGGGGCCGCCTGGCTTGACGACGGCATCTGTGTTGCTCTGGAGCGCGACGAGCTCCTGCTGCAGCTCGGCGGACGGGAAGATGGGATTCTCAAGTTCATTGACCCGATTTATGAGCGTGGCTATATCGAGAGCCAGCTCGCCCACCTTGCTGGTCTGGTCATGCTTCTCCAGGTACTTGACCCGATCCGTGAGAGTGGACAGGTTGGCGGCCAGAGATCTGAGCTCGGTGAGTTGGTCTCTCTTCTCCAGACGCTTGACTCGATCTCCGAGAGCGGTAGAGCTGGTGATCAGACTGTCCACCTTCGTGGTCGGGTTGTCCCTCTCCAGAACTGTATCCTTCAGAGTGGTAAGGCCAGTGGCCAGAGCGTCCACCTTGGCAATTAGTTCATTCAGCGCATTGGTGTTTTGGCTCATATCGGGCTCAGTGTGCCGGTCAGAGTGAAGCTGATGCAAAGCTGTGATGTTGCCAACCACCGCAGACTGAGTACGTGCTCGCCCTACGACCTTGCTGAAAAGCTGATCGGCATCCCTAAACCGTACTCTCAGCTCGCTAAGGTTATCACTGATCTTGTCCACAGATTCCATAGGCTTCAAAGGCGGGAGCACAGCCTGTTGAGGGGGTGTAGGAGGGGCATTGCCCGGAGTAGAGACGGTGCCGGGCCCGGTCTGGGCTGGCTGTAGATCTGCGACTCGTGCGCCGCCACCGCTGCTAAGAGACGTGTTGTCCATGGGAGCAACAGGAGCATGTGGGACAGGTGCAGCGGCAGGGAGTGCGGAGCCCGGGCGGCTGTGGCCATTATTAGCAGTAGGCAGAGGAAGGTTTCCTATATTCAGGTACCGGGGGGCAGGTTGGGTTGAAGCCTCAGGTGCATGAAGGTCAGTCTGGATGGGCTTGCGATGAGCCGGCTGGGGAGCCAGGACACCAGGCGCAGTGTTTCTGTTGCTGTTGTTGGTACCAACGGCGGCGGCGGCGGCCCTGGGGCTCTCGGCGAGGGCGATAGGCGGGTCGTGCGATCCGCTACCCGCGCAGTTCGCGTCCTGGACGCGAGAAGAGGGAGGAGTTGTCTGCATCTGGCGGACGTTGGCGAAATCGGACTCTGACTCGATGTTGGAAGCGTTAGGCATGTTCGCATCCATGTTTGACAGGAGATTTTGACAGGAGAACTTGGGGATGCAAGCCTCATATACAGAGAAGCAGACAAAGAGCAGAAGTAACACAGTAAGAGTCAAGCAAGAGGAACGAGGGGAAAATCAATGTCCATGCAGCTGGCTTAGTTTACTATCATCAATGGCCCTTTGCTAATGTTCCGGCGCGATGGTGGTGCAGAGGAGGAAAAGGCTCGGAGGGGTAGGGCGTTTCTTAAAAAGAAGAGAGAAAGGTAAACACGACCTGGGAGTTTTGGGGGAAGAGGAAAAGCACAGGCCGTGTTTGTTTTCCACCCTTTTGGGAAAACACAAAGATGGGATGTAATCGGTAGTAGTTGAGACTGGTTCAAGTCGAAAAGTGAGGTGAAATCTGTGACAGGAGGAATAGTTGGAATGATGCAGAAGCTTGAAGATGCACCCTGGCTGAAGCCGAATACCGGGTTGACTGCACGGTGAACGGGAACCAACATTCACCTTGCAAATCTTCACAAAAGAACTATTTCTATAAGAGGCGGTGGCCGCTCTGGAGGAAGCGAGATTTGCCTCTGGGTAGACAAGAGCCAATGAGAAAGTTTTGTGGCTCTCATAGAAGGAGAAGTGGCTTTTCTGATAAGTGACACAATTGACATGATGTTTCCTAAGAGCTGCAATGATATATATGTATACATAAGGAGATATGTTAGGCACAATTCAAACCTATTCAATCAGCTAAAGCCAAGTAAATCTTTCATATTGCATGTAATCTGCTTCAAGTATAGATTGCTATGATCATACCTCAGCATGACTTCCAATCCTTGCGATACTACCGTGAAGTTTCCATGCGTTGTTGTAACTTGTGCCGCGTTGCAGCTGAGTTGACTCCGAAACTGAGAGGGCAAAATGAGTTGCGGTGATGCAAAGGCTTGAATCTCAGATCCCACTTTGCTATCGCAAGGGTCATAATTTTTCATACGTAAGTTAATCGGGCGACCTTGGTAGAACATAACACTTTGAGGCAGGAGGACATCATGGAAATTGTCAGATAATACGATCATTTATTGAGTGCTATGTACCTAGACTTCTCAGAAGAATTTACCCTCAGTCTCTCCTACGTTGGTGAAACTCCACCATTCGTCGTGAGAACAAATTAGGCACTCAGGTCCAAACCAGCCACGATGTCTGCGTGGCCCACGTTGAAATACACGGTTTCCGCTGAAACAGAAACATGAAAATGCATGCCGTCTTGCTGAGCCTCAGGCCTGAGACCATGCGAAGAACAGCGACCTTGAAGGAGAATGACATAAACTCCTATCCACGCAGATCCCCTCCGTCCCATTCGAAGTGACAGGCGGTAACCCTCAGTTACCACCCTCAGGCGCAGCATGCCAAGACCACTTGAGGCACCGGTCCATCTCGTCCGGTATCGGGGTCGTGAAGCACGGCTGGCAGTAGAACTGGACCTCATGCATCAGCTCTCCCGGGCCGCTGCCGTCCTCGAACATGGCGAGCACGTTCCAGTCGCGGACCCCGCCCAGCAGCTTGAGCAGGTCGACCTTGGCCGGCGGGCAGCCCTGGTACAGTGGGATACCGGGCTTCTCGGTCTCGGGCTGGACAAACGAGACGCGGTCGCGGCCCTTCTGCTTCAGGCCCTTCTGCTTCTCATCGTACTTCCAGATGACCCAGAGCGGCTTGTCCGGGCGGGTGACGTCCATGACGACGTGGTAGTGCATCGAGAGGGGGTCGACACGGGGGCTGTCGGAGAGGTGGTGCTCCTCGTGCATCTCTCCGAGGTAGATGACGTAGCGCGGGAGGACACGTCTCGCGAAGGCTTCGCCCCTGGCCTTGATGCCGGCCGTGCGTCGGACGTGGAGCTCGAAGATGCCCAGGGTGCGGGTGACGTCTTCCTTGGGTTCCTCGCCCTCGCCCTCGCCAAAGAGCTGCGAGCGGCTGATGGTGGCGATCTGCCGGGACAGGCCCTGGCCGACGTGGAGGAAGAAAGTGCCGGCCGTGTCCTCAGTAGGGCCACCCACCTTGTACATGGGGAAGACCGAGGTATGGGGCTGCTTTCCCGTGTTGTCGAGGTGCTTTTGGAGGTCGACCAAAGTCTGGCGGTCCCTCGGGTCAACCTTCTGCAAGAGACGGACGAATTGGGGCACTTTTGTTCCCCGCTGTTAGTAATTATATAGTACTTGTATAGAATAAGGTGACCTCACCTTGGGTAGGGCTAGTTGTAAGTTGAAGAGTGTCATCGTCACCCATCTTCACGATCTCCTCACTGAGAACGATAGGTTGCTGGACGGCAAGGGCAGGATCGCTGTCCGGGGGCGGGAGAACGCCGAGCTCGCGAAGCTCCTTCTCATTGTTGGCATCGTGAAGGTAGGCCTTGATCATCTTTAGCATCTGAGCTTGCATGTTCTAAGCCACCCAAAGTTCTGGCTGTTAGTCATGTTCTTAAGGACCCAATGATAAGAAAAGTACGAGGCTCTTTGAAATGTATTACCTTCTCCAGGTGGTCGATTCGAATGTCCTGCGACATGGTGTGAAAGTTCAACCTGTTGAATTTCTCAAGAAGGCGATCTATCTCGTTGTTTTGGAGTTTGATGATCTCGAGACACTTCTTGACGGAGCGATCTTGATGGAGGTTAGGTTCAGGTCCAAGCCGGGCAGGCTGAGGTTGATCATCATGGTTTAGGTAGAACTTACCAACGACATGGTTGGGTTGCGACATCGTTTCTCTGAACTGGAGACCTCGAGGCCTCTTTGTGCTGGATACTTGGTGTTGTGTTGATGGCTACCGCGAGGCTGGGCTGGATGATAGATCTTCTTGAGATTCTACCGGTACGGCAGAGGAAGTGTTGTGGGGATGAAGTGAGACCTCGAAAGTCGAGGGCAAGTTGGAGAAGAATCCGAGGAAGAAAGGAGAGGGGTAAGGGTGAGTTGGAAGAAAAGTCAGTTTGAAAGTGAGCTGGACTCCAAGGGATGTTTGAAGTCTGACTTTGTTCCCGCCTATCCCACCCTTGAGATTGTCCACAGGACGAACAAGAAGAAACCCCGTCAGCATTCTCCATCACTAGGTCTAGTCCCTCACACTCGGAGCCCACGCGGAATGGTCACGTTCACATAATCCTTTTTTAGGGCTGGGCAGTTTTGTGCTGGAAAGCACCATGGTCAACAAAACAGGCAGAGTTGTCCGCTTTCTTGATGTGACTAAGTCATAGACTTGAGGGAAGAAGCAAAGGAGGACAAGGAGCTGTCACAATGGATGTATGTCATGACGCAGACTTCTAGTATTCGATTTAATGGCTTCCCACATCTCATCTAGATGTGTTGGTGCCCTTTTGATATTACAGACCCAACAAGCCATACACATCGAGCTTTATGATCTTTAGTACACACCAGGAATAATGTGCCACCGTACAATCTTCTTGTACTTTTCCCAGTCCTCTCCGTACTTGCGCGCGCACTTCTCCGAGTCTCGGCCATCACGGTGGACCAGCAGCACGGCAAAGTAGATGATGTAAAAGTAGGTGAAGATGATACCCCACCCCCTCGCGGCGCCCTGCACGACCTCCCTGCCGTCGGCCATCTTGAAAGCGCCGTCGACGCCCGACCCGGCTGTCAGAATCACATAGCCCGCCATTCCGGTGGGCAGGCTGTACGGCCAGGACTGGATCCAGTCGCCGAAGTAGTTGATGTGGCGTGCGACGCCCCACCAGCCCGAAACGAGCAGCCTCGACCCGGTCTTGGTGGTGATGTACTTGAGGTGGGCAACGGACGGGTCGTCCGGGTTGGTCCGGAATGTGTTCTTCTGGCTGTTGGCCAGGCGGAAGATGGAGAAGCCGGTCACAAGCAGGACGCCCATGGCGATGAGGCCCGGGATGCCGAGGGAGACGGGGTAGACGGAGAGGTACCGGCACTGGGTGGAGTAGATGAAGGGTACCCACACGAGGTCGCCAAAGGCGAGCATGGTGCCAAAGCCGTCCGTGGTGATGTCCATGGTGGTCAGGATAGCGGACTCCATGACCTGGCTGTCGATGATATACACCGCTTGGATCACGGCGATGAATACGATGCTGTCAGTCACAAAGCCGTAGGTGCGGTACTGCTTGGCAATGAAGGCAAAGTTGCACAACATCCAGCCCAGCATACCAGGGCGCAGTTCCATGAAGATCTTGATATCGATCTCGCCGAGAAGCGGGATCGTCACGCGAGGGTTCAGCTCTCGGCCGATGAACCAGTCGTATAGCATGTTACCGGACAGGCCGCCAGGGGCCAGCGCACGGTGCTCCGGGTTGCCGGGCTTGACGCTGAAGCTGCGGATGTACACAAACGTGGCGAGGAAGTACGCAATCAGGATGTTCGCTGTCAGAAGCTGCAGGTAGTTGTCGGTCATGAAGGCCCAGACGGGGAACTCAGCGCCCTGGGCGACGGTGCCAGCGAGGCATACGACGAGGGTAAAGATGGTCGAGGTAAGGGCTAGCGATACTCCTGTCAGTACGGACTAGCACTGCCGGCCGGGTGTCATTGGAGGCGATACTCACTGTTGAGCTTGTACTTCAACCGGCCGCCGTTAGCGAGCACAGTTCCCTCCACCTCTTGGCCTGGGAGAACCCTCTGGAGCACGGCACTAAACAGGTAATACGCGAGGGTCCATCCCATGACGCGCCAGCTGATGAGGCCACAGACTACATTGTCGGGCCATCCCACTTCGCGCTTCAATGTTTCGAGGTCGAGGGATTTGAGGTTGAGCAACGAGGGCGCAGGACAGCCGGAGATGTCATTGCAGGCAAAGGTGAAGAGGTAGCAGAGCACCGGGAGGCCGAAGGAGATGAGAAAGCCACCCACCCTGGATCGCGGTCAGTGTATGTCGTCGACATGATGTCTGGTCAATTGGCTGGCCATCACTCACGTCCCGGCAAACTCGTAGCCGTGAAATTTGGTAGCGACGGCATGGGCCGCATGTGCTGACTTGGGTTGCGGTGCCGCCATGCTTATGCCTGCCTAGTGCTTACTCCGTATGCGGTCTCGAGAGGGCAAGGCGTCAGCACGGAGACATTTCGTGAGGGCCAATTGGTACAGTACAAGGTACCGCCATCTAGCGCGGACCTTTCGCCGTGAACTGCCCTGGAACACCACTAGAACGCTATGAATAGAAGGGACGCGCGATTACATAAGTGGCTTTTGAGCTTCCGGAGCACCATCTTCAGGGGCAGGCCAATCATGCTGTACACACGTGTAAGGGATGGATGGTTGCTGCCGGGTCCACCTTTCTGGAAGGCTGAAGGTTCAAATGATTACGACAAGTGGCTTTGTCGACGACAACTTGCACCTAATACTTCCGACGATAATCAGCACCTTGATCCTACGAGGAACGGCCTGCAAGCTTTTCAGTACCGGCATACAGCTACTGTACCTCTAGACCATTTGGACGCATCCAGACCCGGCTTTCGAATAGGAGATCGACCTGAGCTGTCCTTGCTTCGCTTCGCTTTCCCGGCCGCGCCGAACCCGCCGCCTGCCGGCGCATTGACTCCCGGTCCTCATCTCGTCACAAACCTGCCGCTTTCACGATGAGACCCCCGGCGTCGCATTTCCTCCTCCTCCTGTCTGCCTTGGCGGAGGGCGCGCTGGCCGCACCAGATGCCGACAAGACCACTCCCGTCGCGCCATGCACGGCCTCGTCGACGAGCGGCGCGTTCTTCGACCTGAGCCCGGACATGGCCGTCGCGCCGGCGGAGGGAGCTAAGCCCAAGAAGGGTGTGCCGTCGACGGACTACCACGCGCGAGGCCACGACTACGGATACAACTTCACATTGAACATATGCGCCGCAGTGGTGGACCCCGTGAAAGATGTGATTGGGATCGAAAAGGCAGACTGGAGGAATGTCAGCGCGTACTACGAATCCAAGGGGAAGGTCTTCTCATTAGGGTAGGGACTCTCTGTTTCGCAGATATGCCTCCGTGGCCGGGTGCTAATGGCGGTCGCAACACAGACAGCAAACATCGGTCCTCAAGCCTCGCGGCCGAGAGCTTGTCCTCCAGTACACCGGCGGCTCGCCGTGCGGACCCGTAGAAGACGATAGCTTCGCCCTCGCCAAGCGCCGCTCTACGATCCACGACGGCGCATCATACAAATCATACCAAGACGACGACGACGACCTCAAATCTCCCAAGAGCAAAGGAGTTACCGCGAGCAAGTCCAAGTCGAAGCGCCAGCGCAAGTCGGCCACCTTCTCCCTGATCTGCGACCGCGAGTCGCTCAACAACTTTGCCACCGTCTCCTTTGTCGGCGCCGACCCCAACGAGTGCGCCTACTTCTTCAAGGTCCGCTCCATCCACGCCTGCGCCGGGGCCGAGCCCCACAAGCCCGGTAGTGTCGGTCCGGGAGGGGTGTTTGCCATCATTCTCTTCATTGCCGTGCTGGTCTACATCATCGGCGGCATATTCTACCAGAGGACGGTGGCGCATGCCCGTGGCTGGAGGCAGCTGCCCAACTACAGCCTTTGGGCCGGCATCTGGAGCTTCATTCATGTAAGCAGATTGGCTAAAGAGAGAACCACCCGTGATGGGTAAAAAAGCTGACTGTACCAACCCAGGACACCTTTATCATCCTTACTTCGTCTTGTGCCCGTATGCTGCCCAGCCGTAGGGGGTACCACAGCGTCTCGCGCTCGCCCAACGGGAGGAGTCGGAACCGCGATGACGAAAACAGGCTGATCGACTCTCTCGATGAGGAGTGGGATGATTAGACGGAGAGTGACGGGGTTTTCTTGTACCTTTTCTTTGTATTAACTTAGTGTTGTCATGGTTTGACAAACCTGCAAGGATAGACTTAAAACAATGCAGAGCGCCGTTCATCTTTTGCAAGCTAGTCCATGAATTGCCCTGGGTTTGCAGTATCGTGGATCCCGTGAAGCTGTCAGATCCTTTTGTCATGAAGTAATAACCTTAAGTACTCGACCATTTGATTTGCCTCTCAACCCGGGATGATGACACGTTTGCGCAGATGGCCAGCTTCCATTCTGGGGCCAAGGACAAGGGCATGGCTTATGTCATGTAGGAGGCGAGGCGGTTCCGCCTTTCAAAAAGGGACGAGGAGATGACCAGGGAGGAGTAAGAATATGACATGCTCTCAGATGGAGAAATTGGGATGTTTAGAGGAGCTGATGGCGACTAGACCGGAGACGCCGACGGTCGCCCAAGTGGGAGGAGGTGTATAAGTGTCAGCGTATAAAAGCCTGGGGTTGGATACACGGAAACGTTTGTTGTTGTTGTAAGGTATTTGTCCTGGGAACTTTTTTCATGGAAGCCAGAGCTGAGGCAATGGGCTGGGAGCGCCCTGGACATGCTTGACAGACTGTCAAAGCGGGAAAGGAGCTGGAGAATTAGATTCGTAATCTGGAGTCAATATGCAACCGCGTCAGAGGTCCCTGCAAATCCCTAGGCATATGTGAGTCTACTAGAGCTTTCGCAAGCACCTGTCACCGCACACTTTTCATCCCTTTCATAAAGTCACGATCCAGGCCTTGACGTGACACTGACAAACCAGGACACAACTCGCAGCCTCAGCGAAAAAAAGGGGCTTTAGCCTTTCACTGCGTTGCTACTGCCGTATGACTTGTACAATAATATATAAGTAAGGCCTTGTCAAGGTTCCCTCTCGACCAGATGTCACCCAAATTGTAATGTCTCTTGCCCAAGCACAACCCGCACGATGGCTGAATCCAATAATCATTTCGACCTCCTCCCTGTCGAGGTCATAGAGATTATCTTCGGCTTTCTGCCCGACATTGCATCCCTCAGAGCAGCCGCCATAACTTCGAAACGACTGCTGGCTGTGACAAGGGGTGCGAAGACGATGCTCATTACCCAGGTCGTCGTCAACCATATCTCACCCGAGCTCATGCCAGAGGCATGGCTGGCACTGGAGTCTGAGCGCCTCCGTCCCAACTCGATCGAACAGGTTGACCAATTCGCCGAGACACATTTTCGAAATCGGGAAGCCAACTCGCGACTGATCACTCTGGCTGAGGGAATGGCTATGGAGAGGCGCCACGCAGCTGTCGAGTACTTCACAGCCAAGTGCTCCAATGATGCCCAGCAATATTTGCCATTCTTGGGCAAACTGTCTGAGGAACATTATGGACGCTCATTTCCTGAATACAAAACCAATCTTGTAGCGGACATGACCAAGACTGAGCACGACCGATTCGCAAGGGCTTTCTATCTAATCGAGGTTTGCTACAAATTGCTCGGATTTATCTACACTCCCCTTCTTTATGGCCAGGATTACGGCGCGAATGGCTCCTCCTTCTTACCCATGGCGAAAAAGAGCTTTACTGGTTGGTTCTCTCACTCGGAGCTTGAACAAATGGCTGTGGCTCATGGATATCTGTATGGCCTCATCGAGACTATCTGTGAGTATCAAGTCTCACTTGTTTACCATCAGTGCCATTGACTGACACTGCCCTGGTGGGCTTTTCAAAGTCCAAGGCGTTCCATTAGATGTGGACATGTGGCGTACTCACGGGGTTATTTACACGCCTGCTATCCCACTCACCACTGCTAGAGGGGTGCTTGTCCTTATATCCGAAACTTTGGGTCGAGGGCTAGTGAATTTGAACGACATGGCCATCAAGAGCATCGATGCTAATTTGACGCCTCCCTCCCAGCTGGGGTTTCCGTACGATCTCGTAACTCTACCTTTTAGGCTGTTCGCCTTCATAGTCGGCGAAGAATCATGGTCCTTGCACGACCTTCCACACCCATTCTACCAGGATGACGACGAGGGACCATCGACGATATGGAAACGAGTTTTCCCCGCGACAGTCGATGGTGGATCGGTTGACTCCGGGTTCAGAAATATTTCCAACCAATTGTATTTCCGTCGAATGGCTTGGGTGATGTGGGACGGATGGCGGCTGGGAATACCCGCTTGGGAGGATTCAGTCAGTGACTACGATATTCGTGCGCTGGTCATGAACCATCTACCTGGCCAGTGGTATCAACCGTTTGGCCGGGATGCGTGCGATAATAACGGGATGCCCCGTGTTCATCGGTGTCATGATTGCAGGGGAACTTGAGGCACCCATGTGGAACGCTGAAAGGGAGAGGCCAGCGGGATTGAAGTAGATCAGGGCGGTCTCTTGTACGAACCATGCGTGGTCTCCAGGAACAGACAGAGTTCAAACATGAGGAGGAATCATGTAGCGACTGATAGGGAGCCCCATTCCGAGATAATCGTTGCGTAGGTAGGTGAATGAACTTTTTTTTTTTTTTTTTTTTTGGAAAATTGCCCCAGATGCCAGCACTGAGCTGATTCGGGATCTGCCTCGAGGAAACTTCCCCATCGAGGTTGAGTGACATGTGCTGTGAGGCGCAGGGCTCTCGGCGGCGGACCCCGGTCCGCACGCTACTGCAAGTGCGGGATTGGCCCCCGTTGCCATCTTCAGCTCCGTCCGGAACTGGTAAGGCCTGTCTCGCACAGCATGGCACTTGACCTCAAAATGCACTGGCGGGTTGACCAAGCAGTCTCTGTTCCCAGGATCTTGACACGCCATCTCGGCCGATGAGCAGGCCAAGTGGGCAGCGTCTCGTTGGCGGCACGGAGTGAGGCGTTTTTCGATTTGCATCCCCCTTTTGCGCCGTTGGTATTGGGTAAGGGAAGTCTGCCCGCCTTCAAGATGTGAGGAGCTGAGCTGAGCTTCGACCCCGGCAGAGATTCTATTGCTGTGAGAAGAGTGGGTGGCTTGGTGCTTATATTTCATCCTGATCGTGAAAAGTTCCGTAGGGGCATCCTCTATTGTTCTAACTATCAACAAGTTGTACCGCAATGACAGTACGATTATCAACAATGGCCTCAATGAGGGCAACACTCCCCTCTCTCTCATCTCTTTTGTTCCTCCTCATCGCCCTCCCAGCCTCCTACGCCGTACACCTCCCCGGCATCCCGGCACGCGATGGCAACAACCTCAAGTTCCGCGCCGCTCCGCATCCCGTCATCACGCCAGCCCCATCTGCAGATGCCCTCGAGCAGCGCCTGGGCCTGGGCGCCCGCGCCGCGACGGTCGCCTCGTGCGCCGAGAAGTGCATCGCCTCGGTGGTGACCAAGTCGACATCGTGCCAGCTCGACGACTCGGCATGCATGTGCGCGATCAACAACGCGTACATCATCCAGTTCGGCGCGGCCGTCTGTGTGCAGAGCGCCTGTGGTTACTTGGTTGCAGAGAGTAGGTCGACACCTCATCTTTCCAGGTCTCGCGTGGGCAGCGCGGCGGTCAAGGCAGGGCGACTGATCAGAAGGCCGAAATTGTGAATAGGTATCTGGTCCTCGGCCGCACAGGTCTGCACCAGCATCCGCGACGGGGTGTACACGCCCGATACGACGGGCAAGAAGACTACCGCAACCGATAACACCAGCAAGAACACCCAGCCTGCGCAGACGACGGCCGCCGGTTCCCCCACTGGTGGTGCCTCGTCCTCATCAGGCAACGGCGACTCCTCCAATTCGGGGGGTTCATCCAACTCCGGGAGCTCCTCCGACTCGCTCTCCAAGGGCGCCATAGCAGGCATCGCCGTCGGCGCCGCGGCCGGCGCCATTGTCATTTGCGCCATCATCTTCTTCATATATCGCTGCACGAAGCGCAAGCAGAACCAGGCGTATCAGCCGCCGCAGCAGGTCACTGGCAACGTCGGCGGCCAGCAGCCTCCCATGTCGCAGCCCCCTGTGGCGGCTTTGGCAGCCGTGCCCGGCAACAAGCCCGAGCTCGACGGCAAGTCGGGCGTGTACACCATGAGCGGCGCATCCCCAGCCCCCACGCCCTCGCCCGCGCCTCTGTCCGCGGACACCAACGGCGTCTCGCGGAACCCCAGCACGGTCTCGGCGCCGAGCCCTGCGCCACCGGCACCGGGACAAGTGCCATCCTACTATCCGAAAACTGTCCCGGAGCTTGGGACGTGGGATCAGCAGCAGCAGTACCAACAGCAGCAGTCATATCAGCAGCAAGGCTACGTACAATCTGGAGCGGGAGGCGTCTATCATGAGGTGCAGGGTGCTCGGCCAGAAATGGCTGGCGACACGCAGATACGACAGGAGTTACATGGACAGCCGCACGGGGCGGGCGTGTATGAGATGCCTGGGTCGCATGTGAGGTAGGCAGTATGACAGCAGGAAGTTGCTGTCTCATTTCAGGTCTGCATACGTAGCGATAAGCGATAGGATACATTTCGAGCCCAAATTCAGTCTTTGTATGTGAATATATACGATGCTTGACTTGGTGCTACACTGTAAATCTATAAATTAGACACTGTTGAAGAGACACAATGAAAACCATACCCGTGTTTCAGAGACAGTGTAACTGTTGGAACTCCGGCTTTAGGTGTGATCGCACCCCGACTGTCGTCCGCTGCGGATCATCGACAGCCCGAGGCCGGAGGCCCCTGGCGCCAGCGCCAGGGGACAATCCTAAATAGGGGGAATCGTACACCACAGAGATAGAAAAGACAACAACAAGAATAAGATCACAGAACTAGTCCTACGACACCCGGATACGTACGTACCCACCAAAATACGGCCGAACCGACAGTAGCACTTCCTGTTGATATGGGCACAATCATTATCGTGGATTGATCAGCCACTTTTGAGCCACCTGGAAATAGTCGTTCGCGACATGTTGAAAGCCCACTTCATGATTTCCTCATGAGCATCAAGTATGCTCGAAGGTCGGTGCTGGATGTCTGGGAACCGGAGAGACTTCAAGAGTTTAGCTGTTCAGCGGATATTTTGCTCTTCCCAGTGAGTTTAACGAAGATCGTTCTCAATAGGTCTATCTCACAAGTTGTTTGTTCAATATCGGCTCTCAGTAAATCACGAAGGTCGTAGAGGTTCCCAAAAATTTCCATACCAAGTCGTAGTACCTGGTCCTCAATATTCTGCAGAGATGCCACCATGGCCCAATCTTCTTCTTCTTTTTTTTCCCCCGCTTTAAAGAGAGCAGAGAGTCAGCATCTAAGCCTCTCATCTAGGTCCGAGACATGTAATGTCAACTCGCATATCTCGAGCTTCATTGCCAACGTCAAAGCAATCCTAATATTATCCAAGCTCTGAACCTAAGTCTCTCCTGAGGCTAGAGATCGGAAATAAGAGCTATCAGTTTCGTTCTGACCTCTTCAAAAGTATCTGAATACTCTCGGATTGCCATTTCAGCACTGGAGAGTGAGATCAACTTGTCTGCTTTGATTTCTCGATTGGTAATCTTAACATCTTCAAGCGTAAGCCACACATCTTGTACCACTTTTACGAAACTTATTTCTGATTCGCGAATGTCATTGCTCTAAGCTAGAATGTTGTATCCCTAATCGAGAAGCTGGAAGATATCACAGACAAGACCAAGAAATACGAAATGCATGCTTACCGAGAACTCAATCAAGATCTGTCACACTGAAATCAGGATCTCCAAGTTGAGATCCAAGAGCGAAAAGTGCGCCGCCGGAAGGTTAACGGTGCTTGACGTGAGTTCACCAGGCGTATACGGCCATGTGTGCGAGCTTGGGTCTTAGAACGTTTCCTAAGTACTACGGTACTTGGTAATCTCTTAGCGATCTTTAGAAGATAAGCATTTTCTTGTATTTCACCTCCTCGACAATTATACAAATGACCCCTTTATAGGATTTATTCCTTATGGCTCAGTTTTTTCAGGTAGACTACATTGGGTGGGAGGACGATTTTCGCTATGGTGAAGAAAAGTCCCGTGTGACAATCCATATCGAAAAGATCGGGAGATCGTGGTTTTACCTGCGCTTCTGTACGTACTGTAAGTTGCCTCTCGAGCTTACGTGAACAAGAACCACTAATAAACCACAAAACTTAGGGACTTGATGATCGGAAATCGATACAGACCCCAAGGGCCATGGATCGACATGCATTTCAGGCGCAAAGAGTGGATGGAAGCCGACTCGTATAAATATATATTTACAAGACCTGTGGTTCAATGAGGATGGAGATCTGATTAGAAACTCTGGGTTTTCTGAGGCAGGAAATTGAAGCACCTCGGCCAGTCTCAAATTCTCGAAGTCCCAATGCTTCCGTTGAACATAAAATCATCAGGGAGGTGAGTTATGTGAATCTGGTTCGCAACGACGCACATCGCACTGAAGCAATCGTCCTCATCTTGTCGTCCCTGTCTGCGAACGATGTCAGTGTGAAGTTGGCTTCTTCGCCGTCATTTGGTCTCCTGTGTCCGCATTATAGAAGAGGGATTCTTATATAATTTGTAGGCTAGCTATCCTTGTAATTTTCCATATTAGAAAATAAATAACCCAGTTAGCTGCAGGGAAGCTTTCGTGAACCCCCTCCCACCCTTTGATCTTTGTAAAAGCAAACAAATGAGAGATATAGGCGCAAAAATTTGACTTCTCGATTTCAGAAATCCCATTTTAGCTATTCCCCTGCAGCCACAATGTCTCCACGTATATATACCCCGTCGTATTTGCCATTCGCCGAGGACCCAGAGCGATACAAGGAGAATGGTCTTCATCCGTGTGTCATCGGCGACACGCTTAAACACGGAAGACATCGAGTTATCCATAAACTTGGGCTCTAGAGCCTTCGCAACTACCTGGCTTGACAGGGACACTTTGGCGCATAGATATGTGTCTCTAAAGATCTTGTCTGCCGACACATCGCTCGACTGCAAGGGACTGTGTATCCTTCGCGATATCACCAATTCCAAAGTAGCCCATGAAGGAAGACTATTTGTCATTCGGCTTCTCGATGACTTCGTCATTCAGGGTCCTAACAGCAAGCATCTGTGCCTTGTGATGGTATTAGCAGGAGATCGATTGGCAAGAAAGTCCGGATTGCCTTTCGACTCGTTAGAATGGTCTCGTATTATTGGTCTTCAGCTTGTGAAAGCCTTGCAATATCTTCACAATTTATCCATCACGCATGGAGGTAAAGAGTTTCAGGTTTTCTCCCGCAGGAATACGTTCTAATGCGGATACAGATTGTTACACATCTAATATTCTCCTTCAGCTCCTGGCTTTCGATAAATGGTCAGAGGAGGATGTCTTGGCGTGTTTAGGACAACCTGTCAAACATCAAGTACGTCGCTCGGATGGGAAGCTGATAGGCGACAGCGCCCCTCAGTATACTGTTAGCCCTGGAGATGTCTCTGCACTCGGAGAACGTCCGTCAACAGGCCGTATCCTCCTTATCGACTTCGGGGAGGCATTCTACCATCACGATCCCTCTATGCATGTTTACACACCGGCTCCTTTGGCGGCTCCAGAAATCCTCTTTCACGGTGAGATCACATCTGCCGTCGATAAATGGGCATTTGGTTGTCTAGTATACGAGCTTTGCGCTGGTCACACCCTTATCAAGCTTCTTTTTGGGTGGAATAATGATGCGCAAAAGGACCTAGTGGCTATGCTAGGCAAGCCTCCTGAGCTCATGTGGCATGAATGGAAGGCAAGGCAAGAATATTTCCACCCTGATGGGACACCTAAGAATGCACAAGAGAGGCGTTTGAAGGTGAGGTCGCTTTCATTAGAGCAACAGGTGCGGAACTTGACGAAGCCGTTGAGCGATCCAGGTTATGAGACAGGTGTGGCAGAACCACTTCCAACGAATTTCCAAAAACTAGATGATCTTCTTGCAAGTTTAATCGTCTACGATACTAGTGGCCACCTTTCATTTGAAGAAATCTAGTCATACCAGTTCTTTATAAAGGTCTATGATCCCTAGTGGTCTATAGCTCAAAGATTTCCAGGCGTGGGACTTCTCTGGCTCTCCTGGTCATGTCATACGCTTAGCAAAGAAGAGTTCCTACCGACACGTGTTTGTGACAACATAGGATTTTCTTCTCGTATGTTTAATCAGCATAAACCTGAGTTCGGATACGCTGTTGTGGTGAAATGAGATACACATCAGTCCTCTTTCTTTAGAAAGCCTGAGCTCCAACAGGATATGTCTGCGCAATGTTGAGGGGAGGGGGAGGGGGGGTCGTTTGACCCCGAAAAATCATCTCGGGAGCCTCGTGTCGTACAAACATGTCATCTGCAAGTTGGTGTGCATCCCTGGTCTGGAAACCCCACTCAAGCACATTTATCTGTATGCATGCCTTATCTATTGCATGGCACAACGTCCTGGCCGATTGGTTGTTGTCAATTTGAACTCTGACCCCGGCAGTTTTCAGGACCGCCCAAAATGATTCGGCTAGGAATTATCGCACGTCGGGTGTGGTTATAAACGGGTCAGATCGGGAGCCACTCGTGACCTCATGCCATGAATGGTGTATGCCATATTACCCCAGCTCGAGGTCCATGTAATCTGCCACAACTAGACCAGAGAAGGGTTGCTACGATGATGGTCACCAGTAGGGTAATGGTGACAACATATTGGAGTTCGGTGGTCGCTGAAATCCACCCTGTCCAGCCTTTCTTTGGGCAAGCATTCAATCCGTACCCATAGGAATGACTGTAGTACATATCTCTAACCCTCAGGTAGTCTTTTTATAGAGACAATCACGGTAACAAGGAAGGGGGTTCTGAAGTGTTCCGGGCTCTTTGAGTCTATGAAGAAGAGGAAAAGAGTGCTGACATCATTCCCGTAGTGTGAAAGGCTAGTATTCTCCAGTTCAAAATCTTGCGCAGGTTTCTGACTACCTATGTTCTTGACTTGAGCAACCTAGTTAACGCCCCCATGGATGAACATGCCCATCAAAATCTTCTAATATGAGAGCTTCATCCTTTTTTAACGTGTTGCATAGTGAGCGATAAATTGACACGGCCTCTGTGAGACAGCTCTGGGAATGTTCTTGGTCCCCTTGCCTCTTCAGTATCACACTCTTCAAGAAGATTACTCTTCCCTTTTCTGGCAGATAACAGTCATGTCTGGTGAAAATGATTGTCGCTTGTTCAAGGAGTCCCCTTTCCGGCAGATTCACGATAAGTACCTGACCACAACACAAACCCGAGAGATGAAAGAAAGTAGGTACTCACATAGCCTCAACAAACTTCCTGGTTCTAAAGTAGTGTTGTGCGACTTTGAAGCAGGAGTTTCCGGTACGGTGGTGATGGTGACCTACAGTCTCCTTGAAATGGAGCAAGGCTCGCTCATGAAACTCCAAGCTCATCTCAAGTAATCCTTGACTGCGTCGCACATTGCCCAATAAATGGAGGACCCTCCCAGTGCTAGGAAAAGGTACTTGTAAGTCCATATGTTACAGCTGAGATGTTGAGAAGTCAAGGATGGGGAGGAGCTGTGAATGGTGCAGGGTGTGATCTCACATCATGGACTGCCGGTCGTTTTGTCCCAGCATCTCTTCTCTCTCCATCAGTGCCGTTTCGAGCCACTCCAATGACTCGTCAAGGTTCCCCTGGAGCCAGCTTGCTAAGCCGAGGTTGATTAATGCAAGGCTTCTGGCGGTTTTGACCTTGGTAGGCTCCTTCAGTCTCTCAGCTTCTTCCAGAGCCTTCTTCAACCATTGAATCGCGGTTTCATAGTCTGACTTCATAATATAGCTCATGCCCACGTTAAAATAGGAACTCGTTAGTCTCGAATCTTCGATAATAGCCTTCCCGATGTGCTCTTCAACCATCATCCTGTTGTAGATTAAGAAGTGATGCAAGGCATCATCCGCTTTGTTAAGCTCTGTGGCCGACCCTGCATTGTTGTTGTGTGTCTCAGCGAGCAGCCCTAGACTGGAATGCTGTCTCTCTCCGTCCTTTTTGTCGGCGGACTCCTTGCTGATGATGTGTTCAACATTCTTCTGCGAAACCGAGTAGCACTCGACAGCCTCAAGCGTGTGTCCTCTCTCCTGGAAATACCTATCAAATAAAGATTAATACCCAGTCTGCATCACTCCGAACTTCATAGTGGTGGCGATACACTGTCATGGAGGATTGGTAAACTTACCATCCCAGCTCATTCAGGAGCGAGGCGAAGACCAAGTCGTCGATGAGCAAAGCTTTCAATGTTTTCCCAGCTCGTGCATAGTATTCTTTGAGGCGTAGAATGTGCGGAGACAGTGCTTCGCACTGCTTCCAACGAGCGATCTGATGGCGCACGCCTGGCTCAGCTGTTGGCCACTTGGCCGAAATTATGCCCACCGCAGCCGAGAAGACCAATTTTGACCTTTCTGATGACATCTTTGCTCTTGCGCAATCTTGTATCAGTCGATGAACGGTGAACCTCGACTCTGATCGATTGTGCATGATCAGTGATGACTTGAGGAGCTCGCTCCTTGCGTCCTGGTATGCCGTGACTGTTTGTGGGTAGTCATCTAGTTGTATTTGCCCAGCCGCCCCTTCCAGGTATCCTTCAGGAATGTCGTCAGGGTCAAGGTATGCCATAACGTCTAAAAGGCCGGCGCTGTGCTCGAGTCCCTCCAGAGACCAAACTGAAGCAAGGTTGTACCCGTAATTGGCACGTTTGTGGCTGGGCTCCAGGGAAAGTTCAAAGAGCAGGTTATGGGCCTCTTCCTCCTCGTACCTCTTCAAAAAGTCAGCGAAGGAGAGGTTTTGTCGAACCATCACGCCCGCCATCTGAGTCAAAGCAAGAGGCATGCCTCCAAGCACCTCGGCTACTGAGAAGCTGAGCTTTTCCTCTTGAGGGTCGCCCTCACGCCAGGTCAATTTCAGCAATAATGCTGAGGCATCCTCCTCCTTCATTGGGGACAAGTCCACGCCGTTCTCGACATGGTAGAATGGCGTCTTTGCCAGACTATCCCTACTCGTCAGGAGAACTGAACCATTACTGCCAGCGGGTGGCAAGTAGTCGGAAATCAGATCAGGGTCGTTGACGTTGTCAAAAACCAGCAGCCAGGGTACTTCGTCATCGTAAGTGTTGTCAACTCTGTTGTGCGACCGCACAGGCTCTGCCAGCCAGCCTTTGACTAGCTCTCGAGTGACAACCGGATCCTTGGCGTCCGCGGTCCCTTCAAGAACTAGACCAAGAGTCTCGGCGGCCCTGCTGAACTCGTCTGCCAGTGTTGTGGCTTCCTCTGCGTGAACCCATATGATTGCTTCATAGAGGTCGGCGCGAGAGTGCACGAACTCGTTGGCGAGCTGTGTCTTCCCCACACCACCGGGGCCGCAAATCGCCAGCGACTTGACGTTCTTTCTTGCTTCTCCGTTCGGATCTATTGGTGCGAGGATCTCCTCAATCATCTGGAGCGAGTCCTGCCGGCCGTGAAAATCCCGATTCCTAGCATTTGGAATAACATGGCACGGAAGGATAGGGTCCCTCTTGGTTGTAGAGAAGTCGGACAGACGATTTGTGGCGTCTCTCCGCGGGGTTGACACGGCGACAGTAGCCAGGTTGCTGGTGCCAGCCTCTTCTCTACCGACACTTTCATTCAACGAAGAGTGTTCTGCGTCGTGGTTCGCCATAGCGGACTCCTCTAGACTCGCATAGTATGTATCTTCGACGGTGAAACACCTTGTGTTAGTCGAGCTTGGATTCTAGGGAGCTTTGCAGTCATACCTTGTCGCCCGTCGGCACTGATGAATGATAGTGTTTTCCTCACAGCTGCACTAATATGCTCTTCCAGCACTTTGCTGGGCGTCACGTCGCAGATGTTGAAATGGCTTGCTTCTACCGCGAGCAAACTTTCTAGGCGGACATTCAGAATACAGGATTGTTTCGGCACAATCTAAAACATATCTCAGTTAGCGCTTACCTCATTCTATCTTACCCACGAAGGTACATATGCGAGATATCTGTGTGCACACTAACCAGTGTCTTGGACTTTGACGACGACGATCTTATGAAGATACTTTTGATTGTAGTCTCTTCTGTTTCGTAGATCGTTAGGATGTGAAGGTTGATTGCCACCCTCTCAAATACTCGGCACATTTCCGCCAGGCGTTTAGAGTCACTCGATGAGGTAAGGAACCCTCTCTTATGGTATCCTTGGGTGCCTAAGAGTAGCAGTGGCTGGTTCCAGTCGTTTGGATGGCTTGATTTGAGGTGGGGGGTTGCGACTGCAATGAAGCTCGCCACGGATCGCGCGATTTCTCTGAAGTCGTTAACTCTCTCGAGGGCCTTCGTTAGACACTACGAAAAATGAGTGATCTCTATCGCGAAAACCCATAGGCCAGAAGGAGCGAACGTTACCTGCTTAACCATGACTCCACCCAAACTGTGAGCTAGAAAGACGGTTGGACATTGTTGAAGCTACCAACGTATCAGTGTCAGCGTTGGAGAGGTTCCAGGGCAGTAAACAAATGCCCCAAGGCAAATGTGAGATATATTACCTTGGGGTCAGCCCTGAGCAATATCGAGAGCTCCTCTAAAAGGCCGAGGCCGCTGTCGAAGATTCTGCCCCAGACGCGCGAGTTCAAGTCGCTTGGGCCAAGTCCATGAACAAACTCGTAGACTGAAGGAGAAGGCAAGACATCACTGGGGAGGAAGGACGACCACGGTCGTCCTCTGCCTTGAAACCACGTTGCTGGTCCGGGAGTGCCGATTCCGGGGACCAAAATCACTCTGCGTGGAAGCAACACCATTAGCATCTGTAGTCCATCATTGTCGACTTCATTTTGATATTGAAGCTTTCTCTACTAAAAGGGGGGACCTAGTAAATATCAAGCGGAAAAGGGAAGAATATGGAACGAAGTCGGGTCGGGGCTGGGCGCTGCTCACAGAGTCTCTGGAGAAGAAGAATGGCATACAGCCCGCAGCCGGCTCGGCTGGGGAAAGCTCAAGGTACCCATATCTGGCCAGAGAGTTACGTCTTAGAAAATCCAATATGTCGATCCAAATTTGTTGCTCATGGAAAGATGCAAAGAAAATGAGCATTTTCACACCTGATCGAAAAGTTGAGGGCCATCCATCGCAGGCGGCGGTCCAGAGAGCTGCTGCCCAACATCTCATCCGATCTTCACCTACCCCGCTTTCATAGAGTACCAACGTACTACTCGAGGTATCTGGGTACAAACCGGAACTGCATCGGGTACATGTAGCATCTCGTTTAAGCACCAACCGCCCGCCACGCGTAGCCGACCAAGATTCCTTATTTCTTCCAGTTCCCGATTGCCCTGTCCAAATAATCGGCCGCTTCCACCCCTTTTCACTCCGATACCTCACCAAGCCCTCCCAGTCTTTACCTGACCACTTCGTTGCGTTCTCGTTATGGATGGCCCGACAACACTCGTCACATCGATCTGCTGCCTAGACAGGCTCGATCTATACAAGAAAGAAAAGCCGTACGAAATGCGGTTCATTCCGCCTGGTGATTTCCCACGAAAAAACCTGCAAATCACCAAACATGATGGAGTTCACGTCGACGATGTCAGAGGTCATGAAGACGCACTTTCGTTTGAGAAAAACGGCTTCTTCCTAATGAAGCTTGACGAACTGATGCAGATTGAGGATTTCGACCGAATGGACCTCATTACATCCGTGTACTTGCCACAGGTTGCCGAGTGCCTCAAGAAGCGCCTTGGCGCCAGTCGAGTTCAAGTCCACGACTACTTGGTACGCCGAAAGAGAGAATGCTATATCGTATGAAGTGTCCAGATCGATTGACAAGGCACGTCGCAGGTGCGCAAGAGTCATTCAACTTTCCCCATCTCGACGGGCAAGCCTTACAAGTGGGAACAGCCTGCCACCCTCCTTCACATAGGTGAGTACGGCCACGAAGTAGTCCATATTATCCTTTTACAGTCCCTGAAAGCACTCTACTAGACTCTACCCCTGAGGGCACTCGACAAATTGTGCAGGACTTAAATAAAGACGGCAGCTCTCTGGTGAAGATGAGATACCAATACGTCACGTAAGCCCTCCTATCTTGACCTTGGTCTCTATGGCTCCGCAATAAACTAATCTAAACAGTGTTTGGAAACCCATACGGGGCCCAGTCACAAGATGGCCACTAATGATGGGAGACACGTCGACAGTCGACGCCGATCACGACCTAGAGGCTCGAGACATGGTCTATTATGGCAATGTTGTGGATACTCACCTTGTATACAAGTCAGAGGCTCACAGGTTCATGTACTTGAGCGACCAGCAATCCAGTGAGGCGTGGGTCATGTTGCAATCAGATTCCAGTGGTCTCACCGGTATGCCAGCTTGTCGCAGTTGACAGCCTGCGTCACGCGGCTAACTTCTCGATAGGTACTCCGCATACCGCCTTTCCCAACCCAACAGCTTCCGATGCTGACCCCGGACGTGAAAGCATCGAAGTTCGAACATTGGTGTACTACAATGAGTGAGAATGAATGGGTAGAATTCTTGGATACCTCTGGTTATTACACCTAAGAGCTGCTTGCTTTTATCTAGGAAACGCAATGTGCACAAGGCCGACTCGAGGATGAATGGGCACAAATACATAAGTAGCTTTGGTTGTCATTACAACGTCTCCGATAAATGATGCAATGAACTATTGTTATTCAACATCGTGCAAAGAGGTTAAGTACTCCCAAAACGAGCCACGTTCCATAACATCCTGCAAATTTTGAAGAAGTCAACCTCATGGAGGGGATGAGCCCGTGCCTCCGTAATCATATCAGTTCTTCTTGTTACCGGATTTGGTGTCATAGATTACTTCGTGTCCGCCGTCACCAGTGCTCTGTCCCCCATTGTACATCATGGAACCCTCTGGGTAGAAGTTGGCCCTCTCGCCGAGGGGCTTAGTCGGGGTTTTAGCTTCAGCGTGGTAGGCCATGAATCTGATGACTTCCCCGTCCATCTTCCAGGGCTGAACTTGGACCTTTTTGTCCATACTTGGCAGCAGATCTTTGGACTCGTTGGCGCTATTTTGCGGTAGCATCTAGCTGTCAAAGAGTGATTTAGACGCCGCGGTGGTGTTAGATTGTTCACCTACATGTAGGGATAGATTATCAGAAAGAACTTGTCGGATTGTTCTCTGGGTCTGGGCGGTTTCTGAAGCTAATCCTTGTGATGGTGATAAGAAGGAAAGGGAGAAGATGAAGAGACAAGTCGACTGGATATATGGAAAGAAAAAAGCTGCGAAGACGACAGTTCCAGGGCCCTAGGCCTCGGCAAATGATTTCTGTTGTTCCGTAACCGCTGGGCATACGGCTGGGGTACTCCCAGATTGAGCTGCATTGAGTAGCCTCTGAAAGGCGCTCGCCATTTCCTTTCACTCGATACATTCTCGGAATGTGGGCTACATGGGTCTGGCGCATGCACGCATGCTCAATTCATGACCTTTGATTCGTTGTTTAGATCGCAGCTGCGTCGTACAGTTGGCACGCCATGCATGGATGAGAACATGATGGAACCCCGCGACTGACACCAGCAGCCTGAGGGCTGTGGTCAGTTGATCGGGACTGAGGACACCTTTAGATTGCAGTGTGTTCCAATAAAGCCTATGTACGATTCCAAAGCGGGGTTTAGGCACACAGAAATGCGCTTTGAACGCTCCACATGATGCGACGACGGAGGTACAGATTATTGCCATCGAATCATTAACCGAAAGCCTCACCTCACCGAAAGCAATACTACCTTGCCAATTCAGCAAGTACTACTGGGACTGGTGCGAAATCATTCACTTTCCACGGAGCAGATAACATATTTGCATATTATGATCATTCTATTACTAATCAACAATGTCACGGTGTGAGGCTCCGGTAGACCTCAAAAGGAAGAGATTTCCAGGTGGCGCCACTATGCCACATGCGAGAGCCTGGTCAAAAGGTTATGCTATCCATAGGGTGGTCAACAAACCCCCAGCTAGCCCACTCTATCTAGATTGAAGCGTAGTTTCTCTAGATATGCTTCTTGCAAGATCTTTGAGCAATTCCAACCGCGGATGTCATGATGGACTCTCAGGAGCTCACTAGTCGCGTCAACCCGGATTATTATGCTAAGCTAATTATCGATTACGCCAGGCAATCCTTGGGAGACTCTGCCTTCTCTGGCGATATCTATGAGGGACTAGCCGCCTTCCTCTCTCGTGAATTCGATGACCGAGTCCCTGTGGATGTCATCGTACATACATTAGCCTCTGGACCGGACACAAGTCAACGAAGCGAGAAGATAGCCGCAGGAGTCGCCAGGCCGTCATGGTACAAAACAGCCAATCAGCTGGAGCACCTTCGCCATGTCTTCATTTCCGAAGATGGTAACAAAAAGCACCAAGTACCCGTTCAAACACATAGCACGGCCATCATATTCATGCAGGGCCATCAGCCTCCAGAATGCCTTACACGCCTCGGCGCCTTTTTTAACATCGACCCGCGGTTCTTCAATCGACATCTTGAGTATTTCTGGCACTCTCGGCCCTTGAAGCTATTCCCATCTCCTTCGCTACCCTCTGCCTCCTTTGGTATCATCCGACTTAGGTTGGTCACTCTTGGGGAACACAAAGAAACTGGAAAGGGCCACACTCGCTCGACCGTCAAGACGATGCGAAGCATGAGTGAGTTGGCGATGGAAGAGTACCTGCACGATCTTACCCGGGAGTACATGTTGCAAGCAGGAAATTCCATCGTGCGCGCGTTCAATGTTCATAGCACGAAATACTTCTCTATCGAGCAGGAAGTAACGGTTACGGTGAAGTCGGTCCCCACCGGTGGATGGGTTCTTCTCGTCTGGACAGATGTTGGCCAAGACTTATCGAAGGGCCCAAGAGGTCCATGGCACCGGGGAACCACCCATACCGTTCAAGTGAACTCTCCATTTCTCCCCAACATTCATCATTTCACACCTTGGTCGGCGGGAGCAACAAAGACTCCAATTTCCAGAATTGTTTCCGGTTCGCATCAGCCACCAAGTCCGTTTGCGCAGTCCGCATTGTGTCTCGCTACGAAATATGGGACGACCCTGGATGCGACACTTGCGGTGGTAGACTCCTTCTATTCGACTACCGAGCTGTTCCAGGCTTCCATTAACTCCATTTGTCAACTTCTCAATCTGATAGAGACCATAGTCGACGAAAGCACCGGGTACAAGCTCTACAAGTCGCCGAACCAGAGCATCGCCAACCTGGCCTATCACATGGACATTCTCAACCGCTTCGAGAACAGACTTCGCGAAAACGTAGTCGAGATCGAGAGCATTGAGAGCAACCCATGGCCTAGTGGTATCGAAGGAACAAGACAAAGCAGCCAACATGGGTTGAAACTGAAGACCAAGGAAGTTCTCCTCACAGACATTAGGAACCTTATATTCCGTGTCGAGAACCTTTTGCAACGCTGCCAGAGCGGTGTATCAACGTGTATGGGCAGTGCTGCAATAGCCGAATCTGAGAGGGCGATTCAACAAGCCCAACAGATGAGATTGCTTACCCGGCTCGCCTTCTTCTACATACCACTATCATTCACGACATCCTTCTTTGGGATGAACGTTTTGCTATTCGGTTCGGGTAATCTTCAATTGTCGACATGGTTTGTTGTTTCTATTCCGCTGCTTGTTGTATCGTACCTTGCTCTCATTATGGCCGAGCGCGGTTGGCTCTCTACGGGGGTAATCCAGAGGTATTACCAGACTTTGTCGACTCGGAGGGATGGGCAGCAGGATGGGCAAAAAGAAAAGGCGGGCTTTGGTGATGGATATCCACCCCAACCAGACCGACCAGCCGCCCAGCACTAAGGGCACGGATCTTATGTCAGACTGGGAATCCTACGGGCACAGTTTCTTCCTACTGTAGACAAGGTGAAATGATAGAAGTACGCATCTTTGGTATTCCCAAAGCTCCGTGTGCCAGCAACTTCAAAGCTATCGACGAAGACTCTCCCCTCCAGTAGCATGGAGGTCCTGTCGAGTAGCATACCCTGAGGCCCACACCTGTCCGGAACAGTTGCGACGACCGTGTCGCATTTCACCTCGCTGCTTTCTCCAAATGCGTCGATACTTTGATTATGTTTGATGAGTCGTTGGAAGCGTGCAGCATGTTTTGCTGGTAAGAAACCAAGAACCAGTCTTACTCCTCCTTGATAAGAAGAGGAGGTGGCCCCACGGCAGAGAAAGTGGAATCCCAAGCACTCATGACCTCGAACAGTTTCGCCTCTTGGTTTGCGCCAGCCATTGCCAACATTCCAAACCCTCTCCCGTTGTAGTCAATAAACCCCAGAGGCAGTGAAGCAACAGGATATCCTGAGTGTACTTTGGTTAGTTGAAGCTTGCACAAATGCACATTTGTCTCTTTCTTACCGGCGGCAGCAGCAATCTTGGTCATCTGACTATCGGCTGGTCCGATGATGACATCTATGCCGTAGTCTTGGAGCATCCTGTCGATTCCATCGGTTCTGGAGAGTGTCCTGGCATTCTGGAGGTGGGCGGCATATTCCTCTGCAGAGAGCACTAGGGACGCAGCATCGTCAACTCGCTTCTGGTTATGATCTAAACGGGGTACAACCCAAACTAGTTAGACGTCTTCAATGAAAGATAGAAGAGGGGTAAAACTGACTTGGCGGTAGGTCCACTCGCGGCATGTCGTCTTCCCCAGCTGCGTTGTCCGGTGAAAAGTTCTGGAGGGCCTTGAAGTCTTTGATGGGAGCGAAAGACAGTCCGGCCAGATACTGCTCGAAATCATGGGAGAAGTCCGATACTGATCCGATTTAGCAGGAAGAAATGAGATATGGGCAGCATGGACTCACGCAAGACTGTCAGCAAGCTGTCTCGGCCGTGCAGCTTGAAGTCGTCAGGGGAAACGAGGGGCAAGTTCTCCACGACAAGTTTGGCAGAACTTTTGATCTGATCATGGGCCTTCTGGAAGCTATCATACTGAAATCTGGTGAGCTGCCACTGCAGTCAGATTGCATCAATCGTCTCTAGGCGTACCATCTGCTTGGTGGCTTCGTCGACAGGCATAAGAAAGTTGCTGGTATGCCACCACTGTCGGTAGTCGAGAAATCCCACAGAAATATCTGACCAGGAAGACGTCAGGCTTTTGGTGAGGCTGGTAGATGGCGGAGTATCCAGGATAATGTCGAGCAGGAGTGCTAGGTCAAACGGGCTCTTGGCTATGGGACCTGCCGAGTCACACGTGTGTGATACCGGGACGATACCTCGCTGAGAGATCAAGCCCACTGTCGGCTTGATGGAGTACAGACAGCATCGGCTCGCTGGCCACACGAGGGAGCCGTTGGTTTCGGTTCCAAGCGACAGAGGTGCGTAGCCGGCAGCTACGGCTGCAGCGGATCCGGAAGACGAGCCTGAAGGCATCTAGAAACAGAATAGCGGTCAGAAAGGCGGTTCCTTGGCACTGAACTGGCACCTTACACTATGGCCATCTTTCGAGTCACCTGGCTGGGCTCCTCCATGGACAAATGGTGACTGAGTCTGTCCTCTGACAGCCGACCAACCGCTGGGTAGGTCCTGGCCTCTGTTCAAGCATTAGCGACATGCATCGATGGGTGTATGTGATTCAAGGGCAATGCTACTTGAAGTTGGACAATTCCTGTTGGGCAAAGGTCTGTATGTCAGTCCAGGGTCTTAAGGTGCAGATAACTTAGCAACAAGGTGGTATGATGTACGCTGAGATTTGCCTTGCCAAGAACAATCAGACCAGCATCGAGCAACTGCGTGGCATCAGTGAAACTATTCTTAACCTGAACTCGGGTTCCGGTGTGATGTGCTGCAATTCAACAGTACCTTGGTGATGACGGGGGCGTTGTCTCGTGGCTTGGAGTTCCAGAGGGCAAGACTGCCAGCTGTGGTCCTCATCCCAAGGCTTGGGGATGTGTCAATATTATCCTTCAAAAGCTCCTGTTAGAAAGGAAAGTTGAGAACCTCCAGCAAGGCCACAGCCCAATGAGAACATACCTTGACAATGATAGGAAGACCGTGAAGAGGACCTCGCAACTTTCCCTGTGCGCGTTCTTCATCGAGGCTTTGGGCGATTGCGCTCAAGTCTTCCCTCGTCGGGGTAGAGATGATGGCATGGAGGTAGCCGTCTTGCTTCTCTATCTGATCCATATATGCCTGCACAAGTTGCACGCTGTTAAGAGTCCCATTGCCGAGGAGAGCGCTGATAGCTTTTGCATCGGCAGTGAGAACATCAAGCACGAGCTTCCGCTGAGACATTTTGGTCGGTCGCGCAGGTGATCCGAGTCAGAGAATGAATGAGGAATAACCTGGAAGGGTGGCGACAGGATGAGGCAAGGAGGGGAGGGGAGATAAAGGCGAGACAGAGAGGCAGGCAGGCACCCAGTTTTAATATTCATACAATGGTCACCCACCACATCAAACAATGGAGGTACCTACCTAGGTAAGGTAAGGTATCTAAGGAGGTGCCCAAGTAAAGGTACTCCTGGTACCGCCCGGTGCTGCTGCCCGCTGTGTCAGGCTGCATTGCTCACTGCCCGCCCGCACTGCGCGACACACTGCAGGTGACCAATCATTGGACAGGCACCCGAGGACGCTGTGCTCCAGAGCGAGCGTGGCTGGGCTCCAGCTGCTTCTTCACACCGCCATCCGCCACATCTTCACCCCACGCCTCAGATGCACCTCACGCTCGCCCACGCCACTCACTGATGCTGCTCTTGCACCTTTCACTGATAGAAACCGTTTGATGAATTCTCCTGTTATTGCCGCGCACACGATTTATTGACCGCATTGTTCCATATAGAACCCTTGCTTGCCCGACTTCCACTTCAAAGACGAATCGACAATCAGCCGTTCGCACATGGGTGCCGCAGCAACACCAGTAACTCCGATGAAGCCGCTCACATTCATCAACATTTGCTCCGCTATCATGGCTAGCATCCCCAGCATTGAATCTTCAGTCACCTTTTTGCTCGGCGAAACCCATTACTTGGCAAGGCCGCTCCCAAGGAGCCCCAAATACCAAGTATGTAACTATCAATCCGTCAACTGCCAGCACAGTGACAATACTAACTCTGTCACAGCCCAGCAACCTCATCAACGTGGTTGTGAACCAATCCGGTGCCGCGGCTTCTTCACTCATGACATACTTCAAAGTCGCCAAGGACCAGGTTGTTGATGGCAACACCTTGCTCGGCTGGAAAACTGCCTACCTCGACAAAGACGACGTCTTTCACCCCGACTTCCTTAGAGACGTTGTCTTCAGCGGTGTTGCATCTGGGGATATCACCCTCACCAGTGACGCTCGAGACGTACTCAAACAGTGGGGCACCTTGAATGTGGGATACGACGTTTGCACAGACCTCCCGAACGGTCCGTACCTTTACTACCAAGGTGTCCACCACTCAGTCTGGAGGGTATATGAGGATCCCCAACTTGCCTTCTCGCAGTCTATTTGGCCAACTGCACAGGATAGCCGGTAAGTGTGGGCCATAAGAAGAAATGGGATCATGGTTGAACAAGAACTTTCAGCGTATTCAGGCAAGTTGATGCTGCCGGAAGTGGCTATCGAGGCCACGGGATAGCCGTTCCCTCCCGGTCATACGCCGAAACCTTTAGGGCCTCGACGGGATCGGGGGTTCTTGGGAACAGTTCTCTCCTCGGGCGAGTGAGGTTCTCAGTCAAGGACAACTTCCATGTCCGCGGTATCAAAACAACTCTTGGCAACCGCGCCTTCTTCGAAACTTACCCGGTTCAGCAAACCAGCTCCACAGTTGTGTCCAGGCTTCTAGGTGCAGGTGCGCATCTTGTGGGGAAGACACACCTCAGCTCGTTCGCTATGATGGAACACCCCATGCAAAGTATCGATTACCAAGCCCCTTTCAACCCCCGAGGTGATGGGTATTTGATCCCTGGAGGCAGTAGCAGCGGCAGTGCTGCTGCTGCCGCATCTTACGACTGGCTGGACATCTCGATATGTACCGACAGTGAGTGTCCTTCTGTCTGGTCAGGTAGGAATTTGGCCGCTAACCTCATGGTCTAGCAACCGGAAGCTCTCGGATCCCGGCCCTCCAAACTGGTCTCTTTGGCTTCCGCCCGACAACTAATTCTATCTCCACCGACGGGCTGGTACACGCCTGGGCAGACTTTGATACGCCTGCCTGGATCGGCCGAGATTTGGGCATTTTCCCCGACATACTCCGCGCCCTGTCAGATTTGCCCGAAGCTAGAGCTCCAAAAGAAGCCAGATTGGTGCCATTACTTCTTTACCCCACAGACTTCATCCCCCCGGAGAGCCCCGAGCAAGAAGCAGCAATGGAAGACTTCCTTGACAGCCTAAATCCATCCACGGGAGGGATGTACAGGAAGATCTCGATCCAAGATGACTGGTCAAAGACCTCCCCTGTTGATGAAAAGGACTTGCACCAATATCTGTTCAATGTGAGTTCGAGCATCCATGCATGTACTCATAGAGTAAGGTGTTTAACCATCTCTTTCCCTAGTTGACTCGCAATGGTTGGTACTACTCTGCCTATCACACATTTGATTCTTTCAGAAAGGAATACAAAGAAGCCCATGGGCACGATCCATTCGTTACAGAGATTGTGAGGTGGTACTGGTCAGTACAGCCATCTCGTTCTGCGCCCGGGTTCTGCGACCAGACAATACTAACCAAGACTAGGCAACTTGGCCGTGAAGTACCCGAAAGCGACCATAATGAGATCATGAAGCGACTTTTAATTTTTAAAACATGGTTCGTTAATCAGTACATGGCGGGAGGTGCAACCATTCTAGCACTGCACATCGGCAAGGTCCAGCCGAGATATCGCGACCAATACCCGGGAAATAGCAACCCTGAAGTCCCTGGTCTGCAACCACCATATCTGTCCGCTATACTAAACGCTCCCGAGTTAGCCATCCCCAGTAAGTCCTTGAGAATTTCCCTCTTTTCATGCTATCTGGTGTCTGGTGTGGTTATTGTGGCCTCACTTACTCCTCTCCTGCCCTTAGCGCTCCACCTCCTTGTTCTGCTTTGACTTTCAAGGGTCTTTAAACACTAACAAAATCCATAAAACTGAAGTCTCTGAGCTTGCATACACCTCTCGTATTACCAACCAGGAAGAGAATCTTCCCGTAGTGGTTTCATTGATGAGTGGTTCGGGCACCGACCTAGACTTTATTCGTTGGACGTTAGACGCCTTGGAGAAGAGTGGGCGGCCAACGAAGGTCAAGACAGGGAAGGTTATGTTCTAGAGATACTTGTGTACACCCTGGCAATTATACTTCTTGAAGAACCATGTGATCTAGCTCGGTGATCCGACGAAGCTCCGATTGCAAATGACGGGCAGTGGCGAGGCCACTCTCCCGATCGCAGGGCCTTCAAGTCCGACTACTATGACCGTCTCCGGCGTAGGTCCGAGGCCCGGGAACTGGTCCCGGACTTTGACCTCTCGACCATGGCTTGGTAGGCGCCTGCCGCGTGGCTGGTGAGTCAACCCATCCGGACGTCCGCATGCTCGAGTTTCCAAAACTTTGTATCTCAATAGCCGTGAATAACAGACCGCGTGAATAAGTTATCTCCTTTATTTCTCTAATTAGCTGTGATTTGTGTCCTTGAAACGGGAGCACGAATTATACTACATATAGGAAGACTACATTCGCACGATACGCCGTCTGTCCGAATTGAACAAATAGCACATGTGCTCCGAGGAGCCTAAACACCGTACGGTCAAACCTCCGGGTTATAGATTTTTCTGAAGTGAAGCATCGGTGGTTGTCGCTGGTGTCGGCGTCGGCGGCCGACGGCCGAAATCATTCTGCAAGCCACGGCCCGCTTCGGACCGGAGGACAACCGTCTTCCAACTCATGCCGGAAGGATGCCGAAGACAACCCAACCATAACTGCAGTACTAAATTCAAATCCGCCAGTTGTAGTAGATTCTCCGAAGTCGAAGCTCCGGGAGCAGACGAATTGGCAGAGCTCCGATCCTATTGGCCATAACATTCTTGGCTGCATTTTCACATCTTCACACTTCACGACCAACACAAACCACCAAAGCTAGACGCTCTGCAATGATTGAAAAACATCCTATCCGTATCGGAAATGTCTCCGGTGCTACTGGTGACCATCCGCATGCCATGCAGCGCATGGTGCGGTCCGGCAATGTGGACGTCATCACCGGGGATTGGCTGTCCGAGATGAACATTGCGTGGAACGCCATCACCCGGCAGGAAGTGGATGAGACCCTGGGCTATGAGAATGGTTTCTTTGAGCAGCTCGAAGAATGCATCGACGATATCATCTCCCAGAACATCAAAGTAGTCACCAACGCCGGCGCACTCAACACATTAGGTCTCTACAACAAAGTAAGGGACCTATGCCAGCGAAGAGGCCACGGAGACACCGTTGTTGCGGCTGTCTTGGGAGATGATGTTTCTGATTTGTTTGCCAAGGGTGGCAAGGATCAACCCACAGGTGTTGTCCACCTTGACCATCCGGATATGTCGGTCGATGACTGGGAATTCACACCCTGCGCCGCCAATGCCTATATCGGTTGTTGGGGGATCGCAAAGGCCCTGGAAGCTGGTGCTTCAATCGTGCTCTGCGGCAGGTGCACCGACGCTTCACCTGTCATGGGTGCTGCGGCATGGTACTATGGCTGGAGGGAAGACCAATATGAAGAGCTAGCCGGCTCGCTGCTCGCCGCGCATCTCATCGAATGTGGACCGTACGTCGTTGGCGCAAACTTTTCCGGCTTCAAGGACTTCCTTCCCGAGCTGGTAGACCTTGCATTCCCAGTTGCGGAGATTGACTGGCGCGGCGGAGCAGTCATTACCAGGACGGGCGAAGGGGGCGGTCATGTCACCAAGGAGACAGTCACCGCGCAGATGCTCTACGAGCTGCAAGGTCATCTCTACCTCAATCCCGATGTCGTTGCAGACCTCTCAAATGTGAGGATCGAGACTCAGGGCACAGACAGGGTGGCTGTAAGCGGAGCGAAAGGCCTCCCACCTCCACCTACTACCAAAGTCATGGTTGCCGGCAAGGGCGGGTACCAGGCTGAGGCCACCTTCTACCTCAACGGCCTGGATGTAGCAGAGAAGGCTACGATGATGAAGAATCAACTTGCCCATGCCTTTCAAAACAGCAACTTCAGCAAGCTTAGCATTGAACTATACGGAACGCAGGCGGAGAACCCTTCGTCCCAGCAGGCGGGAACTGTGTGCCTGAGAGTCTTTGCTCAAGCCCGTAGACAGGAAGACATCGCCGCAAGCAAGTTCAAAGTTCCGATCTACGCCATACGCATGCAGTCATATCCCGGGTACCATATGAACCTCGACTTCCGCACGATGGAGCCCCGGCCGTTCATGGAGATGTTCCCGGGGCTTATTCCGCTGGCGGTAGTCGACCACCGTGTCCAGCTGAACAATGGTAGTAGCATCGCTGTAAACCCGCCAAAGAATACGGCAGTATATCCGGTCGAGCGGCCTTCTTCCGACACATCGAGCCCGATCGACCTGTTGTCGCTGGGCCCCACCGAGTTTGCGCCGCTCGGCAGCATCGTCCACGCCAGATCCGGAGACAAGGCCAACAACTCCAACGTCGGGTTCTTTGTTCGCCACGGGGACGAGTATGCTTGGTTGAGAACTTTGATGAGCGTCCAGAAGTTGAAGCAACTTCTGGGAGACGACTGGTTCAAGAGTGATCCCAACCGACGAGTCGAGCGCGTAGAGTTCCCGCAGATCAATGCGGTACACTTGTGAGAGCTGCATTCTTATTCGCCCTTGCCAAGGTGCCTTGCTAACACAAATATGCAGCCGCATTCTTGACAATCTCAACGGAGGAATCGCGTCATCAGATAGAATCGATGGGCTGGGTAAGGGAATCGGCGAGTACCTACGTAGCAAGTACGTTGACGTGCCTAAAGTATTCTTGGAACGGGGTCGCATATGACCATGGTAGTTGCTGGTATACTATTGAAGCATTGTAACATAGGGATAGTAGATAGTCTAAACTAACTACCAAATGATGAGAGTTTCAGGTACCAATCCTATTGGGGCCGGGGATATGGATGGAGAGTCACTGTAGTATTGCTGCCATCGGCCGGTTGCGTTCCTATCAAGTCCTCAGGCACCTTGCCATGCTCGACCCATTCCACCATACGCTCGAAGGTATTGTAGGTTGATGGGACATAGGGATATGGTGGAGAAGTACCGCAGTGTCCACCTCCCGGGATCATGAATAGCGAGAAGAAATCATCGAGCTTGTCGCCGGATACACCTCGCAGCTGTTCACGATGCTCGATAGGCCAGTAAGGAGAATTGAAGGGATCAGCCCACCCTGAAGGCCACACGTTAGCTTGTCAACTATCCTCTCTACATAGACAATCAGGCGGGCTTACCTTGGGTGACAAGCATCTTGCCTCCATGCTTGCGGAATGTCTCCAGATCAGGCGAGATGTGATCAATGTAGGGGCTGGCCTTCTTGTCCACCATATCGACATCCGAGCCCCAATTGAAGGTGGTGTAGTCGTAGCTCAGATTGTCGAAAACAAGGTTTTGCAGGATGGGAACACCGTATTGCAAGTATAGCGCAGACTCCTGGAACATCCACGCACCCTCCGATCCGGGTGCAAAGCCGGGGTAGACTGGCTTGCCGTTGCGTGAATCCTTGGGTCCAGCGTAGAACTCCTTTACGTTTTCAATCTGAGGCTGAGTCAAGCAGACCGTCTTGTTGTTGACCAGAGGTTCCTGATTCCCAGAGCATTGAAGCTTGGTGACGTCGAAGGGACACTTGGCAGGGTCGGATACGACGCGGTCTTTGACTCCATCAATGGCATCACACTCGTCAATGACTGAGTCGCTGATTAGGTTTAGGGCATCTTGACTGAGGAAGGCACCCTTCCGCTATACACACTTCCGTCAATACGTAGTATAGTATAGCGGGGTTGGAGATCCTTACATTCGAGTTCACACCATTGAAGAGAAAAGAAAGGATCAGGTGCGAGTACCAATTGCCGGGGCAGCCCGCCGAGATGCCGTCGAAGACTCTGGGGTGGAACTGGGCCAAAGCAAAACCTTGCGCTCCGCCAGTGGAACATCCAACGTAGTACATCTTCTTTGGAGATCTTCCGTAGTACACACTGGTGAGCTTTTTTGCCGGCCGGGTGAACATGGCGATTGAGTCTCGTATCCATGTCAATACCTTCGACCTGTCATGGAAGAAAGCTACATAGGATCCAGGCTTTGTCTCGCCATTCTCGGACAACGGATGCCCTCCATCACCTCTGCTCGCTGATTAGCATATATCGAGCAATAGGAGGAGGCTTTCAAGGTACCCTGCAACAGCATGGCCGTTGTTCAATTGTTGCAACATTGAAACATAGTCAATGGAGCCAGCAAAACCTCCATTACCTGTGAAATGTCAGTCGACATACTATACAGCTAGTAAGGAGGAGTTGAGGAGCGGCTTACCAACAGCCACGTAGCGTCCGTCATAGTTTGACTTGGCAGGCAGCCACAACTCAAAGTTTAGAGTGTTGTTTCCATCAGGACCATACGGGATGATACCGACGACTCGGCAAAAGGCAGCCTTGTTCCCACCGTTGATGGAGGCCTGAGGAATGGACAGTGAGCTTGCAGCAACGGGAGTTGCATTGAATTGCGTACAGCCCGGGAGATTCAAGCCTTGAAGGGTTTCCAAGTCCGCACACTCAACGCCGCATCCAGGTCTCGCTGTAGCGGTACCAGAGAGCAAGGCAAGCGAAACAAAAGCTGCTGTGAGAATCATATTCAACATCATGACGGCCGAATATACAGGGCGGTCTGGCGGAAACGATGCTACCCAAGGAGAATCCTCAGGGCTTATAAGTTCTTCCCCTCCTAGCTTCGGATGTCGGGCTGGGCGCCGCCCAGGGATCAACAGCCGAAGATATTCCATCCCCAAGTCGCGATGCCACCGCCCGCTCAACTCCGCACTGAAAAGCTGGGGGACCTTGCCAAGCTTTGCTTAGCGGCGTGCGGAGAGGCTGTCTTAGGTCGATTAGCTTGGCAACGGCGCGATGGATACGACTGTGCGTTGCACGCGAGACGGTGTTTAGTGCGTCGGCCGTCCCAGGCCGACGGGATATCTTCGGCGCAGACCACCAACATTCTCACTGGTAGGCCCCCTTTTGTTTTTACTCCGCATTAGCGATGTAGCCAATGACTGGAGAACCGAATGCGCCACGATGTATCAAGCCAATGGGGGGTTGTTTGAATTGGAGCGCGAAATACGTAGATCAACCAATTTGCAAGTTCCAGTCTTCCAGCAGTCCGCCTCCTTGGTCGATCTCGCCAAGCCAGTCAGTGCTGAGTTGTAGAATAGCATCATCGCCCCATTGTGAATCTCCCATGCGCTGTAGATCCGGGAAACAGTCCCTCAGAGCATTGTCTACCGCCAAGGAAGGCTGAAGACCGCCAGCAGCAAACTCATCATCAGCTGAAACGGGGAAGCTGGCCTGAATGCAGTCTAGCCCATCCATCATGTGACCCTGTGCTCGAGCATCTCCTACTGACGATGCGGAAGTTTGCTGTCCCAAGTCTGAGGACCTGGCCACAGGCCCCGAGCTCGACAATCCGGAGAGTACTGCCACGGCATCGGCCAATACCGCATCACTCAGTCGATCAAACACCTCGTGACAGTTCTTCTGGGCGTTGCACCGTTCAGAAATTGCGACGAGGACATTCGAACACGCCCTGCAGCAATTTACAATATCAACGATGCTGGGCTCCTCGGCCAGCTGCGTGCGAGGACCTTCCCCACGCCGCCTCTTCTCCCGGAAGTGGCGGCTCAATGCGTACACGTAGGATAGGCCGGCTATGAAGACCGAGTGCATCGTGATCCACAAGAAGTTGATCTTGCGCGAGCGGAGGAGATACGCGTAGAGGGTGATGGACTGATGCGCGGCCGAGAAGATGTGCTGAAGGCTCTGGCTATCGGCGTTGGCCGCCGAAACGGTCGTCACGGAAGGGCGGTAGAGCAGCAGCACACCGTTGTGGTACAGCATCTCGTACCACGCTTTGGACTGGAAACTTGACCGTGCTTCTGCCAGTCGTGTCATCAGGTCCAGTTCGGGCAGATCCAGATTGTTGGTGTCCGCCCGCCAGGCATCGAGCTCTGCCGCAAGACCACTGCGTATGCGGTGCAGGTCATCTTCCGACTGCGCTGCGGCTTTGCTCCCGCGGTGCAAGGACGTTAAACAACGGCCGCAGATGTCACGGTATCGTACGAGGTGGACGAAGAGGCGAGTGCGGTAGCTCGGAGCAATGCGGGGGAGTGTCTGATCATCGGCGCCGATCACGGATGGGCTCGAGACTTCATCTAAGTCCTCTGTCGGCAGTTCAACATCAATATCCTCGATACAGATTGCTAGAGGTCTTCCGAGAGTGATAGAAACCATTCTATATCGTTCGAGGTTAGCGACGGCTATGCGGCGCGGCGGGAGCTGGTAAACGCGGGAGCTTGGGAAACAGACCTGTCGAACACAAAGGCGCTCCAAAAGCACCTTCGACGAACTTCATTCTCTTCAAATTTCGGCGAGAGGTGTGATATATCGCCCTGGGCGCCATTGGGCTTGTTCAGTCGATACATGGTCTCTCGATGCAAGCCCAGCTCGAAACACATGCGGGCCGCGATGCCAACAATGTGCCACAGGCCTTGAGAAGAGGTTAATCATGTGCCTAGTCTGAAAATGGGAGGGACACCTACTCCCAGATGCATCGGTCGTTGAGCTGCCGAGGCGAAATTGGCATAGAAGGAGCATCGCTTGTAACGCTCGCAATCCTCCCTCGGAGAGGACTTGATTGAGATGGATCGCCGCTCGTTGGTGATGCGTCTCTGCGTCAGGCAGTGCCTGCCAGTTGAATTTGTAGACCTGTGAAGTTGCGATAGCTAAGATCATGTTGAACATGAATGCTTCAAAGGCATGCGTCCGGGAGAAGGATGCATCGCTATAGATGCAGTCGACAGTGGCCCGAACAGCCCGGGGGTGCAGGAACGGGTAAGAGAGGTGGTCGTGGGCTAGGTATGCCTCGATCAGATGTCGAGCAAGCTGCTCTGGTGGTAGCGACCTGTCATCTGCGCCCCAGTCGCGAGTGACGGGGCTTGTACCTGGCGAGAGCGTCGAATTGGAAGGATTCGCTAGCCGTTCTGCATTGACCGGAACACCAGCATTCACCAGGCTTGCCAACAAGATACCGCTCGTCGAGCCGAGGAATTGCCTATCACCCCCGGCACTGGTCGAGAGATAGGAGACTTCGTTTGCAATGTCATCCGTGCCACTGTCGTTCCGACTCCTGGGTCTTCCGTTCTCCTCTCCTGCTTGCGACACTATCGTCTCATCGACGTCCGGACTCGTCGCTGCCGGCGGCGCTGAGGAAGCAGCAGCAGCCGCTGCCGAAAGCCTCCGGTTCGCTGCCTCGAGCTGGTGAATCCGGCGCTCGAGGTTCTCCACGAACCGGCGGCGATAGACGGGCTGCTTCGCCCGCTCCGAGTACACGCAGCTCGCCTGGGCCCGCCGACACGGGCCGCATTCCGGGTGCACCTTGTCGCACCTCGTCTTGCGGCGGTGGCAGCGGTCGCACGCCTGGGGCGCGTCTGAGGCTGCTGCTGCTACCGGCGTAGGCATGTGGAACTGCGCATCTCGTCAATGCATGTAGAGTATCGGTGACGGACGGCCGATGGGCACACCGTTCGCAGACTGGATGAGGGAGGGCCCCTGCCTTGGAAATACCAGGGAGCCGATTCGCCCTAGTTTAGGCCGCAGACGATTATTTCCAGGCCAGGTTAGCAGGTGTGGTGCTCATCCACGGATCCCCACTGCCGTTGGACCCCTTGGACTCCCCGGTAGTGGTTTTCGGCGGTCACATCGCCGACGTCGGCCCTCCACAGGCCGATGCTTGAAATATCTTCGCCCATAATGGCCAGGTTGTGAGGGGAACGATCCGGGGGCCCAGACAGGAAAATCAGTTTCGCGGGGAAAATAAAATCTGGGGAGAGCTGTACATTTTCAGAGTCGATTTTGATCAAGCTCTCTATTCCCTTTACCAGACTCTTTCCTTCCATTGCCAAGTCCACTCTGTTTCTCCGGATCCCCTTTCAAGATGGCAGATAAAGAAGTTTCAGGACCAAACGCTTCGATCCGCATGGATGAAGACGTTGAGGCCAGCAAAGAAGTAAGGAGCCAAAGTATTTCTTTTGTTCGAGCGAGCAACTTTCTTAACACTGTCTTATAGCATTTCTCTTCCGACCAATCAATTCAACAAGGGACGCTTGACCCTGCGTTGAACGCCGCCCTGGTCAGGAAGCAAGACTACAGAATCATCCCTCTGGCTGCCGGCATCTACCTGCTCTGCTATCTGGATCGCTCCAATATCGGCAATGCCAAGGTTCTGAATGCCACAACTCACGATGACCTTCTCTCGGAGACGAACATGACGAACTACGAGTTCACCATCGCACTGATGGTGTTCCTGATTGCTTATGCTCTCTTCGAAGTTCCGTCCAACTACTTCCTCAAGAAGATGAGACCCAGCCGATGGATAGCCTTCTTGATGTTGTCATGGGGTGCTATCACCATGGGCTTGGCTGGAACTCACAACTATGCCTCCGTCACAGTTGTGCGATTCCTCCTTGGCGTATTCGAAGCTGGTAAGCAATTGAGCAAGAGACTGCCCTACAGAGAGAGTACTGTGCTGACATTCCAAAAGGCCTCTTCCCCGGACTTGTATACTACCTGACCTTCTGGTATCGGACTGAAGAGCGGTCTATCCGGGTAGCTGCCATCCTTGCCTCTGCAACTCTCGCGGGTGCCTTCGGCGGCGCGATTGCCTATGGTGTTGGTCACATGAATCAGACGCAGGGCATGTCTGCCTGGCGCTGGCTATTCCTTCTCGAAGGTCTCCCGTCTGTGATCTCTTCTGTCTTTGTCTGGTTCTTCCTGCCCGACTATCCTGAGACCGCGTCTTGGCTCTCTACGGAGGAGAAGGACCTGGCAGCGCACCGACTGGCTGAGCAGGGCTCTCACGGCGGCAGCAAGTCGCTTACTTGGGCCGAGGCGAAGGAGACGCTGCTCGAATGGCGGCTTTGGGCGCACTATTGCGTAAGAGCTCCTTCTTTGGTTTTGTGGCGTGACAAGGAAGAGACTGACATAACTTCAAGATCTACTTTGGCATCTCGGCCCCGTTCTCCAGTCTGTCTCTGTTTACGCCATCCATCACCGCTGGCTTGGGGGTAAGTTATGCACAACTTGACTGATGCATCAAGTGCCTTCATGCTGATCAGAGCCCTTTGCAGTATGAGAACCTGGAGGCGCAGCTCATGACCGTTCCTCCTTATGCGGTCGCCTATGTCGTCACCTTGGCCGTCTCGTGGTCCGCAGACCGACACAACGCGTAAGCTTTGACGCACTTCTTTGCGGCCTTGTTTCTGACATATGTGAATAGTCGCGCCCTCCATTCCGCCGTGTTCTCTGCCATCGGAGCGGCTGGCTTCATCGCCAGTGCTGCACTGCCCCCTACAATGTACACGGTAAGCCAACATTGATATCTGTATCAGCAATACATGAGTATGGAGCTAACTCTCGTTCAGCAACGCTACGGCTGCCTCATCGTCGCTGCATCAGGCGCGTTCGCTTGCATCCCGCCGCTCCTCGGCTGGCTGTCGTCCAACCTGCACACGACGGCGGCCATTGGCCTGGCGATCGCGCTGAACATCTCCATGGGCGCCCCGGGGCAGATTGTCGGCGTCTGGATCTACAAGGCCGACGAGGCGAAGAAGGGCTACCCCACGGGCCACTGGGTCAACGCGGGCCTGCTGCTGTTTGTCTCTGTGGGCTGTGTGCTGATGCACTTCTACTATGTCTGGAGGAACAAGATGGCCAGGCAGTCCGGCACGCCTCTTTTCAAGTACTAGGTGGCAGGCATGGAGGCATGGAAGCGTTATGGCATGACTTGAAACTGTGCATGCAATTGACGAGTCTCTTGGGTTGCTTGTTCTTTAGGGAGCAATTGCTGTCGCCGCGGACTGTAGTCATTCTCAGCAGGAGGATAAACAGTTGAAGCCACACTCAAGTGTGTTCTACATGAATTGGCAATCAAGTCAAGCTGTAATAAACCTGTTCTCGTATACCTACACAAGCTTCCTCCAATGTCCACGGCGGTCCAATTGACGTCTCCAAGACTGAGCGTATCTGACTAATAATACGCGACCATACGTGTAATTCTTCCGGATTGATGTAGCGCATGATCAGCTACGCTTGGGAATGCCGTGAGATTGGCGGCAAGGTGAGTAGGTACGTTGTCCTATCACGGGGCTTGGGTCGAATGGCGCGTGAGATGAACCATACTGCATTTAGATTGAGTAAACAAACCCTCTTCCCGCCAAGATGGCATTGGCCTTGGTCACTGGGAGGCGTCGATCTGTGGCTTGCCGGGCCGACGAGATGGGATGAACGACCTGAATTTGCCCAATTCACTCATATTTTGAAGAAAGAATAGAGGTATTTGTGTCATAGAAAGGAGACTCTTCCATGCCTCGCAGCATCATGCACGCGATTCCGTTTTCCGGAAGCCGTCATTCCCGAAATCCTTGCCAGAAAACAAGCACAAATCGGGGAACAACTGCGGGGAGTCTTCAGCAGCGGGCGCCAGCCACGGTTGACATGGTTGACATGCGCCGCTACCATCATTTCCCCTGATTTTCTGGTCCGATCCACCATTAGCTCGCGCCGCTATCCCCAAGATAGCGAGCGTTGTTAATTCCCGAGGGCCTGAGTGGGTGGTGGTGGTGTGTTTATTCCAAGTTGTGCCGCTCTTGTTGTGCTGGCTGTCCCGTTTGATTCGGACGAAAAAGTCTGGGCGGGTGTCCCTGTCTCTCTTCTTGTTTCCGATCCGGTGTCTCTGTTTTTCTTTTTCTCCTCCCCTCACACCCACCGACCTGAAACACGTTTCGACAGACAGACGGACAGACAGACAGGAAGAACACACCTGCGCAAAGGGGATCGCGACTCTCTCTCTGCCCAACCTCGGACCACCGACACTACCACAAACCACGACAACCCGCTCTCTGCACGACGGAACACGGACACCATGGTCTCGACGCGCTCCACCTCGTCCTCCCTGACCCCGGGCATCCCGCCGACCACCCCGCGCGCCGCCATCCGCTCGCGCTCGACCTCGCGCCCGCCGGCGTCCTCCTCCTGGGTCCACGTCCCGGACACGGTGACGCTGCTCTGGCTCGCCGTCTCCCTGCCCCTCGTGGCCTGGGACACGGGCTACATCATGCTGCGCCCGCGCTCGATGCCCGGCGGGTCGCTGCACTGGCCACTGTGGGTGCCCTACAAGCTGTACGGCGAGGTCGACCACGTCTATGGCTTCAAGCAGTGGGATCTGCGCAACGGCTTCACGGCCGCGCAGGGCGCGCTCAACATCGTCGAGAGCCTGTGCTACCTCGCCTACCTGTACCTGTGGCGCGCCAACGGCCGGCCCTCGGCCCGCGCCGGCGGCAGGCTCGGCGTCGCGGGCAGGCCGGCCGCGCTGGCCGTCATGCTGGCCTTCTCGGCCGCCGTCATGACCCTGAGCAAGACGGTGCTGTACTGTAAGTTTTTGCACGAGACCTTGCGCGTCGCACACAATACGCACCGGCGCGTCCCCGTGTATCGCACGGGCGGGCCGGGCCTTGTGACGGGTAAACACGCCATGTTCAGGACGCGACATGCTAATGTACGACACACATTCAGGGGCCAACGAGTACTTCAGTGGCTTTGATAACATCGGCCACAACGACATGTATTCCTTGATCGTGCTCTGGATCATTCCCAAGTAAGTTGAAGCCATTGGCCTGCTAACTATTGTCTGATGCGATTTTTGACGTATTTGGCTACCTTTAGCGGCGCCTGGATTGTCTTCTCTGCCTACATGATCTACAAGTTTGGCGGCGAGATCGTGGCCGTCCTGACCGCCGCCTCTGGACGCGCCTCCAAGAACGATTGAACTGTCAGACACAGGATCGCGTGAAGCGATTTGACAACATGCGCAAAGCGACGAGTACCTCGTCCACCCTGCCTCGAAACAGGCTCCAGTTATGGGATAGGTAATGGCTCGAGCATGAGCAAGGGGCTACAAGGAAACGGTGGAGGATCATGAAGACATGTGAGATGACGGATGACGTGATTGACATTTCTGACCGAGTACATATACCCCTATGTTCTCTGTACATATAGGTTGATTTTAATTGGCAAAGGAGCTTGGTGTAGGTACGTACGTATTGGATACAATATACGGGCTGGTGCGATTTCGCCAGCCGGAGTCTGCTTGAGTTGACAGGAGATGCATGAAGCTTCTCGTCACCCGACGCGTGTTGACCATGCTGCCGTAAGTCAACTCCATCATGGTCAAGTTCCACTAGCTTTCCCAACCATGTAATCGTCTCCCGGAGTAAGTCTCTTGGCATCTTACTGAGAACGGTGAACGCTACAGTGTGCCGCACTGCTTCACGCGCAAACTCCGTGCCTCGGGATCTATGATAAACCCCGCCCCAATCTCACGGGGGTGTCAGACGGAGCATACGCGACAAGCTCATGATACAATGTGCATCTATTTTCTTAGACATCATCTTCTCACACTATACGTCCCTGGAGGCCGAGTACGCAAACTAGGACCTGACAGATCACCATGTTCACCCAATTGACCCAACCTGGCTTCCTCAAGGCCCTCTACGCCGGAAACGCAGTGCGTTGAACACACTGTCAACGGAAAATATGCATATACTGACTGACTGCCCTTTAGCTATGGCACTCTAGGTAAATACAGATTAAATATGCCTAGTATGCTGTCTCAAGTACTAAATAAACCACGATCTCAAACCTAAGTGCCTTTCTGCACTTCTGCTTCCGGCAGCCGTTCATGATGCGCAAGCTGTCCAAGCGCAGCTCCGAGACCAACCAGAGCGTCGCGCGGCTGCCCCAGGGAGACGCCTGGCACCACGACATCATGGCCTACCTCGGCTCCATCAACACGTCCATGGCCCTGCTGGCCCTGCTGCGCCTCTACGCCACCGTCTGGAGGTCGCCGTCGTCCAGGCTGCTGTCGACGGGCTCGAGGAGGGGAGACATCCCGCTCGACGTGACGGCGCTGCTCGTGCTGGGTCTGGCCAACTGCTCGCAGGCGGTCATGAACTTTGCGCTCGGGATGCGCACGCAGCGGTGGATCATGGGTAAGGGGCTGGACAGGATCACCGTGCTGGACGCTGTCTTTACTGTCCTTGACTGGTGTGCTGCGGCTGGGTTGATGGCTGTTGTGTGGTGAGGTGCTGGGAGCATACTGTTGTGAGATGGTAGTTTTGGGACTCTGGATGTGTGCGTGCAATGCATATCTTTCAAATGGTTTACTACAACATGTTTCTGCGCTATCAAACCCAGGAGTTCAAGGCTCATAACTGTTGATCTAATTCGCAAGCTGCATAGTGAAGCTCTTGACCTTGACTTCGCCACCCAGTGACTTGGTGGCATGGTTGAAGACGCCATACCTGTATCCAGTGAAGTACTTCCACGAGTTGCTCATAGCGAACGCCGGCCCCAGGTTCGTAAACGTGGTGCCATCCGTGCTGTAGGAGAACCGCGTGGTCCTCTCCTGGCTCGAGCCGAAGGCCGGCGTGATGTCGGCCTGCACGCGCAACCAGATATCTCCTGCCGCATTGATCGTCGGCCCCGTAGCAGCCACAGTCCCCTTGGAAGTAGTCTCCCAGGTGCCCTCCGCGATGTTCAAGTTGTTCACCATGACGATCTTGGCCGCGTTGCCGTCCTTCCATACCGCAATGTAGGCCGCACGGTCCCGGAAGAGCGCGGCGCCCGCACGGTCGCCGTCCTTCATCTTGCTGACGTCCAGCCGGAAGGTGCCGGTAGATTTGGGTCCGATGATGCGGTGCGTGAGCGTGTTGCGCGCCGCGAACAGGTCCGTCGTGACGTCGGCCGTCTGCAGGATCAGGCCGCCCTCTCCGCCGCCCGCGAGCCACCACTTGGTGTTGTCCGGGTTGTGGTTCCACTCCCACTCTTGGCTGAGGCTGGCGCCCTTGAACTCGTCCGTCCCGACCGGGGACGCGACCTTCTTGTTGGTCTGCACCGGCATGGGGTACGTCTTGCCCCAGCTGCCGCCGTCGGTCACGACCTGCGGCCACCCGTCAGACGTCCACGTCAGCGGGGCGGCCACGGGGATGCGCCCGCCGGGGTACGAGTCCATGAAGGCGACGTAGTACCACTTGTCGTCCTGGGTGTTGACGACGCCGCCCTGGTGCGCGAACCCGGCGTTGGCCAGGGGCCCGTTGATGCGCGACACCAGCGTCCGGATCTGGTACGGGCCGAAGGGGCTGCTCGACTTGAGCACCAGCTCCGTGTCGGCCGGGCGGGTGACGAAGATGTAGTAGCTGCCCTTGATCTTGTACATGCGCGAGCCCTCGATGTAGTCGCCCGACGAGTACACCTGCTGCGTCCTCACCTGGCTCAGGCCGTCCCTCGACAGCTGCGCGAGCTGGATGTTGGTGTTGCCGTACGCGACGTACATGGTGTCGTCGTCGTCGATGAAGAGCCCGCAGTCGTAGTAGCACGTGTTGAGCGGCGGGTGGCTGGTCCACTGCCACTCCGACACCTCGCCGCCGTTGCTGGCCGCGCCGTGGCCCGGCGCCGTCCAGATGTACGTCTTGCCCTCGACGCAGCCGATCCAGTAGAACAGGTCGTTGGAGGCGCGGTACCGCAGAGTGCTCGCCCAGATGCCCTTGACGTACGCCTGCCCGCTGCCGTTGAGGTTGTACTTGGCGCCAAAGTTGAGCTCGGGCACGCTGTGCGAGACGGGCTCCCAGTTGACGAGGTCGTACGACTTCAGCACCGGCGCTCCCGGGGAGTAGGCGAAGGTCGAGGATGAGTAGTAAAACACATCGCCGACGCGAAACACGTCCAGGTCAGGGTAGTCTTCCCAGAGCACGGGGTTGGAGAATGTCTCGGCTCGTAAGGACTGCGTATGGGCCACGTTATCTCCGACAGCTGTTGGAGATGCGTGTACGAGAGAGGCTAGGTAGCCTGCGAGGACGGCAACCAGTTTGGTAGTCCTGGTGTACATCTTGAAGAGCTCACGCAACTCTACACTTTAAAGGGTCAGACATCAATCAACCTGGATGATTCCAGGCATATTGGCTGTTGCTATACCGGGACAGTCTACCTATTTTATGCTTGTTGGTCTCCGAAGCGACGCCCGCACCGGGCTTCCACCAGGGTTACACTCACATGTCTGGATCTACTCGGACCCAGATCTGAAGCGACGGAAGATCCTCTCACTTCGGCACTTCTCCGCCTCCGCTGCTGCAAGAAGCTATATCTCACGAGGCGCACCAATAATACAACGCGGGGATCGGCCTTCCCCGCAAACGATGATACGCCAGTTCCACCCTAACAACTTGCTACGGTCCGAACACAGCCGACATTTGATTCATCGTATGGTCATAACATAGGTTTCGTGGCTTAGGCGTGACTCTGGGAGACTGGGTCCTTTGAGTGATTCGTACACAATGGAACTCTTTGCACTCCAGACCGAAGGCGGTTAACACCCGACCCGAGACAACACCACGGTACGACGATTATCTCAAGGTTGTTTTTATAGAGTTTAGAGTCACTTTCGCACTTTGAATAGAACATCACGTACTTGCACGTTCTGAGATTGGACTATATGACATATGGAGTAGTGCTAGAAGCAGTCTCATCGAACGGACGTATCAGATCCTCCCCAAAACTGTCATGGAGTTCAGCCTTGTCATGTTTTGAGCCCATAAACAGTTTAACGCCGCATAGTCAAGAGACCCGGCCGGTAAGGCAGGCTATTGTAGTCTCCGCCCGAGTTAGGTGCCCGTCCTTGGTAGAGCAGCTGCAGGTTGCATGGGTCGATAGTCATGGTCTGGTCCGGGTTTACGCGGATCAGATCACCATGGCTGATGTCGTTTGTCCAAGTCGCGCCGCTGTTGGCCTTGCCCGCAAACGGCGAGTTCTCGTTGACGGCATTGGGCGTCCAGGTGCCGTCCAGGCTCGTCGCCGTGAAAGAGCGGAAGTATCTCCCGTTGGCTCCCAGGGCCTCCACGATCATGAGCCACTGGTTCTGACCCTGCACCCTGTAGACCTGAACGGCCTCAAAGAGCTTGTCCCTGGAGTCGCTCATGATCACTTGCGACGTCGTGCCAAAGTTGCCCGGGAACTGGCCGATCGGCATGCTGGCGCGGTAGATCTTGCCATTGTCGCCCGCGAAGAAGAGGTACATGTTCTTGTCGTCGCCGATGACGGTCTGGTCGATGACGCCTGTGTCGGAGCCCGAGATGGTGCCGCTGAAGAGCGGCTGGACCGACGACCACCCGTTCGCGTTGGAGGGGTCCTTGGACGTCTTGTAGGAGAACGACGTCGGGCCCCACTGGTACGCAAGGATCCAGATGTCCTTGGGGCGGAAGTAGAACAGGGTCGGCGCCACAGCAGCTTGGCTCATCCCGTTCTGGCTCGCGGTGGCCATCTCAGACCAGTCGGAGAAGGGGCTGAAGGCCATGGAGCCCCAAGCCGAGCCCGTGTTGTAGGTCGCGTAGACCAGGTGCTTGCCGTTGTACGTGGCATGAGTGAAGTCCTTCAGCGAGACCCAGCCGCTCTTGGGCTGCGCCAGCACGCCTGAATCGGTCCACTTGTAGGTTGTCGGGAGGGAGCACGATCCCTGCGCACCGACGGCGCACGCCGAGGCGAGCAGAGCCAGGCAGGCCGGTAGGAGGCCGATATTAGTATCGATGAATCTCATGGTGCGAGGCTTATGGACGAGATATGCGTGAGTGAAGACCTTGTCGTTCGGAAAAGGTTCTGGTGGGAACGGATCTTGCTCCGCTCTTATATACCCGACTGAACATCGACATTGAACCAGGAGATGCGCATCTGGAGCCCGAGAACACCACCACCAAAACCGGGTCATCGGGTCTTCCGTCTATGCATAAACATGAACCAAATGACGCTATACGGGCTTTCGATTCAGGGGCATCGCACTTTGATTCGAGCGCTTGACCCAAAAGTCATCAGGATCGCCGGTGCCCCGCCGGGCCAACTCAATGAGAAGATGTTCCGTTTTGGTTATATTGCCTCCGGATGGAACTCGGTTCTGCCCCGGAAATGAGGGTCCGTAGGCGTGGAACCGCCCCAATCGGTTAATGTATCATCTTTAGCCCTCGTGCCTCTGGCATTCAACCTGCGGATTGCAACGCTTGGCTTGGACTTTTACCAGCGCCGAGTCGTAGAACCCTGACATTTTCCATCAATCACGGCACTGGGGCCCAAAGAGGAAGTTCTCGACATCATCCGCATGCAGCGGCACTCAACTGCCATTTTCCACCAGTGTGGGGTAGCGCACGGGAGTTCCTGTTGGGCGCCTAATTCTTCCAATACGACATGCTCTATATCATGTTGTCGTCGTAGCACTCTGATCCCATGGTAACCCGAAGAGGCTGGGGCTGGTGCCTCGAGTCTGATATCTCGCGGGACTGATCAGAATCCGACACGCCTCGCCTGTTGAACAGACCACCATGGGACGCTCCAGTCCGTTCCAACTTGGGGCTATCCTTGCTCTCGCCCTTGCTTGCCGCGTCTTGGGCCAGGATGACGCATCAACCCTGTTCAGCTTTGCACCGGCTGAAGGGGGGCGGAATGGTCTCAAGCTAGCAGGGGTCGGAGTTGCTCCAAATATCCTCGTATCGGGGGACGATTTCTCCGGGGTTCAACGAGCTGCAAACGACCTCGCCATTGATTTTGGCAGAGTGCTGGGTACCAATGCGTCCGTCTCCAAGACCGACACGCCACCAGAAGGCGTATCTGACCCTGCGATAATCGTGGGAACTCTTGGAAAGTCGCCCCTCGTCAAAGCCTTGGTCCACTCTGGACAGGTTGATGTGACGGAGATCGAAGGTAAATGGGAAGCGTACACATCCCAGCTTATCAAGAATGAGAGCGGTGCAACAGTTGCTCTTGCAATCATCGGAAGCGACCTGCTTGGTACCAGCTTTGGAGTCTATGATGTATCCGAACAGATCGGCGTGTCGCCCTGGCATTGGTGGGCGGACGTCCCCTCAAAGAAGCGAGACTTCATCTTTGCTCCCAGCAAGTCCAAGGTCCAAGGCTCGCCATCCGTAAAATTTCGCGGGATCTTCTTCAATGATGAAGCTCCCGCCCTGACAAATTGGGCCAAGGCCAAATTTCCCTCGAGCCAGTACGGCAATCCTTTCACCTCGCAGTTCTACGCTAGGGTCTTCGACTTGCTGCTCAGGATGAAGGGCAATTACCTCTGGCCGGCCATGTGGAGCGGTATGTTCTATGTTGACGATGCTAAGAACGGGCCAATGGCAGCCGAGTATGGTATTTACATGGGAACGTCTCATCACGAGCCCATGGCCAGGGCAGACAAGGAGCAAGGCCGGTTCTGCCAGGGCGCTTGGGACTGGTCCAGGAACCAGGCGAACGTGAAGAAGTTCATGACGGAGGGAGCCCAGCGTGCAAAGGGCTGGCCGACCATCTTCACCTTGGGTATGCGAGGCAGCGGCGATGCTGCATCTGCCACACTCACGTCGCAGAGTTTGCAACAGGTCATCAAGTTTCAACAGTCTGCCCTGACCGCAGCCACGGGGAAGAACCTGTCTGAGATTCCCCAGGCCTGGGTGATGTATAAGGAAGTTCCTGGGTATTGGCAGAAAGGCATGGATGTGTCGGAGGACGTGACGCTGCTCTGGTCCGACGACAACAGAGGCAACATTCGAAGAATCCCGACGGCCAAGGAGAAACAGCGCCGAGGCGGGTCCGGGATGTATTACCACTTCGACTATGTTGGCTCGCCGCGGAATTACAAGTGGATCAATACTATCCAACTTCAGAAGACCTGGGAGCAGATGCACTTGGCGTTTGAGAGGGGGAATCAGATGATGTGGATTGCGAATGTTGGAGATCTCAAGGCACTGGTCTGTTGAGTTCGCAACTTAAGTCTGTGAGGTCCGATGTACTGACAGACTTGTAGGAACTGCCAACAAGTCACTTCCTAGCTATGGGTTACGACATGTCCAAGTTCTCTTCGCCAGAGAGCACAAGAAAATGGCTCAAGAACTGGGCGAGTGTTCAACTTGATGATAGCGTGGCCGAAGACACGGCTCAGATCATGTCAACGTACGGCATGTTGACTGCACGCCGCAAGTATGAGGACCTAAGCATCACTCCATTTGCCTTCAGCGCAGTCGAGTATGATGAGGCAGAGAAGAACTACCACGAGTGGGAGGTTCTCCTCAACTTCACACAGTCAACCTACGACAAGCTACCGGATGATATAAAAGTCCCTTTCTTCCAGATGGTCCTGCATCCCGTCAAGGCAGGCAAGCAAGTCTTTGAGATCTATAGCAAGGCTGCGCTGGCATCACGATACGTGACGGAGAGGCGCATCCGGGCCAACGAGTTCTCCCAGGATGCCAGGGATGCCTTTGCTGCCGACACGGCGCTGGCTAAGGAATACCATGCGATGTTGAACGGCAAGTGGAACCACATGATGGATCAGACTCACATCGGGTACAACAACTGGCAGGAGCCGCCGCGCAACTCTCTCCCTAACCTTCAGTCACTTTCTGCCGGCGGAGGAGGAAAGCTGGTCGGTGTCGGGATTCAAGGTTCAGCAACCAGCGGCACGGATGCGGCACGGATCACGCTCCAGCCGATGACCCAGTACATGTCACCGGCAGAAGAGAGATACATTGATGTGTTTCTGCGACAGTCTGGCTCAGTATCGTATACTATCGAGTCCGCGGCCAGCTACGTCAACATCACGAATCCATCGAGCAGTCTGGCATCTACAGGAGGGCCGTCGCAGCTACAATCTATCATTCAGGTCGACTGGAGCGCCGTTCCAGTCGGGAGCTCCTCTGCCGAGCTTACGGTAAAGGCAGGATCTCAGAGCACAGTTGTTGTCGTTCCCCTTCAAAAGCTTGAGAACCTACCCACCGGCTTTGAGGGCCACGTGGAGTCCGGTGGCGCGGTGTCCATCGAAGCAAGTCATTACCGAACAGTGGACAACGGCGGGGACGCTGTCGGCTATGTGAAGATCCCGGACTACGGGCGCACCCTGGCCGGTGTCAAATTGTGGCCCGTGACTGTCGAGGGCCAGTCCACTGCCGCCGGCCCGTCGCTCGAATACTCCTTCTTTAGCTTCTCGAAACCCAGTAATGCTAAACTCACGGTCTACCTGTCAAGCTCGGAGAACGCCAACTCGGAGAGGCCGAATAGGTTCGCATTCTCTATTGACGGTAAGACTCCTGTTACGGTACAGCCAACTCCAGTCGCCGCCGATGCCGGACAGGAGCCGAGGGGGTGGGAAAACGCGGTGACGAGGAATACTTGGATGACAGACTCGAATCTCGGGGCCCTTTCGAGTGGCAATCACACCCTGCGCGTGTGGCTTTTGGAGCCGACGATGGTGCTGACAAAGTTGGTCGTTGATCTGGGAGGAGTAAAGAAAAGCGAGTTGGGGCCCCCGGAGAGTATGATGGCAGGAAGTTGAGTTGTACTGCTAAGACAAGTCATGCACCTAAGGGACTTTCGATAAATATGTTTAGGTAGTCTCAAGAAGCTTTCACTGAGAGTATCAATATCGTATCACGCTTCAGATTACAAGATATGTTATACATCTAACAAGCTGTACATGAGAGTTCCAAGTCGGGCTGGTCTTGTGTCATACTGAGCAGCATCTCGAGAGTGTCATCCTCTCCAGGGCTATTCTCCTGAAAATTGAAAGGAGTGTCCGAGATGTTTTGCAGGCCCAAGTCCCAACTACCGTCTCCCTGACTGACGGGGTCAACCGCCCCAATATCCATTGCATCGAATATAGACCGATCCACGTGCACCTCAGGCTCGACATTCAGCAGGTCCTGTAAGTCTGACGGGAATTCATCTGCCGACAACGACCCGAGGTTGGTCCCGCTGGAATTTGATTCTTCCTCGGTGTCTGAAGCAGGGTGCCTGTCGATCGGCGTTTGCGCGTCGGTCGCCATAGAAGAATGCGAGATGTCCAGGACATGGCCGGGACTATTCTTGCGATCATCTATTGCGTTGCAACTGGGTGTGAGGACTCGAAACTGCAATGGCAGCTTTGAACTCTCGTCGTTTGCTAACAAGCATTTCAGGTTTGTGGGGAGGTCGCACTCTCCTGGCAGTGTCCCCCTTGCGAGGCTCAACTGCATTGTGAATGTCAGCTGCAGGTAGAATGCCGGTCTGCATGCGAGAAGCTGAGACCAAGCTGTCCGTCCTTTACTCAGTCGAGGCGTGGGGCTTAGTTGCGCATAGTCCACCACATAGTGGATGGCGTGGCTGATCCCTTCGACGCCATGGTACTGAAGGTGATACTCCTTCATGGCTTGTATCAAGGTGTTGAGACGAGTCTGCTTCATAATCGTCTTGTCGTCGCTGCTGCTGGCACTGTTGGGATAGAGCTTGGCATCCAGAATGTGGAGCAGGAGTGGCATCGCGATGAAGGCGAGCCTAATTGCATGTTTAGTCGATGTGTTTTGGGTGGCATCACTCCTGAATCATAGGTTGAAACTTACATGCTGATGGGGAAGTAACGGACAAGGCCCAATTGTACTGTCTCTCGCAAACAGTCGGTAATGCTGATTGTTGTGGCTTCAATGTCGTTGCATGTATCCTGCATGCTGCTGACTGCCAGTGCATTCGTTGAAGAGATATAGGTGTTGACAAGGACCTCCTGATGAAGGAGTGACATCATAGCTGCACTGTTTTCATGATTATTAGCACCAGCCACTTGACATTTGATTCAAATTGACATACTGGTAGTAGACGTAGAGAAGCCCAGTATGGATGATGACCGACTGGTGACGGAAGTCGGCGGTCTTTCCAGGGACAGGGAACTGTTTCCTTGTAGCTTCATACCACTCTAGCAGAGCCGCTTTAGACTCGCTCAGTATGCGCCGATCATTCTCCATCACTTCCCTCGTTGTAGACTCGTCTGAGAGCGACAACAGAGGTAGCAGATCCGTCACGACGATGCACAAGTCCATGACGCGCATGAATATCCGGATGAGTCTGCGCTTTGTGACGGGATCATGGACGAGTGACCGACTGATCTCGCCTCTGAAGTCCTCCAGGTCTAGTGGCGGGTAGGTCTTGATGACGTGAATGTCGCGGCGCAAGCCGAGCGCGAGAGTCCGATCGCGAATGATGCAACACCACCAGAGTCTTCGCAGGGTCCTGGTCCGCTTATCTATGTTGTGCACCTCCGTACCAAGATTCACGGCTCTATCGGCACGAGCAACCTTGGCGTGGTGCAGCGCCAGACCAAGCCAGATGGTGTTTGGGTTATCCGGCCCTCGTCCCAGACTGATGGGGAAGAACGTGAGCAGGACGCACACTTGCGCGAGGGGTATAGAAGAAGATTCGGTGCCGATGTCATATAAGAGCTGCTAGCTGTCAGCATGCGGACGTCAAAGATTGGGAGTGATACCGATCGAACCTTTGCTCTCTTATACATCGAGGTAGCTGCTGCTCGAGGACTGTCAAAGCCTAGAGAATATGTGACAGCACGAGGAACGAACTAATTCTCTGGGTCAGCAGTCATGCCCAACTTCAAGATGGATGGCTTGAACTCACACTACAGGCGGCGAAGAGCATGGCATAAAACAACACCAAAGGAATCTTTTCGCTTGGTGACTCAGTGCCGGCCTGATCACGATACACGTCCCAGAAGAGACCCTCGTCCAGCAGAGGCACTATCGGGTGGACGTGGAGAAAGTATTGCCGCACGAACTCGTCGAGGATGTACCTTGGTGGAAGCTGGAGACATCCTTGCAACCGCAGACATTCGAGATCCTCCAATGGTGTGCGCGACAAGTCTGGCAACCGCAGGAAGCGGTAATCGGCTGGATCGAAGCAGTTGCCACATGATGGCCATCCGGTATACGTTGCAAGTATCTGGCATTGTGTCTCTGCGGGTGTGATGCCGGACGCAAGGTCCGAGCCGTCGGCAAAGAAGTCGTTGGAGGTGTCTCTGTTCAAGCTGTATGGCACTTTGACTTTTGCGATGTTACGCTCTGGCGGATAAGCCTTGGAGAATATAGCGTCCTTCGAGAACATGATATCATCGTTGCCGCGAGGAGACTCAATGTAGTCGTTGGCCTGATTTGGAGTGCCCGTGCCCTGATGGACTAACGTCAAGATGTTCTCGGGCAGGCCCGGGGATGTGCTGTCGCCAGGGGTATCTTTCTTCTCATCATTTCGCGGCAGCCGCCTGAAGGGGGGGACATTTTGTTAGCGAAGCAAGTCTCGGACAGAGTACGAAGCAGAACACACACCTTCGCGACATTCTATCGGCTACCACGCAGTCTGTGCAGTCCAACGAGCAGTTCCGGCACGGTATCCCCGATAGGGACACATCGCAGCGGACTTTCCTCCCGCGGCAGCGGAGGCACGCTTTCGGGGCTCTTGGTCGGGGCATATTCGTGGCACTTCAGATGGGGAGGTATTGGTGAACGTGCAGTTCTGGGAACGTCGAGTCTAATGCAGGGTCGAAAAGTAAATGGGAACAAGTTGCCCAGCATTTGGATGTGGGGGGAGAGATCTATGGGGTGTGGGAGTTGGAGTGGAGCGAGCCGGGGTGTGCGGGGAATCAGCTCCCCGGAGATCCATGTCGAGTCAGTATCTTCGGAGTCGTCGGAGAACGCGTTACAGACCCGCCCGATGCATCGCCACATGAGCCCACGTGCGGTTAAGACCACTAGCATGGCTCGCCTGGACAGCTAGCTGGTCGCGGATGGTTGGATCGGATATCGTCCCTTTGACACTCTAGGTTCTCGTTGCGGATTATTATTGGCACAATCAATACATTCAGCTGTGAACAAGTAAAGGACATCTATCGACGCTAATGCACCCCAACTTTCTTCACGACAATTTCGCGGGTCTCTTCTCCTTCGCCAGCTCCGCCTGGGCCCGCTCCTTGAGAACCCGGCGTAGAATCTTGCCGGACTGGATCGCGTGTTAGCTGATGAATACGGGAGCTCTAGTGTCGGCGATCTGCTTACCGGAACTCTCGGGATGTTGTCGGTGAAGACAACACCGCCCGTCAACCGCTTGTACTTGGCCACCTTGGACTCCATCCACTTCTGTATGTCGGCCTCTGTGGCCTTGCTATCTGGGGATTTGATGATGTAGGCTCGGGGGACTTCCTCTCCATCTATCTTGACACCGACGACTCCAGCATCCAACACATCCTTGCGCTCGAGGAGCACAGCCTCGAGCTCTGCCGGAGCGACCTGGAATCCCTTGACCTTGAGCAGCTCCTTGATGCGGTCTACAATGTGAATCATGCCCCCGGGACCGTAAGAGTCCACATAAGCTATGTCGCCGGTCTTGAGCCACCGCGTGCCGTTCTCCACCTCGATGGTGTCCTGCGTGGCCTTGGGATTGCGCCAGTAGCCCTTCATGACCGTGGGCCCGGAGAACCACAGCTCTCCGCGCTTGTTCGCCTCCGTCACCTCCCTGTCGCCGTCCATGAGCTTGAACGTGGCGTTGGGCACCATCTCGCCGACGGAGTCCGAGCGGGCGGTCGCGGCCGGATCCATGATGGTGCCCACGCACGTCAGCTCGGTCATGCCCCAGCCCTGCTTGACGAAGACGCTGCCGCGGGGCCACAGCTTCTCGACCTCGATGGCCAGCTCGGGCGCCAGCGGCGCCGTGCCGCAGGTGAGGGTCGAGACGGAGCTCAGGTCGTACTTGCGCGGCAGCGGGCTCTTGGCCAGCGCGCGCACGATGGGAGGGGCGCAGCCGAGCGAGCTGATGCCGTAGTTCTGGATGTGCTGCAGCATGCGCTCGAAGTTGAAGGCCGGCATGACGTACACCGGCATGCCCATCCTGGGGTGGTTGACGGCGTAGGTAGTCTGTCCCGCCGCGTGGTAGAGAGGAAGGAAGCAGAGCCCGGCGCCTATCGAGGTGTCGCGCGTGGCTTCTTTGTTCAAGCGGTGCTGGAGCAGAGAGGCTTCTCCGTTCGCCACGTAAGAGTAATGAGTAATCTCGACGCCCTTGGGAGCACCTGTCGTACCGGAGCTGTAGTTGAGGCAGCAGGTCGTCTCGCAAGGGTTCAACGGTTCAACCCAGTCAAACTTCTCCGCGTCGGCATTGTTTGCCAGCAACTCCATCCAGGACCGTACGCCTGAAGCAGACTGACTTCTGTCGTTTGGATCGTTCAAAACAAAGAGACGTTCTTTCGGTAGCTTAGCCTGTTCGGCGGCCTTGACAGCGATATCGAGCACCTGAGGTGCAGCGATGAGGACGAAGGCGCCGCTGTTGCTCAGCTGGTACGCGAGCTCGTTTGCCGTGAACGCCGGGCTAGCTCCTGTGAAGATGCCGCCGGCCATCACAACGCCCATGAAGACGGACGGGAACAGGATGTGGTTGCCGCTAAACAGCAGCACTCTGTCGCCATTTTGCAGTCCGCACCTCTGCAAGCCCAGCGCGACCCTCTTGGACCAGAGGCGGAAGTCTGAGTACGTGACCTTGTTTTGCGGTCTGTCCGCGTCAATAAAGACCGGGTCGCTCGTGAGACGCCCGAACGAAGATCCAAAGACCCATTTCTGAAGGGAGACCTCCGGGACGGGTGTGGTCCATCTCGACTGAATCGGCATTGTGAGTGATGAGTTGCAGCAACAGTATCTAATGGCATTGAATCGTAACTTTCACGTGAATGACAATCTTCAGTGACATAGCGATATCAGCCTCCGCACTCGCTTTTATTTGGACCGTCTCGGCACGATGTACCAGCTTCCCCCAAGGCCTCGGGTTTAATGGGATGCGACCTCCTTAGGCACTGAGCTGTCAGCTGCACCCCAGTCGCCCCGAAAGAGTGATAGACAGAAGCTCCACCGTTTACGGGTACATAGTGAAGGACTTGGCCCCTTCCGATCAGGGGAACCAACGCACCCTCATGCCTTGGGATTACGGCCCATCTCGCGGCTGCTTGCTCGATCGGACTTCATTTCCGCGAACTCCGTGTCCCGGCATGCAAGTCAGCAGGTGCACCGAAGCCCCAGATTAGCCTTGTCGCCGCGGCATGACCCCGCCTCATCTGGCAACCCCAGATTTGGACGCCGGTCGCATGCTCCGGGGAGAGCAGTCGAGACTGGACGAATCAGATTCGAGCCGCCGTCAGCGTCGCGGTCCAGGGGCGCCAAGGCGCGGGGGCTTCGGCTGATGTGGGTCTTTTCTCGGTAGATGTGGGGATGATCTCATGCAGGGTGAAAGTCGTAAGCACACAATTTCGACGTTCTGCAAGTTAGCTTGAGGCGCAGTTTGAGGGACACGAGGACTGGTGTGGTCAGATATGCATGCACGTTTACAAGATGTGCCCTTTTTTAATGACCTGTAGGAAAATATTGTGGAGTTTGAACAGCAAAGTACAGTAGCATTACAAGGCTAGACTACAAAGGTATCAGTACAAAGGACAGAACGAAAAGATTCTGTGTTATTGACTGCACCAAACGCCATTGAAGATGAGGAAAGATCCGAATCCACTGGGAGAGAATTGTCCAACGGGATGCCTGGAAATAACGGGATATCGGGGTATAGCTCCGGGAAATGTGTGAAGAATTCATGCTCCATCGTCCAATTCCTGATGTCGAAAAGCGTATCTTTGAAGGTCTTGGAAAGCGAGTACTGGCCCTTGTCCATGTCGTAGAAGTAGCAGTCGGTAAACTCGAATGGCCAGATGATTCGGATGTGATCTCTGAATCGATCCCAGAAGAGATTCTTACAATAATTGTGCTCCGACGCCATGAAGCGCTCTCGAACGGCCGGCCTACAGCCAACGTGTTAGTGGCGACACCCGATAGAGGCTACACACATATTTACCAGGCAATGTAGTCAACACAGTGACTGTGAAGACCTTGTGTAGGTCTGTAAGATCTGTCAGCATGCGGACATGCAAAGGTGGCGCATGCGAACTCACGTCTTCTGGCACCAGTCAGGCAGAGCCGACGCGTTGGCTGGCGACGGGTCCTGGCGAAATCGCAATACGACGTGCAGCAACCAGAGGATAGCTAGACGTTCCGTCTCGCTGCACGCGTTGAAGCAGATCTCGTCCAGAAGCCGGACCTTGTTCCACGCCCAGGTCACATGGAAGTTCTGCGCGACATGCTCCCAGCCACCCAGTATGAGCCTCACCAAGAAGTCCTCACCGGTCGTCGTCCTCCTTTCGTCGACTGCTTCTTCGGGTGTGTCCAGGATCGTCATGATCTCGTTGGCCGCCCGCCAGGTGTTGAAGTTGACCATGGTGCCGTCGGACAATCTCCGGGTGCGTGGCGAGGCACAGTTGCACGAGGTTAGCGAGACTGGAGAGACGCAGCTGACGTAGCCCTGGTCGGGAATGGTATTCCATCCTCTTTGTATATTGGCGTGCGAAGCATCAGTCGTATTCATCGATACGGCCGGTGAGGGAGCTGACACGGTTGGAAGCGTTGGGGCACCATGTTCGGAATGCGCTTTGTGGGCGAGTGATGAGCTCCGGTTGCGAGGCCGCTGGCTATCTGTGCTGGGCCTGGCTGGATCTCCAAGATGTGTCCGAATCGAATCACCAATTGTCTCGAGGAACTTTTTCAGCTTGTCACGTTCGTCGAGCGCCTCCTCCAGCTGCTTGGCGAGCTTGGACGCAGTCTCGCTGCTATCACTCTCGCTGAACGCCGCGACTAAGCCCTCGAGGTAAGCCAGTCGGTTCTTCGTCTTGACCCGAGCGGTCCTCTGGGCTCGGCGGTCCAGCTCCCTCTTCTTGAGTCGTTTCTCCGTTAGTTTCTGCTCTTCAAGAGATGCTGAGGACATGGTTGTCTCGTTGCCCATGGTCAGTAGTCGTCAGACTTGCAAGACATGTGCTGAGTAATGTTATGTCTGCTACAGGGTTAGGATAAGGGAACACCTGGCACTGGGAGGGGTAGCGGAGACTTGTGAGGACGCAGTGCTTTTATTATCTCGAGACGAGGGACTTTGGTGCTAAACATCAGCTAGTCTAAGTTAGTTCAGCTCGATGGTCGCCTCCCCGTGGGGATGGGTCGATTCGACGTGTGGATCCTCAAGTTCCAGTCACAGCTTGACGCGGGGTAAACACCATGTCAAGCTTGGGGCAGACAACCGTGAAGCCATCGACAATGCCATCAACAAATGCCTCGGGTGTCTGGCCCGGCGCGAATGTGAAGTCGTACAGACGCACAATCTGGCTAATCACGCATCGGATTTCCATGAGGCCGAGATGCTTGCCAACACAGGAGTAGCGCCCTGAAGTGGATGTCAGCAGAGAAGACACGAAAGAACCGGGAGAGGCATAGAACTCACCGATTTGAAATGGTGCAAATGCCGTGGCATCTTTTACCAGTTCTGGCCGCGTTGTCCAACGCTCCGGGATGAACTTGTCTCCGTCAACGAATGCTCTCTCATCTACGAATGGATGTGTCAGTAAATTCAGAATATCCACCAGTCTCCCTGAACCATCCGCTTACGCACCTCTTGCCACAGTGTACAGTGGTACTTGGACGATCGTGTTGCCTGGAATGAACGTTTCGCCAATATGGATGCCTTCTGGGGGAGTCAACCGTTGGACCCCTGAAGGAACGGCGGGATGAACGCGCAAGGCCTCGTCAATGACTGCTTGGAGATATTTGAGCTTTGATAGACCGAGATGGTCGGGCTCCTCGTTTGCCGCAAAGAACTCATCTACTTCTTGTCGTAGTTTGTTCAATATTTCCGGGTTCCGTGCCAGTTCGAACAGGATGAAGGTCATGGAAGCGGCCGTTGTGTCGCTTCCGGCGACCACAATCAGATTTGCATCACCATGTAGATCCAGAAAATCTTGATGGGTTTTGTTCGGGTTTGATCTGTAGGCGTCAAGGATCCAAGAAAAGACATCGGGTAAGTCGGGTTCGTGCTAATTTGCGGATTAGCCAAACGGCGCTATCGAAAAAAGGGTAAAAATAGCCTACCTCCATGCGGGATTTCACTTCCCCCTTGAGGAACTCGAGGAAGTTCTTCTGCGTGTAATTCAGGATCGGGATCTCCTTGAAGATCATGAGCGCCCAAGGGAAACGGCCAAACAAGCTGCCCACTAGGGTGTTCTTGTGCATGAGCGTCATGTATTCATGTTTGATCCCGTCTCGGAGCATGTTGAAGCTCTTGCCGAACGCAAGATCGCCCATGACATCGAAGCCATAGAAGTTCATCCACAGCGAGGCGTTGAGTGGCTTTCCAGTGCTGTCCTGGATCTTGTTCAAAAGCATCTGAGTATACCTCTTGACTCTGGGCTCGTAGTCTCTCAGGGCTGCCGGAACAAATCAGTCTCCGATACTCTTGGGTCATTCTCGTAGGGATATACCTTTGGCGCTGAACCCTTTATCCCAGACCTTGCGACGAACTGCGTGTTCTTTCTTATCTCTGGTCGTATGGACGGACACTAGTGGCAGTAGCAGATCGTACCATGGCCCCTTAAAACACGTTGACTGGTTTGAATGGATCGTCTTGAGAGCAGCAGCGTTCGCGATAGAAATCTCATTGGGTCCTGCACAGAATGTTAGCTTTGGAAACGGACAATCGACATTGTTCTACTTGCCTATCCGTACGAAGTCACCATAGGTTTCATGGATCTGACGCATGTCCTGGTAAAACTGAAGACGTCGCAGGGACAGCCGAGTAGCGTAGAGCGATGTGAGCTTAGCCGGTTGGGGGCCAGGAAAATGTCGAAGCGGATGGAAAAGCAATCTGTACACGGCAATGCTTGCGAATATGCCGGCGAGTAGACTCGCGAAGAGCTTTGCCCCTTCTATCAGTCCCGATAGCAGGTCTTGAGGATGAAATTGGGGGTAGTGAATGAGCGCAAACATGACCACCCCGTACAAGGCGATGAAGAAGAGAATGGTTCTTGGAATCCAACGATTCCATTCTCCCACTCGGAAACAGGTGACATGAAGCACGACTCCTAGCCCGGCCGCAATGCCATATGGAACGCGTCCTTCCAACGCGATGTTGTCCAAAACGGCCATACTGGGACGTTTATGCTCGAGCTCGAGGCCACTTTTCACGGAGATGCGGACAACAGACGATGAAGCAATTGAGTTCGAGTCTTGGGTTACCTTTTGCCTCCCATGGCCTCTTTTATCTCAGCAATCTACCTGCAGTCCATGTATTACGTTTCAAAGGTCATTGAGTGGTTGGTGCTGGATGTCCCCACATGCTTTGGATGCATCAGGAATTACTGAGTCAACACTACCCCAAAGACCCCCCCTCCCAGAATGCGCTACGTAGACGCGCCGTTTTCAGTGGACTTGCGGGTGACATTGCATTTCATTATGATCAGATGTAATTAACAATGTTCACATGCAGATCAGTGTACCCACTCTGGACGGAGTGTGCTCATAGACCTTGTCCTTGTGTTCAGTCCAGTCCAATGATGGAAGCAGTTCTATTCATATCTTGGATTTAGCGGGGATTAGGTAGTATAGACATGTTCCATCACATAAAACCTGCCGGGCCTCGTCCTCCATCTTCAGGTCAATGTACATCTTCTTGCCCTCGAGTCGATTGACCGCTGCCGTGACTATGACCACCCCGCCAAGAATGATGGGTTTTCGGTAGTTGACCTCGAGTCGAGCCGTCACGGTGGTCGGCACAGCCATCTGCGGGGTAATATCCTGCACCTTTTCAGCATGGTGCGTGTTGAGAATCGCCAGCCAGCCGGCCACGGTGTCAAAGAGGAAGGAGAGAAAGCCGCCGTGGCCGCGGCCAGCCCAGCCAGCCAGCCCGTGCCCGATATCGTACATGACGCGCAGTTCTGGGAAGGGCGCTCCGATTGGGAGACCTTCTTGCGGCTTCTGATGGAAGTAGGCTAGTTGGGCTCTGACGCCGTCGGGAATGTTAAGAATGCCATTCGTGAATGCTCCCCTGTTCATGACGTTCCCCAACGGGTTCTCGATATCGTGGAGAAATACGATGTCCGGGGCTGCCAGGATCTCGGCGCACCATGGCACCTTGAGAAAGTGTCGCAGGTCGGAGGCGTTGTTGTGCATGGCGTGACAAGCAGGTCGGTTTCAATGCTGCTACTGGTGTGACGTCTCGGGCTCTCTCTAGAATGTCTTTACAGTGCTGATTTCGTCGTATCATTGTTCCAGGTTTTGGGCTTGTCGATCCATCTCATTGACTACAAAAACAACGGCGGCTTTTCCCACGGTTCAATCCTTGATGGATGGGACAACCCGCGGTCTGGGCCCACCGGCCTTGCATACCGAAGCTTCATGGGTTGCCCCCCACATTTGCCGAGGGCTCGGAGCTTTCGAGCACGCCAGACAGGGAGCCGCCAACTCTGGGGCCCCGGGACCCCGAAACTCCGGGACCACGGGGCCCCAGATCGTACGTGTTTGTGGGCGTTTTCATTGCCCCAAACATTCCTACACCCAGGCCTAGATTCGAAGGTTACAAGCTTCACTATTGGTTCCATTGCCCGATGTCCTTTCCCACAGTCATGCGGGCCATCTGACTCACGGGTGAGTTCTCAGTAGAGAGGGATGATTGATCATTCGACACGGCCAGCTCCGCAGGCGCATACCAAGGCATGTTATTTGTCCAAGGACTGTAACATTGAGCCTCTAGACTACGCATTGACACTCTTGAGATGTTCCAAGGATCCTATGAAGCTACTTGTCTCTTAGTGAATTGACGCCTCTTCATCTACACACGTTTGTAACTTCAGCATATCTAACTAGGATAGATCCAAAACCACTCTGCCTTTGACTTTCCCATCTTCCATCTCCTGGAACACCTATTCCCATGAGTTAGTCAGAATACCAAGAGAATTTAAAGAGATGAAATGTAACGCACATCAGAAAGTTCCTCTAGCTTTCTCAGCTGAGAGTGAACCTTGATCCCTTTCCTTGCCGCAATCTCGAGGCATTCCTTGGCCTCAAGCCGGTTACTAGCTTTGTAGGCTGAGAAGGGCTCTGTCAGTCCGAGTGAAGTGGCCGGCAATCAGAGGCGGATCACACGTACCTTGAATTCGTATTTCTCGGTCAATCATGCGTGAGATCTCCGGACGCAGCGCGCCCTCCTTGTCGGGAATGCCGAGACAGATCAGTGTCCCACGGAAGCCAAGCCACGACAAAGCCTGCTCGTACGCTTGCACATTGCCTGTGCAGATCATGGCGATTTTCGCGCCTCCAGAGGTTATCTCCCCGACACGGGAAGCCAACTGTTCAGCGCTCAACTGCAAAACATCGATAAAGTTGTCGGCTCCGACCTCGCGACAAAGGGCCTCTTTGGATCCTATATCGAGGGCCAGGACCCGCGCGCCCATCACTTTGGCATACTGGATAGCCAGATGGCCGAGACCACCCCCGGCTCCCGAGACGAGAACCCAGTCGCCAGACTGCACTCGAGATCGTTTCAGGGAGGCGTACACGGTGATGCCTCCGCACATGAGCGGAGCTGCTGTGACGAGGTCGATGCCTTCCGGGATCGGCGTGGCGTAGCGCGCTGTGCTGAGGCAATACTGCTGGAAAGTCCCTGGTGTGTAGTATCCGGACACCTTGAGTTTGGAACAGCCGGTCTCGAACCCCTCAAGGCAGTTTGCTGCCGAGCCAGGTGTCAGTTGGCTGAGTGGGCAGAGTGACAGAGTGGCTGGGAGTGTACTTACTGCAGCTCAAGCATGCATCAGCAGCGAACTTGATACCGACTTTCTCCCCTACCTCTGGGAAATCGACGCCGGCACCTTGGGCGACCACCTCACCGACGCCTTCATGGCCTCCCACCTGACCCTTGGCGGTGGGTACAGGGAGGCTCGAGATCTTGTTCATGCAGAATGCATAGTCTGTATGGCAGACGCCCGAGTATAGCCTTCGCTAATGATTAGCACAGTGACGTCGCAAGAACCCGGCTGTCCTCTTACAGTCGAACCAAGATCTCTCCCGGGCCAGGAGTCGGGATTGGCAACTCCACCACTTCTGTCTTCACGGTCCCCGGCTCGGCGTAGACCGCTGCCCTGTTGCACTTTTCCGAGTCTTTAGAGGTCATGATGAATGTTCCAAGGGGCACATAAGCAATGGTGTCAAAGAAGAAGACTATTGCCAGTGCAATTGATTGACTCTCCGATGTAATTAATTAAATACTGTAGCTAGGTAGCATTTCCCCAGTTCCCCAATATTTTCCCCGGGGTCTTGTACCTGGTCCCGCCAAGGGAGGTGATTGACGCCACAAGGCCGGGGCGAATCAGACTCCACTGACTCAGACTGCCACATGCATCCGTCCTTGCGCGCGCCAGCCAGACTTGGGTTCGCATTGGATAGCTTCGCCTCCTCTTTTACAACGTGTCGTCCAAAATAAACCAAACATGAGGGGAATCAAATTGCCTCGGGCTAGGCGAGTAGGCAACGCTTTTGAGCCCATACAAGTTGATATGGAGTCTCATTTGTCAACTGCTCGACCTCCACTTCGTAGCTTGTGAATCATAGTTCTCCTTTGGGGAAAGAGAAGAGATAAGATCATTGGATCGCATCGGGAATACCACATACGAGTGGGACCTGTACCCCATATCTAGATGAGAGGATCTGAAAGACCCAGACTGACACGCCATCAGGGAGTACAGGTACTACTTGGCTAGCGGGTCCTCTTCCACGTAGTCCCGGTCTTTGACGCCAGTCCGCAGAACCGTAGGTGAGGGCCGCTGCATATTATAAGAACGTGCCGCGTTCTCCCGCACACCAGCACCGCACCCTTTGACCACCCCGCCAGTTCTAGCCAGACCCTGGAAGCATCATCATCATGGCCTCAACCTCCGGATCAACAAAGGCCCCCACTGCGGTCGCCTTTGACTCCTTCTTCAACATCATTGGGGGCGAGCGGGAGAGCGGCTCCAGCACATTCCAAGCCGCAAACCCGTCCACGTTGGCCGAGAACCCGCCGGCGCCCCTCTCATCCAAGGATGATGTCGACCGAGCCATCGCAGCAGCCAAGGCTGCTCTTCCGGTCTGGGCCGCCACGCCGGTCGCTGAGCGACAGCAAGCAGTGATCCGCCTGGCAGACGCTCTTGCTGCGCAGACGGACGATTTTGCGACGATGCTGGTCAAGGAACAGGGAAAGCCCGTGGGTACTCCCGTTGAATGACTCTGCGTTCTCTCATTCCCTGACACAGATCGCTGACTTGAGAGATACCAGCTGCCCATCGCCAAGGCGGAAGTCGCCAACGCTGTCGCGGTGCTCAAAGGCGTGGCGAATCTGTCGTTCCCTGCAGAGCAGGTCATAGAAGACACTCCGAAGCGTCGGATCTCATCGAGATATGTGCCGATCGGTATGTATGTGGAGAGAGTGCCACGATGCGCAAGGGCTGACTGAGTTACGTGCAGGTGTATCTGTTGGAATCATCCCTTGGAACTGTAAGTTTATTCTCTCCATGTCAGAACCTGGTCGATGACTAACATCGACTAGTTCCCGTGATCCTGGGTAAGTAGTCTTGCGTTGGTGTCCCATAGTTAATGTTTTGCTAAACCGCATCAGCTGCGACAAAGATCGGTCCTGCATTGGTCGCCGGAAGTCCCCTCATACTGAAGCCTTCGTAGGTTCCCGCGAGTGGAAGTTGCTGCCTGTCTATGACTGCTAACCACGGCACCTCTTCAGTCCATTCACCCCTTACTGCAACCTCAAGATCGCGGAGCTAGCAATGCAGTTCCTCCCTCCGGGAGTTCTTCAGGCTCTGAGCGGTGACGACAACCTGGGAGCTTGGTTCACTGAGCACCCCGGCGTGGCCAAAGTTGCTTTCACCGGCTCGACGAGCACCGGGAAGAAGGTGATGCAGAGTTGCAGCAAGAATCTGACACGCGTCACTTTGGAACTGTAAGCAACCTCCTGGCTTTCATACGCAGAGCTCTAGCTGACCGAGGCTAAAGTGGCGGGAATGACGCTGCGATCATCTGTCCAGATGTTGATATTCAGACCGTTGCGTTGCATGTAAGCCGTCGACCTTCGGAACATCCATCAGGCAGCGCGTACTGACCAGTCCCAGATTGCAATCAAAGCCCTACTGAACTCGGGCCAGGTATGTCTTGAAGTGAACAGCTGCTTTGAATCAAGAGTTAATGTGGCTGTTGTAGATCTGCATCGCCGTCAAGCGTGTCTACGTGCACGCAAGCATCTACGACGCGTTCCTCGCTACCATCACCGCCATAGCCAAGTCGTTCCCGGTCGCTGACGGGTTCACTGAGGGCGCCTTCATCGGCCCTGTCCAGAACGCGGCCCAATACAAGATCGTGCAAGACTTGATGGACGATGTTGCCAAGAATCAGTTCCGAGTGACCACAGACGGCGAGAGACCGCCCCTGCCAGAGAAGGGCTTCTTCTTCAACCCCATGATCGTGGATAACCCGCCTGATGACGCAAGAATCGTCCAGGAGGAGCCATTCGGTAAGATGCTGCGGAACATTGTGATTTTTCTTGGTTCATCAGGGGTACTGACCGGTTTCCAGGTCCCGTTTTCCCAGTCATGAAATGGACAGACGAGGCGGACGTTGTACGCAGAGCAAACGACAGTGACGTGGGACTGGGCGCGTCGGTCTGGTCAAACGATATTGCGGCGGCCGAGCGAATCGGCCGCCAACTGGAGGCAGGGACAGTCTGGATCAACGGACACTCTGAGCTTTACCCAGATGCGCCATTTGCCGGTCACAAGCATAGCGGTATTGGTGCTGAGCTCGGCGTGCAAGGGATTCAATCATATTGCAACGTCCAAACTATCGCTGCGTATAAGCAGATCACTCCCCCAGAGATGTAATAGCAGTAACTAGTCTACAGACCTATATCAAACAAAGCCCCCATCTGATCCAGGCGTCGTATCGAGAGACAGCCCTTCCTCGAGAGCAGGTAGAATCGCAGTGACGATCTGGTTGATGATGTCAAAGATGTCGAGCCACTCTTCCTTGTCGATCTGAGCGATGATAGTCTCCAGCTCTTCCTTGATATGAGGCGGTATCTGTAACATCAACGCAGTGACCAGTTTGCGAATCGCCTCTTCGAAGTCCACATGGTCGGCCTGCTCCAGGACCTGTATCACCTCTTCAAGAAACTCGATGATACGTACCACCATCTTAACCGGCAGCGAGACTGCATCTACCATCTCGCCGAGCCAGTCTTTCTCACCACCATCCCCTCCAGCTCGCAAGTCCGACAGACTATCGGTCATCGTTGCACTCATCCCCCGCGCCCTGCTCACAACTCCCTCAACCCTACCCACCACATCCCCAACCATCTCCTCCTCCCTCTTCCCCACCCCCTTAAGAACAGGAACACCAAAGTCCCATCCCCGCGTATAACAATCCTCATTGCCCCCTCCCGCACGACAGCCCCCCTTATCAGGCCGGTGATCCAAAGCCCCGACCACCGTCTCCCCCCTCCGCACCCCCGTCGCCCGCTCCAGATCCGCGTAGAACGCGTCCGCCTTCTCTCCCGCGCTCAGCGTCCAGTACACCGTGTCCCAGTCGTAGTTGCCCGCGTGGTTGCCCCGGAGCGAGTAGTCGGGCGGGCACGGCTCCGAGACGTTGGCGTACCGCAGCCCGCCCGGGCACAGCGCGGCGTCGCAGTAGCGGCAGTCCGGAGCCGCCGCGCCGAACTGGCGCTGGCACGTGCCGCAGCACGTCTCGGCCTCGAGGACGACACAGGTGAAGTAGTCGGGGCCGTGGGCGGTGTAGAAGGCGCGGATGGCGGCGTTGGTGTGGTCCTGGGCCAGCCTCGTGGCTACGGCGCGCAGGCGCGGAGAGACGTGCGTCTCGAAGGTGTGCAGGCTGTGGTTGAGCAGGCTGGCGAGGGTGTCGAGGGTGTAGAGCGGGCCGCAAGGAGCGGGGACGTTGGCTGGGATGTCTTCCAGTTTGCTGTGATGGGAAGTACAGGTGGCATATGTCATGCTGTTGGTGCTGGGCATGGGTCCACGAGCCTCCAGGCCGTGGTCATCATGACCAACGGTCGATTCCCAGTCGAGGACTCGGGGCCGATACCGTGCTGCGCCACCATAGGCAGGCAGGGCCGTCACTACCGCCAGGAACGAATAGAAGCTGGGTTTCATGATCATGCCTCTGGTGTCTCAAGGAAGGTTTCTGGGTGGACGTGAGACAATTGCAACTCGAAAAAAGACGGAATCATCGATCCTTTGAGTCAAAAGCAAGACAGCCACTCGATCCTTCCCTAAGATGCCGGATATCCTTGTATGAGAGTACTTGAGGCAGGGACAGTGGTGTCAACTGTTCCACCATCGTCATTTCCCAGTTCTCGCTCTCCGATCTGATCCCAGAGGCTCGAATTGCCCCTGCCACCAGCCGCGCAGCACAAAGCATTGCCGCTTCAATCTGAGATCTACATGTCACGGTGTGGGTGACACCATCACCAATCTCAGTGCAATGTAAACAAAAGGCGATTAAAGGAATGGGATTAATCCGTCCGCTACACGACGGTGGGTATCTAACACAAAGCGTGCCCTGCCTCTAGGTCTCTCGCTCTCAAACCACAAACAAAAGAAAGATGTATCTCCCAGGGACACGCCGTCAGACAGAGTAACATATGCACACGAAGGCAATAACGGATGTAACCACCACCATCCACCAGCATTAGACAGGCGGCACAGCAACCGGCCTCAGCCCGCCAAGATCAGCAAACCGCTCCCACTCCTCCGAGTCACCACCGTACTCCTCCACAGTAGGCATCAAGCTAACCGCTGAGCCGCTACCGCCGCCGCCGTCCTTCCTAATCCTCAGGGGCAGCGGCTTCAGTTCCACATTGCGCATCTCGGGCGATGACCCGCTGTAGACGCTGAAAAGCCTGCTATCGCGCCGCCTGCTCCGGGCCGGGATCGCCGGCGGCGGCGGAGAATCCACCTCACGACTGCCCAGCCCCTCATCATCATCGCCTCCTTGCGCAGAGTAAAAGCTCCCGTCCGTCTCGCTGCCCGAAGACGTCCTCCGCCGCACCGGAGGCGGCGTCTGCTGCTGCTGGCCTGCTGCCTCCCTCACCACCCCGTCAGCGACCATGGCCAGGGCCTTCTCGTCGGGGAAGTACTGCAGCACAGGCGACGACGCCGAGTAGTCCGTCAGCGGGCTCTGCGGGCCCGAGAGCATGTCCGACGATGACGAGCCGGAGCAGCAGCGCGAGCCGCTGCTCGCGGTGCGGCCGCCGCAGCTGTCGGCCGTCGAGGCCGAGCCCGACGACGACGCCGACGACGACGTGGACGGCGAGCGGTTCGTCTTGATGATGCCCACGGCCGGCAGGACGGCCTCCTCCTCCTGCAGCGCCGCCTTGAGGGCCGCGACGCTACACCGCGGCGCCGGGGGCTGGGACAGCCTGAGGGAGGGGTTGCTGCGGAAGATCCTCAGCGGACGCCGGACCGAGACGTTGTGGAGGAGCTCGCGCGTCAGGCTCTGCCTGCGAGACGGGATGGCGGACGGGCCGCCCTGCCGGAAGAACCTGGAGCTCGAGCGCTCGGGCACCTCGGGGTGTGTGAGCGCAAAGTAGTCGATGTCCGGCTTGATCTCGTACGTCGACATACGCTGGGGCTGGACCGGAGGCGTGACGGGTGCTTGGAGCGGCAGACCGAGAGAGCTATTGGAGCGATGCATGGGACGGGATAGGCTACGCGCAGGCCGTCGCACAGGCTCTTGATCGCCCCACGGCGGCAGCGCGGCGGTCGAGATGGCGAGGTGATACGGCGCGCCGTCTACGTCGCAGACCTCTGGAGGGACGGCGGTGCAGCAGCGCAGCGTCTGGTGCACCGCGTAGACGAGAATCCATCGGACCTTGCGGGCGTCGACCAGGGAGATCTTCTCGAGGCGATCGGAGCGGAGAGGCCGAAAGACGGAGTCCTCCTCGAACTTGCGGTAGGCGCGGACGAGGTCATTGTTCAGGATGTTGAGGTTGGCCTTGTTCGTCGCGCTGACCAGCGCAGTGTGAGCGGCCTGGCGCGGGTCGACGCGCCCCCTAGTCGACCAGGACCGGGTAGGCATCCACGACATGCGCTTTGATGGGGCTGCTGGCTCTCCTTCAGGGAGCAGCGGCAGCGGGTGATCGAGGCTCTTGAAGTTGTGACGCCTGTCGAAGGACTCGACGCTTTGCAAGACGCAGATCCCCCCAGACTGAGCCAGCGTGGGGCTTCTCTGCTTTGTGAACCCTTGGTCAACAAGAAGGTAGTACAGTGACTCGAAGTCCCTGGCCATGGTCTGGTTGATCTGAGCCTCGAACGTTGTGCTCCGAAAGCTCGCCCGGCTGGGTGGGTAGTAGCCCAACTTGCTGGCGTAGAAGCCCAGGAGAAAACTCCTGAACCGTTCGAGGTGTGCCCTCGCACCAGGCGCGAGGCTGATATGGGTCTCGGAGAGGTCATCCTCCAGGAATGTCCGTAGTAACGATCCGCAGTGACCAAGCCTGGAGATCATCTCTATGCGAGCTTCGCGGATGAGTTTTCGGGATGCAGATGTAATTTGCTAAAGACAATTAGCTCTGACATACCATCAAATGGCCTTTATGATTAGCACTACGAACCAGGTATTCAGGTGAGCGATACAGGTTATCACTCATGCCCACGCAATGCGCAAACGCGTCGATGTAGAGATCACGCAATCGAAAGGTCTCTGCCAAGTTCAGAATGGCGAGAGAGTGGCCCGGCTGGTTGGAGAAGTCAAAGTATCCCTCTTCGTCGCAGTAGTACATCAAGTCCTCCACATTGTCGACATCTGCCGACCGACACTCGTGCATGCTGTTGAGCAGGGCGACCAGCGCATCGCCTAGGCTCTCACCCACGACTGAGCGGCGGAAGACCCATGCGAAGAAGTTTCTTGTCGCCAGATGGTAGCGTAGTGCCTGGTGCCGGTCAGCGCCTTCGGGCGCTGGGATGAAGAGCTCGACCCTCCCGGTCGGATTGGCGTCACTCCAAAGCTCCAGGTCTGAGGGCGATGCTTCGCTGTCAAAGCTCGGCGAATCGGGAGTGTCACGAGCAATAAACCTCTGGACGAGAGGGAAGCAATTTGCCGCAAGGAGATCAGAGAAAGGAACCTTGAAGGCCGGGCCCCGGCGGGATTGGCCCTGGCCATACAGATGAACTGTGCAATTACCATTGCGGTACCATAGCTCGGGGTCCTGCTCATCCTACAAGTCAGTGTCTTTCACAGCGCTGAGACGATGAGAAGGGATACAGTACCCTTCTGAGGTAGTCCCATGGAGCGCTCGACCGTGAAATACCGTCCCACCGCTTGATGCTGCTCAGATATGAGTCCTGCTCCTCTGATACCTCACCCATTCTCCCCGACTTGCATGTCAGCTCCATCCTGGACATTTGCTCTGCAGAAAGTCGAGTCAAGTAAGACTTCCGACGCTCCTTAAAGTCACCTCGTAAGTGAACAAGGTGGCGTTCATCATGTATGGGAGTTCCCTTGGGGAGGGAGGCAAAGGCGTGTATTAGTATGGGATGGATGTGCGGGATGGGGGCCAGCATCTGAGCTGAGTGTGGTAGGACACAGAGCGGCATTCAAAGCAGCTGGCTAGGCAATGGGCCAGTAGCCGGAAATGGTCATGACGGCAGTCTAGATTCCCGAACCTGGGTCTCGCAGAGATCGCCCCCGGCGCTAGTGGCATCGAGCTAGGCGGACCGCGCAGGGAGTAGTCAAGAAGTAGGCCGACCTACCCAGCGCGGGGGGCGCGGCCATCACCTTAGCGGCAATTTCCCATGTCTCATGGCGTAAAACCTTCCTTTGTCGGCGGTGTTGCTAGGTAGGTATCTGGAAGACCCTAGGCATCGCATCGCATCGCACAATGCTGCTGACGACGAGACGCGAGGCCGGCGAGACAATTCCGGGTCGTTTCGTGAGCGCGAAAGCTGCGTCCCCCGACCATGCTCCCTCCAAGGAGGCACCTAGGGACAGTGCAGGGGATTTTGCAGTAGCGCCGCAGATGCAGTCCTCTCCTGCTTCAACAACAAATCCAGGCCTGTTCTTGGATGCAATAGATGGGCGGACTAGCGGGCGGGGAATTGCGCTTACGCATGGTGGAGGGTAGAGCCCAGCAACCCGGCACCAGTGGGCCGCCCATGTTTTGCATCATTCACCCAGCGACAGCCCACGGCATGCCTTGAGCCCGAGCCTGCCAGGTGTTGGTCCAAATCCAATTTTGGAGCCAGAAAACTCAAGGCCAGGAAGCTTTTGGCTTGTGCAAGACCAAACAGAACCGTTGCTTCGTTGGTGCGCCGGCTACCAACATGCACTCCGGACGACGACGTTGGTCTACGTGTTCTCATGATGCCGGCCGCATTGGCCTCATATCCAGGGCCTCATTGCGCACTCGACTGGGTTCGTGTCAAGCCCTTATGTCAGAGCTCCTCTGATTGATGATCCGAGACAGGGCAGCACTTGCTGGGATCGCGCGGACGATGTGGGGGATCGCCGCCACGGTCTGAAGCCTCCGGTGCTCTCTTCCTTGTCATTCCGCCATGCGACGTGTCTGGACAGGGACCAACACAACAAAGAAGCAGGACGATCCAAATGCAGTTACGATGTAGGCAGGTGGTACCATCTGCAGGGGATGTTTTGTTTAAACCCAGCCAGTAGCACGCGATGGGTGAAGTTAAGTACTCCGGTTTGGGAGCAGCGCCATCTCTCACCACTTTAAAGTAGTGCCGGCGACGCCATAGACCGGCTCTAGCTTGCCACTGCCCAGCACCTCGTGGCTGGTTGTCGTGGTGCCCGAATGCCAGTCCCAGGCCGCTCGGTGTGGTTAGGAATTGAGGCGTCCTTGATTAAGCAGAAACAGCTTGCCCGTTCCACAGCAACAGAGCGTCAGCATTGTCGGCATTGTCGGCATCCTGCGCTCGAGACTGCAATGGCAAGTCGAGGACGGTTCGAACCCACGTCGCAGCGAAGGCTGAATATCAGCTGGCATCGAAGCTGGAAAGCAACCCTTGCGGTGCCAAAGACAGAATGCAACCCAGCAGGGGTGAGATGAGCGACAGGGCTGGAAAGGGTTTAAGCAGTTCAATAGATTGGCCGTCTGGGCTGGTCCTCAGGGCAGACTGGGGTCTTTCTCAGGTGGTGGTGGGTACGGCCACTAGTCTGTCGTAGCGGCACCTTCCCGAGCTCATGGGTCGCAACCCCCTTCTCAAAGAGGACGAAGTAGGTAGCGTGAACCGGCGGGATGTCTGGAAGACTGGAGATCTGGGCTCGGCCACGAGATAAACATGGATCTTCATCTTTGTTGACCCACGGAGGCATGGACATGGAATGGCGAAAAGTTTGTCAATCGAAGAGGGCCTTTAATCAATCTGACCGAGATGGCTAGGCACGGTGCAGTGTCGGTGCATTCGAAGCTTCCACAGCGAACAGGGCTTTCCTTTACGGGACAAGCAGCTTGCGTATGTCTGAACCGTGGCCTAAGGATGATCGATCATACTGAAAATGCCAGGACAGCGGGAGAGCCGATGCAGTGTCTCTAGGATAGGTGGTAATTTGAATGGCCATTACTTTGTATAGGAATCTGGTCGTAGACAGAGCCAAAACCTGACGGATGTTGGTGGAGAGAACATCGAAGCGCCGGATCCGGGCCAGGCGGGACCAGCCACAGCGGCTCCCCTTCCCGACACGGCCTGCACGCGCCACGATGCGCACCCTGAAATTCTGCCTCTCACCACCGCCAATAATCCAACCCTCAACACCGCGCCTCTAGGTCGCTGTGCATACAGCGACAACGTCACCTTGCGCCGGGTTAACCAGAAGCCAAAGCACATGCTGTCGATCCAAAGGCATTGAACCCATTTGCAATGGCGGCCGTCGCACCTCAGGGCAATCCGGCCGCTGCACCGCCCTTCGCGCCCTACACCTACATCCAGTGCCCCTGCTCCGACACGCAGACCGCGGCCGACCCGACGACCGCTTCCGGCCCGGGCCAGGCCGCCGGCGACGTGCCGGGCGGCGACGACGACGAAGACGACGATAGGACGTTCGACCCGCGCGCCCCGCGCTCCAACTACAGCCTCTACCCGCTCGAGTACCTGCTCTACTGCGAGGACTGCCACCAGATCCGCTGCCCGCGCTGCATCGCCGAGGAGATTGTGACATACTACTGCCCCAATTGCCAGTTCGAGGTGCCCACGAGCAACATTAAGAGTGAGGGCAACAGGTATGAGCAATACAAATGCGCATATCAGAAGCATGACTAAACAATCGGCGATATATCCACAGGTGCACGCGCAGCTGCTTCCAGTGCCCCATCTGCATCGGCCCCCTGTCCGTCACCAGCCTCGAGGCCCCTCCCAACCCAAACCTCCTCGCCGCCGACAATGTCCCTTCCCACCCCAGCGGCGGCCCTAATGGCGGGCCGTACGTGCTCTCCTGCCTCTACTGCCACTGGAGCTCCACCGAGATCGGCATCAAGTTTGACAAGCCCAACGGCATCTACACCCAGCTGACCAAGATCCGCAACGGCGGCCGCCCGCGCCTGACCCCGCGCGAGCGCAAGGACCGGCGCAAGGAGATGGTGTCCTCGAACCTCGGCGCCCCGATGCTACTGGAAGAGGACCTCCCGTCAAACGGCCTGGCCTCCGTCGCCGAGGAGGAGGTGTCCCCCACCATCACCGAACAGCCCTCTACCTCTGCGGGCAACGCAACCTCCTCCTCCCCAAACAACAACAACAAAAACGACGATGCCGACCTCGACATCGAGACCCAGTTTGTCAACCTCAAGGCCTTCTACCAGAACCAGCTCTCCGAGACCAGCGTCGCCGGCGCCTCGGGCCTTGCCGCCCTGGGCGACCTCGGCCTCTCCTCCCCGGGCTCCCTCTCGCGCATCATGAGCCTCTACACCGGCGGCGGCCTGCACGACAAGAAGTCCAAGGCCCGCGCCAGCGCCATGCGCGAGGCACTCGAAGCCGACGAGGGGCTCCGGCTCGCCGACCTGGACGAGGACGACGCCGCGATCGCCCGCCTCATGCGCCAGGAGGGCGAGGGCGAGGGCGAGGGCGAGGGCGGCGGCTGGCACGCCACGGCGTCCCGCAGCCTCCAGGACGCGCAGGTGCCCAACCTCTGCGAGCCGCACCTCCACGGCTCCGCGCGGTTCCTCGACGAGCTGCGGCCCGTGCCCTACCTCCTGCGCACCAAGCGCTCCAAGCGCTGCCCCGTCTGCCGGCACATCATCTCCAAGCCCGAGGCCAAGGTCGGGTCGACGCGGTTTCGCATCCGCCTCGTCGCGGGGTCCTACATCCCCAGGATGTCCATCCGTCCCCTCAACCACAGCAGCAACAACAGCTCATCTACACCCACCACCGCAGCAACGACAACATCGCCGCCGGGCCTCCTGGCCCCGCTCAAGCCAGTGCAGTACCTCCTCACCTTCAAGAACCCCATCTTCGAGCCCGTCCGGGTCACCCTCGCCACGCCCGCCACGACGCCCGGCCGCTTCGCCAGCAAGGTGACGGTGCTGTGCCCGCAGTTCGAGATCGACGCCAACACGGACGTCTGGGACGAGGCCCTCAAGGAAGGGGACCGCGACGGCAGCCGCCGCCGCCGCAGGAACGAGGACGGCGGCGCGCAGCACCAGGCCGAGGCCGGCAAGATCTGGGAGCGCGGGCGGAACTGGGTCAGCATCGTGGTCGAGGTGGTTCCCGCGTCGCTGCGCTTCGACACCCTGGCGCTGCTGAAGGACCAGGGCCGGGACGACGTGGATACCAGCCCGCTCAAGGAGGACGAGGACATCCTCGAGATCCCCATGTTTGTCCGCATCGAGTGGGAGGCCGATCCGACGCACGACGACGTCGGCCTGGCCGCTGGCAAGGACAAGGACCTCAAGGAGAAACGGGAGCTGGCTTATTGGAGCGTGCTGGGCATCGGGCGAATCAGTCAGGATTAAGAGCAGGGCAAGCAAGCAGTTTTACGATACCCTTCAGCATTCAGAGCGTATGAACATGATCAACACATAGCAAGCAATGAAGAGTTAATGAGAGAGAGACTTTTATTTGTCAAGTCATGCAAGACCAAAGCTTGTATTAAGTGAAAATCACAAGCTAGCTAGACGCCATTCCCTTTTTCTGCCAACCGGTTTGAATGCTCTCAGTCGTTAAAAAAAATGGTTTCCCGGATCCCATCATCCTCTGCCCAGTCATACAACCACTCTAGTAGTCGGAGGCACCAGTCTGGGGGAACTCGAAGACGACACCGCGGCCGGTGAGCCGCCTGTAGACCTCGGAGTAGGTGTCCAGCCTGTAGTCAACGCCACCACGCTCCTTCTCGTCGAGGACGACCTTGAGGGTCTTGCTGCCGTCCTCCTTGGTGCGGAGGCGCTTGCCGACGATCTCGACGGGGTAGACGAGGTCGGTCAGGATGGCGTCGTGGACAGCAGTCAGGGTCCGCGAGCGCGGGCGCTTCTGCTTCTGGGTGTTGCGGGAGCGGCTGGAGCGCTTGGGGCGGGGGAGGATGCGGCGCGAGGCCAGGATCAGGACGTGGCGGTCAGAGAACTTCTTCTCGAGCTCACGGGTGAGGCTAGACAGATTTCATCAGTATTCGCGGGGTTGGCATTGAGGAGAAAGGGATTAGTCTTACCGCTGCTGGACGCGGTGGAAGCCCTGCAGGGAAGGGACGGGGACAAAGATGACAATAGCCTTCTTGCCGTGGCCAACCTCGATCTAATCAAGATCCAAAAGTCAGCATGCGAGCTCCAGGATGGACGACACATCCTTGGACCGCTTCCCGTCCTATTCCACGATATTGTTTGTGTAGTCAGTTCGCTTCTTCTGCGCGCGGGTTCCCGCGTGCGAGCGTGCATGTTTTTTTCTTAGGTGGCACGAAGCACACAACAGTGGTGCTCGCAACCTGGGGTTGAACCGCGCGCTCGAAAAATCGCAAAACCGTAAAACCCGCAGGCGAGCCACGAATGACCCGCCACGTACATCGATGTGGAATAGGATTCGGTTCGCAGAGTCGAGGGGATTGTTTGTGCCTTGAAATCACAATTGAGTTCCAAATGTTCAGCGGTTTCTCACCTCACGGGCAGAGACGATCTGCAGAGGGCGCAGGGCAACCTTGAGGTCGGCAGTGTTCGTCTCGAGGTCGTAGAGAGCGCCAGCGATGCTGGCCTCGAGCTCAGAGGGGTTCTGGCGCGAAGGGCTGTTGGCCGCGATCTTGTTGAGCTGAGGAGCAGACATGTTGGCGGTTGTCTGTGGTTGTCGACGTGATGGGGGAATGTGGCAGACAGGGTCGTGATCGCTCACTCCAATGCAGAAAAAAGTTCGTTGGGTCTGGAGGTTTGGGATGGAGCCCACTAATTTTCGCTAAATTGGGGTTTGCAAACCCTGACTCCACTCCAGAGCAGAGTGGCGAATCAACGACGTTGCGACTACCACCTACTCCACTCTGCTTTCGCCAGCTGTGAGACGCCAATGGCAGCTGCAAGCCGAGCTGCCCAAAGAATAACACCCAACACAACGTCCAAGACTCAGTATCTCGGGGCCTCATGATTGAGAACTTGAGAATTTGTTCATATGGTATACTTTGTATATTATGTTACATTAACTGCAGAATAGCTACATCTTTTAAATTTCGGAATCACGTGTATGCCACGCTGACAAAGACTCAATATGAAAGTTGAATTTCTCTAGCAGTTTATGTAATTCAGGATATGGCAAAAGCAAAAGTTAATTCCTACCATTTCATTTTCTTGCCTTGAGAAATGAAAACTTTAATGCCTATATACCTAATGTACGTGCAGATTGTTACAAGTCATAATGAGTAAAGTCTAGCTCGTAAAACTCGGCTCTGATCCTGTTCTCCCACCCACCCGCGAGAAGTATGATGTCAATGGAACAGAGGTATCACGGTATCAGCAATCGCTATTTCTTAATATTATAGGATCAAACAGACTCCAAGATGTAAGGGGGAAGTATATCAGAGACTTGCAGCAGCTCAATGCCAAGCTGGAAGGGAAGCTCGCCAAGGGAGGCGAGATGGGGAAGCTGAATGTGCTGGCATGGTACCCTTCCGAGACGGCCACGCAGATATAGGCGGACATGCTTCATCGCCATCATGGCGTCGTTATTGCTGATGGAAAGGCATAAGATTATACGCGTCGTTCATCTATATACGAATTGTCCGGTGAGAGAATAAAGCACGGTCTATATTGCGATTCATCGCGAGCTACGTGGACAGCGGCGGGGTTAGTCTCATGCAGAACCAGGAAGCTAACCTTCGAGGCAAACATGAGGGCTTGCCACTTGCCACTACCCAGTCTACGCTCCTATATCTCAATTTCGACCGGCCTATTCCTGATTTCGTTTTGCGGGCCACCCACGATCGACGCGTTGATAAACGCCGTTATGGGCCCCCTGTCCCTTCTGACTCGAAGCAACACCCTCGCAACTAGATCCCACGCTACCAGCCAGGCCAAGCTCAGCACGGCTCCCCATCCTGCCCACTGATTCATGACATCTTCATAATATCGTTGAACCCTGTCGAGGACAATGTCTTCGCGTCCGCAACAAGCATGGATATGTCCGAATACGTGCAGCCGAGGACGTATACGGGCTATGTGCTCCGCTAGGTGCGGACAACCCGCGCGGTGGAAGTCTCGAGCATCGAGATGTAGCCGTGGCGGGCCGTGTGTGATGATTATGTCGGGCTTGGGCGAAGTAGACCCAAGAATCCTCTCCCAGGTGTTTTCTGCGCTGTCCGGACGATATTGGAAGGCGGATATACCGTACTGAGGAGTGAGAGGACTGCCGAAGATAGTAATCCGCCGGACCTCATTCTCGCTGGATGTTTCCATCCGCGACGAATGTTGAATAAGCTTGACTGGGACATCGAGTGTGACTTGCTTGTTCTCAAGGTAGATTATATCGCCCCAGTCCAGGTCGCATCTCCCTTTCGTCTCTCCGTACCGTCGTTCGGGGTACTTTTCTAAGAATTCTTCATCCAGAAGAACGTCGTGATTGCCCGCAACAAGAATCTTGTATCTGTGCGGCTGTGATGAGAGCCAGTTCAGTCCTTGCTGCACTTCATCAAAGGACCCATTCTCGGTCAGGTCGCCGGCGTGGATGAGAATATCTCCCTTGGGAACGGCCGGCTGGGTGTTGTGCGTGTCTGAAATGCAGATAACTCTGATGGCATTCTCTGGAGGCGTGACTACGCTGACACCATTGCTGCGATACCGTAGCAATAGCCTCTCAGCCCATCGACGCCTCCGCGCCCCGCGCAGCTTGATGTTGGTCAGCACCTTTTGCTCGTGTCGTTGCTGTTCCATCGTGTTGGCGGATATCGTATTTCCAGCACAGTACTATCCGGTATTCTCTCGACAAAATACTTCAAGTAGCCCCGAAAAGCACCAGCAAGCCTTTCCGGGGTAGCTGGCGAGGTCCGGCGCGTTTCATTCTCGGAGTGGTCGTTGTGTTGTGCCAGGGTAACATTAACTCCAAGCCTGATGATCTGGTTCCAATGTATACTTTTGGTGTGGTAAGCGCTAAAGAGAGGCGCTACACTTGTAGTTAAGCATCCCCTACGGCGCTTTTTACCCCGGTGGGACCCACCCAACCGTCCATAACATTGAAACGACACCATCAGTGACTCACCTACAAAACTACCTAGGTAGGCGACAGGGGGGGATTTAAGGATATACTTACTCCTGGGCTCTTTAAAATGGCCAACACGCGTCTGTTGAATTCACGACATCTTGGTGAATTGTCTGAACGGCTCTACTCGTACTCAAATTGTATTGAACATGTTTCAAGTGACTGAATACGGCGCTAAACATTAACTATTCCATTGTGGCCAGCTGGAGTTGAATTCAAGCACTGCCACCGAACGCGACTGTTGAAACGATGTCTTTCTTGTAGGCAAAGCCTATGAAGCCTTTCCGTAGTTTGCAGGCGTCAAAGTTAAGAAAGAAATGAAGAGTGCGGTCGATGGTCCTGCTCAAATGCAAGTCATTAGTTTCAAGACATTCCAATCCACTTCATCAACCAAGTGTTTCATACGGTCAGTCCAAGTTTTCCAAACCAGGTTTCCAATATTTGATCAGGCATAAGCATCTCGCGATCACATAATGGGGTGCGGCAGCAGCCAACCCGAACAAGAGCGCCGACCTCGCCAGGTGACAATCGGAGCACCCCAGGATGTCATGATACATATTCCTCGCAACCGCACCGATCGCTACGGAGCTCCGACGCAGCAAGTGACTCAAGAGGTTGATCGAGATACTCTAATCGCAGCCCTCCACCACGTCTCGGACTTCATCGCGCTCCAGAGGCAGCATATCACCGTGATAGCTGTTGGGGGAGCAGTCAACACTCTGTTCCTTCGATCCCGGCTGATCACTCACGATGTGGACGTTTTCGGCTCTGACTTTTCCAACCAAGGGCGTGTCCTGTTGGACCGCGCTATGCACGATGCTCGGCAGAGGTTCCGTGCCCTTGGAACCGACTGGCTCAATACCGAGACACAAATGTGGATGCCTGGACCTCTGCATCAAGAACTCACTGCAGGAGCCAGGAGGCAGAACGTCAAGGTCTTTGACGGGGCGGGCCTCACCATCCTCGCTGCACCGTGGGAGTATGCTTTTTCTGCCAAGATCAATCGCATCCTCACGGGCGGTGCCCAACGTCGGCCGTATGATCTCGCAGACGCTGCTACCTACATTCACGAGTATATTCGCAGCCATGGTAATGCATCGATCCCTGTCGCGACGGCTCGGGGGTGGGCTAAACACTATCACCACGAGACGAATGACAACATCCTTCGAACTCAAGTGAACTAGGAGTATCGAGAGCGTTATGGAGGTGTCGCTTTTGTTTGAGCTGTCGGTATTACTCTCGTCATGGAACACAGATATAGCGTTGATTAGGCGTGTTGTCGGGCTTAATCGGTTTGGTTGTGGCCGCAACGCTTCTCTAAATAAAGACATGACAATAGCAAATATCGAATTCTGGCTCGTAATGTACTATCACAACCTGCTAAAGCAGAAGAAATCTACTTCAATTAAGTGAAGGATATATGAGGTGTCGATAATAGAATGTTCTTTGAAAGGAAGTCGGGGTCAGCTCGATCATCATCCTTGCTTGTCAGGATCTCTCCTTCCTCCGTGGGAATTGCTAGCGTTTCTGAGAGAGGTGCAACTTGGGTAGCCCACTCGGGTACTGCTTCATAGGGTCGAGACTCATCAGGTATCTGCCTCAGCATTTCTGCCTCTTCCGGTGTAATGAGCGACGGCATGTCGCGACGCAGACCAAGCTTGACTCTTTGGTTGAAAGAGCGCATCAGCAAGTAAGTACAGCCCGCCAGCACTGCATATCTCTCCGGATCATCGTCCTTGGGGTCTTCGATCTCTTGAATGGGCCAGTTCCTAGTCCGCCAAAAAGCCTCCAACGCGTTGCGGTAACTAAGGACCTTGTCAAGAACGATCAATTCGTATAGTCGATAAAGCGCAAACAGAGATGTGTCTTTGAAGACGCCCATTGGGGCGTCATACTGTCGAGCAGTGACCTGGCTCCAATACTGGCTCGGATCTTGCAGAATTACTCGAGGTGGCGCTGGCGGAAATTGTGGGAAGGCCTCTGGTTTCGGAACGCCATGGTCGGCCTCATCCAAAGACTGAGGAGATGATTGCACCTGCTGTCGGTTCCAAGGAGCAGATCGCAGCAATTTTTTGATAAAGTCGAACATTGGTTGGCAAAAGATGAGAATAAGATAGGTGCTTAGAGTATGAGAAGAACGCCCGGAGGAGATGATTAGTTAGAGTGAAAGTTGACCGTAGTCAAAGTGCCTAGTGTGGTAAATGGGGTGAAAGATTGCAGGCGTGAGTCGCGAGAACCATGGGGAAGTCGGCAGCGAGCCGAGAAGTGCAGCCCGCAGTGCCGCGTTGTTTCTCCCACAAAGCCCCACGGCTGACGCTTCTATCGGATGGCAGTTCGGGCAGCGCGTAGGGCACGGGGGGAGGAAAAGCTGGGTACGAAGTCGTCGGCCGAGACAGGGTCAACAGACAAAGAGAATATGTGTATACTGGTGTTTATGCAAGTACCTCAATTGTATCGGGTAAAGTGCGATACAGTGTTTGTGACGGATCGAGAGAATTAGAGCCCAAATGATGGGTAGGGTTTCTTTAGGTCCTGTTCGTGGGGTGCAATAGGTTGTCCTCGTACAAGCAATTCCTTGAGACCAAAGGAGTCTACCGACCATGGCCCCTCTTTCATTGGGATACTCTTGTAAGTATTCTGCTTACAATGAGGGTCTATTGTGACAGTTGATTATATACCGTCCTCTCTAAATCACGAACGCCATAAAGTTAAAGTTGAACATGCACCAGCAGCTCTGGCCCTGGCCCGATTCACCTCTTAGATAACAGAAATGGGTTCATGATTGGACTAAGATCGTCTCTCTGTTGGCATCTGGGGCTGAACAAAAACACAGCACATCCACATCGGATACAGCGGGATGGAAACGGACGCGCGAGCATTGCCTTGACCACCCGCACCCCCTTCGCCGCCTTCTCCACCTCGGCCTCCTTCACCGCCTCTACCTCCGGCACCTCCGTTCGCAAGCCCGCCACCGCCGGCGCCACCCCCGACGAGAACCACAGGTTCGACAGCCCCGCCGGGAGCCTCTCCGGCGACTATCAGGTCCGCCATCAAACGTTCAGGCCGCTCCCACTGTGGACGTTCGAACAGCCTCCCACCCGCGCCATGGGGCTGGGGCTGGCCGTGATGATGCCCGTGACCCCCGCGCCGCGACGGAGTCAGAACGCAACACATGATCAAGGTATATATCGTAGCGTGCGCCTCGGCACGAGCGTCTGCACTGCCGCCCGTGCCGCCGTCCCCTCCTGAACCACCCACTCCTCCGTCGCCCCCCGGGCCGCCTTTACCTCCTCGTGCGGACCCGCCGATGCCTTGGCCCCCTTGCATGGCATGACCATACAAAGGGGGAGCATGAACATCATGGCCTCGGACGGTAGTGTCTTTGTCGCTAGACTGTGTCGAGTCGCCGCTAGGCTGATTGTTGGCGTGACCATCCGCTACGCCATGCCCTCCACTGCCCCCGGGTTCTCCCAAACCACCTGGTCGCCCTCGTCCACCTGGTTCGCCTCTGCCACCCGGCTGCCCTCTACCATCTTCTCTTGGGGTCGAGTATACCCTGCCATCAGACAAATATGGCTTCATAGTCTGCTGCCCGTTGCTCGTCAAAAACTGGATCCTGTGGTGCCTCCGCTTGCAAGTACACTGGTAGACGTAAACTGATGCGACAACCCCCAGGAGAAACACCCCCAACACCACACCAACAATAATCCCGACAGTGCGGTCCTGAGTTCCAAGGTCGTTGCGCTTGCCGAACTCATTCAAGTTGGTGGGCTTTCCAGATGTGGAGAAGATGTGCCTGGAGACATTGTTCCCTGATTCATCTGAGAGTTGTACAAGGTACATTCGACGTTGCTGACTTGATTTGCAAACTTGGCGTTTATAGGCACGGTGGTTCGCCCATGCGAGACGTATCGGCGTATGGGATGACAAGAAGCCTTTCAGGAACAGCTTTGTCTCGAACAGTTATGCCTGCTAGCCTGATTATATGAGCATAACCGCTATTCGACTGATACAATTCGAGGTCAGCTGGCATACCGGTGGGCACTTTCCTCAGCCTTGTAGCGTTAGTCACTCTCCGAGATGCCTCTCGAATCGGGATCACCGAGCTGTTCTTCTCTTTGAGGCTGACCAGATTCTTCTCTTGAGCATGCTACCACACCTGCATGGATCCAAAGCGACTGACCATAGAGAATCCAGTGATCGAACCGATAGGCCCACTCACACTCCCTCCAAAGGATGTCTAAACACGTTCAGCTGAGCCACGATATGCAGGCCTTGTCTCTTTATGCAATGCATCATATCATGGCAGCATTCGAAGGAGCAGCATTTCTAAAGTAGAATGACTTTGATCACCGGGCATTCGATAGAATAAAGAGACAGACTTATGAGCTATTCCGAGTGAACCAAAACGCATCAGCGCAAGTACAGACCGAGACATCCGAGTTCTTTCTGTCTTCATCTTTTCTGCTCCGCTTGGGAAGGAGGTTTTCGGGGGTCAAATATGCCACCCACACCCGCTCCACCCATGGCAATTTGTCCTGCCTTGCTTGCCGCCACAGGGGCGCCCATACCGGCTCCGCCCTCTCCCTCAGTCTTGCCTGCTCCATACGCAGTACCACCCACCCCAGTACCCCCAAGTTCGTTGCCGTTCGCCGTTCGCTTTCCTCCCGTTCCTATGCCTCCGTTGGCTTGAGCAACCTGGCCATCCATTGTCTGGACTGTCGCACCCCCTCCGAAGCCACCCCCTACGACTTTGTGGTTTGTGTCGTAGATGGCGAAGAGTGTATCGCCTTTCTTCACGTTCAAGCTGAAGCTCGTGATCTTGTCCCCGACCACGACGTTTCCATGGTGATCCTTGCGGGATTTATGGATGTCTATTTTGTAGGGAATCTGGAACTTGTTTCGAATCTCAGTCTCAAACACTTGGACTAGGGTACCGCTGATTATCTTGAAGGTATCATCCGCCTTCAGCTCTAGGATCTGTCAATAGTTCATTTCTCAGTTATCGGGCCATAATGTACATACGCTCAGGCTTGAGGCCTTGCACGATGCATCGGACATCCACCTGTCCGAAATCTCCCATGATCCTGAATCGGTTGGCGGGCTGCGGCTTGGAGGTAATAGAAGTGGTCGTTTCTAATCCATCCGGAACAAGTCTTAGAAGGCGTGGAGGAATGTGGAGGACAGACATGCTGCTTTATACACACACATGGAGAGCAGTGAAGTCGAAGCGAGTTCTAAACCGTCCTTCAATATCTAGATTGGCCAATGCTTGATTGCGACTAGAGCCAAGACTTTGCATTGCTTACTGCCATGTCGGAAGAGGCAGATCTGCCGAATGAGCTCGTGGACAATGTTGACACCAAGTTCTTTGAACGAATGAAGACGGCATGACATGCAACGCCACGCTGACTGATATTCTGACAAAACGCCTCACAGATACGAGAGCAGTGACTAGATACATGTATTAGAAGCTCGGCCCCGCGTGTGCTACATCGGATACTGGCCATTAATACCGAAGGTAGGACGGATGTCGTATCAACATGCAGCCCCGTACCCGCTCCATGCAATGCATGCCACGTCACAAGTACGTCGATTGAACAAAGCTGAAGAAGGTGTGCCATAATGGAAATCTTGGGTCACTCGAGACATCTTACGACGCACGAATCTTGAGGGAGGCCATCACGATGTTCTCGCGTGCGTCTCTAACGATCAGGATATTAGGCATCAGTCCGGGGAGCTTGACGACCGACTCGCTAGAAGAGAAGTGCAGAGAGTTCGGCTGCACCGAGGAGCCAAAGCGATGGTTCAGTCGGGGACGGTACGGGGCGGATGGGCACCCCCTCATAACCTCGCTAGCACGGCAAGGAGAGTCGGATACCGCAACAGTGTCATTTCCATCTAATGGCCTGAAGCAACGGGCGCTGAAGAAGTTCTCTGGTGCAGGTCTGTCGACAGACGACACTTTTGCGGGCCTCACGGTACTGCACTCGGACCCAGAGCCTGATCTCGAGTATGGATTTCTATGCCCTCTCTGGATGAGCAGGGAGTTGGTCCTTATTGTGTTGGTTTGCTAACATTGGGTAGCATTTGTGCGATTCATGGCTTGAATGGCAACGCTTTCGATACATTTGCCTGGGGAGGCCGCGACATGTGGCTTCGTGATTTCTTGCCCAAGTCATGGCCCCAACATGCCGATCACAAGGGGGTTCGAGTGATGGCATATGGATATAGCTCTCTTGTGCAGGATGATATAAACACGACTGGCTTGGATGAATGGTCTATGGGCCTTCTCCAGAGCGTCGCCGCCGTGCGGAGATCGCCATCTGTATGTGCTTGAGCTAGCCCGTTCCGATTTCGACAAACTGTTGATATGTTGAATCAACGATAGGAACGGTCTAGGCCCCTAGTATTGGTTTGCCATTCGCTTGGGGGAATCGTCGCTAGGCAAGTACGTCGGGCTCGCAGAACTCTATTTCTGATGACAGTCGAAGACACGGCTTACACTTTTGCTTCTTTAGGCCATGATCAGGTTGGAAAAGTTCGCTCCTGACGGACTGCAGCTTAAACATTGCGGTCTTCTCTTTCTGAGTACTCCGCATCTGGGCACCATTGAAGGAAACTGGAACGACTTCTGGCTGCTATTCGCAAAAGCCGCAAAGGTCGCCCGAGGTCAGGCTTTCACTCAGCTGCTCAGCGCTTTCAATCAAGCGTCGGTCAATGCACAAGAGCTATACAGTGCCCTGAGACCCATACCGCCAACTGAGTGCCTGTACGAAACACAAATGACTTCTGTCGCTGGGACGAAGCGACTTGTAGGTGGTTGACCAAGCTTTGCAAGAATATTCGCTGATATGCTTCCCAGATCGTCCCGCCGGCTTCTGCTGGTTTGCTCAAACGGGCCCAACCAATGTTAAATGTCGACCATCGGACCATCTGCAAGTTCCCCGACATGTCTAATCAAGGATATTTGCAGGTACTGGACTGCATAGAGAATGTCAGGAAGTCTGTGGTGACGGGCCAAACCCGCGAACGGCAGGATGGAGAGGGAGGCGAGGCGGTCGACGGCCGTACCGAAAACTCTGACACAACGGGCTTCATCAAAGGCGGTAATTCGGTTGGCGGAAATGCAAGAAGCGACGTTCCTGGGGGTATAGCTAAGGGCGGACCTTCCACAGGAGGAAATATCAACATCTCGCCTGGGTATAAAGGCACCAAGTCCTTGGCTGGCGGGGACAGCAAAGGAGGAGATGCTGTTGGGAGTGTTGCTTTCGGAGGCAATTCGGCAGGGGGGAACATAGTATTGTGATTACCCAGATATTCTGTTACACTTTGGTACTAGCTGGACAAGGCTTACCTATCCCTCCAGAGCTTTGCATCATTGATCACCTTGCCTTTCATCCCGAGTTTGGTGTGGTGAAAACAGCTTTCTCTCCATCTACAAGCCTATCCATGTACACTTCCACGACCATTATGATCACTTTGACAATAGTGAGATATCTGGGTTCGTCTGCCAAGTCACAGGATGTCTCGGTTTGTTTGTTGCATCGTGATGGGCAGGGAACAGCTGACATCCAGGTGGACCGCCTCGGCAACAACCGAGCATCCTAGTCCGAAGTCTTGTATTAACTGTCGTGACTAATTGCCTTGTTATTTTGCTCGGATTTCGAAGTGATCAAGACTGGACAGGATAAACAGACCCCTCCCTCAATGGTCATTTGAGATAGAATATCGGCGGCAGGATTGTCTCTGGATCAAGCCAACTAAATGCCCTGTTTCAAATCCTTGGGGGCTAAGGGAAGTGTTTTTTTGCTTTCGTAGGGCTGCACCTACGTCATTGTACCCCCCTGATCTACCACCCGAGGAGTAGCGCCAAGCCAGGCACAGCGCGGTGAGACCACCAATGAGCTGGACTGACGACATGGATGCTGGCATAGAACCCTCGAATCGGTGCTTTTCCTCCGGAGAATACATCCCAGTCTCTGGCAATGAGTTAGGCGTAGCTTCCTCACCCTGGGAGCCTCAAATGTTTTGCCAATCCTACCCTGTACACATATGCGGCATCCTCCTCTACCTCGTCGGAATGTACTGTTTGCACAAGCAGCATCTCTCGTTTCCAAACGCCCTCTCATACACAGCGTCTCCGGGCCATGGACTCGCAGTACCGGACGGAGCTTCCTGAGCTCCCTCTAATCACCCTCGATACCACTCTTTCAGAGCTATATCGAAAAGCTAGCCCCAGGAATGCCCACAAGAACATTATCCAGGTGCTCTGCGGCGTCAACTCCGGCCTCGAGCTCAATTCCAACTTCCCGAGAAACGCCAAGTACCTCTACCAGGATGGCCCCTTCAACAGCGTCCCCAAGAAGGAGCTGACCGCCGACAATACCGAGCTGCAGCGTTCACTTGCCATCAAGTATCTCTCTCTCATCCCGCAGCGCGATGCCTTCATCTGCGGCAACGCCAAGGTCGCCTTCTTTAATTTGGACGAGTCGAGCGAGGCCGCAAAGCACGATCGCCAAGAAGTCCAGGCCACCATAGAAGCTCTCGACCCCAGTCAAAGGCCCCAGCTTGTCTTTTGTCGGGGTCCCGAGATGATACCGGACGTGGACGAGAAGACGGACTTGGTTGCATATAAGCTGGCAGTAGATGGCCTTCAAAAGTATCCCCTCACTATCGACTTGGAGACGCACTGGTTTCTCAACACGAAGGCGGCGTTGGCAACCTCTGGCCTGCCAACACCGTCGGCGAAGATCATCGAGATTACTGGTTACAGTCCGCCTCCCGATACGCGCTGTGTGCATTGCAAAGCCTCGGAGGCCATCTACATCCAGTCCGGCTGCGTGGGGAACCGCTCTCTGTGGGTAACCAGGCACAAGCAGGAGATCATTGAGGCTATCGGGAAACACCCCCTCCCGTTTGTCGTGAAGAACCAGCAGAGCTTCGGAGGTGCTGGGACCTATGTCATCACGACCGAGGATGAGAAGCGCGAACTGATTACAGACTTTGACAAAGAGGTCCTGCCGAAGCTGCTGGCGCATGTCACTGTTGTCAATCACCACCTCAACCCAGCCACCATCATCATTAGCGACATGGTCAAGGACGCGATCGGTGACTATGGAATAACGTTCTTCGTCACCGAGAATGATGACCCCATCTTCTTGGCTGTATCACAGCAGATGATCGACGACAACAGCGCCTGGATAGGCTCGATCATCAACTACCAGGAGCAGGACGAGCTCAAAGCGAGATTCGTCCCCATCATGCGGCAGACGGCGGCATGGCTACGGAAACACGGATACTACGGTCCCGTCGGCGCCGACATCCTCGAGACAGCCCCCCGAGACGGGGAAAATAATCTCAACATTGTCGATCTCAACGTGCGCACATCCGGCTCGCTCTGTCTGCCGTTGCTGCGCCGGCACTTTACGAGCCGGGGACTGCACTGCGCAAGCAGCTTCTCGATCGCCGTCGAGGGCAGCCGCGCCGACTTTTTGCGGCGCTGGAAGGAAGACTTTGAGGCCGGACGGATGTGTATACTTAGTTGGTATGAGGACAGGACAGCCGGGGAGAGCCTGGCGGATCTTGCGGTAGGTGGCGAGGGCGAGGAGGAGCTGAAGCAGGGGATCGATAAGGTGAGGGCCATGACAAAGAAGGTCACGTTTTGAGTCTTGTGAAGGCAATTGAGCGATATCAGAAGGTTATAGAATCATGGAGTTATTGGGGATACACGGATTGGAAGTAATAGAGAAGAAGGTGGATGCGATATCCATACTAGCATGCCTGTGAGCCTAGACATCCTCTTTGTTAGCTATATGAGACTAAAATACAGCGGTTTTGATCAGCAAGGTCGCGTGGCGCAATTGGTTAGCGCGTCAGACTAATAATCTGAAGGCTGTGAGTTCAATCCTCACCGTGACCAAGCCTTTTCTTTTTTGCCTTTTGCTACTTTCCCCCTCACGCATCGAAGTCCTTGAATGGATATAATCACTTGCGAGACTACCTAGGTACTATCATACATTAGTTATGTCACTGTTTTTCAGCTTTGGGTGCCTTGGTCTTGATTCAGCCGAGCTGTAAATCTTCAGTAGTTAGTTTACTTGCTCCTTCTTAATAAAGTAATCTCAACATTATAGAGCAATGCTTCATACTTTTTGGAGACACACGATTGATCTATCTTTTTTCTCATCTTGAATTCCTTGACTTTCATGCTCAATCCAAGTGGTGGTATCACACCTTAAAGTGGTAAGTAGACATGAGCAAGCAACCTGAAGTTCAAGTGGGGGGCACTAAGAAAAAGTCTTACCCCTGCAACCACAACTCACAACATCTGCAGGCCCGGTTGGCAAAAAGAACAAAGAGAATCATACAACACTCTAGAGAAAAAACAATACCGTATCGCAAAAGAATAAATCTCTGGTCACGGTGAGGATTGAACTCACAGCCTTCAGATTATTAGTCTGACGCGCTAACCAATTGCGCCACGCGACCTTTGTTGATGACGGGCCGAGCTCCCCCACAGTTCAAGAAGCTGGTTTAGGACTGGGCGGGGAGATATCGTCAACTCTGTTCACACTAAGGGCTTTGTGGATACTTCAGTTAAATTACAGAAGAAGGCTATGGGGGTCCATGTACTCTCCCAGAGGACCAGCCCACCGAAGCGCACCAGCCGTTAACGAAACCCGACTTGGACAAAGGAATCGTAATTCCTAGCCTCAAAACCACGTTGTGAGGTGTCGCCATCCTCCCGAATCCTTAACATGTATGACTTCCCTAGCTCGAGAGAGTTCATATACTCAGCAACTGCCCCAGTCTGCTGGTATGCGGACGCAAGTGCGAAAGCTGTGCGGCAGATTGTACCGGGATGACATTCGCAGTTGCGTAGGATCTCAAGTGCCTGCTTGTAGAAGGGTCTATCATCGAAATGAGCTACTTGCACATATCTTTGCTGGTCAGGTATCCTCGTGGGTTGACTTACATCGAGTCCTGGTGTCTTCCTTCCAATGTGGCTGCTTCCCCAGCTTTGTGGAGAGTGAATGCCTCTCCAGCTTTGTTAGGATTACAAGCACTCCCTGCTGTATGAGGCACGAATGTCGTGGCATCATGCGGAACAAGGGATACATTTCGCCGGCTCAGGCATTCTTCAAGCGTTTTCCAGGCGGCGATTGTATCTCCCTGACATATCAGGATGTTGACCAAGTCAAAATAGCAGCTGGAATGCATTAGTGATGTGGAATCTGCGAATTAATTGTCCCAGTCACTTACAGGGCCACTTGCTCGCTATGTTCTCCTCTCTTCTCCCTCGCCGTCGAGAGCGCGAGCGAGTTGACGGCGAGGGCCTCATCAAGCCTCCCAAGCATTCGAAGACAGATTGAGGTATTTCGGAGATAGACATCCTCATTTGCTCTCATATCATCTCGGGTTCTCAGCCCGACCAGAATTTTGAGTGCATCTTTGAGATCATATGAAGAGATCAAAGACACGGCAAGGTTACCTTGTGCGGCAGCAATCCAGGCTTCATCGTCGGGGTTAGCATCTCTTCTGTTTTTTAGGCGGATTTTTAAGACTTTTTTGGACAGAGCTATTCCAAAGTCTGGACCTGGGCGCTCTCTCTCTACAGTCGCCAGCACGTTGTAGAGGTGGCTGGTCATGTCCTTGATGAACCAAGTGCTATATCCTGGATGGTTGCCACCTTTTAAGGCTGTGTGACAGATGTCAAGTGACTGCTCCGCCATCTGTGTTGCCGTGTTGTATTGGCCCAACTCTATGAAGTACCTTTTTCAAGTCAGCCATTTGAAAGTGTGCTATGAGAAGAAGTCCTCACCAAGCACAACGAGCCGCAACCTCGCAGAGAAGGATTGGGTGTCCGACATCCTCTTTGAACATTCTGCGAGACTCCAATAAAGCTCGCACTTGATTCGCGAAGGTTTCACATTTCTTCCACTTATTGTGCAAAGGTCTCCCGTCTTCTTGTGTGGGAAAGACTGCATTCAGTAGGAAGACGAGGCGTTGAAAAGTGCGAAGTCTCGTGCGGGGAGGCATTGCCTTCTGGACCGACAGCCGCACAAGCCGATGGCATTGAAACTGCCCAGCATGATTGTTCAGCTTCACCAAAGCCCTGTCTCGGAGCTGGATTATGGCTCCATCTAGACTATGGGTAGTCAGCAACGTATACAATCCCGGCTGGCGCCCTGGGAGAGGAGACCTCCTACGCTAGTGTCTCATTGAATGGATTATCGACCAGGTTGTCGAGATCCTGGATCTCTTGAGGGCAGTCTGGCCCCTCGAATAGCCTGAGCGGAAATTCAGCGATAGCGCACAATATCGCCGTACACGCTGCGACTTACATGGCCTCACGTTTTGGCTCTCGGAAAAGGCTCAGTGGAACTCCATCTTCATCAAGAAAGGCCAGCATGTTGATCAGTCGACGAGATCTGGCTTTGAGATGATGATTTGAATTCGGGGCTGTCTTGTCGAGGTGAAGATTCCATAGACTGTCGATAGAATCCTTGAAACGGGCAGGTGTCCACTTCTGGAGATTTGAATTGAAGAGAAAGCCGGAATACAGATTGGGATAATCTTTCAGAAATGTGGCGAGAGACTTCCCTTGGCTCAGAACATAATTGCCCACCAGTTCCAGTGCCAACGGCAGGTGGCCAACGGCATCTGTCAGATGTCGTGCCGCCTGGACTTCTTCCTCGTCGGAGGCATCGGCATTCGTCAATGTCAAGAGGAATTGTGAACCTAGATCGCCAAAGTATGGCTCCATAACTACCATGCGTCCAGGGGCACGCACACGTGCAATGTCATCACATGTCGTTGTGATTAAGACGGTGCCGTTGCCTTCGGTTGGGAGGTAGAAATCAAGTTCAGAACATTCTTCAACATTGTCAAAAACAATAAGCCATCTTTTGCAACCTCCAGATATGTCTATCAATACGTTAGTAAGCCAAGAAAAGACAAGCAATCGGGGGTGAAGGCCCTTGCCTTTCTTGCTCAAGTTGGATAGCCATCGTTTCACCAGCTCTCTCAGTTGATCTGGATGTTGCACCGATTCATCAGCAAGCAGTGCGCCGTGTGCAACGGCGGCAAACGACTGTTGGAGCTTTTGCAAATTCTCCGAATGTATCCAGAGCGCGACGAAATGTTCCTGCAGGTGTCTATGGGCGTATTCCAAAGCGAGGTGAGTTTTGCCAACTCCCCGCATGCCAGTAAGACACGCGACTCGGATACCGTCTTGGCACTCGTCATCGCAGAGGTAGTTCTGCAGGAGATCTAGTTCCGTATTCCGTCCGAAGGGCCCTTGACGCGGTGAAGAGAGGTTATTATAACGCTCTGGCAACAGCATGGCTTGAGATAGACCCGAAGAAGTTTGGTATAATCCGCTGGTTTCGGCACTCTGACGACTGGTAAGAGAGGAATCTGATTGGAGTTGGATGCCCAAAGACACTTGAGGAGAATAGGATAACGCGAATTGTTGATGCACTGATCGAAGTCCATGCAGGGAAAGAACCTGATCCAATTGCCGCTGAATCACCTCTAGAGGCTGGAGCCTTGAAGCAATTCACAATGATTCGTTTCTCCGCAATTAAATCTTGCCACGTCGAATTCTCGATCAATTTCTCTGCTTAATTCCTCGAGACGGTTGATTCTTGGCGTGAGTATAAGCGAGAATGGACTAAATACGGAGATAACCAAATTGTCTGCAAGTAGGAGGCAGTTAAAACCAAATATGCAATGAAGGGTTTCAAGGGGCAGATTGCTTCACTTCTCGGGCGCCTCTTCAGGTAAGTAAAACTGTCTAGCCAGAAGCTCAGTAGTTCCTTGAAGTATTGCACCAAAATAGACTTGAACGTGTTGGGACGTCCAGATAGGGACCGAGCATAGTCTTCGAAGCGGGAGATCTGGCGTTCTGCTCGTTCAAAAGTGGCCAGGATCAGGTTGAGCGCCTGGTGATTTCGCGTCGCAATCTGCCGGTCCTCCCGCAGTCAGCGATCCGATACGCTCACCAATTAGCCAGTCGCAGAGCAGGCTCGGCTGCATACCTCAAACACCAGGTACAGGGATCCCCAGAGAAAGCTGAACGCACGCGGCGCACCCTGGAGCCACACTTTGATGGTCTCGTGGTAGGACTGGATGCGCTCGATGACAGGTTGTATGCGCTTAAAGGCTTGCACCAAGCCGTATTTATTGTAAGACACTCGAAGCTCCTGCACGTGCTCGACTAGCTGTTTTGGATTGCTGACTGATTCCATGCGTCTCTGCTCCTTGGGCGTCAACGACTTTTTGAACTCCTCCCAGGCGTCATTTTGGATGTCCTCTGGGACGTATCGGGTGATGTCCTCAGGCATTCTGGCCACGTCTCCGGACTCTCGTATTACAGCAGTTGCGATGAGCGATGATCAGCGCATTTACGTCACGTTCTCCCGCTGAGACCAGGTTGTAGGTGGTGTCGAATGAATGGTCCTTCTTTCTCCTTTCATGATCTTATGTGATATTCGTGGCAAAATATCACGAAGTCGGTGAAATAAATAAAAAAAACGAACAATAACAAACAAAATGCATAGATCTCTGAGCTTTGAGCCCGGTAGCTAGATATCATTGTCCGTTGTACAACACGAACACCCGGGATCCGCTCTTTGTATAAGGAAGACAGGCTCCCTTGGACAGCCTCATGTTACCAACCACAAGACCCGACCCTTATCACCCTCGCGGCAATCCCGAGCCTCCTCTCAAAGTCAACCCCTGTGATAGGACTACATCGTGAAAGATGGTGTATTGGAAATGCAGAAAAAGGAGTCCAATCCGTTGCCTCCACGAAGCCCAGCACAGCCCTCTGCTTATGGAATGATATATGAGCAAACAACTATCCTGTCAGAGTAGGGCATTGTATGCACCTGTTTGGTATATCCAACTTTCTTGGGTGATTTGGTTGGGAAATGTACGCAACGGGTAACAGTATCCTACTCAAACCCAGCCCAGTCCATCGACGCCCGGTTAATGAATCGTTCATTCATGAATGTACATGTAGACCATGAAGTGATGGGGAGATCGCTCAAGAAAAGAAAAGGCACATGTAGATGTATGTCAGGAAAACAAGATCGCATCTAGTTTACTTCGAGACCCCATTCGGCGTCTTGTCCTCGCCCCCCCCTGTGTTGTCTGGCTTGCCGCCTCCGCCACCGCCGGAACCAGAAGTGCCGCCGCCTCCCGTGGAGGATCTCTCCCTCACAGCGGCATCTTCCTGCGCCCGACTGTTAACAATGCCCTCGATCATCGATTGCGGCTCTGCTTATGCCGAAGCAAAGCGAGACCTGGTCAGGGCCAACTTACCATTGTGTCTGCACGTGGAGGCAAAGTATCGATCGAGCAGAGTGTACTTGGCACGATCGTATTTGGCCGGCTAGATATGCCAGCCCAGTTGGGCAAAAGGAGGTTGCCTGTCTGTTGGAGTAGAAATAGGGGAAGAGTTATTTTCTGGCACGGTGGTCGGTCGTGGGCGCGAACGACGCTGACCAGAAGTATCAGGAGCCAGGGACGTAAGCAATATTTAAACCATTCTTTGATGCGGGGTTGCCTTTCCAATATCCAGTGCCATCATCCCACCTTTTTTATTCTTCACGTGTACGACGATCTTCGAGCCCGAGATGCAGCGGCCGAGGAGTGATGCATCGAGCAACCTCCCGCTTGCAGCGCTTAATCTACGCTATCCTCTTGAAGATTGCCGGCTCAGACCACCCTCTCTCCCACTTCCAAACAGCGCTGCTGACTCGGCCTTTTGTGTTTCTGCGAAAATGAAGTATGCCCACCATAAAGTAATCCCAGTCCAGCCAAGCGCCCCTAAGCCAATCATCCCTATCTAGCGGCTGGTAGCTGTACATGTCTTCATTATAGTGGCCCAACACCTGCACGACGTCCTCTCTGCCGTTGAAGAGCAGTTCGAGCTTTTCAGGCTGATTACTCTTGCGTATCGTCAGCGTTATTCCCATCCCGTAGTACCCACCTACATAATCATCCAGGGGGCACTTGGGTGCAGCGTCGTTCCGGTGTTCCGTCCACTCAGCCACCATCCTGTCCCATCTCCTGAGGCAATCTTCGACTTCCAAGGAGACCATAGAGAGTATATCGATTCGTGGTTTGAGGTCAAAGAGCTCTTGGATTAGCATCGCTGCCACGAAATCGCTTGGGTCTCCTTTGTTCAGCCCACTGCTGAGGACGACAACGGCGCTTGACGTTTCTGGGAAGATGTTGACAGAACCTGTCCCGCAGTATCCGATCCCAGTCATCTTGTGCAGAAGCATGGGTGGTGAGTTTCTCCCCAGGACATTCTTGTTGATGTGATCTTTATCTTCCACGTCGTTGTCGGCAAGGGTGTAGTTCCAAGATAGACTGTGGAGCATTGAAGATGGCATGAAGCACCTGAGCCATGATAAATGGTAGCTGCATCGGTTCCCCGGGTCATCAGGGTTCGGCCGACTCCAATTGGGGCCGTTGAGGATATTTAGGACTCTCTTGGAAGAGAGCGGGTTTCTCCGAATGGAGGAAAGCACCGCCATCGGCTCTGAACCACCGTTCAAGGCATCCATGAAAGCTGCAGACCAGATCATCAAGTCGTTGACGGAACTCCTGATGCCGATAATAGCAAGCACGGGAGTGTTGCGTTCGTCAGTCCACTCGTGCTCTGGCTGTTTGCACCATGTCCCATCACTCAACCGCACAAAGGGCTGAGCAATGTTGCCCTTGCGTTCTGTCAGGTGACTTCTCGAAACTGCCGTATCAAGCATGTTCAGGGGTTCCAGGATCTCCTCCCAGACGAAGTCCGAGTATCGTTTCCCGCTGATGCGCTCGATCACCATGGCCACCAGACCATATGCCACATTGCTATACACCCAATGTCTATTGTAGTATGTACCAGCAATATGGTTACCGGTGGGTGTATCGTTGAGCAAGTTGATAAAGTCTTCTTCAGGGACGAGAACTTTACCACCTGGCCCCAGCAAGGTAACAACAGGGTTGTCCAGTCCCCCTGAATGACGGAAAAAATCGAAGAAGTTCGCCTCTGAAGAAACTAGGATGTCGCCCTTGGCCTTGAACTCGGGCAGGTAGGATCCAACGGGATCAGTGAATTTGCACTCCCCGCGGTCGACTAGGATGGCGAATGCTACCACAACGAACGACTTGGCAATCGAGCAGAGAGTGTGAAGAGTCCTCGCATCGGGTTCCTCTTTAGTGCAGACATCGCGATACCCGACGTGGTCCGTGAAAATCGACCTCCCATGGTGCATGACCGCAAAGGTGATGGAGCCGACGCCACACAGGCCCAATGTCTCCTGAACCATGCCATGTCCGTTCTGGAGGCGCTTGCGAGTTTCCAGATCCTGGCTTCCCAGTCAGCAAGCGTACGGGGGGTAAGTCACTGAGGAAGCCTCACGGGGTCGCCCATGGCATAGTCATCCTCTCAATCGGGTTGCTCATCTGCGCCAATTCTTTCCACTGCACATGGTGATGTTGATGAATTTCAAACCCCCCACGAAAATATCGGACAGGGGCTCAGCTAGGTCAGGTGATACCTGATAGCTAAGCCTGTTGAGACCTGAGATTCCAAGTTTGCAAGTTCATTGCAGGTACCTCTACAAAGCCCCCCCTTTAGGCTCCATATGGCTCAAGGCCGTGCATGCTGTATGCACGGTGCGTTGTCGCTGCAACCCCGGTGAAGTGATTTTCTCGCCGATCCACTGCCGTTCAGCCCGATGGCTTTTCGTCTGGGAAAAGCCCGTCGGCTAGCTGCACATCATTTGTGCCATTTGCGAAGGTACACAACATGAACCACAAGTGCACCTTTTCCGACGCCATATGGGCACAAGAGATGCAAATCAACTTGATGACTGCTCGCCACATTTCTCCCAACCGAGAATGATCACCACTTTTGACTTTGCTTATTATTATGCAAAATTTGGCACCGGCACAAGCCCAAAGCTCGGCACGTTGACAGAACTAGCCAATAGAGAGGCTGCGGCTCACTCACCGCCACTTCGACTCCGGCTACTATTTGAGAAGGAGAATGGGACGAAATGCATGTCAAAAGCTTTGCTCGGCTCCCTTACGTCAGACCCTTGGAGGGACGCTCCTCCAGGATGGCGCGCTGCTACTGCAGTGCTCGAGCCTAACCGTAGTCTTTTGAATGTCTTATTGCTGGGCACAATATCGGCATTTGGCAGGCCTGCATGGGTAATGATTGCGGAATGACTGTTCATTCGTGCAAACCAAAGCTGCCATTGCTCTAAAATTGTGTATCGTGCCACGACGGAAAGACGCCACTCGTCTCCGGAACGTGCAGACAAAGCTCTAGTATTTGATCCCTGCTGCGGCTGCAACCCCTCAACCGGGATTTCTCATCACCTCTCCCTTCACCTTGCATGCTGCATGCTGCACGGGGACAAAACCTTTCACACTGTATGTTGAACAGCAGAAGACACCTGTCAATTCTCCGTCTTGTAATGAGACAAGGAGATAAAGACTGCCAAAACAGAAATATCGGTGTAATGTGGTCGGGACACTGCATTCTAGGAGAGAAGTACCACGACAAGAGACGACGAAATATGGTCCGGAGCTTGCTTTTTTGCGGCCAATTCTAGCTGATTTGCGGAAATTGCTCTTCTCAACCTCAACATTGATGCAAGCCATCATGCTTCTGGAGTGAGACAAGTCACCTCCCGCCTCTCCCGCCCTCGAGCCCTCCAGCCCTCCAGAGCACACACACACACACAAAGAACGGGATGATCCTACCATTGACAGGCGGTAGCGAGGGATCAGGAACATGCTTGCCCCAACCGAATATTCTCTCGTAAGAGATACAACTGAAGCCAGTACTAAACTGGGCCATAGTCTGGGCGATATCTACGAAGTTTACTACTACCTGAGCTAGTGCAAATGTAATGCAGGCTCACAGTCCACCATGTTGCATTGCAAGTGTCAAGAGTCCAGGGAGACCAATCTGAGCAATCATAAGCTTCGATCAGACTTGCATGCATACTCCCCGATGTATCCGCGTGCTCGTTTAGCCCCTGTCCCCCTTCAGCTCCCCTCGGTCTGTCCGGTGAGATAGACGAGTCTGTACAGACGTGGCGTTGACCTCCGCTCGGGATCTCGGAGTGCTCGACATCTCCTATGATCTTCGTTGAGCAATAGCCATAGCCTCAAAGTCTGCTATGCCAACTCCGGTCCCGGATACCAACACTATGGACTGAAACAACTGCTTCCCATCAGGGGTCGTCCGCCGAAAGCAAGTTTCAAATTCTGGCCAATCAGCCTGCGGTCCGAGCCAGACCACTGTCTTGACCTCTCTGGTCATGCTGTCGAGGTACCTTGCAACCAGCTGCTTCTCTCGCGGATAGACGAACATAAGTCCCGTCACATCAGGGTCCTCGATTCGGGGTGACAGATGCCAAGTGCCCCGGACCGTGTCTATCGCATTTTCTGGCAGATATCTGTTGGCACTCCCTCCGTCACTCGGCTGTTGTACCTCGACGCCCTCCACTAATATTCTGTGCTCTTGATGCCGTCGGAGTATGTGGCTGTTGAGTAACGCCTCCAACAGTCCTGTGCCACTGCCGATGGAGAGGACGATACGCTCCTTGTCTTCCTGGGTATCGCCCACAAATGCCGTCGTGATCACCTCGAGAAGCGTGGAAGAAAGTGTCAAGCAGCAGTCGGGGTGCCGTAGTAGTGAGAAGTCGCTCGGCAGGTCAGGGAGACCCATGTTCAAGCTGTCTCGTTCTTGTTATCGGAGTGGTAGGCAAGACGGCTGAGGTATGAGACTGATGTACTGATCAGAATTTCCGAATGGTGACCAGGATTCGCACTAAAAAGTTGACTTCGAGTGGGGTCACTCACGGGGACAAAAAGTTACCGAGCTTAGACTTGTCAAGAACGTTGAGCGAGACATTGAATGATAAGAAGCAATGTAACCCATTTGAATGGACTACGGTATCCTAAGCACATCATCTACGTTGACAACCTGCCCAGTCACGATTGATCTGTTGGCGCAGATGCCAGTCAGGATGGAAAGGGCCCCATCGACGTGGCTGGCCGCCCGCATGTACTCGTCCGACACGGGCTCACCGAAGAGGTCGTCCAAGAGGACAGTGTCACCTCCTCCGTGCGCACCGGCTCCCTTCGGGATCTCGATCTCCTGCGGCTTCCCGAACAGAGGGCGGAGGAGGATCGTGTGCTGGTCGAGCGAGCCCTCGACGGCCTGGTCACCCCCGGAATTGACATAGCTGTTCTCCACTACCTCCATCTCCAAGCGGCCGCCTGTACCGTTGAAGCTGACCCTAAATCCTTCCCAGGGAGCATATGCGGTGAGAGAGTACGTCATGACGGCCCCGTTCTTGTAGCGTACCATGACGTTCATTGTGTCCTCGATGCTGATCCCGTCCCCGAATACGCTCTGGTCGCGGTAATACGCATCCTCATGCTCGGCGTCGAGGTACATGGCCTTGAGCTGCGGGTGCTCGTCCAGATGCAGCGCAAAAGGGTCGCCCTTGGCCACCTCACTACCCGCCGCCCGGGTGTAAAACTGCGTCACGCCACGGCCCTCGGCGTTCTCCCGGCCGTAGAACCGGAGGTCGCCCTGCGCGTACACGGTGGCCGGGCGCGTCTGCAGCCAAAAGTTGACCAGGTCAAAGTGGTGCGTGCTCTTGTGCACGAGCAGGCCGCCGCTGTTGCGCTTGTCGCGGTGCCAGCGCCGGAAGTAGTCGGCGCCGTGGGCCGTGTTGAGCATCCACTCGAAGTGCACGCTCGTCACCCTGCCGACGGCCCCGGCGCGCAGCAGCTCGGCCACTTTTGTGTTGTGCGGCGCGTAGCGGTAGTTGAAGGCCACGCGGACCTGCCTGCCCGTGCGCTCGACGGCGTCGAAGATCTGCACGCAGCGCGGGGCGTCGATGGTCATGGGCTTCTCGGTCACGACGTTGCAGCCCAGCTCCAGGGCGCGCACGATGTACTGGTGGTGCGTGCGGTCGATGGTCGTCACGATGACCTCGTCGGGCCTGGTCTCGCGGATCATCTTGTCAAAGTCGGCCGCCGGGAAGGTGGGCACGGCGGCGTGCCCGAGGGCCTCGAGCTTGGAGTTGGCGTAGTTCATGCGCGTCTGGTTGGTGTCGCAGAAGCCGACGATGGTGGACTTGTCGGCATAGTCCCGGGCGATGGCCGTATAGAAGAAGATCGCCCGGCCTCCGGTGCCCACGAGGGCATATCTCTTCTTCCCGCCAAGAGCCGGCATCTCCACCATGTTGGGCTGTTGTGTTGGCAGGTGGTATCAGCAAGCAGACTTGGTCCTGATGATCGATAAGCGCGCGTCAAGAGTGCAGCTTTCACAACACGCAGATCCCCATCCGGGAGACCTTTTCTGTTCCAGATATACGGAGATTGAATTCGGTCACTGATATCTGATCGCGTCAAGTCCAATGACACTAGCACCCCCCAGTTGGAGCATCTCGGGGCCAATATTGAGATACTCCGTCGGTCTAGGAGCAATCCCCGCTTTCTCGGGTTAATGACACAGCGGGCATCGCTGCTTTCCGGGTCATTGTCTCCCATAAAATCTCCACCATAGTTGCTAAGCCGTACCAGATCACTAGTGCCAACTCAACCCATCTTGTCTCGTCTCCATCTAGAAGATACCGTGATGTTTTCAGCTCCAGCCGGACAATCATCTCCAGAAAGCTATCTCATCTATCTATCTAAATAGTTGATTCTTGGTCTACCTGTTCGGTTTAAGCCAAGCTACACAGTTGATACAACACAGTTAAAGAGACTCAATAAACACTAATACACGTTCTAGAGACAATATGATAGGTACCAGTGGTAAGGACACAATCATTATCAAAAATTGATCAACTACTACCCTCGGTCGTAAGGCCCTCAGGCTTGACAGCTGCTGACCGTCAAGACTCTCACGACATGGTGAAAACGTAGTAAGCCTGAACCATCATAAAGCAAAAATGGATCCAGTTTCTTTACGACTCTGACTAAATAACACTGCCACGCCTAGACTATACGATGGGATTAGTCCAACGCAACACCACGATACCCTTGCCCACCGCGCGTTATGAGAGGGGAGCATTTATATCGCAACAGTAGGCTGATGTACAAAGCCCTAATTGTCTTTTATTCTTTTATTCTGCAGGCCTGACTGCATCTTTCAGAGCCTTTCACATTGCGAAGTCCATAGTGCTGAGCTCGGTGTAGTTGGCCCCAGTACCTGTAGAGGAGGGATCATAATATAATACGGGGGCGAATCTGATCAGATTCTTCCCGGGAAGTCTTGTATCTCAATCTGATCTTGATCCGCCCACTGCAACCTGCAACCTGCAACCTGAGCAGCCCTGCTAACTCCACAGTCACATAACAGCACACATCACTTTGCCAAGCGGGCCAAGCGAGCCAAGCAGGCAAGGCGGTCCCAACGGGCCGGGCCACTAATCCCTGCATTTCAAACTGTCTTCATGTTTATCCCCCTATTTACGTCCATCAATTGCATCATGACAATCTCAACAGGACCACAGCAGCAGCAGAAACAGCAGCAGCAGCGACAGGAGCGATAACAGCACCATCAGTCCGGCAGTAAATGTGCTGTCAGCAAGAACACGAGCGATCACACAAGCAGCCTTGACCAAGCAAAGCTCGCGGTTCGCTCGTTATGCGCCTGGCTTCCCGGTCCATGTGGACCCTCACGGGTGCCTGTGTCTGCCTTGGCGCCGTCACCAGAGCCGCCGGTGTCCTCGATATCGGTCTGGTATTTCCCCGTACGAACGGCGCGTATTCGCTCATGGACGATTTCCCCATTGTATTCGCCCTCCAGAACTCCAAGCTAGCCGAGCATCTCAAGCCCTCCATCTGGTACCGGATCCTCAACGTGACTGGGGACATTGAAGCCCTGGTTGATAGCACCCACGAGTTCAACGGGACCAGCGCTTCGCAGAACGACCCTTATTTCTTGTGGAGCCACATCAAGGTTCAAGGCGAGGGCAAGCTTCCTCTGGCAGCCGCGCTGGTCGTCGTGCGACGATAGCCGCGACGAAGTCAGAGTTGCTCGAAACCACACCCACAACTTCTTGGTCGATTTCGAGATTAAAGAAGGGGGCGAAAAGGCGGACCTCGTTGCCACCACCAACAAAGGCAACAGCGAGGCCTGCCCGAATGAGGGGGTCGGCATCGATGTGACCGACAAGACACTCGAGGCTCAGCGTGCCGCATCCTCAGCGCGTGAGGCTTGTGCGGTTCTGGGCACCTCGTCCCCCACGTCAACCTCGAATCCTTGCAAAGCCAAGATTGACAAGGCTACCGTCGAGAGCATGGAGGCCGCTGACCTCGAGAAGAAGTGCAGGGGCCTGAACCCGCCGAGTGAGTGTCCCAAGGGCGGCTTCGCGAGTCCCAGGTTGGCTACTACAGGAGTTTCTTGCCTCGCCACTGTTCTCGGTGCTGCTCTTTTGCTCGCCTGATCCGAGCGGTACGCCCACGTCCTCGACTCGGGAGAGGGCTGCAACGACAACCCCATGAGCAAGGACGTTCACAACAACGCTGCCAACGCCATTCCGGTCTGTCGCAACAGCAGGCTATACTACCCGGTCGTGTCTGAGGATGACACTCGCCTGAGTAAGTGCGAGAGCTCCGGCGGACCCGGCACCTGGCAGATCACCTGCCCGGATAGCGAATTCTCCGCGGCCAAGGATATCGGCTCCCTCAGGGATGGCGACCTCGGCAGGCTGATCAAGGAGGACATCGTCAAAGGTGCCCTGGTATCATTGGCCGACAACGACAGGACGAACGAATACATTAACATCACCAAATTGTCTGACGAGAAGAGCACCCGCGAGAAGACGGTTGGCCATGATGCAGCAGTTGTCTCCTTGGGATCTGATGAGCAGAAAGCAATATCCCAGGCAGGAACTCGGCGGGAGCTATGTAGCAAACGAGGATAAATATATGTCAAGTTGGCCTATACAGATCATACATATGTCCACATAGTTTAGCTCTGGCAATCCATAGTAGGACAACGTCCACCAGGACTGAGAGGGCTGTAGTGATGGGGTACAAATAGTCTGGATTCTCAATTCTTCATCGAACGTTAAGCTTAGAGAGACGGTCTGTTCGGGTACTCATGAGTTGGAGTTCATTTCGTCATGCGCTGCTGCCTGAAATAGAAATGCGGTTGGTTTCGTAAGGGGCAGTCCTTGGCAACCTTGCATCAGGGGTATTCCGGACAAAACCAAGTCCTCGTCACAAAGACAACGTGTGATAACGTTTAGAAGTAATCGACATGTGGCTCGTTGCTGGATAATCTACGACTAGCGGAGTATCTTGGTAGACATGTAATTATGTGAATGAACAAAAAAGGAGAAAACAACAAAAAGATTAAAGGGTTGTCCAGAAGGACAAAAAATGGTCACGGTGAGGATTGAACTCACAGCCTTCAGATTATTAGTCTGACGCGCTAACCAATTGCGCCACGCGACCGATGGTCGTTGTTCGATGTAAAGTTTTGCATTGTCCTATCTTATGTAGCACCTCTCAAAGCAGGACCCTGGAAAACTTTGCGGTCTCATCGGGGCACTGACAGAACCCACTCAATTTTCAGTCAGGCCCATCCCTGGCATTCATTCCAGAACTTTTAGTGCATTCCTTATCAGCTTATCTTGACTCACCTGGTGAACCCCGCCAACATTTTTTTTCTGTTGCTATCACGGAATTGACCGTTTGCCTGCCTTGGGAAGTATACCGCGCCCTTGAAGTGCCTATATCTTGCTCGAGGTGCATGACCTTCTTTCCTGTTCCTCATTGACGACCCATTTTATAGCAAGGTTTCGGCAGCATCCCTCAATCGACACCATGTCTTCCACCACTGAGGGGCAGGTCATGGCTCCCCATAAGACCTACGATGTCAGTTTGACCATCTCCCCGGGGATCCTTGTACCAGTTGTGAAGACAGGCAACTAACCGCAGATTAGACCATCCTTGTGCTTGATTTTGGTATGCAATCTCTAGTCTCGCCATGCCGCTGAATGAGAAGATACTAACGGCCCTCAAGGCTCACAATACACTCATCTCATTACCAGGCGACTTCGAGAGGTAAGCACACTTGGTCTTACTGAATCTTACGTGGCTAACGCGTCTGCGTAGTTGAACGTTCTGGCCGAGCTTCTTCCTTGCACGACCAAGATTGCCGATCTTGACTTTAAGCCGAAGGGTATATCCATTCATGCTTATTCACACGCCCTGCTCAATGCTAACTTTCTGCAGGCATTATCTTAAGTGGCGGTTCGTCTCACGTTCTTCTTGCTCATTTGCACGGCATTGAACATGTCTAAACGGGAATCATAGGTCCTTTCTCTGTTTATGAGGAGGGTGCTCCCCGTAAGTTTTCATCCCCAGATGAGCGTCGCCAGCATCCTACGAGTCAACCTGCTGACACTATCTGTAGATGCCGACCCCGCCATCTTTGAGGAGTCGTACGGAGTTCCTATCCTCGGTATCTGCTATGGCCTTCAGGAGATTGCCTGGAGACTGTCTCCCGAGAACGTCATCGCCGGCACTGAGCGCGAGTACGGCCACGCTGACCTGACCCCTGACCGTCACGGCGGCGATGTCGACCGCCTCTTCGACGGCATCGAGGGCAGCATGCAGGTGGTATGTCTTTGACGGTAGTCGTCGTTGACGAGGCCCAGCTAACGCCGTATAGTACATGTCTCACGGCGATCGCCTGAGCCAGCTCCCGCAGGGCTTCTGCACCATCGCCACGACGCGCAACTCGCCCTTCGCGGCCATCGCCCACAAGGAGAAGGCCATCTACGGCATCCAGGCCCACCCCGAAGTCAGCCACACCCCCAGGGGCATCGAGCTGCTGAAGAACTTTGCCGTCAACATTTGCGGCGCGCGGCAGCACTGGTCCATGAGCAGCTTCTGCGACCAGGAGATTGCTCGCATCCGTGCGCTTGTCGGCCCTACGGCCCAGGTCATTGGTGCTGTCTCTGTATGTCATGCTGGGATCCAACATCGACTTTCACGTTTAAGCTCGTTCAGGCTAACAAAGAATGCAGGGCGGCGTCGACTCGACTGTTGCTGCTAAGCTGATGACCGAAGCCATTGGCGACCGGTTCCACGCTGTGGTCAGTACCTCTGCTTATGTGTTGTGTACCACAATGAGGATGAGAACTGACTCTGCTTACAGCTGGTTGACAACGGCCTGATGCGTCTCAACGAGTGCCAGCAGGTCAAGGAGACCCTCACTGAGCACCTGGGTATCTCACTGACGGTTGTTGACGGGAGCAAGCGCTTCCTCGACGCCCTTAAGGGTGTTGAGGAGCCGGAGAGGAAGCGCAAGATCATCGGTGGTCTGTTCATCGACATCTTTGAGGAGGAGGCTATCCGAATTGAGAAGGAGGCCGAGCATACGCCGAATGCTGGCAAGGTTGTCTGGGTACGTATGAGGACACTTATTGTGCATATCAAGAACACTGCTAACAGCTCAATTCACAGTTCGTCCAGGGCACTCTCTACGTATGTAACCATGTCCGATCTCGGCATGACTGGAGTAAGGCTTTTTACATGGAAACTGACTACGTTGTCTAGCCTGATGTTATTGAGTCTATCAGCTTCAAGGGCCCCTCGGCAACCATCAAGGTGAGTCACCAAGTCGAATTTGCTAAACACGAATGAGGTAGATGAACATGGCTGACCTTGTTGCAGACCCACCACAATGTTGGCGGACTCCCCGAGCGCATGATGAACGGTCAGGGCCTCCGACTCATCGAGCCGCTTCGCGAGCTGTTCAAGGATGAGGTGCGCGAGCTCGGACGACAGCTGGGTGTCCACCGCGACCTGGTAATGCGGTACGTACTCATTACTCAGATTTCTGGTGGTAATGGGACGGTTCACTGACTATGTCAATAGCCACCCCTTCCCTGGCCCCGGTATCGGCGTTCGCATCATTGGCGAGTGCACGCCGGAGCGCGTCAGGATTGCCCGCGAGGCCGACCACGTATGTGCACTTCCGTGCATCTGTGATTGCGATTGGTTGCTGATGAAAGAAATGAACAGATCTACATCAACATGATCCGGGAGGCCGGCCTGTACGATGAGATCAGCCAGGCCTACGCAGGCTTGGACACGAACCAGGCTGTGGGCGTTATGGTGAGTCACTGCTGTGTCAAAGTAATTTGGCAGGATGACGAATACTGATCATTTGCTTTGCGATATAGGGTGACAAACGTTACATGGGCTACATTGTCATTGTAAGTATTTCGCGTGCCATTGAATCTGACTTGAAGAATCCCGGCTAACATGGCCCGTTCCACTCAGCTCCGTGCCGTCGTGACCACCGACTTCATGACTGCCGAGGCCTACCCCTTCGACATGAAGTTCCTAAACAAGGTGGCGGTGAGGATTGTGAACGAGGTCGAGGGCATCAGCCTGGTGACCTACAACGTGACCAGCAAGCCTCCCGGAACCATCGAGCTGCAGTAGACCTCTGGCAGAGACAATTTAGATATGGGGAGGGTAGGGGATCATTATACATGGCGTTTTGTAGCTTGTTAGATTGGAATGCTCATCATGATAGATGGTATTTGGTAGCAAAGAAATGACACACGTCTACCGGCGACGAGGTTTGTGGGTTGGCTGTTGGTCCAGCTGGATGGACTCGCCGACGATGGGAACAGTTGAGCGATATGCCCCCCCTTTCATCCATCCACCTTTCCACGTGTGACAGCATGCATGCGTGAAGGTGCAATCTAGCACTTGCAGGACACACTGCACCAGGCCACACCTACCCACCACCATGCACATCAATGGAGTATTGGCCTGCGACGCGATAAGCCCAATCTAGATCGCACGCGGGGTATCACGCAAGAAATGCAGTTTGCTGTTATTCCCATCTGTGACATGATATCAGAATACCAAGTAAGCAACCAGGGAAATCCGATACCGGCGCCTCACCTTGAAGCTGTGGCGTGGAATTGTGCGAGGCTCGCTCTGCTCCACAATCTCCCGGGCTGGCGGCGAAATTACTAGCGGGCACGCACGCATGTGTCGTCGTTTTGGGAACATGGGCAGGACCAGGACCGATTGGGATCCCGGCCGCGACTAAGCGATGATGACTGCAGGCCTCCAGCTAACTAAGGTAGCTAATTGAGGGAAGAGGGAGAAGCAGCCTGTTTTTTGAAAATACGGTACCCTTTTGTGTGTTGAATGAATGACGGGAAGCCTTTTCCCGATGAACGGAGGGGCATATTCTGGTTGGCTCAGGCGGGGATGATGCTACTGCGACAGCTACAAGCTGCTGCTGCTGCTGGATTGCGGGGATCGCAGGAATGATCTTCCTCTCCTGCAGTTCTTGTTCGACCACGTAGGCACATGCACATTGCTCTGCTCAACAAAAGTCCCAGCTGAATCGAGTGAAGCAGCTATTGAACGCCTGCATGTCTGGGAATAATGAGCGCGTGGGATTCACCGGTCGTGGAAGGGAGAGGGCCGGAAAAGAGGCTGACATGTGCTTCCGCTGCTTGACCCCGGCGACCACGGCGACCACAATGTTTGGCAATTCGCATGCATTTACTGGGATTCGGCAGTGGGACAACAGCCCTGGCAACAGCCCTGGAGGAAGGCCCTAATAAACGAATCCACTGACTGAAGTACCTACCTAATGAATGGATGGATCTGATCTGGCGGTGGCAGGGTCCACACCCATCTGAGTGTCGAGTGTGGGGAACGGGACCAATCGGACGAGGACCTTTCTCGATTACGACCAGCCCTCGCTCAACCCTCACCAAAACTCACTAAAAACAAACCTCCAGCGTATCCGATGTCGGCTCTGAGGGGTCCAAATTCAGATCCAGTGCACCCGCTCAAAGTACCGGCGCCGAACTCGTTGCCGGCCAGAAACCACAACCTTGAATCCACGGATCACAGATAAAATCATCCTCTCCCCGAGCCGATCCCGCTCTGCCCGCGGATACAAGTACCTTGGCTGTGAAGAAAGGCAATCGATATCTTGCCTCTCGATCTGCATCTTTATTCATCTCCGCCCGTCCCGCGATCCAGTGCAAATCGTCGGTGACTTCATTCCCTCCCGCTGTCTTTTTTTCCTCTTTCTTTTTTTCCCCCTCTTGTAGCACGCGACGCCACCGATTCGTGACGCAATGCCCGGCGCAATCACTCCTCCCCAGACCCTCTACGACAAGGTCCTGCGCGACCACATCGTCGACGAGAAGGACGATGGCACCCTCCTGATCTACATTGGTACGGCCTGCAATTGATTTGTGTTCTCGCTGTCGCATGCGCTAACTCGCTGTCGCACACAGATCGCCATCTCGTGCACGAAGTTACCTCTCCCGTAAGTTGCCGCGGCGCCACGCAACCCCCTCGACAAACCCCGCCGCAAAGCTTCTAACACGGATTCGCATCGCAGCAAGCTTTCGAAGGCCTCAAGAATGCCGGTCGAGGCGTCCGCAGACCAGACTGCACCCTGGCAACCGTTGACCACGTAAGTGACTGACTACTCGTCGGGCTGGATCTCTTGCTCTTCACCGACTTGCCGACTGACCCGAAACTTTCTCTCTCCCCCCTGCAGAACGTACCCACCACCTCGCGCGCGACCTACAAGGACACCTCGAGCTTCATCAAGGAGGCCGACTCGAGACTGCAGACCGTCACCCTCGAGCACAACGTCAAGGACTTCAACCTCACCTTCTTCGGCCTGACCGACGACAGGCAAGGCATTGTCCACGTCATCGGCCCCGAGCAGGGCTTCACCCTGCCCGGCACCACCGTCGTCTGCGGCGACAGCCACACCTCCACCCATGGCGCCTTCGGCTCCCTGGCCTTCGGCATCGGCACCAGCGAGGTCGAGCACGTCCTCGCCACCCAGACCCTCATCACCAAGCGCAGCAAGAACATGAAGGTCCAGGTCGACGGCGACCTGGCCCCCGGCGTCAGCAGCAAGGATGTCGTCCTCCACGTCATCGGCCTCATCGGTACCGCCGGCGGCACCGGTGCCGTCATCGAGTTCTGCGGCTCTGCCATCCGCTCCCTGAGCATGGAGGCCAGGATGTCCATCTGCAACATGTCCATCGAGGGCGGTGCCAGGGCCGGCATGATCGCCCCCGACGAGATCACCTTTGAGTACCTCAAGGGCCGGCCTCTGGCCCCCAAGGTCGACAGCCCGGAGTGGAAGCGCGCCGTTGCCTACTGGTCCACCCTCAAGACCGACGACGGCGCCAAGTTCGACAAGGAGATCTACATCAACGCAAAGGACATCGCCCCGACCATCACCTGGGGTACCTCGCCCCAGGACACCATCCCCATCACCGGTGTCATCCCGAGCCCCGACGACTTCGACGACGCCGTCAAGAAGGAGGCCTGCAAGAACGCTCTCGAGTATATGGGCCTGACCGCCGGCACCCGCGTCCAGGACATCCCCATCGACAAGGTCTTCATCGGCAGCTGCACCAACTCCCGCATCGAGGATCTGCGCGCTGCCGCCAAGATTGTCGAGGGCAAGAAGATTGCCAAGAACGTCAAGCTGGCCATGATCGTCCCCGGGTCCGGCCTGGTCAAGAAGCGCGCCGAGAGCGAGGGCCTCGACAAGATCTTCATCGACGCCGGCTTCGAGTGGCGCGAGGCTGGCTGCTCCATGTGCCTGGGTATGAACCCCGACATCCTGGCCCCCAAGGAGCGCTGCGCTTCGACGTCGAACCGCAACTTCGAGGGCCGCCAGGGTGCCGGCAGTCGCACCCACCTGATGTCGCCCGTCATGGCCGCCGCCGCCGCCATCGTCGGCAAGCTCGCCGACGTTAGGCAAGTCGCCGAGCCCCAGCACGTCTCGCCCGCCAAGGCCTCGCCCAAGATCTTTGTCGGCGAGCCCCACGTGGACGACATCTCGGACGACGAGGGCCTGGACCGCATCGCCGACGTGCCCGAGGACGGCGAGTTCTCGAGCGACAAGGGCTCGGCCCCCGTGTCCTCGGGCGGCATGGACAAGTTCACGCAGCTGCGCGGCATCGCGGCGCCCATGGAGCGCGCCAACGTCGACACGGACGCCATCATCCCCAAGCAGTTCCTCAAGACCATCAAGCGGTCCGGGCTCGGCACGGCGCTGTTCAACCAGTGGCGCTACGTCGACGGCGAGATGGGCAGGGAGAACCCGGACTTTGTGCTCAACCGGGAGCCCTACCGCCGGGCCAAGATCCTCGTCGTCACGGGGCCCAACTTTGGCTGCGGGTCGAGCCGCGAGCACGCGCCCTGGGCGCTGATGGACTTTGGGATCCGGTGCATTATCGCGCCTTCGTTTGTAAGCCTTTTTTTTCTTTTTTGCTTTTTTTGTGAAATAACACCGACAGATGCTGACCCTTCTCTTCTGCTTAGGCCGATATCCACCAGAACAACCTGTACAAGAACGGCATGCTGCCCATCTGGATGTCGGGCGAGCCGCTGGAGCGGGTGCACGCCGAGGCTGTGGCCGGCCGCGAGATCGAGGTCGACCTGCCGGCGCAGGTGGTGCGCGACGCGCAGGGCAACGTGCTGGGCGCCTTCGAGGTCGAGGAGTTCAAGAAGCACTGCCTGATCAACGGGCTCGACGACATCGGCCTCACGATCCAGATGGAGGACAAGATTGTCGCGTTCGAGAAGAGGAGGTCCGAGCACTACCCCTGGCTCGACGGCACGGGGTACCTCAGCAGGCACCGCAAGAGGACGGGGCCGGTCATGGTGAAAGCGGCGCCGGTGCCCAAGACGAATAGGGGGGAGGTCAAGGGGGAGCCTCTGGAGTGGTGATTCTTTCTCTTTGTGAGAGAGGTGGTGGGAGAGAAGTAAATGGAAGAAAAAGAAAGAAAAGAAAAGAAACAAAAAGAAAAACAGGGAAGGAAAGGAAAGGAAAGGAAGGACATGAAAGGGAGAGAAGAGGTGCATGTGATTGATGAAGAGTGATCTAAGCTGCCTAGCTATGTTTAGGAAGTGCTGAAATGTCAAAGTTGTGAGGTTTTCTATCGTTGATTGCATATGATTCTCTTATTACTGTTGCTTCTCCAGACTGAGATCGCCGTGCTTGATCGTGTCTCGACACGAAATCATGTATGAGATTCGCAACCCGTTTGCTCTCTGATCGTGGGTTTGGGCCTCCTGAGTAAGTCAAGGAGTTCATCCGACCCGGTCGACTCTCCTCCCCTCGACCCGTTCAACCCTCCTTCCCGTCGACGACGATCAACCACCGCAAAAGGCCAGTGCGCCTGTGGAGGACGCACTCCTTCCGGCGTGAGCCCTTGCTGCCAGTCGATCGACCACATATCCTTGGCCTCGAGGATCCAAGTCCCCCGCCAGTCGGCATCGTGCGGCTGCACCGTGCGCTCGATGCGCCAGGGGAACTCGGTATTGCGATGGTTGTAGCGCCAGACCGGCACGTCGTCGTCGTCGTCGGGGTTTGCTTTGGGCTCTGCTGCCAGCTTCGATTCTCTCGGTGGTATCCATCCGGAGATCTGCGGCTTCTTCCCATCCGGCGAGGTCTCAGTCTCGTCTTGCTTTCGGGCGAGGTCGGCGGCGGCTTGGCCTCCTTCTTGTTCTTCTTCGTTTCGGGTCTGCGGCTCCTGGGATGGCTCCTCCGCCGCGGCGGACTGGTGACGTGATAATATGCGGGAGGAGCGGCCGTGCTTGTAGTCCTTCCAGGCCTGGATGGCGGCGGACAAGGGGAGCAGGCAGCAGCGCTTGACGAGTCCGGTCTTCATCTTGCTGCTGTTGACCGGTGGAGGGGCTGGATTTCGAGGACCTGTGCCCGGGGGAAGTGGTGCTCTCTGGTCTGGCTCGGCCGGGCCCTTCTGAGGGTTTGATCCCATGGTGAAGAATTGTTCTCGGGCCTGAGCTGTGCTGAAAAGGACCACGGCCTTGACAAATTGAGCCTGAGAACTGAGGAGCTGTCACGTAGCCGCTTACAGTTTTGTTGGGCCCTTGATTCGAGTAGGCTCGCTGTTGAAAGTGGTGGTGGAATGGCAACCTGTGGTATCGTTGATCCTTGAAATTGATGGAGAAGGGAGAATAGACGTTGGCCGGAGAGCTTGCGGGGGTGGTCTACAAAGTTTGTGTGATTTCAAATGCCATCCTCGGCTTTGAAGGCTACCATGGTACTGTCGAGCTCGAACCACGGAACTAGAGAAGGCAGCAGCCAGTATGGGAAAAGAAATACCGACAGATACCTCTCTGTACCCGTATTCAGGTTACGAAGCTACATGTCCCTAATTTATCGTATACGCTTGCAAACCGTCGCCTTCGTCCTTGGCCATCATCTCGGCCCATATCTTGCCCTCCATTACGTCCAGAGACTCAAACACCGCGTACCCAATCAGTTGGAAGCCGTCTCCGTCATCGTGTCGCCGCAGGACTACAGGAAGTGCCACACCGTAGACTAGTAGTACTTCGTCACCGACTCGAGCACTGGCAGGCAGGTTACCAAGGCCCTCTACCGCGGGCCCGTCGCTCCAGAACAGCGTCCTCCGCTTGGCTGCCAGTGGGTTGCACATGTCGTTTACGAACACGCTCCACACAGGTGGCTTTCGCTCCAGCTTCTCGAGTATGTCGGTGCACGGCCGTCTCCAGTCGACAGGCCAATCGATAGGGTGATGCCTTTTGAATTTGGAGTCGGGTTCCTTAGCCGTCCTTGTGAGCGGTGCACTAAAGACGTAGTAGCCTGGGTTGTTTCTCGAACACCGGCTCCTTTTCATCGCTACCTGAAGGATCTCGAGGTTTTGGATATGTGGCGTTTTTTCGGCTTCTTGGGTTGGAACGTTTGTTGAAACGGGAGTGAAAGCAGCCCCCATCCAGGCAACACTGCCAATCTTCCAACCTTTTACAATTAATCCATCGCCCGGGCCAAATCCATAGATCCCCAAGTACCCTTCCATCCCTCGGCCCCATTTGGTTCGCTTCATAGGGGTAACCCGTACAACAGAAGACATTCGCTTGCCCAGATATACGGATGGGTCGATCCAGTGGTCTGCCAGTTTGAGTCTCCAGTCAGGAACCCAGGATGGCTGATCCGGCAGGGCCGAGCCCGCGGCCAGCAACAAGTTCAGGTTCCGAGTCGCTTGCAACAGGTCGAGAAAGAAGTCGTGGTACAGGTTCCCCAATGTCACAGACATGTCGACGCGCAGCAGCTCAACCCCTAATCTTGTCATCACGCCGTAGACCCCATACACCTTGTCTTGAGGTTGGCTACAGTCTCGTAGCCACGTCTCTTGCACGGCCGCATCCAGCCCACTTTGCCGGTCTCCTGGATACGGCACGCTGAAGACCGCAAAGAAGAACATTGCCCACGCTAGAGAGTAGAGGCCAAACCATACACCGAGCACAATTTGTGCGATGTAGACCCGGTGCGAGGGGATCCCGGGAATGAGGCTCACGCAGCACATGGCTGTGATCCATACCGACGCAGTGAAGACATAGGTGCCGAGTCTGAGAAGGAACTGCGTGCGTGTGTGTATTCCATGAAGAAAGTTCACGTAGTCCCGCAGGACTACTTCGGGCCCTCGGAGCCCGCTCGGCCTATCCCAGTAGCCATCCCTCGGGGGTTGCGTTATGGAAACCCACATGGAGGCTATCCGGAACCAAGCTTCGTAGTCGGTCTTGCGGAATCCAGTGTTGAAATCCTCCAAGTTGCCCGGCGCCCAATTCAAGTATTGAGTTGCGTAGAGCACGTTGCGCCAGCTGAGCCGGCGCCTTCCGTAGCAGATCCAGGGATGGGGACTCATGGAGGCTTCTTGCAAAGTCCACATGCGTCGGGTCCAAACATTTCTCAGAATCTCATCGGTCTCGTCAAGGGATGCGTTCCAGCTTCGTTTCGGCGCCCTCCCAAGCCTCAACGCCATTGCCAGGATCTTTGTGAACTCCAGCAGCGCCAACGTCCATCGAGTCTTGCTAGTTGGCATGCGGTAGAAGTATTCGCCTTCTTTCTCAAAGAGATCTTGCCACCCGACCCGCTGCATAAAGTCCACAGCTTTGTCGGACAGCGGCGTGTCTTTGCCTAGCCAGATGCACAGGGACGAAGAGGACGCATAGATGTCGCCCATGAGGTGGATCTGGCTCGCCACTTCCTGCTGGTTGCTCTGATGGATGCAGAGAGCATCGATCCAGAGCGTGATGGACCCATCGCTGTTTCTGCCTCTGTCTTCCCGCTGCGGGTCCCGGCGCAGCGAGTCGAGCGCGTCCCACAGGTTGTCGGTGACGGCCACCGAGTGCGCTCCGCAGGCGATTCTTCGAGCGGGGCTTGACGATGTGCCCCAGACATACGACAGCGCCACGTAATGCGGGCTTGTAGCCAGGTCCACGACGCGGAGCGTGCCGGAGATGATGGCATCCGGAAACTCTTGGTGGTATGGCTGGAGGTCAAAGACTCGGATCGACTTTGGGTCGCGCAGAGCCAGGTGCGCGTAGACAGCATCATGTCTACTATTCATTTTGTCTCACTGGCGATCGCTCCCCGAACTCGATGTCCTTGCAGTCACAAGCCCGGAGACATCCTGAGAAGGTGAGAAAAGATCAGGAGCTTCTTGTGGAGGGGTCGTATCTCTCAGCTGAAAATGTGGCTTTCAGCCTCGGCGCCCGAAACCAGGATTCGATTGGTGGCTAGGCAGTTTTCAGTCTTTCGTCTATCTTGCATCCAATGACGAACTACAAGGACCAAAATACTCCAGCAGAGCTAAACAACAACATAATAAGAGCCAAGAGAATGCTGTGGATTTGGAAACTTCCAAGTTATTGGTGACATTGGATCTACAGACTATTTGGTATCTGTACTCCGTGTCCTGTCTAGAAAGCGTCGACAGTATTATCTATTATTTCCGAGCTTACAGAGTGTACTTGAAGAGGTAGCTCTTGTCTCCCATTTCCGTCAACGAGACATCTCCATGCTTCTCGATCACGCCGTCCACGCCTCCGTTCTCACTGATGTAGTGCTCGCGCTTCTTGTTCACCGAGTTCAGCCAGAAGTAATTGACGGCCACAGCAATCAACCCAATTCCAATGAATCCCAGCGAGATGCCGTAGCCGGTGTGGTAGGCCGGCTTCTCCCTCACAAGGTAGATGTTGGAACCAATGATGCCTCCCGTGTTGCCGATGGCTGAAGAGATATAAACGTTAGCGACAGCCACAGCTGGTAGGGGGTTGCGAAGGCAAGCTTACCAATTTGGAGCGACATTGCCATGGCTCGCTTGTAGGGACCGGCAACGTTGTTGGCAAGCCAGGAGATGGTACCTGGGAAGGCGGGGAAGAAACCACAGCAAGCCAGGAAACAGCCGGCGTAGGTCACTCCCGCCTTGTCAGGCTTGTCCGCGGTGAAGATAGCCATGAGAAAGCCGATGGCAGACAGAACCAATGACCAGAAGATGAATTGGCCACGCTGCCTCAGCCTATCGGAATAGTGTGCGACAATGATGGTCAGGATGCAAGCGGTGACATAAGGCGGGATAGTCATGAGCTGGGCTTTTCGGTTGGTATAACCCTGGGTCACAGCCAGTTAGCATTTGGGCGAATCCATGGGCGCATACAAGAACTCAAGGGCTTACCAAGGTCGAGATAATCGTAGGTAATCCAAACACCAGGCCATAGGTAGCAACGGCGATACCCATGAACATGGCAGCGCCGGTGTAAACCTACTTGGATATTAGCATCAGAAGCCTTTTCCATGCTCTCAATGTACGTACCTGCGGGCACAAGAAGGCCTCCTTGATGTATTTGCGCTTGGATCCGTCCTCGGACCTGCCCATACCAGACATGTTGCCGTCGTATGCGAGCAGGTACTTGACGTATTCCCTCTCCCTCTCGGTCAGCCATTTGACCTCCTCCGGGCCGTTGTGAATGAAAAAGTAGGCAAAAGCTCCAACGACGACTGTAACAATGCCTTCGAGAATGAAAATCCACTGCCAGCCGGCAAGCTTGCCGATTCCTTCCATGAGGGAGATAGCGAAGGCGAGGAGGCCGGAGAATGCACCACTGATCTGCTGTCAGCTTCAAATACCAAAGGTAAAAGATGAATGTTGACTTACGCAAGAGATGCTGTAGCATAGAATAACGCCGTCCGGTACATGGCGTCGTGTCGAGTGTACCAGCAGGTGATGTAATAGGCACAAGCGGGGAAGATGCCAGCCTCAGTGACACCCAAGAAGAGTCTTGCCGCCAACAACCCCTGGTAGTTGTGCACAATACCCATGAGCGTCATGGTGGTGCCCCAGATGAGTGCAAGGAAAGGGACTGACAGAGTTAGCCACTGATCGGTGTTGGTTCTGGGATTTACCTACTCCAGACTTTGGGCGAGAGGAACTTCAGAGCCATGTTCGCGGGCACTTCGAAGACCACATACGTGACAAAGAAGCAGGTGAGCGCCACGTTGTATTGGTCTCCAGTCATATTCAAGTCCTTTTCCAGGTTGGCGAGCCTCGCGTTTCCAATGTTGCCACTGTTGACCTTTAGTAATTGCGAATTTCCCGTCTACAAAAGGCTGGAGCAAATTACCGGTCAATGTAGGACATGAGATAAAGCAACGCAATCTGCGAAACACAATATCAGTTTCCAACCATCGCCAGTCATTCTAGTATCTCATTGATTCTTACAATCGGAATGAGATGATAATCCAACTTGCGCATAAGTCGAGTGTGCTTCTCCCCCTTGAACTCCTCGAATATGGCAGCCACATGTGGCGGAAGATCGCCAGCCGTAGTCACCGCCATCTCGGTGTGTGGCAACGCAGCCTGCTCCAAAGACTTCTTCTCGCTCATGATGGTCAATCGTGCCGCAAGTTTAGATCGCAGTGTGATGTTCTCGTCGGTGGGGAAGGTCAGTATTCTTCGGTAAGGCAATAAATATCCCCTTATATGTATTGTTTGTGCTCATCATCCGGTGGAATCCCCCCGCCCAATTAATCTCCGGCGGCATCCCCAGTTCGGTCTGGGGAATGCGGGGGATGGCACGATTATTGGAGACGAGGATCAAGTTAAGGTTAAATGAGGGGGTTTGTGGAGTAAGTCAAGTTCCGGTGGAAGTTTGGGAATTCTGCCGAGCCTCGGACACGGGGACGGTATTCCTGGGAATATTGTCAGTTCTGAGATCTAGGAAAGTCTGGCCTTTAGATTGAGTATTTTGGCTAGATGAAATCTTCCTCCTACAGTTTCCCAGTCTGTCTTCAGCTCGTGTCACATCAGGTCTCGTTCGCATCCGACACAAAGGAAGATGGTGTTTTATCCCCCTTCCTGGGCGCCCAAGCTCAATGACAACGACATTCCAGACGATATTTCCTTGGGTGAATTTGTCTTCAATGACAAGTATCGCCCCCATAAATGTGACGCCTCTCCTGCTCCCTTTATCAACAGCATTGATGGCGCCGCATACAGTGTCCACGAGACTCAAGAACGAATTGAATGGCTAGCGGCAGGACTCGCAAGCGAATTGGGAATTCAAGATGGGCAAGGCGACGAGTGGGATCGTGTGGTCAGCATATTTGCGGTCAACAATGTGAGTCTCGCGTTTTCGGGATTATCAAACCAGTATAATACTCATGGAGTCGTTCCAGATCTACAACCCCTTGCTCTCATGGGCAATTCATCGCTTCAATGGTGTAGTGGCCCCGGTCAATGCGGCATTCCAGGCATCGGAACTCGCATATCAGCTTAAGGACTCGAGATCAAAATGCCTATTCACCAGTGCATCTCATCTAGAGACAGCACTTGAAGCGGCCAAGATAGCGGGAATACCTGCATCTCAAGTCTTTCTTCTCCCTATCCCAGGTTACTCAACTCCTCCACCGTCATTGAGTAATCATGAGTGCCCCAGCTTGAACGATCTGCTTGAGGCAGGGCGTCTCCTCCCAGCTCTGCCTCGGATAGCATGGTCCAAGGGTCAGGGCCGAAAGCAGGCTGCGTACATCTGCTACTCATCTGGCACGTCTGGTCCCCCTAAAGGAGTCGTCATATCCCACTACAACATCATCGCCAACATCCTGCAGAATACTCTCTTTGAGCTGCATCTCCGACCCGGCAGTCAGCGAGAAATCATGACTGGTGTTCTACCGCAGTCACATATCTACTCCATCGTCTTGGGTATCCACGTCCCCGCATTTCGCGGTGATACAGTGGTAGTCATGCCCAAGTTCGACCTGATGAGCTTTGTCCAAGCTGTCAAGACATACAAGGTGACCATGCTCTACGTCGTCCCACCCATTCTCATAGAGATGGCGAAGCAGACGGCGGTGGCGAAGGACCCGTCGTTCTTCGAACTACCCTCGGTCAGGAGAATATTCTGTGGCGCTGCACCCTTGTCGGAAGAGCTCACGGTGCAGATCCGCGATATTTACCCGGGAGTTCTCCTTGGTCAAGGGTATGGCATGACGGAGGCGCCTACTGTGATCGCCTCGCACCCGGCAGAAGTGTACGACGGCTCCGCTGGCTGTCTCATCACGGGTATGGAGGCCCGAGTCATGGATGCCGAGGGCCGCGAGGTCACCGAGTTCGATACACCCGGCGAGCTCTTCGTGAGGGGTCCCAACATTGCGCTTGGGTACTACAAGAACGAGAAGGCGACGGAGGAGACTTTCAGCAATGGGTGGCTCCGAACTGGCGATGAAGTCGAGTTCCGCTTGCATCCAAAGACCAAAGATGCTCACCTCTTCATCGTTGATCGTGTCAAGGAGCTGATCAAGGTCTCCGGATTTCAAGTTGCGCCGGCGGAGCTGGAGGGTCATCTGCTAGCGCACTCCCTGGTTGCGGACTGCGCGGTCATTCCGGTCCCTAGTGAGAGGTCAGGCGAAGTTCCCAAGGCCTTGGTAGTGCTGAAGGAGTCTGCTGGTGTCAGCCACGCAGCTGCAGAGCAGGAACTTCTGAGCTGGGTTGCCCAGCATAAGTCAAAGGCCAAACACCTCCGGGGCGGGATAGAATTCCTCCAAGAAATCCCAAAGAGCCCGAGTGGCAAGATTCTCAGGCGGCTGTTGAGAGACAGGGAGCGAAAGCGGCTTGTGGAGCACAGACCGCGGTTGTGATTTGGTTGTGATTTCAATGTTCTGATACACGCGTCTTTATTGTATTCTGATAGCTATCATATTACACTATCCATAGAATAGCAATAGAAGGGATAGACTCGAATTGACTGCTTCTACTCTGCACTTTGAATTGCTTAGGCTTGAACTACTCTTTCAATGGCTCTAACATCCCGCCCATCATCAGAGCGTCAAAGCTCAGGAGCTCAGAGGGTGATAACGCCATGTCCTGCGACGTCCCAATGCTTGATCCATCCGCAGAGAGACCGGGAATATCCACAAAAGGTTCCTCGTAGCTGCCGATGGAATATGCTATGTGCCAATCTCCCAGATCTCCCATTGTCGAACCTGTTGCTTTAGTCTGTTCTGCCTCACCCTTCCGAGCCTCTATTCGCGGACGTAGACTATCCCTCTCATTCTTATTTAGTCTCATCGTGGATTTTGTTAGAGTATCTGCTCCTTGATAGGTCATCTCAAGGCACTCTCTGGGTAGAAAATGGAGCGCGTCGTGATCCATCAACTCGTCGCGCAATCTCACGAGCACTTGTGATGACTCGGCAACGATATCATGGTTCAAGGTAACCTCTTGTATGTCCGAGTCAGAAGCTTGAAGCCGTGATATGCAGATTGATGACAAGATCCGGCTGCGTAGGCTATCAGTATTTGATGTCGCTCGAAAATCTGGAAATGCTTACCGAAAGTAAATATGAAGTGCGTTTTTATGCACTAGGATAGACAACAGGACGGAGTCGTCCGCTTCAGGACCCGTCGAACGTTGCAGAACTTCGGGCAGATTCAACTTCCAGTGATTGAGCATGCCCAGCTCGGGCCTGCTGGACTGCTCTTGCCTTGCAGGTTTACATCTCGCCCACGTTTCTTCGGCACACTGAGGAGACTCAGCGGTTCCTTCAGGGAAATGCCGCCCTCTGTCGATGTTCAGGAAGAGCCGTATCAGCTGGATAGAGAACATAGACAGAGCGACTCTCTTGCCGAGCTCCTCTCCAGCTGAGAGACTGCTCAACTTGGATCGCAACCCGACGTTGTAGTCTGCAAGCGTCAATGGTGGTATGTCGCCATCATTCGAGAAAACTCTGGGTGTTCGCTGTTCGGAGAGGGCGATGAGCCTTTCCCTCACAATACAGCTCCACCAGCACCGCTTTCGGAACGTCTTCTGTCTTTCGCCCAGACCGCAAAGTGATTCCCGTTGTAGACCGAGCTCGAAGGCTAACGAGACAGCAAGACCTGACCAATACCACGCGCCTTCGTCTTGACCAGGATCATCGTTCCAGTATGACATGAGAAGCAGGGTTTGAAACAGAATCATTCTGTCCTGCTCCAGCTCCATTGCATACAAAGCGCGGACCTTGGCGAACATGGCTTTCCGAGCCACTGAGCGCGAGTTGAATCCAGCTCTTCTCAAGACTTCAATCGGAGCGCAGGTTGTGGCCGCGAAGAGGATTGCCTGAAAGAGAATGAGGCTCATTCTATGGCTCGCTGTGTGGTACAATCGGTTCTCTTCAGGGCCCTCAGCCAAGTACATCTCCCAGAGCTCCTGCTCATCGAGCATGGGCAGATGGGGATGAATGAAGTCAAAGTAGCAGTTCAGCAGGGCATTCATGACGGCCTTTTGTGGCAAGCTGAAGCAACCCTTTCCTCGGAGGTCATCCAGTTCGTAGGAACTGAGGTGGTCGAGGCGGCAGTGAAGAAAGTATGGTAGACTGGTGGACGCTGGTGTCGCTGAGCTTGCTGCAGGAACGTTGCGCTCTCTCAGGGGACTCATTCGAGATGGGTCTAAGCGCCTTGCACCAGGGCTTGCGTCCGGATCGCTCCTTGGAGATGACGAGTCCGAGGACCCGTCTCCAGGGTGCCGTTCTTGAAGCGACTCCGAGCGGTCTACATCATGGTTCTTCTCGACGCGCTGCTGAGCATCGCGACCCCGCCTGGCCGAGTAGACCCTCCATTCAGTGTTAACAGCCGTCACAACACTCATGACAGGGGAAATACATACCTTTTTCTTTCACGGAGGTTGCACTCGATGCGGTCTAGACGACAATTGGTGCAAGGACTGCCGCGAGGATGAACGTCGCATCTGACTTTTCTCCTCCTGCAGCTCAGGCAGGCAATCTTGGCGCGGCGTCTCCCTGAGGTCTTTTTCTCCCTCTCAAAGCTCTCATCTATGAACTCGGTGATCTCGCTCATCATGAGGACATGCGATGGCAATCAACTCGAATTATCTGATCAGTAGTACGCAATAGAGGACTGCTCCGAGAGTGAGTACAAAATTGGGAATGGAGTCAAGAAGATTCACAACGGTGCTTCACTGGGGTGAATCGGCGTCATGCCCGATTCATACATCACGATCGGTATTACCTCCCCTAGGGAGTACAAATGCTGACGGGCTTTGTATGTCACAAGATTCGTCAAACGATCACGCACAAACCGAAGCTGAAAACCTTCCACCGGAAGTGAATTTGCTCCCCCACATGACAGACACTAACTACAAGTAGAAGAGCGTGTCTCCATTCATAAACAACACACACCACGAAGAGCTTGACTAGACGCCTGCATGTCTGGCAGAGTCAGGCACGTCTGCCAAATTGCAGTGCCTATTCACATCTGACACTCTCAGCTGACACATGGTCGTGAGCAACAGGCCCTTCAAGGCTTCCAGTGACAATGATTTGGCATGAAGGGTCTTCCAACTGAAGGTTGGGTCGAGGACGGCAACTTATCAGCAAACCCAGTGCATTCCAATATTAGATACGACGTGGATCTGCTTCTGCCGTGCCCAACCCCCTCTGGATCAACCCCCAAGGACCCGAGCCCCGGATTCACCTCACACCAATTGAATCGATCCATCCTGCACCTTTGAACTTGCCAGGGTTGAACCCCAGATAACGTGGCTGTGTCCCCTCTTCTAGAAGCACGCCGACAAGCCGTCAACGAGTCCCTACAGCGTGAGGCGTCTTCAACGTAACGACCCTGTCCTGGGCTGCAGAGGCACGATGCTACCTTGAATGCTAATTAAGTGGGAACCAGATCAGCTTCCACCGGAAAAGGATTCGCTTCCCCGCATGACACCAGAATCCCAAGTGCGGAGTAATCACGGTAATCACAGGAATGAGTGGATGGAAATCATGCTTAATCCACCCAAAACTTCCACCGTATCCAGCTGGAGCTTCCACCGCAAAATTCTTCTTTACCCGCCCGCGCTCTGTCGACCCAGTCTCGCATCGCGTGGACAAGCTTTCCCTAGTACCGGGTTTTTATCTCTGTTCGTCTTTCGTCCGGCGTCAAACTCGGTCCGCATGCAGCCCACCCGTCACTATGCGGCTGATGCATCCGGTTCCGTGCGGCCGGTCCGCCGAGCCTCCATGGCGTGTGCGCGATGTCGCCGGCAGAAGCTCAAGGTACGTGTGTCAGACATGCATGCTGCTTAGTGGCTTCCCTCGCTGACTGGGGCGCCAGTGTGACTCGATGAAACCATGCACCATGTGCGTTCGCTCCGGGATGGAGTGTCGGCCGCGGGCGGTGCTACCCTCGGCGACAAGGAGGCCCAAGAGGCAGACAGAGAACAGCCCTGATAACGACGTCCCGGGCTCTGCGGGCAGCTCGGGACCGCAGCGGTCCGATGTCTCGAGCAGTCCGGGCATAGGGGAGCCCCTGGGATCCATCTCGGTGCAGACAGATGCCCCGACTCCACTAGGCCGGCACGCCGCCGAATCGTCGCCGCAGAACCAGCAGTTCGGAGCCAACAGGTCGGCCATCTCCCTAGCTATGAATATGTACCAGAGCCTCGGGACCTCTGCGCCACTAGAGGCCTCCACCATCCCCGGAGATGGAGACCTGGCGCCGAACCCGCTCCGGGGCCCTCCGTGGACGCTACAATCCATGCAAATGCCGGCACCAGCAGCCATGGAGGCCTTGATTGATGTCTACTTTGACAAAGTGGACTGGTTCATCTGGATATTCCACAAACCGTCTTTCGTCCAGCAGGCGCGGCAGATTCTTTCCAGTTCGTCGTGGCCACGCGCGGACATGAGCAAGGTCCTCATCACCCTTGCCGTAGCCGCTCTCGGCCTGAAGTGCGCCATGCAGGATTCTTCACCCAAAGGGCAACGTCTTCATTCTTTGCTCCCGTGCGAGCCGCGCAAGCTGATGGATCATATGATTGCCGAGATACGGCTGCACCTCATCGACTTATTGGAGGACAACTGCATAGAAACAGTGCAGGTCAATGTACTCCTAGGCGCATTGCACATCTTTCACGGGTCGCCAAGCCTGGCCTGGGCGACCATCGGGCTTTCAGTCAGGACATCATACGCTTTGGCTCTGCACTGCGACTCGGACACAAATGAGATTACGACTCAAATACGACGCCGCTGTTGGAACCATCTCACGGTGGCCGACACTTTTGCTTCCCAGATCTATGGTCGTCCTGCGTCACTAGACTCGGCCTTTTCGGATTTGTTGCCTCTTGCCGAGATTGACGATACTGCCATTGATGACTCGACGGAGCAGTACATTCGAGAAACGTTCGGCAGCACAGTCTCCGTCATAAGCTTCCACTGGTTCAAGTACAAGTTGTACGAGCTCACCAGGAAGATTCTGTCCACCTTCAGACTGATGCGGCTCCACAGCCCCATGACGGTAGACGAGCTGCAGTCCCTGATAGCAGCCGTTCAGGACATTGAGATCCAACTCAGCGCATGGAGGAACTCTTTGCCCCCGCCTCTCAACACTGACAACATGTCAGAAGATTATCTGCAGCTCGAGTCGCTGCAGGAGATGGGCCAGAACGACGGCGATGGAGACATGCCTAGCCTACGCCGCCTGAAACTACAAGCTTACGTCTTGCAAATCACCTACGACGCGGCGGTGATTCTGGCTCACCGACCACTGCTAGAACACAAGCTGTCGTCGGCGTCTCGGCAGGACGTCAGCAGGAGCTCGACCGAGTACGTCTCGAGATCCTTCGACATCTCGGTCAAGGCGGCGCTTCGCACCTCGCGGGTGCCCATCATGGAGTTCAGGAACGAGTTCTGCATGGCGTTCGTCTTCATCCACCTCTTCTCCGCGGGCGTCATCCTCTGCATCCCGCCGACGAGCCACCCCTACAGCAACGCGGCGCAGGAGGCCAAGGCCGGCGTCTTCCGCATCATCCAGGCGGCCAAGGCGCTCAGCCCGGAGAGCCAGGTCGCGAGGCACGCGGACCGGCTGCTCAGCGACCTCCTGAAGCTGAGCCTGCACCGCGAGGTCGACATGGCGTTCAAGGAGGAGCGCCAAGGCCTGGCTCCGCCGGAGCAGCCGAGCCAGCAAGAACACGAGCGGCGGTTGATGTCCGCCAACAACTTCGCTGGCCCGCCCGCTGATCCATGCTACGACGAGACGCTCATGCCAAACATGCCCCATAACGCGGATGTCACCGTCGGGGCTGTCGATGAAGATTGGAGCCTGCAGCCCTCATTCCAAAACCTCATGAACGCTAATAGCTCCGACCTTCAGCCCATGGACCTACCACTTGACGAAGCCTTTGGGGCGTTTGGTCAAGGTATGTGTTGCACCTGCATTGAGCATCGGTTCCTTTGCTTGTACGTGTTAACATGTTTCCTTGCAGTGATGTTTAATCTGGTACCTGATGATCCGTTGAACATTTGGGGTTGGGGCAAAGGGTCGATGTAAATAAAGGACTGTCCATCGCATAAACTGACGATCCACCTCGAGAATTCGTGACATACATCTACGGACCTTAAACAGGCAAGACGGAACGACGGAATGATCATGCACGATTCATTTGCTCGGAATTACTGATTCATCAAAAGCGTGTATATGCTGATGCTACTCAGATTAATTGCAGTGCCAACGAGGCTGCGGTATCCGTTGCTTATCGTGCCAATGTCGCTAGACTCATCTGGCCTTTTTGCAAGGCTTTCTGGCCTTGCAGGACCAGCAGTGCTCCTTTGTCGGGTCTCCGCACCCCCTGTTGAACTCTGCCCGTTGCGGGTATGGGCACAAGATGCGGTTGTGAATCGTGTTCGACACGTTGAGCTTGACAGGCGTGGACTCGGGGGCGGTGCCCTTCTCCACCCAGTCCATCAACTGCTGCATGAGCTGGTTCGGCTGCCCGCTCTTGCCGCCCTGGCAGTGGCCCATACCGGGCACCTCGAAGTAGCGAAAGAAGTCGTGCACGTTGCCCGTGATCTTGTCGACCGCATCGTAGTACTCGGCCGTCTGGTGGTCGGGGAGCAGCTCATCGGCCTGACGCACAAGTTGGTTTAGCACCGTATACCACAAGATCGAACATCTCATACAGAAGAGAAAAGAGAATAAAAGGAAGAAATAAGACGAGGGAAGACGGAAAGGGAAAGGACAACTCACTAGCCCATGCATGGAGATGAGCTTCCCTCCAGCCTTGTGGAAAGGAGTGAGATCCGGGTCATTCGATCCAATGATCGAGTTGTAGTACTGCGACTGGTATAGATACTCGACAAACTGCTCTCTGGTCAAGTTCGCGATGGTGACCATGGGGTCTTTCGCAAAGAAGTATTTCATGAAGTCGGTGCCCTGGTAGGTAGAGAGCACGCATCACGTCAGTCAGTCCCAGTGTGGGCTTGTCCCCACGTTGAACGAAAACTCACCAGAGAATTAGGCGCCTGAACGCACTTCCCACCGTCGCAGTTGGTCGTCACGATCGTCAAGACAGCCGGGTCCGTCAGCAGCGCCCCCGGACGCAGGCCTTTGAGCAAGTCCCTGCCCCTCTTGGTCGGCATGCCCGCCCACGTCTCCCTGACGACGACCGCCGCCGCCCTGCTGATCTTGACCCTGGCGCCGCCGCCGCCGCCGGCCTGCGGACACGCGATCTCCCTGCCCACCACCGACAGCGGGTCAAAGACCCGCTGGCAGTCGCCGGGCCGCGCGATGATGCCGTCCTGCACGCCGTCGAGCCCGTCGCAGGCGGCCACCGCGGCGGCCGTCACGGCGAGTATCTCGCACGGGTAGGGCACGTACCCGCCGGCCTGCTCGCTCATGACCTGCTGCGGCCAGTAGAGGAAGGCGGCGAGCTCGGGGTTGTTGATGGCGGGCGCCGACGCCGCGATGCCGTCAAAGTCCTCCGGGTACCGCTGCGCGATGGCGAGCGCCATGCGCCCGCCCGTCGAGCACCCCGTGAAGTACGAGTACTTGGGCGCCGAGCCGTAGTAGCTGTTGATCAGAGCCTTGCCTATCACCGCCTGTTTCGTGTGACATTTGGCCGTCAGTCAGTCAGTACCTATAAAACATGGCAAAAATCATCTGTTCTTGATTAAACAGATCCACAGAGCCTGTACAGGGCGGGGGGGTTCCAGAAGCGATTTTTTTCTCTCACCTGATCGTGCAGCGCCACGTTGGCAAAGTTGTTGAGCTTGTGCAGGTTCGGGTTCCCGGGGCTCAGCAGCGCCCAGCCGGGGAGGCCCAGCTGGCCGACGCCGGCGTCGGTCGAGGTCGTGGCGAACCCGTCGGCCAGCGCGCCGACCTGCAGGCCGTAGGTCAGGGCGAACCGGCCCGCGCGCCACCCGCCGCCGCCGACGGCCTGGAAGCGCCCGTTCCAGCGGCCCGCGTCGGGCAGCCACGTCTCGACGGAGACGCGGTCCGCCTGGCCCGGGTGCGTGTACTCGACCGTCACGTTGCAGAAGCTGGCGTCGGTGAGCCTTACCGAGGGCGCGATGAAGCGCGCCGTGTCCGGGGCCGAGGCGGAGAAGTTGGTCACGTAGCTCGCGTGGACGTTGAGGACGCTGCCGCCGAAGAGGGACGGCGTGCCGAAGGTGGCGGGGCTGCAGTGTGCGGCGAGGGAGGCGGCCATCGCGATCAGCTTCTTCTGGGACGGAGGTGGTGAGAGGCAGAAAGGACGCAGGGCCCGGGGCTCTTGTGGGAAGGGGAGTGGGTGTGACGGGACGGCTTGGCATATCGCCATGGAGGTTATATGGCATATAAGGCTGAATTTATGGAAAAGAGAAGGAGCACGGCTGGAGAGACCCCTCATCTCCTGGGGCCTGCCTGGCAGCCGGCAAGACTCTTTCCCCGGGCTGCCCGGTCTCTCGGGGGAGATCAAGATTACACAATCCGGGGTACCGGGGGGTCTCCCGTTGTCTGGGGTCGTCATTCCACCGGAGCAATTTGGAGTCAACTTGTGGAGATGTTTCCGGTGGGCGACTCCTCGCATTTATCATCTCGCATTCGACAAAGCAACGACTAGCAACCCAACTTAGCTGAGGGATCATTACTCAAAAGATATTGAACTAGGCTTGACTTATCATGTCAGTATAGCATGACGAGATGTAGGTTATTTCGTGGCTGAAATAGTCTAGCTCCTTGCACTCAGCACGAACGGTTGCGTTATGGCTACAGTTTTCCGGCGAAGGATCTGTGCATGGCCAGCAACTACATGTCGGTGCGGAGACTGGAGTGTCGACAAGGAAACCCTTCCTACAAAGCGCTAAGAGAATAGATAGAGTCCCGAAATAGCTTTGAACTTGAGTTGCAAGAACCAAGGCATGACAAGCCACCCACAACTCACAATGATCCAACGAGCAACAAGTGAAGCTTGACTGTGCCACGAGCTTTTCAAGGCTTTGAATTGAAACAACTGATATCAAAAACTACCTGTCTATATCACCGTTCTAGTGTGAGTGTGATGAAAAGTCTCTGCGTGATTTCGGATCTAGTGTCGAAATGGTGTTGGAAGCAAAACAAACAAGGTGGAAATGCCATTCTGTTTGTAAACGAAAAGACAAAAAAAAAAACCCTCGCTCGCGAATGCAGCAGTAAGAAAACGCAACAAACTCCTCTTCCAAAAACTTGTGTCTTTTAGGTGTGAACAAGACACAAGACGACGCAAAAGAAGCAGCTTTGCCCGCAAATGTTGCCCAGATCGACCACCCGCGAGGGCGTCTGTCCTTTGTTTTCGCACCCCCCTAGGTTTTCCTTGATCTCAGAGTGACATGTGACAAATGGAAACAAAAAAGTAAAATGATGACGATGGTATGGTGATGATGCTCCCAAGGTTTCCCTCTCTTCGCTGTATCCAGAGTTCTGTTCCTTCGAACCCTGCCCGTAGATGTGTCTTCTTTCCCATCATCCAAACACATCTTTTGTCCTTCCCCAGCACTTCGCTCGCTGATATGCCAAAACAGAAAAAAAAAAAAAAAAAAAAAAAAAAAAAAAAAAAAAAAAAAAAGGGTGAAATTC